GTTGTCCATGGGGCACTGCGAGGGTTCCCGCCAAGCCGTCAAACACCCAAAATGCTGGTTGCCCGCGGCAAGAATTGAACGCGCGGCCTAAAACCACGGTCGGGCACAGAACAAACCTATAGCGAAACCACTAGACCATAGAGGCGTACACAACTAGCGAGACACCTTGAATATGTTCATCCGCTGCTGTTTTTTCCAAGGGTATAGAAGACGGACTGGAGGGACAGATGGTCGAAATAAATACGTAGCAGGTATCTACTAAATGGATAGTACTTACATGAGTGGTATATGACACTCAGTGAGGCGGGGAAGGATGAGCTACCCAAGGAGAACGCGACTTGGGCATATGCAGTCGTCAGAGCTTTCTGAAGGCGGTAGGGAGCGGCTGACTAAGCGGATACGTAGAGGGGAGGACGTTGCAACCTTGGGACAACCTTTTCGAAAAGCCCTGTTGAACGGGCTGCCGGACAAGCCTGGAACATCAATTTCGAAAATCCTCGTTATGGTATCGGTGCCGGGATCGCACATGGTCGCAGCGTCCCTATCCCGGGGTATTTCGGATGGGGGCCGTGCCGAGGATTAGCACGCCCGGCGGTGTACGCGCGGAACAATTCGTCTGCTCAACCTCTTGCTTGTTTGGCTTTGATCATCGGATAGTCTGGATTTGTAACCTTGCATACTGTGTCGGTACTTTCTCGGCACTGGCACTGCTGGCAACAATAAAGCGACATCATTCAAGTTGACATGCGATATGCAGGGAACGGCGCCTCTCATTTCGTGCACTGGACAAACATGATGTATCTATACCTACCATCATATTACTGTCCACGCTGGCCACGGTGAATACGAAACTGGCTCCGAGTCTGAAAGTCGTCCATGTATGCCTTACGACCCCTTGCTGTGCACTGAGTCTGTACACCTGATTGTGACGAGACTTGGCTTCGTTTACCACGGAGCTTAAGGTAGGTCTCCTCATCCTAGCAATCCCTAAATAGTCGACAGGCAACTCACAGTCGGTCATTCAATAACTGGCAATAGAGGTCCTCATGATACGACGTCCGCAGCAGCCCATATATCATTCTAGGTACGACCTTCCGCGCGCTCCCCAAGTCTTTCGTTTAGTACCTCTGAGCGCGATCTCACCGTCACCGCATGATCGGTGATGTTGATGTCTAAATATACCGGAGCTGTTCAGGTTTGGAAGGTAATGTACTGAGCGCTCCACAAGCTTCACCGTTGTGTTATAAAAGTTGAAACTTCAAGCTGACTCTCACAAGCTCCCCAGCCCCAGCACACTCAGGCTCTGCTGATCCACCATGAAGCTCCAGTTCCTCGCTTCCTTTCTATCTCTTGCGGCCTCTCTTGTAGCGGCGCAGACATACCCCAATCCAATCGCCGGAAGTGGTAAGTCGCTCCTGCTTCTCCAGCCTCGTCATGTTATATAATAGAGTATTTCGTTAGAGGATATTTCCGTCCGGGATCCCTCCATCTGGTACAACTCAGATACTGGGGTGAGAGCAACATCTTTCCTCGTCTGTGCGGATGACTGATGGGCCATCACGCAGAAATACTACGTTTTCGCCACTGGGGGACTTATCACCACCTACACCAGTACCTCTCTCAGCGGGTCCGTCTTTTCTACAATCATATGCTGTTGACACCACGCTCACATCCTACGCTCGTAGACCATGGACGAATGCGGGAACGGCTCTTTCCGCCTGCGCCATCGTTGACAGTCCGGGTAATTGCGACCTCTGGGCACCCGATATTAACTACTTTGACGGAGAATATGTGCTGTACTACGCCGCTTCTACACTTTCAAGCCAAATCTCGGTAATTGGTGTCGCTACAAGTCCTTCCATGGAGCCTGGTACCTGGACGGACCATGGCGAGGTCATAAGCTCTACGACCGGAGATGTTTACAACGCTAGTCTGTGGTCCTGTTCTCTGTTCCTTGAACGTAACTCATGTAGCATTCAGTCGACGCGAACCTCATCATCACGAATGGTGGTCTGCAACTTTCGTTCGGAAGTTGGCAACAAGGTGAGACAAATGGTACCTGGATTGCGACGATGACTGAAACATTGTTGAGGCAGGGATCTATCAGATTGGGCTTTGGCCCGACGTAGAGACGCAAGCCTCCGTACGTCCTCTTTCGCGTGTCCTTTGCTGACGGTTTACTGATGGACACTGACAGGCTCTCCCCGGAACGCACCTTGCTGGTCTGCTTCTTTCCATGCTTTGAACTCATAATCATAAACTCAGCTCTACTGCAGGCGCCGACGATCGCCCAGCTGAGGGTGGCTTCGACTACAAGCCCGCTAGCTCAGACTTATGGTTCTTCTTCTTTTCTGACGGTATTACACCTCTCCAAGGCGTGCGTCTCATGTGTTTCCTCTGTGGTCCGATTCGAGCTCAAGCATCTGTCTATAGGATACTACTCGTCCGGCCGCAGGTGACGAGTACAAGGTCCGCGTCGGGCGCGGTTCCTCTAGCCAGGGTCCATTCTACGTAACTATTTCCCCGATACTCATCGATTTCTCTGCTGGTCGCTCATGCGACTTTTCTTGTCAACAGGACCTACCTGGAGATGTGTTGACTGAAGACCTTGACCCACCGACTGGTAATATTATCTTGCCGTCGCATGACAACATTTATGCCCCAGGTGGTATGTGACATCGCTGACTTTTGACTCGTCCGGAGACTGATGAAGTGCTTTTAAATGTAGGCCAGAGTGTTTTCGCTGACCCAGTCAGCGGCAGGGATGTCATGGTCTACCACTACGTACGTGAGGACGAGGTCGGTGGCGCGTCGTACCTCGGCATCAACTACCTCGACTTCTCGTCTGGGTGGCCCGTCGTTGTCGACTAGAGAGACGCTTCTCCTTTATTATGATTCATCATGGGCTCTAGTATACGGATTAATACGATCAGTTTCTAACGGGGTCTCGTAGTATTGGGTTGCACTAGCTACGGCCTTTGACGATGCGTTGGATGTATAATATATACCAGAATTGAAGGATATTTATTGAGGTGAACGGAAGGATTCAGAGCTCATTCCGAGCGCTGATATTATTCTATTTAAACCTCTGTATCGTTCTTCATGGGACTATATTGTACTCTGAGTAGACCTTCCGTCGGTCTTTTCTCTTCACAGTTGAGACGTCCGACCTAAGGGCCACACTTAAACCCTGAACACTGAGTGCCACACAATAACATGTTCCCAATTTTCAATTGCATTTGGGTAGAGATCTGGTATCGCTGTTCGACCGTGGAACTCGTCGCTGCAGACTTGCAGTAGCTTGCAGTACAATTCAAACTGATCTGGTTCAGAGAAAGGAAAAAACATGACACCAATGGCTAGAATGTTGTCCAGGTGTTAGAACGAAATCGAAGAGGAGCACAAATGCCGGCAATCCATCGCGAAGGGAAAGAAAATGCCATCTATAGAAACGACTGGATGGTGCTCAATCATGTACGTCGTCAGACGAGCTTCTCATACGAGGTACCATTGGCACAATGGGAACCCACTCAGAACGGTGCACAGTCACCTGGACTAAATGGCTGGAGTGACGCCGTCCGTCACTGAAAGCGCCAAGCCTCAGATCCGCTTCGCAGACAGTTAAGTGTTCGGTGTGTTCGTTATGAACGCGGTGTCTTGACCTCGAGTCCCGTACACATACGCATACACATATGTACTTACCCTCACACCCGTCCCAAGACACCCTACAACCTTGCCCTCTCCCTTTCTTTCCCCTTCCCCCGCTCCCCCATCTCCTCTCCCGCTTTGACCTCCCCCTCCCCCCTCCTAACCTCCCCAACCCACCCCACAACCCCGTCAACCAACCTCTCCACCTCCACCCTCCCCATCCCCGCCCTCAAACACACCCTGACCCTCTCCTTTCCCTTCGGCACCGTAGGATAGGTGATCGGTTTTATCGTTATCGCGTGATGGGAGAGGAGGTAGGCGGCGAGGGAGCGGGGGTGCGGAGTTAGGAGGGGGATTATTGGGGTTGGGGGTGGTGCGTGTGAGGAGGACGAGTCGGTGGGGTGGGAGGCTGAAGGGTAAGTGGAAGTGGAGGTGGGGATGAGGTGAGAGGGAGTAGAGGGAGTAGGAGAGGAAGGGAGAAGAGGAGAGACGAGATGTTCGGGCAGACAGAGTATATGTGCCGGAATGCCATGTTCTTTTATCGCTTTGCGCATGAGGTTGAGGAAGTAATCGCAGAGATCGAGGAGGTGGGCCGAGAGCTGGATAAGTTGGAATTTCGGATCGTCAGTGCTGAGGAAAATCAAAGAGAAGGTTGAAAGGTTAAGATGAATCTATGTGTATATGCGCAAATATCAACGTCCACCACCAAGAAAAGAATCAAATATGTCTAACGACGAAACGCACATATCCATCGGGAGAAACGGAACAAGGATAAGAGAGAGAAAGGGAACCGGGAACTCGGTCAATCGCCGTGGAAAATGCAAGTGCCACCCACACGATCAGAATCCGACATTCCCACGCATGTAGTGAGCGCCACATCGCTTCCCCGGCACCATTGATAGTAATAAAGGTCCCGCAACAAGAAAAGACCACGCGACGACACAGTCACTAGGAGCACACCACCGAAACCGACAACAACCAATGCAAACACTTCGGAAAAACGGGTGTATGGAAGGGACTAGAGAAAACACCCCGAAACAGAAGGAAAACAAGAACACTCACCTCCCCCGCCACCCCATTCTCCAACATATCAAACGAACAGCTCGCAGCCACTATATTCGCATTGCTCAACGCGGTAGTGTATATAAGCGGTCGTGCATAGTTGAGTAGATAATCTCGGACGACTGTGTTCGTGAGGAGGACGGCTGGAGCGAAGATGCATCAGCGTTAGAACCTAACACAGGAAGACAGCTGAAGTAGAGAGAACGGACACGACGAAATATTTGGATGGGGGATGCGAAGAGGCATGGGGAGTATTGAATCGGAAAGAGTGTGAAAATAAGCATGAAAATGAAACGGAAAAGGAAACGTGAACGTGAAAGGGGAAGGAAGAGGAAAGCAAACGCACCTCCACTCGCAGCCAACGCCTTCCCAAACGTGACCAACCGCGCCAATATCCACGGACTTTCCTCCAGCCCTTCCCGTGCTACCATCCCCCTCCCCTGTGGTCCATAAATCCCCGTCGCGTGCGCTTCGTCGACAATGACGTACGCCTCCCTTTTCTTTCTCCTTCCAACACCATTTTTTCCACCACGGTTAGAACCAATGCCAGAGCCCTCCCCAAAAAGCTCCTCCAACATGCCCACAATAACCTTCAACGGCGCAACAGTCCCATCCATCGAATACAAACTCTCAACCGCCACGAATACTGTACTCCGTCCTTCTCTCACGCCTTCTTCCTTTTCTATCAACGTCTCCAGTACACGACACAACGAGGCCATATCGTTGTGTTTGAATGGGATGCAATGACTTTTTCTTTGCGTCGATGAGGACGAGGACGAGGATGGGGAGGATGACGCCGACCGATCATGGTTCCGCGATTCCCAAGCGCGCATTCCATCCCATACACTCGCATGCACATACTCATCAAACACGACCCAATCTCCCTCTCCTCCCTTCCCCTCTGCACCCTTCCTCCCTCCACCACCACCACCCCACCCCCTCGGCAAACACCCAAACACCCCCACATTCGCATCAAACCCCGAGTTCCACAACAACGCCTCCTCACTCTTATAAAACCGCGCCAACCTCCTCTCGAAACGATCATGGAGCGTAGGGTTGACGAGTAGACGGGAACCGCCGGAGCCGAGGATGTGCGGGGTGTGGGTTAGGGTGCGGAGGAAGTGGGTGCGGAGGGGGGAGGAGGTGGAGAGGGAGAGGTAGTCGTTTGTTGAGAAGTCGAGGGGTTGCAAGGGTTGGGTGCGCGTGGATGGGATGGTGGAGGGGGAGGCGGTGAGAGGGACGGTGGGCGCGAAGAAGGTGGGCGATGGGGTGGGTTCGAAAGTCGATTCTGAGGGCGAGAACGAGTCGCTACCCGACGGCGAAGACGACGATGACGACGATGTTGAAGGAGGTGACGATGAAGTAAGGATTGGGTCGGAGGGAACGGGCAGTCGACGGCGGATCTGACGAGACTCGCGGGAGACGAGGGATGCTTTTAGGCTGGCGTGGAATGAGGATTCCGAGGTAGATGGGGAGCGTTTAGCGGACGACATAGCTCGTTCTTTTTGTCGGTTGGGATGACTTCGTAGTCAAAGTACCGAGAATCAATAGGTTTGAGTTCGACTTTTTTGGGGGGCGCTAGAGTCGACCAACGATGAGTCTGAACAAGTCTTCTGCTTCAGCAAGGGGACGTTCGACAGCTTAGTTTCAGTACGAGCGTACGCCTTTGTCAACGAAAGAGAGAACGGAGTGAGTGAAAGAGCAGAAGGAAGAAAAAAAGTCTGGGGATTAGCTTGGGACGACGCTGTCCCGCCATCCGTTTCCCCATAGTCAATTGTCAAAAAAAAATCGTTCCCCATCGGTTCGTGTTTCGGGTTGAACTGCTCGCTGATTTCCCGAAGGACCGACGAAGAAAGGGATGAGCGTTCAATTTCAGAAACATGGGTAAGTTATCGCGGTGGTTGCAGAAAAGATAAACTGGCTTGGGTCATGCGAAGATGTGATTTTGGCAAAGAGCGAAAGGGGGAAAGTTTGTCCGGACGGTGATGAGGCGGTGTGGCGGTGTGGCGCTTTGAACCTGCGCTTGTTCCGGACGGCCATCATGTCTGTTCCTACTCTCTTTATCCCTCTCTCTCTTTGATGAGCACAAAGGCATTGAGTTAACACGTAGTGAAAAGCGGAAGAGCAGAAGGAATATTATATGGAAGCCAATCCGGTTCAAGGGGTATATCGCTCTGGCGCCGCCAAGTAGGTTTTAAAAATGGTGAAGAATTTTATTGACATTGTACGAACATACTGAGCGGACTGGATAAGTAGAAGATTCATGGTACTAATCAACGACAAAGAGGTCATAGCTTCGCGCCTCTCTCCAACCTTCTCTCACCAGAGGGACCGCCTACTACGCCCTCCTTGACTAATGCCACCACCTCATTTTCCTGCATACCCAACTCTCTCAAGACTTCATATGTGTGTTCGCCTGCTTGGAGGAGACTCAGACTGTTAATACTGGTGTCTACTGATGCGGGTGTGCGAGATAGGAAAGGCGCGGGGTTTGGAACGGGAGACGGTGTGCCAAAGGAGGCGGGAGACGTCGAAGACCGAGAGGCAAGTATAGCTGCTTCCTCGGGTGTGAGAACGGGTACAACGCATGCATCTGTGCCTAAAGTCCGGTACGAAAAGAGGTCAAGTCCTGTGATCGCACCAGAAAAGAACCAAATATTCTTACCGTAAAACAGCGTAGCCCATTCATCTCTGCCTTTGAGCCGAAAACCCTTCTCCATGAAAGTCTTCAAGAGCTCCCAATCCTTCTTCCTCCCTTGGATACCTAGATCTACCCCCATATCACCCCTGTTTTGTACGACCCACTCCTCACCCAGCGCGGTCAGGAATTTCTCCCAAAACACCTTGAAAAACCTCGGTTCAAGACATCCCACAGAGACATATCGGCCGTCTTTACATGTGTAAATGTTATAAAATGGAGCACCACCATCAAGAACGTTAGTTTGACGAGGCTGCCGTGGAGTTGAAAAGATCGGCGTGAGGAGGGCGGAGTGGAGGAACGGAAAGGTGGAGAGGTAGCGCGTGCCCGAGACCTGCGATTTGATACTATTAGCGAACTGGTTTAGTGGATGCAAAGAGATGATGTGGAATACGGACCATATCAGTGTTGACAACTTGACCACGTCCGCTTCGGGATCGCTCGAATAGAGCAATTAGTATGCCCATGGCGCAAGTGAGGCCTCCGCCTGCGAAATCGGCTAGCAGATTGAGAGGAAAAGAGGGCTTTTCGGAGGTGCCGGGAAGCATCTGCAATGGTTACGCAGGAGTGAATCTTAGCAATGTATTATACGGATGTGAAGTGTGCAAGGGGATCTCGTACGGAAAGGATACCACTGAGAGCAAGGTAATTGATATCGTGACCTGCAACATTGTCAGCAGAATGAATATGCAGCGGTGATGAGACGTACCCGCCATATCTCTATGTGGACCTGTCGCAAAGTTGCGATGTCACTTATACCAGAATGAACTCACAGAACACTCATGCTCACCGTCTGTGCGAAACCTGAACACGCATCGGATTACCACCAGCCCCGGTCATGAATAGGGGCATCACTCACCCAGCAAGCCTCGCAAAAACCAACCCCTCATTCTCCCCATTTCCTCCCTGCCCATCGTCCAACCAAACCTCAGGCCCCAATCCCATTCTCTCCAACACTCCCGGTCTAAACGGGTCAATCACAACATCTGCACCTCTCACGATGTGTTTCACCACTTCCAAACCCTTTTCATTCTTCAGATTCACTGCGATGGAGCGTTTGCCGCGACATAAGAGATCTGCTTCTTTGGTGTCAGCGGAGGAACTTGAAGGACTAGGGTGGAAGCGGTCGATGCGCGTTACGGAGGCTCCGAAGTCGGAGAGGATGAGGCCTGCGAAGGGGCCGGGTGCTAGACCTGCGAACTGCATAGGCATAGAAGACGGAAGGGTCAGCTAAACATTCAGTTCAAGCACATACGACGTGCTCTATACGTACCTCGACAACTTTAAGACCGGAAAGTGGACCTTCTCGAACTTTTGTGGGCATGTCAAAGTTGAGAGTATCGTCTGAAGGAGAACGATTTATCCTCGCGGATCAAAAGCAACGAGAGGGGGATGTGAGGTGTAGAGACAAGCGAGCTAAGGTTCATCGGCTACATTATTATGTCTTCTCGTAGATTTCAGCTGGTTCAGATGATCATAGTGCGAACACAAAGGCCGTTCGGGTTGAGCGCCTCTGCCGGTATCCGGGATTACTTACGCCACACTTGGGCCACAACAGGGCCACAACAGGGGCTACCGTTCCCCTCTTCAGGATACCACTTGTCAAGCTTCAAGGCTTCAATATTTGGGGTGCAGTAGGCATGTCGCGTCCTTACTAAGTGCTGGGACTTAACCAAGACCTACCATAACCCCAGAGAACTATCTAAGTCCTTCGACGTGAAAACCACATTGCATCCTTGTCTCTGCTGTGGAGTTTGTCATCTACCTTTCGAGTTACATATGACCCTGTTTTGCCCATGGAACGTGAATGTTGAATCTTGAACACCAATCAATCTGCCTCAGTTTGTAGGGCAAAACTGTCCCATACGATATTAGTTGGAAATTCTACCATTCTGCTCTACCCTCTCAGCCCAGTCGGCCGTCTCGACAGCGAATCAACGAGATAATTTATATCGTCCTTCACTCTACAACTCCCTCCCCGTCCTCTGCCTCGTGGCATTCTTCTCCCTCTCCCTCTCCCTCTCCCTACTCCTATCTGCGGCTACACCTCCACCCGCAGTACCGCTCAACCCGACCCTCGTCACAGCCGGCCTCCACCCGAACCACGGCGCTATAATCTCCTTCGCCACCAACTCTCCAAAGCCGAGCATAACCCCATTGACGAACGGCAAGAACATGTTGATAGCCAACGCACTCGCGAAGGCCCAGACCCTCGTCTTGGTAGACAAAGTGCTGTCGAAGATGGCGAGCGTAGCGGTGGTGTGGGCGTCGGCGGTGGCGGCTGTACGGGCGTGATGTTTGTGGTCGTCGATTGCGTGATGTTCGTGGTGGGCATGGGAGGACTCCGCGGTATGGTGCTGGTGGTGAGGAGGCTGCGAATTGTTATTAGGATGAGAGGGTGTTTCTGAGTGCGAGCGTGAGGCGTCAGGGAAGGACATCGAGGGGAATGAAGAGTCCATGTCTGAGGGAACGTCTTCCCAGTGAGGAGAGCTGGAGCCGTGTGAGGGTTCTTCGGTATGTCCTTCTTGTACGGGAGCCGTCGGGGGTGTGAGGTCGGTGGTTTGGATGGCGACGGTGGTGTGTACGGGGCCGACACGAGGGAGGGCACGCTGTATACATGAACATGAACGTGAGTGAATAGGAACGGGGCGTGTAGCACAGCATGGGTATGATGAATGTATGATGCGTTGACAACATGTGCGGATGATAGACGCAAGGTAGATGTAAATGAATTACGGAACGTACCTCGAGGAACTCGATGGAATGTTTACCCTCCGCCTCACCGGGGACCAATGCCCTCCCATCCACTACACTCGTCTCTCCACTGTCGTCCTGCACGAGTCTCATGGCCTCCTCCGCCCTTTTTGCCAATTCCTCTCTAGCTTTCTCGCCTTCACCCAGCTCAGCCTCTCCGGGCATAGGGCTCGCCACACCACTCCCTCCGATCTCAATATTAGACCAGCTCAAACTCTCGCTCCCCTGACTCCTCACCATCTCCTCTCTGAGCCTCTCCATCTCCTGTCGTTCTCTCTCTCTCTTCTTCTCCCATCGTTCCCTTTCCTCTCTAGCCTTTTCCCTTTTCTCCCTACTTTCCTGCTTCCATTCCTCTACCTGTTTCTCGTACGCCGCTTTCCAGGCTTCGTATTCCTCTGCTGAAGCGGTGGATGGAGGCGGGTCATTCGCAGGCGGGGGTGGAGGTGTGTTCTCTGGGGAAGGTTTGAAGGAGGATGTGGGAGAGGTTGGAGTGGACGGTGAAGTTGGGTCAGTGGGTGAGAGTGGCAGAGGAATGGACGGGTTAGCCGTTGCAGGCGTTACGGGCGGGGTAGCGTATTGACGCGGAAGTTCAGTCGGAGAGAAGGCATCAGAGAGGGCAGCCTGCGAAGTACCCAAAATATATATAAATTGATGGTCAGCCCGGGTTCCCGCAAATTTGGTATGCTATAATAGAGATTAAATTGTCGGAAGAATAGCGCACCGAAAGCAGGTCCTGCCCATCTCCGTGCAGAGCGCTCGAGTGGTCCGACATTATTACCGATTCTATGTCGAGTAGCTATATACCGGTCTGAGTTATGGAGTGCTAAGTCGGGCTAGTCGATGAGGACAAGTCGTCGAAAAACAGACCCTCAGAGCTCAATTTCCGGCTTGCCAGCGACGTCGGCTTCGGCTCAAATAAGCGCGTGAGCGTCGCGCGATTCTGCTGTAAACAAACGTCAACAAACGCGACGCGTCTGGAAATCGAACCGCCACCATACGTCCACGAACCATCGGACTATCTTCGAACTTCGAGCCTGGAAAGCTTGATTTGTAGCCTTTTCAAAGGCTCATAATTATAAGCCGTCTCTGCAATGCCACGATCAACCTCTCTTCGGCGTGTTCTCACGTAAGTTTTTTTTGCGCTAGAGTTAGCTGCAGAGCAGAACGAATGAGGAAGAAGATAGGTGAGTGCCGAGTGCATTCGTGTCTCTGTATATGAAGTCACTGATGGAGCAACAATATAGTACTACATAACGTCGAAAGATACCCTAACAACATCGTGATACTGCCCGTAATGATTCAGAATTGTTGTATGAATAATGGCGAAGCAAACGACAGAGTCAATTGTAAGGGACAACAGTGCTAGACTCATTAGCGTCAGATTCCTAGCTTGGGATGGATCTATTTCTCTCACTGAAACATCATGGCCAAGGTAACGAGTCGACAGCCTGGTCAGACTGGCTCAGACTCAACTACCAAACAGACGTCATCCCGACGGGATCCCCGGGACGCGAAGCTATCGACTTCTTGAGCGCAACTGACCCGTGACTCAAAATCTGTAGACTGCAACCCCTCTACACCGGTCCGCCTCCATCTAATATTCTCAACGTCGATCGCACTGCTGACTTCTCGCATGTGGACCTTTGGTCAAACCTCCTAATCCTCATGTCGTCCTCTGTTATTTCCGTTCATCGCGCTCCAGCGTGGGTGCGGTGTCCCTGACCGCCGATACCCTCATGACCCGCCTAAGCGCACTTCATGTACCTATTCACAAATATTCTCGGGCATTCAGGGAGAAACACATATATAAATCATTACACAGGATTTCGCAGGCGAACGTTCGTTCCCTTCCTCGCGACGTCAGCCATGGTTCTCTGGCTATCAAGAATCCGTCCTTCCCTCCCGGTACTCGCGACCCTCCTACTTCTTCCCCTCCTACCTGGTCATGCACTCCAAAACATAACCCTCTCTTCCTCTCTCATACCTCTCCAGCCACCTTCCAATGCATCCCAAGTTCTTGACAAAGCGCTCGCCTCGTTCTCGATCGAGATTGCGTACATGGATGCGTTTGCTGGAAACGTCACCGAGGGGAATGGAACGTCGGATGGGGGAGGGCTGCAGGAGAATGTGTTGACGAGGGAGTTGATGCAAAGACTTGTGGAAAGGACGGGTGTAGGGCCGGATATTAGGCCGGGTGGCATTACTGTGTATGTTTCTCCATGGAAGTGGAAGGTGATGAGGCAAGGCTGCGCGCTGATGGATGTGATGGAACTATAGGGATAGTTCCATATACGATGCGAACAGCTCGGCCTTAGTCCTTGATGAGAGTACGGTAAGTGACTGTCTGCAGGATCTCTTATGCTATACCTATATTTACTGCAAGGCCTCAACATAGTCAGGTGGAGTATTCCGCACGACATAGTAAGTTACTCCCATTTGAGTCTCCTCAGTCTGAATCCGCCATACTACCATCCTGGTCATCACAGTTCTAACGTTTCGATTTCAGTGGCCCGGGCTTCTACAAATACCTCTCCGTCTTCCCCAATACAACCAAATTCGTTCTGAGCGTAAATCTCGGGAATGACACCATCTCGATCGCGAGAAACCAATTAGCAGCAGGGATTGAGAATATTGGATGGGACAGGTTGAGAGCACTGGAACGTACGTATGTCTCGCCACATTGCCACACGCCACACGCCACCCATAGCCCCTATCCCGCCTGGTCCTTCTTCTCCATCGTCATCCTTTCTCGTGCTAACCGCTCTGAATCTGATACTCCCCGTGCTTCTAAACAGTGGGTAACGAACCAGACCATTATCCCTCTGGATCGCGTCCATCTGGCTGGAACTCAGCCGACTACACCGCCCAGTTCCTTGGGTGGACCTCGGTGCTCACTCGTAATTTGTCGCTGCCCAAAGGGATCTGGCAGGCTGGAAGCTTTGCGGACGATCCTACGAGCAGCGCGTTGATGACGACGGTGGATATTGTGCAGGAGGGCGTGGCCACTATGGGCGTTATAGAAGTTTTTAGCCAACATATGTGAGTCTTCGAGCTTCCAGATCTGGCCCTCCTTCTCTGTTGTGAGGTTTAAACGACCAGGAGAAGATGTGGACGAGCGGTAAAGCAAGAGGACGGCTCATGGTAAGCTTGTTATGCTGACTGATGATGAGGATTGTAGGTATCAATATTCGACGTGCGATCCTACCCGGAACGCGATCGCTACACTTCCGAACCTTGTTAATCATTCGAGTATTACGGTCCGTCTCTGTCTCTCCATTTCCCACTGCTCTGAAACTCACACCTCCGCCAATGTCTCTGGCACGCTAACAGGCCTATGTCGACCTCTGGAAGCCCCAAATTGCCGCCGCTCGCGATTTAGGGAAAGACTTCGTGGTGGGCGAGTATAGCTCTGTGTCGTGTTCAGGGAAGGAGAACGTCACGAATGCGTTTGGACAGGCGTTATGGATTGCGGATAGTATGTTCATTTCTAGCATAGACACTTTCTGCGATGCTGACTATATATCATTGATCCATTGCAGCGGTACTGTATAGCGCGTCAATAAACATCACGAGGATGTACCTGCATCAGGGTGCGACGCTAGTCTTGCAGAGCAGTACGCAGGAGAATGCGTGAGTTTTTTTTCCCTTCGATTACAGCACTCGTCCTCGTCGTGCATTCTATTTACACAATGTTCTTTCCACATAGTCCCGGATTCTCATGGGTGGGTGCTTTGTCCTTATCCTTCATTCTTCATACGTCAATTAAAGGCCATCACTGACTTGATCGTGTGGCGTGTGGCGTCCGTCGACAGTACGACCTCTGGTACCCTATCGACACAGAACGCTACGGCGCCGCTCGCGCATCCCCTTCCTACGTCTCCTACCTGCTCATAACGGAGGCTATCGGTCCCTCGCCGTTTACATCGCGTATTACACTAGTTGACATACCGACGGCGCCCCAAGTTGCGGTTTACGCTGTTTGGGAAGGGAAGAACTCAAGTATAGCAGCTCGGGACGACGGTTCTAGTGCGGAGACTGGAGAGGAGGCATTGAGCCGGCTCGTGATCCTCAATCTGGGTCACCGCAACGTCTCCTCGACAGATGAAGAGAAGGACGACATAGCCGTCAGCGTCGATCTCTCACCTTTCGTCACTTCAGGTAGCGCAAACGTGACAGTGAAGAGGATGACGGCCACGGGTATGGACTCAACTGACTCTGACACGGCGACATGGGCAGGGCAGGGGTATGCACAGGGAGTGGCGAGTGGAGAGGAGGTGATTGAGGGATTGAACGGGGGGAATACGGTGCGGGTGGGGGGGACTGAGGGAGTTGTGGTCTTTCTTCGTTGACAGAGGAAAAGAAGGTCACAACGAGCATGGACCCATGTTAAGTGCTCAGAACACTTTAAAACATCATGTAAATTCCAATTCATCTTCGTTCGTAGTGTTCTTATCTCTTGAGATAGAAATTGTACAACAGCATCGTATCCTTCGTTCTATCGTGCTCCAAACTAGAGGGTTGCCTCGTTATTGAGCTCGTCCGACTGCGTCCACTCTTTTGCCTTGGGCTCCTCCTTCACGTACATCGCTTCCAGCTCCTTGCACGCCGCTAGATACGCCTTTCCCACATACTCGAAGTCGGATATCTGCTCCGTCCCAGCAACAGCATCAGTACCGCGAAAAAGTAAGGCCGGCATGCACCAGCATCTGTATAACAGCCAAGGAAAAGGGAAACACGAAGAAAGACTAACATCATTCCAAATTTGAGCCGAACACCTCGTCCACCACTTTCCACCATGCTTATAAGTCGCAGCGAAACAATTCCATTCCTGCAATAACTTCTTCTGGAAGTATACATTCGTGTCGCTGTTGAATGGAACATCGTCGCTGAGAGGTATGCCGACGTTGACCATGTTGACGGTGAGCTCGGAATTTTCTGTGGTGTCCATGAGCGAGGTGCCCAAGATCTCGGCGAGGCGTTTACCGCCTTCGAGAGCCAGGTTGTGGCAGTAGGTGCTTATGGCGGATTCTCCGCCGATCCAGGAGCGGAAGGCAAGGGCTATGATTCACGGCGGAAATGGGTTAGTGCGATTGTGAAGGGGAAATGGTCAGGGGACAAATGCGGACCTGCGTTAACGCTGAGATATGGCGCATAGTCTCTAGTGCCAGTCCCTAAAATTCATAACACGACGCCCTTTGTCAGTGATTCACGGTCAGCCTCTTTTTGAAAACCAATAGCCTACATCCGAACTGCTCAATTAAGTTCGCCACATCTATGTCCTCTCCTGTGGCCGATTCGGGTCGTGTGACATAGGCATAGGATGTGGGGTAGGGTGACTTTATAATATGCCGATTACTACAGTGTCATACGTCCCGTGAGCTCACTTGCCTCGCAGATCGGACTGCCTGAGATTACCGTTTAGGGATGTACAACATGGCGCATCCTCGCTTCGCGAAGAGCCATTTATGGCAGTTCTAAAGCAGGCGTGAACGTCAGTAAGATTTCCGTGCTGCAAAAGCAAGACCTGACCATGTCCACTCACCGAGACCCAGAAGTCCGGCTTGGCTTCCCCAAGGTTGATATCGTTCTCTTGCCCGATAGAATGGGCCGCATCAACTACACTCCAAATCCCTTCTTCCTTGCAGATCTGAACCAACTCCTTCCAAGGCATTAACACACCCGGATTCGACACCAATGAATCTATCACCGCGACAATCTTGAGGTCCTGTCCGGCCTTGGCGTTAGACTTCTGATGGGCGCAGAGCTTGCGGACATGAGCGCGGAAGGTATTGATGATTGCCGCATGAGTATTTGGAAATGTGAGCTGGAATTCGGAGATGATGGGGTGCGGTGGGAGGTCATGAATATATTGGATACAGCGTTCGACGCCGTTGTAGGTTGTGGTCACTGTGGCGCGCCACAATATAACAGTCGACATTAGTACCCGACTCAGATGCAGCTTTGAGTTGGATAGGAAAAGACTGACTTCCGATTATTACATCGCCCTCGTTCCATTCAAAGTTCCTCAATACGGTATCTACACCATGGAGCGCACTAGGAACAATGACGATCTCGTCTGGACCAGCGCCGACCATGCTAGCCAAACGACGGCGTACAGAGCCAAGCTGACCGGCCATATCGAGTCGCATAAATTTATCGGGATTCGACTCGATCTTTCGAGACCATTTCTCGCAGGCCTCGGCTACTGGGAGAGGGAGTGATCCGTACGAGCCTGATGTCGGAACGAAGGTTGTTCGGTCAGAGTTATATTCACCGGTGAGCTGAGGTTAGAAAAAGAAGTTACCGTGATTGAGGTTAACGTATCCCTCCTCGAAGCCAAACATCTTCAACATATCATGACCGAATGCGGGTGGAGTGCCCTCCAGGGTCACGAACGAGTCATTGCCATTCACGCTCATGATGTTCAAGCAATGTTTAAGAGTCTAGTCTGTAAAGTCAGATTGAATCAAGAAGGATATTTTCTTTAACTTTATTCTCACCTACGATATCAATGCCCACAACCACTCGAGTGGTTAACGACTGTGATGCGGGATGGTGGTAAGCAGTCTCCGTCAAGTTGTGTGGTTGATCTACTTAAGTACTGCTTTCTGGATGCGATAAGATAACGGAGTCATCATCAGATGTGGTTCCCTAATCGTTATCGGTGCCACAGCGGCATTCCGAATCCAAGCACCAAACTTCCATCTTCGCCACCAACCACCACCGCCGCACTTCAGCTTGGACGCCCTCGCTTGCTCAGGGAACCTATTTCTTTTCCGCGACGGCTCATAAATTCGTTCTTGATAAATGTCGGTTGGAACTGGGACGCACGCGGCATTCTTCTATGGCACTCTCATGCATCCCAAGATACTCCGCAGAGTGATAGGGCACGAGGGCGACCGACTGGAGATCTGTCCAGCGGTTCTCATGGTTAGCCAGCTCGATCTACAACTCATTCTCACTGCGCGTGTCTTCGACCTGTCTTTAACTCCGATCTCACACAGGATCACACCCGTCATCATGTCAAAGTAATCTATCTCACCGCAGAGTCATGACGGACAGTGTGGCTCATGAAGAGACTTCTGGCTCCAGCATGCAGACTATCCAGCCGTTCTCCCTTACGAAAAGAGCAAGGAACTCTTTGAACGCGGATTATCTCGGGAAGAAAAATCTGTCCGAGGCACCTTGGTAGTCGGCTTGACAAACAAGGATATTCATTTCCTTGATGTCTTCGAAGGAAATGTTTGTGTTTTCACTGGTCATCGTCCCTGATTTGAGCACTCACCTACGGCTGTATGATGTCTTACCAGGAATATATCCGGACCAAAGTTCCAGTGCATCGATTAGGCCTTCTTCTTCCTCTTTCGTCCAGCGGCAATCAATCCGCCGAATCATCTGTCGTACCCTCCACCCCACCAGCTCGTGCGGCGCTCATAACGTCTGTCGTTTAGCCTCTTGCGTCGATGTAAGTAATACCGACCGACGAAGGGTTGGAAAGAAAGCGTTACGGAAGGAGGGAAGGAAGGAAGGAAGGAAGGAAGGAAGGAAGGAGTTTGTGTGGCGAGGCAAGTAACTCTCGGGAGATGTCGGGGAACTCGGGTGTGGCTAACGGCACCGTTGAGCGCTGAGCGCTGAGCGCCGTTCAAGTTGATAAGAAGTAAGCAATATTTTCTGGGTCTGTCGAGCATACCCGGAAATTCATACATGCTCGTACGGAAGTTCAAACATTACTCTTCCGACATTTACTATCGTCACATCTCCTGGTCTGTGCTGAGCCTGTTTGGTTGACTCGGCTACGTACGCCTCAACATCCAAATTTCTGTGAATACTAGGACGACGTGAGATCCTGACTTTTGCGGTCACGACGAGAGTCGTCATGTTGTGATACAGATACACTCGGGCGTTTGTGCATGACTGAGCATTACCCAATGACTTTTGCTTGACATGGCTAGCGCTTCGCCTCCGTGGTGCTCGTGAGTACGTTCTCAAATTATACACATATGTAACCCAGCTTTCCTATTCCGAATGCGTCCAATTTTGCCTCATGATAGAGTCTTCTTGAACACCAACTATATATGTTTGGCGTGGCAGCGGCGACATGGGAGCTGAACGCATGCAGATGGCTCAACATGTCCACAGGAAACACCAACCTCACCTGGTTTCATTAAGCGAAGTTCAGCTCGAAAGATATCCACGACTAACGATTGCTCTGGTTTACCTGCGGATGGTGCAAGTGTAATGATGCGCCGGGAAATAATTGAGGTCGAATATCATCCATGTAAGCATCGCAGCTCCACCGCAACAAAGCACAGTAAACTCGCATGAATCATGCTTCAGCGACCCTGATGATATTTCCATTCATACCCCTCCTCCTATCAACCTCGAGGTAATCCTCGTTCTCTACACTTGCCCTCTCTCCGATCCACTTGTACGCATTCTCCTTGACAAACGTCTCGTACGACCAAAGCTTTCTCTCCACATGGGATATAGGCATGCACCAGATGTACGTTTCCGCCTCTACTGGGGCCGCGAGGTCTTCACTGGGGGGAATTTGTATCACTTTCTCCGTATAACAAGGCCATCTGATCATCCTCGGCAAGCTTTTTCACATCATTTTCAGCGTTCTTTCCACTTTGAAGTACTTACTTCGCTTACCTCGTCGTCCGAACTAACGGTCTGATATCCTTACGGACGGAGTAAGTTCGTAGACGGGTATGGCCTCTGGCTCATGTGCTTGTTCACTGGCCATACACTGCGCACACCGCCCAGTGGGTCGTAACATCAAGGACAGCCGGCAGGTCTATTAGCGAGTCGTATTTCACCGGCCGCAGACAGAAAGCGCGAACGCCATTGGTTATCGCATGAGTTACTTTCACCCCAGTAGACATCGACACTGCTGCATTCAATTGAGTACTGACAACACCTGTTCGATCTAATTACCCACAAATATTGCTATGCAGACCCGGCTGCCGGAAAACGAGATTTGCCCCACAAGCTCCAGAACTACTGATCAGTGTTGCTCCAGAGCAACTTGGCTTGCTTGCTTGGCGCTGCATGACGTTTGTATGATCTCCTGGGATAACGCGTTATCCCCTGAATCGAAGTAACGGCGACTGCCTAGGTGACCAGTTTTGAAACGCGCACTGATGACTGACTAATTTATGGGCAGTGTGAGCCATTTTTTTACCTTCTGTCTTATGGCGCGCAAGCGTCCATGATTGCAAGACGACCTTCTTTTCCTGATGGGCCCATAAAGTTAGACGCTCGTCATCAATGCACCCCGTAGGCGCCGCAGTACTTCAAGTTGAGTACAAAAGGATCGGTGTCTTTCCTCCCGAACTGTCTGTCAATTATGTCCCTCACCACTATACCTCTGGCTCTCCTTGACTGCATCAATCTTGGTATTTCTCTCGAAAATAGCGCAGCTCCCTCCTGGAACATCCAAACAATGGACCGCCGTTCAGACGACTGTCGAGATACCGTCTCCGCACACCCTTGCATTACGGTCAGCTTGGTGAGGAACGGCACTCTTGATAGCATTCAGATCCGCACGTCACTGCCTCCGTCGTGTTCTCCAAGTACGATTTCGCTCTCGTCATGCCGGGAGTAGGCCTTCGCTCATCGTTTGCCTTGAGGATACAGATGGTGATAGACAAAATGTTCACGGAACGACAAGTGTGGTGTTGAATAACATCCACGATCCCCGGCGTGAGTATGCAACTTTACGTTTGCCGAGATATTCTACTCATCACACGTTGCGTCCGAGCAGACAATTATGGAAACCTCGACAGCAGCGATAGCGTCATAGAGACTCACCCAGACAGCGCAGGTGAGGATCTTCACCGTCAATCTGGTTGAGCCTTACTTATCTTAGGAATAGTCCCTACCTTTGATGGGATCGCATGCGACCTACCTCATGGTGATCTTCTAGCAAACTCCGAGCCCTTCTACGACATGGCGAATATCTACGTACCCTCTCAAGTAGCACTGGAACCGTCTACCGACGACGATCTGCAAATTTCTACACCATCGTTGTCGCACCCCGTCATCTCCAACGGTGAGTACCACATATATTATATGGTTTGTGTAGCTCTTTATCTAAGCTGTACGCGTTATATTCTATTTTTTTCCCTTCGATTTTCAGAACCTATCATGTCAGATCGTACCCACACATCGCCCTCATTAGATATGACGACATTCGCAATGATTTCCGCTTTCGATGAAGGTTCAGCATCTCCTTGGAGCTTGAACAACGTATCGAACACGCAGTATACTACCCTTGATCAGTGCTATGCTAGTGCTGAGCCAGCTGTTTCCGATGAATGGCTGTCTTTCTCAAGTCCGCAAGCCGGTTCATCCTCGTCATCTATCGCTCCGTCCCCCTCATCATCTGCACCTGGCGATGACTCCACCACTTCCTCATCGCCGAATGTCATTTCTACTAGTCGCCAGCGCCGTCTCCAGTGTTTAGACCCATCGTGTACCCGCAAATTTGCGAACGAATACACCCGAAAGGTAAGCGACAGCTACCATGCTTTTTATATATTATGATGGCCTTCTCAGGAAAATACTGACCTTGACTATTGCTTCAATAGGTGCATATGGGCTCTCATCTACCCAAGCGGCGGTATATTTGCCGCGAAGGTTGTTCCGCGGAGTTTTCTCGTCTTCACGATCGTTTGCGACATGAAGCGGGAAAACACAATCAGCTCACGGAGTGGTTCTGCTTCACGTGTCTGCGCCCTTTCTCCTCGAAAAAGTCGTTGAATAGGCACACTTGTACCGGTACCGTCCTTACCGGGCTAGGTTCGAACGATAACGATCAGAAGGATCGGGAGTTGAATGCGTAGTCGCGTAAGGGATAGTGTAAATACTAATTTAGACGTGGATTCCTTGTGGCACAACGACGCATGTACCACATACTTATGGCGGTAGCTCATCTGTCCCTCCCAGTCAGGTTATGATAGACCATTTAGTAGACATTTCTTGTATATCACTCTCACTTCCCTTCCACACATAATACCATAGTTCTAATATATTATCTAAAGGTCAAAGCGACGCGTTTTGAGAGATGATATCGAGATGTCTTGCACGAGCCTCGAAGACTCGCCGAGGTTTTGTGTCCAGCAGTCGCACGAGATGTGGGCTTGCGCAAGAATTGAACGATATGATGACTTGGCTCTCCAGAACCCATTCAGACGACCCTAGATAGAGTAGAGGAAGACGCTGAGAGTTGCTACAATTTGATGGGGAGTATCAAGGGAGTATGCAAGGGGATAAAATACGGCCCTCTAGTGGATGACTTCCCGTCGCGGAACATGTTCTTTCCGCTCTACTCAACTCAATTCGCTGCCCAATATCAACACCGTTGCGCAGTCCGTCAAAGGGCCACAATTTTCGTTTCCGAGCGCTGCCGAGCACCAATCGGGTTGAATCAACGTCGAATCAGAATACATTTTTCTTTCTTGCGGGAAGTCATCCACTGGTAATAAGCAAAAGTTCTCAGGATCTTTCAAGTTTGGGGTATTTTTGCTTGGTTGACTCGATCGTCGAACGCGCATTAGCAGCGCGAATGGTTGAGACGCAGGAAATTCTGGGAAGACTGGCATGGCGCCGGGAATATGACTTCTGACGAGAAGGGTCTAGATTGATTCGACGAATCATCGAGACAACATTGCAGAAGCGAGAAGCAGGCGTGAATGAGATATAATAAAATATTGATAGTGATCTGAATCAAATAGGGCGTGCTCGAAAAGTCTACACACAGATAAACAATGGAGAGGGAAAGTACAATGATATAGTAGCCTGTCTCTATCGGGGTCCGTCATCCGCCTCTCAACAAACAAATCACAAAATGGAGTCATCAACAAGCTGAGGGCCCAATGCCTCCGTCCTCTGAATAGGCATCATCGCCAGGGTCTTCGTCTCCATAATCTCAAGACCCCTAGCCCCGAAGTAGCGCTCGCTCTCGAAACTCCACTGGTCGTTTGCACGAACCCAGTTCCCCAGTCCGTCGCAGTACACTGCAATCTGAGCGTCGAGCTCCGCGTTGCCCCATTTGGGAAGGTTGTTGAACGCCTCGAAGAATTGCTTCTCCAACTGCTTGTGGAAGTCGCCTACCCATCGCATGGCACCGTTGACGTCGAGGTTGAGCTCGTTCATGACGATGGTGATGATGTTGTGGCTGGCATCACCACGAGCTTGCTCGAGGTTATACGAGACAATGTCCTATTAAGCAAGAACATCGGGTTAGCACGGTGAGTGCAGAGTATCTCAGCATTGTTACTTACGTTGCCAAGACAAAGCATGTCGATGGTGGCAAGGGAAAGTGATTGGATAGTGGGATGGGCGAGAACCTCGTCGGGAAGGTCCATATCGAGCTCGAGGAGGGCAAATGATGGCTTGGCACCAATTGTGTTGCGGCGGACGTCGATATAACTCTGAATGTCGCGGATCCGTGACTCTGACCTGTCTTCAGCCTGCTGAACAACGGAGTCGAGGTACTCGTCGAAAGTCTCGATGAAGTGCTTCTGCGACTGAGCGCTAGCGTTGGTGATGGTCAGAGCCCAGAATCTAAAAATAAAAATGAGTGATGAGCATGGCCGGGATCATGAAGAACAAACGATAATAATACAAGGAAGGAGAAGGACAGGATAACTGGAGCACGGCGAAGAAGAAGAAATAGGGAGACATACTGCCGTGCGACTTCACCGCCCACCCATTCACCCTCGGGACGTGGTTTGTGTGGGTTCCGGAGAGCGTCCATGACGATGTCCTTTTGCTGGCGGACCTCCTCGACGGGAGCGATATCAGAGTACTCGTCGATGACAAAGAAAAGGTTCATGAGATCACAGCCTGAGCGGCATCCATCTGGGGAGAAAAATCTGGGTAAATACTAGTGTCCTACTGTATAATCACCGAGGGTAGAGACAGCGAATCATACGTTTAGTGGCGAGCGGGTAAGCGAGGGATGCAAGAAGGTCTGAGCAAAAGCGCGAACAAAAACGTAGACAGTAAGCAAATAGGCGAAGAATAAGCTGCGGAAATTTATGAAAGACTTACTGAAGTCGCAGCGGTTGAAGGCGTGCTGAGCCTTCGGGCTGAAAGCATTGAAACTTGCGGCCCATGCTTGAGACTCTTCCTTCGCTTCAGCATAGTGAGGGTTGATGGCGCGAGGCCAAGGCCACTCAGCGAGTGTGTCGGGAAGATAGATCTTCTTCTCTTTGGCCGGAGCGCGGCCAGCAGAGTAGGCGGGAGTAGGAACAGGAGTGGCAACAGAGGTAGCGACAGCCATGGTAAGATGAGGACGGTGAAAGCTAGTTCCAGAATACCCTGGACTCACAGTATAAATGTAGTGACTGCTAGACCTTACCCTCGGCGTGCGTGTCGGTGCGGTCGTTGACGCACATTGCCGTTAATGGTATCACAACGGACGCACTCCAAGTCTCCAGATCAACGCGGACCGGCTTGAATTTGGCGTTGATCAGTTTTACACGCTCATGTCTTAGTAATATACTGCGCCATACACTGGACGAACAGGGCAAGGCGATGTCCAGAAATTCATTGTGTTCGGTAGAGGGTCCTCCATGGCGAAAATACGGTGACCTATGGGTATACTTGCAAGCAGATGTCGCGCCGAAAGTCCAAGCGCAATTTGAAGCAGCGTACCTGAGGATTCTTCCAAGGCGTTCGGACCCGTCAAGCTCTTTGGGGGCACAACGTCAACCTGAACGAGATAAACAATCAACTGCACCGAAGCGACATTGTGATAGATTAAGACTAAAAACGATGCACTGACCAACAAGTAGCGGGTCATGCAGACGATGTTTTCGCCGAGTCTCAGCGGCCGCGGTAGTTGATGGATGAGATTACATTCTGTGGAAGACCGGGCAGTGGTCGCTTTGAGCGACATACCGGAAGCGTCGAAGCGATGCCCCTGGCGCTTACTACATGAAGCCCGTTTCTCAGATCAGGACTGGCTGGCTTTTGCGCATGAACGGGCAACTTTGGAGCGTAGATTAACATACTGGTTTGTAGCCAAATCACAGTATAGGCTTTTTTTGCGCGTAATTCTAGCGAATAGTTAGCTCTGGGCCGTCACGACGGTTCAGTTCAAAAGTTGAGTTTCGATCACCCGGCGCTGGGAGTAAGCGAGGAGTCAGTTCTGCCGCTTTTGTATCCGTTCGCATGTCGTTGGGCCGCTATTCATATAATACAAGAGCACCATTTTGGGACCGAAACGAACCAACGTACCGATCCAAAGTGTCGGCCGTATGAGTGCGGTTCAAGCAGTGCCAAGCGACCGTTGTGGTACTCCGACCCAAAACATGTTGACTAAGCAGCCCCATTCGTTGGCGCGCGCCACTTATCTTCGCCACCCAGTCACGAGTAATGCACCTCCTCCCTCCTACATGTCCAGAGCACTATCCCCGACTTAGCTACTCCCGGCGCTCGACGATTGTCTTGGGAGAAACACATTGCGACAGAACTGCAGTACTTATTGGCGTGTGGGCGTACAACAGCTGGGCCACACTGATGAATGATGACTGGCACTATGCATAGCGTGCCAGTGTGCACAAAATGGTCTGAGTATCTGTGTTCAGATCGGAAGTGCTCGGGCTGATTGCCTGGCAGAAGAATAATAAGAGGTCACAATCTAGATTCACGTTCGTATCAGCGCACAAAGGATACACACGGTCAATATACATAAACTCACTTGCAAGCCGTATACCTAGAGAGTCGGTTACTCACGAAGAAGCTACTATGAAGCAGGTCAAATACTACACTCCACTAGTGGCGATAGGACCTCGAGTTCATGATGCAGAACCTGCACCAAAGAAGCAGCCGCTTGAATGAGGAAGCAACGAATGACAATGCACTCGTAGCAGCACGCACTGTGAACCGTCGCTGAAAGCGTAGAGTATATTTGGTACGCATCTGATGCATCTGTATTTGATGGAGTGAGAATCAAAGACCTTGGGCCAAATGCGCAAACCAGAAGTACAAGGCTTTCCATTGGATTCAGAGCGGGACGCGAGGGCCTGATTTATCTGTGAAAATGCCTTGATGCGCGGTTGATTGAATATATGACATACGTTACTGTTTCTTCAAGGCCTCGAAAGGGAAAGAATGCCCTCCTTATTTCACCTGACCAGGGCACGTAAGAGCACACACCCGGCTGCTTCAACTCGTCTTGTAACACGCAATGAGAAGCAATACAAACTCGGCAAAGGACAGTCAAGATAGAGCTTGACAGGAATGGTAGTTGTCATGATATTAACAGTAGACAGACGAAGGTATATCTGGCCGGTCTGAGTTCATAGGGTCGCCGGAGATAGACAGGAACAGTGTAGCTTGAGCTCGAGGAGGGCAGGGGCACTATTCGTTTGTGACACGAACACGCGAGGACTGCTGCCATCAGCCTGGTTCAGAGTTCTCCCTAGAAAGTGAGCATCAAAAAAATGCTTCTACACCGGAAGGCCTTTATCGACCTTACAGTTTAGAATATTTTTGTGACAGCTCAAGTAGTAAGCGCTCTATCACCGTTCCTAGTCACTGCTACAGCGCAGAGAAGCTCTTTCCGCGGAGTGCTCGTAAATACCTCTGAACGAGGCCGTTGATCAGAGTAGCCACGAGCCCACAGCCCTCAAGAGAAACAGCGCTCGGAAGATTACACGATAGATGGTGAGTTCAAGTTGGAAATCGAAGGGAAGCAAAAGCTAGTAAGCGGCGGCTGGACACGTCTGCGGGTGATGGTGGGGGGAGATGAGCAGCTGGGACGGCCGCGGTAGTGCAGTACTTAGACAACTCGCAAGCGCTGGATCCAAACCAGTACAGAAATTGGCCAATCGCAGGTCCACTCGCAGTGATCGTTGTTGAGCGGGTAGCGCCGAAAGTCCCAATGGCGGTACTCTTTCGGACTGGGACCAGAGCCGATGTACCGGGTCGCGCGGCCCAAGCGCAGCCCTCAAGCAGCCCCGCGATTGCCGGTTCGTCTCAGACTTGTCTCCTTCCTTCAAAAGACTTTTCGCTGTCTTCTTTGACCTTGTTTGCGTACTGATCTGAGACGATGCAATGCTGTTCATACAATAAAGTGGTATCCACACGCGTCATACGCATCAACGAGGGCAGCTGCCATCCACTTTCCTCCGTACCCTCTATTCATGTGTGCGATTGAGTTCTCCAACATGATGATGGCACAGGCGAACCTCGACGGGATATAAGTCCTGGTACGATGTCCCAACTTCATCCTCATCACCAGCATCTCATTCACTACTTCGCTTTACTACCGTACACAAAACCAACCAGCCTATCCACCCCATTACTTCCATTATGCCCGCTCAGCTTCCTACTCGCAAGATCGGTACGACAGACGTCTCCTCCATTGGTTTTGGTGCCATGGGCATTGGAGGCTTCTCCTACAGCTCTACTGATGCCGAGAAGGATAACATGAAGGTTTCTATCTTCGACTCCCCTCTTCCGTCTCGTTGCTCATATGCACGTCTCTAGTTTTTGGACGAGGTCTATGAGCGGGGTTGCCGCATGTGGGATACAGCCGATTGCTACGGCGATTCTGAGAAGATAATTGGGCAATGGTTTGTGGTCTATTTCTAGTATTTTCTGGTTCGCCACTCATCTTGATACCCTTTCGTTTGCTTTCAAATCCAGGTTCAAACGTACCGGAAAGCGTAACGAGATATTCATCTGTACCAAGGTCGGATACGTCTTCGGTGACCGGGTGGTCAACGGCGAGCCAGAGTACCTCAAGTCCGCCGTCGAGAAGTCCCTCGGCCGTCTCGGTGTCGACCAAATCGACCTCTTGTACCTCCACAGGGCTGATCTCCAGACGCCCATCGAGGTAAACAACCCTCGCCTTTTCTTTCTTGATCTATCCACTTACACCCATATTTTCACCTATAGAAATCGATCGAGGCATTGGCAGAATTTGTTAAGTACGTCTTCCCGTACTCATCTTCTTACTTCGACCTCGTCAGGCTGACGTTTATTTTTTATTTTCCCTAGGGCTGGCAAGGTCAAGTACTTGGGTGTCTCTGAGGCTTCCGCCGCTGCCCTCCGCCGTGCCCATTCTGTCCATCCCATCTCCGCCTACCAAGTCGAATACTCTCCATTCGCCCTCGATGTCGAGGATCCCAAGATCGGCATCATGCAGACGTGCAAGGAGTTGAACATCACCCTTGTCGCCTACTCCCCTCTCGCCCGTGGTGTCCTCACCGGTCAATACGTAGGTCTTCAGCTCTCTGCCTGTCCATTCTAGAACGATGATTTCGAACTCTCATTCTATAATTTGTTCCTTAAACTCATACTTGTTCGTGTTTGCGTACAGAAATCACCGAAAGACTTCCCCGAGGGTGACACCCGCCCATTCATGCCCCGCTTTTCTGAGGAGAACTTCCCCAACATCCTTCAGCTCGTCGAGGACATCGACAACGTTGGTAAAAAGCACAATGCCACCGCCGCCCAAGTCACTCTCGCTTGGCTCATGGCCCAGGGAGAGAACGTCATTCCTATCCCTGGTACCCGCAACGTCAAGGTAAGAATCCTTTTGAGTTCTTTCTCTCTTTCTGTTATGCTCATGACACTCGGATTTTCCCTCGTCTCTAGCGTCTCGACGAGAACCTTGGTGCTGCTACGGTGAAGCTCACTCCGGAGGAGGTCGCCACCCTTAGGAAAGCAGCAGAGAAGGCAGATCTTCCGGGTGTTCCTCGCTACCCTCCCGGCTTCAACGACCACACCTTCATCGATAGCCCTTCGTTGTAGATTCTCCGACGTGATTTGACCTTAACGTATACTTAGACTGCATGTTTCAGACTGTGATGAATTCGTACGACCCATCATGTAATGGATAAAGTTTGCTGCTATCTGGCATGTAATCTGGCGCTTTTTTTCTCGAAATATCGTTCCTGAGCTTGACGCCCGAATTATTTTGAGTTACATGCACTGCTCCGAAGAAAAAGTTACATCGGATCTCTAAGTGGCGTCACAGGTGAAATCTTGAAAATACTAGACCTTTCGCGCCACTGCTTCTCGTCGACGCTCTAGAACTGTTTGCGCGGGCTCCGAGGCTTTCAGCATAAGTACAAGTCCAAAGCCGTTTCAGTCGCCCAGCTCCGTGTACACCGAGCTTCGACACTGGAGAGCTATTATTCACTGTGAGGAGAAAGTTTCGGCGAACTCTCTTTTCTTGCATCTCCCAACACTATTAATTGGGCGCTTTGACTCGGGAACAATCTTATTGAGTCTTAGGTAGGTTTTCGACTCGACTGGGGTAGCCCAGAAGATCGAGGGCAACTAAGTATTAGCCAATCGGGCCATCGGGCTTGAACCTAGAATAATAAACGGGCAGAACATCCCATGGCAACACACCCACCACTATGATTGCTGTGGATGACTCTCGGTAAGGACACCGCGCCCCTTTCCTCGTGTGGAATCGTAGTGTATACTAAGTCCAGGTCAGTCAGGGCGTCGGAGTCGACGTCATGTCGAGCACGGTGTTCTCAGGTCGTAGCAAGTTCAACAGACTGTCTGTGATCCGTATTTCTTTTGTTGACTCCGACAACGAACACTGTGCACGTGAAAAGGGTTGGATATCACCTCAAGGGAGGTTGAAATCCACTTTTCACTCGTCAAACGAGTCGTTCAGGGTGAAGCCCGCGATGGAGTGAATGCGGGTGAGGCGGAAATTATGCAGAAGTGCCCGTTCTGAAGGCGGTTTTAGCCTGCCCTAAAGAGTAACTCACCGGATGGCATCATCGCTTGCATGCCAGCAGAGCCGGGCGCTGTTCGCCGCTCCTTCCAGTCGAGCCACGTCGTCGAAGGACGTTCTGCAACGCTAGCGCATGGATATCTCGCCGTCATCGACGTCCTCGGTGTGCTCCTTGTATCTTCAATGCGATCTATTCAACTGATCAACCTGTTCCAGCTGTGTGTGCAGACCTCTCTTTTTGGGCTCTTGCTCGTCATCATTGTCCAACCTCGACATCAGCCTTCCCGTTGGTCCCATCACCTCGCTCATTATAGAGCGCTCACACTGCTTGTCTAACATTCGCGACATAATGTGTTATAGGTTTCGCTCTACTCGAGAAGGCCTATCTTGAAGGGGATCAGGATGTCCAAGTTGCGTTGTCTTACCCCGGTAAGTCTTCATTTTTTGCATTTATGTTTCGTCCTTCTATCATGCTAGCTAGAGCGTAGGGCCAACTGGTTGCTGGTTGGTATGTAGCCAGGCGTAGGATCTTTCTGTTTCTGCATTGGGTGCTCGCTACACGGGCTGTTGAAGGCGTGAAGGGCAGTCCGCCGGTTCATAACTTTCTCTTATAATTGTTCAGGTACTGTGTTCGAATCAGTAGGATGCGCTGCGAATCCGCGACCAACGGTGAGTATACGGTACTGTACCGTGAATTTTTGTGAGCGTGTCTCACGTAAGTTACTCGTTTCTTGTTCCTTCATAGTACTCGGTGTTCGGGGTAGGTATAGACTGTATGTATATAGTTGCAGTTGCAGTACACCAATAATAAAAAAGTCAATTTATGGGCAATGTATTTTGGATTGCAGCTATCGAACACCGCAGAACACGATGAGTGATATTTCTCTGGTGAAAAGGTTGAATTCCCATTCCGGTCGATGTGAGTGAATTCGGCAATATAAGGGGTGATCTTCAATCCCCCTCCTTTATGCCGTGAGATGGCTGAAAGTCACCGCACACAAGTGAACGTTATACCGGCATGTGAGCGAATAAAATTACATTTACTGGTGTTTCTCAGGGTGATTTTCAATCTGAAGGGCGTGCACAGTGGAAGATCGTTCGAGCTCATCAACAACTCAGACATTTTACTCAAGCGGTTTCCTCGGAAAGAAGACCCAAGTCTTCAGTAGCAGATCCTGTGAGATGTTCCATGTACAGTCTGGTGCGACCCGAAGTTCTCTTCATAGTTGGAATCGTCGGCTCGGATGGACGCGAACTACCGCGAACGCAGTTCAGACAGCTCAGACAGATAAGATCGAACACAAATCGGATAGCAATACGAGCGCATTTGAACGTAGAACCCGTAGCATTACAGAGGTAAATATATGTGACTATGGAAGGTGAAACGGGAACGTCCATGAAGATGATGATGCCGAATAAATAAATAAAGAAATGATTGCATTTGACAATAAGATGCCCAGGGGAGGAAGGTGGTGCAAGTGGAGACATCAAAAAACCGAGGGATAAAATATATATGCAAACGAACGTGTACCCTGAGTGCGGGAAAGAGGGATGTGAGCTCCTTATGCGCTCAAGTCCTCGATGATCATGTCCGAAGCCTGAAGGATAGAGAGAGAAGAAACCCGTCAGTTTAATATCGGAAAAAAACATGAGCCGCAAACGGAGACTGACCTTCTCAGCGATCACGTAAACGGTCTGCTGGAGAGCGGAAGAAGTCGTGATGGGGAACACACCGGCGTCAACAACACGAACGTTGTCGAGACCGTAGACCTTCAGGCGAGGGCTAACAACACCACCAACATCCTGCGAGGCCATGACCGTCGTGCCAGCTGGGTGGTTCGTGGTCTAGAGAGTACGAGTCACAGGAAATGAGCGATACGTTGGCCAGATCAGACAGTAAAACGGGCGCGTACCGAGAGACGGGCCTCGAGGAAGTCGTTGAAGTCTTCTGCAGCCTGCACGCTTGCGTCGGGAGAGTTGGCACCATTGAGCAAGTCGACCAGTGGCGAGGCAGCGGCCATTTGGCGCGTGAAGACGAGACCACTGAGAAGAGCGTTACGGTCTATAAAACAACATCAATCGCATCAATGAAACGCTCATGCGGGACGGTGATCGTTCGAGGACACGCACCCCACTCGAACTCCAGGAAGTTGGGGTCGATAACAGCAGAGGCAGAAGGAACGGTAGAGTTGATGTGCTAGAGCGATGAAAGTCGACGTCAGTGGCGGGTTGATAAATTTGAGCCGGAGACTATGGTGTGTACTTACAACGGAACCACGGCTGAACGCATGCTAAATGATCGAATAGCGGAGCAAAAATCGAATGATGAGCAACAAAACACAGCCAGCGATGTAAGTAGACGGCTCACGTAGAGAGACATGCCGAGGGTGTAGTAGCTAGAACCCGACTCCCTGGTGCTCACAATACCACCAGATGGAATAGCACGAATAGCAAGCCATCCAATATTCCCAGCATCGGCCCACGTCTTCAGGAGATCGTACTGGGCGCTCTGAAGGGGCGTCAGAGTCTTGTTAGCCAGTTCACTGTCGAGCTCGCTGCGGAAGGCGGTGAAGTTGGACGACGCGACGATCTGTTTGAGGGGGAAGCTTCCGTCGGCCTCAACGGTCCAACTCAGAGCACCCGTGCCGTTCGTGTTGCTATAGCGCGTAAAAGAAAACGAGGATTGTGAGCAATCTCCGCGAGCGCTGGGTGGTACAGTCGCTGAAGGAGGGAAACACCTACAATAGTTCAGTTTGCTCAGCCAAGTACGTAGAGTTCCAGTTCAGCTGGTCTGCAACGAAGACAGGCTGTCAGAGCACTTCGCGCGAAACAACAAACAGAAAGGACTCACCAAGAGTGACGATACCGTCATTGACGAGGTAGTCCGTGTACACCGAAGCGTGATCGAAAAGGTTCTCTCCGATTTGCGGGAAGTCGAGGACGACGTCGATTCCAAGTCCCTCGAGAATGGTCGAGTTGCCAACGCCGGAGAGCTCGAGGATCTGTGGACTCTTGACGCTACCTAGAGACGAATTGAGAGGTCAATCCTGGCTCGCTTAACACACAGGCAAAAATTAAGACGCACCAGCAGAGAGTACAACCTCCTTCGACACGTTTACAACATAAGTCACACCGTCACTGCCAACGTACTCGACACCCGTGGCTTTGATCGCTGAGCTGTTGAGCGTCGAGTTGTCCCAAATGATCCTGCTGGCGATAGTGTCCTGGAGAACGACCAAGTTGCTTCTGGCGCGGACCGTCTCGTTGTAGTAGGCGACGGCGTAGCTTCGCTTCCCCGTGGTCGGGTCAGCGCAACGAGCATCCGACTCGATGGGCAAGAAAGTTGAGTTGCCGCCGTCAGTGTTAGGGTTCAGAAGGAATCCAAGGGTGGCAGTTGATTCGGCGGTGTCGATGTCCAGTGGAGTAAAGAAGGTGTTGTAGGAAATGTCCAGAGGGCCGCTTTCGCCCTCGACGGAGGGAAGAGACGTAGAGTATGTATCGTCGGCGACGTAGGTGGTCGTTGGGGCGTTCCAGGTCTCCATGCGCTCGAAGTAGGGGAGCATGTTTTCCCAGGTCCAGTCGTCACCATTGCCAAACGTGTTACCCCACGCATCGTACTCGGCCACGGACGCACGTTGCCAGATCAGACCGTTGATGGCGGAGGAACCACCCAGAACCTTGCCACTGTAAAGCAATGCAGTTGAGAATCAGATCAACAAAAATGATGAAGTAGACGAAAAGAACAAACCGAGGGTAGGAAATCGAGCGGTCGTTAAGCCGTGACTGAGGTACACTTGCGAGCGGCCAAACGTAGTCATCATTGCTCAGAAGATCGGTGGTGAGGAAGCCAGTAGGGATGTCAATCGTGTCGTCGCCAGATTCGTTATAATGGCCGGCGTCGATGAGACCAACATTGAGAGAGGTAGCACTGAGCCTGTTGGCGAGAACGAGACCGGCCGTACCTCCACCAACGATGACTACGTCGAACTCAGTGGCGGCGAAGGATGCTGGGGTGACGGTGCTCTGGGACAAGACGCCGGAATATACAGTGGCGGAAAAAACAGAAAAAAGAAGGCCACGCATTTTGTCGAGTCCAAGGCGAGCAGTGGGAGGGAAATGGCTTGGATTCTGCTGAGGACGTGATCAGGCACTCTTTAAACCAGCGTCGATAATATAAATGAGCTTACCACGAGATGCGGGAATCACGACTGTGCAGATTTCGGGAATATAGCATAGCATCGTGAAATGTCAGCGACCGTTACCACGACCCACTGAAATCACGGCTCCAGAGTTCGACCTCTGAATGCGCCTCATACGAAATGATTGTTGTGAACAGCTTTTTGATGCGCCTTCGGTAACCGACAAGGAGAGCCAGCGGACGCATACCACGAATTGTCGAGATCAGCCTAGAAACGATGGCTAGTGCCTGGCTATGACGCGATGGCGATCACCAATTAGGAGTAAAAATAGAGAACGTTTCTGTACGACAGACAAGCAAAATGCTTGACATGGAGTTCGCAGCCTCATGCTGTTCACACTCGTACGGTCCCGTAGAAGACGCGTGTGTCAATAGGGAATGATAGGGACAGGAATGCCTCCAAACAAAGTCAAAACGCAGCAAGGAGAGCCTTGAAACGTCTTTTCTCGACCGAGGAATGGAGAGTTAGATACACTCAGTTACAATGGCAGGCGCGGATGGAGGACTTGCAGTAAAAGTTGATGGCAGTGAAGAAGATTGATGGGATCATGGGAACTCGACACGGTCGTGTCGGTGGCCCGACTCGGGTTCGCACGGCTTAGTCATCACGGACTTTGAGGCTGAAGGAACGTGAAACCCAGGACGTCTGAGCGGAAGGAGACCCAAAATCTTTGGTTGGATACGGTCTGCTAGGCGAAGCTGTGTTTTCGATTCTTGGACATGTTTTGTTTTGCTTAGCCTTGATGAACATGGAACCATCACGTCGGCCACACATATATCACCGGACGGCGCGTCTAGATGCCACATGAGCATGCCAGTGGTTATCGCGTCTGTGGACACGAAACGCTGTCATTCAAAAATATTACTAGGTACGAGCCACCATAAATAACAGGACGAAACATGACATGATAGCTTGTGAGGTACAGCAATCAGAGAGCGTAAGTTCGTCCGACAGACTTCATAGGTCGACTAAGTCAGAACCGTCGGTGAGATAAGTTAACGAGGACATGTATGGAGCGTCAACAGGAGTTCGTCAGAGATCGTCCACTAGTATGTAGTGCTCCATGGGAACAATAATAGATCGAAGAAATATACAAGTAATTATTATGCCGGAAGGTGAGAATGTGGGGCGCGAGCAAGCTTGCTAACGGTATGATGTTGAGCACTGAATTGCCACGTCTAGAGCGACAGGCGTGAGATACTGGTATCGAAGAAGCCATCGAGGACACCAATGACATACCATGAGTAAAGGCCGTCGATATCATGTCCTTCAGATATCGTGTCTTGCTCTCGGACTTGCCATTCTGATCCTCTCGCCATACTATAAACGTACAACAGAGTAGTCAGTACCACGCAAAAATATCAGAGCAGATAGAGCGGACGAAGATAGAAGGAAGCGTACCCTGTGAAGCACGAAGGGGATCGGAATGAAGAGGATTGCCAAAAATGCGAGAAGAGTGCTCGCCCAACCGACGCCGAGCTTGTGGTACATCTGTGTCGCGAACAGTGGGAACGCTGCTCCGAAAGTCGAGCGCATGAAGTCGTTGCCCGCAAGGACAGAGGCGGCATAAGCAGGGTATGCGTCGCCCAAGTAATTCAATACCGCCATCTGGTGTGATCGAGATAAAATCAACGAACGTTCACATGAGGTTGAGTAAAGAAGATGAGTGATGCGCGTCACGGCGTAACAGGGGAGTTGAGGTACTTACGAAGAGCAGCATGGCACCACCAATGAATATCGAGCTCCCGATAATGGGTACAATCCACGGAATGCTCGCCCTACCAGTCCATCCAAAGAGGAACAATGATATGGGGACTAAAAATGCCCCCACAAATGCCGGTGGCAGCCTATGCTCCGGTTTGAGCTCTCCTTTCTCATTGAACTTCGGCTCCTGCACGTAGTAGATGTACGCGCAGTAAGGGGGTACGGCGATGATGACTCCGACGAGGATGCCGACGAAGCTCAAGCCCTCGATAGGTAGCGAGAATCCGTAGATCTCGCCGAAGACGACGGCAAAGGATTCGAACCAGGCGTAAATCAGGCCATAAATAAGACAGGTGTAGATGTTGAGGAAGAAGACGATCGGCTCTTGGAAGTTCAGTGCGAATCCGCGGGCGGTGGAGATGGCGATGTCGTGCAAGAGGTGATTGTTCTGCTCGTTGATGAGCTCGGACTCACAGCGAAGATTGGGGCGCCCGGTGAGCTTGCGGAGGCGGTGTGTGCGGCGGTAGAGGATGTTGGCGTGACTTGTTTCGGGGAGGAAGAAGAAGATGACGATGAGAGTGAATCCGGAGAGCCACGAAAGCTCCCAGATCGTCCACTTCCAGCCCTTTGCCTGTGCAGCGAACCCTCCGACAACGGGACCTGATATAACGCACAGTCAGATAAGATTGGAGTGGATCGAAAGGAAAGATTTTCGAAGTTGAACGAAAGGACCTACCAAGAACTGGCCCACAAACAGCTGTGGCACCCCATACCACGATCGGGTAAGCGCGTTTTTGAGCCGAAAACATGTAGGCTATAGACGCGCCACCGTTGGCAAGTACAGGAGAGCCGAAGAAGCCGGACAGGAATCGAAAGACGAGCAACATGCCAAGATTGACAGATAGACCGGTGGGGACTTGAAATACGACGAATATGAGGAGTGTCGGGATGTAGAGCAAGTTGAATCCAACTTGGGGAATTTCGCTCATCGGGCCCCACAACATAGGACCGATACCATAGCCCCTGTTAACATTTACCACGACGTACAAAACGTCAGAACACTCGGAGACAGATAAATCCAAGAATTACACTTACAAAATGAAGAGCGTAAGTCCGAGTGTGGCCGCGACTTGGCTGATACCGAACTGGACCATGACATCTGGTATACCTGGAGAGTAGATCGCACTTCCGATATAGATTGCCACCGTCAACAGACAGAGCAATCCAGTGATGAAGCTCCTCTTTCCTAGTGACCAATTATAAGGGTTCTGCGATCAATTTAATCAACACAGGCTCGGAGACTGAGAATCATTGCGAGCAAGAGGAAGAAAAACGTACGGCGGGGTCATTCTCCGCAAAATCAATAAGAAGAGCATCCTTCTCGTAATTTATCTCTATTTTCTCCTTCTTCCTGTTTTGCTCGAAAGGATCGACTTGAGTCGCCAACGAGTCCCGGGACTCGTTACCGGGAAGGGGAGGTCGAACGATCTCCAACGCCTCCAGCGGAACCTCGTCGACGTGGGTGTGTGACCCTGTAATCTGTGCCGGAGGGATGAACGAAGGCGGGGTCACATCGACTGGGTCTGGGTTGATATTTCCGTAGATCGCTAGGTTGCTGGATTTGACGGAATTGATGTACGTATACCAGACCTGGGGATCTCGTTCTTCGGGATAGAGAAATACACGGTCGCCTGTGAGGAAACGCATGGTTTGGCCGAAGAGCGACTCGCGAAGGGTGTCCATGACCATAGCGAGCTTTGTGGAATGTGGACAACAACCGTCAGTAGGAAGAGACAAGACGGAGGGTGGTTCGCGGGGGGAACGCGCGCAAGAACCCTTCCTTATACTCGAGTACTTAGACAACTGAGAACTCGGGTCGCACGTGGATAAGACGTACAGCGCTCCGCTGGGGAGCTGCTGTGTTGATCGATTTTCTCCACGCTTCGACTCTTGGAATCAAGAAGCGATTGGCCCACATCTCCTCCGGACCAAAGTGCTACTCTGAAGCATAATCTCGTAGGTGCGACATTTGCAGAAGGCAACAATCATCCCACGCCCTATGTCCGCAATGCTCGTTCTGCCTACTCAAATCTGGAAGGCGTAGAACGGTTTCAATATATCAAAGGGTCCAGCGTCCCGAAAGACCTCGCGAAGATCTGGACGCCCGGGTGATATAATGGGCAAGTAGAGCAGACCAAAATGCAGGCCTACCCCAGTATCTGCTTTCAGACTGAGACCGGCTGTGACATGTCGCAGATAGAATCAGTTTTGCATCAAAAACGAGAAGAGTCACTGCTCTGGAGGCGGAACGGCGGTGCCTTTTCTGCGGCCGTTAGGATATTCTACCGAAGTGTCACGGTTGCCGACATCCGGAGGCGCCAAACACTGGTGTCTCCAGCGTCGGGCTGGCTTCCTGGGCCGGAATGCATGTCGATCCATGGCGATACGAATGAAAGGTTTGATAACAGGTGAGAAGACCATCAAACCCCTAGCCCGACTCGTCGAAAAGCAGCACCCCCAGAGCATCACAGCCGCAGTACTCTTTCCCCCCAGGAAGCGAGCCATCAAGACCATCCAACGAGGTTACATCGTGGTGATGGTGCAGCGCATCGAGACGGATGACGAACTTTGTTTCTCGAGTTGAGAGTCTCGATGCTCAGATGTCAGGTTGAGCGACTTGGGCAGAGAGAAACAGCAGTGGGGATGAGCAGCTCGAAAAAATGACGAACAATGTCTGCGCGGCGGCGGAAGTATCCGGATCCGGGTCACCGGTTCCGGAGGCTATTTCGCCACACGGTGGCACTTGGACGTTCTTCGTGTTTCGCATTTGCTCCCGCTCTAAGGAGTCATAATGCAGTCTATTTATCTTTGCAGTAAAGAATGTAACGGACAACAGATAAATATCTATGCGTTATACAAAGATGCCATACAAAGTACTCAGACAACCCGCAGAAACCCTGTTTCCTCGAAATCCGCTCATCATCTTCGAGGTAGGCAAACAGGTCGAAAATTGGAGAGAATGGAGAGAGAGATGCATGAATAAAAAGTGTGTGTGGAATGAATGATGAATACAGGCAGCATCTACTCAGAGGAGACAAACTCCTGCTCCTGCGCCAGGATGGCAGCCGCCTCCGGGAATCTAGGTGTGATCTTGACGTTGAATGGCATAGGGCGCCTGAAAATCCGAGATAAGACAAGCCAGTCAGTCGACACGTCAAAGCCAGAGAAGGGAGAGGACAGAGAACGTACACAACAAGCCCATCCTCGATGAATCCATCCACATCCAAGAACTTTGGCTTCCCATCGGGGCCAGTCTCCCTCTCAAAGTTCATCGCCCAGAGCAGCATCGCCATCTCGATAAACAACGAGTTGTTCGCCACATGCCTCCCCACGCAAATCCGTCTACCGAACCCGAACGTGCAGTGGCCCTCCTCCTTCATGTCGGCGGGACCAGGTCCGATCTGCCCGTTGGCGTCAAGGTGGCGCGCAGGGTTGAAGAGGTGAGCGTCTGCGCCGAAGGTACCTGGGTCGCGGTTGAGGTGCCACACGTTTGCGATGACGATTGAGCCCTTGGGGATGAATTTGCCATCGTACCAGTCATCCTCGGTGCTGCGGTGAGGAAGACCAACGGGATCCTGGACGGGGTATTATGATCAGCTACTGGTGTAGAAGGAATCATGTACAAAGAAACAGCGGAGAAAAACTTACAACTGGGCGCCATCTCAAAGCCTCCTTAACCTACGCAAGATAAACCGACGAACATGTCAGAGTCTGCGTCGATAGTGCAGGAAAGGATGCAGACGTACCATAGCGCGCATGTAAGGCATGCTCTGCAGGTCAGAGAACCTGGGAGGTCTGCTCCGTCCGACGATCTCGTCAATTTCCGCCTGTGCACGCTTCTGGGTCTCCGGGAAAGCGAGCAAAGCCAACATCCACCAAGCCATGACACCCGAAGTAGTCTCGGAACCAGCAGCACTTCAACACAGGAAACTTGATCAGCAAAAGCACGGTTATAAGAGCGAGTAAAAGTCGACATACTACATCGTTCCAGCGAGCCACGCGTTCTCCCGATCTGAAAGTCCGTGGCGGGCGGCTTCGTTGATGAGGGTGCTGGCCAAGCTAGCGCGATGATCTCCTGATACCTGCGAAGACAATACACGATGAGTATATGAAGAGATTCCATGATGGGAGACACAAATAGTATGAGGTGACATACCAGACGACCCTTAACGTCCTTGAAGAGGCCCTCGAACATAGCTGAGTCCATTGAATACCAGTCCTCCGCGGTCTTCTTCCACTTTGCGAGCCTGTGAGGTAGAAGAAGTTTAGTTCACGTGTAAGAAGTAATACAAAAAGGCAATGACGTATGGACATACCAACTAGGGAAATGGCGCATCCAAGGGAAGAATTCCACAAGATAAGCACCAGGATAAGCGGCTCTTGTCAGACGAGCGACGAAGTCATTAATGTTGGTGACGGCAGGATCTCCGTGCTTCGTGATGGGAGGAACGTTATAGACCATTGACATGATTGCCGAAGCCGAAGCTCGACGAAGGTGAGCATCCCAGTCGTTAGGAAGGGCAAGAGTGGCGCGGGCGAGAAGCAGGGCTTCTACATGTTGAGTGTGGTGATACTTGTGCACGACGCCCTTGTTGAGACCTTCGTGGGCAGCCTTGCGCATCCGTCGCCAACTATAAAGACATCTCGTCAATACAGGCAGTCGTAGGAATGTGAAGAAGAACTTACGTGTCGTTGTAACGAGTGAAAACGACAAGAAGACCACCAGTCATGATATCCGAAGCGACAATATTCTGGGGACGATCGGAGTAGATAGTGGCACGACGATCGAGAAGGTCTGCAGCGACCTTATGGTCGTTCACGACGATGATAGGTTGACCAGCAGCATTGAGATAAAAGAGATCGCCTGGTAGCATGCATGCAAGCGTTAAGTCACCAGTTTGTGCCACAAGAGTTAGTACGAGACTCACCATATTGTTTGGCGAGCTCTTCGAACTTGAACCACTGTTTGTCTCCGAGTTCAGCGATGTTTCCGAGAATCGGTATACCGCGAGGCCCAGGCGGAAGCTTGCGCCATGGACTACGAATGTACTGAACAGTGGCGTAGGCGAGGCCACCAAGAGCGGCGGCTGCAAAGCCTCCCTTGTTTTCCACAATGAAGTCGAGGGCTGGTTGGAGGTGAGTCGAGGCCATAATGGAGACGTACACCAAATGGATTGACCAAAGAGGGGAAGAGGAGGAAGGATTCACGATTGCTCGGGATACCGAACAAGAGCTTTAATAAAACGTGCAAATTAACACGCGGGACCGCTACTTGATATAGCCAATCAGGAAGGCGCTGCCCCGCCGACGCGATTGCCAACATCATCTATGTTAGAAATCGGTGCTACTGTTTGCGAGCGTCCGCTGGGACTCCCGTCAAAGTGGACTGGCGCTCGGCGCCGGGCGGTGTCAACGACCATTTGAAGGTTGCAAGCAAAGTCCAATGTGCCGATGTCAACATTTTACAAAAAGAATGTTTCAAGAGTCCGGAGGTCCATGGGGAGGATAACCCGTGCTTTGCGTGCAACAGTTGCGAGAAGTCAAATGCAATACTAGAAGTTTGTAGTCAACGTTGCGTCAAAGCTGTATTGAAACTCCGACGAAGCTTATGATTGGCGCGAGGTGGCGGACGCACAGTACTTGCTTCGCCATCAATAATGTCCAAACGTTCACCAGCGTACGCTGCAACTTCACGTTACACCCACGCCGTCATGAAAGTTATAACAGCCTCGGACGAGTATCTGCTCTACGAATCTCTCGATAATCCGACGCCTAGGCCTCTCCAACCACTTTCCACATAATCAACAACTCGAACAACATGTCCTCTCACTCTGCAGCTATGTCGCTCTTGACGAAAGGTGCCGCCACTTCGACGTTGTACAAAACATTTGCTATTGCCGGTGTGGGTAACGTTGGAAAATTCATCGCCGAGGAATTCCTCGAGCGGAAGGCTGCTGGCGATGCCACCCAGGTCGTCATTCTCACACGGAAGGTAAGCACTCAGACCTGCTGGCAAAGAAATAATATACTGACTCTTCATCCCCATTGTCAACTTGGACAGGAAGCCGACAATAGCGCGCTCGCGGAGCTCGCCTCCCGTGGCGCAACCATCAAGGAAGTCGACTACGACTCCGTCGACTCCATCGCTGCCGCCCTCTCATCCATCGACGTCGTCATCTGCACATTCGGCTATGCCGCAGTCTTCCAACCACAATTCAACCTCGCTGCTGCCTCTAAGAAGGCTGGTGCGAAGCTCTACGTCCCTTCTCAGTTCGGTCTCCCAGGGCGTGCCGGTATTCCCTCTGATGACGACCTCAAAACCCATCTCAACGGTGTTCCTGTCTCTAACTTCCTCGTCGGCACCATCGCTGATATCTTGGTGAAATATGCGTACGTTGCTTCCATCCTTTCTTTTCTTTTCTACGCGTCTGGGGAAGTTCGTGCAACAAGACCGATGCTCACATTTGTTACGTGCTTTTTTCCCTTTCTTTCCTTAGGGATTACGGAGGCCTCGTCCTTGAAAAAGGAGAAGTAATCATTCCGGGAGACGGGACTGCTCGTATCTCGTTCACCGACCGCCGTGACGTTGCTCGTTACGTTGGCTATGTTCTTACTAAACTCCCACCCTCCAAACTGCGCGGCCGCGACTTCCATATCGAGGGTCAACGAGTGGTACGTCTCCTCACTTGCACCCATCATCGCTTGGGTGACGTTTACTCACCCCTCTTGTATTATATAGGCTCTCAACGATGTCATCAAAGAGTACCAAGAACGGTCCGGAAAGACCTTGAAGGTCACATACATCCCCGTCGAAGAGCTCCAGAGCAACATCGAGAAGAACGCCATGGACATCCTCAGCGTGATCAGGTTGTTGTGGGCATCGGGCAAGGGTGTTGTCGGGGAGGAGAAGGAGGTCGATAATGGTCTCTTCAAGGAGTGGAACCCGAAGAGCGTTGTCGACATCGCTTTGTCATGAGTTTAAGCTCTCGGGTTGGTGAAGTCGATGAGCATGCTCTATAAATTGTACCTATGATTCTTTCTGTATTGTCGTGTTTTGGAATCTGAAGCAGTCACTCCATTGGAATACTCCCACTACACAGGCAGCCGTCCTATCTTCTAGTGCTCACTACTATGATGAGCAAGATCTGCGTACCCTGTGAGCAGTTGGGACGTCAGAAACTTATGTGTAGAGCTCATGCAGAGCACACGCCACACCAGCTCGCCACACGACTGTGTCTGACTTATTTGTACGTGTTTACATTATATATTCCCCTTTTTTCAACACGCTCTCGCTCAGGCTCTCCTCTTGTCTCCAGTAGGCTTCTCGTGTCATACCAACAATACCAGTGCTCGACATTTTACTTACGAAGAGTGTGCCTGGGTTGCAATCTCGCAAAGGAACGCAATACCTGACGCTTATCCAGATATACATCCTCTCCTGAAGAGTATCCCTGACTCCGATCTTGGTCTACATCTTCATGGAGTTCCGAATTCCCCGCCTCTGGTGCTGCCTACCTTCCGCCTCCTTTCTTAATAGCTACATGCGAACGCTCCGACGCATACTTGCCTACTTACGGTCCAGCTTGCACTTTTATCAAGGGCAATCACACCGAGTTTGCCCTCCGTGCTCGTTGACGTTAGACGCCACCCGCTTTCATCTTGATGCCATGCTACTAGACCGGCTCAGACTACGTCGAAATAGCCTTAGACTTCCGGTCAAATCGCCGACCAGCCCGAGGTTGACGTGCCTACTTCTCAGACTTGGTGCCCGTACACCGAAAGGCAGCTATAGGCATAGGGTCGGGCTACAGGGCCAACCGTTCAGAGCTTCTCTCGAGCCTTGGGGGATTATTGCTTCGGTCAGCTAGCTTCTACGGACCCTTCTCTACTTGCTTCTTGTCGCTACTGTCTCACAAGAGTACACAGGTTCACCCGAGACGCTTTCCGGGTGGCCATAGGATCGTATTGTTCGAAATGTTCAAGCTCGACGAGACTGTGCCCCACGAGTAATAATCGGAGACAGTGCATGTGCAGATGCAGGATGATTAGCTTGAAGGAAGTCAAAACTCCGTTCAATGTAGGCTCAGTCACCCATTACTCGAAACAAGAGCAAGGTGGGTTTGGGTTAACCTTCTGTTCGGAGTTGGCACGGGATCAGGTTATCCTTCGGCAGGCTGGCGTAGACCGCGTACCCCGCAGAGAATGCGAATGTCCAAGGAGTGCGTGCTATGTATATATCCTGTTCTGGGCATCGAATTGTTGCAGAAATTCGAGCAGCTTTTAGAAAGGCCTGTTCAATAATGACGAGCGTCTGGTGGATTCCTTCGTGCGCCATCTCATTCTTCCTGGACCTGTATATTATATCGGACGTGGGATACCTTGGACGCTTGCGAAACTAAGATAGATTATAACTATACGTTCATATCGACATGCATACCTGTCTCCCGAGGGAAACGAGTTCACCACAAAGTCTCCGTACATTCATCACCCCCCACTTGCGCGGAGTACGGGAATCCTGTCTTATGGACGTCCTCTCCCGAACCCTCTCAAACCATTCCTTCCTCGTCGACGCATCCTCGTTATAAACAGAGATAGAGTGCACTTGTGGACGATCAAATTCGATGAAGGGTTAGCTCCTTTCCCGTTGCTCGAAGACTCGATTCCATTCCATTAGTTATACACTCACCATGGAGCGAAAATTTGAGAATCTCGCAGACAGCTGTCCTGAACTCACGCCTCTAGTCTTCTCGTGTCTCGCCTATGATCGGAAATGCTGTCGTCTTGTTTTACTCTTCTGCATACGATTACCCATACTCGACTTCATGGCTACTCAGGCTTGCGGACGGGCGGATCAGACTATTGTGGGCTGGAAGGGAGTCCTGAGGCAAATGCGAGGTCGAGACAGAATTTAGAGAGGTCTTTGCTCGTACACATAGCAAACTTGACGAAGGAGCTGCAGGGCCTGATCGTGAAACGCTTCCCCACGGTACAGAGGCTAGAGGAGATGTCGGAGAGTCGACATAGTGCGGAAAACTTCTGGGATGGACGTGCTAGTAGGTTTACATAGGATGGAGGGCTTGGAACTGGAGAGGTTTCAATATACTTGTGGTCGTCATACAAGTCAGTATTTTTAATTACTACGAGTACTAAGAACTCTCGTCTACATTCATCTCCTCCACGATCTCATACCTATTCATACCCCACACGAAGACAACAACAAGCAAGGTGGGATCACACAAACTCTCAGCACTAACATTCAAAATCAAGAAATTCGTCTATCATTCCACATCAACGAATCGTAACATAATCAAGCATGAAAACCGTATACATGTACACAATCGTGGCATCTACGTACAGAACAAGTCACTACCGACAATCATCGTCAGGAATCAAGCCTCAGCTGCAGCAGCCGCAGCCTCATGAATCAACTCGACAGCCTTAGCAGACCGAGGCTTGATGGCGCACTCGAACGGCGCCGGGTGACTAGACGCAGCTCATCCAATCAGAAAATGTTCGAGACAACAAACAAGAAGATAATAGGACATACCTGATGGTGCCATCATTGTAGTCGATGACGGGTTCGATGGGTTTGCCGCTGGCGTCTACGGGCTTGGTGATATCGAAGACGGCCAGGATCTTGCTGATCGCAAGGAACGACAGGAGGTTGGCGACTTTGTTGCCTGAAAGGATACATATAGGTGAGCTGATGAACGGAGTGCAACAGAACATTGAGAGGATATGTGCTCACCTGGGCAGATTCTAGATAATCGCAAACAGAAGAGATGACGAAACAGAGGAGGCGCATTGTCAGCGGCAGAGCCATATTGGAGGGAGGGCAGACAAAGTTGACGTACCGTCGTCCAAAGCCAAAGATCACGTCTGATGGATCGAGCTCGGATTCGTGTGTCGGTGTCGTGAGGAAACGCTCGGGCTTGAATGCGAACGGATCGCTGTAGTACTTCGGGTCATGCAGGATCTCCCTGGACATCGTGAACATGAAAGTCAATGCCTTAAGCAGGGATATTGAGCACGAGCGGTGCTCACCAAACGTTGACCATGATGACCGTGGATTTGGGAACGAGGTATCCGTCGAGAACATCATCTTCGCGAGCGGCGTGAGGGAATCCTGATAGACGAAGTAGTCAGCGTCGAGTGTATATGCTTATCGAGAAGATAAATAAAGACCTAGAGGGGTGACTGGGTACATGCGCAAGACTTCTTTGAAGATGGCCTCGATATAAGGAAGCTTCGCCCGTGTTTGCATGTTCGGCAGACCGCCATCGGGACCAATGGCAGCGTCAATCTCAGCTTGGGCCTTACGCTGGATCTCGGGGTGGAGCATCATCATCAAGAAGAAGGTTTTCAATGCGGCGGGACTCTAAATAGTGGTAAGATTTCAGTCGGAAGAATCACACACTGAACTTGGCATAGGGAAAAATACGTACCGTGTCAGAAGCACCTGTGTGAAAGACGAAGAATCCGTAAGCCCCAGAGCAATACCTCATCAAAACAAACAGGATGTACTTACCACCCCAGATAGCGTTTGCGGTCAACTTGATAGCCTCCTCCCGTTCAGGGTTCAGCTTCTTGCCTCCTTCCTTCTCGATCTGTGAGGTGACGAAGCAAGGCTCGGCCATACCTTCGGACTGCGTTGCGGATTAGTCATAGTTAGAAATATGTCCAAAACAATGGACGTTTGAAGCTCACCATTTTCTTTTGTGTGAAGACGTACGGAACATCGAGCATGTTGTCGATAGCCGCTTGCCATGGTGCCAGCATACGCTTCCATCCACCTCCGGGAAGCCAGGAGGGGATGAATCTCACTATAGACATTTGTCAGAAACAGTGAGCGACCGGATTCAAGGAATGGTAGAGCCTCCACGTACGTGTTGGGAAGCTGTCGACAATGAAGGATCCGAACTTGGTGGCATCAAGGAAGACCTCTACGCCACGCTCCGTACTTTCCATCACCGGGTCCTCGCCGTTGAAATTCGGGTGGTACCCGTAAACGAAAGGTAAAATGACGGCGCCAACCAGTCTATAGGACACAACGATGAGTTTCGTAAAGGTAAAGGACAATGGGTGCAGACGCGCGCACCTGTGCACATGTGTGGCAAAGTCTTTCGGCTCGTCGAGCAGTGTCTTCAAAAGTGTGCTGGTCTCGCGCTCGAAAGCGGGGTGGAATCGCTCGAGAACTGCCCAGCTGCCCATGAAGCCGGCCATCATGCGACGTTGATCACGGAATCGGGGGCCATCCTTATCGAGGGTGATGAATCTGTTGATTCCAAGTTGTGTGGCGACGAAGAGCTGAGGCCTGAATGACAATTGTGGGCGCAATGGTTAGAACTACACACGACAAGAAAGAAAGGGAGGATAGTAGCCAGAAATAAGCCTACCTGTCCGACGTCACTGTACTCCTCTTTTCAAGGTACTCCAGCGCAAGTTGCCGCGAGTTGATAATGAGCATGCCCTGGCCCAATACCGTCATGTACACCATAGAACCTGGTATCGTGAACGCTCAGTGAGATGAACAGAGGCAGAAACTCGGTGTATACGTACCCCACTGCTGACTCCACTGAGCGTACGCGTGCCACCTCTTGATGTTAGCACTTTGCACCATGAGAAATAAACTTCCGATGACAGGCCATCCTTTCGGACCTGGAGGGAGTGGTACGGATCGCTTGGAGACAATGCGCTTCAAGACAGCAGCGCCAAGGCCTACGAGCGCGAGGTTCAAAAGGATGGTGGTGGAGGAAACATTTGACGTATCAAGGAGGGAAGGAATGCCTGTGGCGTTTAGAGATATTGAATCCATGGTGGTTGGGCAAAGATGCGGCGAGGGATCACTGGTAAGGCCATGACTCCAGACTTTTGAGGAAACTTAACGCGGCTATGCGAGGAGTCGGGGAGTCTCGATGACGGAGTGTCTATCCAGAGAGCAACACGGCCGCCTGAATGTTGGATAGGATGCATGGGCTCTCGGCTTGACTGCCCGGGCTTACAGCCTTCTGAAAAACGCTCCAGCTGAGCCTCAAATGCGGCCGTTGTGCGAGAAGCAAGCAAGAAGCGAAGGTGGAAGGCTGCGTGCATCAGATGGGGTATGCGAAACTTCGTGAAGTGACAAGCCATGCGATTCAAAATTTATTTATATGTAACCATTCCTACATAAGGTAACGCACAAACTGCAATTGGCCGAAGATCACATACAATCGGCATAGCCACATCAATTGATGGAATGTTTCTTGTCCGGGTCCGGCCGGTGGGCGCCTTCCTATCGTTGCGGTCGCTCACATTTAGTAGCTCTCCCAAGTTTGCTTCCTTCCTTCCCAACTTGCTGCTGGGAACTCTCAAGCAAAATGAACCGCTGTTGTAAATCAGCTATCCGTATGGAGTCTCAGACCTCAAACACTCAAGATATTTGGTAGCTCTGCAGCGGAGGTTTGCACGCTGGCGTACTTACTCAGTGGATCTCTGTGTTTATCAAGGGGTTTATGATAGACTACTAGGGACACCAACATTCCTACAGAAGTCGCGATAATAGTGATGTCATACACTGCTCATGAAAGCTGAAAGTTTACTTAGTAATTATCGCGTTGTCGCGGATCCTTTCTCCACTGCCCTCTTAGATTCAGATTCCTGATTTTAAATGTGAAGTTACCTCGAAGAGATCATCCATCTTTCTCCTGTCTTTTAGACCCTGGACGCAAACCTCATCCAATTTCAATGGTAAGTAACGTGTATGAGCTACTTTTGCCGTCGTGTAAGTCGAGCATTCCATGGAAAATCTCTTTTGACCTCGACCTTACCTTACCTTACCTTACCTTACCTTTCACAATCAACATTCTCTCTGCCTGTGCCTTATCGAAGTCGTCTTCGTGGGGAGACAAAGACGCTGCGGGGTAGCGCCCATATTTAGCTCCTCTCAATCACCAATAGTGAGATTGCCGCGGCCATTTGTCCGTCCTCTTTGATTTCTGGTCAGGAAGCAGAGCTACCGGGCCTGAAGCTTGCCTCCTGTGTATGCATCCATATCTTGAGCGTGTAGTCGTTTGTCTTCTAATTGCGCCTTTGCTCCCGATACGTTGACAGTGCCATCTCGCCAGGTCTGTACCTCGATGCGAACATCAGGACGCTTTGTTTGACGCCGATAGACACCGGCGTTTAGCCTCACCGTGTGGCGCATTCTTCGTTATTTGTTTCGTGGTTGGTTTTAGGCAATCCGACACCTGGGCGTGATCATGTCGAATAGTCTTTGGAACTCTTCTCGAAAGATTCTCTCAAACGTTGGCTCTGACTGATTTTTACGGGCGGCATTCTCAGATGGGACCACGTCATCTAGATGTGGGAGAGGCAGAGTCTCCTATTCATCTACGCCCGGGCGGCCAAGATATCCATCAGAGGTAACTCAGTTTGACAGGAGATGTAAGTTGACGAGAGAGGTCAGAAGTTAATTGAAAATAGGGTCGGAACACTTGTAGCTCCTTTCTCAGACGCGATGCGCCATAAGTTCGTCGTCGCCACACTGTTATGTTATACGCCCTACCCGTGCTGTTTCTGCAAAAGCTCAGAGAAATAGGCAGGGCTTATTCCTTCTTTCACGATCCATCCTTACTATTTAGGAGGACAGCATTTGCGTACGGAGGTACGAGGCCCTGAAAGGGTGAGGAGAAATCAATTTCAACCGGTACAAGTTCGAAGGCCTGTTAGGCTGTTAAGCCCTTGATGATCACCCTTTCAATGATCGCCGCCAATAACTACGATCGACGCCCATCATCACCTCTCGGACGCCACATCTCCTCTCGGTGCAGTGCTATACCTTCCGCGACGTCGCATGGTTGCTCAGTCTCTACTTTTCATCTCAAGACGTTCTGTGTCATCCACTTCATGCTAGGCCTAGCCTTTTGTTGGTTGGCATAGCGTTATGGATGCTGGAGGAAACAAGTGTACAATTGACCCGAAATATAACCACATTATACGTATGAATATCGATCTATACGCGCCTCAACATCTGAACCGCCCACAACCTCATAGCTCTCCTGCTTGACGTGAAGGATTCGACGTGGCCTCGAAGTGAGCCTGTCCGCCGACAGCCTCACCAGCGACAGTCTTTCCAGCTCTGGACTCCTTGATGAACGCAGCCCCACGCTCCGCTACGATGTACACCGGAGCCATCGTATGTGCAGCAGTCTCGTACGGCTAGAAAATCAACGACGAAGATAGATATTAGGCCACTGTATACATGAGGCTGAAAAGGTGGACTAACGAAGATGGATGCATCGATGACACGCAGGCCGTGCGTTCCTTTCACGGTCAAGTCGGGATTGACTACACCTTCTGTCGGTGAATCGCGACTGGCCATACGTGCCGTACCGACCGCGTGATGAATCGCGGTGGAGATCTTGCGAATGTAGGCATCGAGCTCTTCGTCGATCGTCAAATCCGCGATCCCTGATTATGTAGAAGGTGGTTATTTACGGTGAACGAGTTAACAAGACGCGGTACTAACCTCCATAAGGGCCTAGGACGTAGTCCTTCAGAGATGGCGCCTTGATGAGTTCCTGCGTCATTTTGATAGCTTCGCGCATACAGTAGATGTCGAAATCTGTAGTTAGGATACTGAGGTTGATGGCTGGCTGCGCCCATGGGTCGGAGGAGGTGATCAGGACGGAACCACCTACACAAAGCCGAGCATCTAATATTAGTGGCTAGGACGAGTTATGGTTAAGTATAGATGGACTAACGAGAGGCTGGAGACGCCACGACGTTCGAGATGGTGATGAAGCCCTTCGACGCATCGGGTTCAAGCGCGGAGCCCAAGCTCATCGGCTGAATGAACCAGAAAATTTAATGCTTCTTCAACCATGAAGAGGAGAACAAAGGAAGACTTACTGTGAAGATGATTGCGAAGTGCGGAGCAGTAGGACCCGAGCTTGGATCTGCCGCAGAGTCGTATATAGATGCATCATCCGGCAACCTGAACCACCCCGTCTGGCTCGCGAACCCCATGGTCAACAGGCCAGTCTTATTCTCTTTCCACTCTTCCAATGCCTTAGCTCCAACTTCTGGGTCGCGAATCCACGCATCGAGAATGTCGGGCTCGCTGACTGCATATGGATGGCTGAAAAGAGCGTGATCTTGTAGATTTTGACCAACGTCCGGAAGGTGAACGATGGGCTTCACACCAACAGATTCGAGGTGTTCTGAATCGCCGATGCCGGAAAGTTGGAGAAGGTGGGGGGTCGAGATGGAGCCACAGCTTATTACGACCTCGGACTTGGCGGTGATTTCCTGAACGGGAGCTTTCCACCAGGATGTTAGGAGACGACGCGAGCTACAGAGGGAGTCATGGCACCTACCATCTGGACCCGTAGAGAATTGAACTGTGCGGAACGAAGGAACACCGTCTATCCATTCTGTTGGCGATACCTTCAGAACTTGAGTATTGAGTAGGACGTCGAGATTGTCGCCGCGCGCGATTGCGGGTCGGACGTAAGCAGATGTAACGCTATGCCTAACTCCGTCCTTCATGGTGTTCTGGTTATACGCTGATGTGAGAAGAGCGAATGAGAATGTGCCACTATTGAAGTCTAAGATCGAGATACTCACCAAATCCTAATGGGCGTCCCGTGTTCAAGTCCTCGATGAAAGGAAATCGGTCTGACAACTCGCTGGTTGCCTTGACCGTGAGGTCATCGAGGACGTGATGGTAGTTGGTGATGGACAATGATAGTGGCCCGTCGGTCCCGTGGGCAGATAATGTCAGTTGGCCAGTGATGTCGTGACCGTCTACAGGTGGAGTGATGTGTTCAATCTGAAAATTCAAATAATGTAAGTCCACACAGCACAAAGAGCCATGGTCGATACACGTATGGCTTCAGGTCGAGCCACGCAAAAGTGATTTTAGCCCGAGCTATTTTTTGATAACCACATCGATTCTTCACAAAAGAGCAAGGACTAATATGCTGCGCCACGCTCGATGAAGGTACGAGAAGGTTAATGCTCACCTTGCGCATAAAAGGCTCCAAATTGTCCCAAGCCCAACTGTCCTCGCCAGTCACTCGTGCCCAGCGATTGTAATCGTCCAACGGCCCCCGTACGTAAGTCATAAGATCTACAACCAGATAACTATCAGTACCAAGGTATGACAGTCGATCTTCGCAATGAAGAAAGGACGCACTGATAGTTGTTGATCCACCGAAGACTTTTCCGCGAGGATAGTTTAGTGTTCGATTCTCGAGAGCGGGTTGAGGAGTGGTGGTGAAGTTCCAGTCGAATCTCGAGTGCTGCAGAGAAAGACCATGTAAAGGCACTTGGACTGCTTGTGCGGCCGAGTCGTCTCCCAAATCATTGCCACCAGCTTTCGGAATGCGTAAGTCACCGCTTCTAACAAAGACAATTTGGAGAACAGACCTTCAATGACAAGAACGTTCATCGAGGGATCCTCTGCAAGACGACTCGCTACAACGCCCCCTGCATTTCCTGCTAAAGATGAAAATGTTCTATGTTAGAAAGAGACAGTTTAGGCCCATCCACAAAAATAATACGAACATCCAACTACGATGTAGTCATATGTTTTGCCCTTGGCTAGCTCGGAGGGATCATTCAGAAGAGCTGCCGAAGATGGGGACGAGAATGTAAGAAGGAATAGGAGAAAAGCATGGATGGGTCTCAAGGACGGTGAAAGAGACATGCTTCCGCCGGACGAAGTTACGGGCACCGCTCGAGCGCTGCGCTGCTAGAGTATATTTAACGTACTGAACAGTGCATCACCGCCGACATCGCATCGAAGAGACGCGTACGTGGTCGGCGCTGACATATCTCCATCGCTGCAGGACATTCGAGACAGGCTCATCAATCCGTTTACCGCACACCAACCGTGAAACGGAGCAGTCGCTTCCGGCCGTTCATGCAGATTGGTAGTCTAGATGTTTGCCCAGAGCTTGCCCAGAGCTATTTACCGACACCATTGCCAGCACCAGCGAAGAGTTCAGACGAGCATTGAGCCTCTTTTCGCTGTAAATGTTACAAGCAATGCAGCCCATCGCGCAGGATGAGAGTAGAAGCCAAGAAACCGTGAAGAAGCATAAAATCATGACGTATGCCCGGCTCTCTCCGAAAACCCGCTTCCAGAGCGCCAGCGGTGTCAACGTTCTTTGCAACACCGAGCACTCAAATACGTCTCAACTTGGGCTGTTTCTCTGCTCGTTTACACTTCAGCTTCACACAGCATGGTACTAACAGCTCATAATATCGCGTTGATCCATGGATGCGGAACCCTGTGTGGCTCTTCAGTGTGTACCTACCTCAGCTCATGCCCTGCGACCGCTGACATGGTAGGCGTCTAACTCCCGCGGCCACAACTTTGAAGCTTCATTGATAAACTGAAGCTTGTCCGACCTCGAAATAATCCGACCAACACCTCTCCTGCTATTTTCATCTCGTGTCTTTCTCTGGGTTGTCTAACATCATGCCTGGCAAACTCAATGAAAACTTGGACGTCCTTGTCGTCGGTGGTGGCTTCGGTGAGTCGCTCTTTACCCAAGTCTCGAGAATATTTACTCATGTTTCGGGTTTACTTTTGGTACTCCTATTATAGGTGGCTTGACTTCGGCCATCGAGTGCGCTAGGCAGGGTCTGAACGTTACCATTCTTGAGCGCGCTGACGCTCCGTCCCCTTTGGGTGATGCCATTGGTTTCGCACCGAATACATCACGTATCTTGTTCCGTTGGGGAATCGGAGACTCCTTCTGGGAACATTCCGCCCGCGGTCGCTACTTCAACGTTCACGACGGTCATAGTAAGCTCCACTCAATCTTACCTTTTCCACTATAGGATCGTCCGACAGTAGCTGACCGCTTCGTCTGGGTTACTTAACTTAGCTGGCAAGATCATCTTCCGTGAGGACCACGCTGGTCAGCTGGCGCGCTTTGGATGGACGAGTCTTCCTGGATCTCGTGCATTCTACCAGCGCGGGCTTTGGGATTTGGCCATCAAGTCCGGAGCCAATCTTCGCAACAACTGCAAGGTCGTTTCCTATACCGACGGTGGGCTTGAGAGGCCATACGTTCTCTTGGAATCAGGAGAGAAAATCAGCGCTGACGTATGTTTCATGCTCAATATCTCTCGCCTTTTTTTCTCTGTATTGATCCTAGAATCTTCTACCCAGGTCATCCTTGCCTCTGATGGAATTCATAGCAAAGCAAAGAAGATCATCCTCGGTTTCCAGGAGCAACCCGTGTCGTCCGGATATGTAAGTGCTCTTTCTCGGAAATAATCGACTTATTGTTCATAGGAAACCTCTACATATCAACTCATCCGGGTGTTCTATATTTGATAGGCCATCTACCGTGGTTATGCACCTGCCGACTCTCTTTTGAACGACCCAGAGACTGCCCATCTCGGTGACGGTGCCCCGCACACCTGGATTGGACCAGATCAGCACACCATCATCTGTACATTCGGTGAACCCGGAAAGGTCCATTCGATGAGCTTCGCCACCATCCACGAGGACACCGAAGAAGCTATCGAGGCATGGAACAAGCCTGTCAGTATCGAGGACGCCGTCAAGTCCATCAGCAGCCCAGACTACGACTGGGATCCTGTGTACGTGGATGAACCATTTTCCTAATTTCTCTTTATCCTCGGTCGAACGGCTTGTACTGATGATAGTCTATTCCAGTTTGAAGAAGGTCGTCTCTAAGTTCCCCGATTGTATCGACTGGAAGTTGTCCTGGCGTGACCCTCTTCCCCGTTGGATCTCTGATGATGGTCGTGTAAGTCTGATCAACGTCGTTCAACGTTCAAACTAGTATTAACTATAGATCTTTTTTCAATCATCTCTAGGTCACACTCCTCGGTGATGCTGCGCATCCTTTCCTTCCTTCCTCCGCTCAAGGAGGCTCGCAAGCGTTGGAGGACGGTGTCACACTAGGCATCTGCCTCGCTCTGAGCCCTAAGACCCCTGATGGCTGTCGTCTCGCTCTCAAGGCCTTCCAGAAGATCCGGCACAAGCGTGCTGCCGATGTGCAGATGACCGGCAGGACACAGGTTCGTGCAAATGACATGCCCTACCTTTCCCTCTTCGTTCTCTCTCCCGCGTCTTGAAATTGTGCCGACTGCTCACGATGTCCACGTTGCTCTTGATTCCAACAGATCCACAAGTGGCACATCAACCAGACGGAAGCAGAGAAGAAGGCGAACAAGGAGCTCGGCCTTGCCTCTGCTGCCTACTTCGACCACGATGCCGAGTTCCACGCCCTCAACAGCTACGAGTCTGTCGTTCGTGAGCTCACGGGCGATGAGTCCTTCAAGGTGGACCCGGAGCTCTTTGAGAAGGTTCGCGATGTCATCAAGGGTGACACCATCTACGCGAACGGCGCTCCGGAGGAGAAGAAGGCAATCTGGTACGGACCTCCCTTTGAGGTCCCGGAGAGGGACAGGCCTGTTGCTGCCTGAGCATCGTTTGTGGAGTAGCGAGTAGACGTATGACTAGCAGTATATTTATGCACTTTTCTAGATATTTGAATGTAGTTGAATTATAGACCTGTCTTTTATATCCGTGTTCAATATGCTAGTATCGGGGGAACTCCTTTGAAGTAAGATCCCAACGTCTGTTCTTCTGCTACCGGCCTAGACATAGAGATATCGTTCCCCGCCATCGGTGACGACGTGGAACCACCTCCCTATTACTACCTAAGAAAGATTACAACTTTAAGAGGTCTATACTTATATGACATGTGCAATCGCCGAGGACGAGGATGTTGAGCGGTTACGACCGTGACTCGGAGGAAACGACAACTTGAAGGAAAACGACACAAAAATTATTTTCAGGTTTGAATGTTGCAGAGACTATCAAATGGTTGGAGATCCAGAGGAATCCAGAACGAATCGACCACAAAGACGAGCAGGGATCCTGAACGAGTACTTACCACCGAGTATCGTGGTGCTAAGCAGCTTTCCACGGCTAACTCCGAAGAGGCGCTAATTTCGAAGCGGCCGCAGAAACTGATGCTGTGTCCTTTTCAGCCCACTGTGTAGACGCCATCTTTGCGGTCGCGTCGCATCTTAGGCGTCGTTGTGCAGATTGCACGCTGAGACAGGCTGCTGCAATGTTCCGTAAGACAATGTCTGGACCGCCACGGGCGGTGTTGTGTGCTCCACAAAAGCGTTCTCTTAGCCAGTGCACCTTCACCGTCGTCGTTTGTTCGCTCTTCCCATCGTACGGTGCACTTCTTTGATTCTGTGAGAGAATTACTACATACTGATCTCGTTCAAAGATAATGGCATCGGAAAAGAACTCTCAGAAGAGTCAATCATCTTCGCACACGTCATTCCTCCTTGTCTTTGGTTTGGGGCTTCTCACCGTTCTGGTCAACTACTCTCCGATTTCTATCCAAGAGCTTCGTATCCTTGTCCCACAATATTTCGGATATGGAGAAGAGCTCAGAACGGCAGACGCATGTCATTTGATCTCACAGCAAACCTCTAACGCAACTGAGGTTCATTGGCCCGGTACGTAGAGCACCTCTGTGTGCATTTTTAGTTGTCCGTGTTTCTGACGATTTACGCAGGCTCTGATGCGTACGATGTTGATGTACATCACTGGGCCACCTCTGCCAGTACTCCGTCCGTCTGTTCAGTCACGCCTGCCACTACGGACGACCTTGGTATCATAGTACGCGTCTCCTGTTATTTTCTCGGCTTTTCTCTCGTCCTCATGAGATCGTCTTACAGCTACAAATCGTCGGATCCAGTCGTGTTCCCATTGCCGTGAGTTTCCATATACCTGTTGAAGTGAATTTCAACATTTGACACTTTCTTCCGTGAAGATCACCGGAGGCGGACATTCACTCAACCCCGGATTCTCCTCAACGCCGGGCATCCACATCGCCATGTCGCGCTTTACCCACATCCAACACAACGAAGAGGCTCAAACCATCGATCTTGGTGCTGGACTTCGGTGGGACGACGTCTTCGGCCATCTGAACCCTAAGGGATACACAGTTGCAGGTGGGAGGGTTAGCGGTGTGGGTATCGCTGGTTTCATTCTCGGTGGAGGTTCGTTTGCTCCTATTTCTCTCGATTCAACGACTGGTGCTGAGATCACCATCTTTCCGGTGTGACGCTAGGACTTTCATGGATCACAAACGAAAGGGGCTTGACGATCGATACATTGGTCAGCTGTGAGATCGTGCTGCCGAATGGGACTGTTACCGTTGCCTCTGCGGAGTCGAATCCGGATCTCTTCTTCGGACTTAAGGTAAACCTAGTCTCCATTTTGTATCGTCCAGATGCCTAATATACTCTATCCCGTTCATCAGGGAGGGTTCAACAACTTCGTGAGTACTTCTCTGTGAATCATCGATCCTAAAATCGACTCGTAGCTTATATATTTCGGTTGCTGTCCCTAGGGAATAGTGACGCGGTTCACCTTACAAGTTTTCCCTCAAGGAGATATTTGGGTATGTAGTCCGTATTTCCGCACCGTTTTTTCCCCCTTCGTTCCTGCGGAAACGTATGCCGAATGGTTGCTGACTTTTGGGCCGATAATCTCAGGGTGGAACCGTCATCGTCCCAGAGTCGTCTATTGACTACGCAAACGCCGCAATCGCCTCCTTTGCTTCGCAGCCCCGTGATGTTAAGGCGACCGTCAACATTATCTACGAATATGCAGAGGGTGCAGTGCGTATATCTATATTGATACCTATCTCTCGAGTCTTCAGTGTTTGTGCTAACTGTGCTCCGCGTTTCTCTATATATCGTCTATAGTTGAACACAATCGTGATCGTGTTCTATAACGCCCCTGAACCTCCAGCTGGTTTGTTTGATGAGATCCTTGCCATCAAAGGAGGAGCGGTCACGACCGCTTCGATGCCTTTCTTGACGTTATTGGCCGCTGGCCAACCCAGGAATACGCCCAGGAGGTACGCTCACTTCCCGAGACTGTATTGTAAGACGTGACGAGCCGTTCTGACCTTGCTATCGAACAGAATCCAAGACGAAGTGCCAATCCAAACTTGGACTCCTTCAATATTAAAACAGGTCGCAAACGAGACGAGGGTAAGAGGATTTCCTCTCCGCTCGACCTACTCGCTTCCGTCCTTACCTTCATATCGTGTCCGCTTCGACAGTACTGGGGAGAATATCTCGAGAAGCACCACTCCGGTCACTTCTTTGACTACATCGTTGAAATCTTCCGCTCAGACTATTACTCGCACTACCCTCTTTCCTCTTATTCGACCTCGCCCACGACGGCCTCCGCGTGGCCCGCCGACCGCTCCAAAGTCCACTGTCCTCTTAACATCGCGTTTGCATGGTACGACTCCGCCCACGACAAGGCGATCTATGCTGCGTTGGAGGAGACGGTGAGGAAGTTGACGGTGGATGCGATTGCCGAGGGGCAGGACTTGGAAGGAGCTTCCTCGTATCCGAACATCGTCAGGCCTGGGGTGCCTGTCGAGGAAATGTACGGGGGTAAGGAGAGGGTCAAGGAGTTGCAGAGAATCAGGGATGTGTATGATCCGAAGAGAGTCATGGATTTGGCAGGAGGATGGCATTTCTAGAGGGTTCACTTCTAGTTACGACTTGTTAGATGCGCGTACGTCGGCATGACACATTCTCAAGACCGGTTACACTTATTCCTGTACATTCGAGCACTACCTATTGCCTGCATTTTCTCTCATTGTAATACATGCCACGGGTCGTCCACACGCAATGGATAGCTTTTTTACCACTTTGCATTGCAACCCTTCGTCTTCTCGGCGGCGCGTGAGAGATATACTGTACTTTTTCGCGCACAAGTTCACGCCACCGCCCCTCGGCCGTTGCCGAGATGACATAATCCGTTCGCGTCCCGGTTCGCAAGCAGACCGGGACAAGGGACAATGTTCGTGAACATTTGGTGAACATCGACGCTTTTTCAGGAATACGACCTTTCATAACTGCTCAACAGCCATTCATCCTCTGCATTGGGGTGGAAGAGCTCACCCAGTAGTAAAATCTAGCCCAAAGTGTGCCGTGGGGGCCTTCCTGAGGTCAATTTAGGAGCCTAGAATATATTCGCATTTTCGTTAAATTTTCGTCAAATTTTGGTTTGTCCCATTTACAAGTTCAGTGCACGTCAATGGGGTGGGACTGTCCCGCGGCACAAGTTCGTTCGCGGCTCCCACGGGACACGGGACACGAACTTGTGCGCGAAAAACTACAGTATATGAAGTTATAGCTCTTGGCTATTCCGTTTCTCGTTCAGTTTGGCTAAGGCGTGGGCATACCTCCGCCGGCCTTGGACGTCTTGGACTCTGAGCGATCAAGCACTTGGCGTCTCCACTCGACGGCCACATCGAATACTTCCGACAGCTTTCGATTTCAACAAGGACAAACAAACCTTCACTGGTAAATGACGTCAGGATCGACCCGGTCCGTGACGCGGGCACAGAGCTTTCCTCAGACTGAGCCCTGGCCTCATTCTCGACTTAACTTATGTGAGTATTGCTATCCGCTATATCACTAACTACTTTCTCTGCGTGTGCAGTGAGACTTTCTTCACCATGAAATTGTAGCATCTCCACCGGGGAATGAATGAGAGGACGAAGAGCATTGTCAAAGCGCGCTGCGCTATACGAGGCTAGTAGGTTGTCTGTTGAGGCTTCATACACCCTTACTCAAGCTCAAGCTAGGTATAACGACATATCGGTTCTGCTGAATCTTGCGAGAATATCTGCGAGATGGTGCTACGGTTCTACAAAATAACCTGTGCATTTCCTGGAAGCGCGACTGTGCGCAACAACATCCTCGGTCTACTTAGAGTCGACTCACGCGAAGGGAAAACGCAAGTAGCGGTACCGTACCATTTCCCCCGGTTTCTCCTTCGTCAATCAAAGTCGTAGCTAGACCTATTTACGATACACTCAAACCAAGGTAGAAGCTTCAGAGATATTCTATTCAGGCCGGAAGGAATGGCTTTGAGCCTTTGAGGCATACTTGATATTCACTGACGGACGGCGGCCATCTGCCATCGCTCATCTGACAAAAGACCTTGAAGTATGAGGCTCGGTGTTCGTATACACTGTACGACACCGGATAGACAAGTGAGAAGAAGTCGTAATCTAGGCAACGGCTTCGACCAGCAGACGAACTCTGCGCTCGTTTGAAGAACTTGGCAGAGTCGTGGACGGCCACATTCCACGACGTCATTCTACTCTGAGCTTCCGTACAAGTCTAAATAGCCTAACACAGAGATCAACAGCGTACACCAGCCCAGCTAAGCATCTCGCAACACGAGATCGCACACAAACATCGGAATCATAGATAAACATGGTCAAAGCAATGCGATTCATTTCTATTCGTCAACCTCTGCACATACAGCGAAAAACTACTTTCAAGACAAAACAACTACAAGCTCACTCGTCGCCATCGTCGTATATTCATGAAGAAGGGGAGGGGGATATATGTTCATGAACTGCGAAAGGAGGAAAGGAAAGAGATCTACAGAGGAGGGCTGTCGATGAAAGTGTGGTCGTCGTAGCCGGCAGGGTAACGAGGAACGCCTGGCAAGTCGGCCTTCTCCGCTGCTTTCCTGAGAGCGACGACCTCCTCCTCGGTGAGCTTGACGTTGACAGCACCCAAGTTCTCGTCGAGACGCTATAGATGAGCAGAAGAATAAAAGGTCAGCAATAGAAGGGGTGAAATACGAAGAATGAACGAATGCGCACCTTGACGTTACGTGTGCCCGGGATGGGGATGACGTTTTCGCCCTGAGCCAAGAGCCAAGCGAGGGTGACCTGGGCGGGTGTTGCGCTGTGCTTCTTGCCGACGGTGTTGATGTCCTCGACGAGCTGAAGAATGTTGGGGAAGTTCTCCTCGGAGAAACGGGGCATGTATGGGCGAGTGTCGCCCTCGGGGAAGTCCTTTGGCGATTTCTGCATAAAAACAAAGACAAATGTAAGCAAGGCAAGAACCGTGTCGAAGCAGATTCGCAATTGAGAAGGAACGTACGTATTGGCCGGTAAGGACACCACGGGCGAGAGGAGAGTAGGCGACAAGGGCGATGTTCAACTCCTTGCAGGCCTGCATGATGCCGATCTTGGGGTCCTCGACATCGAGGGCGAATGGAGAGTATTCGACTTGGTAGGCGGAGATGGGGTGAACGGAGTGGGCACGGCGGAGGGCAGCGGCGGAAGCCTCAGAGACACCCAAGTACTTGACCTTGCCAGACCTAGGGAAGATTTAAAAACAGATGTCAACATTCTGAAGTCGAAATAAGGAAAGTACGGGAAGACACACTTAACAAATTCCGCCAATGCCTCAATCGATTTCTATAGAGGAAATATTGGAGTGAGTGGATAGACCAAGCAAGACAAGGTGAGGTATCTTTACCTCGATAGGCGTCTGGAGATCAGCCCTGTGGAGGTAGAGGAGGTCGATCTGGTCGACACCGAGACGGCTGAGAGACTTCTCGACGGCAGACTTGAGGTACTCTGGCTCGCCGTTGACCATGCGGTCACCGAAGACGTATCCGACCTTGGTGCTGATAAAGATCTCGTTGCGCTTTCCAGTGCGCTTGAACCTATCGATAACAAAGTCAGGCCTAGAACGAGACAAAACAAAACAAAAACAAAAACAAAAACAAAAACAAAAACCACAAACCATTGGCCGATGATCTGCTCAGATTCACCGTAGCAGTCGGCGGTATCCCACATGGTGCAACCACGCTCGTAGACCTGGTCCAGGAACTGTTGTGGTGCATTTTAGGTACATGATACCAAAAGGGGAGAGCAAAAGGACTAGACTACCTTCATGTTGTCCTTCTCGGCATCCGGAGAAGTGTACGAAAAGCCTCCGATGCCCATAGCACCGAAACCAAGGGCAGAGACATCAGTCGTACCGATCTTGCGAGTGGGGAGCTGAGCAGGCATGGTAGATAGATGAAGATGTTTGTTGTAGTTGAGTTGAGTATTGGAAGAGGGGCTGTTGTTGAGAACGAAGTTAAGATTGGACGGCAGGGTTTATATCTTCCGACAGTGAGAAGGGAAGGTCGAGGGCACGGAGAGAAGTGGATGACCGCGCCCTGCGCTGATGGAATGACGCATGTGAATGAGAACGACCGCCTGAGCAGGACATCATTGAGCCAATGTGGGCGCAGAGAAGGAGACAAGACAAGCATCCATCAGCCATCGACTGATGCTCGGAGGGCCACCCGACCCGTCCGGCCGGCTCCCGCCCAGCACGCCACACACTTCCCGGCATCCAGCGCTTGTCGCGAAGCGCTGCGACCGTCGACACGGCCTCATGTCTTAATTGATCTTGTTCCCGCCTCGTTTCGGCGCCTCTGAGCTGTCTAAGTACTGCGACCCAACGGCCGCTCGGACTGGCTTACCTTTCCCCCATCGTTTCCCGCAGACATGCCGCGCCTCTTCTCCTTTGCGCCGCAAGCAGTCTCCAAGTCTCATTTAAGACCATGCCTTCGCTAGTTCTAGGGCGGTTTCGTTTAGCTGTTTTATTAACATGACGTATCTCTCAGCGATTCTTGGTGCTGTGGTCGTCGCCGCAATCGTTCTCGTCGCCAAGTCGCGTCACTTCCGAAGGTCACTTCCTCCTGGTCCCAAAGGTCTGTTTCTCCCATCCATCTTCGAGCAAAGGGCCACATTCGAATTCATCGATTTTAAGGTCTCCCCATTGTTGGAAATATCAACGACCTTGATGGTAATGAAATCCATGTCCAGGCTCGAAAATGGAGTCAAGAATATGGTGTGTTTTATGTTCAATTTTCTGTGCTATTCGGAGATTAACTGAGACGTCCCGACGCAAAAAAAAAAAAACCAGACTCGGATATCGTCTCTATCACTACGCTCGGCCACACAACTGTCTTCCTCAACTCAGCACAGGCCATTCAGGATCTCTTCGTCTCCCGTGGTGCTATTTACTCTGACCGCCCTGACATGCCCATGTTAATCGACCTGTAAGTCTTCCGCGTAGCATCCAATTGTCTTGGTCTTGTTCCACGCTTACAAACTATGATGCGTTTCTAGTATGGGTTGGGACTGGACGTTCGCCCTCATGCGATACGGCCAGAAATGGAAGGAGCACCGACGCATCTTCCACGAACAGTTCAACAATACCATCTCGGAGCATCGTCAGATCCAAATTCCCGCCGCTTTGGAACTCTTGCAGCTACTTAACAAGTCTCCTGACCGATTCCTGGATCATCTCGAACAGTGAGATCATGTTGCCTTGTTGTCGAATCAACCCGGACTAACCGCATCTGATCGTTTGCGGTTAAAGCTATGTATCTCGAATTATCATGAAGAGAGTGTGAGTTTGCCATTATCTCTCGTCGGTACGACGAATACCGAATAGCATGTTGATACTTGTGCGTTAGGTACGGTTATGACTTTGAGGACGCCATGAAGGATCCATACGTGCTCGTTAACAAGGCCGCATCGGAATCTACTTCTACGGCTACTGTTCCAGGTACCTTCCTTGTCGATACATTCCCCATCCGTAAGTCCTTTGTGTTCGTTCATTCTTTGCTCGCGCCTGACATCATGTGGCTCCAGTCAAGTACGTACCGGAGTGGGTCCCAGGCGCTGGCTTCCAGAAGATCGCCAAGAAGTGGCGCAAACTCCAGGAGGCGGTCGTGCATGGTGCGTATGACATGGTCGTCGAGCAGCAGGTAAGCATATCAGCCGACGATCTACCGCCTTCGGCCCCAGTTCTCACTTTTCTGCGATACATCAGAAACAAGGTGCATCAAATGCGTCATTTGTGGGGACATGTCTGGAAGACCGAGCGCAAAACTTGCCAGAGGCCTTGAGCGAAGATGCTATCAAAAGTATCGCTGCCGTCGTCTACGCCGCAGGTACGTGTCTGGCCTGTGCTCATTTATCGATTCGAATGAAGTCTCATGTGAACATGGTCTTCGTATTTTAGGAAGTGACACCGTAAGCACAATCCCATACCATCCAAATAGGATGAGGTCCAGGTCTTGACGTCTGTCTGCTCCACATAGAACCTTGCCACATTGACGTGCTTCGTCCTCGCCATGGTTCTCCACACCGATGTCCAGAAACGGCTCCAAGCAGAAATCGACTCCGTGACGGACGGAGAGCGTCTCCCCACATTCGAAGACAAGGAAGAACTTCCTTACTTCATGGATGTCTTCCGTGAAGTGATGAGATGGCTTGTCGTGTGTACGTACCTTCTTCATTTGTGTTTACCTACTGGGTTAAAGCTAACAAATGTTTCTCGAACGCAGTCCCTGTTGGTGCGTATATCACCTTCGCCTCATTGCAGACGTCGTTCCTCAACGTATTCCTGGTCATGCCCTTCAGCTATTCCCCACCGTGCTACGACCGAGGACTCGTATAAGGGCTACTACATCCCGAAAGATTCCACAATCATAGGTAACTCATGGTAAGCCCGATATTTCCCCCCATCCATGTTCGCATTCATGCCCTGACGAAGTTTTCACCGACCTTCTCCTTCACAGGGCGGTATTGCATGATCCAGTCACCTATCCGGACCCAGAAACCTTCAACCCAGATCGATTTGTGAAAGACAAGAGCCTTCCCGATCCTATGGATATCGCTGCCTTCGGTTACGGTAGACGGTGAGCGAGAAATTTTCCTTCGTATTCTATGCCATGTTCTCTCGAATATGGTTTGAATCGCCGACACCCCCGGCCTTTCGCGACTGGGCCCTAGTCACTGACCGAGTCCTTTTTTCACACTTCACATCATTATCGTCCCGATATAGGTCGTGCTCCGGAAAGGCCATGGCCATCGATACGGTCTGGATCGCAATGGCCACCATGCTCACCGTGTATGATATGGAGAAGCCCTTGAACAAGGAAGGGAAGCCTGTCGATCCGATAGTGGCGTTTAGGCGTGCTGCAATCAAGTGAGTTTGCTCCCGTTCGTAGTGCAAGCAAGTTGCGATGCTAATCGTGGATTGTGTCTTGTTCCGTGTCCATAGCCATCCTGCACCGTTTGACTGTCGTTTCGTCCCTCGTTCGAAGGCCAGGCTGGCACTTCTCCAGCAGGATTGAGGGATGCGAGATGTCTTATTTACTTCCGATGAAGGTGGAATCTTTTTTGTGCACATCCTATCCCACCGTCTGCATAGAGTGCCTGCGTTTTGTGTTGCTTAGTATGAGTCGTTTTCCTTGGAGCGATATTATTGTTGTACTTAATATATTTGCTGGAGTCGCTTCTCGTACGAGTGGTGGACGGGATATGTGAGGCATTAAAAGGTCTGCTTGCGCTCAAGCTGTCAACTTTGTGGCCAAGCTTTGTGGCGCTCGGCAGTATCCGGAGCACGTTCCCAATTGCGATTTTTGCTTCCGCGACTTTGTTTCCGTCCCTCTTGACTCCATCCCCGTCTGTCTCGGGCAAAATACCCTTCCTGAATGCACACTCACTCGAGAGTCAGCCTGAATGATACGTGCAAATGGTTTTCGTTAGTGTCCACGATAACGTGCACTTCAAGCGCACCCACTAGGTAAGTGATCGACTTGGTACATCAAGGCGCTGCGACATCGCTACAGGTCACGGTCAACTTGACCTTCCGACTCTATGGACTGCTTGATTGGCCTGGACATCGCTCAATGGAGTATGCTTTGATGGTACGTATTTTCATTCAAAGAAACTTACATCTTTTTTTAGCTCGCAGAACAGGCTGTTCATCCTAATTTAACATGTAACAATCCAGATACCATACCGATGCATCATCATGTCAACGTGCATGTTGTGTTTTTGCTTCCGCGTTTGACGGAGCGCCAGTCGAACATGGTCGAACATTCGTTGCATCAACTTTCCAAGCTCACATTTCGTCCACGTCGTCGTCTTGCAGGATACCTCGCGGCCGCTGAGACTCTTCCCACATGAGTCCGGTCAGCGAAAAGATCCCTCTCTCAATAGTAGGGGACCAATGCGATGGCGGTTTCAGGGAGAGAGCACCATGGAGTCGAAGAAGACCAGAAATTATTCCATAGAGCCTTGAGGTTGGGCCTTACGGCTGCGCTCCCATTTCGCCGAACGTTGTGGAGCTTGCTCGGTGCGCTACCCCTATCAGAACCTTCCAGTGCAGACACGCTCATTAGTCTATCTCTATTTGATACCATTTGGGAGACGGCTTGTTTGCGATAGAGGTGCTTCGCACAAGCAGCTTCTCCATTTAGGAGGTTTTTGTAATACCGAGCTTCTTGAGACACATGCATCTGTGTTTTTGAAAGCCGTGCATTACTAAGTACGTCTTTGTTGTCCATTTTTCTCCGACTAAGCACCCTCAGGTACTCGAAGCACTCCCCGAGCACTACTAATGGCAAACATACGACTTCAGGAACAGCTCGAACAGACGAGAAGGAAGCCCTTGAAGCCGACCTCCTATTCCGTAACAGTAGGCGTTGTCGGGAGCGATACATCGAACTCCGTGTCCTACCGGGTATCATGTTCCGTCCAAGCGTATGCTTCGTACGGGACCGTTCGAGCGGTGTAGAACTTGTTTTCAGTGGCGTAGAATCTGCAGAGCAAAAACTGTGTGGCACTCGTAAGATAATCGCCGTACCCGTAAATATTCTATGCACTCTTTTCACCATTATTTTATTTTATCCCAGGCTCACTCGCATGGGTTAGTTCCAGGAATACGTCCAAGCCTCTTCGAATGCTCGACTCGCGAACTGTTTCATCTCATTATGGCCGTTGACACTTTTGTTACTGCCACTGAAGCTCCTGCTTCTTGCTCCTGCTGTCTCTTGCTCTGCTCGACGCGCTGCTGTAGAAGAGAGGGGCATCTATCTTCCCGAGACGCTCGCTGAATGACCTTACCCTCGCGCTTTCGGACCGCAACACGATGAAGTAGAGGTATCTCAAGCATGGACCTCGAGCTTCAACACTTTTAGCCCAAAGGCCCAGCTAATCTTGAGTATGTTCTTTGTTAAAAATACACAGAGAGACCCCGCTCTGACGCTGGATGTCTAGCTGCTCTTTGAACTTAGACCTGCGCGCACTACCCGCTCGTTAGCAAACGTAAGTTTTAGCCTTTCGATTCCCGACCGCATAATGAAGCATTACAACTCAAACCCACTTCTACAACTCCAGATAGATATTGTGTAGGCTGCGACCTCATCAATCCCTTCTTCATTACCGATGAATACTCAGATATCGCCCGTTGAGGCCCGCCACCGGAAGGATATTATCAAGGCGCTCTTCGCCATTTACACGAATCATGCTCCGAGGGTGCATGTATAGGTGGTGAAATCGCACAATAGTACGTACTCCTCGTAATATCTCGCGTCTTTCTCTTTCTTCTCTCCTGCTTCGCCATCTTAGTTTGTACCTCACCCGTTGTATGACCCACTACAGATTCCGGACCAACACCGACGCCAGCGCTAAGTCGCAAAAATACTTCGTACGAGCTTTTGACGAGCGCTTCGATTCCGCCGGGCAACAGGCTGAGGACCGCTCTCAGTCGCATATCCGCGACATCACCAGCCGCATCGAAATTCGCCGTACTACGATTGGCGCCAAGCCTTCTTCGCTCTTCCTGAGCACGACGTGGACGAGGTTCTTGAACATCCTACCATCCACTCACTCTTGGCCACCATCGACATGCCCTGTCTTGGCAACTTCGAATTCTGAATGCTATGCTATGCTCACAGTTGTCCTTCCTAACTAGGACTCATCATCTTGTATAACCTTTTCGAACGAGTCTGTGTCGATGCCATCCCTAAGATCGTCACTATGGTGAACGACGAAGTCAAGCTCGATATCAAGGGTGTCCTGCCATGGGTAGGGTAGGCGACTTCCACATGCAAGTGGAGAGGCAGGTCCTCAAGGCGTCCAATAACCTTCCTAAGATGAACAACGCAGAGCTTGACGCTCAGCTGCGGTGTACTGCAATGGGTAAAGATCTGAATTCGTTCGAACGACCAGTGGAGCGTCGAGAGCGTGCGCAACTTTAGGGCAGAGAACTTGAGATCATGGAGACGAAAGCTTTTGGTGCTGATGTCTATTCAGACGATGGAGGCGTTACGACCTCAGCTTTGACTTTTGATCAAGGAATGTAGTACTTGAGCTATCTTTTTGGAGCAGAAGTACGTACGTATCGCCGTACTTCACAAGTGTCAGAGTTATCGTCTGTTACTTATTGTTGTTTCATCGTCTCCATCCTTGAGACCGGTACACGGTTCATCTATTATTGTAGCTCGGAATCGAAGTGGACTATAGTCATAATCTCGTTGCTCGATGTGTAAGGTATTCCTTCGGACATCGGGCTTTGTATCACCAGGAAGGGGATACAGTACAATACTATGACTGCATAGCCAAAGCCCCACCATTCTCTCGGGGAACGATTATTTCCGGCCACCGAACAAACCTTCAGATCTGGGGAAATGATCCAACGGGTTATTCGGCTTTTCAACTATAACCCTGAGTCGGCATCACCTACCGGTGTAGTGCACCCTTGTGGTCACGGCTGCAAGTGTCAATCCGGTTCATATGCCAAATAGATCCAAATCGTGTATTTTCAAACCAACCAGCATCTGTACCGGAGGACATTTTAAAGCGAACAATGGAGGCTTTCGGTAGCCGCGGGCGTCCAATATCCAATGGCCGGGTAGGGGCGAATGGTTGTATACACTGGTCCGATCAGCGGACTGGAACGAAGGAGTCAACCCGGTTCAGCACCCTCTACCGACCCACTCGAAATTTAGGCTTGATAAAACACCTCCAAGGGGGATTGGAGTACTTGTTATTGGCTCACTAGTTCGTACTATTTGATATCTAACTACTCCGCAACGCTCTTTTCTATTCCGTACATGCTTCTAAATGATGCCGAGACAATGTCTACGGGCAACGTGTGCTATTGATGTGCAGCCCTGTATGAACCAAGGAGCCGCGGTCAATGGCGACTGTCATGAAACCAGACCGTTATCAGTAAGGTACTGACCTGCAGTCTGGATATACGAGTAGTCAAGGATCCTTCGATCCTTCTATTAGCCGCAAAAGAATCACAAGTTCTCGCAAAGCATCAGAAAGCTCTGTCTTCCGACTCCCGACCCTTGATATTACCTGGTAGCTACATATAGTACAATGGAGAAAGGGCGTCTAGCCGATCTATGTCCGTGGGAAGGAGTGTGTACTGCAAATGCAGGGTGTCTAGGAGATGTAAACAAATAACATAATGAAATCTAATACCGTACACGAATAGACTGCCCCTCTATCGTAAAGGCCCCAACAGGCCCCAACACGCAATTGTACCTCCTCATCTACTCCTTCGGTCTTTGCGGCTGTTGTGAGAGTCGATGATTATCGCTAGCAGCCATGCTGCTGAGAACATTGCCCGCGCAAGCATGTCTCTTCAACGACTTCTTGGAGGAGAAAGGGCGTAAACAAGTGAAACAAAACCACTCCGTGAGCTGATTGTGTTTGCCAGCTTCGTGGCGTAAACGATCGTGAAGACGTGAAAACTCGGCGGAACAACCCTCGCGGCAAAGGTACCTCTTCTTGGGTAAGTGTGAGCCCATGTGCACCTATTCGTACGATGAGTAAATTCTCCTCGCCCCTAAGCTAAAGATATATGCCAATGATCACGAACCTTGCGAGTGTATTCGTTGGCAAACCGTCGTGTACAAGACGAGTCTAGGCACGGAAGGCGGCGCTTGCGACCGGTTTGATTGACATTGGGCGATGAAGACGTGCTGGAGTCGTCACTAGGCGCTACAGAGTGGACGGAAGGTGACGGAGACGGAGGGCAGGTTACTGATGATGGTGATCCCAGTTGGGGTATCGGGAATGATAGCCATTCATCGGACGTATGAGAGGACTCTGTGCCAAGTGTGCGCTGGTCGAGGGCGGGATGTGGCGTGGGTGATATGCTGTTCAAGCCCCATGATTGTCCATCAGAAGATGGAATCGTTGCCGTTGATGTCATTGCTAATGAAGGAGACGCGGACGTAGAGTCCGTTAGGGCGGGTTCTGTGGATGAAAAGGATATGTGTCGTCTTTAGTCTCTATACGGTGCGAAGCCAACATAAACTAGATGGACTTACGACTGGGACTGCCTGAATGCGACAGTGATGGCGTAAAAGGTTGCAGAGCCTCGGACGTGAGCGACTGGAAAGCCATCTGAGAAGAGACATCGATGCCTGACATGTCGTAAAAGGACATGAAACCTGGGTCGTGCGGGGTATTGTGGGCGAGCCCGTCAAGATTCTCTAAACCCATGAAAGAGACTGAACACAGTGTCAGCAACGTATCGTCCAGTCAGCACTCAATATATTGACCTGTACTATCTTGATGACTCCCGTTGAAGGGGTTGCATGCATGGAGTCCTATTTGCTCGTCTAATATAGATCAAACGATTAGTTTTTTTTTTTTTACGTTTAGCATCAACAAATGACAGACACTTACTCCGAGAATCGTGAGTAGAGCTCGTAGCCACATTTCCCAACCCGTTGGAAGGTGAACTCCGGCTACCATCTGCATCGCCAACGGAGTAAATGATGAGCGAGGGGAATATACGTAAAAGCAAGCGTAGACATGACTGCATACCATTCGAAACCGAGAGGGAACTTGTACTTGGAGAGCGCGGTGGAGGAAGTGAGGTGCGAATTTGGATGCTGTTCAGAGTTCCAGTCCTGATCAAGTCGACAGTAATATATGGGTCGGCGATGGTGGTTTCAGAGTCTTCCGTTGAACGGCGATCCAAAGTTTGAACGTTCCAGGAGAAGTCGGATGTCGTGCTGCTCTCGAGCGAGACACGCACTCTGAAGCAGTCAAGTAGTTGGAGAGGGATAGTCGTTACGGACATAGCTAGACAAGGAGGATAACAGGCAGCGTATGTTGAAACAAGCAGTGGGAAAACTATCCTCGTTCTTATAGAGCGAACGCGCTGCTCTAGCCTCCTTGGAGATAACTCGTATGGATCAACGTCGTTTCCCGTACATCCAAAGCTGTCGCGTTGATATGGGGCTGATTGGCGCCGGAAGTTGATCAGGCCCGTTTCCAGGTTTGGACCGAAAAAGTGTCCTTACCCGATCTCTGCGGTGTCTAGAGGCGCTGAGCGCTGAACGCTAGCGCCATCTCAACATGGCCTCTCCGAGTGGAAACAAAGGGCTGTAGCTTCGATTGGTTGCAACTGGGTAGTACAAGCGCGGGCTGAAAACTCCTACCCATTTTTAATTAAATTCCAGTGCATTGCTCACCGCTGTAAGAGCACAACACGCAGCTTCAGGCTCCAAACTAATTAGTCAAAATAACAGGCTGCAAGCTTCAGTTCCGAAATGGGATCTGATCAGTCGCGTTAATCATACCCGCGGTCAATTGATCTCCAATACATGCCTCCAACGGAGGGCCATCACGTAAAGCACAGTGTGCCCCCCAACGTTTTCCCACTCACTCAAAGATGCCATGGCAAAGCGGCCCAGAAAGCCTATCAAACGTCAGTTCCTCGTCCTAAATTCTATCCTTTTGTGCTATTTGTTATAGGAGGCATCCCTCCTGTAGAGTGGAACGCGCATATAGCACACTTCCCACTCGACAGCAATAGTGGGGCTTCCTGTGGCCCTGGACTTCATTCGTGATCAAATGCATCGCGACTGCGAGTACGATCGGAGTGTTTCCGGGATGCAGCCGAGCTATGGTACAATCGGGCGAAAGAGCAATCAGAGTGAAGCTTTACATCGTGGCAACGCACGGCCTCTCCGCCTAATGTGGCCATCAAACTTCGAGGGCGTCATACTCTTCGAAGCAAGCACCCGCTTCGCTGCGATAGGTTGAGATTCGATAACTTGGTCATTTCGTCTTACATGCTGCCGTGCCTATGAGCAAGAAATTACAATTATATGGGCTGAGATGGCCAACTCAGATGCGCATGCAGATCGGGAGGCATGTTGAGAAGCACGATGCTTATCATTCCAAAAGGAACATCAGGAACCTACTGAACACGACAGCATAGGTTCATAAAATGAAGGTCATACCTATACTGGTTCCCAGTGAAAGAGCGTGGTCTTCGCGGCCGAGTTCTAGTCCTTTTGCAAACACGCGTCTGGCTATGGGTCTCCATGCCGGATAAGTACATTAAAGGGTTTACTACTCACAATTTCACGATGAATGAGGTATTTCTGCTCTCGTCCCGATGTTCCCGTGGGCCCAAAATCCTGGCAGCGTACACTGGCAACCAAAAAGCCATACGTTTAGTGATGAGGTTCACAAAGACTGGATAACAAAAAGGGGGTGCTAAATAAAGAAGTTTGTTGAACTCGTAGTTGGGGAAGGCATCATGAAAACAACTTAGGAGGAAGGAAGCGTCCTTCTCTCCTATGATAAGCCGCTCTTAGAGATATAGCTCGATGCCATGTATTGTGCTGTTGTTCGCTTCGAAATCCGCAAATGGATGGAAAGTCACCTGTGAGGTCCGCTACGGAGACTTTACGCACCGTACGTGACTGCAGCAGTCCCCTAGGTAGGCACTTCGGGAAACATAATGTCATGACGTAGCAACGCAGTCACTGTCATTGATGAGCGTGATGGCTATAGCTACATAGCATGCACTGCACCCATGTTCCACGATAAAACCATAAGAGCGAGTTGTGTGGACGTTAGAGACGATGGTGAAGCAGAGGTTGAGATGCCGACGATCAAAATACTTCCCGTCGCGTGCTCTGCCGCGGCTGGCTCCGAAAGACCACGTGATTCAGAAGAATGGAGAGTAGCGTTTTTTGGAGGTTTATTTCATTTTATTTTTGGTGAAGTTCCAACCTCGCGCAGCTGCTGAAGTGCTGAAGCCAGCCCGACGAATCTACATGATTTATTTTTGGAAGAAAAAACATGATCAATACAGGAAATGTGACATATATTCGCAAGCATGCGCCCAGGATACTTACTGGACCAATATTTTCTCGCGAATTTAAGGGATATGCTGATGGCAATAGCAGCAGCAACAGAAGGTGATGCTAATCTAGCGGGACGGGGTGTCAACACAGTATTTTTGCAAAGAGTGGGGAAACAACGGATATGCACCACTTACCCCAACATCTATAAGTACGGCACATTGGATGGGCTTTCTATCAGTCGCATTGGTGAACGTACCGGAGTCAGGACAATTAGGCTTGTTGCACGTAGAACAAAGATGCTTCCTATTCTGGGGCTGAGCCTAGAGAGTGAATTCTGCTGCGTTTGTGCACGGGGCATTCCCCCTCAGCGTAAACTTGAGCACCCGCAAATCAGGCCAGAGTTCTCGCAATTAGCGCCAGCAAAGCCTGTGAGCCAGGCATGTACCTGACGGTTTGACCGTGAATGGTGGTGGCCTCGTGACTGGTGGTGGCCTCTTGAAAGTCACCGTCGGCCTCGTAGAAAAAGACCGGATTACCTGAATACAGCTGTTGGTCAACTATGTGAGTTTGGCGAAGTGCTAAGATCGTCATCATGGTCAGATCTGGAGAAGGTGGTCGATCGGAGATGTCCAACGAATGTCAAGCGTCGAGCCGGTGACGAGGCATTATATGATCCACGGAACGTAGGGAGTAGACGTACGGAGGCTTTGTGAGACCCTTGAGCGGCTAAAACAGCAAGGAGAGCAGCAACGACGGTGATGAAAGAGGGCGGAACATGATCGAGGTGAGTGGCGAGCTACTAGAGCTTAGGCGAAGACCGAGGGAAGATATAAGGAACGCATATCTCATCTCTGGTCTAGTTTGTCTTGGAAGAATGTAAGGACATTCTGCACTGACTTCTCATGACATCACATTGCTGAACTCTTAGTATAGAGATCATTCTCCCTGTGGTGGAAGTTCAGATTGTGGCGCCTGGTGAGAAAGGGCTGATCTCAATGCACGCTTCGAGTATCTCAGTGAGCGAGCCTCTTTACGACGCACCAAAGAGAACTGAACTTGAGTGGGTAGATCGAGTAACATGTGCTCATATGTGAGACGGACAGGAGATCAGCAGGCTTGGAACGCTCATCCATCGTGATCTCGAGGCGTGTTACCTGGCGTGATATCCAGGAAAGCATAGTTTTCGAAGTAATTCAGAGGCTAATTTCCCTCAAAGCTGACGGTTGCCTCCGGAGACCAGAATGTGCATGGTCAATAGAATGCCATACCGTATAACGGTAAAGTAGCGCCCACATCTCGTATCACGTGAAACAGTTGGCAGTAAGGTATATGGATTGCATGTAAACGCCAGTTCTCAGTGTTTACGTTTTTCCATGGAAGCACTGGGATGGGCGCTCGCTTGAGCTCGCAATGCAACTTTAGAATGTGCAGCTCTCGAGATTCTGGGCCTCCTCCTACCGAGCACGGCACCTGCTAAAAAATGTGCACACAGTGACTTGACCGAGCGCTCCATGACTGGATAGATGGAATGGGACGTACCAAAGCGCGGTTGTTTCACACCAAGAACTATCAATAAAACTGTCGGTATGAGACGCAAAGATAAGTATTTCAATACTCCGGATGTCGTTCAGTAACGCCGCCTCTCACGGCTTCTCTGAGGCGTGGAACATGAGTGGGTCGTAGCTCAGTGGACTACATCATTCTACTTCGCGCTGCTCGGGACGACAAAGCAGTCCTCGGCGCCAAAGAAAGAGCGACCTTGGGCGCGGCGGTCTACCAAGGTAGTTGGTAAACCGAAGGCCGAGAGTGGCCCTGAAAGAGATCGGGCAGTTGTGGTGCCGAGTCACCACCGAGTGATGGACGCGCTTAGGACACGGAGTGAGCACTCCACTAAGTCCACTCGGAGATGATTACCTCTGTGGAAGAGTGCGACTCTATTGGACTGCATATGTCAAGTCACGGTGACCGGTATCCGGAGAGTACGCTTTTAGAACTAGACGCGAGGGCCGTCTACAGCACAGCGTGCGCCGAACGGCGCGTTCGACGATGCTGTGCGCGTAGGCCTCTCTGAGCAGGCAGCTAGCGAGCTGGCCATAAACGCCATCATAGTTGTTGACAGTATGCCGCCCGACGGGCAAGAGAACGAGTGCGCCAAGTCCGTAAGGATCGGAAGTGAGTTAGGTTGCTGTGGGAGATGTCCGCGGGCTGCATACGGGGTAGAACATGTCAGATTATATCAACTTTGAAGAGGTCACAGCTCGGACGCCGCGTCTTGGAGCCTCCCATCTTCTGGAATGATGAGGCTAGGCCGCTAGTATCAGATGCGAGTGGCCGGACGTTCGGAGATACAGATCACTTGCGTGATTGCATGTTGCTCGAGGGAGGACCCTCGATTGTTTTAAGCCAGAATAATAAAAGCGCGTCTCTGACAGGAACCGAGGGAACTGGATGACGACGGCGGTTGGCTGAAGAGCACCGAAAGGTTCTCTGGGTGAGGCGGCTGATCTTGACAGTATCGAGTCCAGATCAATAGACCGTATCTGCAACTGAATTATTGACATCGCTCAAACCCAACGGGACGTCATGATTGGCCTAATCACTGTGTAAAGCCCTTTAAGCGGTTGCAGATACGGTCTAACACACTACATAAACAGAAAGCACCATCATCACGGAGAGAATCGCTGGACAACGTCACCGAGATGATCATTACGGGACAGTGTAACGACTAATGCCCGGTCTCAACTGGAGATTCGAGTAGTGCTGCTCGCATCCTAGAGCAAAGCGTCGTAATATGAGGTAGCGGAAAGCGATGCTACCGAGCGACAAGCACCCCACAATGCAGACCAGCATCAAAGCTTAATTGACGCCACAACTGTATATGCGGACGAACGAGATCGGAGGCACCGAGTCGCATCAAAAAGGGCAACGCGAGATGATCACCGTGAATAAACTTATCTTACCTTCCCGTGTTACTCGAGCTTTGAGAGACGAGAATCCATGTCACTGTGGCTGCTGCGTGAAGGTAACAAGCCGTGAATGCACCAGGTCAGAATACACGCCATACGTTGACACTTCCTTCCTGAGCAGCGTAGCCGATCATCGTATTGTCGTTTGATTAGAAAAGCAAGCAGGTTCAAAGAGATTGTTGCGAACCGTCCACGCACGATGGATGAGTCTCCATTGCTGCTAGCAAGTCAAATTCGTGTCAAAAAATAGGTAAAGGAATTATTGTTCAAATTGCTTCACCAGTAAATGCGGAGTTTGGAAGTCTAATGGAACGCTCAAGTGACGAAAGCAAGCGACCACGCACCACATACTCCACACAGAGACTCTCTTGAGTAGGCTACCTCAGGCCATAGATGGGAGGGCGATTTTGTGTATGGCACGAACGAAGGACACTTGTCGGGGCTATTTTGAGCAAGACCGGAATGATCGAGGAAAATCGGGTAAATCGTGACCGTGTGAAAATCCAATTGAGTCCTTCCGGTAGCTACCGGGTCACCGCACAGTGCTCTCTGTTCGCCGTACGAACGGTGTCTTCCGATGTTATGTTGTCGTAAAGCTCTGGTACAAGAAAGAAAATCTCCTACTTTTCTTTTCTCACTGCTTTCCTATCTTCACCCTTCTGGATATGCCCCGTCCACCTCGAGCTGCTCAGAGAAATCGTCCAGATCAGTCGGCGGCTCAAGGTTCAGACTGGACTTACGACTTTCGCAGCAGCCATCCCTCCTTGGATTCAGCCTCGGGCTCGGGCTCGGACTCTGACTCTGACCCTGTATCTTCATTGTCTTTGGCGACCGAAGACCTCACAGACGACGCGAAGCTACTCCAGGAGCTAGATCTCACTTCGCGCCAGGATACGGCACAGTACAAGCCTAATCCATGGTCGATTGCGAAGGTCAATGCGGCCTCCCGTCCGTCGATGGCAATGCTGAATACAACGGGAAGGAAAGATGAGAAAGTAGACTTAGGGACAGGAAGTGGGCAGAATAGGAAGGAGTCGAAGGGATCGATTGTCGATTTTTTTCGAAAACAGGCGAGCGACAAGCAGCAGGTGAAGAAGACCAAGCCTCCGTCCCTCATACCTCCATCACAACACCAACCCAGCCCTCATCAAGCTCCTTCCGCGATTGCGGCTCTGGAGGGTCCATTTTCGAAAGCTCACCGCCATGCTCAACATTCGTCGCGTAATCATCTTCCTCTTCCACACACTGTGAATCCCACCCCTCGTGATGTGCACTTCGCCGATACTGCACCCTCCTTTGATCACACTGCTCTGAACAGGGGAGATGCAAAACTATCTCTACAACTCTTTAAACCTAGCTCGTCTACTGATATTCCGCACGACTCTATCTTGGGCGAAAATGCGCATATATCCTCTGATACCATTACGTCTTGGTCCCCTCATTCTCCGCACAGTACTCCTGCTCTCGAAACTGCAACTATGCTCACGGCCGACAAACATACCAATATTTCTAACCTTCCTGCTCAGTATAATTCTCCGAGAGACTCTAGCCATGTACCTTTGCTTGAACTCGCTTATGCTCATCTTGATACCGACGGTACTCATGCTCACCCTTGTAATTCTCCCCCCCTTGATCCGGACACTGACTGTATCCCTCCCTTTGGGCTCCAAAACACGCATATATCCACTGATGATCCCCTTGACCCCGATCGCTCGTCGCATCCATTCACTGATCTTGCTGAACACGGCGCCTCTCTTGACCCTCTGTTAAACGAGACGCATATACCCACTCCCTTGTCTTCTGGCTCTCACCACAATTCTCACCCCCATGCAGACGGTGTATTTTACTCCTCACCACCCCGGCCTACTTCATCTCGCACTCCGTTCTACGCACACGGACAACCACCACCGCCGCGTCTTGGACTCGAAGTCGCCTATTCACCTGGCCCGCTACCAAGGAATCACGTTCGACCTTCGATGATACACTCATTCTCTTCACCGAGGCCTCCTAGGACAGGAACGTCTTCTATTTTTACAGCGAGAAGTCCACAGAACCCCTTCCCCATGTGCTCTCCCAATATGACGAACGCATCCAGACCGGCACACGTTCATGGAAAAAATATGATCTCTAGATCAGGCCCTGGATTTACGTCTGGAGACCTCGCTGGGATCCGTGGCTCGATCCGCTCCCAAACTCCGTATCCAAGCATGGGCCGAATGAACAATTTGAAGGTCGAAGGTCTGTCACATACTCTCGGATTCGGGTATACTGATGTCACGGTGATGAATGTAAGGCTAACCGAGCATTGTTACCCCCTCGTCTCATCAGAAGATGCAACCTCTCAACCTGAATTTCACGAAACCGTCCCAGACTTTACCTCGTCCGGATCCTCCGTCCAAACGCATGGAAACGAATGGTCCGCGGTCAAAGCAGGTCGGTCTGCAATTTCTCTAGTGTCCATCTATGCTTTCTGAATTTTTGCGTATATTCGGGGCGTATAGAAGACATTTCGAACTCATATCGTCTTGACCATCGGGGACAAGACTCGGAAGTTTATCGACCACCTCCGGCATTCAATGTCAAAGAAGGCAAGCTTCGCATCTCACAGTATCTCAAGTCTGAACCGAACCTGAGAGTCAGACTAACGAGTCTGCTTTAGATAACGCATATACCGACGATCATGCTCGTTCTGCCACTACCTACCAGAGCAGAGCTCAGCCGGAGGCCCACCCTCACCCTCACCACCAATATCAGCATCGCTCCCTATCACCCGTCTCTTCTCTATTTGCTCCAAATGGTCCACCACCACCAAAGCTTCCACCGCCAACTTCTGCAGACGTTAAATGGCCCGGCAAACGCTGGGATTCACGTCAATACGCACACACCACAAAGACGGAACCAAAGCCGGAACCGGTGCTGGACGACATCCATCCCTCGTCTTTTCTTCCTCCCGCGCACGCATCTCGAACGGGCCACGACACCCTTTCTGGCCCTCGCTCCACACTCAAACGTCGTCGCCCTTCTCCCTCCTCATTCGGATCTCCAACACCATCACCTCCGCCCTCTCCTACCCCGTCATCGCGCACACGCCACACCATTGCCAACATGAATCGCGCCAATGTAGATGTTCCGAAAAACAAACCCGCCACGCGCGACGCCTACGCACATCCATCCCTACAACCTACCGCCGACGAATCATGGTCCACGCTTCCCGTGCCGAAGCGGGCTCGCGGTGCAAACGCTGTGAAGACCTCGGCGAAGTTCAAGGTCCCATCTGGCCTCGTTGGTAGGACCGTTGTCAGGCGGGACGTTGATAGTGGCAGGACAGAAACGGAAGCGGGAAGTAGTGGTAGAGGAGAAGGGGGATCAGATGGGGCAGTGAAGCGGACGGTCGTGCTGTATAAACCACCACCGAGAGATACGAAGGCGGATATCGGCTCGTCCGCGGCGGACGGTAAGGGCAAACGGCAGGAGGTTTCTGAAGGCCGGCGCGCAGATAACTCGCCAACTGCAGGAATCGAACTCAGTAGCGCCTCCCGTCTCGGTCGTGACAACCTCAGACAAGAAGCGGACGACGCGACGTCCATTGACAGCGCTCCACTCTTTAAGATTGTTCATGCCTCTACATCCGTTCATCCTGGTCACCGTGACCGTGCTTCAGTATCTACTCCACGACGACCAAGCCCAACTTCCGGTGCCAACGAGCTATCCATGCATGCACTTCATTCGCAGGACGGCCAAACTCACGTCAATAATGGAAGAGGGTCCCCCGAGGTAGCGTTTCCTCCGTCTTCGCCCTCAGGTTTCGATTTCACCCACGACCATGAGACTGCCTTCCACACCCAGCCAAACTCGATGGACGTTGACGACTCAGATTCAGCTTCCTTCGATCTGGAACTGATGAGGACGCGATATCCTGAAGTCAGAAGTCGCATGCGAGAGGTAAGGACGCGCTCTCCAATTTTACTTCCTCCTTCCTCCTTCCTTCATCCTTTCTGAGTTTCTTCTTGTCTACTACTTCCGTCCGCGTGTATGATATGGCTCTACTGACCGACATCCGACATGACCGTCAGTAGCGCTGCCGTGCTCGCGCACAATTATGGGACTTGCTGAGATTGCCAAGCTGTGGCGTCGTGTGGCGCGATATTGGTCCTCAGAGCGGGACTGATCACGAGGGTGGAGGTGAAAAGGATGACGGACGCAAAGATGTAGACAGACACCCAGACGCAGATACAGAGATGAAGATCGTTCTATGGGATGGAACGGATGGTATACTGAGGGATTGTGATGTTCCTGCTCTGGTACATTATCATTCGTAACTGCTGTGGAGAGAAGTGAAGAAATGAAGTTGTTCAGATACGAAGTGGCCCTTCTGAACGAGAGTTTGTAGTTCGTGTAGCCAGCTTATGATCAGAATGTGTCGGTAACTTGGGATGTGCATATCATCAGTCTCAGTGTACACACGATTTCTGTGTACCGAGGTCACAGATGTCCATAGTGGAGACTGGGTTGGAGAACTGTGCACGGAGGCTCTCTCAGAGTTACACTTCGGCTTTTGTCCACTTTGAATTTGGTTTAGACCTCAAGGAGCCTGAATGGGATGTGGATTCCATTGAAGACAACCACGTCGCGTTAAATACTCTACGGATATTTATACAAATTGCAGTAAACAAAAACTGATGCTAGAAAGAAAAGAAAAGACCTTTGATAAACAGAAGGCAGTCCCCAATAGTGCCCAATAAATAGCTCGTGTATTCGATACAGCTATGGACGCATAACGCACGGCTAGCTTGCTAGAAAAGCGACGCGTCGCCTTCTTGCCACTTCCTCTAGACTCTTGGAGTCACTTGAATCTCCGCTTCAAGGTCGTGTTCGACATTGGCCTTCATATTAGCCGAGTCTTCCTCCGTTCTCTTCTGAAGACCGGTAGAATGACCCTCAACAGCCATGGATACGATTTCAATCGTTCCCTGTGTGCCGTACACCTATGAAGCGAGAATGTCAGTGATGGCAGTTGCCTGAGACGATGAGACGAGAAGAAGATAACCAAATAGCTTACCACCGGCACGATCTCTACTTCTCTTCCGCCTGTCTCTTCATCGCACGGTGCCGCCCCTGATAGCTCGTCAGCTGCAGATTCCTCGAGTTCCACCTCGTCGTCGTCGTCGTCAAACCATGTACGTAGTGGGGCCCCTATGTTTCCTAAAATTCGGTCATGTTGCTGCTGCCCACCCGCACCCGCAAAAGCCAGGCTGGGAATCGAACGCGATATAGTGGTGAATCCAGGTTTAGTTTTGGTGTAGGATTTGAGGTTGAGGAAGAGTCGACTCGTGAGGAGAGAGGGTAGCCTGATATACAGAAGTCGGGGGTGAGCAGAACGTTTCATGTGGAATGGTGACAGACGTTCACATGTTGAAATACGGGGTTACCAAGCTAGTCATCACTGCGTCGGGCTAGAAAATAACCATGGTCAGTGAGTAGCCTCACTTTTTACAGCGAAGAAATTGGCTGGATTGTCGCAACTTGGCTGGGATGCATCTAAGTGAAGGGCATATGTTAGAGATGACTCGGAGCGGGCATATGTTTTTTCTTTCTCGGAAAGATGCTTACAAAGGTGGAAGTAGTATCAAGGGAGCCCACGAGCAGCACGATCCTTCACAGTGAGCACTTGTCAATCATGACCCCACGCGGAATCGTCAGTAATGTCTGGTGAACTCACAAGTAGTAAATGGTGCCTGTACATAACATCAAATATGTATCAATCAAACTCCATACTAGGTCGTATGAAGAGCACGCACCATCTCGCAATATGAGCTCGAAGAGGCCTGATTTCGTCGCTCCAAACTGATGGGCTTCTCTCGCAGCGTTGTAGGTCTTTGCGACAGTCAAGAGGAAGACGAGCGCATCAAATGCCAGTGTAAGTGCGCTTATAGCGCCTTGTGCTATGAGAGGTTTAATGACCACGCTGAAGAGGTGTCATGATGGGTAACCTTACTTCTGTAATTCGTCTTATTAATCAATAATATAAGTGCAAGAGGAGAATACCATATACGAACTCATACCACCCTACCAAATCCGAGGTGCCGAGTCCGCATCTACTAAGACCGGGGCCCGTGTCCACATAAAGGATCTTGAGACATTCAACCTAAAATAACGAGCAAAGTTGAAGTAATAGGAACACGACTCGCACAGGCTGAAACATGACATACAAGGAGAACTGCCGTCCGTGCGAGGACCGGCACCAGACATATCGCGAGTATGCCTCTTCTGCGGCCGTATATAGCGTATATTCGAAGAACAAGGATATCTAAAGATACATCGCAACTGAGCACCTTGCAAATTAGAGTTCAATATTGAGCATACATTGATTGGCAAACCTAGATACTAAGCCAAATACGAAGTCGATATACAGTAAGACGTAACAGCTAGAGTATCGGGAAAGTTCAATGCACGTCCAGGTATATAGCAGTTTTTAACGAGCAAACGCGCACCTCACAATATTGGTTGTCCACGAATCCCATCGCATAGTAATAGACACTTCGGTGACCATGAAGGCAAACCATCCATAGCGGTTCACCAAAAACGTCAAGCTTGCGACGCTTGTCTCGAAGTCTTTCCACACCCCGTCCTTCTCTGTGGACAGCATGAGCAGGCAATCATAGAAATATAGTGCTGAAATATGATCGAAATAGTTGAGTATAATTCCACGAGTCAGCTTGATAAAACTCACCGGCAGCGGAGAAAAGACTGTAGTTTGCCATCCGACTGTAGATGCACACAAAGTCATCGCAGGTAATTCTATACATCATTCTGGCACTGGGTGATATGTCTGAATCTGAGCTCACTCTGAATACGCGTCATCCGTGGCCTGGCCCATTACAAGATACGTTCAAAGAGCTCGAGAAGGCGGCTGAGGACGTCGTGCTCTCTTGAAGTGGTGATTATAAAGGAAAATAAACTGCATTGTCAGTGCGTTAACGCGGCTTCTATTGAATCAACAGGAGGAAGACTGATGGAGAGTTTGATGCTCCTGCTGATGAAAGAGAGATATATACGAAAATCCTGCTAAGTTGTGCCACCGGGGGCATCGTACAGCCAATAAGCAGCAAAAGCAGTCAAAGGCAGGAAAATCATCAACTAGGGACCCGCAGTACTGTATCAGCACCTTGTCCCATTCATACGAGGGGGCCATCGCGGCTGGACCTTGCGTGGCTAGAGCTACCCGACATCTCACTCCCTGCAACTTTGGTTCAGAGTTTGCGTGACACATATTTGACTTAGCTCCATCGTGCTTACCGGCACCGATCAATTGTTCGACCTGCCGGACATGCGCAGACGCACTGTCTGAGAGCAAGCTCTCGTCATCAATCCGCAGGGCTAACGAGCCGCTCGAGAAGCTAAAGAACATGCAAAATATTTAGATGGCTTGCACGGTAGGCTGCAGAGATATTCATTAGCCTTACTCTGCATGAACAATCACAGCTGCCGACTGGAGGCCGAAGAGGTACATACCAGTAGCGCCACTCTCTATGAAACTGAGATCCTGGTGGTTCCTGTAGGATAACAAGACACCGGCCCGTCTGTTGATCGGTGATTCAGAGTAGACCCAATCTGAGAAAGACACGACATGGTAAATGAGGATTAGATTGCCCAGCTTAATGTTGTGGTCGCGGCAAAGGAAGGTGGTTCGAGGTTACCAATGAAACATGTCTCATCCGTCCAGCTATACCACGACCAAAGCACTGGCGGAGTAAATGACCCTATTGGCGGAATAAACAACCATGAACCGCAACAACACCATCCCATTACCAAAAGTTGTTCACGCCTCTGCTTTGCGCCTCCCACTCACCGGGTGGCACGGCCGTGGCGTCGCTGTCGTGCGTGTACGGCGACTCGTGTGCTCCACAATCAATCTGTCAGACTGCTGATCAAGTTTCGCCGATGGGCGGCAAAAAAACTGACAGTAACACACGGGCCGATAGCTGCTCTTGAGTCCTTGTCGATGTCGCCTTCCTCCCACTCCCTCAACCTCAACAAAGACCAAGAGGGTAAAGTCAATGTAGATGTAACTTTGATTTTGACATATACGTTGTCGATAGCTGAGACACTAATTTTGGAACGAGTGCTTGGGCGGACACTCCAGATACCAAAGGAAATTGAGGATATAGATGCTAGTACAACCCCCAACGATTTCGAGACGCCGGCCGTCTACATTGTCTGCTCTTACCAGAATTCAGTGGTCAGCGAAGGATTTTTTTGGTGACAGGGGTCTTCCTGTTCCGTTAGGACAGGTCTTGAGACGAGCTATGTCACAGCGTCACGTCACGCCTCTTCGGTGGCGGTGGCGTCTTTTTCCTGGGAGTCGTCGCTCGAGATTTTTGTTACGGTCACTCGTCCTCCATCACTCTCGGATCCCGGTCCGTCCCGGTCCTTTCGTCTCTTTCCGGTCAGTGCAGCGCTCAAATAATATGCCTGACAAGGTTGAACCAACAAATGTGGACTGATTATAGCTTACATTCTTCCACACGTGTGAGGATTCTAATGTCTCGAGCCACGGGCATGCCGTGCTGGTTCTTTCTTTGAACGGCAGGTGAACGTGCTGTGCGCTTTAAACTTTTGTGGCGTTTTCGCCACAGCAAGGGTTGCCAGTATCTTTTTTTCCCCCAAAGATCTTTGACAAGCTGGTCCAAAGATGCATTATAATCAGTCGGCCAGCGTTAGGTTAGTTCGATCTGAAGGAACAGGTCTGGCCCGGAGGGCGTGGAATGCATACCAGCCGCGAGTACTTACGATTGGGAGGCCTACGGGGTATCGACGCCGAGGAAGAGTGAAATGTGCAGTGGCGGCCTGTGGCGACTGGTGACGTGCGGTTCATGATTGACTCGCTCGGAAGGTCTCGGAAGCTGCCGCTCAACGGAACGTTCAACTGCGGCCTGTGTGGCGAGGACTTTGTCAGCATTCTGAAGTTTAGCCGTCCTTTTCTTTTTCTTTTTCTTCTTTTTTTTTGGTGAAGCTCCACCTCGCGCAGCCGCCTAATAAGCCAGCCAGACGAGGCTTCATATACATATGCTATAAGGTAGGGGTTCACACCCTACGGACTTACCTAACGCCCTGAGGAAACTAGGGAGTGCTGCCTTCGCCAGCCGGTAACCTTGCTTGGTGGGTTGACTGCTGACCTACGCAACTCACCTGCCCAAACCATTTTTCCTCGACAAAGACTTCAAGTTCAAGGTGTAATATTAATTCTTTTCCGCATTCCTTCTCCGGCACCAGATCGTGCTATAGTGTGCTTCGACGTTGTTCCAATTTCAAACACACTTCACTCCATATTTTATGGTTGTAGATAGCCAGTACTGTGTTGCTATCGTCCGCGACTCCATTAGACATTGCACCTCGAAGTTGAGACTAATATTGCTGGCACGAATGCACTGAACCAGTCGAGAGAGGAATGTAGTACCCGGGAGTGAACCGCCTTTCCACCCTCAAATAACAACGCTCCCACATATGAATATTCTTGATCTCGATCCTTACCTCGACACAAAAAGGGGCAAGAGCAAGACATCACAGAGGAGTCAAGCGACTCAACTAGCTCGCAACAGTTTACGGACGATGAACAATGCCATACATACGACACGAGCGACATGGACCTTGACGGTCATTGACCTTCCTTCTCTTCCACACCCAGAAGATAATCCAACTCCCGACCATAGTGAGATAAATGACGATCTCGCTACCAATGAACACACTGTCAGCTCGCTATCCCATTTGCGAACTGTTTGCGAACCTACATTTTCATCTGAAGACGCGACTCTAATGCCGCATTACCGCTCCTAGTCACCCGCCCTGGCACTCCCTCCTTCCACATTCTGTTTACCCGCACCATCTCAGCATTCTAACGCCCTTTCTCCACCCGCACCATCTACCACACAGTCTTCTTCTGCAGGGAGAATAATGTTTACACCATCACTAGCTTTTCAACCACGTCCTCGCGCTCATGTCCAGGCCATAGGCTTGCCCCCATGGCCACTCCGGCACCGGAAGTACCGTCCACCTCCGCTCTCTTCTGCGTACCAGCAATTTCTCCTAACTATTGCGGCTAAGGTACTATGGGATATGACGAAGAACTTGACTTTACCACACCGTTCACCAAGAAGAAATCATTCCTGATAGGAATGAACCCGGGAGTGAACCGCCTGAGACGCTGGAGAAAAGCAATGAAGTAGCACTTTTTTACAAGCCAAGTCCATTGCTCAAGTGACTAACACAAATACGTGCAAATAGAACAGGTAACATCAATTGTGATGCGCCGTAGTAGCTCGTAATACGAAGTTCGAGTGCGGGAGCGGCGAAGTAAATGTGCCAAACGGGTTGCAAACGGCCCCAGGATTCGCAAACTGAAGCGGACTACGTTCAAGGGGAGCGTAGTCTCCGCCAGCTGTCACCTCAAGACGCTACAAAATGCACACAAGAAGTGCAGTCGGGGAGTGGCCTGCTTCAAGGGAGTGAGATAAGCGCGGGAGAGAAGTGAACTTGGAGTGGCGCCCAGAGTAACAACGACTACAATTTTTGTAGTGGGACTACGCCACCTTGTTTGGCTTTGTTTGTTTTTGGCAACCTTGGCGGCTTCAATTCCGGGGGTGGGAAGGACCTAGCAAGCAAGGTAATGCGCCTGCTAGTCCTTTCGAAAGGTCTTCCTTCCCTCCCTCCCTGAAATTTCCTCGCCTCTACTTTCATCTCGTCTATTGATTTCGCAAGACATAGGGCTACTAGGATCCGGATTAAATAGCTCAAAAATGAAATCATAAAGTAAATCAGCGGCACTTCGCACTGTCTGGCACTTCGCGTCACTGAGCTCGTGCAATGTCTTTTGTTCTCACTTCTTGAACTGCCAAGTGTTGGCCAAGTGTATGGAGGATACTCATGACAGTGATCGTCGCACCTGCCAGAAGCTATACTCATGTCGAAAATGCTAACACCCTTTCCCATCTCCTCCCAATTCTTTTCAGTGACGTTGTAGAATGTCCTACTTCTTCGCTCAACTGGTCTATTTCGTTACAACCTTGTGATCTTGATTTGATGCCCTCTCACAGGCAATCAGGAGTCTGGGTCTTTTTCTTTTACTTGTAGGGTCATGATGACGCAGTCGTCGTCACCTATAACAGCCTATAACTAGAGCCACCGCGTCACAGTGTTCGTTGTTCGCCTGCAAGCCTCGCGCCTGAGCTTGACGATCCAGCTTAGTTCTTTAAACCTTGTTTTGGCGCTATACGATGCCGTTTACTCCTACAATTGGCCTCGATGCTCTGATTTTTGGCTCGGGATGTCGTTGCACCGGCGTTGGATCTCTGATGTCGTGGAGTCCTTGGCCGTGATGCGCATTCCGAACTGGTGTATACGACGATATTCGTGTGATTCGATGCATTGTTCGTTGGAGTACATAAGGGATCTCGGACGTTTGACTCTCACCCCAAGAACTGCCCATCTCCGAGATACATTTGACTTGCTCTATTCATCCACATCTCGCCACAATATCAATGGCTAGCTATAAGGTATTCTCTCTGTCCAGGGTTCCAGTTGCTAGGGGTGTCAAATTGACATGCTCATCCTACTTCAGAAAGGTGACGAGGTCGAGTACAGACCAATTGGCGGTGCCGCTGATAACGTCTCGCACTCCACTGGGACAATAACTGAGGTTGTTCAGGCAGAGGGGGTGAGTCGCACATCATTGCTGTCTATACCCGCCTCCACTGCCCCCATCGCGACTCTTCTCTGCATTTCTTCGTTCGGTGCTCATATTCATCCTGTAGGAGTACAAGTACACCATCCACAATGATAACACCGGCAAATCAACCACCTACCAGGTCTGTTTGACATGCCGATATCGATTCCAAATTTGAGAGTATCGGTGCACTGAGGCCTTCATCTTGACTTGTAGGATATGAACATTGTTGGCGTTATTCGCGCGGCTGCTGGACACCATGAGCCCTCGACCAAAAAGGCGGCCCACCAGGCCTCTACCGCTCATTCCAAGGCAAGCGAAACGGTTTCGACTACATCTTCCTCGGTCGGCTACAAGGTGTCTTGTTCTTCTTTACGTTTCGACAAGGTCCTCCAAGTTTCGTGCTCACATCTAGAACCTCTCTTCAGAAAGGTGACACGGTCGAGTATAGGCCTATCGGAGGTGCCGCTGATACCGTTTCTCACTCGACCGGGACTATCACTGATATTGTTGAAGAGGATGGAGTAAGTGACGTCCTTCTATCTTTGCTCATTTTCCTCTCACGCCCATCCTGCATTGTTCACACACAAACATGTTATTAACCAACGTCTTCCATTTGAAATTATGTACCAGGAGACGAAATACACCATCCGAAACGACAGTACCGGCAAGGAGACAACTTACCAGGTTCGCCGTCGAAACCACACATAATTACTCACATCCACTGATTCGTCGGTTACCCGTCATTTTTATTGCGTAGGAGATGAACATCGTAGGCAAGGCGGCCTAGGTAGGACGGACCTTATCCCTGTCCATGAGCGATGCGTGTACGAATATTTGCGGTAGTGCTGTCATCATATCAATTTTGTTCTGTCCCTCGTTATGCGTTGGACGTAACGCCGCACTTGAGACGGTGTGCGTGAGTAAATGGACAATTTTTTCTGTGCTGAGACCCGAGAGGAGATGGCGATTATCTCATCAAGTTCTACATAGTAATCCTCAGCGATGTCGACAGACCTGGAGGACACAGCTCCTTTCGCCAGTGATAACGCCGATTTTTTATACCTACAGTCACCGCAAATGTAATCTCGGCAACCATTGACTGTCGAATGCCGAATGACCCATACTCTCGCCCACCCTTCGCGGTGTGTCGGCTAGATGGATTATGTGCAGCAGTACGCCGAGAGCGTTGGCGTATTGCATCATTTTGAAGCCTACACTTCCTCTATTGATGGCTTCGAGAGCCGCACTCCTTCCACCTGACTTCTCTCTTCCTTAAGCCTCATATCCCACTCATCTCCTGACTTCTCGCCTTCTACGTACATACTCTCGTCACTCGGTGGTACTACGGCGGAATTTGAACGCAGTGTATGTGTCCTCGACACCGACTGTACCTCTCGTTCTCTCGTGTCTGTCGTCGTGCAGTTGTCAATCGAGCTTTCCCTAACAGGGTGCCTGGGGTTCCTGGTTGGTAGAGGAGCACGCGCAAAGTGGAGAGAACCTAGGGGAGCGGTAGGCTTGTCGAAGGGTGTAGAGCTGTGGTGTCGTTCGAGTGCGGCAAGGATGATGATGAGCGTTGGGTAGATCCCCTGTACGTGGGTCCGCAAAAGTATGAACATCAAAAATTCCCGACTTCATCGAATGGAAAACATGAAGAAGCTCACAGAGATTTGAGGAATGATGTCGATGACCACGTCTGTTGCCGGGTATTTCAGAGCTCCAAATGTGCTTATAATGAACAGGGCCTGGGATGCGTCACCATCGATGAGCGTTAGCTTTTGAGCACATAAAAGAAGAAAAACTGTATGCACCCAAAAGACGCAATACACAACTCCCGCGCAAACCAATACATTCAGAACTCTTCCTACTCTGACCCTATGGCTTGACACATCTAGTTTGGCTAGTCTGATACTTTGATAATATTGCCTTGGTGAAACATCGGATGAATATCAGTTAATGAAAGATTGATGAACGACATCAGAGCACATACCAAGTTTTACATCCGACGAGTGCTGTAGAAAGAATGTTGGTGGCCAGTACCGGGATTGTGAGTAGGAGGGACTGAGTCCCTGAACGCTGTTCACCGTCATTACGGACGTCAAGAACGAGCGTAAGGGCGAGATCGACCAGAGCAGACACTGAGGATCATCACGACGGGTTAAGTATAGTGCACATGGATGAAGAACAAAGCCTTTGTTACCGAGGTCCACGGCAAAGCATACCGCGAGCAACATCCTTGCCCGTTGGCTCTGCTTCCAGAGAACCCATGCTCTCCGGACGACGATCACATCCGACATCACAAACTAAGTATGTCGAGCGAGTTAGTCGACGTGCCAGAGACGTGTTAGACAAGCGAAAACGGAAAGCTTACGACGAGGCGGACCATGATGTTGGTGACCATATCGCAACGGATGAGTACAGCCTCGGGATAGACTGCAGATGGATCATAGAAGAGTATCTCGAGGACGGAGGTTGCAACGTCAATGAACATTGTTACAGTGGCGGCACAGAACATGACGATAGTGCAGAGAAGCAGCATCTGTCGTGCTCGGGAACCGGAGAGACCTTCTTGGCTAGATCGACACATATCAGGCCAAAGTAGGTGGTGGTAGTAGTTCTTCATTAAAACAGTGGACGCACATAAGGGCATACGTGGACATTATCATCAGAATGAAGTACACTCCTTCGGTGCGAGAAAGCGTAGGGAACTTGAGTACTTGTAGAACACGATATTTCGAGGAGTCAGACGCACCCCAGAAGCCACTCTCAACAGCGCCAGATATGATGACATGCTGAATGAAGTCAACACTGGCATCTTCCAGGCTTGAATCTCTGGTCCTGAGCGTCGACATTTCGCAAGGCAGGCGTCACAGAACCGGGCTGACAAGAACGAGGGAATGAGAGTATGACGATGCTGAGAAGAAGCACAGATGGGTATAAAAGACTTCGAGTTCACACCAAGGTACGCTCTGGCTGATCAAACGATGGCCGGTCCTCAGAAGGCAGACAACGTAATGTACAGCCTTCTTGGGCTAGTTTGCATATCCACAAAAGACGACATACGTCGAGATGGGTCTTATCGGAGAAAACATGCAACTTGGCGAGCGCCGGAAGATACAGATCGCCGTGAGTGTGGGACGTTCGAGTGAGTTGTCGTTTGGCAGGGTGCAGTTCAAGGGTCCTGCAGCGAGTACAACCTAAGGCCACGCAAATAGTTCTATGTCGAGTGCATGGAAATGTGGATAACAATATCTGCACGACCGTCAGAAGATTCTGCATCTAATACAGCGTAACTCCCCACAAGACATATAGAGTACCCGGATTTCATCGTGGAAATCTCAAGGATGCAGTACCAGCCATGAGTAGGAGGCCCCAGGGCACTGACTCGAGAGACTGTTGAGACAACGAGGACAGCCTCATGTAGTCCATGAAGAAGCCCCAGACCGAGCCTCCCCGAGGTCGTCCTCAGCTTTTTGAGGAAGTAACGCAAGCCTTCTGTAAGGCTCGAAGTGATAGCAATTGATGCATGACGAGAAGCATGATGGTGGCCAAGACCGTAAGACGTGACTAAAATCATAACTAGTATGGCGTCCTCGAAACAAGTTCGTAGTGTCGTTACACAAATGAACCTGGAGAACGAAACAGGCGACATGGCTGACAGATGATCCTTGTGTCTAGCGGTATGCCTAAAAAGTATGGGTGATGGTTAATACATGGACAGGCTTAATTACAACCTTTGTACGCAATAATAATGCACACCCCACACCTCCAGAAGTGGAGAATAGCTGGGTGCTAGCCTATCCCCCGGGAGCGCGATAAGTAGATGGTTTGAGAGAGCTTGACTTGAGGCCCTGGTGACACTTCCTACCAACCATCGACTTTTTGATGGAGATGGGATTGAGAGCGAGTAAGTAGGCGGGGTAAGCAGTTGTAGTAGAGGTGGAAGGCGTGCCACGATAGAACTCCGAAGCATTGCCGAAGCAGAGACGGGCCATCGGGTGGTGCCACTGTGGCACAAAGGATCGGCCCGGCACGCGTCGCGTCGCGTCGGGAACTCAGCACGGATGAGTAACTTTGGAATTTTGCCTGGACGATTTCCCTCACGGCCTCATAGCACTATAAAGGCACAGGCCTCTGCTTCATCCTCACAGAAATTGTGTTAAACTGTCCACAATGCACCGATATATCTCTGCCTCCCTTCGGAATCGTCGGTCACTCCCAAAGCCATCGGTTTCTATTTCCTCTTCAACGACTCTTCCTCCTTTCTCGCTTGCATGGCGACTACGAACACGGCAAGCGTCTACCTCTACGTCTGGCTTGCCTTCAGACGTAGCTGAATCTTCTGAACAAAAGCCTACAAAACCCAAGGCCTATACCCCCCTTCGCCGCACCGCTTCCGCCTCCCTTCCCATTCGCTCAAATCCAACACCCACACGCTCTCCAATTCAGCCCATAATCACGCTCGCGACCGCGGAGCGCTACATTCTTCCCCGTCTTAGCTCACGGATGACTACGCTCGGTGTACGGCCTCTGCATGAAGCGTATTGGATTCCGAAGTGGAAGTTCAGGGACGAGGAATTAGGCGAGGACAAGGAAGCCGAAATCTTCATCTTTGGGAACGGGAGCTTCGTATGTTGGGGTATGACGGAGGAGCATGCGGTGATGTTTCAGAAAGAGGTATTGAAGAGAACGGGGGCAGAGTTGGTGCCATTTAGAGAGGCAGAAACGGAGGAATTGGAGTTTGTGACGGATCCTTCAGAGTGCGTTTATTTGCCATCCTTCTCTAAGATGGGCCTTGTCCTCCAACTGACTCTGCGTGTATTATTCTTTGTAGGACCACGCGACTCCAAGGCGACATTATCATTCTAGGACGTACCCCCGCTCCTTCTTCTGAAGACACCCTGCCACCGATCCTTCCTTCATCCGCCTTCCCCGAAGACACCCTACTCGCGCGCTATGCATTCTCCCAGGCACTCTCTCGCTCAACCGCACTCTCTGCCCTTGAAGTTTCTCTGGAGAACTACCTTTCTTCAACTTCAACTCTACCCCATTCTCTCGAGACTACGGGAAAGCCAGGACTTGGGAGGAGAGCATTAATCAAAAAGCTGGGAGCACTGTTGAAGTTCAGGCAGGGTTTGATTCTTAACAGAGAGAATTTCAATGATACCCCAGATTTCTATTGGGCGGAACCGGTCCTCGAAGGTTTGCGCACACTTTCTCATTCTCTCTTCGCACAGTCGTAGCTGATTAGGAATGCCGCTATGATAGGATACTTCAACAGCCTGAGCAACGCGCTCGAAGTCCGAGCTAGAATTCGGTCTGTTAATGACAAAATTACATATGCTGCCGAGGTTTGTGGACTGTGATTTTCCGCCTTTGCTGTTATCTGATGGACGACGCTCTGTTCGCCGCGACACTCAGGTCCAATCCGTTTTGCGTCAACTTCTGACCGAGGTACGAAGTTTCATCGGCCAGTCTTCCTTTCGTGCCTCATCTAACCTTGCCTGTTATTTTTGAATAGCATTCTGCTGCCAGTATGGAACTCGTCATCATCGCTCTCATCGCCGTCGAAGTTGTCATCGTAAGCATCACCGACCACACCCTCTTCGGTCAGGCCACTCATCGTTCATTCTGCTAACTCTCCATCACGAAATAGGTCCTTATTCGTGACGTCCCGGAGCTCTGGTCGGAACGCAAGGAGCATGGAGCTCAAAGCGAGCGCGAACATCTGGCTTAAGCTCGGCGCACCCCCGCTCTTTCACCGCACAGTAGATGCCTTTTATTGCTTATGCTCGTTCGAATTATATAGTCCACCACATCTCACTAACTCATAGATCTTTGTATAATTTTCTCCCACATAATGTGCATCATCCGTCACACCACTCACCAACCTTGATTTCCAATAACTCGACAGCGTCGCTGATAGTTGTTGCTCGGGCAGTAGACGTGATGTGGGTGGGGCGATGTGCTGGTAAGCAACGTGGAGGCATACAAGGTTGCCCCTAGGCCCAAGACAGAACTCACACGTAGATCTCGGTCATAGACTCAATAGGGCACAGAAAGTCTGCGTGGACGTCAACTCTCTGATCTGCTTCAAGTGTGTGCGGCAGTATGTGACGACAGCAGTATTGTGTGATAAACAGTACCGCTACAGTATTCGACAGAATCTACTGACCGATAGTAAGTGATGGATGCTATGTAAGCTCGCTGGTATTGAGAGTAACCAAGAAGAACGTGAGGAAACGACTCATGAACGTGAACGCGCAAATTATGTGAGTACAAAGGAGGTATGGAGGGCATATATGGACATCACAGACCACGAAGCACCGAAAGCAGTCGAAGGCATGAGCATACGTGACGAATTGACAGCACGGAATTAGAAGGAACGAAGGTTATATAAAACGAGCGTAAGCACCAGCCCATGGTCCATTACCGATGAAATCGAACGAAGCGAGACATAATCTTCCATGGCTCGGGTTCATACACAGCGCACCTCCAGAAAGGAAACCGAACGGGGACACAATCCAACTCAACGCACCCCTCAGGCTGCCTCACTTGTTCCGCTCGCGATCTCAAATCCTGATAGACGGTCTCCTCCGTACAGCCCACGCTCAACACCCGGCTTCGTCCTCGATCCACATCCTTTAAACGCTGTCCAACCCTAGCGGTACCCAAAACCCAGTCGGATATGAACTTGAGAAGGGGTTCCAGTGGATAGAAGAAAGGAATGCGGCCAACGCAAAGTTGTTCGAGGTGGGGGTGATGGCGAAGTAGGGCGTCATAGATCTGCTGGTCTGGTGATATGGCGTGAATGTAAAGACGCTTAAGCGAAGGAATGGCGGATATCCAGCGCGAAATGTCTGTATTCGTGATCTCACACGCGTACAGAGAGAGCGTATGTAGCGATCGAGGTCGAGAAGCCTGAAGAAACTCCAAAATCTTGTATCCAAGAAACCTCTTGTAGGCCTCCTCCAATATAGGGTCGGCTGGACGAAGACTCTTGCAGCCCCTGGTCCAATGCAGAGAAAGCGTCTCGAGGGCGGGCAATTCCAGGTACACGAGGATCCAGGAGGATCCGAAGTGGCGCCATATGCCCGGTAACTGTTCTGCATCGTCTCGAATGGTGAGATGCTTCAGGTTATGGAGTTTCGTACGAGTGCGGGGAGGCGAAGTGCTGAGCCAAGAACTAACATCGAGCGTGACGACTTCGACGTGAAGATTCAGCGTCTCGAGCATGTGGCATCCCTTCACGGCATCGAGGATGGTGGTGATGGAGGATACCATGTGACCGTGAATGTCCAGACAGGACAACGTCGCGTATGACGAGATGAGAAGTGGGTCGTACATCGGGACGAAGCTGAGGGATAAGCGGTGGAGTACGGTGGGATCTTGAGGCTGCCACAGCTCCCAGCGGCTCTGGTAAACGGGGATATTGTGTTTGTAGGCGGGGAAGAGGTCGAATCGGAGATCTTGGATGCTATGCATCACCGACGGGTTTACAGCGATGATATTCTCGAATAAACGCACAAGGTGCGGTTTAACATTCAGGACGAGCGAGCGTATTGACCGACCGCTGGAAACTAGGTCCCTGAACATCGACAGTAAAGCGTTATCCGGAAAACGACCTTCTAACCGGAAATCATCGACGACGACGTGCAGGGGCCGATCACCAGACAGCTGCAACCATGCTCTGAGACCAATGGAAGCATCTCGTCGAGTTGGAGCTATACGGATATTTGTCCATGCCCGAGAGTAGCTGAAGATGGCTGTGCGAAAGTAGTGACAGACGTGTGATAGAATAAGGGGCGACATCCACACTGCTGAAGTCGGGGGTGGTAGATCATCACGGTCGTCGACGGGGCTGAACCCGCTGTGCACGTAGAATTCGAAGATATTGTGCATTACTTCGAGGGGGATGGTATGGATGGGTGATGGGGTGGATGATGTAGACTCGAAAGTCGAAGTGGATGGTGCGGGTGAATACGTGGGATCCTGAGCAGGAGGAGAAGGCGCGCGTGAAGAGGCTGAATAGTGGGATGTCTGCCGTCGCACAAGGCTTTCAAGCTCGCTGAGATCGACAGAGTCTGGTTCTGCAGTTTCCTTCACAGCGAGCTCGTCAGATGGAAGGTTCTCATCTGCTTCAAGTTCGTGAACATCAAGTTCATCGGATTGGTCCATGGTGGAACTGGTGGGCAGCCCAAGCTCCTTCGACTTGGTGGGATACCAGGAAGACGAATCCAGAGCGCCAACTACATATCCACAGAGGTTAGTGACCTTTATAGGGCGCCACAACAAAGGAAGCACCGTATGACTCGGTCGTGTAGTAAGTGGGTACCTGTGCAACGGTCTGCGGATCCGTGGCCCGGGTCCTGCCGAAGCGTTCACGCCACTTGAGGAGTTTGAAGTACGAACATACAGAAAATGCACAGAAAACGTAGCGATCGATAATGGCGAGGAGCTCACTTCAAAAACACAAGAGATGATGGAAAGGGGAGTATGGTATGGATATATCGTAGATCAACATCACGAATGGAAAGGTTGTTCGTTCATGTGCTGTGGCGCGAAATTCGCCGCGTTGAATAGACACAAGCATGCGCCCCGGTCGATGTCAGAATCTCGGTACCTTCGTGACACAGAAGTCGGACGGCGGTAATCATATGCGGCGAGTAGTAACCCCCGCGTCTTCTTGAGTAACTCTGGCTTCCATCGAACATGTATCACGAAGCTATGATTTGAGATTAATGTCGTGGACGAATGCGGTAATGAAAATGAATATGTATGCGTGAGTTGATATCCGAAGATGCAGATGCAGAAGCCCAAAACCCGGATGAATCCCAAAAGCGACACCCTTCTAACCACGAACGGCGAATTAACCCACTTCATAAGTAATAACGGTCACCTGTGATACATAAGAGAAGTCAGCATCAACACACATCGCTTCCGCCAACTCTCAAACGGAGAACTGACCGATTTGTCCCATCCCCGGCTCGATCGCAAACACTCTCCTCCCACCCTGTCCATCTATCCCTTCCGCGTCCCAATTTCTTCCACCAGTTCTCCCACTCCGCTGACTGTGACTATCCGAGCCCATACCCTCCAACCAAGCTTCTCTCAAGCCATCATCCACGGCTCCCGTCACGATGATGATATCTGGGAAGGCCGTCCGCAAGGAAGATATACCACCGGCACGAGAGACGAGGAAGGTCACGAAGATGATATGCCAGGCTGGGACGCCGTGATCGAGGAGGACGCGAATAGCCATGAAGGCGGCGGCACCGGTGCCAATCTGTCATGACCATCAATGCATCAGCGACCGATGAATAACCGAAGAGAAAGTAGTGAGAAACGAACTTGCGCATCGAGCAAACAGACCCATGTGTTCACTGCTTGGTGGCGCTCTCGGATGCAAGCAGGGAGCATGATGTGGAGAAGCAATGGTTCTCCTGTCTTCGAGTCTGATTGGACGAGGAGAGAGCCTATGGGCACATCGTTGACCACCCTTCTCAGACCGTTTTCCAATGGCCCACCACTTTTTTCACCTTCATCGTCAGCATCTCGGCTGAGGGACGTCAAACAGGGATGTGACTTACGCTCGAAGGATTGTTACCCCGCATAGCGACTACATACGCCAGTAAGTCTAGGTGCAGGGGAAAATAACGGTGTATGGTACGAACCTCGACATCGAGCTCCTTGCCCTTCGCTTCAACGCCGACCGGCGTGATGACCGACTTCGATTTGAATGTTAACTGTTCCATCGCTTTCTCTACCAACAATGTCGACAACCTATCGCAGAAGAATATGAAATCTTCCTTCTTCGTGGTCGCATCTCGCAGAATGGTGTAGATGCCCTACAAACGCGACAAAGCGTCGAACATCAGTAAAACGGTCGGGCATTCAGAGGCAGTGCTCTAACGAGCCTGAGGCAATGCGGTACTTACCCTCAGCTGATGGGTCTGCTCTAGAACGATCAACCCAAGATCCTCGTCTGATAATTGTTTTCGTGGACCTCGCGAGATAGATGGTTGGAGTTTCGCGGCCATCTTCTTGCGGAAATGATGCGTACGTTCCTTCAATTGGCGGCGAATGTGCGTGGCGATGAGCTCAATGGCCACGGAGTTGTCTTGTCCTGGGACTATCTATTAGGTAAAAGAGGAAATGTTAGGTTTGGAGGGAACGGAAAAAGAGGCGAGCAAGATGATGCGTACAATATCGGCGTGAGAAGAGGACGGTTGGACGAAATTGTCGAAGGAGGGCTTCACGTAGCGAAGATATCTAGGCGCAGGGAGTGAGCGTTCAGTATAGCGGATAGTAATCAGATACAGCAACAGGATGATCACTGTTCGAGGATGCCAGACACGTCTCGACCTCGCTCCTGAACATCACGGGTGATTCGGCGAGCAAGCATAAGGTCCGAGTCGGCTTGGACAAAAACCTAAGGGGCCTGCATCGATAACTTTGGCCACAAGACGCTGGTGGTGTGCATACCTTGAGATCATAAAGCTTGCGTAGTTCTGGATCATGAAGCGCCATGATGCCCTCCGCTAAGATAGATTATGAGTGGCACTGCTGACGGGCCACAGCGAATATAGACAAGAGTAGCTATACCGATGATGATGGTAGCCCCATAGAGATACTGAGTTTCCTCCAGACGTTGGTGTTTCTCAAAAGAATAGATAGGTATGTTCGTTTGCTGGAGGTTCTTGAGATCCGAGAGACACTGCGTGCACGATGTTTAGATATTGTTATACACAGAACGCAGACGAAACGTACAGCAGCAAAAAGTTCCATATCTAAAGCATCTGGATGATCAAAATCGAACCGGGACGAGAATGCACGCTTGAGCTCTTCGGGAGTCTTCTTCTTATAGAAACTATCCTAAATGATGGACGCCCAGCAGAAGCAAAAGGCGCACACGACCACACATTACTCCTCGAATATTGCAGCGTGGCGATAAGGGATGGTCTACCTGGGACATTATGACGACAGTAGGGATAGATCCAAGAGACCGAACGATCTGACGCGCGACATGGGTCTGGAAAGGAAGATGAATGCTCGTCGAAGACTACGCGAGGCAATCCATCAGACCTTGCCGCTGGCCGAGCCCCCTGTAGGACGAATGAGTACGAAGCAATACAAGGAATAACAGTTCGCGGTATTGACAGAACAAAGAGTGAACGTACCAGCAATACCAATCACAAAAGCCTGACAAATAGGCAAACCGTCCTCGCCGTACCTGCCATTGCATCCCAATCCGTTCCATCTTTTCTCCCGTGACGGCGATTACAAAAAGAAAATTGCTCACCATGGCGGGCGTCCGTGACTTTTCAGCACAGTGTTCTTCAGAGTCTTCGTAGAGAGAAGAGGGTCTGGACGAGGACTTGGGATTGGCGTAGCTTCTGGTGAGACGCTTGCACTTTGAGTACCAGGATTAGGACTCGAAACTGCTGTCGTAGAAAGGGAAGACATGATGCACACAACCAACAGAAGTAGAGCAAGGAAATCAACTAAAGCCTAAAGCCAACGAAAAACGTGTCTGGAAGAAAACGAGGGTAAAATCGAGCGGGTGAAGGAGATAGAGACCCCTCTAGATTTGCGTCGAAGTCATGGTTTAACGAGCTCGCCTTTTATGGTAATCAATGTTCCGCGTTTCTCGTGGCGGCGAAAAGCGTCCGACATCTTGTTCTCTCGCCTCCATGAGGTGGCCCATACACCGAGTCTTAGTACTCTCTTAGCCTTGCTACTATAATAATGTCTGGCTCGCCTTCGTCTGGTATCTTGGAGAGACCGAATCTCGTGTCTCTTGTGCTGCAGTCCAAGAAGGCTCTACAGCGCGGTGAAGCGCTCTGTCATCGTGCAATCACCCTCGAGAATGCATCGGCTCAGACCGCGCTAGACGTGTTGGCCCTGAATGCGAAGGTCAAGTGGATTAGCGATGCTGTATTGGAGCAACTGAAGGTGCGTGGATTCTGTGTATCAGGACGCGTCAGGGGTCATGACTGGACGCGTTGCTAGCTTGCTGCCAGTGTGGCGAAGAGCATAGAGGAGAAACGGTCTAGGTTCGAGAAGCAAACGCAGGTTTGTATACCTCCCACCTTCATCTCATACTCTATTTCTGACCGATATCGCCCATGTGCAGACTTGGGATGCACTTCGCACGGATCGTACCAATATCCTCGATGGTGTTCTTGACTCTCTCGGCGCCCAACCTGTCCCGCCAGACTTTCACGAAACTTCGTCCGACTCCTCCTTATTCGGCAGCCCACATTCAGACTCAGACGAAGGACATGAAAACGAAAACACATCGCCACACAATAGTCCCTCGCTCACCATCCGACATCCTATCATGAACGGCAGCAACGGACGAATAGGCCTAGACAAGGGTAAAGGAGCCGTGCATGGAAATGGGAAAGTCAAGGACAGGAAAGACAGAAGCCGGTGGAAGAATCTGAGGGATTTTGTGGACGAGAGGGCTATTAATGAGGCTTTGGAGACCATGGAGACTGAGAGAGCCTTGTTGGATGTTGGTCATGTCTCCATATCTCCAAATTATTCATTCGATCTTGACTTGGTATTGTTGTTCATAGGATGTGTTTGAGACGACAGCTGATTACCCGGTCACGCTTCATGACTCACTCAACGCCATTCGTGACGGTCTCCCGCCCCCACAAACCATAAACATCGAGGAAGTACTGAACTATCAAGGTCGTGTATCGAGTTCTATGGCTGGACAGCTCGAGAGCTTGACGGATCACTTGAGCTCAATAGAACATGCTGTGGAGGAGGATATCACCGAAGACGACTTTCTAGGTGGTTCTATACGTTCCTTATAAAGATTCATGATGCTGATTCGCTGCACGTGCGGATAGATATGACTAGAGATGTGGAAGAGCTGCCTGTCATACTGTCAGAGCTCGAAGAGTCTATGGGTCACATTGAAAGTAGCCAGTGTGTTGAGACTCCCGTATCATGACCTCATACTGCGGCATTGACCTTCATTATAATACTTCTACTAGTGAACAACTTGTGGCCGCGAAAGCTCTAGCTCAGCAGCACCTCGACACGCACCACATCACACTTGATGATCTCGAGGAATTAAGTGATATCATGTCCGAGATGCTACGGAAGCAGCAAGAGATCGAGGTACATCCCTGTCCTTTTTTGTCCCCGCCCTCTTCACTAGCCATTCAACCCTGTCGCTGAATTACTAGCCTGTGTACATAGGAAGACTGTACCGAGCGTCTCAATATGCTTCATCATCACCTTGTCGTGATAGACGACTTGGTAAACACCTACACATTATACCAAATGTCATTCAACAAAGTTCTAGTCGAAGTTGCAAGGCGAAGAGAATACAAGGAGGCCGCGGAGGATATCGTGAGCGGAATGATGGCGCAGCTGCAAGCTATGACTGATGGTAGGTTTTCGTTCCATGCGTGTATTGGCGATGGTGCTCCTTTGTTCTCCTGCCTACATCCGGCTGCACATCCTTCTCTTTTATGAAGCGTAAGAGCTGACGGGTGCTTCCATGTTATACAGAGGAGCGTCGAGTTCGTGAAGATTTCAACGCGCAATATGGTGCTCACATCCCTGAGGACATAGCCCTCTACCTCCATAACCCGCCCACAAAATGGGAAGTTGTTCCCTCTGGTGGTGAGGAAACAGAGGTATTGCCGGAGGTTGATCATGATCTGATAGTGCAGGTTCGTTCTATATTTCCCTGTGCTCTTCGAACATACATGTAACGTGTTCCGTCAATACAGGCATCCGAGGCGATTACACGCGAGGAGGGGCATCTTCACGGCAGCCAGAGCTTATGAGGCTTGATTCTTGGAGACCCTGATATGACGGCTTGCATTTGGTACGACCTAGCCTCCAAGTTCTGCTTGACTATGTGCTCACCGAGATGTCAGTTATCTGTACTGTATATTTGCTATCTTTTAGCTATGATCCGTGAAGCTTGAGGTTTGAACATCAAATTATGTAGCGCTTTACGAAGGCTACTCCGAGCTCAGTTGGCTTGCTGCGACTGCACACATCTCGTCGGTACTTTATGGTTCCCGATTCACTTACTCAGCAATATCTGGTGGTCCACGTCCCGACCCACACTGGTCCGATCTCGATGGGCAAATGCCTTTTCAAGCCAGTTCTGCCATGCGTCGAGCCTATTTTGGTGTCAACGATACGGCCAGTAGGCGCCCATGGGTGAACTTGAGGATAGCGTGGAAATTGATGTTGCGCCCTCGAATGGACAGTCACCCATCCTCCTCACAGTGAGCAGTTCTGCGATCAAATGGGAACTATATAAACTGCTCGACATCGGTCGACTGATCTCTCACTACAGTCCACCCAGCATACCCTGCTATACAGTGGAACGATTCCAGCGATTCATTACTTTCACCAACCATGTCTGCTGTCCCTTCAACTCAAACTGCCCTTCTCCTCTCCGCCCCCGGCACCCCCTTCACCGTCTCAACCCGTGCCGTACCTGTTCCTGGCGCAGGCCAAGTCCTCATCAAAGTCCACGCCGCTGCACTGAATCCAATTGACGCTATGATGCAAAAGGCTGGGCACTTGTTCACGGAGTGGCCCGCTGTGGCGGGGAATGATGGGGCTGGAGAAGTGGTGGCGCTTGGAGAGGGGGTGCATGAAGTGCAAGTCGGAGACCGTGTGTGAGTGATCTTGACCGAGAAGGAGGGTACATAAGACAGGATTGTTGCTGACTGGGTAAACATCGTTTAGCTTATTTCAGTGTTGGTTCACCGTGGATAGGGGAACGTTCCAGCAGTATGCCATCGCAGACGCCGCTCGGGCTATCAAGGTATGCAAACCCAGTCGCTTCTACGTCAGACACTGTAACGCGGTCGTCGACCTCTCTCTCTCACCGTCTGTCTCATTTGATCAACATCGTGTCTTCTTGGTTGCTACCGTCACAGTTCCCCAAAACCATCACCTACGACGAAGCCGCTACTATCCCGCTCTGTTTCTTTACGGCTGCCCTCGGTTATTACGGCACGTACGATGTCGCAGTCGACACTATGCAATTTCGGGGTATAGGGCTTGATATACCAGTCGGGGAAGGAGCTGGTAAGTATAAGGATGAACCCATTTTGATACCGGGTGGCGCAAGTTCGGTAGGACAGTTTGGTATGTCGTCTTCATTCCCTAAGGAATTATTTAATGATATCAAGGTCAAAATGCACACGTTCTCATACCTTTGGTTTCATAGCGATCCAGTTGGCGAAACTATCCGGCTTCAACCCCATCATAACTACCTGCTCTAAATCCAACGAGTCGTACTGTCTCTCTGCCGGTGCCACACACGTCATAGACTACAAGACCGTCCCTTACACCTCCCTTGCCTCCCACATAACCTCCAATATCACCAGCAAACCATTCAAAGTCATCTACGACGCTGTTTCCACCGAAGACTCTCAGGCTGCGTCTTGGTCCATCCTCTCGGACACCGAGGGATTGGGGAGCAAAGCTGGGACAGGAGGGAAGCTGGTGATCACTTTGCCACCTGCGAAGAGCATCGCAAGTGAACTGGACGAGAAACAGTTTGCAAAGAATGGGTCAAAGAGCGCGAGTTGGGCGTATGGGAATGGGAATGGGCAACCGACCCAGGCGGATGCTAATAAGCTTGCGAGGGCGTTGGAGGGATGGTTGATTGAGGGAAAGATTAAGGTGTGTGTCTTTCCCTGTCTCTTGGCTTTCTTCATGGAAGCCTCTTCGGTGTTCCGGAATCCATTCGCACTTGCCCATTCACCTCTTGATACTGATAAATTTTCTATCTCTACATGACTTTTTTCTCTCAACGTCTAGCCGAACAAGGTCGAGCTCCTACCAGGCGGTCTGTCCGCCGTGGACAGCAATGTGGGTAGATTTCACAGCGGCGGCACTAGTGGAGCGAAGCTTGTTGTCAGACCTTTCGAGACGATTGCACCGGCTTGAACAACTAGTAGATGGAAATTGAGCCAGGCAGATGAAGGGTCCTCGCGCTTGTTATGAACTGTTAGTACTTAGTGTGGACTTTCCCCGCGCTCGCATCATTCTTTATGGTGTATACAATGCTCAAATCAAATATAATCATGTCTAAGCTTCTAATTTATGGTCACAACTCGGACATCTATCTTGCAGTGAGTTTGAGCACGAAGGAGTTGTGGCCCGCACCCGCCCGCACGCCACACCGTTGATCACATCAATGCTTAGTCAGTGACACTCGTTCCCTTGGAGTCTATCTGACTGTCAACGCCTTTTACTTCCACTCTTGTACTCACCCGAGACTTACATGGAAGCTTGCAGTTTGAACATCATGTTCGCGTTCCAAAAAGGCTCAGTTGGCTTGCTGCGACTGCACACATCTCGTCGACACTTTACGGCTCCCGATTTACTCAACAATTATCTAGTGGTACATGTCCCGACCCACACTGGTCCGACACATCCTCCTCACAATGAGCAGTTCTAGGATCAAATAGGAACTATATAAACTGCTCGACATCGATCGACTGATCTCTCACTACAGTTCACCCAGCATACCCTGCCATACAGTGGAACGATTCCAGCGATTCGTTACTTTCACCAATCATGTCTGCTGTCCCTTCAACTCAAACTGCCCTTCTCCTCTCCGCCCCCGGCACCCCCTTCACCGTCTCAACCCGTGCCGTACCTGTTCCTGGCGCAGGCCAAGTCCTCATCAAAGTCCACGCCGCTGCACTGAATCCAATTGATGCTGTGATGCAAAAGGTTGGGCACTTGTTGACGGGGTGGCCTGCTGTGGCGGGGCATGATGGGGCTGGAGAAGTGGTGGCACTTGGAGAGGGGGTGCATGAAGTGCAGGTCGGAGACCGTGTGTGAGTAACCGAGGATGAGGGTAAGATGGGCCTGTTGCTGACTGGTTAAACCTCTTCGATGTCTAGTCTTTTTCAGTGCTGGTTCACCGTGGACAGGGGAACGTTCCAGCAGTATGCTATCGCAGACGCCGTTCGCGCTATCAAGGTATGCATGCTTCTTGCACTTTACACTCTTGTACGACAACCATAAGCCTTGACGTAGAAGCGATCCAGGGTAGGGAAGCAAACTGCTCGCCTAGAAGCGAGTATGGCCCCACGCCATAGTGGAGTAACTTCCCTACCCCAGTCGACTCTACGTGACCCTGTACCGTGAAGTGGTCGTCGACCCTTTATCTATTCTCTATCTATCTCACTGTTCTGTCTCATTGATCACATCGTCTCTTCTTGGTTGCTACCGTCACAGTTCCCTAAAACTATCACCTACGACGAAGCCGCTACTATCCCGACCTGTTTCTTTACGGCTGCCCTCGGTTATTACGGCACGTATGATGTCGCAGTCGACACTATGCAATTTCGGGGTATAGGGCTTGATATACCAGTCGGGGAAGGAGCTGGTAAGTATAAGGATGAACCCATTTTGATCTCGGGTGGCGCAAGTTCGGTAGGACAGTGCGGTATGTAGTCCTCATTCCCTAAGGTTGAGATGCCAACGTTCTCACACTCTTGGTCTCATAGCGATCCAGTTGGCGAAACTCTCTGGCTTCAACCCCATCATAACCACTTGCTCTAAATCCAATGAGCCGTACTGTCTTTCTGCCGGTGCCACGCACGTCATAGACTACAAGACCGTTCCTTACACCTCCTTAGCCTCTCACATAACCTCCAACATCACCACCAAGCCATTCAAAGTCATCTACGACGCTGTATCCACCGATGACTCTCAGGCTGCGTCTTGGTCCATCCTCTCGGACGTCGAGGGATTGGGGAGCAAAGCTGGGACGGGAGGGAAGCTGGTGATCACTTTGCCACCTGCGAAGAGCATCGCAAGTGAGCTGGACGAGAAACAGTTTGCGAAGACCGGATCAAAGAGCGCGAGTTGGGCGTATGGGAATGGGAATGGGCAACCGACCCAAGCGGATGCTAATAAGCTTGCGAGGGCGTTGGAGGGGTGGTTGATTGAAGGAAAGATCAAGGTGTGTCTCCTTTCCCGAACCATAGATCGTCAACATCTCCTGTTTCGCTTTCAACTTTACCCTATATTTTTCTCCCTATCCCAAGGTCTTTGATACTGATGACTTCTCTATTTCTGCACGACTTTTCCTCCTCAATGTGTAGCCGAACAAGGTCGAGCTCCTCCCAGGCGGCCTGTCCGCTGTAGAGGGCAATGTGGGCAGATTCCACAGCGGCGGCACTAGTGGAGCGAAGCTTGTTGTCAGGCCTTTCGAGACGATTGCACCGGCTTGACCAATCAGTAGGTGGAAGTTGAGCCAGATGAAGGCTCGTCGCGCATTATGAACTGTTAGTAGTATGCACTTTCCTCGCGCTCGCAGAGCGCATCATTGATTATGGTGAATACGATACTTAGGTCAAATTTAATCACGTTTGGCTTCTCAGTTATGGCCACAACTTGAACATTTCCCTTGGAGTAAGTTTGAGCACGAAGGAGCTGTGGCCCACGCCTGCACGCCACACCGCCGATGGTTCCGGGCATCAATGCTTAGTCAGCGACACTCGTTCAACCCCGACTGCCCTCCACTTCCAACCACGTACCCAACACGTACCTGCTTACCCTACAGTCCATGGAGGGATTCATGATCACCATCCTGCAGCTCTTTTTATCTCCTCCACTGTCACTGGATTGTGCGAGTCAATAGACCATTATAAGTAGTTGGAAAAGCCCGCTTCACCCTTGGTCTATCTCGTTTCGAATCGACATGACAGCATAACATCTTCTGGTGTATATCTTCAGTTATAATGGAATCAGCATCCTCTGAATGAGGCCAATCACTGCTATTTATGTATTGTTCCGGACCCCTGCGACAGATCAAGCTTGGATGCGTTCATAATCTGGGCGTCCCGATCCTCCGCTAACCTCCGTCCGTCCGTCTGCTTTAGTAGCCGTCTGACACCCGATCGGAGTCCTAGTTCGAGTCTTGACGCTTCGGTTGGAACTTGGAACTTGGAACTGCAGAGTCGTTCACGCCCGCCCGCTTTCTCTAGTCTACCATTGCGCTTTCTGCTGTCTTCATCCCTTACTCTCGTCCCCAGGCTAGTCCTATCTGTTTTTCGTATTCTCGTTGCACTTTTGTTTGTGAATTCAGGCCGGCCCCTTCTTTCGTTTCACCTGGGCTCCCTGGAAAAACGATCAACCCGTTGACACGATACGAACATTGTCTTCCTCGCTCATATTCCCACTCAAAATGCCCTTCCCAACGCTCTCTCTTGTAACTGCTACGCTGGTCGTAGGCTCCATCCTGTCTCCCCTTTGCCAAAATTCTGCCTACGCAGCCCTCTATGCCACGAAACCATTCAGTGCGACGAACTATACCGCTGGGCAGACGGAGTTGGTTACTTGGATGGAAGACGGGAATCAACCCAGTTTAGCCGGCATGGGAACGTTCAAGATCGATTTATGGATGGGAGGCGGAGCGGGAGAGGTATGTGTATTTGCGTTATGGGCACCTATCTCCTGGGAGACTTGTTTGTGGTGTGCTCATGTACTGGCGGGTTGGAATAGAACTACGTGACAACAGTGGCACAGAATGTCAACGCACAGGCCATGCAACAAAACATCGTAATCAACCCGTCGGTCGGTTCTGACAGCTCCTACTAGTCAGTGCCTTCACAGTCTTCCCCTCTTATGTCTGCTAACCGTCAGAACCTCAGCTACCTCCGGCTCATGTTTGACAACCCCCCGTCTATAACCTACACTTCCATGTTCACCATAACCGGCATGTCAGGTTCGGCTCCCGCCCCCACCACGGTTAGTGGTACATCCTCGGGCGTATCCGCCGCCGCCAGCGCACCATACGGCTTCGTCCACGCCGGCTCGTCTACGTCAAGCATGAACGCCACCGCCACTTCCACTTCGAACTCCTCGATGTCAGCACTGAACGCAACTGCGTCACAACCCCCATACCTCATCGCTACGACGGTCTCTGCATCACCAATTACCCGATCCTCACCAGCAGCCCCTATGGTGACAGGGACGAAGCCACCTGTGCAGGAGGAGAAGGATAAGAACGGTCTTGCGAATAGCACATCCACCGCGATGAGTGGTGCACAGAGGAAGACGAACGCAGCGGGAAGTGCGGGTATGCAGAGGCCTTCGATGGGCGGCTACGGATGGGAGAGGATGAAGTTCCAGATGGTATTCATTCTATGGCCGGCGTTGATGGGCATCACGATGGCACTATGAGATGGTCTGGCTGTTGCTTTTGCGTGTGGACACGACACAGTGGAGTTCGCACAGGACTCCGGGTTCAGAGCTTGGACTTTTGTGGCTTGACGCATGGACGCTGATGTGGCAAAGACCCTGGACCGTTGTATTTCTCGATAAAATCTTGTTGTATTATCCACTTGTTCTGTTATCACATGCTAACGAGACTCTTTTCATGCTGTACACGATCTTTTTGCGTGGTCTTGACACCAGACAGTTTTGCTCCGAGTCTGATACGCAGGTAAATTCAAAGCGTTGAGACGTGAGCAATCATATCGCTCGGATGGGGCCCTGGGGACTCGCTCGTAACAGGTCGTCGTTGGTGTACATATTACAACGGTATCGTAAGGCATAATACGAAGAGATGTATGTATTGAAATGGGACGGCGGCATAATAGGGCGACGCTTTTGCGATAGAAGACGCGAGAAAGTGGGCACGATACCGTGAGGGCGACTGGTGTGCTCGTGCAAGATGTAGCAGAAATATTCCACAAAATGATCCAGAAAGGAGAGGCAGTGCAGACCAGAAAGCGAGGGATAGCAGAAAGAATGGATGTACAAGAACTCAACATGAATACCACCAGGTACGAAAATCACCGATGAAGATCACCTCCCATGTCTATATCGCATGGAGACCATGAAAAATAATTAGAAGTGATCTCCTTTTACGACGCCGTCCGGAGCATCCGTCTCCACGTCTACTTGCACCTTCACTGAGCCGTAGTAGTGATCGTCTGCAGTCGTGTCGCTGCGAGAGAAATCGCTGAGAGGTATCGATGATGTGCCTCTTGCTGAAGGGCGGGGACGAGGGGAAACCACGGATGACCCTCCTGTGGTGGAGTTGGTGATTACATTGCGGGAAGGTGCGCGGAGATTGAGAACCAGACGGCAACATAGCACCTGTCCCAAGACCAAAGCTAGGAAAGAGTTGATGTTTTGAATGTTCGCATTGCTGTAGAAATGAGCCCTTTTGCATCAGATTGAGCACAAATTAACGAAAGAAAGAACCAAACCTTTGGAACATGAAAGCTGCGTTCAGGACGTTGACAGCGCTCACAGCCTGAAGTAGTGCAGGTTAGTTCACGGTCCGGTCCAGGTTGGAAGGAAAGAAGGAAACGCACGAGGAAGTAGAACAAACCCTCACGAATGAAAACAATCAAAAGAGGAGAGCGAATCATGGACAAGGACTTCATAGCCTGCAATCACGAAGACGAGAAGTTAATCATCGGCCTAAACGACACAAAAGAATGTCGGCTCACCTTGTATATGGTCATGACGGTACATATCAAATCAAACACCACAGGTGCCAGCCAGAAGCCCATCACGACATGCTTACATCGGATGGAACGTCAGACGATCGCCGAATTGGGCCAGAAGGCTGCAGTCACACACCTTCCCAGGAGCATCACTCGCAGTACAAGGTCCATCGAAGACAAGCTCGGTCTGGTGTACGCCAGCGATAGAGACGTAAAGCAGGTATGCTGTCTCACCGACCAGTCCGGTAATGAGGAAGATGGCGACCACATTCGACTTAGCCATGAAGGCCCACGTACGCACGGCCAGAATGGCCTCTAAGTGGGGCAAGCCGTTAACGCGGTCTCTCCAAATGACTGTGGTGAGAACGAACCTGATCCCAGTTGAGTCCACATACACGACGCCGCAATGATGTAATGTCTTTGGTATGGAGAAGTCAATCTCAAATAAAGGGAAGCACGGTTACTGATGTCAACTTACAAAGGCTTGCATTGTTCAGCTGTAAAGTTAGCGTTGAAGAGCCACAGATTGACGGCAAAACAGGCAAGACCATAGTACCGTGTCCATAGGTACAGGAACTTGACCAGCGTCCACTTTCGTTTCCATATGCGTTCCCATTCCACTGATGGCCGATCAACAATTGGTGTAGTGAACAGTGCAAGGTACACGCACTCTTAAGGCACGCCAGCCATTCCCAAACAGCAATAGCAACCTACTGGCCATGTTCAGTGAGAGCCGAGCATTGAAGATGAGCAGAAACGGACCATGCACTGACAGCAGAAAGATTATAAGTATGGGGACGCCATCATAATATACAGTTTATTCGTACATACCGAGGTGTAGACTTGGAGAACGTGAAGCAGTCCCAGAGCTGTAGCAATGGTCGCTGCCAACGTCTCATCCCCACCGCTGACCGACTCAGCGGCGATTTGATTGACCACTACCATTCCAGACATCTTGGGGAGGAGTCGGGTGACTTACGATGCGTGAAAAGAGAGATCGTAGAGTGAGGGGCAGATGTCGCAACAGGCGGGGTGACGCTAGTAATTATAAGGATGCCGTACGCAGTTCCAGGATCGGCGAGTCCCGCTCAGCGGTGATTTCGAGCCCTGGAAATACGGTTCTTCAAAAATTCTGCCCATCACTTCATAAGTTCGCATCTCGTATTTGAAATGTCGTCAGCGACCTGCCCCCGGCCTGGCTCAGAGCTTCTCTCTTTTTGCCACTCAAACTCGTCTAAGGCAAGCTTTGAAGCAACATTGACCTCAGTAATAGCCAGAAGGTAATCACAATAGACGCTCATAGACCAGAGGAGGCCGTCTAGAATACATCAACAGCTCAACCATAGCCAAGTTAGGATGCTGAAGAGAAGAATTCATGGTGATTAGATTGAGCTGTTGAAGAGAAGAATTCATGGTACACAGAGTGCGCCTGAGCGGCGACCATGCATGTGTTCTTCTAACAGAAAAGCTCCTGTCCAACATAAGTACTCCTATCCACAGTGCAGCCGAGCCTGGGCTCGAAGCTCCATGAAGCGTGTGCTCAAAATTATCGAAGGGTCTGAGGTCTTCGGAGACACGGCATGAACATCTTACCCTTTCGCGAGCGCCCATAAGCTACAAGACGGCCTCCGTCATCGATATAAAGCGGCTGGGATCGTTCATCTTAGCATGGGGCTCGGTCGGGCTTCGCAGGCAATATCGTGGTGCGCATGCGCTTTGATGCATTGATGCCCCAGCAACCCACCCAGGAGAGCATAGCAACGATTTCTGCGCCTGCGCATTTGCCCAACGGAGGATTTTGCAAGTATGTTTCGCAATGAGGAAAGTGACCAGAATAAAGACAATTTGTATTCCGTCTCGGTACATAGGAGGGAAGGAAGGAAGGAAGTTTCTGCAAGGGAAGAAATCACCGTGGCGATTGGGGTAGGGAACAACATCGTCGACATGCAACTGTTCACCGGGGAGTCACCATCATTCGATAGCCAGCAGAGACCAGACTGATCATGAACATAGTGTGGACGCACCTGGAATGGAGTTGGATAGAACAACACAGCACGGTATACATATGTATATACATGGTGGGGTTCCATGAGTTGTGTTGGGAGACCTTCAGGTTGTCCCTCGTTAACTCGGGCTGTCCATGCAAACTTGAGAAGATGACGGCTTTCTACGGCAACTCGTCGGATCAGGTCAGATTCGGACATAATCTAATCTTGTTCATCTACACAATCTAATCTAATATAATTTTCCTCGTCAGGCTTGTGATTCTTTCGGAAAACAGCTCGTCAGCGCCAATCGCGATGCTTCCGTCTCGGAACAGAAAGAAAACAATAGACGCCCACACACTCTGAATCGTACAGTAGCCTTACAAGCGTGTTTTCTATCTTCTCGACCTCAGATACACGGTTTATGGCCTCCAAGATTGTAGGCGAGGCAGCTCGGATATTGGGTGATGTGGACAGTGATGGCATATGGGGTCCTGTCACAGCGACGTTGGATTGGTGTGAGGTACGTCCAGTACTAGGCCCATACTTTGAAGAAAACATTGTGAGCTGAACACTCGGACGAATGATTCAGGCTAATTATCAATTCTCGCATTATATTGCCGAGATGGCAAACTCCCTTTCCAATCTCATCACTGTGTGGTTTGCCGTCAAAGGTGCGAGACAAACGAGCCGGTACGATCTTCCTCGACGGTATCAGTTTTACTGGGCGGTAGGATTCCCTCTCTCTTCATCAGCTTCCCGTGGTCTCACTTTATCCGTGGGCTGCCCGTTATGTTACTTTCCTGGATATAGGGTCTTCTCCTAGTAGGCCTCGGGTCATTTGCCTTTCACGCCACCCTACTCTATGGTCCCCAACTGGCAGACGAACTCCCCATGATCTATGTCGCCTCATGGAGTTGTTTCCTTCTTTACGACACGCAGCCTGGATTTAATCTGCGCAATCGACGGAGTACGACTTTATTATTCGCCATGGCTGCATTCGATATCCTCTTCACCGCGAGCTAGTACGTGCTTCTACTTCAAATACACCCTATCCATGAGCTTTTGAATTATTCTTTGATGGCTCATTGGGTACGACGGTCATGATGGTGTGGTTTTGACAGTTTCGTATACAGAAACCCTATATACCATCAGTTCATCTTCGCATGCACGATCCTCACCACGGCTGGACGCGTCACCTATCTTGTCCACAGCTCTTCAGAGCAGACGACCAAGATTCCCGCCCACACCAAACAGACTGTCTTGAAGATGTTCTGGACTGGTGAGTTCTCGGCTCTCCTTCCTCGGCTTCTGTTGCAAACGAAGTCCATCTGAATGGTCACAGGCGCGGCAATGTTCTCGCTTGCATTCATCATCTGGAACCTCGACAATGTGTTTTGCGGGACCTTGACACAATGGAAACGCAAGGTCGGATGGCCATTTGCTTTTTTACTTGAAGGTCAGTCGCGTGTACTCTCTGGGTGCTTTGTCTGAAGACTCAAGGTGTTACTCTGTGTGTGCAGGCCATTCTTGGTGGCACGCTCTAACCGTCTGTACACCTCTTTACTCCTAATTCATCGCGGATATTGACCCATGAAGGCAGGCTTCTGGAGTGTACCTCATGATGGAAGGTGTCATATGTATGTGTCATTCGTTTCGTTTTCGTTCATCTTCCCTCCAACGCAGTGGCCAGGATCTGACCGTGACGCACCTCCAAACCAGATATGACGCTATTAGTCAAGGACAATCATCAGAAGTACGGACTGGAGTATACACGGGTGGGTTGGCCTTACGTTGTACGCATTCCTTCCGGAAGCGTGGATGGAAAACCTCAAAAGAGGTAATGCCCTATTTTCGGCTCGATATACTTAGAACCTATACGGTTGGTGTGGCTTCTTGAGGAGACCTGCGAAGGCAATGGTAACACACGTACCGTGCCCATGGCAGATGAGTTGTAATCGAAGTGACTGAGATAATGTACGGGTTATATCGCTTTCCGCCCTCCAGTACATACTGTGTCTGTGCCCACGATAAGTAATTGACCCCGTGGGCGGCGTGAATGGTCCAGCCCCGTACTGTATACGAAGTCAAATCTTAGATCTTTTGTCCTCCGGGTCGTACTTATCAGATCGTGGAGTTTACCAAAACTGAACGCCGCTACGATAAGCCGGCTCTTCCCGAAATGAGCTCATTATTCACGTTGTGTGGCGCGAGAGAACTGTGGCCCTCTCTTCTCTCCAGTCCAACGCTGTCCGAGTGCTCTAGGTGTTGTATTTGAGGTACAGTATTTGGTGCGTTTATATCCATGTCGATGATGCGGCTGTGTCTTATCGGCCCACTTTTATGACTCAGACCTGGGACCTTGGACAACACAGCCTGGTAGTACTGCCTCTTCGAAACCCAATCGCTTTGAGCTTTAACCATCTGATTGTCAATAAATCTGGGCGCTGCACAGCCGCAAGTCGTTATCCTGGACATCTATAAAGAGCAGGAGTAAGAGGTAGGGGAGGGCTACCATTCGGTCCCTCGTCTCCATCATATTCCTCAGTCGACTGTAGACTGAATCGAATGGGCCATCACAGCAACAGCTCTTCCTCGTCCTCCTCGTCCTCGTCCGACTCTGACTCCGACCACGAGAAAAAGTGGTTCAAGAAAGATCGCAAGCATAAACACAAGCACGATCACACCCAAACGACGCACGCCGCCAGCTCCCACCTCAACCCCTCCTTCCCCGAAATGCGCATCCCTTCTCCATCGCACCACAGCCCCAACACCCAAGACACCTTCCAAATCCCCAGCATGCCCGAACCGACGCACATCCTCCCTCCCTCAGATAACATGAGCTCTCCCCCAGCCTACACCCCCACCTCCACCAGCACCCCTCCAAGCGGATACCGCATCCCGCTCTCCACGGGCACCGTCACATTATCCCACCACCCACAAGCCAAAGACAACGATCATTCCCAGCCGCAACACTTCCCCTACTCCCAAGCCGCCTACCCGCCCTTCTTCGACCTCGACGGCACCTCCCCCATCTACCTCGGTTCCGCCATCTTCACCTCCCCGCCCTCCGTACATCCATGCAAGATCGCCCCATCCCTCTCACCGACCGAGTGTCGCGTCGCGTATGGCGGGAGAGAATACGAGCACCAGGGACGGTACGATTTGTTGCCGTTTGTGCCGGAGATGATGGAGTGGGTGAGGACGGAGGGAGGGAGGGTGCCGAAGGGACGGAGGCCGGTGGAGGGGGGGTATGAGGAGCATGGGGGCGTTGGGAGGAAGTTGTATCATGCGGTTGCGAGGGTTGGGGGGGTTATGGTTCCGGGGAAGACGGGGGAGCATTTGGTGAGTTGTTTTCCTTTCGTTGGGTGTTTGGGAAGATTGTTTGTGCTGATGCTGTTTGGCAGGGAGGGTGCAATGTCGCGTTTAATGGAGGAGAACATGTTATTAGGGAGGGATACGATATCTTGTGCGTTCTTCTTCTTGCTAAGCTCGACTGTACGGTGGATCGAAGACTGACTGGACCATATATTATTCATGCAGATGCTGGAAGCACTGAATTTTCTACTCAAGCAGGTGATGGGCGAGCCCAAGAAGGGCCTGATATTGTAACACTACGTACCAGTCTACTCGCGACTAAATGTCCTCGATCGTTGTATATGTGTGTACTATTACGGACGAATCTATATATATGTCCATCTCGATAATCTTCCATCCGATACGTCGACAGCAAGACTGCGAGATCGTCTGCGATGCCTCGGATTCGCCCCATCAAATGGGTGTCAGACGAAAAAGAGATCAAGAAGAACACGAACGACATTCGTTGATTCCTGATCAAGAGTCTGTGGGTAGGTATTGACACGGTGCAAGAGTCTCGCAAGTCCGATACGAACAAATATCTGAGAAATCTCCCTGAACGTGAACGGAGACTGAACTAGGTAGTGGAGTACGAGTATTGATGGCGAATGTCCTTTGGTGGGATGAAACGGGTGGTATACAATGTAAGCAAGTAGGAAAGGACACAACGATCAAAAAAGACGCGAAATAGCGATCACAAACAACGAGTCAAAGCAGGTCGACTGATGTCCATAGGGATATGTACCGCACGCACGCATCCCACACAACTCCTTCTCTTCACACGCACGGGTACAGCGTACACGTTCTATCACGACATGCCCAACGCCCCCGCCATCCTCGCGAACAGCCCCATTCCACTCCCACTCCCCTCGACATCCCTCTTCCTCCTCGTCAACTCCACACTCGAATTCGTCAAACTCTGCGTCGGCAGCATATTCGGCTCTGTCGAAACGAGATAAAGCCTCGGCACCGGCGTCCCATCGAAACTCTGCAAATTCAACAACATCCCGTCCGTCGCATCCTGCACCGTATTCCAGCTCAAATACAGCTCCGTCGTGTTGAAGAAATCGATCACCGGGCTCACGGCGGCGCACGTATCCTGCACCTGCTGGTACCCGTCCCCGAACGGAATCATGGTGATGCTCCCGTTCGATTGGAGCGTGTACGTCCCGTGGGCGAAGTTCATGACGCCGGTGATGCAGTTCGGTTGGGCTGGGTTGCCTGTGAAGCGGTAGCGGGCGATTTCGTAGAAACCGTCTGAGGAGAAGGAGTACGACATCCCGGTCGTTTTGGGGAAGATGAAGGTTTGGTTGAGGGGGTTGGCGAACCCGGCGCCGGTTATGACGTTGCGCGAGCCGGAGGACCAGGTGCCGACGAGGGAGGAGGCATCTTGGGCGAGTGAGGAGGGTAGTGTGGATAGAGTGGAGAGGGCGAGGGCGAAGAGGTGGAAGAGGAACATGTTTGGTCTTTGGCCGTTAGATGATGATGTTGTGAGTTCAATTGATGTTTGGTGGGTGCTGTGAGCAATGCGAATGCGACTCGTTTCAATGAGGTGGCGCTCCGAAGAAGAAAAAAACAGCCAGAGCCGTTCCAAATCCGAACTCACAAGTTCCAAGCTCCAAGAAACCTTCGAGCCTTCAACTACGTCTGCTCAAATCCTGATAGCCCCAGAGTGTCGCCTTTCTATGCAGTGAGTAACCAAAGGAAGGATGCTCAAATGGGGACAACGACGGGCCTCGGTGATGGTGAGAGAGACAGCGAGAGGGAGTGTGGGGGTGAGAGCATGACCTCCATCAGAAACGCCGCCTGCTCCGGAAGGGGCGTCAGTTCCGTACGTAAAGCTCCCTACGAGAGCATGAATAGACACGGCGTCTCGAGCTCAAAAGTCATATGCTTGTCGGCGTCGCACATGTGCATGAGCTCAGACTTGCGAGTCAAGGCCGAACAAATAGGCTTTATCAGTGAGCTTTTCGCTTATAGACCGAGGTGAATGGGCGACAATGTTTTCAGCGAGCCGAAGATGTAGTTTGCCGCGACTTGGATTAATTTTGCGCGGATCAAGCACATCTTGGGAAGAGATGAGGATCGAATCCAAGAGCTGTGGTCGTTGGACTCCGAGATTCCGAGACGTGGGAATAGAGCATGCAGAGTGTCAAGACCATCAAGAGGTGAAACGGCAAGGACAGAGCTCAGGAAGTTACAGCGCGATGGTGGTGGCAGTGATGGTAGAGAGAAAGAAAGAGAGTGGTCTGCTGCGGGCCCGGACGTCTACTCCAGTTTTATTGGTGACCACTGACAAGGAATGGGGAAAATATTATGTAGCGTGATGTGTACTTCAAAGTGCGCAGTGTGGGGAAGGGGCTTCTCGTTCGTTATCTCTGACGGAGGTGGCAACTCTGGCACCACAGCGTCGCCGGGGACCATAATGCATTGCGCCTGAGGCAAAATGGAGAGACCGGGAAGGCCAATCGAGGGCAGTATACATACATGTTTGTAGGTTAGAATATAAAAAGAGAGAGATCTTGAGCGGGACGGATACAACATCAGAATGGTGTGCAGGATACAGCAAAAGGGGAGCGATAGCTTGGATATGATTGTATCAAAGCGATAAGAGCGGTCGTCGACCAGCATCATGAATAGTTACCCTCCCAACTTGCCTGACCTCTCTCCGTGCCACAAGCAGAGCACGCCAAATGGCCGCTCTCATTTTCTCTACCCCACCAAAACAATACCGTAAGTCTTTCGAAGACGGATTCGAGTGGAGCGTAAAAACTCACAGTGTACAAATCAAACACGCCCACTTCGCGCTTTCCCCTCCAGGCGTCGAAATAAGTCGCGATGTATCTCGCGGTGCAACGCCGCTCTCCAGTCCAGGTCCAGGTCGCTTGGTATTACCACCCAACGTCCTCCCTTCGCTCTGTTCCTTCGTCATACCCAGCGCCTCTTTCTTTCGATACTCCACCTCGTCCTGCACGATATTCCCTAATACCATCCCTCTTCCCTTCGCAGCACCCTTGCCGTTGCCTTTGACGTCCGAACCCGTGCCAACGGCGCCGCCGTCCAGAGTTCTCTGCTTCAGCCCATCACCATCTTTCTTCGCGGTTGCTCCACTCGGAACATTCGTCTCCTTCTCCTTCCCTTTGGGCTGAGAGCCAGACGAAGACGAAGAAGCCCTAGGGATGATAAATTCGTCCCAGAAATCTTCTAGTTTGCCGTTGGTACCTTTGAGCTTCGCGTTGCCCGTAGGATCCGAATCGAGCATCGCACGTCGTCGGTCTGAGTCTGTCTCGGGGACGATCTCGAAATCCGATGAGTCGGAGTCGGAGTCTTGGCCATTCTCTGACTGGGTTTCGTCTTTCGGGGCCACCGACGGCGGAGAAGCTATGCGTTGACATATCATTGACAGAGAGAGAAAGAGGAGGGAGATCAGTCAATGTTAAGTTGGTAAGATACTTGTAGAACATAGGGATCGGGGAAGGAGCCAGAGTCACGGACGTACCTTTGCCTTGTAACGCAGCGATCCGCCGCTCAAACGCCAACGCCCTCTCCTCCCTCGCCTTCTTACTATCAAAACCCAACAACAATCAGTTCACAATTAATTCTCCCTCATTAACTTCGAGATCAGCCCACCTTCCCGCCCTCTTACCAAATCCCGTGCCCACTTGACTAGCAACCTCGCTCTTGCTCTCGCCACCGTCATTCAAGGCCACGCCATCGCCTCTGAATGCACCCTTCGCTGTCAACCGACCACCAGCTTTTCGTTTCTTAGCCGTTTGGGCGCCCGTATGGGTGGAAGGACCTGCTCTTGAGGTCTCCGTGCCCGCGATCCGCCGTCGCCGACGGTTGGAGGGTCGAGAACGGGTTTGGGCGCCACCGCACTGTTCAGGGTGTAGATGGGTGCGTCAGATGGTGGGAGAAGGGGAAAGCAGGGAGGGAGATAGAATAGGAGAGCGGAGGAGATGTACCATGTATTCGGGCAGGTCGCCTGCCTCGATTCCTGAGCCTGATACTGTGGCGGAGTCTGCGAGTCGGGTCCCGGATGACCAGTAGCCTGAAAGCATGACCAAGAGTAGGTCAAACTTTGGACATAAATTCACAGAGGGTTACGAGGAGAGAATTGTGGGAGGACTGGACGAACCATCACCGTAGTAGCCTCTTTCCTGTAAAGCCCTGACTTCTTGTCGGAGTTGAGCCCAGAGCTTTTGGAAGTCTGGACCGTGGTTCATGTGCTATGTGGTACAGAGCTCAGCATTGGAGCATGAAGGAGAATAGGAACATTTCTGTTACATTAATGTGGGCTAGCTGGGTGAATGAAAGGTCAGTTATGCTCGGGCCACATGTTTACACCACACGTGCTTGTTAGGATGCTGAGAGGGCTCACCTCATGACAAAGTGTACTCATCAAATAAGAAGTAGGAACACGGCCTCCATGAGGACCACGCAGAACCAGTTCTGTTGGCGATCGAATTGTGGTCGGTTTCTTGCGTGCTTGTATGATAGCGTGAACGTACCTACGGTCTCTCCAGCATTCCAATTTCTTCCCGAGAAAACAGCGTTGAATTCGTACTAATATTACGAAGATAAATTGAGAAACGCAAGAGTATATTTCACCACGAACACACCCACCTCCTCGAAGCTGTTCACGACGAACCCATGAGCCTTCATAACAGGCTTGACCTGCGCGGCCAACGCACGGAGCAGCTGTCGTGCATGTTCCTGCTGTTGGGGATCGTGAGGAGTCGGAAGAGCAGTGATGAAATTTATGTTCGGATTCGGGTTCGTCTCGTTCTCGTTGAGCCTGTTGTGGACCATCTGAAGCTGGGCTGCGCTGTGCTGAACGTTCTGGAGGACGGTAGGAGGACGGCTCTCGGAGTCGGTCACGTTGGCGGGGCGCGTCGAGTCGCGTCGAGCTCGCCACGTGCGGTGCATGACGTCGGCGTCTACATTGCAGATTTAATCCGTCCTCCGTTGTCCGCCGCTGCTTAAATTTTCATAGCTTGCCCTTGCCCTCCATCGCCACGTCCCTCTACACAATATCCGCGTACATAGCCTTCTGTGCTCTCGGTTACTTATCCTTTCGTCTGTATTATCTACCCAAGAGGCCCCCCTTCGATATGGCCGCTAGCAAGGCTCCAGAGTCGAGCAAGCATAAAATGAGGATCGCCGTGCTCACATCAGGAGGCGACAGTGCCGGGATGAACGCCGTCGTCCGTGCCGTCGTCAAGGGCGCTATCCTAAAGTGAGTATGGACATCCCCTTCTCATCAGGCTTCATTTTCTGAATATAAATCTGTAAATTTATCGCGATGTTCCGATGGTGATATAGGGGCTGCGATGCCTTCGTCGTTCGTGAAGGCTACGAAGGTCTCGTCCTTGGAAATGCCGATGAGGCCTACGTTCCCCACGCAGAACTCGACACGACCGCGCCTGCCGAGGTCCGAGACCCATCTTTCATCCAAAATCTTCGTTTCGGAGACGGTGAGTTGCTCAGAGATGGTACGGGAGATTACCCGGGAGGAAGGAGTTTGAAGGGGAGGTATATCGTTCGTGTCGGGTGGGATGATGTTCGTGGTTGGTTCGCCGAGGTACGTTGTACGATTCATCTGTGTTTCGTTGGAGCGAAGTTCTGAATAGACAAGTCCAGGGTGGCACCTTGATTGGAACGGCTCGCTCTGCTGCGTTCAGGACTCCAGAAGGTCGTCTCACGGCTGCCTATAACCTCATCAAGGAAGGCATCGACGCTATCTGCGTTTGTGGAGGAGATGGTTCCCTCACCGGTGCTGACGTTTTCCGCGCCGAATGGCCCAAACTGATCAAAACCCTACGTGCTGAAGGTGTGTTCATCCCTCTCATAAGCATCGTTGTATAGTTTTTGACATAAAACACATTTTTGATAGGAAGGATCACCGATGAACAGCTCAACCGCTTTGGCCATCTGAAGATCGTCGGTCTCGTCGGTTCCATCGACAACGACATGTGCATGACCGATCTCACAATCGGTGCCCCGACCGCGCTGCAAAGAATTTGCGAAGCCATCGACAATATCAATTCAACCGCTATCTCTCACTCTCGTGCATTCGTACTAGAGGTCATGGGTAGGCACTGTGGTTGGCTTGCCTTGCTGGCAGGTGTCAGGTACGGTCTACCTCCTTTTAGGATCTTCACGTCGTATGGTTTCAAGAAAGACAGAATCAGCTAGCTGACGATGATATATACTTATGCATGTTATAGTGGAGGTGCAGATTTCGTCTTCATCCCTGAATCTCCGCCAAAGGGCGAATCTTGGGAAGACGAGATGTGTGCGGTCATTCATCGCGTACGATCCAATTCCCTCCTACTCTTGGATTTTCTTGGCATCTAACGTTCACTCTCTGAAAAACTACAATGACAATAGCATCGTGAGGTCGGAAAGCGCAAGACCATCGTCATCGTCGCCGAAGGTGCCCACGACAGGCAACTCAACCCCATTCACTCCGATGCTGTCCGCAAAGTCCTCGCCGAGCGTCTCGGTCTCGATACCCGTGTGACGACTTTGGGCCACACTCAGCGTGGCGGTAGACCCTGTGCTTATGACCGTATCATGGTATGTTTGTTTTGAGGTCAATTTAGGTTGAACGCTGGAGGTTGACGGTCGTTCATGGTGTATAGCCCACTTTGCAAGGCTTGGACGCTGTCGACGCTTTGCTCGAGGCCACGCCGGACAAGCCCTCGTACATGATTGGTGTCCGCGAGAACAAGATTACTCGTGTGCCGTTGATGGAGGCTGTCGCAATGGTGAAGTGGTCTGCATACAATTCACCTAGGGAATATTACTCACCACTGCACAATATTCAGACCCAAGAAGTCACCAACGCGATCAAGGCGAAGGATTTCGACAAGGCTATGGCGCTTCGTGATCCCGAGTTCCAGGAAAGTCTGGAGGGCTTCTTCATCACGTCAATGCTCCCCGATAAGCCAGTCCTGCCTCCTGCCCAACGAATCCGTGTCGCTATTATGCAGTACGTTCATCAATATTTTATACCGCTCCACTCTTCTTACATCTCGTCGACAGCATGGGTGCCCCCGCAGGTGGTATGAATGCCGCCACCCGTACTGCCGTCCGATATTGTCTCCGCGAAGGACACACCCCTCTCGCCATCCACAATGGTTTCCGCGGCCTTCTCGACGACAACCTCCACGAACTCTCCTGGCTCGGCGTCGACGGCTGGATGTCCCGCGGTGGCTCCGAACTCGGAACGAACCGCACGCTGCCCGACGTCGACCTCGGCGCCGTCGCCTCCAAATTCCAACAACACAACATCCAAGCGCTCATCATGATCGGCGGCTTCGAGGCCTTCTCTGCGCTGTTGATATTGGAGAACGGGAGGAAGTATTATCCTGCGTTCCATGTGCCGATGGTGCATCTACCGGCGACGATCAGTAATAATGTGCCGATGACGGAGTTTAGTCTTGGGAGCGATACGAGTTTGAATGCGCTGGTGGATGCGTGCGATGCGATTAAGCAGAGTGCATCGGCTAGTAGGAATAGGGTTTTCGTGGTCGAGACGCAGGGTGGGAAATGTGGGTATATTGCGACCATGGGTGCGCTCGCGGTCAGTCTCTTTCTGGCATCTTCTTCGATGGTCCATCTTTTTTGTGAAGTCGCTCATTATTTGGGGGTTGTATGTGGATAGGTCGGAGCGAGCATCGTTTACACGCCAGAGAACGGAATCGACCTCGCCACGTTGCAGGATGATGTCAAATGGCTCAAGACGCGGTACTCACTCGACTCGAAGGGAAAGAGCGAGGGTCGTGTCATACTTCGGTATGAACGTCTCCCCTCTTACAATATTCTCCAGTCGTGCCCTCGCTAATACTCACACCACCCTCCAGCAACGAAGCTTCTTCCTCCGTCTACAGCACGGAAGTGATCATGAAAATGCTCAAGGAAGAAGGCGGTTCCCTCTTCGACGCCCGCTCAGCTTCACTCGGACATACACTCCAAGGCGGAATCCCCTCTCCACTCGACCGTGCTCGTGCCGTCCGTCTCTCCCTCAAATGCATGTCCTTCATCGAGAAACAATGGAACGAACTCCAAGCGATGCCGGCGAAGGCGAGACACGCGAAGAGCGACAGCGCGGCGGTGATCACTATACAGGGGAGCGCGGTGAAGTGGGTTCCGGTGCAGGAGATGGTGGAGCATGCGGATATGAAGAATAGGAGGGGAGTGCATGCGTGGTGGGAGGGGACGAAGGTGTTGGTGGAGAGTTTGGTGGCGAGGCCGCAGTTGATTTGAGCGCTGGATCTTTCTTTGGTCTTTTGGTCTTCAAAGGGTTCCGAGAGAAGGAAATGGGATGGGAAAGAAGTAATGCATAGAATCGTCCCTCCGAATGGGTATAGAGTATGTTGAAAGAATCTGGTCTCTGCATAGCTATAGTACCGACGGCCATAGAAATTGTAGCGTACTACATAACTACTCAGTGTTGTTCCCCTTTTGTAATCCACGTATTTATTGCTCGCCGCTACAACCTAGAACAGCTGTTGAGTAGAGTTTGTTGTCATTTTTTCGTCTATTCGCCTGCTGTGAGTCGTCTAAGTTTCTTTCCTGTCCGGATCCGGATCTAAGTACACACACCGTTCTTGTCCGAGTCCGTTGGTTACCTGTCTGACCTGTTCACGAAGTTCTTGAACGAAGTGCAAGCATCAATCGCCAGGAAAAGCGTTATTGCTTCGGCGCTTCACATATCTCGTCATACTGTCCTTCGCAGGTTCCGAGCGCTCCATTTCCATGACTAACTGACCATTCGGGTTTCGCTGGTCTCCTTGCTCCTAACTTCCAAGTGCCTCGATACCCGAGCTGTATATCCTCGTCTCATACTTGTATAAGCTCAACTGTGACTGCTCCTCACCGCTCACCCTGGTATCCTCCCCCAATCTTTTCTGGGCTTCCAACTACTATTCGACAAGTTTGCTTCCCTCTCGAGTTCTGGGTCTAATTCCTTGCCAGGTTGTACATCCTTGTGAGCTGACCTTTCTCATTATGTTAACGAACACGATCTGGTGTAGCTAGGAGTCGTTGCTGGGTTTGAACCCTTTCCTATCCTGCACTACCCCTACTAATCGCAGTCGCTTTGACTGGGCCATAATAGCAGCGGGCGTCTAATTTAGATCATGGCTCCTGCCACTCGTCTTGCTGCTCTCGCTGCTCTGCTGGTAAGTACAGACCCATACTTCTCCAACTGATAAATTATCTCAGATATCAAATGCACCTGATGTACAGGGATTCTTTGTGTGGCGTAACGGACACTCCGTCAAGTTCCTCTTCCAAAGCAATGATCTTCCGATCGCCTACTTTTCCGGCGGATCTCATGAAACTGGGTGCTCAATCGTCAAGGATGAAGTACGGAACGAGCTCAGGTACTGCGAAGACGAGACGTTTTGGGACCTCGTGAATCCCCTATCTGGAACATTGGAGGACAGACTCTTGATCCTCAGTTGTGATCCGGGGAGAAAACAGTGGAACACTGTCATGGGTCCGTTGAAGAATCCGGACCCGCATGGCGCACTTTGGGTGTATCCCACGCGCAGTGCTCGTGTATCCGAGTCTAAACCCAGGAAAATCGAGTTCAAAGGATACCCTGATGGTCATGACTTTCATCCGTTGGGGGTAGAGGTCTACCCTGCGACTTCACCGAAAGACGAATCGTACATGTACGTGGTCAATCATGGGCGAGCGAAGACGACGATCGAGCAGTTCACCATGTCGTGGTCGGATCCCACCGTCGCCACACACGTCCGCACGCTATCCTCGCCCCACTTCGTCTCCCCGAACAGCATCGCACTCACCTCACCGACATCATTCTACGTGACGAACGACCATTACTTCACTCGAAGACTTCCCGGCTTCCTCGGGAAGACGCTTCCACTGATCGAGACGGTCCTCGGACTTCCACTTTCCTGGGTCGCTCATGTCTCAATCATCGGAACAGCTGAAGACTCGGCCTTCACCGTCGAACACAAAGTCGCAGCGAGCAACCTCGCATTCGCTAATGGTATCTCTATATCTTCCTCAGGCTCTACAGTCGCCGTCGCCACCACCGCTCTGGGTGAAGTCCTACTTTACACCCGCGACGTCGCCACGAACGGCCTAACCTACTCCTCCCGGATCCCTGTCCCATTCTACCCCGACAATGTCGCATTCTCGCATTCTCACTCTCGGACTCCAGCTGGAGCAGAAGACGTACCCATTATAACGGGACATCCGGACTTTCCGGCTCTTATCAGAGTGGCGGAAAGCGTTACAGGCGCCGTTGCGCCTTCCTGGGTTCTATCGCTCACCCCGACTCCTCAACCCGAGATCATATTGCCCTCTTCTCCAGGGTCAATCGTGGCGCCGAAAGAGTATGATATGGAGGCGCCGTTGTCGGCGAGTAAAAAGGCGAGGGGAGTGAGCAGTCATGTAGCGAGGACGATGTATCAAAGCAACGGAACAGGATTTAGTGGGAGTACGACAGGGCTATGGGACGCGTTGGCGGATGGGGATGGGAAGACAAAGGTGAAAGGGAAGTTGTATGTGACAGGGCTCTATCATGAGGGATTTATGATTTGTGTTGAGACTTAGTGCATTGGGTCTGAAGGCTTGGTCTGGATCATTGTTCGCCAGGTCCTATGAAGTATCTTTGTGTCTGTTCCGCGCATTTCCTATCTATCTTCTGTTATCTACCTGTACAATTTTTTGCCTCCAGTACGAAGTATTTATGACAACGTAGGGATACGGGCAAGGAAGTATCCGTAGTATGGACATTTGCGCGTGCATTCAGACTTTGATTTCGCTCGCATTTTGACATAAGTGGTCCACGAGAGCGTGGATAAAGGAGAGTTGAGCACAAACACAACGAGCGTACAAACTGGAGCGCCCCCGAAAATCTATATTCTATACGCAAAATGTAAGAAGACCCCTCTCAGTCTACCCTCCTCTGGGCCTTCGGAATCAAAGCCCACAACCCCACCATCAGGATCATCATAGATATCAACCTACATCCAAAACGTATCCATACATCGAGGTCAGCAATTAGGTGGACCACGGCATCGGACTGGGGATAGTATTTGTACTCACAACGGCTGCAGCGAGACTATTCCATACTTCGCCGCCAACAAACCTGTAACGAAGGGCAACGCCGCACTACCAGCCTGCCCAATGCCCACAATCCATCCCAAAGAGCCTGTGAGCAACCAGCGCGGGAGGACGTCCTTGGCGTAGTTTACAAGGATGGGATACATGGGGCCCAAGAGCACACCGATTAAGGAGACCGCTACGGCGTTTTCTATCAAAGAAGGAACGGCCCACACAGTTGCTTCGAGTCTAGAGCAGCGCAATAACGGTAGAAGGATGGATGAGAGGGGAATACAAAGCTTCGCATGAATTATATAGAAACGTACGCGATACAGATGACTGAGTAGATGAAGAGAGCGCGGCGTTCCCCAATCTGGATAGGGTGTGAGGGGTTATTCGTAACAAGCGAGTTCTCCACTGGCTTACCTTCTGGTTGATCCAGACTAGGCCCAATCTTCCAGCCGCCAAGCCTAGATACCACCTCAATTCAGTCACTGTGCTATTACATTTAATAGCGTAGGAGACCTACCTCCAAAGAATCCAGAGGAAATGTAGCCGGCATTTGGTCCACCCTGACGCTCGCGGATGATGAACGTGACAATCCAACCTGGCCATGGGTGGTAATGAGTCCTAATGCTTGCAATCCGAACTCCTAAGGCTGCGACCGACCTCCCACGGTGACCTCTACCCCAATGTAGATGATACTGAACATGGCCATATAATGGACGATCCTGGACGTGAAGATCTGCTTGAACTTGCTTTCGCGGGCGACTCCAGCTTGGACCACCTGGACCTCCCCGGGTTCCTCGCCTTCCTCGACCAACACCTCTGTATAAAAGGCCAAGAGACTGTTATTCAGCACGCCTATGATAATGAGGTGTCAGTATCAAACATGAAACCGACCATCGAGTAGTCTGCCCCGGAAGACGGCCACCAACACAAGAATATTCAAGATGGCGAATCCCAGAGAGATGATAAAGTGGTAGGACCAGTGGGTCGCGGTTGAGAAATAAGTAGAAGCGAGAGGAGCTGTGAAAGCGCCGATACCTACACAGGACGCCGTCGAAGGTCAATACACTTAGAAAGAAAAGCTTGTCAGGAGATTGAGGATGACCACAACATACCATAAGATCCATGCAGAAGCCCGAGCTTTTTCGCCGTGTTTTTCTTCAGACTCCCAGCATAACCATTCATACCAGCATTCTGGGATGGTATCAGTCCCCACCGTCGAGACGAAGAAGACGACGGCTGAGGCGAACCTGAATGGCGACACCAAATCCTGCGAGGAAGTAGGCGACGACCCTTACGGCAAATGGGCCTTCCGGAATTTGCATGGCGTAGGTGATAGCTTGGGCAACGGCACCTAGGGTGAGAATACATCAGACCAATAGTTGGCGATTTCCATTTACGACACCACTCACCTAGGACCATGACCTTGTAAAGGCACCACGTATCAGCTCTCTGTTCATGTCAAACAAATTCTTCAACGACTCACCTTGCCAAATCCAAGCTTGTCGCTCAGATAGACGTTTGCTGTGGCACCGAAAATGAAACCCTACGATAGCATTGGTATAATCAACTTCCCGTCAAAACAAATGTGGGCCATCTCTACTTACAAAGCAGTTCACGACGAAGATCATGGACACCACCACGAAACCAATCTACATTGATCATGAAGAAAATGCTCCGGTCAGATATATCGACCGGTGCAGGACACAGCGGGAATGACGTGGGTCGCACGTTGTAGTACTCCTGAATTCGAGGCAGCAGTGGCCCAATGGTTCCATCGTTCCAACCGTTCAGGTAGAAACACCAAGCCAAGGCCACCATGTGAATCCTTCCATACTTCCTAAACCGAGCTCTCTGCGATGCCGAAGGCTGAGCACCTTCATCCTGTTCGTATGCTAACGAAGGTGCTCTAGGCGTGGTGGCGCCAGACTGGTCCTTGTCCGCATTGTTGATACCAACCTCTACATCTTCTTTGACAAAGTTTAGTTTTTCGGCTGGAGGACGATGGAAGTCTGTAAGTTCGTAAGCATGTTGCGAGGCATGCACTTGAGGCTCTATCGGGATGGAACCATGGGAGCTAGGGCCTTGACTGGCTGATTTAGGATGAGGACGAGAAAACGCAATCTCGGAGCGTCGACGGATGCGGGTGCTTGGGGCGGAGAGGAAAGGAGGAAGGTCATATGGGCTAGCCACAGATGGCTCGTCACAGTCAAGAGCAGAATCTCTGGGGGCCGATGCTTGAGTAGTACGAGGCCGCGAAGAAGGATGGTCTTCACCATCCGACTCGACGTCGCTGACGCGGGCTTCACTGACGTCCTGCTCTGCATGAGCCTGGAAACTACTATCCACAATACTCAAGATCGTAGCCATTGCAGACGAAGCTCTGAGATATGGTAGAGAAGAGGAGCGGGGTCAGCGATAGACGATGCGACTCTGATAGGGTGAAGAAGTTTTTATACCTTACAAAGCCCACTGGCACGATGCACAAAGTATGCCAGGGTATGGCCACATGAGGCTGGATTCGTTTACGTTCCCAATACTATCATGGTGGTTTATCTGTCCGGACGTGTTCTCCTGACATCGTCTATTGCCGGGCTCCAGGGAAGAAAGGCCGTGGGCGCTGTCTTTTACGTTGTGTTCCGCTACGATGGCCCAAGCTATCTATTGGCCAGAGACCATGCCCGGGAATCGGGGAGCCAGAACACAATGGTCGCGTATGTTAGAACGCTCTACCACTGCACAGACAGACTTGTGTTCCTTGTGAGGTTTTGCGATCCGCTAGAGACAGTCAAACGAAAGGTCATTTATGTAGTAATTAGAAAGCCCAGCGGTGCAGTGTGAAACACAAAAAAATACAGAAGACTCAGACCGCAACAGAACAAAGGTGTACATAGCTTCAGGCCAGGACATACGAAATGAAAATAGTTGTTCTCTCAAACTCTGCCGCAAGATTTCCGACGGAAGAGAGGCATTTTGGTCACTATCTCTATGCACTATAGGAGGGTGCTGATGGTCTGCAGAATGCGAGAAAGCATCAGCATGATGAATCAAACGTGTGCCAATCTGTCTGGTGTGGGTACAGATGGAGAAGACTGACCTTAGGGACGATTTGGGTCCTACTACGGCCTGTGTGTCTGTTAAGTTGATCTCAGACACAGAATCGATACATTCGGGCGTATGTGGGGCATACGACGACCGATGTGCTTCCAGCATTTCCCAAGGTATGGACTCATTGTCTGCAAGCCACAGCTGCTTCTGGTCAGCGTGAGCACGGGATGACCTCCTGTTCTGTCTCTCTATCACACCACACAACTCATCAGTTCGTTCTCAGCAGATGAACCAGAAAAAATATGTACCTGTAGCCTCAGGTGAGATCCATCGAAATGCTTCTAGGATGCTCAATCTGACCTGATCACGATGCCTTTTTGAGGACCAGTGCTTAATGTACCTGGGACTGTCCCGCGAGCCTAGTTGTTCAATCAAGCTCTGCCACTCGTCTGTAGCAAGCCGAACCACCTGCCCGTACTTGGACGCACGAAGAGTTTGTATTGCTCGCATGACTGTGGGGAGAGACCAACAAAGGCATGTACAACTTGGATGGTCATTGTGTGCTTTTGCCTTTCTTCCTTGGGGTAAGTACGAGGATATCGTTGAGTTCAATGGCAGATCAGATACATCAACCTTGTTCAGCAGACTGACAAGGTCACACCAAAGTTTTAGATATAATTCGCAGTCAGTGTGTGAAGCGCGGTGAGGCTTGGTGATCATGGTGGAGATCACTATTTCACCAATTTCCTTTAACCACCTAAAATTGAGACCAAAATTTGGAAAATCGTCGACATATGCGTTCGTAGAAATGAGCCCCTTTGAATTCTGTAAACCCCCGTGGGAGCTTGGGTACACTGGTAGACGTACACTCTGGACGAGGACGCACTGGGCACCCTTGATGAGATGACAAATAGGGATACCAACCCCGCGAAGTGGGTCGTCGATAAAGTGACAACAAAATATCATCAGTATATCGGACACTCCTTCCAGGCTCGGCATCATCGGGCGGGTGAAGATAGCCTCCACCTCCCGTGGCAAGCCCGTATCGAAACCGGGTCCAGGATCATCGAGCCTTGTTTGAAGTCTCGTTTTAAAACAATATTCGTGCAAGAGCTTCTCGAAAGGCCTCAAGTACCCTCGGTCATCGCGAGCAATGTCAGCATAATCCTGTCTAATTTTGGAAGAAATGATTCTGCATGACAGTTTCACCAGTGATACGTTCAGTGCGTATAAACGAGGAGCGAGAGCTGATCCTACGGACAATCCATAGCTATCAAGAGCTAGTAGTCCGATAACGGGTTGCATTTCATGGTGGGGATATCCTAAGAGCGAGGATACCAGCGACGGCGGACATAGCAAGTTTCGCATAGAATCCAAGAACGGAGAAGCCCAGAGAATATGAGAGCATGGTTCACCAGTCATCATCAAAGAGTATCGTTGAGCAGACGAAACCAGAAGTTCGAGCATAAGCATCACATTGTAATCGTCATATCCAAGACCTGGAGGTGAGAGCCATTATAAGGTGTTCTGCGAAACGTTAGAGCAAGAGAAACGGAGGACTTACCTCGGTGGGACTTGGTCTGCTCAGAGATAAAACTTGCAGCCGTGACATTACACCTCATACTAGCTTCATGGGACAACATGTATAGAAGTGAGGAGATTCCATATCGTAGTCTGCTCTCGCGGACACCATTGCGATTGCGAGGTAAGATATCACTATGGTCACCGATAAGAGAAGGAAACGCTGCGACTGCTTGGTCTAATAAATCGTCATCATGTAACTGCTGGAGAGTGGCATGAAACGCAGCATATTCATGCGGTTCAAGTAAATTTTCCCAGCTGGAGTCATAAAAATCGAGTGGCGTTGGAGCTCCGCCAGGGCTCTGTCGGAGTTCGGTGAGGATCATGCCAGACTCTACAGCCGAACCGTCGCAAGAGCGCTTCGAGCGCCAAAAACAGAGGCCGTTGAGGTATTCAGTCATGGACGAGAGTAAGAGAGGGCCATAAACCACGATTAGTCGCGAGATGGTAGTCTGGAATGGTGAAAGCTCCGGATATGAACATCCATGGACAACCGTCCAGACAACGTAAGCACCAACGGAAACAGCAGACACAGATGACAGGACGCCTGCGACGAAGACAGCGTTGAACGGGCTGGAGAGCGGGATCGCGCTCGACAGCATGTTGTCGAGCAAACCTATCACGAAGAGGGTTACGGGCAGGATGAGCAGCTGGGGGAGCGAGTCGACGGCGGGTGCAAGTAGTCGTTTGGCTTCGTGCCAGCGACGATGAAGATCACCGAGTTTCTTGTAAGCTTGCTGGTATCGAGAACGCGTGAGCATGCTAACGTATCCTCGACACGTTACCGCGAGGGCAGCGATCGATATCTGTGATGATAGCTGTCAGTATGGTATATCCCACGAGGAAGTCGAAGTGTAGAATTGGCGCACGCTGATGACCAGGGCGATAGACCAGTACAGGTTCAGCCGGATGACGCTGGCCTCGGGTTTAAAAGGTGTGGGTTTTGCTATCTGAACCCGTGTTACATCGAGACCGCTGCCTGCAATGTAGATGTCTGTCAGATTTTGTAACAGTTCGTTAGTTCTGGAGCTCGGGTCCTGAGAAAGCCCCTCCAGCGATTGGACGAAGAAAGTCGTAACGATAGCAGAAAAGAGAGCGATCTGAAAGAATGAATGTCAGATAAACGAGGAGTACTCGATGGTGAAGTCGGAACCCACAAAGACGAGCAAGGTATCCAGGGCGCCGCGCCATCTGTCTACAGTCGGCTGTATGAGCTGCATATGCGCACGAAGGAGGGGCGACCAGGCGCTGGAACTGGTCGCTGGGACGGTTGGAATCGGTTGCTTTGAGACATCTTGTACGTATCATAAGATATCAAGTAGGGAAAAAGAAGAAAGAGATCCATACCAGCGTGTATCTGCCTCTCGAGCATCTGCTTGAGGACCTCTAAGCTTGCCGTCTGAGCCCCGGACCCTTTCTCTTGATTGATAAAGACCTTTTCGAGGAGCTCGGTCTGTTTCGTCAGCAAGCTCTCAATTCCAGCCAGCAACCTGTGCAGTAATTATCGTTCGTGAATAAGTGGACATATGATATGAAATGAGCAAAGTTTTGATGGCCAGGAGTTTAGAAGAAATACCTGTTTGACTCCGAATCTCCTGGGACAGCGACAAGGTCTACCTCGGGAGCCATTGTACCGCTAGTATTCCTCTGGTTAGCCTCGACCATGAGCAGGAAGCAGCTACACAGACGCAAAGAGGTGAGGGGAAAGGATAAGAGGAATTGCGCTGACAGTTCGGACGGGGTCACCAATCCCGCGGAGTGCAACAACTGATGTACTTGGGCTGACCCAATTCCCGGGCTCAGGTCTATCAATGTGGCGCGCCACAATGACTTGATCAACGGCGCTCACGAGGTCGCAACTTGCTGGCCCTTTCATTTCGAAGCTCTCGACCCAGTTTCTGACCCTTCAATTCAGCCCGTCGCCCATGGACGTTAGACACCCGCTTAGATACAATGACAAGAAACAAGACGAAAGCACAAAACGTAAACAGTCAAAAGGGAGAACGGCAAAACGACATCATTAAAAACATATCATCGAAGAAAGGGCATAGGACAATAAAACGTCAAAAAGAAAAGAAAAACATAAACGAGACCAAAGGGCTTAGAAACGGAAGGGGAGATTCGCCCGCAGGGCGCACCGCCACAATCTGTGGGAGGAGCAGAATGTGCCGGATAGCTCGGTGCGGGGAGGACGGTGGATGTACATAGTTTAAAGGGTAAGGGTTCAAATAGCTGGATAGATAGAAGGTGAATAGGCATGTATGTGGTAAAGTCGTCAGAAGAAAGAAGGAGTATAGTCGTTAGACGTAGAAAGAAGAAGGTAAGGGTGCTCAATCCGACAATAACATACAGACACAGACGAAGGAAATTCGACAAGGACGCTGAAAAGGTAGCAGTGGCTGATAATATAGCTCCAGGTGGCAGGGAACGATACAGCGTGTGGATCAGGTGACGCTGTATTCGTTCCGTGCGGTGAGCAGTATAGAATCACCAAGACAAAACTAGACGGGCCGGACACGGGACACAAGATATCGGCGGAGACGGAGAAAAGGCGATAAACGCAGAACCCAGATAGAGATGGTGCAGCAGCTGACAGCAAACAAGGACAGCGATATGAGGACGGCGTTTAGGATAGACATGGTGCGACTGAACAGTAGTTGGCAGGCCTTAGAACCAGGGGTTCGGGACAAAGGCTCTGCGGGAACGTGAGAACCAGAGAAGATTAGGAACATCACCCGAAGACGTATGAAGATTGCACTCACAAGAGGCCAAAGACCGTAGCGAAAGCCGCTGTGCCCCAAACAGCCGATCTCCTCTCTGGGGTCATCTCAATGAACCTCGAAACCCTCCTGTTCGACGCGATCGCCCTTTCTTCCGTCTCCGGCTCCTTGAAGTCGAACTTCAACGGCGCCTCCACCTCGTCCCTGCCTCTCTTAGTGGCACCACTCGCCTCAGCCGACGGCGCCTCGTCCTGATTCTCCGTCACCTGCAGCCTTTGTTGCTCGTCCCTTTGTTTCTTCAGATTGGCGATGAGCTCGCGCTGCTCCGCGATGTCCTGTTCGGGATCCGGGCCGGGAACATCCGGAACGTCTTCGTCCACCGCGGTCTCGTCTGAACCGCCTGAGGTGGTCGGGTCGATGGCAGTGCTGCGAGTCGCCTTGAGAGGCGATTTGGCCGGCTTCGCGACAAGTGTCTTAGGGAGGGGCGGCTGAGCGGGGCTGGCGGTACGACCTGAGCGACGGGGCGAGGCCACTGAAGAAGCGGTCGTGTTGCGCTGCGCGGGCGTAGCAGCAGGAGAAGCCTCTCTTCGCACCCTCTTCGCGGGAGTGGGTCCGGGCCCAAACGAAGGCGCGGGGGTCGGCAACTGTTGTTTGACGCCCTTGGGAGTACCTTCGGGATTGGTCATGCTAATGTTTCCTTGAGCCCTTGAAGACTTCCGGTACTCTACGGCCGGGTCGGGCATGGCGTCTGTGAGCGGTTCGAGGATGGGAGTCAGGCCGTACGCCTCTCCGATGGTGAGGGAGACCACAGGGCTGACCCAGGTTCCGGCGAAGCGAGCCTTTCCGGAGCGGTTGGTCCCTGCAGTCTCGAAGTTGGCTTTGGCCCACGCCGCCTCTGCCTTTTCGGCTTCGTCGCTGGCGGTGGGGAACGCTGCGCGGAACATGGTGGTAAGGGATACGGCACCGGTGTCGAGGCGACGGAGAATGAAGGCATGGCCTTGGGGCTAAGAGTTATTTGTTAGCTGTGGTTGGTGAAGATGGATGAGACGGATTGAAGTCGTACTGTTTGAACCTTCATGCGTGCAACCTATAAGAATGGAGACGTTGTTAATGAGGATCGCGATCACGCGCAAAAGAAGCTAGATAAACGCACGATCGTCCTCTGATCATCTCTGACTATCTCTTGAAACTTTACGGATGGGACATTTAGGGGATTGACTGCAAAATACAACGAAATGAGCGGACTGTAATTCAACACAGATGTAACTAGGCTACGAACGTGATCTAATGTAGGGATTGAGATGTTCGAGAGGCAGCGGTGGGCGTGGGCTGCAATTCTCAATGGACTGGTAAGTCGGGGGACGGGACGGCATAGTGTATGAGCGTGCGTGCAGGATGTCAGCGGCGGGATGGGGTGAGCGGGCGAAGGCGAGGGCGAGGCCAGCGCGTGTTCGACCATCCCCACCGCCGTCAACCTTTCCCACGCTCGGCAGCCTCTCCGTTGACTCGCACGTGCTCACTGCGTACTACGCCACATAGTTTACTCGCCACCGTCTTTGACAGACAGATAGATTCCAGATAGAACCAAGATGATACAAATATACCAAAGCAGGGAGACCATGAAGTCAAGATAAACGTATACAAAGAACTGAACCAAGGGACCACGTCAAGAAAAATAAGACAAGATACGGTAAGATAAAGGAAATAGGCTGGCCAAACAACGAAACGCAAAAGAATCTACGACCGTCCAAACACAGATGCACTCGGTTTCCGTGAGCCAGATGGCATTCTGGACGTTGGTCCTGATCCCTTGATAGGCGAAATATTGACAGCATTCCAGTCAAGCTTGTTGGCGCCACTGCTATCGCCAGCTGGCTCCTGCAATCACAGGGATCGAAGATCAGCAACAGATCGGACAAGCAGTCAAGTGCAAAAAGACACACCCCAAACTTGATAGACTCCCAATCAAACGAAGTTATTGCGTTCAACTTCCTCATCTTCTTCTTCTTCTTCGGCACAGACACCACAGCCTCTTCGTCGCTCTCCACGGGTGCCACAGCTGCTGGCTTCGCTGGCCGCCCTCTCTTCTTCGGTGCTGGTGCAGGCTCCTCTGAAGCTTTCTTCTTCTTCGCCTTGGTCTTCCTGTCATCATCAGCTGGCTCGTCCGCTTTCCGCTTCCCTTTCTTATCCTTCTCCTTCTCTGTGGGTGTATCGACTGCTTTGGGTGACGAGTCTTTCTTCGCTGGTTGGGGTTTGGATTTAGGCTTGGATTTGGGTGGTGGTGTGGCTTCGGGCTCGGGTTCAGGGGAAATGTCATCGTCAGTCTCGGGTGATGGTTCGCGTGCGGGAGCTTTGCCTTTTCCCTTTCTCGTCGGCGACTTCGCTGGTGGGGCCTCCTCGATTTCGTCCTCCTCAGCGAGCTCCGTCTCAGGCTGACGCTTGGTTCGCGCTTTCGGTCGGGATGGTCGTGGTTCTTCTGAGACCGGAGGGGAGAGGAAGGCCGAGGGGTCGTCAAGATTTGAGCCTTTGGCGACCTTCTTGCTCTAAGTGGATTTGGTGTGAGTATGAGAGGATGTGAAGGAATGACTAGTCATATTTACCGAAGAGAGTTTGTCTTGGAGGTCGACGATCTGTTTCTGGGCTTTCTCGAGAGCTTTCTTCACTGCATCGGCCTCTTTCTTTTCCTTCTCTGCTTTCTCCTATTGAAAATAAATAATCAGAGCGAGACAATGGGAACAAACAAGGCAGACGACATACGACGTGTTCCGTCAATGCAGAGCTGAGTTTCTCAATCTGTTTCGCGGATTTATCTCCATCCTTACCTCCCTTCGCCACCTTCTCTTCCAATAGTGCCTCCAGCTCCTTGCATCTGCTCTCCACATCCGCTTTCTCTTGCTACATGCACAGAACAAATGATGCACGAGTGAGACCCCGTGATGATGACATATAGGAAGAAACACACCGCAAGATCTGCCACTGCCCTCTTCATCGCTTTCCTATCCTTCTTACTCTTCTCCGCGTCCTCCTGACCGTCTCTTAACTCCTCCACCTCCTTCTGCAAGGCCTTAACCTCACCCTCCAACTTTTCTCTCTTCTCCCTCTCCTTCGCCGCCTCCTTCGCCACCTTCTCGGCCTCCTTCCTCGCCTTCTCCGCTTCTTTGCCCTCCTCATTCCCTAGATTCTGCCATTTCTCGAGCTGGGACTTCACAGACGTGTAGTCCCGTTCGAGTTCGATGTGTCGGCGCTCAAGATCAGAGTGTTTGCGCTCAAGATCGTTGTATGAGGACTGAGAACCTTCGAGTTGGAGTTTGGTCTTTTCGAGGGTACGTTCGTACGATTGGGTTGATGACGCGAATTTGGACTGAAGGGCAGTGTGGTCTTTGCGGAGTTTAAATAGTTCGTCCTGTTGTTGTGCAATGAATATGGTCAATATAATGCCAACAGTGGACAGTATGCCGTCCAGCGGATAACACAGCGTGATGGAAAAGGCAAGTATGAGAGCCACGCACCTCGAATATCTCCTTGTCACCCCAGTACGTCGCAGCCTCTTCCCGCCAATTCTTACACTCAACCTCCAGCTCCTGCACTCTCGCGATCATAGCCCCAACCTCTTCCATATACCTATCCTTCACCCCGTCCAGCACCTCATCCTTCTCATCCACCTTTGCCTCCAACTCCACAACCTCCCCCCTCAACCGCGCGCTCTCAAACTCCGCCCTCATCCTCTCCACCTTCTCCTTCCTAACCTCCTCCTGCACCCTCATCCTCTCGCACCTCTCTGCTTCCAAAGTCCCCACATTGCGAAGCATAATGATCCGATGACATTCCTGTAACCTCTGCACCGCGCCTTCCCATTCTTTCCTCTGCCCGTCCAACTCCTTCTTCCTGACTTCCAACTCCTCCATCATCTTCTCCTTCTCCCCACTCATCTTCTCCCTCTCACTCCTCAGTCCACTGATCTCATTCCCCAACCTCTTCATCTCATCTTCCTTTATCCTCAACCTCGCCTGATACGTGCTCAACTCGCTCTGCAACCGACTCTCAGTAGCCTCGAGCGCATGGCTCTTCTTCACCAATTCATCGATATGAGACTGTTGAGACGCAGCGAGGGCTTCGTACGGTTTGCTCGCAGGGGCGGAACGAATGGGTTTCGGGGGTGGGAGTTTTCCTGCTGTTGTTGTTGAGTTATAGAGGGATGAGGTGGAGGCAGAAGGGAGGAAGTTTGAGCCAGAGCCGGAGGACGGGATTCTGGGTTTGGAGGGAGAGTTGAGGGTGGAGTTTGTGGCGGATGGGATTCGGGATTTGATGGGGGAGGTGGAGGGAGCACGACCGAAAGAGGGAGCGGGGAGGGTGTTGCTCGGTTGGGCGGTCGTTTGGGATGCTGGTGGTTGGGGTTTGGGAGGGGGGGTGCGGACGATCATGATGAGTTTGACTCAGGCGATAGATGTTACCGGGAGGGTGTGACGGGTGGTATGGGACTGAGAGGGTGAGTGAGCCACTTCACCACGGCTGAAGGCTAAACGGGGTATGGTAGGAACTAGAACTTGGTGAGTAGAGTGAATTAAATGCTAACAAGATGTATTTATTATAACGTACCTTGGGCACACAAGCTAAAGGGTATCCGTATGTGTAACCAGAAAACGATGAAAGACTCTCCCAAGTCGACGCCACTGTTTTGTCCAAGATGACCGCATCGATGTGCGAGTCAGTCCGGATATACTTTCAAAAACGGAGAAGCCATATAGATTTATGTGGCAGCAAAGGCTTACCTTGTGAGAGAGCTTGGGTACCTACTACTTAATAGAGGCAAGAAGAGATATAAGACGGAGACGAAGTCGAAAGGAAAGACGCAAACGGCGAAGGCGCGACGAACGAAGCGCGTCTAAATCATCACGTGACCCTGTCGTTTACCGACGACCACTTTGTGCACGAGAGGAGATGTTTTTCTTGTTTTCTACGTTGTTCTCGAGCTCAGTCTCGTTCTTCGCGTTAGTCCAAGGAGAAGACAAGTTTATGGATGGTGGTGTGTACTTATGATGGGCACCTACAGTCTGCTACTTATCTCATTGCTAGAGCAGCAGCACGTCGAGCAGATCATGGGTTTCTTGAATCTTCCTCGACGACTGAACAATTGCGCGGCACATATCATTTCAACGATATCAAGCAAAGCGGATATGGACGACGACAAGAACCGATTGTCATTGAAATAACGGCATTACAAAAAGTCTATAGCAAAGAGGAAGGAATTTCGCCACATCATGAAACTCCCATCTACGTAGGGTCTATGCATTGGGAGCGATTAAGGGGGCTTCTCGATCTGATCCACCACCTATTCACAAAGGATCAACACCGTTTCCAAGACTCAAAGACGAGCTGAACGCTGGCGTAGAGACGGGAGGTGTCGTGGTGGATGCAACGGTGAAGAAAAAAAGAGCCGCAGGAGCAGAATTTATAGGCGGCACAGTCCGGCGGAGTTTGAATGATCTTTGCCACGGCGCCACCGCTCGAATATTGGGGCGCGGTTCGCGTCCGTTGGGTTTCAGCTCGAAGTGCTTCTTGACTGCGTTCTTCCACCTTGGTTCTCTCTTTCACCTGCTTGATCTTGCTTGACGTTCTACACTCTCGTTTAGTCTCACTGCTAGGAGAGAGCTACGGTCCCTGCTTTTCGTACCTGGCTCGCCAAAGCTTCGTCACATGCTCAAGTTGACCCGCACTGCCGTCAACCACGAGAAATAATTATCCGGGATCTATTTTCCCCAAAGTGCTCCTTTTGCCATGTCCTTCTTCGTCAAGCTCCGAAATATTTTCTGTGGTGGCGCGAGCGCTCGTGACGCGAAAGATGTATACAGCAGCCAGCGCAGCATCTCCGCCACAGGTGCACTGTCCGACATGGACCTTGGACCGAATGGCAACTCGCAGACGAATCCTCTCATGGTTTGTCAATCTCGTACCAGATAGGGGAATTGTACTGATCGTTGCTGTTCGGTATACAGTTCCAGTTCTATACTTGGGACGCTATGCATCCGACCATGAGCTGGTGGGCGTATTTTGAGAGCGAGGTGCCACACCTCGCACAACTTGGAGTAACGCAAGTATGGCTACCGCCACCTAATAAAGCCACTCACAAGGTTGCGATCTACCTTGATGTCAACTCATACGGCGTACTGATATCGGTGTTCTATCTCGGTCAGCTGGGACAAGGCTATGATGCATACGATCTTGTAGGACCTTTCGTTCTGTCCCCTCGAACCTCGAAACGATGATAGCCTTGCACAGTGGGACCTCGGCGAGTTCGACCAAAAGGGCACTAAAGCCACGCGCTGGGGAACGAAAGAAGAGCTTCAGCAGGCCGTCTCGACTGCGAAAGCCCACGGCATCGACGTGATCATAGATGCTGTACTAAACGTATGTAACTACTCCTAACTCATCTCTTTCCGAGTCTGACCGAAAAGTAATGCTTCTCATTTTAGCATAAAATTGGAGCAGATCGGACAGAAGTGTTCAAAGCCGTTCCAGTGAACGAGAAGAACAGGCATCAAGAGGCTGGGCCACCGAGAGAGATCGAGGTTTGTGGCGCTATATGTTCTGCCATTTCGCAGGCAGAAACTGATACACCCTCAAGGGATGGACAGCTTACGATTTCAAAGGCCGTGGTGGCAAGGTGATTTATGACCATTGCATGCCATGTTCTCACCATCTCATTCTCTCTACAGTACAGCTCGATGCGCTGGACACATGAACATTTCACCGGCAAGTGAAAAACCACATCGTCACGACCATTCCAACTAATCATATCATTGAACATAGGCCTTGACTGGGATCACCGCTCCAAGAAAAATGCTATCTACCGTATCGCTCACAAGCCTTGGTCTCCCAACGTCGATCAGGAAAATGGGAACTACGATTATCTTCTGGGTATAGACGTGGGTATGCATTCTAAACCAACCTGTGAACTTGTAACTCAGCCGTAGCATCGTCGATGTGGATATAGATTGACCTGCAGCACCCTGAGGTGAAGGAGGACCTCAAGCGGTGGGGTACGTGGGTTCTAGACGTGAGTTATTGAATGTTTTCTATTGGAAGTGTGTGCGAGGTCGAGGCTGATATCGTGTTGCAGACTATTGGCGCGTCTGGTTTCCGTCTCGACGCGATCAAACATATGGACCATAAATTCTTGTTAGAGTGGGTACGTGGACACTCTTGAATGGTGGCCGATCCCTTCTTCGGCTTACCCCCTTGTTTCGACAGATTCATAGCGTGAGGAAACAACCGAACCGGTCGCGAACGTTTGCGGTCGGAGAGTACTGGTCCGGAGAGTAGGTTCACACTTCGTTGAACATCAGCTTTACTCCAAACATCAGCTCGTTGCTCATACGTCTTACAGTGGAAAGAGTCTTCTGAACTACGTGAAAAACTTCAAAGGACAGGTAACGTCCCATCTGCTACCGCCTCCATTCATATTCCACACTCTTACCCGATAACTTGTAGCTGTCATTCTTCGACGTACCATTACATTATCGGTTCCATGAAACGAGTAAGGCCGGAGCTACCTATGATCTTCGAACCATCATGAACGATACAGTCCTATGGCACCAACCACACGATGCTGTCACTTTCGTGGATAATCATGAGTATGTCCCCTCGCAGCCTGGATCACGAGGTCTAACGTACTAACATTAAATGTGTAGCTCGGTAATGGCTTTCCATGTACCTTTAATCCGGAAGGGAAAACGGTAGCTCATTGATGTATAGCAAATCGGACAAACTCTTGAGAGTTGGGTGAGTCCATGTTCTCACTACCATTAAGGAATTATCGTATTCGCTAATGATGTATGGACAGGTCTACAATGCTTTCAAGCTCCAAGCATACGCTCTAATCCTCCTCCGCGGTGAAGGGCACCCGTATGTTTTTCTGTCTTTTCTCTGCGGTCCACCACCGAACTGATCATCATCCCCATAGATGTGTATTCTACGGCGACCTCTACGCCAACAAAGAATGTGATACCTCCGCCATCGCCCCAATTCTCCGCAAACTCATGGGACTGCGTAAAGCGCATGCACACGGTCCCGTGAATGATTACTTCCACGACAGGAACTGTATCGGCTTCGTCAGAATGGGTGAGAAAGATCGTGCAGGGTGTGTGGTAGTCATCTCGAATGCGGATAAAGAAGGGAAAGCGCAGTACGTCTCTATCTCATTATCCGCGATACGAACAGACGCATGATAAACACTCATCGATTTCATGTAACCAGAAATGCTGCAGCGACACATACAATCCCGATGTTCGTTGGCAAAGTGCGTGATTTCCACTCTTCTTGTTTGCTGCACCTCACGCATTCTGTTGCCACCTTCAGCACAACGCCAAGAAGGTGTATACTGCCTCTCTTGGGTCCTCGGAACGAGTGCAGGTCTCTGCCAAAGGTTGGGCCCACTTTGCGTGTCCGCCGGGAGGCTTGCAAGTCTGGGTGCCTACCCTATAGAGCGTCGAACTCTGCACTAAGATTGGGATAGCAATCGACTGCTTTCATCACGTATATATGTATATATCCTATCGTCATATAATCGCCTCTGAACGCAAGCATATAGTACATTCCCTACAAAGCCCGCAGAATCAAACCTGATCAGGCCATGACTGTTCGGTGAATTCTATGGCCTGGCCGACAAGTCTCAAAAGACGCGGAAAGACACGGTGGTTCCCGTATCCGCTGAAGATCTTGTGGTCAGTATGGAGGGACGAGGTATTAGGACAGTAATAATACTCACGATAACAGTTGTTTTGCCCAGGACGTTCGTACTGAGTCCCTTCGACATATAACTGCAACCCCTGCCCCTTAAAGTCTTCGAGCACAGTCTTCACCATAATCTGCTCACGCCGACCATCTTGAACGTCTAACACAACCCTCCAAAAACAAGGGTTCAACCTCAGGACGCGCAAGTTCTGCCAAGCTGGACGGTTATAACGAATGATGCTGAAGAGAAATGGGGGAGTGTGCCGCGCGATGGTCAAGGGCTGCTGATGCGTATTGAGAAGGACTAGCTCTTCCAGCAGGGGCGGTGTTTGGCTTAGGGCCAGAGGCACTACCCACCCCTGACGATTGATATTCGCGAGAGCGAGATATTTTAGGTTTGGGACGGCTCCAAATATAAGGCGGTAGTCGTACATGCCAGGTATGGTGAGAGCCCGCAGGGTGGCAGAATGGCGCGTAAGGAAATCTAGGACCATCGCATCGTTGAGATGGATATTATGAGGGTGGTTATTAAGAGCACTAAACGTGTCGATTATAGGACACGATATGTTCCCCAGCAATGTTACGAGCGTGCCCCTCGACTTGCTATCAAGCCAAGATATCGAGAATGACCGGAGGTGTGGCATATTGACCCCAGGACGATACCCGGGATAATCACCATCGCCACGATTTTTGCGAAGAGTAATGGAGAGATTGACAAGTTTGCGACATTGCTCCAACACGTCCAAGACCGGTCCGCAGTTCACAAGCGAATGAAGACCGTTGTGAATAACTCCCTCGTCGATGGTGAGGTCCGTCAAGTATGACCAGGGGAGCGTGGTAGAAGGCAAAAGGGTCACCCCATCTTGTGTTGGAACAAGTTCTGGGAGTATCAAAGCCACCGAACGAATGGTCTGAGAAGATGCCGCAGACAAGAATGGTAATATGTCTGCAGAGCTCCATATGGAGTCAGTGCGTATCGTTAAGTTGCGAAGAACGCCTGAACATGCGAGTGGCGACCCGTGTCGAAAGGGAGAGGGTGTGTGGCGTATGTGGATGCTGAGGTCGCGTATACGTGCGGAGTGTTGCAACAGCGCCTGGAAATAAAGGCCACAGAACGCATCCGATACGTCTTCTTCCCGCGAGTTGTATAAACGCGAGGGACTGGTCAGAGAGATCGTGAGCGGTGCAGAACGGGACCGCTCTAACCAATGCTGGAAGAAGAAGAATGCTTGCGATCGTGATGATGGGTTGCATCCGATGTCCTCAGGGACTCGGACTTCGAGCCTATTCCATAGTAGAGGAGATGATGTAGCGACTTCACGCCAGCGATGGCATACGTGTGTCAAGAGCATCGGAAAGTCTTTCGGTCTCATACGGGGCAAGTCCTCGCACTTGAGAAGAATGAAGATCTCGAAGAGGATGTCAGCGGGACATCGAAGCGATGCAAAACCAGTCGAGTGAGTGAGTTCCATGCTAGAATAAAAAACCAATGTAGATTTATTTCGGGTCCAGAGAGCCTAAGCCCATGGTCAGAGACGTCAGACAAAGGGAGTCGGACGACATATTACTTACTGCTGACGTGGATGTGTTCTTGGGATAGTCGTTCGATCTTGGGATGCCTTTGAAGTCGAGGTCCAGGTAGAAAGGACTCGAAAGTCTTTTGACGTGATGACAGTGGTGTGTGTGACAGTTGAGCAGCAGCCTGCTGCCTGAGGGCCGGATATTTATGCTCGGTGCCTCCGGCTACTCCCGGTCCAGGAAGAGCTGTCCTTTGTGACTTACCCTCAAGCCGTCATTCACCGTCATTCAGTTCACCGCGCTTCATATTGGGTCGAGTTCTAAACATCCCTGGGCTCAACAAAATAAATCACTCACAGCCTGTACTGCTACTTAGATATCTCGTTTTGCGCTTGTGCTGTCGAAGCTCGGATACTCTACTACTTAGTCTATTGTCTTGTGTGCTGGCGACCCGGAACGTCAGATGCTGCTGCTCGACCATGCTCGGAGAATATCTAGACCATCCATATCATCTACCTTGACTCCCAGTAAAACTCTCTCATTGATACAACCTCGTCGACCTCGAGTAATTCGTCTTCTTCACACGAAGACAGACACACGCCCATTCAATGTCCTCTTCTTCGGCCGTGACGAGTTTTCATGCACTGTACTGAAACAGCTCCATCATGCCAAAGGTCGGTACAGTATCCTCCAAATCACTGTCTGGATTAAAGTGATTCCAATGTTGTAGATGACCAGATATTTGGCAAAGCTTGACTCTGGTGACACACCCGGACGAGTATGTCGGTCGGCGAAGGTCCCAACTTTCGGTTTGTGCGTACGAATGACTATCATCCTATGCAATCGTGGTAATAACCACTAAATTTATTCTTACTATGCGATGCTAGCGCCACTCAAGTCGCTGGGTGATGAACTAGGGCTTACTGTCGCCACCATCCCGCACCACAGACCAGACTTCAGGACCTGGAACGTATGACCTTTTCCCCCTCTCTTATCATAACCGCTCAATAATTAAATTTACTTGTGATTTAGCCTCCAGAACCCTTCACCGTCCCCTCTGGTGATCAGCTACCTTCGAACCACGTCCTCATTACCGCCTCCTTCGGACGCATCCTCCGAAAGTCCCTCCTGAACACATTTCATCCACATCGCCGTCTGAACGTCCATCCATCTTTGCTTCCCGCATATCGAGGGGCTGCGCCGATACAGCACGCATTGTTAAATGGAGAGAAGGAGACAGGGGTTTCTGTGATAAGTATGTTGGAGATGAAGGAGGGTATCGATACGGGAGATATCTGGGGAAGCAGGAAGATGGTAAGTAGCAGTGAGAGTAATATCATCCGAAGGGAGCCTGAAGACACTGTGAATTTATTCAGATGATACCGGAAGATGCGACATTCCAGTCACTTCGCGACTCTCTAGCTGTCGAAGGCGGGGATCTTCTGGTCTCTGTCCTTCGCGACATGCGTTTTGGAAAGGTACTCGACTGCATTCTTTCCCTTTGTCTATCCGCAAGCCATCCTGATCACTTTTATATGCTCTCCAGGCATCATCAACGGCGCAGTCATCATTGCTCTCTCCCGACTCGGAACCTCCAATTGCCCCACTCATCGCTCCTTCACAGTCCTTCATCTCCTTCACTGCCCAGACGGCGCAATCCATCCTCCGTCACTACCGTGCCATTTCTCACCACAAGCCACTCACAATATACACCAAAACTGGACGCTCAGTCCAACTGCACGACATCTCAGAGGCCTCCACCTCCGCATCTGCTTCCCCAGACGGACGAACTCAAGAACAACGCTGGAGACTACCACAGATCCCCGGGGCAGCGAAATACGTCCCGTACGAAGATGCGGTGTTAGTGAGGTGTAAAGACATGGAGCTGGTGAAGGTGAAGCAGTTGAAGACGCAGGATAGGAATTTGTTGGGAGCAAAGGCTTGGTGGAATGGAATTTTGCCGGAGTGGAGGGAGGGCGAGAGGAGGGATTATGTGATGTTTCTCAGTGAGGCAGAGCTCAGGCAACCTGATGATGTTACTGAAAAATAAACACTGACTCGGATTCGTGTTGAGCGTTGAATGATACACGGACTTGTGGTGGTATCTGGTAGATAGCACTTCGTGTCGATGGTTCCTGCAATCCTGACCTTTGGTCAAAAAAAAAATGCCAGCGTACACTCTCATGGTGCTCAAGATTGTTGATGAAGACATGCCCATTGGGCGAACACGAAGAGTACTCTCCCACCCATTCCTTCTTGTCGCTCAGGCGCTACCCACGCCACAGTCGCCACGTCGCCAGTGACAAAGCACTTCTAACGCCACACCTCTCAAAGCCACTCCACGTCACTTTCTCGCAGGTTACATTCCCTCCCAACCACAACCACGACCACATAATCCCCCTTCCCTCCTTCCTTTATCCCGACCATAATTTCTGACTGACCTCCGAATCACTTTGGTTAAATCTGTACGCTGAGCACGACAATGAAGTTCGCAACTCGCTCTCTGTTCGCACTCGCGTTCGCGACTGTGGGCGCGCTCGCGTCAAATGTGCTTGAGCTCACCCCGGATAACTTCGATGAGGTTATTGGACAGGGGAAGCCTGGTTTGGTCGAGTTGTACGTTTGATATTCCTCCATTATGCGTGATATGGTCCGTGTACTCTGTATAGGACCGGGTCATTCGTGGATATAAGTGTATGTTGGGCTGATGAGTTGTTCTCTCGTGCTCTGAATTATACAGCTTCGCTCCATGGTGGTACGTTGCTTCGTTAACTGTGAGATTCGTTGGCAGAAATGAATGTGTAAGCTTACTACGGCGGTGTGGATATTAGTGGACACTGCAAGGTACGCTTCTCGTTCTCTTGCCACTCGGTCTCAATGCCTAAACTCATCGGTCTGAATGAATACATTTAGAACCTCGCGCCTGTATATGAACAGCTCGCCGATGCATACGCACACGTAAAAAACAAGGTCGTTGTTGCTAAAGTTGACGCAGATGGCGCCGGAAAGCCTCTGGGCCAAAAGTATGGTGTTACGGGCTACCCAAGTACGTTACCAGCCCTTAACCCCCCGTGTTCTCCAGTTCCTCTATCGTTGACATGCGAAATTGTCGGACAAGACGGTCGTTACTGATTTCTAATATGATGTGTTACAGCACTAAAGTGGTTCAACGCGGATGGGACGTATGAACCTTATGAGGGTGCGAGGGACTTGGATGCGCTCGCGTCTTTGTGCGTATCTCTTTGGTTACGTTGGTTCGAGCTCATTGCTGACAAGATTTGTAGCATCACCCAGAAGTCGAATGTCAAGTCAAAGATTAAGCCTCCCCCTCCTTCCGCCGTTCAAATCTTGGACGTCAACTCGTTTGATGATGTTGTCCTTGTATGCCACGTCCCCACTCCTCTCATGCTCTAGACTAAGTATTGCACACTAGAACGGCGAGAACGACGCGCTTGTCACCTTCACCGTATGTCCTGCTACTCCAGTGCTTCTCAAATAGCGTAGCTGACCATGGAATGTGGCATAGGCTCCATGGTGCGGTCACTGTAAGACCTTGAAGCCTACATATGAGAAGGTTGCCCAAGATTTCCTCCGTGAATCCAACGTACGCGCCTCATCAACTCCTTCTTTGTACACTGAATCTTATCATCGTATTTCGTGCAGTGTGTTGTCGCCAACGTCGACGCAGACTCCGCTGTGAACGCTCCTCTCAAGGAGAAGTATGGCGTCAGCGGTTTCCCCACGATCAAGTTCTTCCCCAAGGGTGCTTCTGAGCCCATCGCGTACGAGGGTGCCAGAAGCGAGGAGGCATTTGTTGACTACCTGAACGAGAAGTGCGGTACTTTCCGTGCCGTCGGCGGTGCTCTCAACGAGAAGGTTCGTGGCCCAGCCCTTGCTCATTGAACTTCCTTCCTTCGACATTAACTGAGACTAATTATCCGTTCGCAGGCCGGCCGTGTTGCTCAGCTCGACGACCTCGCCTCCCAGTTTTTCGTGGCTGCGGCCGATGCACGCGCCGATATCTACAAGGAGGCCTCCCAGCTTGCTGCGGAGGTGGGCCCAGCAGCGAAGCATTACGTGCGCGTGATGGAGAAAGTCGTGAATGGTACTGAGGACTATGTCTCGAAAGAGTCGAAACGGTGCGTATTTCCTGGATCCATTCCACCTCGCGTGCCATACTATTTTTACCCTGGGGACACGCGCCCCAACTCATATATGATGGGCTGTCCCCGCCGTTGTTCCGGTACTATTATCGGAACGCATGCTAATCATGACTTCCTCAATTCAGTCTTGCGTCGATCCTTGACAAGAGGTCGCTCGCGGAAGCAAAGCTAGACGAGATCAAGATGAAGGCGAACGTCCTTGCTGCGTTCACGGCGAAGAAGGTCGCGGATGCTGAGGCGAAGGTGGAGGATACGATCGAGCGGGCTACTGAGGAGCTGTGAAGTTTCTGAGGATCGTTTGAGTCTGGCTTTCTGGTGGATCGGCTGTGTGTGATTGCTGGCTATGCCTTATTTCTGTTTTTGACATAAGATATAACCTGACCGACACTTCTGGACCCGTTCAACTCTTCGAGTAGATAATCTTTCTGCTACTGATGCTGTCATGACTGGGCGAATGACCTCAACGGGCTTGTCAGGTCCGGCGGGGCATGGCGAGCGTGGCGAGGAGCAGGCACGGGCCCCGGCTGCGGATCGGAGTGCGACCGAAGCGGCCGGAAGAGGCCGGGTCAGGAGAACGTGTTTGGCGCGGGTAAACAAAGCTGAGGTATTTATTGCAGCGGTCGTTCGACTCCCACACGCCTTCACCGCCGCTTTTTTCCCTTTCCCAAAGCCGTGTTCACATACCCACAGCGTTCATCGTTCCCCACGTCCGCCACAATGAAGTCCGTTATTTTCGCCACCGCACTCTTCGTCGCCGCCGCCTCTGCGCAGTTCACCGTCAACACCCCGTAAGTCGTCCGAATTGTGCACGCACGTCCCCAGGAATTTCCCTGACCTGCGTCGTCGTCTTAGCTCGAACGTCGTCGAGTGCCAGCCTCTTCAAATTGTCTGGACCGGTGGCTCTGGTGCGTCACTTTTATTCTTTCCCGGTTATCAGTGACTGTTGACTGATCCTGTCGTCGCCTTCACTATATAGGTGACACCTACCTTGTTCGTATCAACCGTTGCCCAGCTTTTCCTTGATTGCATGTGCTGACATACACCGTCCGTCTCGCGCATATTGTATTTGATAGAGGTGAGTTAGTTTATGATGGTTCATCAATGCAATCGTTGACGGCAACCCGTAGCGTTCTCCCTGGTGATGATCCCACCGGTACCGCTGTCGTTGACTTCGGCCAGCAGACCTCTCCTTACACCTGGACTGCCGTGAACGTTACTTCCGGTACGATTGTCTCCACTCCTAAACCATCGAGTCGAAATTCATCGTCCATTTTCAGGCACTTCTCTCGGTATCACCGTCCGTGACTCTACCGGTGCTCTTGCCCAGACCGCTGCGTTCACCGTCAACTCCGGCAGTACGTCTATGCCAAACCTCATACTTGTCCCTTCGTGTTAACGGTGGTTATCTTCAGGCGACTCCAGCTGCTTGACCTCGTCCGGTTCCTCGACCACCGCCTCCGCTGCCTCCAGCGCCTCTGGATCCAGCTCCAGTTCGTCGACAGCCTCTGCTTCTTCTACCTCCGCCGCCGCCACGTCCTCATCAGTTTCATCCGCCTCATCTTCCTCTTCAGCTTCAGCCGCCAGCGGATCGTCCTCCGCTTCCAAGAGCACCGGCTCCAGCAGCTCCGGCTCGTACGTGCTCTTGTCATACTTTCGACTCCTGTTTCAGTGCTGAGATAAGGTTGCTTTCGTTTAGGTCCACTGCCACCTCTGCGGCTTCGAGCTCTTCCAGCTCCTCCGCTGCCGCCCCGACTCTCGCCGCTCAATACGGTGCTGCCGGTGTCCTCGGTGCCCTCGCCGCTGCCGTCCTCCTCTAAATTCCTCTCTTTCGCATTTAGCGAAAAGTGCGGTGGACAGGATGCGGTTCAATGCGGTTATTGGTTCTCATTTTTAGGCTTTTGGTCGGGACAACGACTCATGGTGGTTAGGTTACGTTCATAAAGTCTGTGCGCGCGAGATTGATTGAACAGATGGACCCGAGTTCGCGATACCTCGTTCATTTTATACAGCTCGTCCTTCTCTGTCTCTTTCTCTCTTCCCCAAACAAACTATTCCTCGGTCTCTGTGTCCATACTCCTATCTGACAGTTTCCACGGCGCGGGCCAAGTCTACACTTTCTATCTCTGAATTTGGAAGTGTGCATTTGGTGACTTTATTGTTCATGGCCTACCGTGTCCGTTGTCCTTCATTTTGTACAGCATCGGCGTTGGATGAACACTTTCTCAGTCCGTCTGGCGTCCGTTTTTCATAGGTACCTTCGCACCCCCCTCCATTATCCGTTTGTGTTTGGCTTTTCTTACCTTACAGAGCCTTTCCTTGTTTGTACTTCCCTCATGGCCTCACGTCCCGGTTAATGCATGGTTATGCCCTTCCCCAATATTGGAGTCTGCAGTCGCTGGAATCCCGTATGGAGCGTGAGTGATATGGAATGGATGCCAGTCGTGATGGAGATCTGCCATGGCGCCAAGTGCAGAGTTGCAAATTCTTTCTGGTGGTTGCCTGGTGTGCTCTTGGCTACAAGTGGATCTCAGCGGCCCGGTTGATGATCATGAACATATCTGCAGATGCTTGTTTCTAGACGACGTCGACCGTCTTCACTTGCTTGAACGCTGTAACTATCTTAGAGCGTCCTGTCTAGCCAATGGACAGAACATTCGACGTCTACCTTGCTACAACTTGAACTTGTTTACGACTCGATAGGCTGTACGAACTGGGGGACCCTTTCCTGGGCCACTATCACCAGTCTTGCTTCAGTTTCGATCGAACTTCCCCCTCCTCCTGACAAGTTCATCGCCGTCTATATCTCGTGCTCTATCCAGTTCACCGTTAGTTACGTCGATAGCATTGGCCACCAAGCCCACGGCATCGCTTGGCGCCAGAGCCTGCTGCCATCCTCACGCCACGCCGTGGAAACCCAAGCAGCTGCTATATATCTATTCTTGGGCCTTCTCGAGGTTTCTGGCCGTTTCATGGATCATGACCTCCGTGCGATGCTCCGATGCGGCTCTTTCGTGGGCATAACCCACGGACCGCCCGGGTCTCGTCCAGGCTAAAAAGCCTGCCTTGCCTTGCCCTCACGCAAGCCGTGTGAGAACTTCCCCCAGCGTTCAGCGTTTCATTCCCCAACGTCCATCACAATGAAGTCTGCCCTCTTCGCCACCGCGCTCTTCGTCGTCGCCGCCTCTGCTCAGTTCCAGGTCAACACCCCGTGAGTCTCGTCGTGGTCCTGCTCTTGAGGAGTCAGCATTGTGTGCGGTTTTCTCACTGACCGATGGGGTCGTGTGTTGTGCAGCGCGAATGTCGTCGAATGCCAGCCCCTTCAGATTGTCTGGAACGGCGGTAGTGGTGCGTCACTCTCACTCATATCCTGCTGTAGCGCATGACTGATCCCGTCGTCGTCGTCGTCGTCGTTATGTAGGCAGCACCTTCCTCGTTCGTCCATTATCGATTTTATTTCTCCCTGATAGCACATGCTGACATACGTCACACACGTCATCCACATCCGTCCTCAGAGGTGAGTAAAGTCCATGATGCCCCGCTCGCCGACACCCTTACCAACGCACAATCCCTATAGCGTTCTCCCCGGAAGTGACCCCACCGGGACGGCCATCATCGACTTTGGCCAGCAGACCTCGCCCTTCACCTGGCCTGCCGTGAACGTCACTGCCGGTACGTATACGTTCTTCAGTCAGCCTCAGTTCCCACTCACGCCGTTCTGTGCCCGATGGACCATGGGGTTGCCCGACTCTGATCGTTCGTTCCCTCGTTCCCAGGCACTTCGCTCGGTCTCACCGTCCGTGATTCCACCGGTGCGCTCGCCCAGAGTGCGGCCTTCACCGTCAACGGCGGAAGTACGTCCGTCCGCTCAATCGCCCCTGACCTGCTCACATTACTAATCGCTTCACCCTATTCTGTTCTGCTCTGTTTGTGTTGTGGTTAACACACCTTCAGGTGACACGAGCTGCTTGACCGGCGGCGGCTCTTCTTCCTCCGCCTCGGCCGCCTCTAGCGCCTCTGGTTCCAGCTCCAGTTCGTCGGCAGCTTCTTCCCTCTCCGCTTCTTCCGCTTCCGCTTCCACCTCCTCTTCCGCCGCCGCCAGCTCGTCCTCATCAGCTTCCTCTGCATCTTCAGCCGCCACCGGTGCGTCTACCACCGCCTCCAGGACGACTGGCGCATCTAGCAGCTCTGGCTCGTACGTCTCTTCTCTCCCGTTCTTATCTTGTGGATGTGTGAGTGCTGAGAGATATGATGCGATGGTGTGATGGTGTGCAGGTCTACCGCGACGTCGGCCGCTTCGAGCTCCTCGAGCGGTAGCAGTTCTGCTGCAGGCCCGACTTTGGCGGCTCAGTACGGTGCCGCTGGGGTCTTTGGGGCTCTTGCTGCTGCTGTTCTGCTCTAAACCCAAATTCTGAGAGAGGGGGGTGACCTCTAAATTCTGAGAGGGGATGACCTCTATATTCTGAGAGGGGGATGACCTCTATATTCTGAGAGATGAGGTCGGAGAAAATGTGTCGCGTGGGGGCGTGATACGATACAGGCGGCGGTTTGTGGTTGTGGTTGTGGTTTTGTTGCTGTTTGTTTTGTGTGAGCTTGTGCTTGTGCTTGTGTTTCTGGTTCGGGACAACAGCCTGCGCGCGAGATCGGGTGGATGGATGGAGCTCGAGCGTTGAACCTCGGTCACTTTATTCATGGCTCGAGTTTCTTTCTCTGAAGTCATGCCGTGGGACATTCTGCTTTTTCTCTTTTCCTGCCGTCACCCTTACATACATACATATACCTTTTGATTTTGTGTACGCTTTTTCATTGGCTTTGTTTTTAACTTTTCGGAGACTTTATGTTCGTATCGTTTCGTTTCGTAATACGTGACCTACCTTCTCCGGTGTTCCTCTAAGTCTAGAGCGTCGGGATGGGATGGACTTCTTTTCGGCTTTTTGACTTCGTGTCCTGTTTCCTGTCCTGTGCTTTGAATGTCGGTTGCTGTTGAATCTTTTTGTTTGTTTGTTTGTAGTGTTCTGCCTTTCTGTCTGATTTTTGTCCCAGCCATATCAACATCATGACTCCGAGTCTTCCCCCGCTCTTCAAGACGGTGTGATGGGCTATATTCACGATGCGGTTCGATTGTGAGTCCTTGAGAGCTTGAGACGACGCATTGACAACGGGATGTTCGATCCCGGTGGCGTTGACGAGGTATGTTCTATCGGTCTGTTACATCCCAATCTAAGTATGGTATCTGCATCCACATCGGTGTATCGTATGGTCTCGGCCTCAGCCTCAGTAAGTAAGCATGGAGTCATCCCGAACGCGAATTCGAAACCCCAGACGAAGAGACGGAGGGAAAGAAGAGAAGAGAAAGTGAGAAGAAAAGGTGCTACAGTGTACAGTGATTTATGGATGATGATACACAGCGTACTGGACTTATCCCAGATCCAAGAATCGAGAACGAGAACGAGAGGATGAGGAGAGTGAGAGTGAGAGCATGAGAGCACAAAGAAAATCAAAGCATGACAGAATGAGAAAGATAGAGACTGAAGAGAGCAAGGACTGTCCAGCCGCTGACCAGCCTCAAGCCGTGATCAACTCGAGCTTGAACGCGTACGCGTAACAACAATTTAGAAAAGCGAGCGCTTCTAGCGCGATACAATAAGTAACTTGGTAATGCTGAATCGTGACCTGGTTCTAGCAGGAGTCAGAGAGAGGGTATCGGCAGTGGAGGCTGCAGTTGACGGACTCACAACAGGATACTAATGGCAGCAGGAAGCAGGAAGAGGAGAGAAACCGTATACTAATGACATGCACTCTTTACACCATATCACATCACATCACACCACATCATATGTCATGTCTCGCCCTCGGACTCGCCAGTCTGATCCTCTCTCCGAACTATACCAACGAGTCAGCACGGCGCACACTCCTGACCTTTCTGAAGGGGACGGGGAAAGGGGACCAAGCTAACCTTATAAAGCACAAACGGAATCGGAATAAAAAGGATGGCCAAACACCCGAGCAGCGTGCTAGCCCAGCCGACCCCGAGCTTATGATACATCTGCGTCGCGAAGAGGGGGAAGACGGCTCCGAAGGTGGAGCGCATGAAGTCGTTCCCTGCGAGCACGGAGGCGGCGTAAGAGGGGTAGGCGTCGCCCAGGTAGTTCAGCACCGCCATCTGCCAATCGTCGCATTGTCAAACTCAGATCTAGCAAGAGTGGACGAGGAAGGTGGAGGGGGGGGAGAATACGCACGAAGAGTAATAACGCGCCCATGATGAATATCGAACTGCCGATGATAGGCACTATCCACGGTATACTCTCCCTACTTGTCCATCCAAACAGGAACAACGAGATCGGGATCAAAAACGCCCCGACGAACGCAAACGGCAACCTCTCCTCCGGCTTCAACTCCCCCTTCTCATTGAACTTCGGCTCGATCACATAGTACGAATACGCGCAATACGGCGGAAGCACAATGATCGCGCCCACCAAAATGCCCGTGAAGCTCACGCCCTCGATCGGGAGCGAAAACTTGTAGATCTCGCCAAAGACGACGGCGAAAGACTCGAACCAGGCGTAGATGAGGCCGTAGATGAGACACGTGTAGATATTGAGGAAGAAGACGATCGGTTCTTGGAAGTTGAGTGCGAAGCCGCGCGCGGTCGAGAGTGCGATGTCGTGGATGAGGTGATTGTTCTGCTCGTTGAGGAATTCGGATTCGCACCGGAGGTTGGGCCGGCCGGTGAGTTTGCGGAGACGACGGGCGCGCCGGTGCAGGATGTTGGCGTGGCTTGTTTCGGGGAGGAAGAAGAAGAGGACGATGAGGCTGAAGCCGGAGAGCCAGCAGAGTTCCCATATTGTCCATGTCCAGCCCTTAGCCGTCGCGGCGAATCCTCCGACGACAGGTCCTGATTTAAACGATAATAGAAGCCCGGTCAGTATAAATAGAAGGCACAGACGCAACGGTGCAATGCTCACCGAGAACGGGTCCGCAAACGGCTACGGCGCCCCAGAGGACGATCGGGTATGCGCGTTTTCGAGCAGAGAACATGTACGATATCGACGCGCCGCCGTTGGCGAGGACCGGAGAGCCAAAGAAGCCGGACAGGAATCGGAAAGCGAGGAGCATGCCGAGGTTGACGGACAGTGCGGTAGGAACCTGGAGGATGACGAATATGACAAGGGTGGTGATGTAGATCGAGTTGAAGCCTATTTGAGGAACTTCGCTCATTGGACCCCACAGCATAGGACCGAGTCCGTAGCCTCTAAGCACGATGAGCAACATGTCAGATAATCCGGAAGGAAAGTAATAATGTGATACTCACAAGATAAAAAGCGTGAGCCCGAGTGTGGCTGCCGTTTGGCTGATTCCGAACACGATCATAACGTCTGGTATACCAGGAGAATAAATTGCACTGCCGATGTAGATCGAAATCGTCAACAGAGCGATTAGGCCCGTGACGCAACACCTCTTGCGTAAAGACCAGTTGAAAGGATTCTGCAATAAACCCATCAGCCTTGAAACTTAGACATTGCGAGGACTCGGATACGTACTGCTGGGTCATTTTCTGCCCAACCAATAAGGAGCGCATCCTTCTCATAATTTATCTCCTTCTTCTCGCTCTTCCTATTCTGTTCGTACGGATCGACCTGAGTTGCTAGTGTGTCCCTCGACTCATTTCCAGGTAGTGGAGGTCGAGGAGCGATCAACTCATCCAGCGGTACCTCGTCGACCTGTGCATGCGACGCTGAGTGGTGCGCCTGTGTAATGAAAGGCGGCGGGGCGACGTCGGCTGGGTCCGGGTTTATAGTTCCGTAGAGAGCTAAATTGCTGGATTTGACGGTGTCGATGTAGGAATACCAGACCTCTATATCCTTTTCCTCTGGGTATTGGAAGACGCGGTTGCTGGTGAGTAGACGGACGACTTGTCCGAAAGGAGCCTCGCGGACGGTATCCCAGACCATGACGGCGATCTGTGAATATCGGCAGCGGAGGTTAGTCTTAGCAAGTCTGGAAGGGGGAGGACGCGTACTGTCGAGGGATGACCGCGGACCTTAAGTATAGTGGTTCAGACGAGGACTGGACGGACGGAGATGAGGAATGCAATCGTGCGGTCGGGCGCCGCGCTGAGGAGCTGCAGTGATTGGTGCTATACACGCCGCGACGATACAGTGTTTGGCCCACATCTCGTCCGAACATGAGAGCGCTGTATTTAGACTGTCAAACGCACATCTCGTAGGTCGATTCCCTGTTCTGTGCAACGATCATCCCACGGGGCTGCCAGTACCCTATCGCGCTGCCCACCGGAGAAGAAAGGGCATAAACCATCATGGTTCTCCGACATCATGAAGAGCTTAGTGAGCAGGCGCCCGACAGCAAGAGTAGTCGCCAGTCGAGATTTGCGATGCAGGTCATTCATGCGGAGTCCTGCCACAAGCAGGATCGAACAAGAGAGGTCTGACCTCGAAACGGAACGGCGTAGTGTCCTTTGCGGCCTTCACATTCAGATAAAGGTAGCCTCCCGCGGACGTCGGGATCCACACGTACAAAGCGAGGTGTCAAGCGCGCCTCCTTCCCCCATTCCGTCGATAGAAGGGGACAAGGTTGGGCTGGATGATGAATGAAGTGGTGTCACAGCCCCTCGCTCTAACTCCTAACACCGATGGCCTGAAGCGCTCGAAGGGAGTAGAGCATGGTGATAGATTATACAGGTATTCAGTTCAAAAATAGCATACTGGCGGACGTAGAGGTATGTGGATGGGCGCGCCACGAAGCCTGAGGTTCGGGATCGAGATCATTGTGGTTCTATTGCATTCGAGAGTGACCACGCAGAAAGTGAAGGACAGGAATCAAGCGTGGCTCTAAGTAGGTGTTTGCATGTAGGAGTCGACGGGCGGGGGCGGTAGTAGAAACGATAACACCATGATTACAGTCGTGCGGTGGCAAGATGTTAAAATTGTCCAGCGAGGTTCAAATTTCCTAGAATTCAGCATAAAGTTATCCAGGCAGCGAAAGAAACCAGCCACGGATATCTTGGTCCAAGTGAGCGTCATCGGCGATAGGTAAGTAAACAATCTGATCTCCAGTCAAGCTCGGAGAAGAAAAGCAGAACAGAAAAGCGTCAAGAGAGGCCCGATCACAGATCCGTTGGTGTCGGTTGAGTCCACGGCGTTGGCGCGTCGGTCATTGCCGGGTCCCCACATATGTAACTTATCGGCATCCCCGCTCGTTTCGAGATCTGACTGTGTCTTTGACTTACATCTCAAATCGGAACTGGGCTCGAAGTCTGGATGGAGAAAAGCTAATCATCCTTGGTGATTATTCAATATAACATTGGTAAGATCTGATATAGCGTTCCATGTCCTCCGAAAGGTATGTCCTCCGATGCTCCTTCTATTGTTTTCTTTCCGCTGGTAGTGCTACTAGTACACATATCTACGTTCGGTGGCACGACGTTCCATGCGCATCCTAACCAGCTCCCGCGCCCTTTCCAGACGCTCTTCCAATGCCCGCTCCTTCTCTAAACACTCTTCCAGCGCCACGTCCGAGTCTGTGGTGGAATCTTTCCTGACGAGATCGCCATTCGCGTTCCAGTAATACTCGAATGTCTGCACTTCAAGCTCGGCGGAGTCTGCGACTTGTCCACCACTGTCGACAGATCCATCCATGCTGGAGTCGCTGTCGAACGCACTACCAGTGGTAATCAAACCACCGCCAGCAAGCCCAGACCCAGACTCAATCCCAGTGCCAGTAATCCCCAAAACCTCATCAATCCGCCGCTCACAATTATCCAACACCGACACCAGATCAGCCAGCCGATTCACAGACGCCGCGATCATCCCCTCTCTTACATATCCTGACCTCGACTTGTTGGATTTGGAAGAGGCCGTCGTGATGGAGGTGGGTCGACGAGGCCGAGCCAAACCTGAGGGAAGGATGACGGCTTCTATGGTGATGAATGAGGGAAGAGGATCGGCGACGGCTACGCAACGGGTGGGGAGCGAAAGACGACGAGATGGAGGGGGCGGGGAACGGCGGGGGGCAGGAAGGGAAGTTCGGCGAGTTGGGGGGAGGCCCTTGGGCGATGAGCATAGTACAAAACTGGGACAAGGTGATCTAGTGAGCGAGTTGTACGAGCCGGGCTGAGGTATGTCTTGAGAGAGACGAGTTTGTGTTTCCGGAGAAGTGGAGACAGTAGTCGTAAACACGTCTGGGGACAGGACGGTGTCCACGCGATTGAAGCCATATTTTCTGGGAGATGAGGTGGGTTTGGAGGTGGGAGTATATGGGTAGACGAATATCTTAGAAGCACCGGGGGTGTTGACTTGATACCCTGCGTCCGACTTCGTAGTCGCCTTGACCGGGGTAACTTGGCTGGCAGGAGAAACCGTGACTGTGTCCAGACAATATGATCAGGAATGAGCAAGTATTTCCCTCGACAAATGGACCGGACGTACCGTTAGAGATGGTACGAAGCGCAATCCTCGCATTTCGCGTCGACTTTGACTCCGATATATCCGATGCAGAGTTGCCAGCTTGTGCGACGTCTCGGACGACGCGGGGGGACGCCTTGGAGTTGATGGGATGGATGTTCTCCTTTGTGACTGAGCGAGCCAGAGCAGAATTTCTCCCGCGAGTAGCGGAGCGGAGAGAGCCTGAGCCTGAGGTGCGTTGTGTGTTGGCGAGGGGCGAGAGGTGGTTGGCAGGCATGGTTTGAGTCGTTGAGTGGCGTGTCGATGTTGATGTTGTTGCTGCTGTTGTTGTCTTGAGCGGAATAGAAAGAAGCGCAGAGTCCTAGATTATGAGCCACTGAGGTATAAGAGGCGATTGCGAGAGAGCCTGGTGGTGAAGAATAATGCCAGCGGCCGAGACATAGTAGGCAGACTGGTGGGCGAGTGACTGCCAGTGAGTGACCGCATGTCGCTCAGTCCTTCCCATAGCCAGCGCCATGCATCAGTCAGCACGCCAATGCATAAGTTCATTCTTGGTTCGGTAGGTAGAGCACATAACCGGGAGCGAGCTGATAGATGCTGCCATGGACCGGGATGAGATGAGACAGGTGAAAGTCGTTCAGAGTAGTGACGGAGGCAAACTTAAAATAGTCTATACGGATGACGCTGGTCGACAAGCTTATATCTACAGAACAAGCATAACATTTCTCTCCAGAAAGAGTGCTAGAAGAACCAGTACTGTTGCCTGAGGCCGCAGACTCGATGTAGAACGCGGGAGAGTCGATAAAGCAAACGCGCCGCCCATCGTGGCCCCTACCGGCAATCTCCGTCGGACTTTGCAAACATACCGAATCGAACCACTTCAATGTTCTGCCACGACCAGTATGACATCCCAATACTAGTGCTCCCCTCGCTCAGTAACCACAAAGGTTTGAGATTAGTAACGATCATACGATATAGGTGAGCACCTCCACCTTGATTACCGAGGAGGGTTTAATAACACGCATATCTATCTCCCTCAAGCCTGCCCACACTGGACGGGTGCCGATATTACAAGACACACATTTGATCTGTTACGACCTTTCTCCATTGAGAACTTGTTCATTCTACATACTATCAATGGGGAAAGCTACTAGCTTGAGGATTCAAGAGACTCAGTCTACTGTCGCAACGCCGTCCGAAAGGTCGATAGAGCCTTCAGCGGGCCAAATCGACATGTCTCCTAATAATGCTGCGAACAATAATGTCACTGAACACGAAGATACGTTCGCGGACCAGGCGGAACACACGCATCCTGACCCGGAGTTGGACGTGCAGTCGCATCTCGATTCAACAGGGGTGTGGCTTCTCGCAGCGCAACATCTGTCCAGGTAACCTCTTTCGGAGCATGCTGCTCTGCTCTACTGACTATCAGACATTCTCGTTGCAGTACTTGGGGAGATCGCACGGCTGAATTCGCCTTTCCGCTTTATCTGTAAGGCACAAGACACTAAACAACTGGAACTGTACTAACGGACACGACAGTATCGAATTGTTCGTGAATACTCTTTTGCCTGCGTCCATCTACGGGTTCGTCATTACCGGGGCTGGTATTTTCCTCTCAGGGTGTGTTCTGAAAATTCGTGATGGTGCAATTCTGGCTCTCTGACTGGCTGTATGTTCCTTTCAGGAGTGTAGGCTCGATGATCGATAAATTTACTCGACTGAAGGCCGTTCGCATCTCCATCTTAATGCAGAAACTCTCAGCTTCCATCTCCTACGCCCTCTTCATCATCCTATTCTCGAAATTCCCAAACATCAACATATCCGACGCACGATCCATGTGGCTCATCTTCGTCGCCATCACCGCAAATGGGTGTGTCCTCAAGCTCGCGACGGTCGGGATGAACGTCTGTATCGAGAGAGACTGGGTCATGACTATAGCGGCCTCTAACGACCGGTCTCTCCTGCGGCTGAACACTGTCATGCGTCGGATCGACTTGCTCTGCAAGCTCCTTGCGCCGCTTTTCGTCAGTTTGCTCACCTCGACCATCGGGTATCCGTTATCGGCCATCGTGTTGCTTGCTATCGGGATTCTCACAATGGTGTTCGAGTTCTTGTTCGTCAAAATCGTGTATAGGAAGTTTTCGGTACTAGGAAGCCCGAGACTATCTAGGCGCGTCCCCGAGACAAGCGAATTAGAGGACGTTGCGCCTAATCAGCCGGAGATCAAGTCATACGACTGGCGTCGCTGGCCAGGGATTTCACAAGCATGGCTCGGGCAACAACTCCAGGACTGGAAGGAATTTGTGCATCACCCAATATTCATCAGTACGTCTTTTCCGTCGTTGAGTAGTATCAGTATTGATGGCAGGCTCTCCTATCTTTTCAGGCTCATTGTCGATATCTCTTCTCTACCTAACTGTTCTGTCGTTTGACTCGACGTTTTTGGCTTATCTGAAGAGTCAGACAGACTACTCAGACCCGTTCATTGCAGGCATGCGAGGTCTTTGCGTTGTCACCGGTGAGTTCGCCTCGGTGTTCTATCGCTTCAAAAGTTAGGTAGCTTGTCTTACTCTTCGTTATTAGGGTTGATCGGAACCTTTGCTATGCCGTGGCTGGAAAAGTCTCTGGGGTACGTCATTGACTAAGGCGGGGTTTCTTGAATCTTGCTAAGGGCTTACCATGTTTTCACAGTCTGGTCCGTGCAGGATCATGGTCGCTATGGTATACAATTTTGTCGAATACTTCATGCGTACGCCAATTGACCAATCGCTTGTGTACTCCGCAGGTCGCAGGTCCTCTCGCTCATCCCAGCGGCCTTGAGCTTCTACATTGGAGCCCACGGCCAAGATAGAGCTGCCTGGAACTCAGCCATGCTTTTTGGTGGTGGGCTCCTTCAGCTCTACTCTCGTACAATTCGCTGAGGAGTTCTGCCTAAACGCATGTCAGGCCTCGCGCTCTCACGCATTGGACTGTGGTCATTTGACCTCGTGCAACTTACCCAACTACAAAAAGCTCTTGCAAACCATCCGCGACAAAACACGCTCACAGCGCTGCAGTTCTCGCTGCAGAACATATTCGACTTGGCGCATTACGGACTGACGTTAGGATGGAATAAACCGGACCAATTCAAGTTTGCTGCCGCGGTACGTGCCACATCTCACATCTCACATCGCTTTCTTTGTTGGTGGGTTGTATGATTATTCATGAGCACGTTTTTTTACTACAATAGGTGTCAATGGCCTCCGTGTTTATGGCCGCAGTGGTGTATGTTTGGGGTTACGCTCGGCCACTGAGAGGACATGTTTTCCATACTGGCAAATTGGTTTCCAGGTTGAGTGTTCTTGTTCGTAGAATGCGGTGATAAGCCGTGGATTTTGAACGTCGGTTCCGAAAATATTCGGAACCTGGAACGCACTAGAAAATCAAGACCTCTGTCTATCTCTGTCTCTGAAGAGCGTGGTGTGTGTGAACTGGAGCATATTCATCAAATGTGGCCCATGCCACAGAGCCAACGAACACGAGCACGTGATTTTGTCGCGTCGACAACGCGAAACTAGCCAAATAAGGCACAGTTCACTTCTTCAACGCCCACCGCCCCTCAAGGCTTGCTCCTCAAGACCGTTATGCCACCTATACCCTCTTCGTCTTCCTCATCACGGTCTCAAATGCCCGACCATCTTACAGCAGGAACCGTTCGCCGGCGAGCTGCAATTCAGAATCAAGTCGACGACGACGTCGAAGATCCCCTTGCAGTGTACGACCAATATGTTCAATGGACCCTCTCCAACTACCCACCAGAGTTTATCGGGCTCAGTGGATTGCTCGAGACTCTGGAGGAGGCTACAAGGAAGTTTAAGGGAGATGAAGCTATCAAGGCCGATCGACGTTACCTGAAGATGTGGTTCCTCTACGGGTCTCTCGTCGACCGGCCCAGTGTCGTATTCAAACATTTGCTTACTCGAGGGATTGGCCTTGGATCTGCTCAGCTTTACCTGGATTATTCTCTGATACTAGAAAGGGCTGGAAGGTGCGTAACCCTTGCACACGCTTATGACAGCATGTAGCTGAGATGCTCCAGACGAGACGCAGCGGACGAGGTCTACCGTGCTGGTATTCAGCGCAAGGCACGGCCTGTCAGCAGCATCAAGCAGCAATACGAAGAGTTCAAGAAAAGGAGTACATCCAAGCCTCCCACTAAACCTCCTGCCGCGACGCTTCGTCTTCCCAAGTCTCGATGTACACCCGAAGCTGCTATTCTTCGTCAAGATCCCTTGAAATACCATGGCGCTGCCGATGGGCACCACACCAGCACTACCGCTGCCTCGAACACGAATGCCTCTGCTTCATCATCGTCAAAACCGATACAGACCGTCCATATGATCAGCTTACAATCCGACAAAACCCTGAAGCCGGGTGACTTGAAAGGCGTCGTTGGCACATATTCTCACAACCGATACGCTGCCATGCTCAATCCTGTTGCTGGAAAGAAGGCGGAGAAGTACTGCTTCAACATGAAGCTCTTATTCACTCAGGAACACGGCGAATACTGCATTCAAGAAGCTCGTGCTCGTTCTATGGGTCTCCTCGGGAAGAAGTGGGGACCGCCGCCACCCTCAGAACTCACCCGACGTACCGAGAGTGAACAACGACCGGGACAACAAGGCACTGGGAATATCGCCAAAATCAACTTCAACGATGACGGAGCGAAGACGAGCAAGGGTTACACCTCGACAGGGAGGAAGAGTCTGTTGGGCGGTCCAGAGCCGACCGTTACCATCAATACGAAGGAAGCGTTGGCGGACGTGTATGGGATGTATAACTCACCCACAAGGACGATGAAAGGGCCAGGTAGCAAGCATGCGCCTGTCAAGAAGGTCGAACCTATAACCCCTATGGCTTCCCTCGCCTCTCCTCCTCCAAGACCACAAGTCTCTGATGAAAATGCAATAGCTCGCGCGAAGCCGCTACCTGGTAAGCTCCTTCTTTCTTCATGTTGTCGTATGATTCCCAACTGATAGGCATCCACCATCTTATCTCTCTGCGCTGCAGCATTCAAACCGTTTGTTGATGAAAACGCGGACCGGAGAGAGACATCGCCAAGTCTGGCCCCAGCTAAGGTAATTCAACAAATATTACACTCCTGGCAAGTAATGAACTTACATCTGTGCTTTATTTCGCCTCTACAGTTCAAGCCCTTCGTCGACGCCGAGCCCACACCGAAGAAAACGACCTTGAACCCCAATCCCAGTCGAAAGGCTCTCGCGGCTAAGGATACCACTCCTGCCTCGGCTCTCAGATCGAAATCTCCCCCTACCGATGCAGACGAGAACGCATCTGCTAGCAATTCGTCACTCCCCAAGGTCTTTAGCCCGGTGTCGTCGGCAGCTGTCTTCCAGAGCATCCCAACGAAGTCGCTTCTCGGTGCGGTGTTCGTTGACTCACCAAAGCAGAACGACCGCGACCCACCAACGTCGTCTACCAGGGGTCAGAAGGGCGTGAATGCCGATAGGCTAGAGGATGCAAAGGGTGCACCGTTCAAGCCGTTTGTGGACTCGAAGGCTCCATCGACGGTTTTCAGTGTCCCCGAGCATTCACGGGCACAACCATCCCAGAATGACAATGCTGCTTCTGCACGATCTGCATTCATGCCCTTCGTCGATCCCGAGAACGCCCGTCCTTCAGGGTCCGCGCCCGCTCGCACTCCTCTCGCCACCCGCCAGCCTCTTCGCGCGTTCGCCCCTGTGCAACACCATCATATTGAAGAGGAGCACGACGAGGACGATTACGACGATTCTTACGAGGATTATGAAGACGAACGGTATCATGATCAGGATGCAGAGATGGGAGATCCACGATACGAGGATCAGGACGTCGAGATGCCTCATACGCCACAGGAGGAGTACCGCGAATTCGATGACTACGATGGCTACAATCGTGAAGCGAACATGGGCGGACGGTATGGGCAGGTCGACCTTCTGACACCAATAACGGAAAGGACGTTCGAGTTTACGACGACCATGAGCCGAGCATCTTTCAATGACCTAGCCGGGTCTATCGGGCCCGGTGGGGAGAAGGATAAGGCCTTATTGGAACAGGAGGCGGTGGAGGCAGCAGAAAGACTTGCGGCGGAGCTGAAGGAGCAGAGTCTGACCACCGCGAGCCCAGGCGATTATTCTGCATCGCCACGAGGTGCAGCTGTTGAGGACAGTGGGAGCGGGAGTGATCCGGATGGGATGGTGGTAGTTGATGCAGAGGATGCGGGATTCTCGTCGTCTTCATCTCCAAAACTCGTTACTTCTCGTGGTAGAAAGGAGAGCGCGGGCATGGTGGCCGTTACAGAGTTCCTCGAGGAGAAGACTGGCCACTTGAGTCTTCAAGACTCTATTGCCCTCGCTGCCTCGTTCCGACCGCCAAACCCTTGTAATCCCTTCGACCCACCCATCGTGTCGACGCTATTGTCGCTCATGCCGGACGACCCCGCGTATTTCGACCTAAGATCGCAGGAGGCCAATTCACTGGAGGGTTTGCAGAAGTTTGCGAAGAAGCAGGGGCGGAAGAGCGGAGACGCACCTCATTTCTTCCCTGTTCATATTGGCACCAATCGTTTCAAAGTCTACTACAAACTCGGCGAGGGAGGTTTTGGCGCTGTGTTCGCTGCCAAGGACGTGACCTCCAAGAGTGACGTTTCCGACGATGAGGATGAGGACGATGAGGATGATGAGGACGACGAAGACGAAGATGGTGCCACACATCGTGTGGCGCTTAAGGTTGTGAAGCCTCGCAATCTTTGGGAATTCCACATTCTCCGAAAGATTCACAAGAATCTTCCAGCACATCTTCGCTCGTCTATCATCCGCCCGCATGCCCTCCACGCCTTCCGGGACGAGAGTTACCTCATTTTGGACCTCTGTACCCAAGGCTCTCTCCTCGACGTGGTCAACCGCGCCGGTCAGGCAGGTATCTCACAACAAGGAGCCTGCCTCGACGAACTCCTAGTGATGTTCTTCACCATCGAGCTCATGCGTTTACTCGAAGGTCTCCACGATGCAGGCTTCATTCACGGCGACCTCAAGATCGATAATTGCATGCTTCGACTCGAGGACGTACCTGGCGGCGCGTCGGCATGGTCTGCTACTTACTCGCCAATAGGTGAAGGAGGGTGGGCCAGCAAGGGAATCAAGCTGATCGACTTCGGACGGACGATCGACACACACCCATTCCCTAATGGTCAAACATTCATCGCAGAATGGCCCACCGACGCTCGAGACTGTTTTGAGATGAGGGAGGATCAGCCATGGACGTACCAGGCAGACTACTTCGGCCTCGCGGGCATTATCTACTGCATGCTCTACGGCAAGTACATCGAGGCCTCTTCCGTTGCGCTCGTCTCAGGAGCAGACGAGCCGCCACGCCACAAAATCGCGACGCCTTTCAAGAGGTATTGGCAGTCGGACTTGTGGATGAAGCTGTTCGACGTTCTGTTGAACCCTTGTCTTGTGAAGGAGGGGAAGTTACCGGTCTCGGGAGAGCTGAGGGATCTCAGGGCGGAGATGGAAGGGTGGTTGCAGGCGAATTGCGGTCGGAGCAGTGGAACGTTGAAAGGGCTGCTGAAGAAGGTCGAACTTTCTGTTATGAGAGCTGATTGATCGCTGGGGATTTGAGCACGCCGGTTCGGAATGTACTCGGTTGAATTTTGCACGACTGTTGTATGCCCTTTGTTATATATCATCTATGACTATGCCTTGTACTCTCTCCAAGCTTCTCCCGATAGACACCAGGATAGATCGCACGAACTCCAGCCCTCCAACTTGCCGCCCTCACTCCTTCGAATAACATCGCTGACCCCGGGTCAGACAGTGGTGTCAGGTTCTGAGTATCAGACCGGTCATAGTTGCGGAGAGCGATCCACGACGATGGACAGGAAATTCAATCCTTTAGATCTACCACGGGGAGAATCTTGTGAATGGCCTTTCTTCTTTCGGTCGCCACTTCCCTTTTTCATACTCCATGGATCGATGTATACTACTCAGTGAATACATATCTCAGAGGCAAAATTTCCTACAGCCTGTCTCCATCTTGATTGCTCGGCTCTATTATGCCCCTGCCTTCATGATCACACTCTCCTGTATTCTCCCAAAATGTAACTCCTAGTTGTACTCGATGTATCAGCCTGCTTGACTGATATATCACTCAACGGCTACTTGATCAGGATAGTAAATATTGCTAGCCGCCACACGGCCTGAGATGCGCCACCCGTACCGCAAATAATACATGCGCTCGGTCTCATGCATTTTCTCCGCGACCGTCATTGACGTTGCGGTCCAGTCTCGAAATCCAGACTCAAATATCGAGGAAGACAATCAATTCGCTATTAACCTTAGCACGACGCCATGCCCGTCCTTTATTCTGGCCAGTACTCCTTGTCGTTTGTTTTGGGTGGCCACACTGCCTTTCGGAGGCTCATACAAAGAGCACAACGACTGCCCGTGCATGGGACCTGTATCGAAGATACCAATTTGGAAGATAATGCGCATAGTATGGTATGTGCTTTGGGGAGACTTGGACGTGACCAAGACGTGACGTGAAGAATTGCGAACAGAGGGAGCAGCTCGGCCCCAAATTCAACATCTAATGCTCGCACATGTCGAATTCCAATCCCTGCGTATCCTCCTCGTACCTCTTTACAAACGCACTCCTTTCTGCCATTAATCTTTTCCTGAATTTGTTTGCCTCCTTTCGACTCATCGGACCTGGGATCTCCTCCGCAATCATCTCTCTCAGCTCCACCGGCAGCCTTGCCAATCTCGAAGTAGATTGGGGAGTAACGACCTCCTTCTCGAACCATTCTCGCTGTTGCGGAGGTACAGTCGATGTGGACGGTATCTGTCGATTGGGGTCCACAAGGAAGAAAGCCAGGATCTTGCGATGTCCAGGTTTCGTAGGATCGGTAAGATGAAAAGGGGAAACACGGTGTTGATAGATGTTGGGGAAAGCGAGGGCGCGTCCGTTACATGTATTGACAGACCCTCGGTCTTGCACAAGAGACGTGTTTCTGTTATTTACATGACGCGAGGTCAAGTGAGAAATCGTTGGATGACTGGGTAAACATATTCATCGCTCACCGGGTGATACCGTAGAGGATATCCATGCAATCATAGTCGTCCTGTTGGTGGTACATGGGAGGTCGTACGCATACCCGGAAAGCAAGCTCAGATTCGGATATATTTTCGGAATCGTAGTACTGTGAAAGACGTTAAAAAAAAATAAGATACGAAGATGAGATAGTACTTTGAGGCCACGGAATAGATGATGATCACGCACGTATATCCCAGTGGCGACAATGGCCTCATTGATCATTCCTACGAGATGGTCACTGTTAGTAGTCATGTATTGCATGTAAGCTCGTATACGACACAGATATGACACCCACCTTCGACATGCCAGCTCCCTCCCGTATATTTCGGCTGCTCTGGCGTCAGCTGAATATTTGCAAGCTTCACAATGACTTGGACGGTGATTCCCTTCAGCTCCATGATTGGGAAGACTTCTTCGAGACTCGCCGTCACTTCAAACCTCTCCCGAGAGTCCGGCAGTGTTATTCCCTGCGTTCTCAACCAGCCGCGTCGCCTCTCATCCTGAGTCTCGCCTTCAAACCCCTCATAGTCCATCTCCCGGTAGCCTTCCTCAGTGTTCCACCAATGGCTATTTATCTGCTCATAATATGGCTTTGTCCGCCCCCGTATGAACTTTGGTTCCGTTTTCTCTAGCACGCAATGAGGTACAGGCATGCGCATGCTGTGCCGCGCAACGTCGGCATGCCAGTTGTCAATATAGGGTTTACGCTCCTCAGGCTCCTCTGATTCTCGTAGAGCCTGTCCTCGAGCATAAGGCGCGTTTGAGAACACTCGGCTGGCTGCCGAGCCCAATACTTTCTCCCACATCGGTATGAACCTCCCGAGTATGCTCTCAATAGCCAGGTAAAGATCCTTCTTGTCCGGATGGATGTTGTTGATGTACGGAGAGACCAATGTGACCCTCTTTCCGTCACCACTAACCTCGAAATCTGACGGCAGCCACGCCGTTCGTTTGGAGAAATAGACTGCAGCCTCAGCCTCATCTTCGCTGAGAGATGGCTGTAGAGGAGTGTAGTTGGTAGTGTCGCCCGAGCGGGCGAGGGTTCGGTTGTAGACAACACAGTAAAGCGAAGGATGGACGATATCGAGGACCTGGCCGTTTGAACCTGGGTGCCAGTCTTTTTGGGACTCGGGCACGTTTTCGAAGATGGAGACCTCGTGCTTCAGTGTGTCGCGTAGTTCGCCGCTCATGAGCGTATCAGAAATAAAGACAGAGTCGTCGCAAGCGTGCTAAGTGCATAGACCGGGTGAAAATCGGGACAGGTCTCAAAACCCAAGAATGAAAGGACAGTAGTCTCGTCGCGGTGCGACTCAGACGCACCTGAATCCCGTCTTCGTTTACGAGCGCAGCATAGGCCTCCAGCTCCGTCAGTACATAATTTATCTTTGCACCGTAGTCAAGTTTTACAATCGCATGCCACTTATATCAGCGACTCAGGGGCTCTAAGTTTAAAATCGAAAGACACTCACCATATTTGCAGTCATCTTATGCTCCAGAACGACTTCTTTCTGCTTTTCAGTCGCCTCTCTTCTCCACTTTTCCATGATGATTGGATCCTTGATCTTCGCCCTCCAACCAGTCTTGGACCGAATTGCCCATGACATGGCTATCATCCGCATCTCTGCCCGCTGAGTTTTATAGAGCAGCCACAAGAGTCTCAGTGTCGCAACCAACCGTCGTACTGGAGAACGTACCGTCCGCATAGGTTGCTCATACGGTAACGGTATGTCCTCGTAGTCGATGTTGATGTCGCGGAAATACTCCCCGCCGTCGGACCTTCCTCGCCAACAAAACGGATGAGGGATTACCATACGGGTGTTGTTCATATCTCCAGTCGCGCCATCTTGGTTCGTCGTCGCCTGCGGTTCATTGTAATCTTTCGTTGTCTCCATAGCGTTGAGCTTGGGCGTATCGGTATTCCCAGCAGCACTAAGTACTAAGTAATTATTCGGCGTTGTAAACCAGGTGACCGTCGCAAGGATGTTGCACGCTAGAGGCAGCTGTAGATGCCGCGGCCCTGGAGTCAAAAAAATCCAGTTACCCAAGCTTTGAGAGTTGAAGTTCTGAAGAGAGGAGGACGGATAACAAGATGGAAAGCAACACGCTCACATCGAGGTCACTCAGTCAACGGACAACTTTGAACTAACTCCACCGGCCCAATAAGCGCTCTCCGCTAATTTCCGAATAGACCCTAACCCCAGCCTGACCCCTCCTTGTGATCGGTGCCACCCAGATCATGATGAACGGTGACCGCCATGTTTACTGTGCCATTGTGAGCTATGGTGGGAATCGAATCTCTCCTCTCCGTCGCACCGATAAATTCAACGATGTCCATCACGAGAACATCCTCTGCCAGAGCGCAACAAATTCATAACTTGTCGACCTCAAAGTGCGAGTCAAGCACATCACGTTGACGTGTGCCAGTGTACTTATCGGAGACCAATATTGAGATCCATAACCGGATGTACTACTAATACACACAAAAAAAAAGAGACCGAAAATGATGAAGCGAAAACCAAAGCCTGAGCCTGAGCCCGAGCCCGACCATACAGGCCAATATGTCCCTATCCCACATGAAAAAAAAAATCCACCCACTGCAACGTACTATACACAGTCTACACCGATCCGTCCCCCCTCCCTCCCCTCCCCTCCCCTCCCGTATAACAGTAACCGAACTCACGCCTTACTATGCCCCGTAACCTCACTCCTGCTCTCGTGCGCCTTACCCTCTAGGTCCGGGGAGGAGGCATGGCCGATGGTAGGCAGGCCGGCGTGGGACGTCACGGTGGACGTACCGTTCGGGTACATGTGCGTGTTCTCGACGTGCTCGAGGTGGGCTTTGTGGCCTTCTAGCCATGCTCTGTTGGGGCCGGGGACGACTGTCAATGTATGCGATACACACACGGTCAAAAGTCAGTACTTTGGTCTCGATACAGATACGAAGGAGGTTGGAGGAGAAAGAGGTAGAGGTAGAGGAATACGGGAACGGAACAGAGCGGTGGAGATCATGGGTTCAAGTTGTGATGACCGTGAAACCGAAGGGGAAGGAAGGGAGAGAGAATAGCGAATAACAGAGACGAAGGTCCGACAACGCACCTCGACTAGAATCCACGAACATAAACTCATAACACAAGAACGAACACACCGTCGCCGGGATAGACGTCAGTCCCGCTATAGCGGCATACCGTCCGCCTGAGGCTTTCAGGCCCCAGATCGTGATGGCCATTAGACGGGCACCGATGTCGCGTGCGGGGTTGGCGGCGACTGGGAGTTTGAACGTTCGTGATTAGTATTAGTACAGGTCGAATAGGAGGAAGGAAGGAAGGAGACGATGAGGGAGGGAGGGGGTGTGGAAGGGGACGGGGACGGGGAAGAAGACTTACGACCGACGGGGGAGTAGCCCCAGACCGCGATAGCACTATCAACGAGTACCGGGACACACATCAGATACATGCGAGGGAATACAATGCACGGAAGAAAAATGATGGACGATGGAGATGGATAGAGAGGGACTTACTAGACGAAAGCGATAACCCAAGGTGCAGCAGCGGGCGGACAGAAAAAGTTGGTAGGATCGAGGCAGGCAAAGATCGTCAGGCCGATCACGAAATCCTATAAGTAAACAGTAGTCGTGAGTCCAACGTCCGAGCGAAAACGAAACCCATGTAGTCCAATGGCAGTGAACGCGATCCGAAGAGGAAACGAAACCGAGAAACTTACGACGACGAACTCATTAATGAGTATCAATCCCAGACTCGAGCCCGTAGTAGCGTAGAGCGCGAAGATGCCGGCGGGGCCTGTGGGTTGGAACATGACGGTGTCGAAGGTCCCGCTGGCGATGAGTGCGTCTTCGACTGTCTGAAAACCGCCAACGACGAGGGTGAGTAAGAGAAGAAGTGGAATGATGGAAAGAGAAGAAAGGGAATGATGGAAAGAGAGGAGCGAGGATGGGATAGTACAGTACCACGATGATATGTTTCCATTGGAGATAGATGATCAGACATGCGACGTACGCGCCTAGGATTTGCGCGATTATGTATCTATGTCGAGAGTAATCCGCAGTGAACACCAAGTCCTACACATGAGGAGAGAAAGAAGGAGAAATACTGACCTGACAGCCTTCAACGGCGGGAACCCCTTAAAGAGCGTCATCACGATCGTAATAGCAGGATGCAGATGCCCACCACTCGTCGCGCTACAGATGACGAGTGCGAGGACGATACCGATCGCGTACGCGAAGCCCACGGTGAACAGGGCTGTATGATGTACGTTCAAGTTCATCATGCGGGGGAAGTCATTATGCGAGGCAAGACAGTCAGTCCTGAGTAAGTATAGCACGCTGGGATGGAGGAGTAGGAGATGGAGGAGATGGAGGAGTAGGAGATGGGGAGGACGTACAGCCGAGCTCTTCACCGACAAAACCTCCAAGGATCCAGGCTGCTGTGGATCCGATACCTGGGTACGCAGAAACGAGAGTGCATTCACATTAGCGTGCTAAGCTAATGGAGGATGTGTCCAACATACTACATACCAGCATAACAATATAAAAATACCCCAAGCTACAAATAAAAAAGTGGGTGCGGAAGTCGAGTTACCAAGTGCGGATAACAATGGAATGAGCATGAATGATGAGCATGCGATCACGAAATCCCATAGTAAAAAAAGTCGGGGTTGGAGATGGAGATGGACATACAAATTCAGCAAAACACTCCACGAACCAATGCGCCCCGCGGTGCCTCGTCCTCTCCCAACGAGTTAAGAACGCAGGCCGACGCTGCATATCCGCCAGATGCAGCGTCTCATGCCGTGGTGTATACTGATGTTGATGGTCCGTGCCCGACATGTTGAACCGTCTCGGTTGCACGTATAATAATGAAAATGGAAGGAGCGGTGATGCGCTGCTGGGTCTTGTGTTCGTAGAGATCGGGAGCGGCTAGCGAAGGTTGATGTCGTCAAAGATCAGGATCACAGAGGAGAGGCGCCTGAGGTAGTAGGTAGACAGACAGCAATGGTCAGAGGTCAGAGGGCGCGAACTTGAGCGTTCACGAAGGGAAGGAAAGCCCCTACCTACGCAAGGGGGAAGCACACGCACACACCTCCCTCCCTCCTACTTATACCCTATCCCACAAGCTACTTACATATCCCCACTCCCCCCTCACCTGCCACCCGCATCACCTGCAACGGGACCTATCCCCATCCCTATCCCGAACAGCTGAATTCTAATTGAAGATTGCAGACTGAGACTGCTGACCCACGACCCACGCACGATAAAAACCCACAGACAAGATCTGGAGATCGGGATTCCAAGTACGGAGAGCTGAGCGCCTGGTGATGCGAGGTCAGGTGGGAGGGGAGCGAGAGTCTGGTTTGGGAAATGGTGCTTGGGGGGTGTGTTCCTCGTATGGAGGAGGTGACGGCAGGGGGATTGGCTGGGTCAGGAGGAAGTGTTCACATGACTTTGAGATGCGACGGAAGGGCGGTGGATGACGAGGATATGTTGACCGTGACGGTCGATGGGCGATGGTCATGGATGCCGGGTGTGAGACGAAGAGCGAGACGCGTCGATACGGCTGGACGATACCAACCAACCAATAGTGCGCGGTTGATTGTTGAACGTTGAATAGTTGATCCATTCGTCGAATGTGTGAGTCTGTTCCTCGAGCTCGATGGGGTTGTGTCGCGGTCTCGCTCTTGTTTGATTCAATCGTACAACAACTTGAATACCGAATGTCGCGGATATCTGCGATCGGCGTAGGTCACCGGTCGCGGAGGCGAGATCACACCGAGAGGGGAAATATCGTTCCAAGAACTTCCGCCGCCTTGGGGGACGAGGAGGGAGAGGGGGGAATAAGCAATGGACCACTGGAACGATCAGTCGGAGGCAAAACTGGACAACTGGCATACATAGGGGCAAACCAGTCGACGATAGAGTCTGGATACATACGATAGACCCATTGCGATGAGGAGTCGTGCCTGGACGTCAGTGCCACTGTGTCAGTATTGGAATGAAATCAGCCGAGAGCAACAACTCGAACTTGCCAGTGTCCAATTTAAATGTCCATGAAGTTTAAAAGCTGAACTGCTGACACCCTCCCCGCATCCCGTGGTCTCCCCGTCCGACTTTTTACCCCGCACTACCCCGCATTAACGAGTCCGTCGGAACCTTTGCTATGTTTCACTTGGTGAGGGAAGGAAGGTCAGGAGAGCGTCTAACGAGGTCTTGGTGGGAAGCAATCGACTTTGTTAGGCAAGACTGGCGTTGTGGTAATCTGGCAGATAGAGCCTGTTCGTCAAGCCGCGGGATCGCGCGATGCGGAAGGTTTGACACGATGGTGATTCGTCAGAATTACGCCGGCGGGACTCGAGTAAGGTACTGTGCTTGGGATTTTTGAGGTCCCATGAACGGAGGATGGGATGGATGTCTGGTGACTTGTGTGCTTGAAGTTGGTCGAGACTCGAAAGATGACGTGCACGATATGGACACTGACAGAGTGAGTGGTAGCTGCTGGGTCACTGTGATTTGCCAAGGGATATCAAGCCGTGCTCTTGTCCGACTACGTACTGTGTAGAGTATGTCGTATCAACCAACAACGAAATATGCGCAGAAAACGATACAGGACGAGAACATAGGGACATACGATGACAGTGACAGGATTCCCGGACGCGCACGGTCTGCATGAGTATTCGAACACAATATGCAACTTGAAGCGGTCAACGTGCAACGAGTCACCAACCCCAACACGCCCGGAATCAAGCACAGTGGCATGCGACTCGATACACGTAGAGTAGAACCTTCGCTCGTTCCAGTTTCGTTCCGTATTGAAACTCCAAGTCGGACGAAGCTCACAGTGTACATGCATTCTTTGCTTCAACTTCAAGGGACGATACCTCACGAGCATAGCTGTTCTTTGTCCATACAAAACCTGGAATCTCCAGTTGAGGCAATCTACTATGACATTTGCGTGGACGATCTCGCATGCGGGATGTGAGCACATATGACGCTGAGATTGAAAAGCTACATCAATATAACCATATAGACGAGTAGCCTCAGAATGAGAACACATACGCACTTTTGAAAGAGCTACATCAGCTGCATGCGTTTTCTAGTCATGTAGGAATGAGCGGACTCTGAGCGTAGGTCAACTCCCGGTCTCTACGACACAATGAAGAGCGCCCTCGTCGATGACTGCTCCCAGCCTTCGAGCGATTTACTTATACTGTACAGGGCGGAGAGGACGCCACTCATCAAGATATTGAGGAATGCCAGAGACAACATCGGGTCCAAAATAAACAAGCAAGGTTCATGCTGTATATATCGGCGATCATTTATAGAAGCGGCCGTACGCTTTGAATGCCATCCTTGCTGAAAACACGAGAGCCTTGGAACGTGAAGTTTCAATTTGAGTGGGGCAACTTGGTTGTGATGATGGCGAACGAGACGGTGAAGGTAACGGCCTACGTGAGTGGCGATAGAATACAGCCTGAGCCCAGCTTGATCAATCTGGAAGAATCGAGGGTTGTGAACGGGAAGGGTGAGAAAAAGAGGCAGTCGTTGCGGAGAACTCGTTTGGCGAACGAACACGCGTCGGGACCCCGGATGCTGGTGCTCTGCACGGACCAAGCGAATGAGAAGAGCAGACACGGCGACTGTCCGTAGCCATCCTATTTTCTGAGTGACCCAGAAAATGCACAGGATACCAAATAGACGCCAGAAAATATGTCGCAATTTTAATGAAGATAATTGGGGGAATGGAGAGGCCAAGGCTGGGCGTGGGCGGGAGACCCCGGAAGGGGCTGCGAAGGTTTGAGAGCGCGGCTGCTGTTCGCATATAATTCCACTTGTACCCCCTCGTCGTCGTCGTCGCCGTCGCCGCCGCCGTCGCTGCCCAGCGTCCGCCTCGCCCTTCCCGCCTTTTCCTTCATTACGCCCGGCGTCCCACACGAACGATCCAGCATCGTCCCCTTCAACGCGCGCGCCTTTTACACTTCACGCGTCCCGCCTTATCTTCTCACCACTCATCGTTCTCTGCAACAGCCGACTGACTGACTGACGACCGAACGCATTTCCGCCTTGACATTCGCCTGACTGAATTTTCTTTTTTTCTTTCGCTTCCTCTTTCTCATATTACTTCTTCAATGTCTACCGTCAGACAGCCAAAAGCGACGAGGAAGGGCGTCAACGACAACGCTCCTTCAGCTCGGTCCGTCCTACTACTTTGCCCTCTATTTCTACCGACTAGCGCACTCATAGCATGTTCAGTCGCCCAGCATGGTCCAACGCTGCACGTCCCTCGCCCACATTCTCCCCGGGCCCGAACAGCTCTCGTCTCCCTAACGGTCCCCCCGCAGCCCCCTCCGCTTTCCCTCCTCTCAACGGCACCCCTCGCCCCGAAGCTCAACACGACAAGACCCTCCAAGCTCTCTCTGGCTTGACGGTGCGTTTTCGGTCTCTTCGTATCCCAAGCAAAAAATGTGTAGATTAGGGCTTTATTACTTGGGTGGCCCGTCTCTTCCACGCGCATCATGGGCATTCCGCGGGAATAAGTTGACAGCTCAATCTGTGTTTCTGTTTCGTCTGTTGCTGTTGCATGGTATGATCTGTTGTTGCTGCAGATGCTGCCGTTTGAGCAAGCAATGCGTTCCCTTGTGGCGGTGTGTTTATGCCTGATGCACGTACGGGCGAGAGCGCTTTCTATCTCACTGTGGCGGCCCACAGACCGCTTCTCCCGCTCTTCGAAAGCCCCTGTGCATGCATTGCCGTTTTTCCCACCTACCGTCCTGTCCGGGCGCCACATTCCCCTCCCCTTCCTTCTCTTTACACCTATCTTGCCTCCACCCATCCCTTCTCCTTCTCCTACTCATTCATCTCTTCTCTCCCCTTCCTCTCTCCCTCCCTCGAACAACAAACAGGGCACGACCATAACCCTCTCCACCAAGACCTCCATCCGCTACGAAGGCGTCGTCCTCTCCACCAACGGCGAAGGCGACACCACCGGCGTCACCCTCAAGGACGTCAAGGATATCTCGAACCCCGGCGCGCCCCTTAAGGACCAGATCTTTATCGCCTCGACGAATATCGAGGGGTGGCAGTCGGGCCCGGCGGACGCGAAGGCGCCGGTGGGGAATGGGGATTGTATGTTTGACTCTTCTTGTCTTCGTCTTTCTTTCTTTCTTCGTTTGATGTGTTGTTTGTTGACGGTTTGCTCTCCCTTTCCACCTTGTACCCTTCTCGCGCGCGCACCAACCCACCAACCCACCATCACGATCACGCACACGCACACACAAACAGCCTTCAAAACCGACACCGATATCTCCACCAAAGCTCCGCCCCGACGCGAACGCGAACTGAAAGCATGGGCGGACGACATCCCAGGGCCCGGCACACCCCCTTACGGCTCCGACGAACTCACCTTCGGCGAACTCTCCTTCGCCTCCGGGCCCGGCTCCGCCTCGCACAACGCCGCCTCCAACAACCTCAACGGCTCCACCGGTCCCGTCGGCATCGGCATCGGAGGAGGTCCAGGTGGGGGAAGTGGTGGGGGAGGAGGAGGAGGAGGAGGAGGAGGAGGGGGCCAAGGATCGAGACATGTGGACGAACTGACGTTCGGGCCGGGCGCGACGACGGGCGGAGGCCAGAATTGGGACCAGTTCGCTGCGAACGAGAAGTTGTTCGGGGTGCGGACGCAGTTTGATGAGGATGCGTATACGACGAAGATTGATCGGAATGCGGCGGATTATAAGGAAAGGGAGAGGAGGGCGCAGGTGTTGGCGAATGAGATTCAGACGGTGCGTTTTTTTCCCCTCCCCCCTGTTTTCCTTTTTTTGTTTTGTTTTGCTCGGTGAAGGTTTTTCGGGGACGGTTTGGTGTGGGTTTTGTGAAAGGGAGAGGGGGGGTGGCGTTTTCTTGATTTGTTTTATTGTTTTGGGTGGTGGTCGTGAGGGTTGTTTATTTGTGGCGTCGTTGCCGCGTGGGGTTGGCGGAGATGAACGGGGCTGACTTTGTATGCTTCTCTTTTCGTTTCCTTTCGTTGCTGTTCGGGATGCCTTTTGGACCGGGTCGGGGTATGATACGGCCGACACAGTCCTCGTCGAACAACCCTCACATCGCCGAAGAACGCCAGATGAACAACGTCGACGATAGCGGGATCAACGAGGAAGACAAGTACGTTCCTCCTTCTCTTCTCTTCTCACGCGCCACACATACCCCACTCCCCCCACTCTCCTCCTCCTCCTCCCTCCTCTCTTCTTCTTCCTCCTCTTCCTCTTCTTTCTCCTCCCCCTCCCCCTCCCTCTCTCCGACTCAAAACTCACAAATCTCCGCTCCAACTCTACACTACACAGATACGGCGCCGTCGTCCGCGGCACAAACGCCTACATCCCCCCCGGCGCACGCAGAGGCGGACTCTCCACCGGTCCCGGTCCCTCTCCGTCTCCCAAGCCCCCCATCAACGGGAATGGGAATGGGAAGGTGGAGGTGCCGAAGGTGTCGATCAATGCGCCGGACGGGACCGCGGTGCAGCCGCCTCCGAGTGCGAGCGAGGGGAATTCGAAGGGGGCGTCGCCTGGGCCTGCGGGGAATAAGGTCCGTTCTTTGCTTTCACTCTTGATTTATCTTGCTGTTTCATTTCCCCTCGACTCCTTTTTTGTGGGAGGAGGTGGGATGTGTGATGTTGGGTGTTCGTCGTGCTGATTGGTTCCGTTTCTCGAATTGTTGTTGTTGTTGGTGGTGAATGTGTGGATATGCGGTGAATGTGTGGATGGCGATTAACAGCAGCCTGCGGACGCCCTGCCCGCCTTCCGCGATTTCGTGACGAACGAGAAGGTGAGGTTGACGCAGAAGAGGCAGACGATCATGAAGAACGAGCGGGATAAGCGTATGGCGGACTTGCTCAAGTTTTCGCAGTCGTTCAAGGTGCGTCGTTGTCATTATTCTTTGTGTGATGTGCGCTAATGATTATCCTGCCCTACCCCACTGATTCAAACAGCTCAACAAACCCATCCCGGACGATCTTGTCACCATCCTCGCCAAGGACGAGGAGAAACAGCGTGCGATCCGTCAGAAATCCGCAGAAGACGCCGCGTCCGCCCAAGCGCGCACCATCGGCGTTTCAATCGTCACCACCGGCCCCATCGCCTCCGCCTCCGCCAACAAACTCGCCGCCGCCGCTGGAGGTGCCGCTCCCCAACACCAAGCCGCCTCCGCCGCGAAGAAAGCTCCTGGTGCTGGTGGTGCTACACCCGCCAAGTCCGCCGTCGATGCCGCTAAAGCGGCCGCGAAGCCTGCGAGGTTCAGCATGGTCATTCAACCGATTCCGCCGTTCAAGGGGTCTGGGAAGAAACCTACTGGGGGTGCTGGTGCGCCTGCTTCGGCGACCGGACAGGGGCCGACGACGAGCAAGTCTGGGCCTGCGATCGCGATGCCTTCGTCTGCTTCGCCTGCGCAGACGCAGAACCAGATGCAGAGCCCGACGACGGCGAACCGGTTGAATGTGAACGCTTCGTCGTTCAGGCCGAATCCGAAGGCGGTGGCGTTTACGCCTGTGAGCGTGAGTGTTCTTTTTATTATTATTGATGGTTTGTTTGGAATTGGAAGGGTGTGGTGGGCTGATTCGTTGTGGTGTGTCCGTGTAGGCTTCGCCAAGTACTGCTAGTCCCTCTGCTGCTCAATCCCCGAAAGTCAAGGCCGCGGTAAGGGACTTTGTCCGTTTCCTGCTCGCTGTGGATACTGATACTGGTGCCCGCATTTCCATAGCCTGCCCATGAAGCCCCCTCCACCCCCAACCCCTTCTTCGGCACCAAACCACTCAAGAAGACGCCCGTGCACGTCAAAGACGACTTCAACCCATTCAAATACGCCAAAGTCGCGGACGCGACCGCCGTCGCCGCACTCTGGCCTTACCAAGGCAAGCGCTACATGCAACTCTTCCCGCCCATCTCCGCGCCACCCCAGCAACAGCAGCAGCAGCAACAGCAGCCGCCGCATCAACCGCCCCAACCGCAACAGTCGCCACATATGGGCATGGCGATGGCGCCGATGATCCCGCCTGGGCCTCCGCCGCCGCAGTTGCCCCCACCGCCGCCTTATGAGGAGGAGAATCCGGCGCAGGCTGCGGCTGCTGTTCAGCAGCAACAACAGGCCCAACAGCAGCAGCAGCAGCAGCAGCAGCAGCAGGCTCAGCAGCAACAACAGCAGCAACAACAACAGGCCCAGCAACAACAGCAACAACAGCAGGCTGCGGCGGTTGCGCAGAGGGGAGGTTATGTTTATGCTTATCCTCCTTATGCCCATTACGGCCAGGTGCGTTTTCGGTGTTTTGGTCTTGGTTTCGGAGTATGGGAGATGAGCTGAATGTGTCGTTGGCAGATGATGCCTGGTATGGCACCTCCACCCCCGGGCGCATTCATCCCTGGTCCTTATATGCAACACATGCCCTACCCACCCACCATGCCTCCTCCAAACGGTCAATTCCCAGGTGCGTAGCATCCGACTTTCTGTCGATCTCCGTCCACGACTATGTTTCCTTACATCATACCTCTCCTTCCTCCCCTAAAAACCCCCAACTAATACAGGTTATCCAGCCATGTACCCATCTCCACAAATGGGACAAATGCCTCGTAAGTCCATTTCTCCTCCAGTCTCAAGCATTTTTTGTCCCGGATCCGGTCGTGACAGTATTTGTTTTCTTTTTCTTTTTCCTTTCTTTTTTCGCGGTGCATTTTTGCATTCCTCCTTTTTTAAAATAAAGCCTTTTTAGCGCCCGGTGCATATGCCATGCCGCCCCCGCCGCCTGGAGCGCAGTATCCGCCACCGCCTAATGGAGCTGGGGGACCGAGACCTTCGATGCCGCCTACGCCTATCCCGACTCACGCACACCCATACTACACCCAGTCTCCTCAACGTGAGTAGTCGCTTCCTCCTGTTCACCACTACTTCCTTTCCATTTTCGATGTGAGTTTGCTAAACTATTGTGGATGTTTGGCAGTACAACACGCAGTGCCGTACCCGATGATGATGCCCCCCACTGGACCACCAAACGTCCCGCCACACGGATATGAACAGGGTCCGCCACAGCCGATGGGTGGCGTGCCACACGCTTGAAAGCTTCGTTCGCATTCATGAGCGCCAGGCGTTTTCGTGCGCCCTTGTTGTTCGTTTTTCTTAGGCTGTTCTGTTGTTCTGTTTCGATACGCTTTGATATGCTACGCTGTGAGGGATGTGAACACTTCATTTGCGCGATTAGGTTGGGTGCACTAGGAGGGTCGTGGGTACGGATATGATGGGCGTTGGGCATGAAGGGCATAGCATGGAGCTGGAAGAGAGAAGCAGAGTCGGCGGGCGGGTGGAGCGGAATGTTGGGTCCAGTCAGAGCCCTTCTTTCGCCATCATTGGTGGTTTGGAGATTACTGGAGGCTGGGAGGTGCTACGGGGGGTATTGCACGGCGATGGAGGCCTTTCCTTCTTCTCTTCTTCTTTTTGATTTTTTAGTCGTGTGTTCTCGTTCTTTTCAGTTCTGAGTTCTCCCTTCACTTTCTTTCCTTTTCACCTCTTTCTTTTCTATTCCTCATTTCAAGTCTGCTATCTGTTGTTTTCACAGTGGAGCCTTCTTTTCTATACGTGTGGAGGTGGTTCTGTCCCGTCGTATTCTTCGATGGGCTGTTCTATCGTTGCTGTCGTTGCTGTCGTCGTCATCATCATCATCTTCATCTCTTTTTCTTCCTTCTTTCTTTACCTTTGTTTCGTCGCCTTCTCTTTTCTTGTTCTCGTCCCTCCAACTACCTATCAGTGAGGTACGCGGCTCAGGACGAGCAGCACATTCTTTCTTCTACTACTTCAACTGTCTCTGTTTGAGAACTTGGCGAGAGGGCGCGCTGCGGTGTGGTGTGGCGTAGTATGGTGTGGTGTTGTGCGGTGTGGGTGTGTGGGTGTGTGGCATGGTGTGGATGGAGAGCGACTACTTGGATTGGAGGCCCTGCCCTTGCTCTGCCTTGCCCTGTACCTACCTTCACTTTCCTTGTGCATCCGATCATTGATTGTTCACGGCTCGAGTCGGTGGGTGTAGATGTTGGCACCGAATTGAACCTTCAAGCGATAGAGTCTAAGGTCAGCGCCAAGATGCTGGGAAGTGGCGACCGAAAGAAGAAGGGCCATTCACAAGGTGTGCTCTTTGTGTGAGCTTCCCAAACATCAAGTACTGGTAACTGGCCAGAATAAAGGACGAGCATGAAGTATCTCGTCAAATAATTCAGGTCAAGAGCAGAAACACAGTGCGACATGTCTGTCTAGGTCTAAGGTTAGGGTCTGTGGGAGGACGGATCGGACTTGGGTTAGGTTGAGCCACCCTCCTCTTTGAGGACTTTTTTCTCCTTGTGCACAGTACTGGTGCACCATCAGGCTCTGGATCAATCATGGCAGCCATTATCGATCAATCGCTGGTCCAGCAATGCAATGGAACTGCACCATCATAGTGCAAGCTGAGCGCAGACTTGCGTGTCCTCCCGACGGAAATTGCTTGATCATCCTACAGCATCCACCTCCGATTCGGCGTTGCGTTAGTAAGTTCAACTTGTACACCCTTCAAAAGCGAAGAATACAGAGCTCTTTGTTTTACCGTCTCCTCTGTCTGTGTATCATCTATCTTGGCGCCATGTCGACCTCCTTCGAACCCGTAATCCCCAAAGGCTCTACTGTCCTTGTAACGGGTGCAAACGGTTACATTGGTTCTCATGTCGTAGATCAGCTTTTGCTCGCAGGCTACAAGGTCCGCGGTACAGTTCGTGATGCAACTAAAGCAAAATGGGCACAGGATCTATTCGAGAAGAGGTATGGGCCAGGAAAGTTTGAGAGTGTTGTCGTTCCGGACATGACCGTCGATGGAGCATACGATGAAGCTGCCAAAGGTATGTAGCTCGTTCTTATGCTCTAATACACATTCAACTTGTCCATGATGCTCGATTAATCTCATTAAAACATCGGATTTATGATACATGACCCACCAGGTGTCAGCGCCGTCGCCCACGTCGCCGCTAACCTCACCTTCTCTACCGACCCCAAAATTGTAATCCCAGAAACCGTTAACGGTGCCCTCAACGCCCTCCGCGCCGCCGTCAAATATCCCACCATCAAACGCGTCGTCGTCACCTCCTCATCCGCCGCCACCTGCTTCCCCAAACCTAACGTCCCTTTTACTATCACATCAGACATGTACAACGACGAGGCCGTCAAGCTCACGCGGGAGGGCGCCAGTACGAAAGCGGGGACGAATGACTTTATGTATGGATACGCTGTATATGCAGCATCGAAGACGGAGGCTGAGAAGGCGTGTTGGAAGTTCGTGGAGGAGGAGAAGCCGAGCTTTGAGTTGAGCACTGTGTTGCCGAATACAAATTTTGGACCGGTGTTTGATACGACAGTGCCGGTGTCGACGGGGACGTGGGCTGGGATGATCCTGAGGGGGGAAGCCGGACCACTGGCGAAGAGCGTTACGCCTCGTGAGTCTTTCATTCACCCTTCCCTTTTGCTCCATTTTGTCAGATTTTCACTTTCTCATAACCACTGTTTTGATATGGACATTGCAGAGTGGTTCGTCGATGTCCGAGACACCGCCCGTCTCCACGTCGCTGCTCTGATCAACCCGGCAGTCAAATCCGAACGTATCTTCGCCTTCGGAGAACCTTTCAACTGGACCACCATGTTCTCAATTATGCGCAAAGCCTTCCCTGACCGCGCTGATAAGATTCCTGACGATATCCCGAACGAGGGGAAGGATCTCAGTATTGTGCAGACGAAGGCGAGAAGCGAGGAGTTGTTGAGGGCGTTTGGTCAGGATGGTTTCATCAGTCTGGAGGAGAGTCTCAAGGCGAATGCGCAGGCGTATCTTTAGTGAGGCCATTAAGGGCCTTTCCCTCATAATTCTAGGGATAAAGAAGAGGAAAGCATGACAAATAATTGAAGCTGTTGTACCACAAGAACCTGCATGATCGAAGTGTCTGTATCATAATCGTTCGGGTAGATTCGGGGCTGGTGGTGGTTCCAGCAGACTGTTCTTTGATAAACGTTCTCATCTTACTAGAGCTCGGATACATCTCAGACTCCATTGTTTCTCAAAGCTGAGGTGATTATTATCCATTTCCCATTGCTCCAATGGCACGGGTGGCCAGACGACGGGGTTGTTCCGGCGCATCACCGTTATGATATGTAATGCAAGTCGGAGATTTACGGCTCTCTATCTGTGCACCATCATCATGCACCATCACCGGACAACACCTCATCGTTCGGCTTGCCTCTTGCACTTGTTCAGAAGGGGACGCGGGCGTAACATGTCCTTCTTAAATAGCTATGACTACAATGGGACCTGACGACAATTTGACTAGACTCTTGAGCTCTCTCTGACCTCGACTTCCATCTTACTTAGAGTGGCCATCGCTGCTCAACAACTTACTTGCTGGGGACTAGTGATCGTCCATCCACAACTAATACGTTCGTAGGTGTGTTTTTCTGAACATCTACATCCGACATGGTGAAATTGACACCTCCGTGAAGCCTCAAAGGCTCTGAAGCGAAATTGCGCATCGATGGCCCCGAAACTCAACATTCTCGCCGGTACAATAGCTTTGGTCGTGAGTTTATTATCTTAAGAGTGTCATTGCACAAATTTCTAGTACTCAAATTGCATCTTTTGCTCTGGGTAGGGCATACTGTTATGGCGTAGCGGACGTGCCTTCAACAGCTTCCTCCTGCCTACGCATGATTTCCCTATCGCCTACTTCTCTGGAGGACTGCACGATTCTCAATGCACCACACTTAGGGACCCTGACGAGAGACAAAACGAACTGAAGTACTGTGAGGACGCCACGTTTTGGGACCTTGTGCACTCCGAGTCCGGAGAACTACAGGATAGACTGGTGATCGCCAGTTGCGAACCGGGAAGGAAGGCATGGCACCTCGTAAACGGACCGCTAAGGGATGCAGAGCCGAGAGGTGCGCTCTGGGTGTTTCCCGCGCGGGGTCCTGAGGTAAGGAAGCCCAAGAAGATCCAGCTCGAGGGATATCCGGAAGGCCATTACTTCCATCCTATGGGTCTCCAAGTCTACCCTGCTCATTCTTCTCAAGACGACTCCTTCATGTACGTCGTCAATCACGCGAAGAACGGAGGTTACATCACTACCATCGAACAGTTCTCCATATCATGGTCCGATCCCACCATCGCTACGCATATCCGAACACTGTCTTCTCCACATTTCGTCTCTCTTAACGCCTTGGCCCTCACATCCCCGACATCGTTCTACGTCACGAACGATCATTATCTCGTACCAGAGTACTACGGCTTCCTCGATGAGGCACTATACATGGTCGAGACATTGCTCGGCCTACCACTCTCCTGGGTCAGCCACGTCTCCCTTCACCCCAACGAAGAAACCTCCTCCGTGAATGTCGAACATGAGGTGGTCGCGCGCGGCATTGCATTTGCCAATGGAATATCTCTGTCATCGTCTGGGGAGACCGTGGCCGTCGCTTCGAGTTCCCTCGCAGAAGTCCTTTTGTTCAACCGCGACCCATCAAGCAACGCCTTGTCATTCTCATCTCGTATCCCACTACCATTCGCGCCGGATAACCTTGCGTTCTATCACCGCGATGGTCACGGAGACGCTGAATCACTGATAGTCGCGGGCCACCCTCATTTTCCCTCGCTGGGCTCAGTTGCTCAGAACGTACCAGGCGCCATCGCCCCATCTTGGGTTCTCTCACTCACCCCTCGACCACCGTCGAACGACACCTCCACGTCTTTCTTCAGCTCATCCAACACATCAAGCGAGTCACGGTATGATACGGAGGCGCCAGTGTCAGCCAGTAGGAAAGCGGGTGCAGTGGAGAGCCACGAGGCGAAAACACTGTATCAGAGCGACGGAAGGGCGTTCGGAACTAGTGCGAGTGGTCTTTGGGATGCAGATGGGGATAGAGCAGGGAAGGGGGTCTTGTACGTTGCAGGAATCTTCGAGGAGGGTTTGTTGATGTGTAGCGAGGCTTGAAAGGCGATTGCAAGTGCGGCGTGTCCGTAATGAGTTCGGCACGATCCATACGTCAGAATATAGACGGTATTCCAGAAGTATGTATATATAATGAAGTCATGATTTTCGGCCGGTTCCTGGACACTTATATCTGCCAATGTGGTCTATGTATGCTGGACTGATGTTCTATAAATCTTGCAGTCGATTAGTATGTGCAGAGGGAGAAGCGCTGAATTTTGTATTTGTATGTTCATATACTGTTGATCATTGGCTTGTTCGAGGCATATCTCGTCAAGTTCCTGAAACCGCCACGTATACAATCGGCAGAATCCAGGGATCAGTCAAATAGAGGTTCCCAGCTGTAAACGCTGGTTGTATCACCAAGAACAGGACTAGCTATCGATACAACGCACAACTTCAGTATTTATACACTTTGAGTGTCCATGCGGACCTGCAATGGTAGCGCTGTGCGCGTATGACGCCGGCGCCCTGAAACCCTCTTCCTCTTGTGCACCTTGTCCGCCTCCCATTCTGTTTTAATCTGCTCATCATACCGCAAGTCTTAGATCTCCTAAGCGAGCTCCGCCTTCCTCACCCTCACACCGGCCTTACCCTTACCCTTCGCAGGGGTCGTCACAGGCGGCGGCGGTGGCATCTCCATCGTCTCCCACATATCCGAATCCGGAGGGGGCATGTCGAACGCTGGCGGCAACTGACCCTTCCGCTGCTTTTGCATCGTTCCAGGCGTTTTTGGCGCTGTCTCTATTCCTGGTGCTCGGAAATGTGCTTCTGCGAGAGGGGTTGGGGCAGTGGCTTTGGTATGAGAACGAGTAGAACGTCGGACAGGTGTTTGGGGCGCTCGTGGTGCGGCGGCGACTTGTCGAGTGGGTGGCGGTAATGGGGCTGGGGCGTGATCTTCGTATTCGTGTGTGGACGTTTCGGATTCGGGTTCGGGTTCGGGCTCTTGGACGGGAGATTCGGGGCCTGGGCTGGGGATGGGAGATAGTGGTGCTTCGAGGCGGACTGAGACTGCTTCTGAAGGCTCGCTGACGGGGTGGTATTCGTACTGGGCAGCTGGCTTCGGATCAGGTTCGATAGCAAGAGGCGCAGGTTGAGCTTGTGAAGCATGGGACAAAGCCCTGCAGTGAATGAATTAATCCAATAGGCGTAAAAGGATGTTTGGATGAAGGCAGACGGAGAGACTGATGGATATTTACCTGATCTCGGCCCGTCGCATGTTACGCCATTCCTTGCAGCTGTCTTTGAACTGCATGAGGATACCCGCGAGGTCGTTGTAGAACTGAGATAGAAACGTTAGCGCTGCGGGAACGTGTAAAATGGAGTCGCTTACCTTCAATCCCTCGTCGAGATGCCTCACGATCTCCTTGTACTTATGGTAGGCCAGATCCAGAGACTGTAAAGCATGCTCTCGCTCTTTCACTGCCGGATCATCTTTCCTGGACAACAAGAATGCCTCATTCGTTGTCTATCGAGACGACCCCAACGAATTAGCCCGATCGCTCGATCAAGATGGTGCGTCAGATCGCAAAACAGAACGTACCTCCAGCTCTCCAAGACAACCCTCCTGCTCGGCCCCGCTCTCGTTAATGCCGGCCCCGAACTTCTCGAATTTAGCCAACTCTTCCTCCAGTTCACCTTCCAACATTTCCGGCTTGACCTCCACCCACCCACCGGCCCCGTTCGTCTGACCTGTCTCCTTAAGTACATTCTCCATCTTCGCCGCCTCCTTCAAAATCCGTGGCGTTATATCGTCTGCATCGGCGAGGCGTTCAGCGCGTTTCACGAGATCACGACGCGTACGTTGCAAGTCGTCGAGTCGTTCGAGAAGACGACGTAGATGACGGGAGTGTTTTTGAGTCGTAGAGTTTGTCGTGCGGCTTGAGTTCGTCGGAGAGATCGTAGACGAAGGGATGGCTTGTTCGAGTTCGTCCTATGGGCTGGATCAGACGACAAACAACAAGCGTGTTTGACTGAGACTAACCTCGTCCCAAGTAAGTTGCACGATATTCTTCTCCCAATCCATCCACCTTACTCTGATGACCTCATCGCTGTCCGCTGCCTGGGTCAGTATCCCCCTGTACCTCTTCGCCTTCTCTGTTAACTCCACATTGGCTTCAATTGAGGGCTTGCGGACAGATGGCATCGACGCTTGAAAGTCTTCGTCCTCTTCGGCTTCGTCGTCTAGAATGTCCATGGCCTATCCGCCACAGAAGGTATATCATGAGTGCAAATAATATTGGTCGGCAGAAGTTACGTACATCCTCCAAAAGGTCCGCATCACGCTTCGCCAAGGCGCCCACATCCTCAATCTCCTTCATCACTTTCTGTGGTCCGTTCTCCGATCTCACTTCTTCCGCTTTCTGTAGAAGACTGGGCGGCAGTCCGATTGGCTTCTCGAGGGCATCGAGGGCAGCAGGGAGGTTGAGATTGCGAAGAGTTCTATAACTCAATTTTCATCAGAGTCAGCCACCGGTGTGAAAGAAAGGAGAAACCTACACATTCGCCTGATCGTCGAGCTCTTGCGCCCGACCCTTGATCTCATCTTTGATGTAATCCTTCCTCCTCTCTTGGTATATCTCTGCGCCGTCCAAAATATCTGGATCAATGATCGGCTACTTCCACAATAGGCATAAATACATACCGATAGCTGTCCTGGCACCCCAACCAAGCAGGTCCTCGAAGACGACCTTCTGGCCGGATATCGCGTTCTTCGGCGCCTGCAGCTCCACTGGAATGGTGCTCTTTGCAATGGCCGATCGTCCCACAGCTGGAAGAGCAGCAATTGAGGGCACGTCTTTATGGTAGATTAGGTCATTATCGCGTTCGGCGCGGGCGACCTCTTTGTCGAGACGGTCCAGGAGAGCCTGATTATGTGATATGTCAGCGAGTCTGCAAATGAGTTAGAGACCATGCGAGAGCGAGCAAGGAGCCTACCTTGATGTCCTGCAAGACAGCTTGAAGGACCTTATTCCGTCGAGCAATATCGTAACCCTTCTTCGCAGCAGTTTGCGCGGCAGTGAGACGAGCAATCTCTTCCCCGTACCTGCAAGGTGCCGCAAAATTGTGTGAATCAGATGACCCCCAGCTAAGGACAAACCAAGAAACATACTTGGCCTTCTCTCGATCGTCGCAACTTTGCCGATAGAGGGAAGCTGCTTCGAAGTGGAGAGCTTTGGTTTCAATGTGTGGCAGCCAATCCTACAAGCGGAGAAGTTATGATATAAGTCTTAGTGACAGACAATGATTTGCTTCGAATCGACAAACGGAGGGTAGGATGTGCTTTATTGATGGGTATGAGTCTCGGATTGTCGATAGCGCATTTTTGTACAGGTGCGAAACCTGGTCCCTGGCGTCAGCGTCCAGCGCCACAATTACCAACCTGAACATACCTCGGCTGCAAGTTTCCCAACGAGTAAATCACGGTACTTGTCTACAGAGTTTGAGGGTAGATGTGAGATAAATCAAAGGCAGTGAGAGTACACGTACCTACGTACCGTGCACTGCTCGTTGCCACACGCACTCCTGCGCCTGCGCCAGCATCAGCCACTCGAACCCGCTGAGTAACGCCTCCGACAAATCCTCAGGATATTCTTCCGTACTCAGAGATCCACGCAGTTTTGGTAGTGCGGTAGAGGCCAGATATGACAATGTACCGGCAGCATTCTGCATCAAGTGTCACCCATCAACACACCGCACACGAAACCTCCTCAGACGACGAAAGAGAGCCAAAACTCGCCTGTGAGTATGCAATCGCGCGTTTCATTCCTTCGGGACTATCCCGATTCTCCAATGAAGAGAGTTGAGAGTAGAGGGCAGCGAGGTTGAGGAGGACACAACACCGCTCATAGTTCAGATCATTGAGGTTGACGGGGAGGGCGGAAGGTGAAAACAGTGGCGCGTAGGCGACTTCAACACCAATCTGAAAGTCGGCATTGGATCAAATTAGTGCATTTTATATCGCTTCGAAAAGGTGACACACGAACATCCGCAGGTAACTTCGTCAAGATGAAGACGAGTTGGGCATGGTAGCTAGACGCGCAATCAGATACAAGTCAGTTGCAAGGGAAAATAAGCGTACGTGAGTAAAGCCTTCACACGGTCGATATTGATTGCACTGTTGAGCATTGCATCTCTCCTCAACGTCTCCCATTGACCGACATCCCACTTGAACTCGTCCGGATGAATGCCAGGGTGCCGTGCCTGGATGTGCGCATTGACGGGCTGCCGTAGAGTGAGGGCGTACGTTTTCTTGAAGGGAATCGCAAGCAGATTGGGCATGGTATGTATCGGGAAATTTCTCTTACTCCGGCAGAGAATGAGACAAACAGATGAATTCTTTGGGAAAGATGAGGGTTTGTGTCAAGGACTCATAAAGAGACAGTCCGAAATGACGGAATGAGCGATCGCGCAGCGGACATCTCCGGAGAGAACGTGGCTCTCGCGTGACTCCGTTTGCGGGGATATTTGTTTCCCAGTGCAGACATCCTCAGGCTGTTCGACCTCACTCTCAAAACATATGATGCAATGGCTAGCAAAGACCTTCTACACCGTATCGCCGCAAGCATCAATATCTGACGACGTAACCGAGAAGTTCTCATACCGTATATTCTAGAAGCCAACATCGAATTCAAGGAACCCATCTGCAATGTGCGTGCGCTCGGTGATTTGCAACTTCCCGACTGGGCGATACCTTTGTGGACAACTCGCTACCCTGGCCGTCCCCCTGACGGCATTGGCCAGATGCTGCCCTTTTCTTGGACAGCTTCAGTCACTTATCAGCGTTTCCATCGCCCATCATGCATGCATTACTCAGGGTCACCGCGTCCGCAATCGAGCTGGTGAATTTTTCTTCCTTGGACTTCATTAAACTCTGCTACTCGCCTCGAGGGTTGACATGCAGATACAGAACCCTCATTGTTCCGCCACCGATAGACCCTTGCAGGTGAAGCGTTCCCGTCGACAACTGTCCGAGCTTACGTGCTGGGTTGGTGTCCTTTTTCTCCGTTCGTGTCTTCCAGCCTATAAAAGCTTGCGCATTCTCCGCCAAGGTCCACCCTGTCCCATACCACTCGCCCTCTACCATTCCGCCCTCTCATAGCCTTACACACGCTTCCGCACCTATCACTACCTCGTACCTCGTCGACATGTTCAAGCATACGAAGCCTTCTATTCAAGGCGCTCAGCGCCAACGAGGTCCATCTCCCTCTTACCCAGAGCGCCAATCCCTTCCTCCTACCCGCGACTCTGTCCCGAATAATTACGTGCCGAGCGTCAGGAAAACGTCGGCTGCGGCTCCGTCTGCCCAGTCCCAACCTCCACTGTACCATCCCTCCCAATATGACTTGCCATCCCAGACGAACTACGCGCTTGCACGTACTGGGGCTAGCGTGCCGGCTGCCATGAGTCCCTTCGCTGCCGCCAAAAATTTTGTGAGTCGGGGCGATACACTCCCTTCTACTGTGAAGCTATTACTGACAAAGTATTTGTTCCTGTCCCGGTCAACGCAGTTCTTGGTGTGCTTCGTCTCGTCCCCCCTAGTTTTCGCAACGTTATATTTTCATCGCTCATGTCATTGTCTTTCTAGAATCAGCGAGTTAAAGTTTGCATCAGCTTCGACACCGGCCACTGGGTCGCCGGCATCATCGTCGGCGCCGTCCAATGGATCAGCTCCGTGAGTCCTTCGACGCTTCCTCCCTTCCCACACCGATCGCCCAGTTCCGCTCCTCCGTCACCCGCCACCTGTTGATCAACACGCTAAACTATCTCCCTTCGGCATGGTGTCTTTCACCTATGGCTGTCGCATTGCTTTGATTGCGCCCTCAATGCATAATTTCCCGTCTGCCGCCCATGATGACCTTCAAACCGAGTAGTTCCCAGTTACTCGCGCGGCTGGCCTTGGTTGCGAGGTCAGGTACCGAGACCCGTTTACTACTGCGGAGGCTACGAGGCCTTTCCCGGTCGAGCACGTCCAGCCTATGCCTATGTAGTGGAGCTACTGGGTCTTCGGAATGGGTCTCTGTCAAACCGTGTAGGATTGTATACTGTCTCTGATGTCTGTGTGTGTCTGTACGAGTAGGTCGAACGTTGGTGAAGATCTTTTTCTGAGTGTCGATGAGCTGCCTTTTCTCGTGCCTTCTAGCCTCGAAATAATACGTGTCGTGGACACTCCCCTTTTTCTTCATTGATCGTGTGACCCGCGAGTATAGAGCGGGAAGTCCATCCAGTGGGTGGAAGCGCTGACAGGCACATTTGGCTTCCATGAACTCTATAAAAAACCCCACTGTCATGTTGCCACTGGGAGACACCGCCGCCCATCACGTCGCGATGTAAGGGCGCTTCGAATCGTACAGCTGTAGGCTGCTGTATGCCTTCCGAGCCCACATCTGTCCACATACGCCGTCTTCCTGAATTCGAAGTCGTTTCCCTGCGATCGCCATCTTTTCGAAGGTGTTTGCTCCGGATTCGAACTGCAGCCATTGCCACTGGTGGTCTCAGATTAACGGGCAATGACGTGAAAATGAACTTTATAAACTCCCCATGGGGGATAGACTTCCTTGGGTCCGTCACCCGCCTCGATACAGCACTTATTTCTTATCGATAGATAGCTCACTAGCACTAGACTGGCAGCAGGATAAAACATCCATTCCCACTCCCACTCCCTCTCGTCCTCATGTCTGAATCAGCACGGCGTTTCACTGCCATGATGAATGAACTGGTATTTTGCAATTCATATTATGCTCATATGGCTATGTCCTTCCGGGATCGAACCAGTTACACGTCATGCATGGGTGAGCGCAAGCTCCGCGAACCGAGCTGTACTTCACTGGTAATATAACCTCTCATGTTTCGCGCGATGTCGCGGACTCAGGCCGCCAGTGTTTCAAGGACTGACCTTCGCGAGTGTGGATGTTCTTACTTCGGAGAAGATGAGGACAACAACTAGCTGGGCTTGTGCGCTTAGTAGTATATCATATTGTCGATGATCATTAAGGCCAGCTGTATACAGTCCCTTGCTTCCTGAAGCTTTTCAAATCGTCCTTAATAACTGATTATAAGTATACTGACCTCGACTCGGACTCGATCCCTCGAGGCTCAAGCATACACACTGGTCCACAACTCATGATTTCATGATCCTACAAGCTCAGCCTACACCAAAACCGCTTCCGCTTCCATTTCGTCTCCCGAGTCTACTCACGTCCGACCCTATTGAGCTTTGTGATTGCCTTGTCGGTGTTGGCTTTCGGCAGTTCGTAGTCGCAACCTTGTTGCCTTTAATTAATATCAGTTGTATTGCGACCTGACTCTGGACCTGATTCCCAATCTCGGCGCTTTTGTCAATTTCTAGGAGGGGGGGCCGAGTAGGTCGGATGAGATTAACTTAAGTGACGGTGGTATGTACGTGGAGCACGTAAACCACAGGCCTTCCGCACGTCTGATCCAACGAGAGTCGACAGACGTTTTCCTGGATCATGGATGTCAGTGTCACAAACATGGGCACGGACTCGAATTCCTCACCTCGCAAGCGAACATGTTGAATATGGTTGTGGTAGTTACGAGTTTGTTCCAGTCAGCAGACCGATGTCCTCGCATGATATCTAAGCTTACATTCATCGAGGCTCAGACTACATGACAATGCCGAGAGAAAAGGCAAAGTCTAAGCGTTCCTGGAAGTGAGGTAGCATGGTTGCCGGTTTGAGGTATTTGACGGAGCATAAGTGTGTATGCTAGAATCTGTCAAAATCACTTACACTCGCATCATGCACAGAAAGCATCGTCCATGAGTAACCGGTGCGGTTGGGCCTGATTGGGCGTGTATGTACCTCAGAGAGGAACGGTGTATCTGAATTGGGACGACCCTGGGTGTGCTTAAACCGCGTCATTCGAACTTCCGGCTGCTGTAAGATTTGAGACTTCCAGTCATACCTGGGTTTCTCTACCTTTCCGAGGGTCTATCGTTAGCGAGGATACCTATACTCGTTGGAGCAGGAGCAGTCGTTCCATCCCGGGGCAGGAGCGAACTTGAAGGAGACACACGGGGGCTCTGATGACGCGAGTTCAAATTATGAGATGAGATACTATCATGTTGACCCCCGCTTGGTTATGGACGCCGCGTGTCCTATCTCCTGCGTCCGAGATCAGTCCGTCCAGCGTTCATATGAGAAGAGTAGTGGGATGTCTTTAGTCGCGAATCTAGTGGACGACAAGCACAGAGGTTTCGTGAGCAGAGCTTCAATTCTGACTGTTACACTTTACACATGGCACGGCGTTTAGGCAGACATGGCATGACTTGACAAGACAGAAAGGACCCGAATGCCGTGGTTGCAGTGACAGGCATAACGGCAGAGATAAGGTAGACCTATTAATGATGCAGCAAGACCGACTGGGACATGATTCATAGTGGTCCTAACATGGACCTGCCAGCTGCAATAGCGACGTGGCTCTGCTCCGAAACCTGATGCGCGCAAAAGTGGCATGAGCGGAGGATCGACGATGCCCGGCGCCACCACGGCGCACAGCACCACAAGTCTTTGACGCTTTGACGAGACGCTGCGTCCAGCTAGAAGTAGCAAAGGGTGAACCTGAAGGTTATACGGGGAAAGCGAGGTAGACACACGTGTATTCATAGCTCGATATGAAGCTTCTACATTAATGCCCCGTTTTGGCGAGCATTTCGCTCCCGTAAGACAATAGATGACTGGTTGTCAGGATCAACACGCTCTCCATCGAGCAGTAAGGTCCGAGACAAGGTCCAGCAAGAAGGTTGCGACAAGCTGATTGTGTAAACTCCGGAGACACTTTGCGGAAGCGAGCAGAGTAGCACCACCTTACCTTACCTTACCTGCGACGAGAGCTAAGGCTTCATTTTGATGATGTGACGATTGAGCAAGTCAGGAGATGGTCTTCGCTATGGCTGCCGCAGGTCGGAGTTGCAGCCCGACTCAGACTAGAACATGCATGAACCTGAGCCTAATGAGTAATTGAGTGATTGTCGAGCCACTTCAATCCACATCGTCCGTGAAGTCGAAATAGACGAAACCAGATACATCGAAGAATAGAAGAGTCCGGATAGCATGCGGGGTCCGTTCTGGAGCTCACACGCAGGAACTGGCAGATAGACTTGGGAGAGCACCACAGCAGTGCCCCAGGCCACCACCATTCAGCGGTCGCCGAAGGTGTCGTAATTCCAGTGTTGAAAATAAGCAAGAACTCTGAGAAACCAGGAGAAAGAAAGCCGACCGCAGTAGATGAGCTCAAAGATGTTTTGGCGGGGAAAGAAGAGATGTTGAGGACGGTTGCCAAAGGCGGAAGGGGGGCGTACCCGCGTGAGAAGGACGGCGTGAACCGAGAGCGTTTCTTCCAACGACCACTTCCTATCGACGACGCCCCTCACCCTCGTCGTCCGCCACGACATTCCTGAGCCGTTTTTATTTCTTCTGAAAGCGCTGGGATCGCTCAGGTTGTCTCGACACCCACGACGACGCACTTGAGCCACCGTATCGTCTATTCTCGTTCCCAAATCAATCGCATTGAACAGCCTTCCCTCCTTTCACGACTCCCTCACAGCGCTTCGCTCTTACTCGTCGATAACCGCACAATCTCACCCCCATCCCCATCATGTCTTACCCAGATTCCCCGTCGTCGCCCGGGACGATGTCCTCCAGGCGTCTTACGAACAGAAACACCAATCGGTATTCGGTTACCGCCTTGTTCTCCATGGCAGCAGAGCAGGACGTTGAGGTCGAGGATGATCTGGCTAGAGGTGTGTTTCTTTCTATGATGTCGCAGTGCTAGGTTAGACCTTGTTACGATGGGAGGCCAAAGTGTCAGTCTGATGACGGTCAAGGAGTCGACCGCGACTCAACGAACCCAGCACTGCCCAGTCGTCCACAATTCTTGTCACTCATATCCATTCCTTCGCAGCCCAAAAGCGTCTGCGTGACCTCAAGTCTCGTATCTCCGCTCAGTCCAAGAAGAATTTCGTCCTCGAGCGTGACGTTCGTTACCTCGACTCACGAATAGCTCTCCTCATTCAGAATAGGATGGCGCTTGACGAGGTGCGCCGCTTCCATTCCAAATATGCACCCATCTTTCCACCTGACGATATTGCACCGCTAGCAACGCGAAGTCGAAAGACATCTCGAAGAAGTGGACCCGACAGAGGGCCAATACCCTGACGAACGCAAGCTCCAGCAATACTCCAACCTCTTCTTCCTCCTCCAATCCGAGCCACGACACGTCGCCGCCCTCTGTCGTCTCGTCTCCCTTTCCGAGATTGATACCCTCCTTCAGACGGTGATGTTCACCCTGTACGGAAATCAGTACGAGAGCCGAGAGGAGCATCTCCTCCTGACCATGTTTCAGTCCGTGCTCTCCGCTCAGTTTGACTCCGCGACCGAGTTCGGATCGCTTCTTCGCGCCAATACGCCCGTGTCCCGTATGATGACGACCTATACCCGTCGAGGTCCTGGCCAGAGTTACTTGAAGAGCGTGCTGGCAGAGCGGATCAACAGTCTTATCGAACACAAGGACCTCAACCTTGAGATCAACCCCGTGAAGGTGCGTTATTGTTTGTCAGTTTCGATGGAAATGCGGACCAGCTTTTGGCTCGCAACTGTACCCTCCGAGTTTCATCATGCGCTGGTGTTGCTGTGTCTCGTGAAATCACTAACGACTTGCCTACAGGTTTACGAGCAGATGATCAATCAGATCGAGGAAGAGACAGGCTCTCTCCCTGAGAATTTACCCCGCGGTGTGCCTCCTGAGACCGCCCAGGCTAATCCCGACGTGCAAGCCATCATCGCGCCACGTCTGACGATGTTGATGGAGATCGCGAACAGCTTCTTGGTGACCATCATCGAGTCGATGGAGAGCGTGCCGTACGGTATCCGCTGGATATGCAAGCAGATCAGGAGCTTGACACGGGTGAGTGGAGTTACTGCAGCACCGCTGTCGAACGAGTGCGCTGATGCTGGGTTGTCATGCAGAGGAAGTATCCGGAAGCGACGGACTACGCGATCTGCTCGCTCATCGGCGGTTTCTTCTTCCTTCGGTTCATCAACCCAGCGATCGTGACGCCTCAGGCGTACATGCTCGTCGACGGCGTGCCCGCGAAACACCCACGGCGGACATTGACCTTGGTGCGTGTTTCGCTTTCTCAAAGTTCCAATTTGATCCTGACGGTGAAAATCAGATCGCGAAGATGTTGCAGAATTTGGCCAACAAACCGTCGTACGCGAAGGAGGCGTACATGATGACGCTGAACCCGTTCGTGGAGAACAACAAGGCGCGGATCAACCAGTTCTTGAACAACCTCTGCGAGGTCGGAGACTTCTACGACACTCTTGAGGTGGGTTCTTCCTGCATGTATCATCCAGAATGATTTCTGACTATCTTCCAGATGGACCAATACATGGCTCTGTCGAAGAAAGACCTGATGATTCATATCACCCTTAACGAACTGTACAACACACATTCCCTGATCACACAACACATCGAAACTCTTGTGCGTATTCACATCTCCCTCTCCACATCCCTTGTGCATTCGCAATACTGACAACGCACCCAGTCCCCCAATGACAAACAACACCTCCGCATCCTCACCGACGAACTCGGGCCCGCCCCTGCCCAAGTCCCGCGCAAAGAGAACCGCACGCTCGAGCTGAAGCTCTACTCGCGCTGGGAAACCCCAGTACAGGACATCCAGTCCGCCTTCGCCGACACCGTCTCCTCGTCGGACATGCTCTACATGGAGACGAAATCGATCTTCGTCCAGCTCGTGCGTTCGATCCCCAACGCCGCGGAGAAGCGCCCGTACAACCTGGCGGCGATCGCCGAGCGCGCGGCGACGACGAAGGACGCGACGCTCGTGCGCAAGGGCATCAAGGTGAAGGAGATGCTGCGTGAGCTCGAGGAGCTGAAGATCGTTGAGTCGACGGACGGGTACAAGCTCATGCAGGACGAGGTCGGGGCGGAGCTCGCGCACCTCGGGAACCTGAGGGAGAAGGTCCTGTTGGAGACGAAGAGTCTCGAGGCGGTGTATAAGACGATTTGCGACCATAACAATTATATGAGGAGTCAGCTGGAGCAGTATAAGGCGTATTTGCAGAACGTGAGGTTGACGGCGTCGAAGGAGAAGGGGTCGTCGACTGGGGTGGGCGTCGTTACGGTGGGTGGGAAGGAAAAGAAGCCGGCGAAGGCGACGGTGTTGGGGCCGTATAGGTTTACGCATGCGCAGTTAGAGAAGGAGGGGATTATTGTGGAGAGTAATGTCCCGGATAATAGGTGCGTTGGTTTTGGCGGTTGTGTGGTCGTGTGTGATACTGATAGTGTGGCGTCTGTGTGGCACATGTAGGCGACCGAATATTTACTTCAATATCACGTCGCCGACGCCGGGGACGTTCATCATCGCATTGCACTACAAGGGTCGGGAGAAGGCGATCCTCGAGATGGACCTCAAGATCGATGATCTCTTGGAGAAGGTTTGTTTGTTTCACGATCTGGTTTAGGTTGATGTGCTCATATCTTTTATACACGATCTGCAGCAAAAGGACAACAAGCACCTGTTGGACTTGGAATACGTCCAGCTGAACGTGCCGAAGGTCCTCGGTCTCCTCAAGAAGGTCTTCGCCAAGCGGTAGATGCTTGGAACTCCTCCCTCCCTTCCCTTCCCTTCCCTCCCGTACTGTACTTAGCCTTCGTTCCCGATTACTTATTCCTTGCCTTTCTCTATGATGATCTCTTTTCCGTCGTCCCTTCGTTCTTCCTGTCGATATATATTGATATGTTGTCGTTATTTCCTCTCATCCGTCCTGACCGTCATATCTGTCCTCCTTTGGCCTCACGAATCCATCGTTACCCCGTCCCCGCCAGTTACCCCGTCCGTTCCGATTCCGATATATATCTCACGACCCCCCTCGACCTCGACCTCGAGCCGTGTCTTTGATCCGCGCTCTCCTCTCCCCCTGTCCCCGAACCCGCTCACTCCGCTGTTGTTCTTTATATCCTTCCTTATTGTTCGTTCGGTCGCTCGAGCTACCCCTCTCCCTTGGCCTTTACCCCCCGGATTTTATTCAGTGTTTAGTTCTTCTCTTTCCTTCTTTTTAGTTCCTTTTTACTTTTACTTTTTACCTCAACTTCCGCGTTTGTCCTCCTGGCTTGCATTTGTCTTTTGCCACCTGGCACGTACGTACGTATATATATATACACATACATCTGGTCGCACACCCGTCGCGTCGTGATGTTCCTTTTCCTTCCTTCCTCCTCGCCTCGCCTTTTCCTTTCCGCTCGTTCTGTCGTCGTTCTGTCTCTTTTCTCTTTTCGTCCCTATCTAAGGATGTATTATCGCTCTTGTAGTACTTGCCGACTGTGAACTGGTACCCGGTGGTTTTTCGTCCTCGTCCTGTTTGTTGTGTCCCTGTGTCTGCTGTCCGCTGTGCACTTCTTTGGTGTCTGAGTCTTGTCACTTGTGGGCTGTCAGTGGGGGTACTACATATGATGATCATTGACGTTACTTGTTGGGATACAGAGAATCGATGTCCGTTCGCTCGTTCATTTCGTTTATGAATCTTCAGCCAGAGGATGAGTTAGCAAGTTACGGTTATCTGATCCGACGTTGACGTTAGCAAACGTTCGTCGAAAAGTTTCGCTTGATGGGACGAGCGGGGAATCATCTGCAGGAACCCTTGTGTCCGAGATGTTCCGACCCTGGGCGGTCCAATCGTCAATTGAGAGGATGTAAAGTGCTATAGGGGCGGACCGTCGGCAGAGAGCTGGCACGACCGAGGAAGAGCCGGTGGAAAAGGGCTTCCAGGAAAAGGATGTGCTTCTTGAGGTCGGACCGTTGAGGGATATCGAGGCGATAATCAGGAACATACGGTATGTTGAAGAAAATTCGCGAAATATCGACGGAGAACGCGTCGAGGCGGGGGGCGAGATGCGGGGACGGGCCGGGGACGTCAGGTATGACGTCGACGAGGGCTAAGTGATTTATTTTGTGGAGGACGGTTTGTGCAAAGGAGTTGCCCGCAGCGTCGATCCTGAAGAGAACCTCGCGAAGGAAGAAGTCCGTTCTGAAGAGGCCCATCCGATTATCACTCCTCCCCAAATCCGGTCGTCCATCCTATATAACTCGTCCTCCAGACATCCCGAGTATTCCCCCACACATTCCCCCTCATCCTCTCTCCTTCCCTTCCACCACCACCACAGTCATCATGCCAATCTCCGAGCCCTCGCTCTCGGATCTCAACGTCGACGGTAACCAGCACCTCATCGTCGTCTCCAACCGTCTCCCCATCACCATCACGAAAGATGCCCAGGGCGAGTACCACTTCAAAATGTCCTCAGGCGGGCTCGTCTCCGCACTCTCTGGCACCAAGAAGTCCATGGCGTTCACCTGGATCGGCTGGACGGGGTTCTACATCCCCCCGAAGGATCGTCCCATCGTCGACAAACGACTCATGGACGAGTACTCCTGCCAGGCCGTCTACCTCGATGACGACGTCGCAGACCGGCACTATAACGGCTTCTCGAACTCTATCCTTTGGCCGCTCTTCCACTACCACCCCGGCGAGATGAATTTCGACGAGGAGAACTGGCTCGCGTATCGGCAGGCGAATATGAAGTTCGCGGAGGCCGTCAAGCAGCAGGTCAGGCCGGGGAGTATGGTCTGGGTGCAGGATTATCATCTTATGTTGTTGCCCATGTTTTTGCGCGGGCTCGTCACCGGTCCAAACGAGATGAGGGAGGTGACTTCGAACGAGCTCGAGAAGCTCACGGAGGGGTTGGATAATGCCGATGTCCCTGCGTTTGGACACGAGTATGTACCCGGAGTGAAGATCGGCTTCTTCCTTCACACGCCGTTCCCCAGTTCCGAGATTTACAGGTAACGTTATTCTGTTTTTACCCCTATTTCCCCTCATTTTCTTACATTGTGGTTTGTGTGTTAACCTACTCGACCGTTCGTAGGATTTTGCCAGTGCGGAGAGAGATCCTGCTCGGCGTGCTCTATTCCGATCTGCTCGGCTTCCACACATACGACTACGCCCGTCACTTCCTCTCCTCATGTACCCGTATCCTCGGTCTCCCCACCATGCCCAACGGCGTCGAGTTCGAAGGCCGGCTCGCCCACGTCGGGACTTTCCCCATCGGAATCGACCCTACCTCCTTCACCGAGGTGTGTTGTGCTCCCTCACCTCTATGCTTTTTGTTTTTGAGGTCGTGGTGCTGAACAGTCGGATGGTATGTGTGTGTAATAGAACTTGAAGAAGGAATCGGTCCAGAAGAGGATCAAGCAGCTCGAGCAGCGCTTTAATGGCGTGAAGGTTATTGTGGGTGTTGATCGTTTGGATTATATCAAGGGCGTCCCACAGAAACTACACGCGCTCGAGCTCTTCCTCACTCAACATCCCGAATGGATCGGCAAGGTGCGTCTCCCCCTTCCTCCCTCTCCCTCTCCATCCCCACCCCAAGTCCTCCCTCACATAACAAACAACCCGAACTAACCAAATGTGACACCGTGGCGTCATCTGCACACATACAACACAGGTCGTCCTCGCACAACTCGCCGTCCCCTCCCGCCAAGACGTCGAAGAATACCAGAACCTACGCGCGACGGTGAACGAGCTCGTGGGCCGGATCAACGGAAGGTTCGGAACGGTCGAGTTCATGCCTATCCATTTCATGCATAAGAGCTTGCCGTTCGATGAGTTGTGTGCGCTTTATGCGGTTAGTGATGTTTGTTTGGTGTCGAGTACGAGGGATGGGATGAATTTGGTGCGTTTGCAATTTCCTTCTTTCTTTCTTTTTTCCCCCTCCCTCCCTCCCTGCCTCCCTCTCCGATCTCCTTTGCTCCGTCGCGTCATTTCGTATTTTCAAGTGGAGAGTTACTGATCATTGATGTTGACGGTGCGTTGTATTGGCTGTTGGTTTGGTTAGGTCTCATACGAATATATCGCGTGCCAACAAGCCCGGAACGGCGTGATGATCCTCTCTGAGTTCGCTGGCGCGGCACAATCGCTGAACGGTTCGATCGTCGTCAATCCATGGGACTCGCAGCAGGTCGCGGACGCGATACATGAGGCGGTGACGATGGACGTGGATACGAGGGTGGAGAATAATCGGAAGTTGTTCAAGGTATGTCTGACTCCCACCTCTCCCCCTTCTTCCTGTATCTTCCAAACACTGCTCAAACTCCTACTGACGCTCGAACTCCTACTTACGCTCGAACTCTCGAACGCGTATAGTACGTCACGAAATACTCCGCCGCCTTCTGGGGCACCTCCTTCGTGCGCGAGATGTCGAAGATCAGGCCGGAAGACGTAGATAAAGGCGGCCAGGCAGAGTTGTTGCCTGCTAGCACGGCGGGGAATCAGCCTGGGGGGAGTACGAATGGGAATCCAGCGTTGGAGACGGCTGCGGATGGGAGTGGGGATGGGGAGCAGTCGCCGGTGGGGGTGGATGCGACTGTTATTGCTTCGTGATTTTGGGGATTTCGTGATTTTGTGAGGCGGTCAGGCTTCAGGTTGGAGTGTCGTGCTGAGAGCCGTATGTGTCCGTTGCTTTTGGGTCATATTTGGGTCCTGGTTGGGCTTTCGACTACTTAGATGGGATTTCCCGCGTTTTCGGTGACTTGGTGGGTTGGGCTACGTTAGCGATGAAATCGAAGAGGCTGCTTTTGTTGTTGTTGTAAGGTGTACCACATACATGCATACATACATACTCGAATACATACATAAATATACATATTACATATATACGCGCAAATTTGTATTTTTCCCTCTGTCAACGGGCTTTTTGTTTTCCTTCATCTCTTGTGTGTTTACATCAATTTGGTTGCTTGTCTGTGTCGAGCAGACCGAATAGGGAATGCATGTGCCTTTTGTCTCCGCGAAGCCACCGCCACCGCCACAGCAGTGTCCGAATTCAAATTCTAATTAAGCGCTCACGACTCGGGCGCGTCTTCAAGTTGAACTTTGTTCTTGTCCGTGAACGCGTCCATGGTCCGACTACCTACTGTAACACAGGACCTGCCTCGAGTCAAACGTAGGTACTCCCCAGCTTTCCGTAGCAGATTCTGCTCTCTTCAACGTGACTCGCTGCCCGATGCTGTTCTCTGCGACGCTGAGCACCTAATGTGCAGAAAGGAGGCTGAAGTCGATTTATGATCGGATGAGACCCCTTGTGTTTGTGTTTCTGTGAATGACTAGAAGCGGATCCGGATAAGTATACGAGAAATTTTCGGGCATATATGGGTAGTATGTATTTGTTGGGTGTGTCCTTAAGAGTCCTTTTCAAGAACTTCACACTGATTATGGTTCGGATCTGTTTCTTATCCGTGTGCTTGATTACTTACTACCTAGCTTCTTTATGCGACTTGACACCTGTCAGCTTGCGGAGGTTGGGAAAGAAGTTGTGACTTTCGAGTTGGACGTATAGGACATGAATATCAGGCAGCCATCACGTTCGTGGCCTGGATCGGCCACATAGTATGTGACTTTCTACTGATAGGTATCGCAGTCTACAAGGTGAAAAGATATCCTTGCCGTTTGACGAAGCTCGTGACTAGGCTTTAGGGCTCACCGGCATACGATCGACCAAACGTATTTGTGTGGCGTGGGGAGGGAGGGCACTAGTAGAGGCGCACCCTGGCGCCTACATACGCCTTCCTGCCCTCTACGATTCCTCCCAGAGATTCACACCCATCGCCTCTAGTATTGAAGCTGATATAGATGGTGAGCGATACATAATCGATACTGTCTTGTGTTGCTCGAAGGTTCTCTGATATCCGTCCTGCTTACCTGCATACAGGAGAGATCTACTTCGCCGCTGATAGCCGCAGATGATATCCGAATCAGAGCTCTGCTCAACAGGATGACAACGCAGAACTTTGATTCGATATCCGACCGGCTCGTCGACTGGGCTAACAAGTCCGAGAAGGAAACAGACGGAGGTTCGCAGTTCAACGGCTCGAATGTCGGTGTGCCTGAGGAGTCTAGCAAGACCGCTGATGCGGCTGAGTTGGCTGCGGCTGCTGAGGAAGCTAGAGACAAAGTGCCCGACAATGAGCCTCTCCGTATCGACACTGCAGCGGTCCTTGATCTTCCGGGCAAACGCCGTCCTGGTCCTTTGAACTCTCAGTCCGTACGAGCTATGAACATACCACAACCTCTACCCTCCGCTCTCGCCACCGCTCGTATCATCGAGGACCTTCATGAGATCTCATACCCGGAAGGCATCAAGAGCCCGAAAGTCGAGCTCAATGCGAGCGCCGCCAAGGGCAAGTTCAGGTATGTTTACCACACCTTTCATCACTTGTTCACATCCCATACTAATCATCACTTTCTCGTAGGTACGATCGCGACTTCCTCCCACAGTTCATGGCGGTCTGCAAGGAGAAGCCAGACAACCTTCCTCCGCTCGATGCCCTCGGCTTGGAGCCAAGCGACCAGACTTCCAGCGGCTTCGATGTGACTCGCGGTGGCTCTGGTCGCCGCAATTCTGGCATGGTCACTCCCTCCGGATCAGTCAGTCGCAATGCCTCGATTGGTCTCGGTTTCGTTCCCAGCTCCATGGGCAAGACTTCCGGGTTCGGTATGGTTCAATTCGCCACCACCGCCAAAACCGGCGAAGAAGGATTTGCCCTGGCTAACGGTCCGAGTCGTTCTACCTCTCTCGCTGGGAGCGCTCTGAGTGGCATCGCTATGGGTGGTGGTCGTGGTCCACCAATGTCGCGCACGAACAGCCAAGGCGGACCGGATTCTGGAAAAAAGCGCGAGCGTACCCGTAGCAAGCGTATCGGTCAGACCAGGAACGAGTCGAACAGGGTCCACGTCTCGACTCCCGCCATGTCTAACATGGGTCCACCTCTCGAGCCTGTTGCTCCTCTCGAGGCCAGCGCAAACCGATGGGTTGCTGGCAGTACTCGCCGTGGAGCAGCCGCCGCTGCCGTCACACCGGATCCCGACTCACCCGAAATGGTCGAACGTAAGGTCAAGGGTCTCCTCAACAAACTTACCATGGAGAGGTTCGACTCGATCTCCGACCAGATCATCAGTTGGGCCAACAAGTCCGAGACCGAGAAGGACGCTCGTACGCTCATCCAGGTCATCAAGCTTGTCTTTGAGAAGGCTACCGATGAAGCTGCCTTCTCCGAGATGTACGCGAGGCTCTGTCGTAAGATGACGGAGACAATCAGCCCCAAGGTTCAGGACGATGGCATCAAGAACCAGGAGGGCAAACCTATCGTGGGTGGTCAACTGTTCCGCAAGTACCTTCTCAATCGTTGTCAGGAAGATTTCGAGCGTGGTTGGTTGCAAAGGGAGACAAGCGCCGCCGCCGCTCTCACGAAGGCGACGGAGGACGAAGCTGCGGCAAGGGCCAACGCTGCCAGCAGCAAGGAGGCCGAAGAGGGCGAGCTTTACTCAGACGAGGACTATGCAGCCCAGAAGGCCAAGCAGAGAGGTCTCGGTTTGATCAGGTTCATGGGTGAACTGTTCATGCTGCAGATGTTGACGGAGCGTGTCATGCACGAGTGTATCAAGAAACTGCTCGGAAACGTCGAGAACCCGGAGGAGGAGGAGATCGAGAGTTTGTGCACGTTGATGAATACCGTCGGGGCGGTTTTGGACACTGAGAAGGCGCACGCGCATATGGATGTGTACTTCGCTCGTATGAAGGAGTTGACGAAGAGTCCGAAGGTGAATTCGCGTATAGCTCTCATGTTGCAGGTCTGTGGACTTTTCTTCGTTGATCGTCTTGCTCGTTACTTACTGCCAGGCCCCTAGGATGTTATCGAGCTTCGGGAGCATAGGTGGCTACTATTCAATACTCCCAGCGGTTCTCGGACCATCCGGCAGATTTACGAGGCCGTAAGTATTTCCTATTATATGCCTCGAGCTGTCTGTATTCTGACCTTGCATACAGGCTGTCAAAGACAAAGCTGCGAAGGATAAGGAGTTCCGCGAGCGCCAGATGAGCATCGGTGGCTCTCGTGGTGGTGACCGTGGCGAACCTCAACAGATCGGTCCCGATCGTTGGGGTACTACTTCAGGACCCAATCGTCCTCCACCCAAGGCCGGCGACCTGTCTCACTTTTACAAGATCGCGAAATCGACACCGATGAGATTTGGTCCCAGCAGCGTATTTGCCGGAAAGAAGGAGGCCAATGGCCGCGAAGCTTCCCTGTCCCGCATGGCTTCCACTTCCAATATGTTCTCCATGCTCAGTCAGAACCCCGAACTTGCTGTCGAGGCTACGACCTCGAAGCCCAGCCGACCGGCGAGTCGCAAGACGAGTGTCAACCTCACCCAGCCCGGCGGTGTCCCTGGGCCCACACAACACAGAAAGCTTCAGCTTCTGCCTCGTTCTAAAGCTCTCGGGGAGATGAAGGCGGAGAATACCCCTGCCGGATCGGAGGCTGGCTCTGAGGACGGGCGTGCTGAGGCTTCTGCTCCTCCCTCAATGTCGGAGGAGGCGGCTACGAAGATTATCGACGAGGACGTCAAGGAATTCTTCAGCATGCCCATGTTGTGTGCGGCCGAGTCTTACTTCCGCAGTCTTCCCGAGGAGCACCACTTTCAACTCATCGAGAGACTCGCCATGGCCGCCATTGAGTCCACGGAAGCGGACGGGTGGCTCGTCGCAGCCTTCTTCGCTCAAGCGAGAGAAAACAATCTCTGCTCCCCTGCATCATTCGAGGAGGGCTTCGTGCCGCTAGCTGAGCTGTTGGATGACATTGCGATTGATGCGCCCAAGGCATTTGATCTGTTTGTGGTCATGATGAAGGGTGCTGGGCTGGATGAGGATGAGGAACGGAAGTTACGGATAGCGGAGAAGTCAATGAACAAGGCCAAGTTGATCGCGTTATTAGTTTGATTTTCTTTCCTTATCTTCTTTCGTACATACTCTCATTCTCAACGGTCCTCGTATTTTTCCCCTTATAACTTTCGCTCTGAGACATTGATTCAACCACCCCTCCCCTTATGTGCTCCTTCCATTTTCTAGACAGTTTATTTCACTCTTCTACCACACTTTCCCCGTAACTTCTCTCTTCCGAGCAAGATTTTACTTCCCACAAAGTGACTATCATGATCCCTCTGAGTGGTAAGGACGAAGGTTCATCGACGCACCCCCTCTGCCATTCTACTGGTGCCTTACAATCAGCGTGTCTCGTTCAAGTCTCGTTCAGAGGTGGATTTTGAACGATCTTAAGTGGCAATTGTGCGGTTAGGAATGACCCGAGGGTTCGGCATCAGCCGCACTTCGGCAGTGTGTGTCCAACCTTTGGCTAGTCACGGACATGCATCTTGTCTAAGTACTAACTTACTGTCTCCAACTTCCGAGTCGACTACGGGCAGTCATAGGGACCAACAACCAACATTCTTTGGACAGTCTCAGTTCTGCCCATTCGCAAAGGTGACGCTCTCGTTTGCCTCCAGTGGTCTCGGGGGCAGCTAGTCTGACCGAGACATCTCGTTCAAGATATACCAGCGAGCCGGGATGTCCATGTTGACCTTGCCAGACGACCTGGTCCTTGAGATTGCTCAGTATCTCATACCAGCCTGGGATGGACTTGGTTTCACAAAAATATCATCTCGCCATTATCACCTCGATTTCACCCTGCAAAGCCTCTGCGCTGTCAACCACCGTATTCGAATGATATGTCTGCCTGCGCAATTTCAAGTACTCGTCATCGGAGTAGACAGCTACGCTCTAGAGAAGGAAGCAGACTTCATACGACGGACGTTGTTGTCTCGTTCCGACATCTCTACATACCTGCGGTGCGCGAGTTCCTGTCTCGAGTCAATCGAGGATTAACTGATGTGTGGTCATTGCCGATCCCATGTAATCTAGCTCTGTGCACTTCGTAGGTAAAGAAGACACCAATTGGTCACGACCGACAATCGTCGAAATCCAGTGGATTCATCTCAACCAAATCGTGCAAGATCTCCTCAAATTTGCACCAGGTCTCGTTCGTCTCGATATCACACAACGTTTGGGGAGGCCGTCCATCACAGCGCAACTCCTAGACGTCATAAATGAACATCCCTCGCTTAAGACCGTGGAGATAGACTCGCCCGAACCGCTCTTGATGTTGGACACCGAAACAATTCAATCCACGTCGCTCAGCCGGATCAGTTGCGGATACCTTTCACTCGGTCATAAATTTCACCCTTTCTCGTGGGAAACCATGGGGAAAGTCCTCCGCACGGCAGGCGGCGCACGACTTCGCACTCTTACAATACCCTCGGAGGGCATTCCGCAAGAATGGGGATCGCTTTCTCTGAACGGATTGGAGACGCTCGGAATCGATCTGACCCGTTCTGTATCAAATCTGTTCCTCGAACACCAGGCAATTTCATTCATGGCCCGTCATCCTTCGCTCAAGATCATCAGGGTCAGCATGCTGTCACAATTCCTTCCTTCCCGAATCTTGTCACCACTTCCGTGCATGGCCGAATTGTACGCGTTGATAGCGGCGGAACGTCTTGAGGATTCCATACTCTTCAGTGGCTTGGGCCTCAAACGAAAGATTGCCACACCGGTACTGAAGGGTGGAAGCGAGGCGTCTTCGAGGTGTATTACCAAGGCCTATCTAAGCCTTAGGAAGAATTGCATCCTCTCTCTGCCGCTGTTCACGAAGACCGTGCAGTTCACCGACCTATTGAGAATACAGATCGACGACACAGACAGGAGTGAGGTTACAATTGTATGTCCCGCCATAGACTTCCAAGAAAAACAATGTCCCTGGTCTTAATCTGACCTATATTCAACTCTGTAGCATGATCTCTTCAACGCCGTTGAGGTCTGTCATCCGTCGCTGCAGAAAATCACTCGACTCGAGTTCCCTCGGGTTCCACTTTGGGAAAGTGGTGTGGCGAACTTTAATACCGCCGGCGCGGCCGGAGGAGTACTTCTCGACATTGATGAGTTCGATTTCAGAGACCATGAGCTCGATGAATTCGATGTGGAGGATCAGGAGAAGGCGTGGTTCATCGTGGAAGAGGGGCTACGCGTGTATGCAGATCATCTGGTGCAATCCGTACAAAAGCTCGGCGCTCTGTGTCCGCTGCTGGAGGCAATTGAAATCGGCCTGGATACTTCGGCCACCGGAATTTGTTACAAATTAGAGAGCAAGCGAGGAGAAGAGGGGCATGAGAATTTGATGACGGTGACATGGAACTTCACTTTCTATTGAGATTGAGGTGCGTGCTTGTGGTTCATTACTGTGTCTTCAGGATATTCACACCTTGACGTCGTGCATCAGTCAGGACACCGTCGTTCTCGCCCCTACAAATCTCTCAATGTATTCTAAATTAGTCTGAACGAGCCCGCGTAAAATGTCTCATTCCTATCTGTTCATAATCAAGGACAATTAACTTATAAGCCAGACCTGTATGTCCTCCCATCGCGTTCACTTTCCGTGTCGCTGACTCCAGCGTGATGGCTTGTTTAACGACCATCGCCTGCAAAGGCTCTACATTTCAACCAAACATTCATATACGGAAACGACCGCGATCCAACTCCAGCGAGACTAATGCAGGGTATCTCGGTATATCTACGGTCCTACTCCCTGGCTTCGCTGGTTAAGCTGTGTGCCCCAGTATAATAATGTCAAGTATGTTGAATACAACCGTAGTGACGACAGAGCAAAGGATGACAAGGGTCACATTGAAGATTGAGAATAAATTCCGGTAGTGAGAAGAAAAGGTAGTTGGAGGGTTGCTAGAGCGGCTAACTATTGCTTGCCGTCATACTCCTCATCTATGGCGTCGAGAAAGTCGAGCATCTAGGATAGAGGGTCAGTGTAACGAATACAAAGTAGACTATGGACAAAAGAGGGGCGATTTAAACGTACAACTTTGTGTCTCTTTTCGGCCATTTTCTTGCCTGGCTCGGTCTTCATGCGTTCGCGGATATGAAGAAGTTTATCGTGGAAGTGTTGAATTGCTGTCGTAGGTTGGACGGGGTCTCCATGCGGTGCATGAAGTGTTCTATCGCCGCGAGATACCCTGAGTACAGTTACAATACGGGGGTCAAAGGAGAAGAGACAGAAGCTGACATACTGGTTGATGGCAGCGCTGTAGGCGGACACACGCATTATCCCTACAAACATTTGAACATCAGTAAGTCGGTGCAAGGCAGACAACCAGCAGAAGAAGACAAACCGAAAGCTCCAATTGCATCCAACCTGTCCGCATCCTGCACGCAATGCAATTCAACGCACTGCTCATGCCAACTCCCCCACTTCCCTTCGCCCCTCAACTTTTTCTCTGTCGTCCAACTAACATTCTCGACAATCATCGCGATGTCCTTGGCTCTTCCATCCTTTACCAAATCGATGCTCGGCACTTTTTCTGTAAGAGATTGGAAGAAAGGAGCGAAGTACGTATTGTAAGGATCGATAAGCGCAGCGGGAGGGGCATATTTCTTGTCAAGGACGTCATGAAGAAGAGCGGCGATTTCGACTACGAGGAGATCTGGAGCTTTGAGACAAGATGGAGAAATCGTTCTTGCGAGCTGAAGAGCCGTTCTACGGACGCGACGGACATGGTACGCGTCGTGAGACGGATCATAGGGAGCCATGGCTTCCTCCATACGCTTTTCAACAGCTCGGATAATGATTTCTTCATCTGGAGAAGGATAGGGAGAGATAGCCACAGTCATTGTGTATAGTCGTGGTCGTGCTGGACGTGGTGCAGTGGATCGTTTCGTTCAAGTTTCGTTTGTTGATCGACGCGTCGAGTCATCGCGTCGCGTCCGTAATATTTGATCAGTGCCTGAACGCGTTGATTAGATCAAATACATGACGCCTTACCATAAACAGTTATCAGATAAGATAAAAAGCCATCCCGACTTTCACATCGTCCCCGCCAAGTTCCAGATTTCTCTACCTGCCAGCAAACCATGAACAACATATCCCTCCGACCCATTTCTTCCTGTCTTGCTGCTCTCTATGTGCTTACTTTGATTGTTCTTGTTGCCGGAAAGTCTGGATCTGATGGCCTCATCACGGTACGCTCCATGTCTTGGCTGCTGCGCGAAATCGGTTGCTCAGCCCCACGTGCCCGTTCTTCTTGGTTCGTTCTGCATCATGTATGCTCTTTCCGTGGACCATCACTTTCGTGATGTTTTTGGAATGCAATTGCCTCGTCGACCACCTCAAACATACGTAGGACGCAGACGTCGCGGCATGCCCTGCCGTCCAAGAATTATCGGCAGTGAAGCATGAGCTTGCAAGTACAGAATCACCCATCATGCGACAAGTCTTCGCCTGGCTCTTTCCTTTTGGACCTGGATGGAACTCTGGTGCGTACTATGCACTCCAGTCCGTTGACCTCTCTACGGCCCAGCCTCACTTCCTCAACACGACGTCGAGACTGACTATGCTCATAATAATTGAACTTCGTTCAGTGCTTGGTACCTTCTACATCAGCTCGTGCGTCTCCTTCGATGTTGCCTGACCCGAGTCTAACTGCAAATGCCGTCTTAACGTTGCCACCAACTATGGTTCTTGGTGTTTTTGAACGTCGAAATTATAGGGTCCCTAATTTTATTCTCGCGTTCATCCCTGCTCAAATCAACCGCAACACCTTGAACACCATGACGGCTTTCGCGGTGCGTCTTTCTCTCTCAATGTATATTTACCATCGCGGGCCACAACTTGGCTACCCGTCGCGCCATATAAAACCTGCACGTTGTGCTGACTTTGCTCTTTCTTGAACAACCTTTATGGTCGTGCCTTAAATAGACTGGTGGACTCCTCTCCGACGTCTTCCTCCATTTGGTGCCACACTCCTTCATGGGCGAACATCAGGACAACTCCGCCCATTTCGTCATGGTAGAGGAAAAGCGGAACATCCTTGTCGGGTAATGTACCACAATCTCTCCGCTCCCTTTTTTTCTCTTTGTCTCTCTATTCCTGTCTGCATGCGGCCCATAGTCTCTCGACCTTGATGTCTATGCCGAATCCTAACTTAACCCACTTCATGGTACTTGTCTATCTACCGCCTTACCCATACACTACGCGTGAAGATGTCGTTGGTCTTCGTATGGGTTTTCCTGCCGTTTGGACGACCTCATGCGCTGCACGATGCCTTCATCCATTCTTTTCTTCTACGTGGTATTTTCCCTTGGGCTTCCACCGTGACTACAACCGTGGCAGGCTATTATTCAACCCATCGCTATCGGAGCTTGAAGTCTGAAGCTTGACGAGAACCACAGAACCACGAACAACCACTCCATGCATGCATACATACCGTCACTGTGTCCCAGCCCACCTGGACGACGCACGTTCTTTCCCATTTACTTCGCGCTCGTTCGTGACAATCGTCCTTCGCGTCCTGACGCCTCTCCCTTCGCTCTTTTTCCCCTTTTCTCGCTCAACTTTGTTTCTGATGAGCCGTGCACCTTGCTGACCGTTATGTCCTTTCACCCTTCCCTTCCCCGTGCATGCATCCGTACGTCCGCTCCGTACACACACCCACACATGCGCACGCACACAGTCTAGGCATATTCGGAGGCTTTGCGGCCTTCTTCGTCATGGAGAAGACTTTACGTGTTCTCGGCGGAGGAGGAGAGGACGGCCATTCGCACTCGAACTCGCATTCTCACAGCCATACGGAGGAAAAGCAGGGTGGTGGCGAGACCGAGGGGACTGCGACGGGTGTGGCGGCTAAATCTACGAACGGCCTGCGGGAGCGCAAAAAAGTCGGCGGAGAAGACCATCAGGGCGAGGAAGAGGAGAAACACGCCCAGGTGTCTAAGTTATCTGCGTATTTGAATTTATTTGGTGATTTTTGCCATAATATGTGCGTCGGTTTTTTCTCTCTCTGTGGCGTTGTCTATTCTCCGATGCAAAGCCGCTCATTCTCCTATTATTATTATTCTTTGTATGTGTGCAGTACGGACGGTCTCGCGTACGTCTGCTCGTTTATATCTCGCTTCCACTGCTTTTGCTCACCGACAGCGATTTGACGGCTCACGCCTCGGTGGACTCGAACGCGAACACAAACACAAACATACATTATACAGCATGGCTGCGTCATTCTACTCGAGCCCGCTCATCGGCGCTACGACGACCCTCGCCTGCTTCGCGCACGAGATCCCACACGAGATCGCGGACTACAGCATCCTCATCCGGAGCGGGTTCACGAAGAGAGAGGCGATGCAGTCGCAGTTCTTGACTGCCGTTGGGGCGTTCGTGAGTAGTTGTCCCCCTTGTTCCTAAACCTTTGCTTCTTTCTACATGTGGCGTTCCCTGCGACCGTTCGTTTGAAGGACGATTCTTCGTTGATGTTCTTGAAGACCGTACCATATGACTGACACTTTGTTCTGTTCTGTTCTTCTTCCCCCCTGGCCCTTACCTCCTTCTTCCCTTCCCTTCCCTCCCTCACTGGTATACGACGCACGACCGTAAACCAACGACCAAATCCGGACGAACGTTGGGTCGTTCGTCTTTCGTTTGGCCCTGAACTTTGAACTCCCCTTCCTCGCCTGGACTGTGGATGGGTACGGACTCTCCCTCCCGGTTTGGTCTGCGACATCGCGACAACGGGAAATTCGACTGCTGTATTCCAGGTCGGGTAAGTCTTGCTCTTTCTTTCTATGCATCAGGTGCCCTCTGCGTCGTGTTTGGCGTTTGAACTGACTGGTTCCTTTCACTTCCGGTTTCTGATCCTGATCCTTCTGATCGTGCATATGCATGTCACCCGATTCGATTCGCGGCGCCCGCGTCGCTCACCCATCCACCCATCCACCCGTCCATCCGTCCACCCGTCCACCCGTCCACTCGTCAAACCATCCGTCAATTTGATTGACGAACGCAGGACGTTCATGGGCATCGCGATCCACAACGTGTCGACGGGGCACGAGAGCGCGGCCGGCTCGAATGATCTCGTCGCGGCGCTGAGACAGAGGGCGAGTGGGATATTGGGGACGTCGGTGCGGTTTGCGGATTTGGTGAGTCGCTTGCTTGTTTGATCTTCCTTCCTTGGTTGGTTGTTCGGTCTTCATTGGACGGTATTACTTGTTCTTTTGTTTGTTCGCTGTTCGATGTTCGTTGTTACTTGCTGCTTGTTGTACGGTGGCCCCGAAGGAGTGCTGACTGTTTGTTGTTTTTTTCACACACAGACTATACCGTTCGTAGCGGGCGGGTTCATGTACATCGGCGCTGTCGCAGTCTTACCCACGTACGTCCGTCTATCCCCCAGTCCGTCCCAGTGTCCCAGTCCGTGTGTCCGGGTTGTCCGACCGGAGTCGAGAGTGGTTGTCTCGACCCGAATGCCCTTGCGGTTAGGCCGTATGCTGTGTGCCACTCTTCTGACCGGACAGAGCAGAGAGTGACAGCCAGACAGGCGAAAGTGCCTCGATAGAACTGAATGACGGGATTGACTGACTTGACTTGTTCCATGCTATTCTTTGCGCCCGACCGCACGCACATAGACTGTTGGAAGAAAGCAAGAGCGGGAAACAGGCGCTTCGGGAGGTTAGTCCGGTTCTTCCTCCGTTATCCCTTCTTCTTTTCCCTCTTCCTCCTCGTCCTCTTCCCTTTGTTGTGCTTCTGAGATTGAAACGAGTAACTGACTGACGCAAACTTCGACCCCAGTTTGGTGCGATGGCGTTCGGAGTGCTATGTATGTTCCTAGTGGCGTGAGTTGTTCTTCGATCATACTTTGCTGTCTTCCTGTCTGCGTGCGTGCTAAAATTATAACTGTGGGTCCAGCTGGAACGAATAGAATAGAGGGAGTAAGTTGGATTGGGTGGGCGCAGTGCGGTGGATGGGGATGGGGATTTTGACATGTGCAAACGGGGAGGTAGGGGTGTGTGAGTCGAGTTTGTTACGGCGCAGGGAGAGTGGGACGGGGGCTTTTAGTACTATGTAGTACTACAATTGTTCCGCTTGAATACCCATACAGTACAACTAGGCTGATTGAGAATCGAAGCGCCGGTGATCTAACGACTAACAGCTCTTCTCTCAGTGTGAGGAGAGCCGTGTCCGATGAGGAGGAGTGAGTGAAGAGGACGGAAGCGGAAGGGGAGGGCGTTGATGGGACGGAAACGAGGGGGCGGGAAGTGATGCCGGAAGGAGAGAGTAAGTAGGAACGTGCGTGCTGTGGTTCGTGGGCCGGGCTGCCGGGTCCGCCGAAAGTGACGCGTAATTGGAAATTTGTGGAATTGCGGCCACACGACTCGCTTTTCGCTCTCCGTCCTCTTTCCACTTTATACGCTCTCTGTCCTCGCACACAGACTCATTCCCCGGAAACAAGAACAGTCACAGTATGTTCCCCTTCCAGCTGTCCCCTTGTTGGCCACTATATATATTGTATACTCACCCGTGCCATCGTCCAGCACGACGTCGACGGCTTCCTCGCTCCTTTCAGCACCCCAACACGATCCATCGCAGGAGGCTGCAGCTCGTAGACGCCAGCCGCCCTCGAACCTCCCGGACGAGTCAAGGATCCATAGCCCCATTACGTCCTCCAATCCCCGTCGGCTCCGTGTCCGTCATATCCCAGCCTGCCAGCCACAAGAAGCCACATCTATCAACCTGGCCGCCTTCCTCCCTGCCTCCTCAAGTCGTTGCTCTTCCTTTCACGGGTCCAGCTCCTGCACTTTTGACTCTTCTTCTTCTTCCTCGTCGTCGACGACGTCTTGCTCGACTTCACTCGCTTCAACTTCAAATCAACCGACGCTGCTTACCATGGCGACAAAAGGCCGCTCGACACCCCGCGTCGTCTGCTGCGCGATACCTATCGCAAGATCCGCCGGAAAGGTCCTCGTCGTCACAAGTAGAAAACGACCAGAAAGATGGGTTTGTGAGTACTCGCTCTTCTTCCTATCCACCCCTCCTCCTCCCGCATATGACCGACCACTCCCTCTTGGCTTTTTACATCCCGTCCACGCGTTCCTGATTCACTCCTCCCTCGTGCCTGATCCATTGCTTCCGTCTCCGTTCATCTGTATGTGTCCCGAAACTGACTACCCTTTCTCTTTGTCTTCACCCGTCTGGTCATGCACTGCTACAGTGCCGAAAGGAGGCTGGGAGTCAACAGATGGTGTGCTCGAGGCAGCAGCATCGCGAGAAGCCCTGGAAGAAGGTCTCATCCTTTGTCCCTCTACCCGTCCCGCCCCATCCTAACCTACCCTTCATCGCTCCTCCTCGCGAATCGCGAAACACGAAACAATACCCCACCCATACCAATGCCGTGCCTCTGCCCGCATCTCCGTGCCCGCACGCACCCACTCCGGTAACCCACCGCGCTCCGTCGCATTGCGTCACCCCACCCACCCGTCACCCACCGTCCTCTGTCAATCAACCCACCGTCCTTCCAATCACGATGAACTAGCCGGCGTCCGCGGAAACATCACGCGCTACGTGACCACGATCCCCTCCGCGTCCTCGACATATCACTTCTTCGAGCTAGACGTGTCCGGGCTGGATGCGGAATGGCTGGAGAGCAAGGAGAGGAGGCGGGAGTGGGTCGATTTCGCAGAGGCGGTGAAGCGCGTGTCGTGGAAACAGGAGCTCGCGCAGGGGTTGATGCTTTCGACGCTTGCGCCGCATCGGTAACGTGTGGTTGAGTTCTCTTTCTTTCTTTGTTCCTGTGTCGTCTTTTTGTTGAGCTAGCGTTTCCGAGGTTTGGCGTTTGACGTTGAAGGGACGGACGGGCGTCGCCGTTCGTTCGTTCGTTCGTCTGAGCGTCCTGTCGCGCTACGTCGTTCCTTTTCTCCCCTGTTTCCGTTTCCGTGTTTCCGTGTTTGTTCGTCTGTTCGTCTCTCTGTCCATGCTGTTTCTCCGCCATATCCATCCATACATATCCATCTCTCTCATATCCTCTCCGTCTCCGTCTCCGTCGCACTGTGCAATTTCCATTTTCCATTTTCCATTTTACCTCCCAATCCATCCATCTTCGTTCTCCGTTCTCCGTTCTATCTACCATCGTCCGTTCTTCCTCCGTATTTTCGTATTTTCGTATTTTCGTATTTTCATAGAATAAACAGTCAGTCCAAATCGTCCGTTTTTCGTTTGTTCGTTTGTGCGTTCGTTCAATGCTCGATCTATTCACCGCCCTTCTCCTCCGTTTTTGTGTTTCTCGCACACGCACCCGCATCCTCGTTCCCGTTCCCCTCCGTCGTTTCACGCGTTCCGGCTTTACTTACCTACCTTACCTACCTACCTACCTTACAATTCCCCTATTCCCTTTTTTGTTCGTTTCGTTTCGTTTCGTTTCGTTGCGTTCGACCTTATTAGTACTACATACAGCCTACATGATTTCCTTTATTGAAACTTTTTTTTTTGCAACCCCAACCCCGCCTCATGCTCATGTCACGTCCATGTCATGTCATGTCATAACCAACAATCATATATCTCGCCTCGCCTGGCTCAATCGGTTTATCTGGCTCAAATCGGTTTGGCTGGCTCGAATCGCAGTCTGTGATTAATCTCAACTCTAAACGAACGAACAGACGATACCTGTCTGCCCGTCTGCCCGTCTGCCCGTCACTTGTGATATAGACGTCTGCACTTTTTTTCGTTCTTTTTCTTTCTTTCTTTCTTTCTTTTTTGTGCATGCTTGTCTGACTCTCTGGCTGTTTGTGTCAGTCTCCCACAGTCACTAGTCAGACCTATACAACGGGAAGACAGTCGTCCCCTTAGTTTGTGTTCGGCCGTTCGCTTCTATCCGTCCTTCGAGTCTGTTCTGCTCTGGTTGTGCAACATAGGACCAGACAGACAGACAGACCGACAGACAGCCTGGCGGTCAGATTGGCTACGTGTTGTTCTGTCGTTCGTTCGTACGGTAGAGCTTGAATTTGGACTTGACTTGAACTGAAAATTTGAACTCGGTGACGGGACTAGAGGAACGGGAGGCCGAACTGGAACTGGAACTGGACTGGATCTGGGAGGTCGGTGGTGGCGATTTGGAGGCGGGGTCGGAGGCGATCCTCGAACAGGAGACTGAGCAGATGGAAAGACATTCTGATCCTATGATCTGTGTCCCCGATAGTCGATAGTCGATGCTCGACCTTTCCTACACCTGGATTTTCAAGTTCTCCACGGCACCTCTCCACACCCCTCGTCTCGTGTCCGCCCTCCGAGTCGAACCCGATGTATATCAATGTCATCTATGTTCCTGACCGAACACAAGAGTCTCGTTCATAATGCTTGATCCATCTCTTTGGGATACGGGCGAACTGCCATATGAAGAAAAGGCTCCAAATGGTGCACGAGTCAACTCGATAAATGATTCAATCCTCGCTGCCAGGTAGGGTAAGTATACAATCAAGATGAATGACTCCAGTATATCAGTCATCAGTCATCGAAGCCGTCCATGTCGATATTGAAGAAGAAATGCTAAAGGTCCGTGGTCAGTGAAGATAGTGACGACCACACTGATACCGACAAAGAGAAGAGAGAGTATGCCGTACCTTGTACAGCGACATTACTTTCACGACCCAGGCCTCGAGGTGGAAGATCTTCTTGTTGCCTAGTCGCATGCGGTTTTCCTGGCGGTTGATGGGGATGTCAGCACGTAGTCGCCAAAATCAAGGAAGGAAGGAAGGAAATCAAGAAAGGATGAGATTCGGCGCACATAAACAGCAGCCCAGTGCATGATATCCGCCTTCAGCCCTTCATCTACCCTATCCACTAACCGGTCCGCGATGGTCTTTGGCGCGACAAACATGAGCCTCGGTCAGGATCACGGTATGACGAGCGGCGGGAGGACGTACCTTGATGATCACAGTCGGCGGTATACAATGACTGAGAAGTTCGTACAGCTTCGCACGGACGTCCATCACCCGCTGTGGACTCTGCTCCGAGATGATCATATCCGCGACTTTGTGGCAGTAGGTTTCCCAGTCGGGTTTCGCGATCGCCAGGGGGCCTTCGAGACTTGGTCTACGAGATCGAGGGGGTGGGGGTGGGGGGAAGGGGGGGGAGCATTGTGTTTAGTTTAGGCAAAGCCAAGACACGGATGCGGATGAAAACGAGCACGTACGTCTGCATCTTGAGCGCTTCGAGGACGAGGATCGCTTTCCTCATGTTGCCATTCGAGTCTCGCACGATCTCATCTGCTGCTTCTTGTGGTATCTTGGGTATTCCAGCCCGAGTGGCGACGTGGTTCAGGACTGTTCGCATCTGCGGCACACGCACGACAATCACCATCACCACCATCCGAACGTCAAAAACCAAACATGGAACGACGGGGGAGGACGTACCTCTTCATGATTAGGGGCAGCGACCCGCATGAGCAGACAACGACTCCGGATGGGCGCGATGAGTCGGGATGTGGAGTTGGCGCAGAGGATGATGCGCATGTTGGACATGTATTTTTCCATCGTGCGACGGAGGGCGGCTTGCGCGTCGCGGGAGAGGGTGTCTGCTTCGTTGATCACGACCACTACGTCACATCACATCACACATGCGTTGAGTACATACTATCAACAGAGGATGAGAGACGGCAAAGCGGGTACGGTACCTTTGAATCGTTGACGGGCTGTTAGGTCGACTTGTTGTGTTTGCGCGATCTCCTTCAGGATCTCTTGGATGACCACTCGGTCGTAGTTCCCCACTTCGCTAGCAGCGTTTCAGACGCCTCAGGGCAAGAGCAGCTTGGGAGTTGGTATGGATGCAGACGTACCTGGGGGTTAATTCGATGTGATAATTGCTCTGTACGATGTTCACGTCGAGCTTCCGTTTTGATGGCGTCAGGAACACGCGCTGGTCTATTTTGAGCTGAGCAAGTCGTTCTAGTAATGAGCCCATAGGCCGAACTCAGTATACAGCTGTATTACAGACGTACCTTCTCCACTCCACTTCCGAACAACTGTCTCAGTGTGCATGCGATGCGAGTCTTCTTGCCCGCGCCCGATGGTCCATAGAAAAGCATATGTGGAAAGTCGCCTGAAGCAGCCTACATACACGCGTGGAAGGTCAGTGACTATCTTGAAACACTTTCGGGCCATGGACTTGAGACTGACGAGGGACTTCAGTCTTGTCGAGAGACCTTCGTGATAGTGGAGATCATCGAGACTTTTGGGACGGTACTGAGAGAAAAAGTGCGTAAGATCACTGCCAGGCCTGGCCCAATATTGGATCAGAGCATACACAGTCAACCCAGAGAGACATGGCTGGAGTGTGGGTTGCGAAGAAAGTGGGTTTATGTGAATGGTGGGGTAAAAGGTGGTAAGGATGGTGAACGCGTAAGTCGTGAAGCGCTGAGGATTTCACAGCGCGACGCGTGACGTCACGCGTTGGTGACCGTTGTTGGTTCCCGTAGGATCCTTCTGTTGCCTGTCACTCTCTGTATGCAGGACGTCGTATTAGCCGAATTATCGAGATGGGAAGGGTACGTCCAATCCGATCCAGAGCGTGTTCTAGCGGCCATTCGCCTTCGGTATCCTACTAGCCTTGCAGATGGGTCTCAGGCCCCGAACGAATGGGGGGACACCTACAAAGTACGTGGCCGTGTTTGCCTTGGACGGTTTGCAAGCTGACCTAGTGCATTTGTCTTCTTCATATTGACATAGATTACTTTCTATGCCATAACTGCCATTGAACACTGTTATGGTGCGGGTCCCAGCTGGCAATATCTGGTTCGAGGTGGCCTTGTAGACCTTTTATGCCAGAAGGTAGTGGAGTTGAACCCGGATACTGCAGTATTTCCACAGTTTGCAGAGAACATGAGTGAGGATCAATTGAGAAAGGTAAGCAGAATATCCGCATACATCGAAGTGGTAGGTTCCTCACGATTGCACATCATAGACCCCGGCGCCGTGGTTCAGTCCACTTATGCCCCTCTGCGCTGGCGCCGGGAACATTCAGGATCCCATGACGCCAGAAGATACTCTACTGGTAGAAACTCTGAAGCGTCATTGGCCTACGATGATGAAACGAGTGAGTGTTCGAAACTCATTATATCTAGTCCCGCTTCACGCTGTACAGTCGAACTGACTGGTATCCATTACGTGTGTATCACAGATTTGGGAACTTCCTGGAAGCAGCCTGAGCTCTGAGAATATATCTGGTCCCAGCATACAGCGAATGCTTGTCGCTAATCTTCTGAAATATCTGACCACCCGCGACCCCTCTTTCTGGGAGTGAGTTCCGGCTTCTTGTTGCTTATGACTTCTCACTGACTTTTTCGGGGTTTTAAATAAAACAGAGTCATTGATAGCTGCCCTCATACCATTCCCGTCATCATCCGGAACTTTCTCCATCCCATTCAGCCTGCTCCAGACCGAAAGACACCGGAGTTCATGCTTTTTGGCCACGAAGCCTTGGCACGTCTTATCGCACCGGTTGACGCACCAACAATAATATATCGAGCTCAGCACCCCATTCCTCTTGCGACTCTTGAGCGCGTGCTCCGCGGCGCGAGTGGCTCTATGGAATCCTTGATCTCTAAAATCACCTGGCATCTTGTGTGGCTCCCCTACGAGCACTCGGTTCAGTGCTTTAATCTTTTACAGCACGTCAGGCCCTTCCTCGCTTCCAGAAACTTGCCAGCATATGTAGAAGAACACGAACGCTTGGTGCAATCCAAAGTTTACTGGAAAGGCCTCTTCTCCCGTCTTCAGCGAGTTACCAACGAACCGTTGCTTGTCCGGAACGGCGCAGCTGGCGGCGTCTTTTTTTCCATATTCATGGAGCTTGTAGATGTTGGCGATAAGATCGTACCCGACTTATACAAGCGTCATGTCGAGTCGATGGTGGAAGCCGATTTATTCGGCGTGTTAGATGACGTTATTCCCTTGCTTTCGGGTCGCTCAGAGATTAGAAATCAGAGTGAGTTTGGGGACCCGTAGTCCATACCATTTCAAAATCAGCCGGATGCTGACCAGGTGCACTAGGTCGATTGTACGCGTTTTTTGACGTCATGGGTCAAATTGCACAATAATCACCCTCTCTGGCCACTATCCTGCGCCCAAATTTGCCGCGCCCCAAAATACTACGATCTCTCCTATCGTTGGCTCATATCAAAGACGATCAAGGCGTATACCGCATCGCAGACATAGACCCAGTGACCGTGACAGAATGCTTTCGTTCCCTTTGTCAAGTTGGAGAAGGCATGCATGCTCGACACGGAGTGTGGACGGAGGGGATGCACAAAGGAGAGCGAGTCGAGATGTTCTGTGTGTCACACGGTGGTATATTGTGGCCCAGAGTGCCAGAAAAGGTAGCTTCCTCAAACAGCAATCCAATTCTCGAATGTCAAACTCACTGATATGCGATAATCGCGACAGGGATTGGCGGGAACATAAGATCGTTTGTGGATTCAGCTTGACGACCACAGGTCATGACGGCAGAACAGACTGGGAGGTGGTACTGCCGCAGAGCATGAGGAAGGTTCGGTAAGGCTATCGGTGCTAAGGCCTAAACACTGGTAAGTCCCGCGTGTTTATCATGCTGAATTCATATGAGACATTTATATGGACTGGAGTTCGCACTATACTCCATACAGGAGGTTTGTAGTGAGATACATTTTCTCCGAAGGCATCATTAATTGAGATATCTCTTTGTTACTCTCAAGAATGAATGTCATCAGCCAGGCCCTCTTTTTCAGAGCAGCACGGACCTTCCTAAAGGGAAAAGACAAAGGATTCCAAGGACCTAAAAATAGAACCACACAAGGGCACGTGCCAAAGGCGCGGTGGCGTTCCTCTATTGTTCTATTTTGAAATGGCATCGGGACGTGTCACCTTTGCTTTGACCTCTGGCAGTATAAAAGGGCTCTCATGTCTCGTCAATTCAGCACCTTGCCATTTCTCCCGCTCTTGACTGGCTTGAATCTTAGCTTTATCCTCTCTACTGCTTATCATGTCTGACCCGGATGTCTCCATGGAAGACAAGCATGAACCTATGATCCGGTTCTCCCCAAGCTGGCGTCCTCCAACTATACAGACCGAACCACCACGGCCCAATCTTCTCGCCCTCATTCACAAGTCTTTCGTCGAGGATGTAGACCCTGAGTGGCGTCAACTCGATGAGGTCGTTGGCACATTGTGGCCCACTCAGAGGAGTCGGCTCATGCGGCATGCTCCCAGCCAGCATAATGATCAGAGTTGGCTTAGATCTCTTGAGAATCTCCCTCGGGGTCACAAGGACCCTTTGTACAAGTTTAATAGCCTTCGGGACTTGCGTGTCGCGTTTCTGGAGAGTAACCGGTACCAATCTGAGGCTTCTGTCGCCATGCTTGGGACACGCAGTACGTCTATCACATTTTTTGCTCGCGATACTTTAATTCTGATATATTGATTTTGCTTCGCAGTCAAAGGAGAGGCATATGCTAAAGCTCTCGAACTTCTTCGCGAAGTGACACTCTGGGGTGTCCCAGAGCATCTGCTCCTCGAACGTGGCCTCAACCAGCACTTCCTCATTTACGCAAGTATGGACCTCGGCCTATCCCTCCCCACCGACTTCAACCGCGCTTTCCTCTGGAGTCATCTCGCCGCCATGGTCCAATTCAACTGTGCCGCCGGACTCAGCATCACCCAGGCTCCTGCCCTCAACGAGCTCAGGTGTTCCGGACCATCAGCAGATCCAGAGGGGATCGTTCCCTTTCTTGAGAGGCTACATAGAGCCGTGGAGGAGCACAGCAGCCTAGCATCTAACACCATCGACCTCGCGCCATTGCCCGACGAAGAAGAAGACATTGACGCCCCAGAGGTGCACGAAGTCACCATCGACAACACGTCCCGAATCACTCGCTACGGTCTTTCGGGTCGTCTCGTTCCCGTCCCCAGCATCCTCAGCGACGCAAACCGCAAGATCGGAAAGGTCGACGATACCTTCCGCGTGTATTGGGCCATCTTTGACTTCCTGATGTGTCATATCAGGTCCTTATGCACGTATAAGATCCTCCTCCAGTTCCGGACGAACAACCTCGCTGGGGTTCTGCAGATCAATGACACCATCCGTCGAGCGCGCACCCCTGCCGCCGCCACCTCTACTAGTCTCCCGATCCTCATACTGATCAGGAGGCTGTTGACACGCTGGGAGCTGAAATTGCAGGCTGTTTGGGTTCCGTATGAGGAATGTGTGAAGGCGGGGGAGGAGCGTTATATGGATGGTACGGAAAAGGTATGGGATATGTATGTTTATCTGAGGATGAGGGGCGACAAGAAGGCGAGGGGGATCAGTGCGAGGTGGGTGTTTGGGGAGGCTGGGAATGAGGGTCTTCTGGAGAGGCTGAGGCGGCATGAGGAGTTCTGTGAGCAGGATCGTTAAGGAGGGAGATAGTACTGGCCCTGCCAGTGCATAATCGACGATGATCAGTGATTTCTGTTGTACTGATTCAATAGTTCATAGTACTTTGCTTAGTCTGTATCGATAACAATTACTCTAATTTTCCCAACCTATCCTTATACGACCCGTCGTTCGTTTGCCCTCGTCTTAAACCACCCTCGCTCTGAATCCCTCAAACGGCAGCCCAAACAATCCAATGAGAAAAGATGAGTATACATAAGTTACGCAGCATATCAAGAGACAACCTAGATAACCTATTTCCTGTGGGGATGTTTTTCTGTCTGAGTTATCCGTACGTTTCCAAGTCAATCCAAAGAAGGAAGAAGGAGAATAGGTGGAGGGGAGGGAGGAGTTCGAGCGCGACTAGGCCAGCGAAGAACGAAAAGACTGTAAGTACAAAGGAGTGAACGAAAGGGCGGTAAGTAGTACAAGAGGCTTGAGAAACGCCCATAATCCAAAATCAACAGCTGCATATGCACGCTGCACTCCAAGACAAAAAGATCGAGATCCGACAAAGAAACAGCCCGGAACCAGGGACAGTGAGAGGGCTTCACTAGCTCCTGAACAGACATCCGACAAGGGACTATCCAAGTAGCCATCCAAATAGACAATAAAAGACATAAGAACGAAAATCACAATAACCCAGCCGCCACCAAATCTCTCTCCAACCTCGCCTCCTCCTGCAACCTCCCCAGCGCCCTCGCCTCCCCCGCATCCATCTCCCTCGCCGCTTGTGCACCCACCTCGCGCTCCCTCACAAGAATAGCCGCCATCCTCCTCTGGATCCGCTCCTGCTCGTCGTCCATCCTCGCCATGGTCTCGGACCGAGATTGACGATGCCGGGTGTTCAGGGGGATGCCAAAGACTTCTTCGAGGTTGCGACGGAGGAGAAGATCATGGGAGACGTCTTCGGGGGTGGGTTGGGCTTGTGATGTGGAGGACTGGGTCGAGGAAGCGTTGCGCGAGGCGAGGATGGAGCGTTCGTAGCGTTTAACGCGGACGAAGCCGATGATTGATATCAGGAGGAGGAACCAACCTGATGTGCAGTCGAAGATCCGCTTAGCTCGGTGCACATAAGAAAGGTCAGCATAGGAACGTACCTAAAGCCATCAAGACGAACGCGACCCATTTCCGGCCTGCCAATGCAGTACTGGTCTGGTCATCGTTATAATCATACGTCTCGTTTGTGAAGTGCAACCCAGGCAACCCTTCCCATCCCATCGTCGAAGTCGGCGTCGTTTCATCCATACCGCCCGTATTCCCGTCCTGCCAATCCCCCGCACGGTCTCCGTCCCCTCCACCGTCCTGTCCCCTTTGACTGTCATCACCCCCTCCGAGTCCGATGCCGAACCCTCCATCAACAGCACCGTTCGCCGACCATTTGCTCGCCTCGAAACCCCATTCGATCAACGTCAACGCTAATCCCATTTGTGAGCCGTATCTCCCCGCGTGCGTTGAAGACAACAGATAGGTGAGTAGGAAACCTGGAAGGTGGAAGAACCATGATACGGCGGTGGTCGCGAAGAAGAAGAGGACAGTGCCTGCGGGGAGTTCATCTATGAGGATGGTTGAAGAAAGGTCGCCTGAAGGTGCGTGAACGGTGTTTTCCCAATACGCCGGAGTAGCATCGAGTTGAGCAGCTGCATACGACTGTTTGACGAGTCGGGTGCATCATGATATGAGCATGATGAAATCCGTCGATCGACAGACCAGGAGCAACGTACCGGGGGAGCCAAAGCCTGTACTACCTCGGGCACCATATGAATATCACCGTTCTCCATCCTAACCGCAATAGGGCCTCCAGGCTTGGCCGACACATTCGCGAACACACCATCATTCTCTATCCCACCGCCTCTCAGTCCTCCTCTCACTTGTGCGCCAGCCACACCCCCTTCCTCATCGCTCGGCAGACGCTGATATTTTGATGGAATCAACTTGCCGAAAATCGACAATGGACGTAGTGCTCTGGAGATAGATGAGATAGCGGAAGACCGAGGAGTAGGTCTCACGACGGTCGTAGGGATGTATCCGTTCGAGTTTCCAATACCGTTCGAAGGAAGAGCAAGGGATGTGGGTGGAGGGGGAGAGCCGGGAGGAGGTCTAGCCCATTCGTAGTCTCGTTCAAAGTCGTAGGCTCCTATTCCGGTGTGAGAGGGCGCGGGGACGTCGCTATCGGATCCGCTGTGGTGTTGGGTAGTTAATGGAGTTGACTCATGGTCGTTGTCATGACCGTCGTCATCGTCGTCGAAGGCATCGTCCATCTCGCGTTCGGCGTCACCGGGAGCTGAGCGTGGGTTTGGGAGAGGGGCATACTGTGCTGGCGACATCAGCCTTCAGACGAGACCAAGAGGGCGAGTGTTCCGGCTAAGACAGCGAAGTGTATGTATAGGTATCGCAATGGGTATACAGAGAGCACTGCGTTTGTTCAAGCAGGAAAAGACAGAAGGGTTGGCGAACGACTGTGTAAGGGGGAGAAGACAGATGTGAGAACGCTGACGCCGTCAAATCAGAGATGATGGCTTGAAAGCGCCAGTGGCTTGAAACACTGGCTTACCAACAAAACGACGTCGACAAAGAATAAAATTGGCTAGAGAGGCGTTGAGAAACAGGAAAGCGTGGAGAGCGTCGTCGTCGACCTCGACGACGCGGCGACGGTTCGTGCTGAAAGAGTCCCAGCCAAGTCCTAGTCTAGTCCAGGCACAGGTTTCCCCGGACCCCACGCCACCGCGTTTCATGTGCGATTGTGGCCCATTCACGAGCGCCTTCGAATTCAGGTGAACAACAAGGGAATCTCGAGAGTCTGTAAAGGATTTATGGAAAATATGCACTACAGTCCGGTACAAGTACAAGGAGATGTTCGAGCATGCTGTCATTCAACCAGGTGTATTAGCATATTAAAGTGCATCCCCAAGGGGCATGTGCCAGAACTTGGTGCCTTCATAACCATCTTTAGCGTACAGCGTGCTACACAGAACGACGATACTCAGGTTCATATTGTCCGCGGCAGGATGTGGAATGCAGGTAGAAGTAGTCCTATGAGAATTTAGGACACCGGGGTCTTGAATTTATCGCAATACGATGAAGAGGTTCGTACGACATCAAATGAACATCCAAATGATCAGTAAAAAGTTCACTCGGATGTGTGGAATCACAAAAGCCTCACCTTAACCGTATTCACGGGATAGGTAACTCGAAAGACGCTGTTCTTTTGAGAGCCTGGCAGAGTGGCATGTCGCTCTGATGTTGCAGGTATTTGAACTTTCGTATCTTATCATGCACGTTGCTTACTACCTATATTTAGGATATTATCAATCTTCGGAAGCGTGGATGGCAGCCGTAGATCAAGCAGAGGTTCACGTATGAACAGACCCGGGATGAATGACTTTTAAACCCGGAGAGAGAACAACTTGCTGGTGCCGCCGCCACACAATCTTCCTGTCCGCGTTTTTACCGGTACTCCGTCTGCCTTTCCTCATTAAATTCATTCTACATTCCATTGTACTGGATAAAGAGGATAGCAATATATGAATCCAAAGTAATAATACGATGAGCTCCACCCGCCACCCAGTTTTCATTTCAAAGTGCGCGCCACAGACGCGTCCTTACCACGCTCCCACGCGTCCTTCGTGTCTCACCCCCGATTGTGTACCTGCTCTTGTCCTTCCCCCACTCATCGACCTTGATGTTTTTCGATCCCTGACCTGACCTATCCTCTAATATCTAGCCTGAATATGTGCAAACACACAAACCCCACTCTTGTCGACCTACCTGTAGAGATCGTCAGTCGCGATGAATCTTCAAACGCTAGTGTGCCAGAGGTCATAACCCATGAAGTACGATTTGGCATCCCTCTGCAGGACCAAAGACGTATCTGGATACTCGAGAATTTATTGAATGAGAGCGTTCATTCGGTAAGTACTGTACTCATATTCATTGACTTCTAAGAGGACGGGGAGTTGTCGCGCCACACGATAGTTCGTATTTGTGTGGCGCGGCATACCCTGCGGCGTCCGTGTTCTTTCTTCAGCCTTTTATTCCGTTGAAATGTAGTTGTGCTCATATAACTCTCAAACACAGGTCCTCGACATCGGATGCGGCGAAGGCGATCTCATGAGTTGTCTCTGCAACCCCGCGCCATACCTCCCCAACCCACCTGCGCCACCTGTCCCTCCTCCGTCCTCTTCACCGCGACCGTCAACTCTCACGCACGAAGCTGAACCTGAACCAGAGAAATTCATCCATATCCACAAGCTACAAGGTCTCGATATATCCCATGAATGCCTCGAATGGACGATCCGATCCACCGCGCCACCTCCGCCCAGCCTCCCTGCCTCCCCATCTCCTTCACCGTTCATTCACCTCTCTCCGGACAAGGACCTGGAAGCATCGCCAGAGCAGAATCATGTCGGTGCGCCCTCGGAGCATACTCACAGTTCACCTTCTCCCCACGAGGACAATGAACCAAAGCGAAGGAGAAAGCGGAGAAAGGAACGGGACTGGTCCTGGCGACCTCGCTGGGAAGAACTCGAAGTGAAGATCTGGGAAGGCGGCCTGCAGACCTCGAACGAAGAATTCGTCGGTGTGGAATGTATCGTCGCGACAGAAGTGTACGTGCTCTCCTCTCAACCCCCCTCCCTTCTTTCTTCATCATCCTCATCCATTATGATTACGCTGTGGGTGGGAAATTGTTATTGAACGCATTGTCTGGTTGGTTCGCTGGTGTTGTGTGTAGTATCGAACACCTCCCACCGTCCATCTTCCCCGCATTCGCACCCGTGCTCCTAGGAAAATATCATCCCCGCATCTTACTCATGACAACCCCCAACTACTCCTTCAACGAACTCTTTCGTCCTCCTCTTCCTCCTCTTCCTTCCCCTTCCCCTTCCCTGCCTTCCACCACCGGCGCCGGCGCCGGCGACACGTGGGGTTATGCCGACCCGACCGACCGCACCACACGCCGATTCCGCCACGACGACCATAAATTCGAGTGGACGCCGCGTGAGTGTCGGGAGTGGGCTGTTGCCGTGGGTGCGGAATGGGGGTATGAAGTCAGTGTGGGCGGGGTTGGGAGGGCGAATGAGAGGGATCCGTGGGGGAGGGATTTGCGTGCGTCTGCGGATGGGGAGGGAAAGGGGGAGGAGGATGGGGATAAGGTTTGGGGGACGCAGGTCGTGAGATTTAGGAGGATGGATGGGGAGGTGAGTGGCGATGAAGGCAGTGAAAAGGGTTGGGAGAGGAAGAGGGAGGAGAGGTATGAGCGATGGAAAATGTGCAACAAGGCAAGGACGGAAGTCGAACCGGATATGAAAGAACATGAACTACTCGCGACACATCATTACGCCAAACATTCCCGCGCGGGCAAGCCTTCCTCCTTAGCAGAAGTGGCAGGTATAGTTCGAGAATATATGAGGGAAGCGGGTATGAAGGAGATGTCAATGCATTCTCTGTGGATGGAAGAGGAAGTTGCAGAGGCGTGCGGCGGTTGGATTGAGGTATTGATATATGCCGTTCATGAAAGCAGGGAGGTCTTCGAGGTTCGGAAGGGTGGAGACGATGACAAAAGGGTGAATCGTAGAGAAGACGTGGACAGAGGAAGGGTCGTGAGGAGGGAGGATTGGGTCGTTATTTTGCTTGAGGATCTGCCAATTATGGACGAGGTAGATAGGCAGAAAGAGGATGAGTCAGAAGCAGAGACATCGGACGAGGACGAGGATGAAGATGAGAGACAGTACGGCAGAGAGTATTCTAGTAGTGATGTGGTCTGGGGAGGAGAGGACTCGGAAGAGACAACCGTGGTCGGTGACGCCACTGTGGACAGTGTATGGGGGTGGGGTACGAGTGAAGGTGGATGGGGCGGCGAAGGTGGCGGGTGGGGTGACACGAAGGAATGGGGAAATGCGGAAGCATGGAGTTCGGTCGAACCACTGCAGGAGAATCGTAGCTAGGGATTAGTAATAGTATTGAGTGTTGAATGCTTGACGATCGAGCGGTCAGCCGAGAGAGACCTGCAATTCTTGCGACGATGTTGTTCGGATATCCTTCTCGGGTGAACTGGTGACCGGCATCTGAGAAAATCATGTCATCTTTACCGTCCTTGTTGCGGCGACGATGTCAGAGTCATCGAGAGAGAAAGTTGTCCGTTAATTAGAAAGCAATATATGCATGCGTAGTACAAAAAGACCTGCATCCATGAGATGCACCATCAGACAGACGTTACTTCAGAAGCAGAACTTACGATGGGGCGTACCAAATATGAGTCCCGACCCGTCCATCTCCACCTAGCCGTGGAAGTACAGAGAGCCTCGAAACCGCCCACCATCCACCATATCTGCAAGCATGAGAGAAAAAGATGAGACGTCGGAGAGCGCGAGCTCATTCCGCGTTTGCGAGGTTCTTGCGCGGTACTGGGAGAATGCGACCGTATCATTAACCATTGCTTCCACGACAAATGAAGGACGAGAAACATACCCATCAAAGGATGAAGTTGCGCCAGGTATGCGATAGCCCACATGAGATACAAGCAAGCCAGCGTGAGCATCACACTCGTGCGGACCAGTCTAACAGGGTAGCGAAAGCAAGTCAGTATTCCTCAAACAAACAAGACCCAACCGACTAACACTTGTTGTGGTCCCTTGGGTGTAAAGAACCATGTCACGGCCATGAGACCGAGCGCAATAACGAGAACGAGGAGAACTGGAAATGAGGAGGCCATCGTCGTCGTTGTGCGGCTCGATGGCGCACTCAGGCTCGGTTCAAGGTGAGTAGATTACTAAGCGATATTAGCGCCCGTCTTCACGCGACGTGTGGCGCTCAGTGGCGCTTACTCTGAGTCCGAGTTTAGTGGCTTCTTTAGCATCCTCTTGAAAGCATCCTCTTGTCTTGCTTCTCGATGTACTTAGCTCAGTTTTGCATCACACCTCTACCATCTGTCCCATAAGTAAATACGAGGCATTTCTTTGGACAAAATCCTACTTGGTTGCTCATTCCTGCTCTGTAACAGGCTGTGAGCCTGTGACTCGTCTCGACCCGTGTCATTTGCCACAATGCCTAGAAAGTTCCATTCACTTAACTAGCCTGTGATAAGGTGTACACCCTAACACAGCGATCGATTTGCGACCTCGTTAATTCTAGAAAAATGACTATGGCTTAGTGAACATGGCCAATGCAGGCGAGAGGAGACCCAGTATATCTGCACGGGCGGGTCCTTCATCGGTCGCTTTGCAAGCTTGCGCAAGCTACGGGTTTATTTTTCGAAGATGAGTCGGTCCTTCTGGGCTCCTGAGTAATTTTCCGCCAGAACAAAGCTGGGTGGCGTGGGATGTCTAATTCGAGGTACTTTGTTCTCTATTGTCTCCCTTTATGCGAAGAGCCGTAGAATGCTGTGCGCGCTTATCGATAGTCATATATATACTAAGGGCACCTTGACACGCCCAATCAATCTTCTCCCACCAAGCCCGCTCCCATCAAGCCCGCACCCAAGCTAGACATGAATACCCTGTTATCCCTTCTTCCTTCTCTGGCTTCATTCACGAACCCTCCTTCTACAGATAATGCTCGCCAAGACATCGCCACTCAACAGCAAGACTCGGCGCCCGAACCTGTCGTGGATGTTGTTGACGAAAGGGTCAATGCTCTCCTCGGCAACCTTAACATGGGCAACTTCGACATAATTTCTAACGAAATCGTCAACTGGGCAAACAAATCCGAGAACGAGCGGGATGGCTGCACGCTCATCCAGGTCCTTCGGATCGTCTACGAGAAGGCGCTCGATGCCTCTTCGCCCGCGATATACGCCAAACTCTGTCGCAAGATGATGGAAAATATCAGCGACAAGGTTCAAGACGACGGACTCAGGGGTCGAGACGGCAAGTCGATTGCTGGTGGGCAGTTATTCCGCAGGTACCTCCTTAATCGTGTCCAGGAAGATTTCGAGCGTTGCTGGGTGTTGAAGAGGGTCGGTGCTGCCGCTTCCCGTTTCCAACAATCGGAGAATACCGGCACCGTGCAGGACGGCGCCATGGGAGGTGTGGAGGACCCGTGTTCGCTAAACTATTACGCTCCGGAGACGGTGGAGAAGAGAGGTCTTGGTTTGGTCAGACTCATGGGCGAACTCTTCAAACTGCAGATGATCACGGAGCGTATCATGCACGAGTGTATACGACAGTTGATCAAGGACGGTGAAGAGCTGGGGATCGAGAGTTTTTGTGGGTTGATGCATAACGCTGGCCAGATCTTGGACTCTAAGCCGATGCGCCTATGGATGGATGTATACTTCAATAACATGAAGCAATTGGCATTGGATCCGAAGACAGAACCGCGGGTAGTCAGTATGGTGAAGGTGCGTTGTAGATTTTCGCCATCTGAGCCGTCAATATGCTGAGCTTTCGTTCTAGGATGTCATCAAACTTCGCAAGCGTGGATGGAAATCTGCGCCGCCGCTACTGGTCCGGTACTATGATCCTTTGTTAGATTAGCATGGTTGTGAGTGACTCGTTCAGCTTTCTTAACGCATTTCTTTCCATCACCTTGTTCTTATTATGTCGCCACCTCGAATTCCCCCCATCACATTTCCTGATAGTCGATCTGACTTTCTATATTTTTCAGCTAGTGCCCATCACGCAGCCGATAGAGCAGACTCCATACCATCTCGCGAACTCCCAGAGTCTCAGTTCATGCTCTTACTCTTGTCATCATCTATATACGATTCTATGTGGTCTTAGGTTACAGTTCCACTGTGAAATAGAAGGCAAACCACGTACAGCCGTTTGTAAAGGAGCTTGCCATCGCGCGACAAGATCCAAAGCACCTGCCCAAGGTTTGTATTCGCTGATTCCTCTAGTGAGATGAAGTCCTGTTTTTCTTCAACAACTCTACGCTTCGCACCCTCCTCGCGACCTTGCGCAAAAGGCTAAGAATGAACGATCGGAGAAGCGAATAAAATTGAAGATAAAAGAGAAGCCTCAGACAGTACATGGCAGCAAAGCTTCCGGGACCGACGCTGGCTCTTCGAGTGACTAGTGCTGAAAGACACTGGTGAAGGTAGGCCACGGAGAGTAAGACATGTCCAAGTCACAGAGTGATTCCCGAGAATGCGAGTACCAGCCAGTTGAACACTGGCTACTCTGCTTGCAGGAAACTAATTCACCGCGGCCCTGCATTTGTGGCGAGAACGAAAAACGCCGCCGAGATGTCCCTCAGGCAAGCAAGCTCAGAGTAACACTTGTTATGGTTTTTTCAAAACCATGTTACAGTGTGTCACAGCTATGAGACCGAGTGCGATGATGAGAAGGAGAAGAACAGGAAGTGACGAGGCTATCATCGTCGTTGTGTGGCCAGTAGTACGCTCGGTTCGAGAGGGTGGGTAGATGACTAAGCAATATAAGCGCCCTTCCTGACGCGTGTGGCGCTTGCGCCGTCAATCAACGTCAACCACCGCGTCCTCCTCCCAACGTTCAACGTCGACAGGCATGATGAACTCTGCAACCACAACGATGGCGAGCACATCCTCGAAGATCAACGGAAACGGCGTACACTCAACGTCTTCGACTGCCATGACGATCAACAACAAGGTGTGTCTGAATCTCCGCGACCATCCCTGCGCCTCTCATTCATGGCATGCCTCTTCATCACTTCTAGCGCAAACTACAGGATGCCATCCAAAGTCTCGACGATGCTGTAAATCCACGCGCAGATACTGATCGTTTGAACCCCCCCAAACGACAGCACATGATGCATTCTTTCTACTCCACCCTCGCCAAATACGGCGTCAACAAGGCCAAGCAGCCACAGCCGTCAGTCTCACTTCGTCCTTACATCTCAAGAACACCTATATATCACGTTCGCCCGAATTATCTAGATCTTTCTCCAATGGAGACTACCCCGTCGTCGACCCCGCCATGGCACCCCAACTGGCCAAATTACTCGCCCGTTCCCGAACCGCACAATCCAACCCCTCTAAACTCCCATACTTATTCTCTTCAACAACCTCAAATTCATCTACCCCTACTATCCTGCCTGCATCCAACCCAAATGCGAAATACAGACCGTCGTCAATTACCTCATTCCTCGCCCGTCTGGGAACGTTCAAGCTGTCAACGTATTCGAATAAGCCACAAGTCATCGATGCGGTGGCGGCAAGTAAATGTGGGTGGATAAATGAAGGGAAGGATAGGTTAGTTTGTGGAGTCTGTGGAGTCGGCTGGGTTGTGGCAGGTAGGGAAGGAATGAACAGGGATGCTGGTATGTCCTTTCGCCCTTGTTGGTAGTGTGGCGTTCGGGTCTGCCAGCGAGGCTAACCTCCTTGATAATGCCGTTGTTGTATAACAGCGAATACCCTGGTAGAGAAGCAGAGGATACAGCTGGTAGAAATGCACAAAGAAGGATGTCCGTGGAGGACGAGACAGTGTGATCGTACGTTTTCACTATGCCCATTGTGGCCCAATTCATCACCATGGTCTAATACGCATACACTTGTATTCTAGCCGATATCTATCGTATCCCAGTGTCTTCGCCGGCCGCCATGGCAAGAGACATCAAACTCAAAGCCATCGCCCTCGACGCCGTTCTGCACGGTGTCGAAGTCAAACATCCTCTTGTCCGTCTTTCCTCCTTCCACTTCCCCAAGGTCAACCCGTACCAATTCGATACTGAACATATATCTGCTTTCTGGTAGACAACAAATCAAGTTAAAGCCTTCAAGAAGACGCTTTCTTCTGTACAACTTTCACAGTTACCCCCAGCTTTCGCGTCCGGTCCTGACGCTCACACGCATGATGACTCTACTGCTTCACAACCACAATCAACACAGTCATCACACCCACCGAACGACCCCTCCCTCTCAGCCCTTGTCACCGCCCTCTTCGGCTGGTCCCTCGCTCCTCCCCCACCTCCCACACCCCCAAGCCATTCCCGGACAACCTCCTTCTCCCGTGCCCCATCCCTCCCTGCCTCTCGCTCCCGTGCCTCCTCCGTCTCCCGCTCCATCCCCTCCACACCCACACCCGTGCGCAAACCCTATGTCTCCCTCTTCAGAACTCCCAAAAACGGGAACGGGACCAAGAACGCGGACGGCTCTTCGTCCCCCGAACCTGATGCCAATGGGTCACAGCCCTCTTCGCCAGGATTCGTCCCTCCACCGAGCCCTACGCCCTCAGTTCCATCCCTTTCGAGAGTCAACTCAAGACTATCGCTGTCGACTCCCAGGAGGGCCGAGAGTCCTGCGCGCTCGGTTTTCGGTTCCAATTCGAGGGATAGGGATAGTTCGTCCTCGTCCTCGTCACCCTTGTTGCAATGTACGTTATGTCATCGACGGATCGGGCTCTGGGCTATCGGGTCCTCCGGGAGGATAGAAGGAAACAGTCGCGCGTCCACGCCTAGTCCGTCGTTCGCGTCAGTGTCGACATCAGCACCACCGGGCATCACGATGCCCTCCACGCCCGGACCTTCCTCAGGCTCAATGGGGCCCCCGATGTCGACAGCGGCGGGGACGATGGGACCGAGACAACTTGATCTATTGAAGGAGCATAGGCCGTATTGTCCTTATGTTGTGAAATCGACCGTCGTTCCTTCGTTGCCGCTGCCCGTTCCTCCCCAGACCACTACTACTGCTACGCAAAATGGGGACAAAGACAAAGTGGGAGAGGGAGAGGGACGTTCGAACTCTACGGGTGCGGCGGGGACGGCGGCAGGGGCGGTGGAGGGGTGGAAGGCGGTGTTGATGATTGTGTTGAGGTATAGGATGGAGGCGAGGAGGAGGGAGGGGCTGATTAGGGCTGTGGACAGGAAGATGGGTGTTCATGGTGTTGACGGTGTCAACGGCAACGGCAATGTTGCCGGGGCTAACGGGGCCCAGGACACGTCAGTGAATGGGGAGGAGAGGACGGGTGGACCACTGGATGTTGATGTTGACGAGATGGAAGAGAGTATGGAGGATGATCCGGTAGAGGCTATGATGAGAGGTGTGAAGTCGAAAGGGGTGAGTCTTTCGAATTCGGTCTGCCCTCTGCCTTAATTCTTTCCGAGTCGCCTCTTCGATAGTCGATCAATGGTACTAAATTCTCCGTGATTTATCGGTTTACAGGGCAAGGACTTGCTCAAATACGTGAAGGGCCTGCTGGGATGAGAGACAAGCATCGTTTCGACCCATTTTTCCTCCCCTCATTTCTTGTGCTTTGGTATCTATCGGCAGGCAGCGTCAAATCCTCATCATCATTCGCTCTCACTGAAAGTTCCACCATTGTTCCCCCATCCCCATCTACTGCCATCAATTCGATACCTCACTATCATCCATTTCTTGCTCCGCTCATCTTTGCTGTATAATATACTCAGAAGTCACCCTTGACCTTTCCGGGATAGAACTCCAACGAAGGTGCCTACATCGATTCGATCACTTTCGGCTCCCTATGTACGACGCAGAGAACGCCGGCGACGAACGCTTTGAACGTACCAGTCTCGACATGCCTGTATACATACTAGTACTCTAGAACCGGCCAAGAGCAAACCGTCCGTCAACGCATCTGAGCCATATTGCATCCATCATACTCATCGAAACCGTGACGAGAAGAAAGACCTAAGTTACATATACTATGTTAGTAAGTTAGCTCACGACACCAAAGAAAAAAATCTCTCGCAGCAGCAGCCAGGAAGATCTCGTCCGATCCGGTCTGGGTCTAACTGTAAGTACTCTATGTAATTTACTTACTCTACGACGCCGGACTCGTTCCTCGTTGAAGGCTTGTTGTCAATGTCAACTGTGAGCTTCAAGTTGTCAATCCATGACCATCCAACGACGATTTGAGTCGGATCTCTGTCGGGTTTGGGATACTTAAATTAGATCTGGGGGGTTTGAAGTACTGTAAGTACATGGTGCGCACTGCGCTAAACGAACATGGGGTCAGGGTGCGGATATCGAAGTGGGTTTCCCCAGGAGTCAGGACGTCTCGCATCTTTCTTCGTTCGATGATGAGTTACTTGTTAAGTTACTTATGGGTGGCGAAGCTTTGTGCTTTGTGGCTCACAGGAGTTCTCCGATCTCGGCCCGGTGTTGTGCCGGCCGTCAAGCCTTCCCGTGTCACGCCGGTCAAATCGAACTTACTCTGTGTCCTCTTGACTTTGATACCCACCCGAACCCACATACTCATAGATCGACGACTCTATAACCATTCCAAGACGGCAACAACAAAAATGGTGATATATTGATAAGCGCGTCCGCTCTCTTCGTTCCTTGCTTCTTCCTTCAAGTTGGACTAAGTTCTAAGTATGCCAGTACTCATCGACATCGACATCATCTCAAACGACCCCCTTTCGCTCACTCGTCTCACGTCTCTCGACCTCTCGTGTCTCTCTGGTGTACAGTCGCCCTGTCGTTTTTAGACCTGTCTGTAGGAAGGTAGGTAGGTAGGAAGGTAGGAAGGTAGGTCGAATCGAAAGCAACAACAGCTCGACTAGCCTACTTATTATGCTTCCTTCGACACTTACATGCTGGCAGCTGATAATGATAATGATACTCGTGCTAGATCGCCCTCTGCTTGGATACAGTATAAGTATCTTTCCACGCTTTGATCGCTCTCTAGACTCGGAGTTGGAGTGGACTGGTTTCAAACTATCAAACTATCAATGCATGCTCTGAGGACTAGAACTTGAACTCGCATCCACCCTTCTGATTCTCGATGGAAGTGCTAACCCACTCAGCCAAGTCTTTGAGGCATAACATAGCATGCGTACTAGCTGCAACGCATGCTGGCTGTGATCTGTCATCGTCTGATTGGAGGGAGCATTGGCAGTGGTGTGGGTATGAAACGGTGCGTCTACTTTTCTTCCTTCTTCTGTGCTCCGAATATAAGTTACAGCCACAGACGAGTATCAAGTGAGTGTCCACGTAGCAAAGATGGGACTCTCCACCCAAACACAAGCACAAGCGCCATGCATGTATCGTTTCATGTATGTCTCGAGTCTTACCAACTGGTACGACGAGACTTCAGGCCTTCAGGATGATACTTACCATGTAGGATTCACTGTCGGAAGGTCTGAGTCGAAACCAATTCATCTTCAAACTTGCAGCCCACTGGCAGTCGCGTGAACCGGTATCTTTTCCTCAACATCCCACGCAGTGCTGAGCGCTGAGCGCTGAGTGGCATCCCCCGCTCTCCCCCCGCCGCACCTCTCCTATCACCCATCACCGTTCCTGCCCAGATCCATCACCTTTATCTGTCGTCTGTTGTTTGTTCTCAACCGGCAAACTTAAGGCCACCTTTTCCCCCAGAAGGCCTCATGTTTTGTTTTGTTTTCTTCCTGCCCAGTACTTTTTTTCGTATTTTCGGCGTTTGATTCCCGGTAGTCGTACGCGTGTATGAGTGGTAAGTAAGCTTGGCCGGGCGTGTTGCTCGGTGTTGAAACAGTGTTTGAGTATATTTAATGGCTGGACACTGAGACCTGAGGACTAATTAATTAAAGGAGACGGGGGAGCCGAGATACGTGGAGGACGTGGTAGAACTGAGCCAGCCTAAGATCGAAAGGACGTCCTGCAAGCGTCCGAGAAGGTGAGGGTGCGAGGATAAAGATAGGATGATGAAACTGCGGGTTGGACTGCGTCGGGGATGTTCTAGCTGGATATGTTGTGCCGAGCTGAGCGTCAGTGAAATGTGAAAAAGAGAAAAAGATGACGGTGAACGGCGTTGGGTGGCCGAGAAAGTCGTTATCAGTGAGTCGTCGAGCGTCTGTTAGCTCTGATCGTCACCTCCACCAGCAACGGCCTCGCCTCGCCAACGCATACACACTCCTTAGCCTTGAACCCTCGCCAACGCATACACACTCCTTAGCCTTGAACCCAAAGTCAATCACTACCCAACTCTCTCTAGCCCTTCCTTCCCCTTTCCCCGTCCCCTTGAAAGAAAAAGTTCAAATACCTTCCTATGTCCTCCAACATCACCCCACCGCGCCGTCCAATCCCTCCGCCCCGCAGACACAGCGGCAACGGCAACGGCATCCTCACCCCCTCCGAGGCCGCCAACCTGCGCGCTCGACCCTTCCGCTCCTCGCCCCTCGCCGGCCCCGCACTCTCGCTCGCCTCACCCTCACCTCCCGAGCCCCCGAGCAAAGATAATGGAAAGGGGAAGGGGAAGGGAAAGAGCAGTAGCGTCCCGCTGCCTGGTGCTGGTCAGTCGTTACAGGTCCCGAACCCGATATTGAATGTGGCGTCGACGCCGAATCTGAGAGCGGCCGCGGGCAGGACGCAGAGTTTCACGACTACGACTATGAGCAGTGGCCTTAATGGTAGTGGACTAGCAAGAGACGATGGAGGCGGGAGTGGTAGTTCGACGGTAGGCAGGAAACGACCGGTAACGTTCATTATTGGCGGAGGAGGCTCGTTGGCTCGGCTCGCGCAGGACGAGATGGATGGCCAGGGGGGTCACGCTGGACATTCGAACTCGGCAACGGAGGACTCATCATCCTCTTCGTTCTCACACTCTCATTCACAGCATTCTTCCTCTTCCCATTCCCATTCCCATGCCTCACACTCGTATTATTCGCATTCCGGCTCGTCGGGCTCGCATCATACGACTTATACGTCTGTTAGCTCTATTGACGAGAACGAGGTCGACGATGGCACTGGCACTAGCGCTGCTTTTCCATCCACTCTCACTGTCTCTCCCATCGAGGATGATGGGAAGAGCAGTAATAATACCAAGAAATTCGCTTTCCGCCTCTCGAAACGTCTCTCCCTCCCCCGCCCCTCCTCTTCCACATCCACATCCACGATCCCACAAATCGTAGAACCGCCCATCCAACTCCCGCCTCTGTCTCCCAGTACTGGCCGGCCTGTCTCTACCCTTCTGTCGACGAAATCCACGCCTTTGCACTCACCGCGTCTGCGAGTCTCTTCCGCCGTTTCTGCCCCTGCCTCATCGTCTCTTTCCCCCCCGTCCACATCATCACTTCGCCCAACGAATCCCAACGCCAATCCCAACACAGCCCATCGCTCCTCCTACATCCCCCCCACAAACACAAACTCAAACTCAAACACAAACACAACCACAACCGCAACCTCCCCAGAAGACAACTGGCTCTCCGCGACCTCCTCACCCCGCTTCTCCCGCCTCGGACTCGGACTCGGATCGGGGGTGGTCATGCCTGTGTCTGCGAAGGAGTATGCGAGGAGTGTGAAGAGTGGGAAGAGTGGGAAGAGTACTAGTGTTAGGAGCGGGCAGAGTGGGCAGAGTGGGAAGGAGAATGGGAGTGGGAAGGAGAAGGAGAATGGGAGTGTGAGCGGGGGTGGAAGTTCGAGGCCTGAGTCGCTGAGATCTGCGAGGTCGGGAAGGTCGTTTGGAGGTGCGAGTGCGGGGACGAGTGTGGGTGGGCGGACGAGGAAGGATAGCGTGCCTCCGCTTCCTGTTCATGTCAATGCTGCCGCGTCGAAGGAAGGGAGGAAGGAAGGGAGGAAGGAAGGGAGGAGAGAGGCGGAACGGGCGAGTGCGTTGAGGGCGCTTTCGGGTGGTTCTTCTTCCTCTCCATCTGCTTCCCCTTTTCCATCCTCTTCATCGCCATCTTCACCTTCCTCCTCCAATACCAACGCCAACCTCGCATCATCAACACTCCAAGTCCCCATCCCCTCCCACTCCCACTCCCTATCAGCTTCAGCGTCAAGACCAAGCTCGATAATGAGCACCGACTCGGCCTATTCGTTCTCTGCGCTTGGTCCGCATGGAGATGGGGGGAGCTTGAGCAGTATGAGCAGGACGCCGAGTCGGGTTTCGGAGGTTGGATCTGTGTCGGTGTCGGGAGCAGGTGGAATGGGGCCGGTAGGAGCAGGAGGGGCGGGGACAAGGGCAGGAACGGGGGAAGGAGGTGGGGGGACAGGGACGGCAGCAGGAGGAGGAGCAGGCGTAGACTGGCGCAAACTAGCCGAAGAAGAATTACGTGCGCTCAGTCATGCAGGCTCTAGCGCACACTCTCACTCTCACCCTCACTCTCACTCTCAATCGCACTCGCACGACCCATTGGATGTGGACGCGGACGAGTATGGATACACGATGTCGACGATCTCTGCGTCTGCGTCGAGGAGTACGTTCGTCAGTGGGAATGGGAGCGCGAGTACGGTTACGACGGCTGAGACGGGGATGGGGATGGGGGGTGGAGTTTCGGAGGTCGAGGTGGAGTTGCGGGATGGTGGGGGTGGGGGTGGGGGTGGGGGTGGGGAGCGGGATGTGGGTAAGGAGCGGGAACGCGAAGGGGAGAGGGAAGCAGAAGATACGGAGACGAATAGCGGGGAGGGCACGGTGGGCGTACATGGTAATAGCACTAGCAATGCACCTGGCGTTGGGGTCGGGAGGAGACTTACGTTTGGTGTGAGACAGCAGGAGGGATGGAGGGGGAATGGGAATGGGGGGTTTATGGTTCGGAGGGTTGGAGCCGGGGCTGGTGTGGGTGTTGCAGGTGGAGGCGAGAGAGGTGGAGATGGAGGCGGGAGAGAGGAGGGAGGGAAAGAGAAGGAGAGGCAGGGCGTCGAGGTGCTTTCGGTTTCGGTTTCTGTGAAGGGTCCGGGTGTGGGGGTGGGGGTGAAGAGAGAAGGAACGGTGAAGAAGATGTGGAAGAAGGTTGTTAGTTCGTTTGGGGGTGGAGGTCCAGGAATCCCAGGAGGGAGGAAGAAAGGTAGTGGGAATGGGGTGGAGGTGGTGCCCGTGCCTGTGCGGGTATAGGTGTGATTGAGCTTGAGTGAGCACGGTATATGCGCTCATTCTGGTGTAGAGAGGCTAGGGTGAGTGTACCGTGCTGCCAGGTTACGTTCGTTTATTTATTAGTCCTCTCAGTGTCGGTATTAGTAGAATCCACGGTTAGAAGTCTCATTCCATTCCATTCCGTCGATCTTGTTGTTTGTGTTTCGTTGTTCGTGTCTCGTCTCTGTCTCCGTTCTCTTCTCTGTTTAGTTTTGTTGGTCAGAACACTTCTCATCTCAACGCACAACTCCTCATCCCGCCATACCATTACTTTACCCATGTACACTTTAACACTTTTACCCTCCTCCTTCCCGGTTCTGTTCATACCTTTCCTTTCCGTTCTTGAACCTTACCCTCGATTCGGTTGCACCTCTTTATACCTTTCCGTTTCCCCTTCCGTATTCGTACTCGTACTCTTTCTTGCCGTAGACATTGACATCGACACTGATATCCCAGCTGAGGTTCGGAGTCCGAGTCGTTTGAATTGTAGTACCCATTGACAATACCATACCCTATTAGGTTGAAGTCTAAGTTTAGGTTTAGGTTTAGGTTCTCAGTGTCTCGTGTCTCGTGAGTTTGAGATGTAACGACGGCTGCTAGTGTTTCGAACGATGACTTGTACTGTCCAGAGTATCTGTCTGATTGACCACAACCCACACATTCCGTTACTGTTACTGAGTATTTCTTTCACGGCTGATCATGAATATACCGAAACAAGGAACGGGCCGCTTTCGGATTCGTTCGCGACATGAGCCAGCCGTCCTTCATTCATTCATTCGTTTGTTCTTCTGGGCACTATCCTTTCTGCCATAGTACATGCTGTACTTATTGTACATGTGTCCTCCACTGTGACGTATGTACGATAGCGCGTCAATCACGTCGAATCGAGCCATAAAGCAAAATGATATGCAACATAACATTTTCATATGACGGACTGTAACACGATGAGTGCCACAGAGAGAAGAGAGGAGGTTCATCGTAGAGTCGACGTTGAGCATGGTAGAGCGCTTCTTCCCCGGTCTGGGGATTCAGATATATCACGTCCCATGGCAGCCCCTCCGAACAATTGAGTGACCCTCCGACTCGGTTCCGATGGAGCGTGGTATGGAGGTGAGGGTGGAGGTGTTTGCTGCCTTTGTGGCGGTATAAGCTCAAACGGAGGGGGAGGGGCATCGTAGTCTAAGTCTGCATTTCCCAGTGAAGTGTGGCCCACCAAATCAGTGTTGGTCTCGCACTCAATGACAAATGACAAAGGAAAGAACATACCATCAACTTGAATCTGCTCCGAGTCATTAACCAAACCCTGACCAAGATGTCCTTCGACCTCAGGTGCAGCATGAGTGCCTGCAGTTACAGTTGGCGCGGGCCCATACTTCTCGAGATGATATTTCGCATTTTCACGGCTCCTTTTGCGTAATCTGTTGTCCAGTTTATAGCAACGAGAGCAGACACAGAGTATGGTCGTCCGACGAGCCATCGTAGAAGAGCACTGAGAGATGAGAGGCCGTCAACGTTGATATTGATGTCGGTATCGTTGGATGGTCAAGGGTGGGGGCGGGGTGGAAGGACGTCGTTAACGTTCAAGATGCGATCGCGAGCATGCACACCTCTCAAAGGCCAAAGCGTGCACGCACAGGAGTGTGTCAAACAATAAGAAAACACACGAGTACATTCACAAAACAAAAAATCGATGTGTTGGCAGAAAGTACAGAAGGTGGCCGAACGCGCAGAGTGGCGAATTCTGCGCGCGCTACGACCCGCTACATCTTCTTGGTGTGACCCGCAGTGCTCCATGGTGTCTGGCACAAAATATGGTTATCAGTGGGCCCCAGTGCCGGCGATCAAAAACCCAAAGTAGTCGAGACAAAGAGATCGGCTCAAGTTATGACCCATGACTCGAAGCGAAGCCAGTCCGACAAAATCTTTACTTGATTGTCCGCCATAAGAGAATATCGGTTAGACAGCCCAGGTTTGATGGGTACGACAAGTTATGTCTACAGTGTCTATGATACATAGAGGGACTGTCAACATTCACGAGAATAAACTGGTCGACAGGATAATAATGACGCCCCGGGCGTGGTAAGTTACCAGCTGAAGAACAAAGCGACGCAGCACACGATCGTCAAAATCGTCTAAAACAAAATTCAAATTATGTTGGCCCGCCACACACGTGCTACTAAAACCTTCCGAACCAGCACCGAAAAGGGAAACAAACCGCTTTGATCGCCAGATAAGGTAAGGACCTACAAGGCACGCGCGGGCGTTGGCACCGATAGCAGGTTTCACAAAGCAATGGAAATTGATTACCATTAGCCGAGAGTTAGGGTTCGGACACAACAATGGGGGGCTCGGGGGCATATGCATAAAAGGCTGGCTGGCCAAGACGCGGACGGGGGTGACCTCTCCCTCTAGTTCACCTGCGACCGTCACTTCCTCTCCACATCATCTATCTTGAGCTTCCCTCTACGAGACAGAATGCCTTCTTCCTACGCCGACTCCGAGAGTGTCTATTCCCAACAATCCAGTCAACGCTCCGGTCGGCGTAAAGCAGACTATCCTTACGCGTTCGACACACCACAGGCCAGGGTGGACTCCAGTGACTACCTCGCCGACGCCCGCACCTACCTTTCTCCAACATACACACCCAGGTCCCACGAATCCCGTCACGAACCGTACACTGCTAAAAACCCTATCCAAGACCGTCATTCTCGCACTAAAGGTCAACATGTTCCGTCGCCCCTCAATCCCGCACGTCGTGACACGAGGGACGACGCAACAATATCGTCGACGTCTAGTTCGAGGAGGACGAAGCCCCGACCTAGGTCTAACAGTTTCGGTGAGTCCACTACGGGCTCTCTCAGGAGCTTCGGTGGGCTGAGTCTTCCTGACATGATCAAATATGAATCCCCTGCTCCATCCTTCCGCGGAGAAGGTCGTTCCCAGAGGTCGTCTGGAGTATCTGCAGTCCTTCCGCCTGAAGACCGCCTCCCGACAAAGAGCCATAGCCCCCTACGGGACGCCAAGAGTCAAGCTACTGGTCGCGCATCTCCTAGCTCGATTCCGTGGAGCAAGAGGGCTCCGCCGAGTAACGAAGACCTATCCGCTCAGCTCCGCGAGATGCTCTCGGATTCGGACCTGACACTAGCTGGATCGAGGAGTGCATCGCCCGCTAGGCCCTCTGCCTCTCGCGCTCACTCGACTACCACAACAGGGACCTCGACGACTCACCACACTTCCCGAACAGATGCTAGAAAAGTCTCTCCTACCATCGTCTACGTTCATCCCCCTGCCCCCTTAGGCCTCCCCACTCCTGTCCACGTCCCCGCATCTCTTCCCGGTCCCTCCCATCAACGTCAATCGTCTAAATCACCGCAGCCACACCCGCCGAGTACGCCGCCGAAGGATACTACGCGCAGGAAAGCTTCCGGAGATATCTACGGGACAGTCAGCTCGGTGAGGAGTACCCGCACGACAAGGACCACCGCGCCAAGCCCCCTGCAACACGACATGACCCAGGTTGAGAACCCAACGTCCTCGACCCTCTGGTTATCCCGCACCGTCTCGGAGTCGGACAAGGTCGTGAAGGCGAGACGCGAGGCCGAGCGGGAGGCAGCACGACTGAAGGCAAAGCCACTTCGAGCGGTCGAGACTCCTCTGATTCACTGGCGTCCGTGTATGCAAGAGTCGTCCTTCTTGACGAGGATACGCGGGAATCAGCCGTGCTGCAAAGGTCACGAGTCGCTATACGACGATATCATCTTCCAGTCGTTGTGGGTGGGCCATGTCTCGAATCGCGATAGGGCTCTCGATTACGGCTTTTGGGTGAGTGATTTGGGGTCGGTTTCGAGCCAGATTAAGTTGCCCGGATACAAGCCTCTTCGGGAGATGGGTTTCGAGGGAAGCGAGAGGCCGTTGAAGTTGCATATGTTAGTGAGTAGCCTATTTTATTTCCGTATTCGTAGTCGCATGATGCAAGCTCACCTTTGTTTTGTGTGGCTCAGTGGCCGGGATACGATAGGTGGTTGACGCGCGAGCTCGACACGCATTATGGACAAGTGTCGATGGTGCAGTTGGCCGAGTTCGCGGCCAAGACCGTCCACGACTGGTGGGAGAAAGTCGACGTGAGTGTAGTTCTCTGATTGTTGCCAAACGGAATGGCAGTACTCACGCTCGATCACTACAGAGACGCAAGAGATGTTGGACGGGCGATAGGAAGTTTGCGGAGTGGCAGATCGTCGAGTTTCCTGGTCAGAGTGGTGTTACGTTGAGTGAGGTGCTCGTGACCGGCCTGGAGCATCGAGGCGATAATCATTGGCAGCTGAAGCTGATGAAGGTGGTTCACCAGTAGACTCGGTGGCGTAGTACGAGCTGTTGATGATATCTCTGCGCTAGAGCTTGAGAACATCGGCATTCATGATTATGAAACCTATGCAACATGTGAGACTGTATATATATGGCATCTATGGCATTTCTTTACCGTTCTTTGTTTCTTCCTTTGGGCCCAATATTCATCGATGGTCGACTTCTATCAATGTGAGAGAATCAGCGCGACGCAGAGTTGTTCAAGATACTGTAGTGGTATTAAATTTCTTGCTGATTTCGATGGCTTTAAAGGTATAGCGGTGAAGGTCTAATCCAACTTAAGAAACTCTATCATGCATCTGGGTTGGTGAAACAAGACCTCAGGCTATGACTCGGAGTACATCAGAACTCTTGGAAATCCCTGAGAGGCCCTGAGAAGCCCTGAGCGGCCCTGACGATCCGTTCCGTGAAAGTCCGTGAGGTCTCGAGAGCTCGTCAGGGCCTGTCAGGGCTGTCAGGGCGTCTCAGTGCGGTCAGTGCGATTCTGGTCGCTGTGTGGCACCCGAAAAGTAGCAAAAATTCATATATATATTCGTATGTCTATATGTACTCTGATAATAGACAGTAACCGGCAGCTTTCTCGTTCAATCCAAATTTCATTAATCCTACATAACCCTTATCCTACATGTACTCGGAAACTTGGTTCCTTGACAGTGATCAATTGTGCGAGGGAGACGAAAGTGGATGCACTGCGTAGGGAGTAATGTAGATGGAAAGTTGACGTTAGCTACGGAAAGAGCAAAGAGTTGTTTCGTACGCACGGTGTAATCAAGAGCATCCAGTCCTCTCTGATCATGTCCCAGTGCATGCAATAGGCTCTTAGCCGATAGAACTGCCAGAGGCATAAGAGAATGACGTGAAAACCAAGCACATGGAGAAGGAGGGTAGATGAGAAGGGACCGTAAAGAGCGTTCCGGTGAGGTGTTTGAGATGGGAGCAGAGATAGAGATGGTGATTTGACTCACAAGAAGTGCATCGTAGTTCACCGAACACGCCCCAAGCCCGAGCACGTTGACGAGATGCGCACCTAGGTCATAAATGGCTGACGCTGACTCTGATCATTCTTCTCACTCACAGTCTTGCATGCGCAATTCTCTCTCACCCACCTAAGCGATTTTGAGCAACGTCATTCGGCGGATCATGTCTTCCAGCTTTCAGCCATGGCCATCAACAAGAGAGTCGTGTCGGCTTGGTTGAAAACTGTGGTACAAAGAGCCCAGAGCGTACTGAATAGCTTCATGAAACGAGTTCGGTACGCACCTAGAAGAACGGGCCTGACGACGAACGATACAGAGATCGGGAAGAACGTCTCTACAAAGAACGAGCGAGAGGCAGCGAGCGGTCGCACGGCCGTTGACGTTGAACGCAGGGCAAACAAACGTCAACAAAGCCGACTCCAGCCTTTTGCTTCCTCTTCTTGCTCCCTCTCTCGTTGAAGTCCTCATCGAGCTCTCTGACTCTTGCCAACCCGTCCCAAGTGCAGATTTATATCCACCTGCCTCGCAACTTCGCCACAAACACAAAGAATCGACGTCCAAGCCAGTCCGTCGCTCCTCTCGGCTCGACATCATGTCAATGCGCCACCACACTGACTTGGCTCATACAATCGTTCATGGACTACGACTGGTCTACGTCAACAAGCGCTGACATAACATCGGAAGACTGCGAGGGCTGGGATGAAAGATTGTATAGAATGCTGGGAGGGTGAAGGTGAGACTTTCTCTTCGATCATCATCTTGTCGGAGGCGGATCTCGTATATCGTTTTGTATGCAATACTTGATATAGGTGTGTCCGTGTGGCTGGCATGCCCTTTTTTTCTGACTGTCTCGACTGTATGAGAGCAAAGATGAACACCGCTCGTTGTTGACCGCCTACTTTAATATTGCACGAGCGCTGACATTCGTGGCATCTCCTTCCACTCCTTGCCTCCAGCCGCATTGATGTACTGTACGGTATAGTAGTCTCAGAAAGGTCCTGCCCTTTGTAGTCAGGATTGCTATGTACATATGAATATATATGTGAATTTTTGCTACTTTTCGGGTGCCACACAGCGACCAGAATCGCACTGACCGCACTGAGACGCCCTGACAGCCCTGACAGGCCCTGACGAGCTCTCGAGACCTCACGGACTTTCGCGGAACGGATCGTCAGGGCCGCTCAGGGCTTCTCAGGGCCTCTCAGGGATTTCCAAGAGTTCTGATGTAGCCGCGAGCCACAGCACTGTTGTAGAGTAAGAATGAGCAGTCAAGTAAGATGTCGTCCAAAGAACGGCCCCATGGTCCCCATCAGGTCTCCATAGTCCTCAGGGTGCAAATGGTAGAGTTATGAAGCGAAACCAAGCGAAGGTGCATCGAAAAGACAAGACAAGACGCCTGAGGATGCTTTGGGAGTGCTAAAGAAACCGAACTCAGCCGAACTCCCGTTCTCTGCTTACGAAAAAAGGATGATGTCATTTGTTCTATGTGGGAGAGTGGCGCAAGGTTGGAAGTTGTGGTTGTGGCCCATTAGAGACGTTGCGGAATGGAGAAATTCACCATTCGGTTTGGCCCGTGACCGCCCCACTTTGGCGGGCGCTCCAATGGCGAATTTCACCATTCCGAAACGTCTCTATTCGATATTGTCCTCGCCAGTGACATCCCTGAGCGTATTCCAAGCCACTCTTGCTTAGGGACATAGTAATTGAGGATAAAAATCTCTTAGCATCACTGGTGCTGGGCTCAGAATCCTCCTCGTGAAGGAAATCCCTCAAAATTTGCATACTTACTCAAACCTCCATGACCCGCGGCCGCGATCTTAGACCAAACAGCCTGCGGCGACGGATGCGTCCTCGAATTTGAGGACAAACTCTGCACATGCTCTTTGAACTTGACTCGCGATTGATCAATAAAGGCTCCTATACAAACGGATGAACGCAGTTCGCCTTCTATTTCGCAGTGGAACTGTATTCTAAGACCACACATAATCGTACATAGATGATGACAAGAGCAAGGGGATGAGCAGAGAGAATGGGCATTCGCGAGATATTATGGAGTCTGCCAGTGTGCCACAATCTGTGTGATGGGCACTAGCTGAAATATATAGAAAGTCAGACCGACTATCAGGGAAGGTGGCGGGCGAGTCCGAGGTGGCGAGATAATAAGAACAAGGTGGTGGAAAAGCATACGTTAAAAAAGCTGAAGGAGCTACTCACAAGCATGCTAATCTAACAAAGGATCAGGTTTCCATCCACGCTTGCGAAGTTCGATGACATCCTAGAACGAAAGGTCAGCATATTTAAAGGAGGGTCAGACGGCGAGAATTTGCAACGTACCTTCAACATACGGACTACCCGCGGTTCGATCCTTGGATCCAGCGTCAATTGCTTCATGTTATCGAAGTATACATCCATACATGGGCGCATCGGCTTAGAGTCCAAGATCTGGCCAACGGTCCTCATCAGCCCACAAATGCTCTCGAGCCCCGGCTCTCCACCGTCCTTGATCAGCTGCCGTAGGCACTCGTGCATGATACGCTCCGTGATCATCTGCAATTTGAAGAGTTCGCCCATGAGTCTGACCAGACCAAGAACTCTCTTCTCCACCGTCTCCGGAGAGTTATAGTTTGCCGAAAACGGGTCCTCCACACCTCCCATGGCGTCGTTCTCCGCGGTGCCGGTGTCCTCCGATTGTTGGAAACGGGAAGCGGCAGCACCGGCCCCCTTCAACACCCAGCAACACTCGAAATCTGCCTGGACGCGATTAAGGAGGTACCTGCGGAATAACTTCCCACCAGCAATCGGCTTGCCGTCTCGACCCCTGAGTCCGTCGATTTGAACCTTGTCGCTGATATTTTCCATCATCTTGCGACAGAGTCTGGCGTATATCGTGGGCGAAGAGGCATCAAGCGCCCTCCCGTAGACGATCCGAAGGACCTGGATGAGCGTGAAGCCGTCCCGCTCGCTCTCGGATTTGTTTGCCCAGTCGATGATCTGGTCATAGATGGTGCCGAAGTTGTTCATATTCAAGTTATCGAGGAGAGCATTGACCCTTTCGTTAACAACGTCCGTGACAAGTTCCGGCGCCGAGTCTTGCCGTTCAGTGGCGATGTCTCGGCGAGGACTATCTGCAGAAGGGGGGTTCGTGAATGAAGCCAGAGAGGGAAGAAGGAATGACAGAGTATTCATGGCTAACTGAGGAGCAGGGTTGGTGAGAGAAAATTGCATGCGCGTGTCAAGGTGCCCTCACATATATGACTATCGATAAGCGCGCACAGCATTCTACGGCTCTTCGCGGAAAGGGGAAACAATAGAGAACAAAACCTCGAATGGGACATCCCACGCCACCCAGCTTTGTTCAAGCGGAAAATTACTCAGGAGCCGAGAAGGACCGACTCATCTTCGAAAAATAAACCCGTAGCTTGCGCAAGCTTGCAAAGCGACCGATGAAAGACCCGCCCGTGCAGAAATACTGGGCCTGCTCTCGCCTGCATTGGCCATGCTCACTAAGCCGTAGGTCATTTTTCTACAATGAACGAGGTCGTAAATCGATCGCTGTGTTAGGGTTTACACCACGGTACAGGCTATGGTACAATCAAACACCGAACAATGGAATGTAATTTCCAGGGCACTGTGACAAATAAGACAGCTCGAGACAGAATATCTGGTCAACGTGCCAGAACAGGCCAGAGCTTGACAACCATTGGCCCTCGATTGTGTCCGGTCATTGGGCTTGGAAAGCCACACAAGCATGAGTAGCCGAGAAGTTAGACTGGCCAGTTATGACGCTTCGTAAAAAGAAAAGTGGGCACAGAAGGCACAAAAAACTGGCCGAATTGATAGCCAAATTATGCTTGGATTTTGTATGCCGGTCAAGCCATCGCCCCTTCTATGCCAACATGCCAACCGTTGCGCGATTGTGGACAAAGCGCTGTGCCGAGGTGCCGTCGCGAACAGTGAAACAGTGACACAAAGCGAAAAATTCATGCGTATAAAACCCCTTCGCGGACAGAGCGTCTTTCTCCAACTCGCCTGCAATCGCCCGCCTGGAGAATATTCGTCCTCTACGACTCTTTCGCATCTTTGCACACATTCCCACTCGACATCTTCCTTCGAACCCATCTGATCAGACGCCATGTCTTATCCCTACGGTCAACGCAACCAACATCGTTCTCAGCGTCATGAAAACCAGCTCTACCCATTCAACACACCTCGGACCAGAACGGACTCTCGAGGCTATCCATCGGACGCTGCCCAAGTCAGGGTGAAACGAACCTTTCCTGGGCCGTATGAGCCTTCTCCTCTCAACCTGGACGGTTTCAACCCGTGGAGAGACCGTACACCTCGTTATGAAGACAGCCACACTGTACCATCGCAGCCCACGAACGGGTATCGAACGAGTGGTGCTGGTACGGTGGAGACCATTTCCACTACGAGGAGGATGAAAACTCGTCCGCGGTCTAACAGTCTTGGTGGTTCGGTTGGATCTGTCATGAGCAGCAGCGGCATCAGCCTCCCCAGTGGGATGTTCGCCATGGATCCTGGGGACTTTTCTTCAGCTCGAACCGGGCGTTCATCTGGCCCCTCTGAAGTGCTTCCAGACTATCATCGTTACACGAAAGATCCTCCAAGTCGTGCGGAAGCCGTTCAGTATGCAGCCCAGCAGACCCAGCCCAGCAAACCGAAGGAGACGCGACGAGAGAGGAGCGCGTCTAACGCCACACCGTCTGTGGCTCGCTCGCGCACGGTGTCCACGGCGACGTACGGGAGCTACCACACGTCCCACTCGCAGTTCGACCATGTACCTCGGGTCCAGCAAGCACACCCTTCCCCTGTTTCAACTGGAGAGCCCACGGTCGTATATGTCAGTTCCACCCACAAGCACCATCGTTCCCAGAGTTCGCGGACCATGTCCAGCGAATCGCATCGGAACCCGTCAAGCGATAGTCAGCAGACGTTGGTAGCATCGAGGGGTAACCAGTCGACCACGTCGCTTGTCTCTAGCCCTCTGTCACGGGATGTTACGAAGACCAACGCAGACCCCTCCGCCTTCTTGCATCGCCGTGTGGCTAAGAAGTCTCAACTCGACAAGCCGCCGCCTCGTCCTGAGCCAGTAGCGCCGCAGCCTCCATCAAAAGTGAAGGTGGCCGCTCCTCCTCGTCTCGAGTGGCATACATGCGGGGAGCACTCGGGTTTGTGGGATAGGCTGAGAGGAAGCCATCATCGGTGCACGAGGCTGCCTGTTCAGACATACCCACCGATCGTTTTCAAGTCAAGGGACATGGAAAACGTCGAATATCGGGACGAGAAGGGTGATACGAAGCCTCTAACCCACGGATTCTTCGTTCACAACTTCAGAAAATCTCAGCTGAAGCACGCGACTCGCCTTCCTTTCCAAGATCGGGGTTTCGACGGTGGAGAAAAGTTACTGAAACTGCATTTCTTGGTGAGTGTTATACTGTCGGTGATAAATAACCCGAACGTGGAAGCTCACCTATCTGCTCCGATTATAGTGGCCTGGATACAAGCCGTTGACATCTCAGCTGCACCCTATGCAGGGACAGATGGCCTTATCGTCTCTCGCAAACTTCGTCCAGGATATGGTGAAGCGGTGGTTCTCCAAGATTGAGGTGACTTTCATCAGAAGTCTCTTGATCGTCTATGATATTGACTCCTCATAATCTCCACAGAAAGATGAACGAGTGTGGACGAATGATCCAGAGTGGGCGCAGTGGCGCATCGCCAACCTTCCGGATCTCAAGGGAATTACGTGGCGCGACCTCATAGTGACCGCGCTGGAGCACCGGGGAGACAACGACTGGCAGGTTATGTGGGTGGTCAAGATTCCAGAGTGGGAGAAGAAGTAGTGAGAGCTTGGTGGTTCAGGGAATGGTGCCGAATGGTGACATTGGCGGAAGAAACGACTTGGCTGTGGCCCTACTATATGCGAATTATGAATACCTACTATGCCCTATGCGAGACTGTATATATAACAGACGTCTATGCCAATTCCTTACCTTGTATTCTCCTTTGCGAAATCGTCCTGAATAAGTCAATCAGTGCAGGAAACCAGAAAATGTCCAGACTGCGTATTCAAGTTGTCAGCATAGAGGAAGGTGGCAAATCCTGTCCGACGACCACCGCTGAGAAGTGAGTTTGTGGACCGTGTGAACAAAGGACGTTTGCTTGTTGAACTGTAGTGGTCTCGAAAGAGATGGGGCGTGAGGTGAGTGAAGGTTTCTCGCAAGATGCAACCAACCGATCTGATCACTGATCTCAGCGCTTCAGGGCTGGCAGTGGGTGGCGTCAGTAAGTTATGATCCATTTAAACTTGTTTGACCTGGATAATATCAGTCGCAATCTATAGTCTAATTTTCTCAATATTCTACGGCAGCATCTCATTGATTTATCCCCTGGTCAAACACGTACTACAGTTACAGGTTGGGCCACATCGCAGAGAGTCAAGAGCCGAGTCTACGGGTTTGGTGATGCGGGCATGGTGGCAACCCTCTTGAAGCAAACCACCACCATCGAGTCTGCTCAACAAACAATGTTTATCGACATCACGAGTGCTCCGCCAAGCATCCTGTCAGGTTGTTCATGCGGAAAGCCGACCGCAAAAAACAACTGGTACCTCCGGGCCTTTACAATTCCGCTTGAATACCTTCAACATCGTGAGCTGACCCACAGGTATTGCCGTAGAGACTTTTTTATGCCCAGAACTCATCCTCGTTTCCTCCTTTCACGGTCCGGGGTATCACAAGCCTACTGGTCTTTCTTCCTGCGTCTGGAATAAAGAATACGACACCCTCAGCTGGACGATGCACCTGTCCAAGATGCCATATCCCCCTTGTCAGATGATGCCTTACATCATCGCGTTTTTTCTTGCTCGAACATACAAAACGCCCAACCCCTCGAGGTTGAGATTCTTTGGAGCCAGTATCTGACGGTCTGAACATAATGGCCCACTTGCAGAATTTACTGCTTATTGCTCTTCTTCCTAATCTGCTCCACGTCGCTCGTGCAGCTCATATTGAAGCAGCTAGCTTGTCGAGCGTGCTAACCAGCATAATTCCTGTCAGCTCAGCTTCCGTGTCTGTGGTTCCTAGTACAACAGCCACTTCTCCAACCTCAACAGCCTTCTCCAGTCCAGTGACCTCGTCCAATGTCATCTTCTCGACGCCTACAACCACCACAATCGCCTCCACAACGCCCACTGCCGGTGGCACCTTCCCTCCAGTCGGCTCTATAACCAAGGACTTCTCTCCCTCCGGCCTGTCGTCACTTTGGGACGTGGTAGGACCCGTTACTGCGCCTCCTTTCACTACCACCGTCGAACCGTCTCTCCCGATTGTGCTGCCCTCTGCGCCTCCTGCGCTGTACCCTGATTTCTTCTCGCCTGGACCAGCTGGAATATTGCCCGATTTGAAGTTTCCGGAAGGGTTCAAGTTTGGAGTGGCGACGGCGGCGTTTCAGGTTGAAGGTGCAGTGAAGGATGGAGGTAAGGGGCCGTCGATGTGGGATTGGACGAGTCATCAGCCTGGAGCGATTTTGGATGGGTCGAATGGTATGTCCATCCCATTTTGCGCGAAGATAGCGTTATGGCAATTGAATTTGTGTGGCTCTAGCGGATGTCGTGGACTTGCAGTACTATATGTACAAGGAAGACGTCGCTCGCACGGCGGCACTGGGGGTCAACGCCCATTCCTTCTCGTACGTCTGCCGCGTTATTTCCGTTAACGTTCTAGAGGCTCTATGCCAAGCTGATGTGACTATTATTATTCCTTCCTCAGCATATCGTGGGCCCGAATTTTCCCCTTCGCTACAGCTGATTCACCGGTCAACCAGGAAGCATTGGACCATTACTCGGATCGTACGTCTGTACCTTTCTAGATCCCTCTAGAGCGCGGCTGAGCACATCCCCAGTCATTGATTACCACAATTCGATGGGAGTTGAGCCTGTTGTCACTCTCTGTAAGTCGACGAGTGCACGCTTGGTTTTTCAATCTGCTCGCTGACGTGCTTGATTACATGAAGTTCACTGGGACACGCCTCTTGCCGCACAAGCTTACTACGGAGGGTTCACCTCTGCAAACATCGTCGACGACTATGTAAAGTACGTTACAATGTTGCTACTCGTATCGCTTATTGTGTTCAATCCAATCTTATAGCTATGCGAAGACCGTCTTTCAAGCCTATAACGGCCGAGTTAAAACTTGGTATACGTTCAACGAGCCCAGAGTCTTTTGTAGTGCCATCGCTGGCTGGCCATTCAGTGAGTCTCATCAGTAGTTCTTCAGATCTTCATTCTTGTACTCATGCACTCGTGTTAGATGATACATTTGCTCCCGGTGTGAACTCCTCAACGGCTCCGTTCCAATGCGCGTATAATCTTTGTAAGTTTATATGTTGTTTGCTCTCATAGTGTAATGTCTGATCTAGAATCACGTCTAGTGAAGTCACATGTGGGGGCTGTCAAAGGTACGTAGTTTCCATATTCTGACTTGATGTGAAGATCGCTGACAACTTCATCAATAGCCTTCAAGGAGATGAACATCTCTGGAGAAATCGCCTTCAAGAACGACGACTTTGTGTATGATTGTTTCCTGCATCAAGGATATTGTTTCTTTGCTATGGCTGACACTTTGACCTTTCTATGCAGCGGTATGCCGTGGCGCTGGAACAACTCCGATGATGTTGAAGCCGTTGAACGTCACGCAGCGTTCCAAATCGGTATCTTTTCGGACCCGGTGTACGCCACGGGTGACTGGCCCCAAATCTTGCTGGACACGCTCCCGGAGGCGTGGTTGCCACGGTTCACGGATGAAGAGAAGAAAGAGTTACTCGGTTCGTCTCCCCTCTTTCTTCTAGACTACAGCCGTCTCCTTTTAAGTCACCATGATGAACATGTTCTTTCTCTTCATAGGCGCAGCCGACTTCTTCGCCATTGATCCTTACCGCACGCAGTACATCGTGGCGCCTGAAGACGGGCTCGTTGCGTGTGTCAACAACATGTCCCACCCGCTCTGGCCCCAATGCAACACACCGGTGATGTACGATTCCAACGCCGGCTGGGCGGTCGGACCGAGTCCGGATCCTTTGAGCAACAGTTGGTTGCAGGCGACGCCACAGTTTGTAAGGTCGAGCTTCAAGCAGTTGAGGGAGAGGTGGAATTTCACGAAGATGGTGAGTGTTCGGTTTAGGTGCAGAGTCACGAGGCGGAGCTGATGCGTGTTTGTGATGACCTTGAAGTATGTTTCTGAATTTGGGTTCGTGGAGCCGTTTGAGGAGTTTAGGGAGGAGTTGTTCAGGATCACTGAGGACGTTACGAGGACTAGTCCGTCGCACTTTCCCTCCCTTAACATATCTTGCCTACTAAACTGACAAGAAATATCCTACATCGCAGATTACCTGCTCACGTACCTAGGAGAGATTTTACTCTCTATCCACGAGGACGGCATGCCTATTGCCGGAGCGTTCACTTGGGGTAAGTCATACAGAACCCTCATGATCTACTCACTCACGCCAACTGATATGGCCTACGTCTTCCTCCAGCGATGGTGGACAACTTTGAATGGAACTCCGGCCTGAGCGCAAAGTAAGCACATTCAGATCCTGCACCAGTTGTGAACGGAGTCTTACCTCAATGTCCGTTGTTCAGGTTCGGAATTCAATATGTGAACTATAGTACCCAGGAAAGGACCTACAAGAGGTCTGCTATGGATATTTGTACGTCCTTACACTCCCAACGTATGGCTCATACGCGACTCATCTCTACTCCATTTCCGATACACAGCGGCGTTCATGAAAGCACACCTGCAGAATTCGACCTCGGCGAGCTGAGTCGGACATCTTTTTGGGCAATTGAATCTCGCATTGTATTGACAGTTGAGAAGAGGCGCCGGTGCCGGCGAATCCTAGCGTGTTGAATTCGCATTATGTCGGACCACTTTTCTCTGTCATCGGAAGTGACGAGCTGAGTGCGAACGAAGCTTTAAGTTGCAGGTACTGACTTATTGGGACATGCCAATTTACTTCCGGCAATATAAAGCCTGAGTGTATTTACTAAGGCTCCAACTGAATAGCGACCGCCTGTCATCGTATAAGGTTCAACACTCAGCGTAGTGGGCCCACCCAGACCGAGAACAATGGGGTGGTCTTTATTTTTCAGCATGTTGCGTTCGCCTGAAGAGGATATCATGCAGGCTGTCAGGGCGCACGCCGCACCACCGCGTTTGGTTGTCCGTCTCTTCCTCTCTGTCTTACTCGGTAAGTAAACCTCGTCGCAGAGGAGCTGCGCCATTCTCTTCTTTGACCGCTCGATTTCGAGCAGTAGAAGGGTCGACAAGATTACGACTACAGAGACCGAAGCGAGCATTCGAGATACGTCGCGTTAGCTCCCTTCGACGTTATTCCCCCAGGTTCCCGGTACGTTCGAATTTCGTTTTGCACGCATGTTTACGGTGCAAGTTGCTGTATCCCCAGTGCTGATATCGAATGTCTTCTATGCTAGCCGCGACCATTGAGGTGGAAAAGAGTTCACCGGCGGGAACAGATCGAGTGCAGATCGTCGACCCTATGTCTGCCTCAGGGAGCCCAAGCTCGCATTCACAATTGTCATTCGAAGGCTGCTCGTTGTCATTGCCCACGGCCTTCACATCTCCATCGTTTCCTTCATCCCCTTCTTCACGACCTTCAACACCACCCCTCTCCGCACCTGCCTCTTTCGTCTTCACCTCGTCCCGTTACGCCACACCCGACACGAAGGACCGACTTCAACAGAATCTGAGCCGTACACTCCGTACCCGACATGCAGGTGGCGCTATAAATGTTAAATACTCCGCTCTTCCCTTTATTGTGGGTTCCGGTGGATTCATTGCCCTTCGCTCGCCATCTGAGTCTGTGTTACCATCATCGGAGGGATCTCCGCAGCCCGGAGAGACCGACTATTTCTCTCATTCCACAACTGGTTCTCCCTCGTCCTCTCCGGACTTCATGTCGTTCTTTTCATCGTCCACATCCGCTGAGCCACGCTCACCATACAAGCCCTCGCCACCTCCGCCTGGTTGGACCTCCGTTTCTGCGCCCCCTCGGTCACATCACTCACCACCTCACCCACCACCTCACCCACCCGTCCCTTCTTCAATGGGCGCAATCACTCCCACTCCTGCATCATTTCGCATCCCTCTCGTCCCAGATCACAGTGTCCTCTTCCCACGTGACCTCGATCGATGTCTCATCGAACTTGTTCAGATGTCCAAACGCCGAAAAGTCATCATCGAAGCCTATCCGACAGGCTCGTCACCATCATCCGACATGGGAACAGGAGATGCAAAGGACCAGAGAATACACAGGCCACTGCAGGTATTAACGGAGACAAATCTTGTAGAATCCCCGCGAGGAGTTGCCCAGGACGACGCAGCCCATCAAAGGCCATCGATGCTAGGGCTTACCTTATAGTGTCAATATCCGTTATTGGACAAAGTCAGGCCTCCACCATTTCGGTTTCGTTTACATTGCGGTATAGTCCATGATATTTTTTTCATCCTCGAGTCGCTAGATACCCCTCACACCATCGCCCGTGTCATTCTTGTTCTCTTCTGTTAGTTCTTAGTATCTTAGTATCTTAGTCCTTATCCCGCTTCTGTCTGACACTTGCGCATTCTCCCCTTCACCCTCGCACGCTCAGGTCCTTACGGTTCCCGCTCAGTATTCTTTTCAATTGCACACCAACTTGCATACCTGCCACCTGTAATAGTTACACCATTACAGTTTCCACCATTCCACCACCCTGTATCCTAGATTTCCCATCGATGCTTTCCACATATCCTTATCCAATTTTGTGCTCGGTTTCAACATGTATCAGATGTTGTAGCAACTGACACTCATGCCAGTCACGAAGCTACAGACTCGCGATATCCTAGACTACTCCACTTTGCCATGTTTTAAGGGTACATTTTCTCCTCGTTGTTCCTTCTGGGTCTATAATTATTCAGTAGTATAGCTTATTCGGTAGTGTACGATAGTCTTTTTTTGTCAAGGTGCCGGCGTGGAAGTCGATCCCGATTCGATGTCATTGCCATTGTTGTCGATTTCCATCATCTCGGTTTTCCCCAAATTTTCTCTCGATTTCATGCTAGCGAACAACCGATTTGTTGGTCTGGCACTCAAAAACGACGAAGTTCATATGTACTTTCGAGGTCTAAAGTATCCCCATTTTGTGAATATGTATTAGGTGTTGTGGCAACTGTAACTTGAAGGAACTCAGGTGGCGCTGGGCCTGGCCATTGCCATCAATTTCGGAACCTCTAGCGTTGAGGCCTTTATTCCATGTCATATCGAGCAAGTAGATGTTCATGAACCCATGTCATGGATGCGGTGTTTGTTTTTATTGATTCTAGGTGCCTATTGAAGGGGATAAGTATACGTCGACTCGTAAATGCTGACAAGTGCGCGCACGACCCTGCACGACCGCGTGTTACCCCTCTCCACTCTTCTTCTCGACCTCCACTCCTGTTCTCATTTCCAGTGAGCCCGCCGCCGCCTTTTTCTCTGTCCGTTTGTTCTCGAAGGACAGGGGGCAGAGTTGACAAGAGACTAGTCGCACAGACGAGGCTACGCGTATATACGTCGCGCTGTCTTCAAGTGCCGTCGATCTATTTAAACAAATTACCCCAGGTTCTCGGTACGTACTGATTTCCTTCTTTTTTCGACATCTGCACTACGGCCTGGGTCGATAAACTTATCCTGTGATGCTAATATACAATGATCTCTTTAGCAGTCGTCACTCATCGAGATGGAGGATATCTCAAAGAGCGCACCGGTGGGAACGGATGAAGCGCAGACTGTCAGCCCAGAGTCTGCCTCACGAAGTTCAAGCTCACATCCACACTCGTCGCTCAAGGGCAGCTCCTCGACATCGTCTTCCGCGATAACCTCATCTCTATCAACGCCTTCATCTCCACCGCCACCCGCACCACCCCTTTCTGCACCGGAATCCTTTGTCTTCACTTCATCGCGTTACGCCACACCCGACACGAAGAGCCGACTTCAACAAACCCTGACTCGCTCCCTCCGTACCCGACATGCAGACGGCGCAATAGACGTGAAATACTCGACTCTTCCCTTCATCATGGGTTCCGGTGGATTTGTCGCCCTTCGCTCACCGTCTGCGCCTGTACCGCCATCTGAAAGACCTCCACAGCCTGGGACGACTGATTACCTCTCTCAGTCCATGATCCCCTTGTCATCACCCCCACTGACCTCTAAATCCACCTCCGCATTATCGCCACCCACCACCGCGGCGTTTTCATCATATCATCCCCATCCGCCTTCATCTGATTGGGCCTCCGCGACCGCGACGGCTTCCCCCCATCTTCAGCGTCCTTCCGCTCGCTCACACACTCGTTCAACCTCTATGTCGATGCCTTCTCCCCCAGCCAGGTCAGGCATGTCCACCCCCACATCCTCATCACATCGTATCGCTATTTCTCCGGACCATAACACCCTCTTCTCTCGCGACGTGGATCAGTGCCTCGTCAATCTTATTCAGAGGACAGCTCGCCGACGTATGATTGTTGAGGGCACTTCGGTGATCATGTCACCTTCGAACCCAGACCCTGGCGAAGCAAAGGATCAAAGAGAACTCAAACCATTACACGCAGTGGATGAAACACCATAGCCGAATGATAGTCTCCCGTACGTTCAAGTCGTATCGCGGGCAGTGAGAGGTACACTGATATTCTCGTATCTCCACATCTCAATGTCGCCGTAGTTCTCTCTAACTCGCCCTCTCAAGTCTCCGTTTCCGTTTCTCAACACTATGATATAGATCAAGCTCTTTCATGCCCTTCACCTTGATGATTATCTACACGTTCCATATCTTCGAGTCTCAGTATACCACCCACGAGGTTCTTGTCCGCGTCATCGTTTGTTCTCTCATGCTGGTTCTTCTTGGTCTTTGGTCGTCCATTACTCAGGGCTTTACGGTTCTCATTCAGCTTCTTGCTTTTCACTAAACACACTATAAGTTACATATGCGCCACCTGTACATACACCACTGCATGTTTTCCAGCCTCCAGCATCCAGCGTCTAGCATCCATCCAGTATCCTCGACCTCTCGTTGATACTTTTCGTTTATTCTTATCTATCACATACACGCATTGTCTCCACACATTACATAGATACTGTAACAATAGAACAATCATGATTACGATGTAGACCCACGATACTTAGTCTATGTAGGTACATATTGCACATCTCCATCCTTTCATGAAAACCACTTCTTCTTTTCCTCATGGGTTACTACATAGGCTATTTCTACCCTTGGTCAGTATTGTACGATAATCTTATTTTTCCCGGGACGTCGGTGCTCAACTTATGCTTTTTGCTATGTTCCATTGCGGCTGTTCTTTTCTTGTTCTTTTCTGTACATATCCGGCCTGCATTGTGGCACAGGCCCGCCCCGTTCAACATTTACTGCCACGGTAAGCATGTCAATTGTCCACGCATCTTGAAACCCTTTATTGACTTTCTTCGGCGGGCTACCGACTTATACAGCACCATTGACGGCAATCGCAATCGATCGTTACATTGTCATAGACTCGTTCCGTTTTCGGGTGGTCTACCCTCTCTGGGCTCAATCAACTCGGCAGCTTGGTATTACCGACTATCGATCATATCTAAGGTCCTTCTTCTGCAGGACACTGAGTCTTCTCTCTGGCGTGCTGTATACATGCCTGCTCGATGACGTGGTTCTCAAATAGCTTTGCTCAGCTCTCGCCACACAAATACGCCTGGTTATATGCTCATCTTACTGGTAAGCAACATCCCAGTTGAGCACTCATCCATTGTTTTTCGTCTATGTTCTTATCCTTACCCTTCCCCCCTTCTAGTCACCTCTCGTCCATGGATCTCCGCGACATGATGATATGGACCAGGCGGAGTCTTTTACGATTCACGACCTACTGCATTGATCGACCCCACTTACACATCGAAATCCTTGTTTTCGTCCGAGGTCTTCTAGGGCTTTTCTCCACAAACATACCCACGAGTTGTCAACTCGTAATAGTCACTGTGGGATCTGCCACACTCGCGTCCCGCTGCTTTCGCATTGGCATCGTGGCGTGGTCTTCAATATGGTGGGTCATGCCCGTGGTTGGTTTCGACTCTCTATGGCTACAGCGGTATCTTGAGAAGGAGAGCTATGGTACATGGGCCACTGCCAAAATCTACGCCCTTCTTTATGTGCTCGTGTACTTCATCGACCAGGGTGCGTTATCCGTTGTGTTGGAAGAGTTGTTCACGATATTCCGATCGGTATGTGCAACAATCTCTTGCATTGTAGTCCTGTACCCTTCGACTGACACGGATTCTTCTATAATTTGACAGCCAGCTCGAAATGAGCGGCCTTACGAATCTCTCATCTCCCCATTCACCCTCACTGTGGAATGTGGCGTCAACGAGCGACCCAGCTATCCCCTCCGCATCCCCTCCGTCCAACCGCTACCACACAGCGGAAACCATGCCCTCTATTATGAGCTCTTCGACCCATTCCTTCCCAGTCGAACGGAGTATAGCTTCGAGTCATGGGATCACGCAGTGCAATTCGTCGAGAGCGAATTCCAGTCATGGAGGTCATCCCCGGACCTGACTGCAAACGCGTATTCGAGGTTGAAAGCCTTCTTTCTTCAGTCGATTAAAGGAATGCTGCAATTTGAGCTCGAAGTACGCCGTCGGAATCTCTACTTGTAGCAAGGCACTCACAATGATTCCCCCCTCTGAAAGAACTTCGACGCGTTTCACGGAGGACGACTATTTGTCCAAGAAGGTACTCATGTCGATGTCGAGTGTGAGGTTGGAAGGTACGACCGGGGAAGAGGCAGTGATATCGCCCGAGGAGCTCGATTCGAAAATTGGGAACGGTTCGAAGACCGGATGATGAGCCTAAAACTCGAGCGGGGGCAGGACCTGCAGGAAATGGTGCAGACGATGGAAGGAGAGCTTTCGAGGCTCAAGCGCCTGAGCGATTCGATGGCTCTTGTATTCCTAGGATTGAGGGCATCGTTCACAGGCCATATGATTACACCTGCCGAGCAGGGATCTGCCATGGCTCGAAGTCTGCCGTGGCCTGCGCCAGAACCTCCCCGCTAGACCCCACATGATTGACAAAGTCTTCTCTTCAATCCTAGTATAAGTGTTCCGGAATCCGGATGTCTTCGAAATATCTTGCTTTTGGTGTCTTGCATGAAGTAGTAGTTGATCGCTTGCAGCTGTACAATAACTTGAAGTCGTCTACATCACTCATCGTACTCGGCGGTCGACGATTTTTAAATTGGCTCTAGTTTCATTCTGTACTTACCTTACGTAGACGTAGATCAAAACGGGCGACACTAGACATTCTGTTCTCTCTCTAAGAGCTTGTCTCCTTCTGAACGCCGACGTGCACATATCCGGCCGTAACTCACCGATTGAACCACCAGTGTCAAGTACCAAGCCGGTCGACCAGAAAAAATGATTTGTTTTGACGTCAGAGCGTCAGTACAGCGCACAATGAGGTCCTCTAAAAAATCCATTAACGGCGAAAAGTGTATTGATGCATCGTAGGTCGTAGGAAGGTTATAAAGCAGAAGAAATAATGTACTTCAAAAATATCCATCATCATCATCACACCGGTGTGCTCAGTCAAACTTCCTCCTGCGGTAGTGAATCTCGCGGGGTTTGCAGGGCATCGTGACCATGGTCTGTGGTGATAAGAGAAGAGAAGGGGACAATGTTAGTTTGTGGAAAGGGAAGGGATGTATAGGTTAAAGAGAGGGACTGACGTGGTAGTCGTGCTTGGGAACTTCGTTTGGCAGGCGCATCTCGACTGCGCGAACGATGGTGACAATGAGCGTGCCCAGCTGCAAATAAGCGAACTACACGGAATGGATTAGCACACGAAGACTACATCGAACGTAGAGAGTGAAAAAGTGGCAAAACAAACGTACCTGCTCGCCAATGCACCGATGCCTTCCAGCACCAAACGGCTGGTAAGGACTTTCCGTGCCCTTACTCACCGCACCGAACCCATAATCGACCTTCTCCCCGTTCTCATCCGCATACAACTTAAACGCCTGCTGCGCCTGTCCATTCTCATCGTTCCAGCGGCTCGGCTCCCACTTCTCCGCCTCGTTCCATAGTCGCGGGTCCATCTGGCTGACGATCGGCGAGGCGAGGACATAGTGGCCCTTGGGAACGACGTAGGCGGAGTCCTTGGAGGGCGCGGCGAGGGTGGGGGGGACGGGGACGTCGGCGCGGATGACGCGCATGATGGAGTGGATTGGGGGGTGCATGCGGAGGGTCTCGCGGATGACGGAGTCGAGGACGGGAAGGCCTTTGAGTTCTTCGTAGGTAGGTGGGCGGAGTGTACCGTCGGGGTTGCCGAACTGTTTCGTTTGCTCTTCGAGGATAGCGTCACTTTTTCACACATAAAATAAAATTAGTGTTCGAGCGATTGTGGATGTGGCGAGCGAGACTCACGCAATATCGGGTCTGGAAGCCAAATGAAGGAGCGCCCAAGAGCCAGTGGTAGAGCTCGTGTGATGGCCGGCCAGGAGGAGGGCGAGCATGATGTGAGCGATTTCAGTGTCTGGGAGTGTACGTCCGTCACGGTATTTTTGGTTCGAGAGGGCCGCGAGCATGTCCGTGTCCTCCATCACGCTTTTGCCGTCCCTCCTGTTCTTGAGGATGTTGAGATAGTATTCTGTCATCTTCTTGTGCGCGATGTCACGTTTCCGGTAACTTGGCAGGGGAAGTTTAGGGAACATGAAGTGAATCGGGGTGAAACCTGCACGATTAACGCCACCGCCACATAGTCTGATCAGCCATTCCGCTCCAAGATAATTTCGCCAAGCGGACCACGAAAAGTAGACTCGAAAAACTCACCGTTATCCAAGTCTTCGTACAGCGCCGCAAAAGATTTGTCCATGCCGTCCCGAACTTCCTTGCCCTGCAACGTCCTCGCCGCCGCCAACATCGTGACTTGCTGCAACACCTTGAGCACGTCAAACTTGCCCCACTCATTGATGTCGTTCATCTGCCATGTCTGGAAGGCCGGTTCGTGCTCCATGAATTGGGTGATTTCATTCTGGACCATGCCGACGTAGGCTCTGAAGTTCTCCGTCGTGAGACCGAACTTGACGAACTTCTTCTGTTCCATGAAAACTTCGTTGGGTACACTGTAGACGACGTCGTCACCGAAAACCGGGCCCGTGACATCCTATAGTGGACACGAAATGGGACAAACGTGAGTACCGGATCGTGAGGTTGCCGACAAATTGTACGCGGGACGGCTTTCCAGAAAGTCGACACGAGCGTGGGAGGCGAGAAAATGCTACGGGAACTCCACGTACCTTGTACGCGTCCTCCGCAGAAAAGTGGGCCACCTTTCCGCCGAGTACAAAGTTATTTCCCTGCGTGCCCAACGCGACCGTGACCTTCCTCCCGAAGAGAATAAACGTGAAGACGTCTCCGTACTGTATCCCAAGGAATCCTCGTCTGTCAGTATCGCGCACGAAGCAAGTATTCAGTATTGTTGCGCACCTTTTCACGACATTTGAAAAAGAAAGCCAGTGGGTCTTGTCCGTACGCTGGTGCTGAGCCAATGTACGGCAGCCAGTGGAACACCTCCGGGGGTAACGAAGGGTCACGGGGAAGGATCTAAGCCACCATATGCGAAACAAGACGCGTTCCGATCAGCCAACTCTAACTCTCGATGGAGTAGAAAAGTTGTGCACGTACAAGCTGTTTGAGAACGTTGAGAACGACCGCGAGTATAGGAACATTGAGAAGACAGAGCAAAGCGAGACGCGTCGGGGGCGGGAGATATCTCTGGGCCTCGGCGGCGTAGCCTGCCCAGCCGTCGACGGGTAGAGCGGTGGTGACGTTCATGATGAACGTTGTCAGACTCGGTGGAGGACGACGAAGAGGAAGAGCGTGAGATGGCCGACGTGTCGTCGCGGGTATATATTCTGCTACGCTCCACCCAAAAATCGAACCATACGCACGCGCAAAATTATAAACGCACGATTCGAGCCAAGTCCGGCTCAAGCCGGCGCCTTGGTCGACCCAATCGCCACCCTGCGGATTCAGCTACCACACTCGAGGCTGACCTGGACACAGTACTGACACACAATGCGAGCACGATGCACACAGTGACCTGACCTGGGATGTGGGAGCATGAATTATTCAAAAACTAAATAAAAATATCCTATAGCTACAATACGAATGTGCACCCTCAGTCTAAGCCAACGTCACCATCATTCTCGACGCCGAACCCACAAGGACACGGTCCACCTTGACGTTCAACGGGGCCCCAAGGACCGTATTCAAGGGCCCCTTCTCCACCAGAAACGCCTGGATGCCCAAGCTCGGAATGCTGACCAGCTGCTGCTTCTCAGCTGTCAACCTATCAGTTTTCGGAATCGCCAAAGGTCTCGCCTCCAACACACCCAACGCGTTCAGTCCTTCAGGCTGCTCCGCAAACCAGCGCTTGATGGTCATAAGGCTCCAATAAGTGGCATGTTGGGAGAACAAACGCCTCCTGTTCATTTCGTTGTACCGGGTGCTCTCCATATAATAAAGCAGGTCCTGCGCGGAGAGAATAGGCTTGCCGGAGCCTGTCCCGTGGCCCGCGTCGTTCAAGAGAGACTCCTTGATCTGCCAATGTGCCAGCAAGTCTTGATATCGCCGGAGTGGCGATGTGACTCGAACGTAGCCCTCGTTCCCCGGAATACCCATCGCCCAATGCTCCATCGGTTCCAACCCGGTCGTCGCAGCTCCAATCTTGGCGTGAAGGCTCGCCGCCTCCCAGAACATCACGAACCCGTGCTCATCCCTCATGCTCAACATTCTCTCGAAATCTGAATCTGAGAGCATCAGCGGTCGTGGAGATCCTCGTCGAATCATAGGGACCCCTCGGTCCAGGCAATAGAGCGACGCGACTCGACAAGCGAGTTTCGCGGCCTCTGCGATGATAGCTCGACTTCCCGCATGGTGGTCGTCCATCGCGTTCTTGTCGACCACGTACGCGATGTCCGGGAACCCTCGGAAGGGCGTCGAGTGCTTGACCGTGAGGTTACTTGGGGCTAGTGGTTTGGGAGTGACATAGAGCGAGGCTCGGGGTGTCGTGAACATAGCGATGGGGAGTCGCTGGATACGATCTTGCATGCGTCGGACGAAGAGGCGCAGGAGGCGGAAATTCTCGTGGTCCTGAGCGGAAAAGTCGACTGTAATGGGTTCCTTGATGGGGGTGTGCGTACGTCCTAACGGGTACGATATCCCCGTTCGCACAGTGGGCAATCCAATCGTCTTGTCCACGTCGTCGTACCTGAGGACGCGGACGTTTCGAAGCAGTCCAGAGCGAACCTTGTAGTCCACGATCTCGCCGTTCTCGTCGATCTTCGTGCTGAAGGTCAGCGTCAGTTCGGGCTTGCCCTGTGCGGCCATATCGCCTATCGAGAGCGACTGGTCGACGAGAGCGCGGGGTAACATGGGCCATGTACGATGTACGAAATATAGCGTTTCGCCGAAACGGCTGGCTTCCTGTGCGACGCGATGCGTAGGCGGCAAGAGATACGTAGGGTCGGCGATGTGCGTGTGGATCCAGAGATTCTGTGGCTCTTCGGGTATAGTCTCGACAGAGACCGCGTCGTCGAGCTCTTCTGCTCCATGATCGTCAATGACATACGCAGGAAGGTCTCCGAAATCGTGTCGAATGCTCGCCATGCGGTCCGAGGGATACAAATCTTCCGGTCCCAAGAGCGCAGAGTTAGACGTCTGCGTAGGTCGGGCAAGCATTCCGCGTTGCAAGAGCTCTGCCGTCTCCTTGACGCGTGGAGACTCCTCTTCGCTCTCCTGGTCCAAGTCGAGCTCTATACGATTGGATACATAGTCCTGCCACGGTGCGTATATGCCCAGCTCCACCAGAACCTGGTGCACCTGCTCGTTATTGACGTCGCCTTCATACATTCCGTCGATACCCTTGACGATAGCACAGACGAGGGACTGGTATGGATCAACCTGAGTCCCACGCATAAGGTGCATCGACTCCATCAAGAATCGGATGATCATACGGTCGTCCTCCGTGAACGAATCCTCCTCCGACAAGATACGCGATGGCGGTTCGTCCTTGGATGCAGCTTGGATAGCTCTGTTCTTCTGAATGAGACGGCGCGCCTTCTCCGTGAACGCTCGTAGCCTGGGATCCGTAGTTCGTTTCGTCATCATCTGGTGAACGTTCTGTAGTCGCTCGACGTGTGATTTAGGCCGGACGTGGACCATTTTCCTCTCGTAGAACGAAGTCCGAACCATGACATACTCGCTCGAGCGCCGGATCATATGTTCTTGTACGCAGAGCATCGTCAGAGCATGTCGCCACGGCTTGAGGTTTCGATGGTTAGGAAGTACGATGTCGGCGACTTGGTCGACCGTGATGTCCGTCCATTTGTCGGGGTCGGAGTGGCAAACGCAGGAGTAAAGCGTGGAGAAAGGAAGAGCGAGACCGTTGAATATGTCCTCCGTTTCTTTGCGAATTTCCCGGAGCCGACGCAGGATGACGATCCGAGCCATAATGTGCCGGCTTTCGACTGGTACATCATCTCTGCCGCACCGGGAGACGAGGTCCTTGTCGAAGACGTTCGGGATAGCGCCCATGATGTCGTTTGGGGTATGTTTGCGGAGATCGCCTCGCTCGGAGAGGGAGTAGACGTTATATCCGTGCTCTGAGTGGCCGTCATATAAGACAATACCAAAATCAAACATTGCACTCCTACCAGATCAACAACAATGAAACGTTAGTTGTTGTAAAAAGACGGTGCTGAACAGAACGCACGTGCAAATCTGTACGAGGGAACCGTGTCCCACACCGGGAGGCAAGTCGTTGCGTTCCTCATCCTCCATGACGCCCATCCCCGTATCCCCCGGTTGGTTGAGTTGTTCCGCTAAAGGAGCCGTCCAAGGCAGAGTTGTCGCATCAAACAACTTGTTCACCAACCTCAACTCCTCCGTCCTCGCACCCTTCTCGTGTGTCCATTTCTGGGGGCCATCGCCTGCCCGTTTAGAATACCTATTGATGATCTTCTGAGTCTCGGAGATCACAGTCTTATGTTCTTGGCCGGAGTACCACTCCCCTTTCTGTTGTCGAGCTTTGTACTCCTGCGTTTTACGACGTTGGGACGGAGATGGGCCACCTGAGCGTGAACGTACGGCACCTAAGGGTGCGAAGGGGGAAGAGACTAGAGAAGAGTCACTGCATTTGAGACCATTAGCGAGAACGAATAGTGTAGAGGGTCCTGCAGGACATGAGACGCGATGCATGCAGACGACGGACGCGACGACGACGGGAAGACCTGGGAAGACGCGAGCAAGACGAGGCAAGACGCGTTTGACTTTGAGGCGCGCCACACAGAAATTTGTCGCGGAGGACGTCGATCACCCCACGTGGCCCACAAGTACCTTCCTGGTTCTCTCATTATTTCTCCTCCATACTCCTAGGTCCTCTCAGCTCATATACACTCGAGATCTGGCTCTCGAAGATCTGTGCTCTATATCATGTTTAAACGAGTCACACGCCGCCAGAAGCGTAAGGAAGAAGAAGAGGATCTTGGTCTGACTGAAGAAATGAAGGAGGTCATGGGAATGCAGGACACAGACTCTTCGGAATCGGACTCGAACTCTGACGACAACTCTGATTCGGATTCTGAAGGATCCGGAGAGGGCGAACAGGTACCGAAGCTCAAAGGGCAGAAGAGAAAGAGAGGTGTAGAGGACGAGGGAGGACCAGGTTCTGAACTGGAAGAGGGCACGGAAGGAGACGATGGTGAACTCGACGGGGAGGGCGAGGAAGACGACGGTGAAGAAGAGGAACAGGAAGAAGAGGAGGGAGAATCTGAGGAGGATGAAGAGCCCACAATGTCAATATCTGCTGCCCTACAAAATCCCCTCCATGTCGTCTCCCTCGATCCCGAAATCCGGACTTGCGTTGTATGTCCTGGTAAATTGCTGAAGAATGCAAAAATGATAGAAGTTCATATGGCATCCAATGTATGTCTCTCCTTCTCTTCATCCTACTCTTCGCTGCATTCATTTCCTTTCGCGTTTTGCTTGTACATACCCGCAATCGCCAAGACTGCGTACTAATTTCCACCTTGTGTCCCTCCTCCCATTGTCGTCTAAACAAATACAGGGCCATTCACGACGCTTCAAAAAGTTCAGAGCTCTGGCCATGACTGGCGACCCAGAAGACGATGTCTCCGTTCTGCTCAAGCTCATCGCAGATGTGGCGCCACCTCAAGCACCTTCCCTCCCAGTCGCAGGGGAATCCAAACGTGCACAAAAACGAGTGCGTCTCCTTTCTAGTCGCAATCATGTCTCAAATCTCCTCCCATGCTTTCCTTCCATCTATATGCCGAGTTAGCCTTGCAAGTTGCTCTATCCAGTTCTCCACGCGCCACACAACCCTTGCGCCACATATCTTTCGTTACACCTCACCAGATGTAACCTCGCGAATTACGACTAATAATATTGCTTCTGTCCTCACAGCGAGAAAAACAGGAGAAGATCAAAATCAAACGCGAAAAGGCCAAAGAGGCCAAAGCGAAAGGCATCGAGCGCAAAAAAGCCAAGAAGGAAACCGAACAACCCGGACCTGACAACGCTTCCCCATCCGCATCCGCACCCACACCCAAATCCGCTAGCAAAGGATCCGACCCCACTACTAACCCTCCCTCATCACCAGCGAAATCAACAGCGTCGCTGTCTGCCTCTACATCTCCGCCTAAAACGACGAAGTCGGACGGCAAGTCCAAGTCGTCAAAGCCTCCAAAGGAGAAGAAGCCAACATCTAAAAGCCTCTCGGGTCCAAAACCGAAACCGCAATCTGCATCTCAGGTCAAACAGCTTTCAAAGAAAAAGCTGACAGGTGCGGGTCTAGAGGACGCGGAACCACCGACCAAGAAGCGCACGAAGCGATACTTCGATGAGGCGGAGGAGGCAGCAGCGAAGGCGGTAAGCGAGGAGAAGAAGGATGGGTCGAAGAAGAAGGCAAAGCCTAAGGCGAACAAGAAATCTGAGAAGAGGGAGAAGAAGACCCCTGTTTTGCAGATTTTTGAGTAGACGCTTCGTCTTCATCACTATTCAATTCACAGAGCTCGCGGGGAGGTTATCGCGACCGACACATCCGCGCGATTGGTCTGCGAATGATGATTGAAGTCCAGTCTCAGTCTCAAGTTCGACTATGATCATACTTCCACCGAAGTAGGAGTCGCTATATGTGGAAGGGGCAACATGCATCGCTCGAGGGTTTTTCTCCCGGTCGTTATTAGTTAGCGGCGCTGGTACTTCAACCCCGATTCTCTCAAACGGATGAAATGGACGTATGAATCCTTCTGGCAGTAAACAACAAACCAAATTTCGCTTCATGTTCATGAAAATGGTTCAACATCAAACGCTGTGGCCCATCTTGGATACGCGATATGTGGCGTATTCCGGTGTCACCCGACTCCTCCGAGATGGTTCGTACCCGACGCAGAACCGTTCGCCGTGGCGTTCATAGCGCAAGCAGTTGCTGGCAACAAAGGCTATTAACAATGAAATGTATTGAGCTCGACTGTCCCGAAACATCACGAAACATCACAATGCACTTGCATCCTGCATATCCACAGTATAAATTACATGCCAACGCCCGGCGACTTTCTCTACTCAAATCTCAGCCCCAGAGGTGCAGTGCCTCCGACATACCGTCGACGGCTCTCCCCCCTTGCACCGGATACTTTTCCAAAATATTGTCAATTTCCTTCAACTCGGCTGCGGTGAGGACTGTGTTACCAGCGGCGACGTTTTCAAGAGTACGTTCCGCTTTCCTGCATCCATCAAGTAATAAAACGTCGTTAGCATAAAACCCACTGAAACGAGTCCAAACGGACAGGGGTGACGACAGTTGGATACACCGGGATATAAACAGTAGGGGTGTGAAGAAAGGGAGGGAAGACGTACGAAGAACCTGGAATAGGAATGATATGCTGGCCGAGAGAGGAAACCCAGGCGATACAAAGTTGAGCAGGCGTACAGCCTTTCTTGGTCGCCAGGGCTTTGAGCGCGTCGACGACTGCGGCATTATTCTTCATCGCCTATTGATTATGAGTATCAGATACGCGTATATTAGCCATAATTCGACAGACAGAAACCGGATATAGCCCGGAAGAGAGAACAAGTTGTACCTCATTGGTGAAGCGGGAAAAGCGCTTTCGAAAGTCTCCATCTATATCAAACAAGAATGTATAAATTAACAATCCGTGATATCGCGTACACATATATAGTTAACTTTTCTCACCCTCGAGATCTTCAGGCTTCGTGTACTTGCCGGATAAGAAACCCCTGCCGAGAGGCGAGTAAGCAAGAATGGCGACGTTGTTCTCCCTACAAGCGGCTATGACTGCAGCAGAGAAATGTCTCAGTACTAAGAGGCAAAGACTGGTTAAATTAGCGCATGTCAAACGTACCACGCTTGGTCTCCTCTTCATAGCTCCACAAACTAACTTCGATCTCGCATGTCGCAATCGGAACAATCTACATACCCCGTCGTTAGAATGTCTCGCCAATACACTCAATATATTGCCTGAGTTCACTGACCTTGCTTGCTCTTCTGATCGTCTCGGCCCCAACTTCTGACAACCCTACATTCTTGAACATGCCCTCCTCCTTTAGTGTCTTCAAGGCGCGCATCACATCTTCAAGGGGAAACTCCGATTGCGACATCCTCGCAGGCTCGAAGACATCGACGACATGCGTGCCGCGAAGCTTCGCAACAATGTTCTCGGCAGAGGTGCGCAGGCCATCTGCACTGAAAAATGGCGTTTGAGTTGGTGAGAAGGGAAGATGTAATGTTTTAAACAGACGTGGTTGACAGGAAAGACGAAAGGGGGATAGAAACGTACGTCAAGTTCACAGAAGGCCTACCACCAACTACCTGCACTCCTCCCTGGAATATGTCGAGAATTTGTTAATTCGATTCATATCATAAGATATAGATGGTTAGCTAAAGAAGAGTGATGACACACCTTGACGACCAGAAACGCCTTTTCAGCGTACTCGGGATATTTCTCGAAGAAACGAGCGATGAGCTCCAGGTTAGCCTCGGGAGGGTTGAAACCGTAGAATTCCGCTATAGAACAAATCAACAAGTTCAGTGTCTAACGGTCAGTATTGTTCATTGACCCGAGGGGAAAAGGCCTATAGCTATACTAACCACTGTTGAGGACCATCTTGACCCCAGGAGGTAATTTGTCCATGCCAGCCTTCATAGCCTCGAAACACTGTTCGTCTGGAACAGGGGTAGGGACCCATCTGTGGAGCCACGGCTGATATCAGTAACGTAGAGGAGGAGGGTGCGGGAGACACGAACGTCATCAGCATAAGGCCATGCTATTTCCCACAAAAGCCAGAAGTCATCAGCTACATCGTTATGGCCGGAGATTGAAAACTTGGCGGCAGCAGCGAAACTGGACATACACCAATCTTGTAAACATTACTAGCTGCGGTGGCACCAATAGTGACGGTAGCGGTAGTCATTGCTGGTTGAGTGTACTGTGTGTATAGATGGGTCTGTAGTAGCGAAGATTACTAGGAGATGTTGATACTAAATCTGAAGGACGCGTGTCTCTTTTATACCCGGCATCCAGTGGTATACCTACCGCGAACCACGTTGTGAGTGGGTCAAGAAGACTCGACATCATCTGTGTCCATCACGGCCCATTGGGTAATTTAGAAGCTACACCGTATAGTACTGGGCTGTCAGTAGTCATTTTTTCACTTAATGGACTCACGTAGCAGAAGACGTAGGACGAGGCCGATCCGACGTTCAGTCACACTACCATCCCATCCACTCATGTCCGTTCCGAGGGAGACGCATGCGGCCGGCAGTGACACCAAGACTCTATTGAGCGTTAAGTAAAAGCCAAATAAGGGTAATTGACCCACAAGAATTCGACGCTGTGAATATTATATTAGATTGATGAGCCCGCCGAAATGACAGGAGTACCTTTTTTGGATAATTTGTTTGTGTGATTTACCTCGCAGGCCTGGAATGAGTGCGCCCCACTCCGACACTCCGAAGACGAGGAAGCCATGGAACGCATGTAACAACATTGAGAATTCAGAAAATAACAGCAACATATGGATGGCATGGCTGGCCCGATCTGGTGCAACAGCAAGTCGAAGGCTCTCGACACCGATGCGACTGGTTTGAGCATTCTGAGAGACATAGATACATTGGCCTCTGCAATGTTCATGGTTCACCTGCTTGGCAGATAGATCTCTAGTTGAGCAGGGCGACGTAATCTGAAGACATAGCGTAGCATGTTCCAAAAGCAAATAAAGATAACATTGAGCCAACTTTGAAGATAGCACACAGAGTCAGCTAACGAGTCTAAGCAGAAGTCCATGGCCTCGAATCAAATGGTACCATATCACCGGAATATCGACTGCAGACGGCGGAAGACAAAACGGTCAGCTTTACAATAAACGGTTTGTTGCATCTAACACCTGCAGACAAGAAGTCATATCAAATGTCCTCAGCACTCGCACCTAGTGGTATACCCTCTAGAGAATGTGGCACGCACCTGATTGATGTCAGGTCTCTCCGTAGGGTTGACCTTCAACATACTGTCGACTAACGCCTTGAACCCAGCTGAGTAACCAGACGACGGATGTTTGTACTGCGCATTCAAGACGGCCATGGCAATTGAGCCGCCCTGTTCAGTAGTTTGCATGTTTTCGAAAGGGGAGTGAGAATAGGCCAGTGCAAAAAGGACACAACCCAACGACTGTGAATGATATGGGCATAGCGAGGTCAGAGTAAGAATAGGACGCGGATAGGGATGACGGACCCAGATGTCGACTTTCTCGTCGAGAGTGAGGCCGGTTTTAACGTCGAAGAGTTCGGGAGCACGATATGCCATTGTGCTGTGCTCTGCTGCAATGTCCTGTGGCACACGATCAGAACGGGGAGAATGTTCCGGAGAGAGAAACCAAGAGGAATAATCATACTTGTTGTAGAAGAGCTTGTGACCTATTCTCGATGGGTATTCTGGCCTTCATGCAGCTACCGAAGTCCATAAGGATTGGTGTCACTCCGTCATCGGCGAGCATCACGTTCCTAAAACGATAAAAGTTTAAGCAATGAACGATTTTGACTCGGCGCGGCACGGCGCAATTACCCAGGCTTCAAATCTCGATGTGCGTATGGCACAAGCTCTCCTGTGCCGACCTCTCCATGTTGAATCTCCTCATCTCCATCGAACACAACATCACCGTCCTCTTGCCTCTCCCGCGACACTAACGGGACATTTGCTCCATCCCTATCCTCGCCTCTAGCTCGGGGTTCCCCTCTGGCTCCTCTCGTAGAGCTAGGAGCACTAGGACCACCATAAGAATACCCGCCCTCTGCATCTCCCTCTGGATGTGGCAGCATTCCGTCGTGGTCATCGTCATCGTCATCATGGCCTGGTGAGTGTGATTTGCCCCTTGATGGTGGGCGTGGGTGTGCTGAGGAGTTTGAGGAAGAAGAGGAGACGCAGTAGGTGTGCATTGCACGGACGGCTTCACATGTGCCTTTGAAGAGGCGGAGCATTTGACGTTCTGGGAAGTGGGAGGATGTTTGAAGGTTGTTGTTAATGGCGTCTTGAAGATTACCACGCTGTGAAGAAGTAGAGTAGGCGGAGACGATAAGGAAGATGGAATGTCATTAAGAATTCAACACACACCTTGTACAGGGGTAAGAATAGGTATACGATTTGTCCATCGCCCTCCGGGTCTTGCAGTACTGCGGAATCCTTTGACCGACACACATTAATCATGAAAATGCGCTTGGAACGCTAGTGAATCTACTACCCACCAAAATACGGATGATATTTGGGTGCCTAAAGGGAAATAGGGGTCGTCCGGTGAATACAAAGCTTCGGGTATGGAGGCCGATGGTGTGTACGCACTTGAACCGTCGGTATGCCTCCACTTCACGCATAGCTTCTTTCACTCCTTCAGAGCCTGTAGGACAGCGAATCTTCTTCAAAGCAAATTGTCGCTACACGAGATAACATCGGACCAGGTAACAAGTCACAAGTGTTAACGGTCGCGTACCTCGCTCTGCTCATCCTGCGCCAGGTAGACAAAAGAGAATCCTCCTTCTCCTAGTATTTTGACAATCTTGACTTTGTGGGGGGTTATTTTATCATAGGTATGCACCGTCGTACAGAATGTGAGCGAGGACACTTAGTGCGAACTAAGCGAGTGAACACTGACACGTTCGTCCATTAATCTTGAGTTTCGCCTGAGAAGTACAACAGCTGGTAAACATAGAGAGCACATTGGTGGCCTCAAATCTGACATGATCCAAAGCACGTAGTAAGGGTTGTGGTAGCGAGTCCATCAATGTCCAAGAAAGCTGGTAGGTAAGCTGAGCAAGAGTGTTGGCAAGTGAAAGTGAAAGCTGAAGCGATGGGCACAGCAACTGCGCCGCCCGCCTGGCTTCGGGAGCCACGTGGACAGCGACCTCCGATCCGGGGACGGCCAGGTTCTCGGCCGAACGCAAACTCCTCTCCTAAACCAATTCAATTCGAACTTGTTTTTCAGCCACCATGTCTCGTCTCTGTCCTGTGCGGTCCTCTAGCGTCTCTGTCTCCGAACCATATGTTCAATGCTAGCAGAACTTCTGAAGTCCTAAAGCTTCACCAACATCTGAGCTATGGCCTACAGGACCCTCCCTCTCGGTCAACGAAATTCGTCCAACACCGAAGACCGTTGTAACCACTGTGATCTGTTTTGCGTGTCCATGGGCCATCTCTCAGACGCCTACTCACTATCAGGTTTGGGAGCGTTGATGTCAGAAATTTTGGGACACTCCTCGTCTCGGACTGCATGAACGGCTGTGTTGCTCTTTGATGTGACTAGGAGTCAACCTTTCTGTATCAACATCCCGGATATGTAGATGCCGGTGCTGGATTGCGGTTGGATTGAGGTTATACAGAGAGAGTATATATGTTCGAAGTCATTGTGCTCAGCTCTCTTCCTTATCAAACAGCAAGTATCTGCCTCACGATCCACCTTAGTTAGACTCAATAACCTGCCGATCTACATTGCGCTCATGGATCAGACTTTTGACGACCATTCGGCTCCATCATCTTCCACCTTCAGTCCTGCTACCACTCTACAGCGAGGAAAGGCATGCATGAGTTGTCGCCGCCGTAAACTGGTCCGTAGCCATTTACTCCCGAGGTCAATATGCTATTATTCATACCTCTTGACAGAAATGCGATGGCGCACGTCCTGTTTGTCGTCAATGCAACCGCGATGGCACACCCGAAGATTGTCAGTACACCACTGGGCCGAGCCGCTCTAGGACTCAAATTTTGGAGGAACATATCAGCACACTCGAAGCTCGCATCGAAGAACTTGAAGGCCATGGAGTACCGAGCTCGACTATCGGGCTTTTCGATCCTTACCAGCCGGCCACATCATCCAGTTCCTCGCGCTCGTCCTCTCTTCCTGGTTTGAGTGTTGCGCAGCTGACTGCGTTCGATTCGCGAACCCAGCCCATCCAAGAAGTTGGCGCCACTCACCCTCCTGAGACTGATCAGGCTTTCGTTGACGAACCAGACCTGTAAGTGCATGGATATTATATTGAAGGAAAAGAAATACCTATGTCGATTGCTCTATATCTAGCCTGGACATCTTCTTCCGCCACGCGGGCCTATTTGGCTGGTTCCTTCATACTTCACGTTTTCATGCTGGCATCACTCAACCGGCTCACCTAGCCAATCCCAATCGTCCAGTACCTCTGCTTCTCTCTACAATTCGGCTGTGGGCCACTTTTCTCTCTGGCATTCATTCCAGAAACGAATTTTCTGAGCGAGAGTCTGGTTTGGTATCTCGCATTCGAGTACTCCTCGGTCGTCAGCTTTCCGACTTGACGCCACCCCAAGTATTGCAAGTTATACAGGCAAAGGTTCTGTTTGCCACGTATTTGTTCACAACGGGACAGTTGCTCGATGGGAGGCAGGTATGCGATGCGGCAGTATCATTGGTGATTAGTTGTGGGTTGTACAAGATCAGGTCGATGCACGTCAGGACGACGGGTATGTTAGAGACGGTGAACGTGGCTCTGTCTGAGCCTTTAGATCAAGTTGAGGAAGGTATGTGTCCAAGAGCACTCCTTGGTATGACTTTTGTAATAATTCCTAGGAATATATAGGGGAACGACTCAACGCTTTCTGGACGGTGTTCTCCCTGGATAGATCTTGGGCCGTTGTCCTGCGTTGCCCCACTTTCATGCCCGATGACGATTTCGCAGGGTCTCGGATTGATTCCCCTTGGCCGTTGGACATGGAGAGTTACGAGGCGGTAAGCATACTCTGTTGTCTGTGTGAGTGGAACCGACATATTGAACTCGCAAGTTAGGGGCACGTCTACCCGAACCTTCGTACAAGCGGGACGTTACGCATCTTCCTCGGCGGTTTTAATACGAGTTGGCCATGGGAAAATCAGTCTGTTCTCGCTCTCCTAAGCAAGGCATCTGCTCTATTCGAAAGAGCCGCAAGACTATCTACATCTTGGAGTCCTGGTAATTTGTTCAACTTTATGTCTAATGCGCTGAAACCAGTCTCTGACAGCTTGTTTCTTGCGGCCGGGCTCTAGATTCCACGGGCGCCGACAAATTTTATACAGACTTCCTGTCCCTCGATCAACGCATCGAAGACTTCAAATCCCAACTTCTGCCATTGGTACCTCTGGTCGCGACATCCGAGCTAGATCACGTTCGCTCTCTTCACCTCGTTCACTGCCTCACGCATGCCGCCATAATCCAATTACATGGAACTTTTGTAAGCCAGGTTCAAACTTCGAAGGAAAAGTGTTTGGGTGCTGCGCTGTGTATAGTGAGAGCGAATGATGAAGCGAGGATTCATGAATTTCTATTCATCAATCCGTTGATCGCGGTATGTCCGTTCTTGTACCGAACATATCAGCCGCCGGGAGCAAAACTGACCATGGACATACCATCCACTTGCGTCGCTAGATGATATGGTCCAGTGCCGCCCGAGTGATTATTGAAGAGCTCCTTTCGCTTGGCACGTTTAGCGTCGACCAGGAGATCTCCCCGAATCAGGTCGACCAGGAATTGGACCTTCGCAACGCTATGGCGGGACTTACTACATCGATGTCAATATTTGCCACATCCTGTCCGCTCATGCGTATGTCCTGCTTCACTTCCCTTCGTGATAGGTCACATAGCGGCGTGACGCTCAATTCCTTTCCCGCTATATAGAATCACAGGCGACGAGGGTTCAGGATGAATACGCAGGCGTCTAAGGCGTTCGGAGTATGAACAATGTACGAATGCATCTACGTCGTCGGGCGGACAATGATATATTGGTTGAAGTCGAAGTGGCCAGTGTCCTGACCTGGGCTCATCATTATTGCTCAAGGGTACAGTGACGAGCGGTGCTGCTCTGCTGAACCAACTGTCCATCCCACCATTCGCAAGGCTCCGGCTTTCGTTGTTCAGCGAGATCTCCGGCGACGATTACCTCGAGATGTTCTTTCAAATCGTGGCCTACACGGGCCATCGTCACGACACACATCTCACTTCGCCCGTTCAAGCCCTGTTCTTCAGCTTCTCCGCACCCTACTTCACCGTCCGACTCTGGACTTCCTACTTCTCCCGAGGAGGACGTCGAATCGGGTCCTAGTCCGCTTCAAAGTGGGTACAGATGCATGTTGGAGGTCACCTTTCAATGGATCACACTCTAACAAACGGGTTGTTTCTCGGCCATTCCGGCCATGATGCGTGCGCTCAGCCCGGGGGATTTGGAGATGCCGGTGATGGAGCGTACACTAAACGTTTGAGCCTCGACGCAACAATGGGGAGAGGCGTTCGGTGGATTCAAGAATCCACACACGCTTTACGTGCGTGAAGGGCACATGCACTTCATCCTCGAGGGCTTGAAACCCCAAGACTCTGCCACCATCTGCCTCGGAGAAGCTAGCCACTAGCATTGTAGATCCAAAATCTTCTCCTCATAGTTTGGAAAAGGACGCCCATGGAGGCTCAGACATGACCCGCGACGGAGTAGGCGGGGTATGCGAGACAGACGAAATCATTACGGTCGGACCTGCTGTTCGCCAAACTCTGAACCCTCTGTCTCATTCACGGCTTTCTTTCAAAGGCCCCAATTCCTCTGCCTCAAGCACAGTGGGGCACCTTGAGGGAATGTTTGAAGAAACGAGCTGAGGGAATGTTTGAAGAAACGAGCTGCGTGTGGCGCGAGGGTGAAACGCTCGAGGCTCGAGAAGTGTCGTGCCAGGGAGGAGTGTGCTGCAGAGTTGCAGAGTATCGATGTTACTGCCGAGCTGAAGTAGTGTCAAATTTTGGACGAGTGAACAATGAACATCATGATGTCCAGTTCTCGGTGTATATTTTCTCATTGAGTAGTACGGAGTATATATCTTCAACGCTGGATGAAGTGAGAGCATTGAATGAATTCGCAGACTACAACTGGCCAGACAAGGACATTAACCGTCAAGACTTGACACTCGCAACCCTCGGGTTGAGGCCTTGAGGATTTCGTCGCTTGAACTCGTTTCAAAGAAATGAGAGAAGGAGGATATGATTATACATTGCCCTCGGCACCTCCAACCCAATAAATACATTTGTATGTAGCATGACCTTCCGGCCGAAGTACATTTCGATACACAACGAGTTCCACTGACCAAAAGAGAGCCAAGAAGGCTGTACATGCATCCACAAACTCTTACAAATATCGTACCCACGAATCCCATCGCAAATCCTTCCAAAGCTCGACGTTCAATTTCCGGTCGGTTCTTCACTCGTCTGCAGCCAGCCACGCCTCCCTCTTCCTCCGCATATGCACCTTCCTCTGAGCCTCGCTCAAGTCCTCCCATCCTTTGACCTCATCTGCAAGTTCCAACTCCCAAGCCTCTTCCCTCTGCAACTCTTTCTTCGACTTCTTCGGTGGCGGCAACCGGGGTGGCGGTGGCGGGGGGTTCGGTCTCGTCGAATGCAGCGGCACGATATTCTTGAGGGCCGACTTCGAGGTCTTTGCGAGGGGAGAGTGATACGGCTTAGCCTTTGCAAAAGGAGATGAGGGCTGGGACGAGGCTCGTCGGATGATTTCTGACATCGGGGTTGACTTTGATTGACGGCCGATGGTGTAGCGGCGAGACATGGAGGCATGAGATGCGGCGGACGATGAGGGCTGGGCTGGCACAGGTGTGGACGGAGTAGTTGGTTTAGTCGGTTTGTCGGTGGCGGGAGACGAAGGCGCTTGGACAGGTTCGTCTTCGACGACGACTGGAGAGGGGCTGTGGGGAACATTCTCCTACATACACAAACTCTACCCGTCAGTTGACGAAACTGCTGGAGAATGACTTTAAAGCTTACCATTGCACGTAGAGGTGTTTCATCCTTCGACTGCTGACTGCTGGATTTTGTACCGCGCTCCTCATCCGGCTGGTTCTCCTTTGACTTGCCCTTACCCTTGTCCTTCTTCGTCGCCGTGGCCGCCTTCTTTGACGGTCTGATGACTTCGTCTTCCTCTGCGTCTGACACAACAGCTCTTGCCCTTCCTCGGCCGCTCTTCTTCTTGAGCGTGACCGTGAATTCCTCTTCGTCGTCATCAACATCAACCGCCTTGCCTTTCCCTTTACGCGACTCAGCAGCACGACCCTTCTTACTCTTCGCGGCAGGCACCTCGTCAAAGTTATCAGGGACAGGCGACAGCGATGGGCTGTCATGAAGAGTCTCGGTCCCCTTTGGTGGCGGAAGATGGTCGAGAGTCATGGAATCGTCCTGAACGTCTGGCTGCGGGGGTTGAGGCTGGTCGCGGTCGATGTCCATAGCGACTGAGGGGCCAGCCTTAGCTCGAGACTTCGAGCCTGGTTTCGCCGGCGAGTCGATAAGGACCTCTACGGCGGCCTTCTTCCCTTTCTTTCTAGGCTTAGGCTTTGCCTTCTCCTTCACCGGCTCGTTACCCGCCTCAGTTGTAGCGTCAGACGCCTTCTTCCGACCTCTCTTCGGTGCAGCCTTGGCCTTCTTACCGTCAGCTGTCGACGCCTCTGACGTCAAGTTGGAGTCGGGGAAAGCGGCGGAAGACGAGGATGCTGCGCCCTCTGGCACCGGTGGTGGCAGCATATCCCTGGATATGTCAACGTCCATCGACACAGGAGGTTTCTCTGGAAATAGATCGTCCTCGTCGTCGGACTCCACCGCGGCCCGCTTGCGCTTCTTCTGTCGAGAAGAGGAGCTCTTCTTCCGCCCAGGTACAGGAGAGTCTGACCGAATCTCCCCGCGCAAAGGCGAAGTCGCATGCGGCTGTGAAGATGGAGGAATTGGATCGGATGGGGGTAAGTGAAGGCTGGAACTGAGTACAGGGATCGTGAGGCGTCCGGATTCAGTCGATGTATCGGCAGCATGAGGGTCGGTGTGTGCAACCTCGGCGTGTGCAACCTTGGCGCGTTTGACGGGGCGTGGCTTTGGCTTGGATTTCCCCTTGGGGACGGGTGGCGGGGACAGAGAACGTTTCCTGGGAACAATAGCAATCTCGTCTTCCGATGATGTGAGCTCGATAACGTCCGGGTCCTGAGGAGGCGAAGGGGCGGCTGCCTTCTTGGATGCTTTGCGAGCACGCGTCTTCGCTCGCTCGGCGACTCCTTGGGAGTAGTCTATGGCCTCCTGTCCCAGACCCATGCCCTCTAAGACGCCTTGCGAATAGTCTATAGCCATTCCCGCCAGTCCGATACCCATCTCCTGAGACAGGGTGGATGGCCCACTTCGATGGCCGTTCACCACCACGGGTTCCGGTGCGGCTTCTGGTGGAGGGGTTTCGATGGGAATGCTATCGCTGGTAGGAGCGTTTGAGTCGATATGCTGCTGGGCTGTGGCGCCTTTGTAGGCTGACTTAGGACGAGGCCTAGAGGCTTTGGTCGATGAGGATGAGGGAGAACTGGTAGAGGCAGCAGCAGAGGTATGTTCTCGTATGTGTGTAATCGCTTCGGTGTTGGCGCCATGCGGTGCGTGGGCAGAGGCAGTGACTGCGGAGGTAGAGGCTGCAGACGCAATGTCAGTCATTAAAATTGTGAATTGCGATCAAAGACTGCATTTTTTGAAAGAAACCCTCCGAATTACAATTACAAGAAGAGGACGACTCACGTTTGGGTCTTGAGGTAGATGGCGAAGGGGCTGGTTGTTGCGCCACCGTCGCATTCACGGAGCGCTCAGGGAGAGCCAACGTCTCTTCATCTTCGCTATCTGCCACAAGCCAGTCGTCATCTCTACCAGGCATAGCTTCTGTAGAGTATATTCAGCAAGAGGAGCAAGAATCAGACAAGATCGTGTGCAAGGGCGACGATTGGGGATGGCGGCAAGACACAAGAGCAATTAGGCGCCGACGACACCCCGACGCGCGACTTCCCGTCGCCTACGCGTCAGTCACATGACCGTTACGGAACCGAGTGCGTATTTCGAATTGCGCCCTTCTCGCAGGCTCCGAGTCCCCTTGCGCAATTGTTCATCTAATAGTCCCCTCGTTCGAAGGTCAGACTTGCTTCAGAAAATACTGATATTTTGGCCATGTCTCTCCCATCTTCCTCTACTTCCCCGCCAACAACACCCCCTCGACTGGGCAAAGCAAACAGACCACCATCTTCACCATTACGACCGAACTCTCCTGGAGCCCCTTCGCCCACACCCACCCCACCTCCTGCCAATATACCAGCTGGCCTGACATCTCCAAAGAACCAACCAGGAAGTCTGCCCTCTGGCTCGGGCTCCCATCTTGAACGTTCGAAGAGTTCGAAGACAAGAGCAAGGGACCTCTTGCGGAAACATTATGGATTAGGTGCAGGACCACCCCCACCATCGGGTAGACCGATGGATCCTATGGATCTAGGTATATTTTCACCTCACTTGTCTATGTGTGTGTAGACTGTGCCTGACTTACTAGTTAGATTCGCCCGCATTTGATGCTAAATCGTATTACGAGCAATTGATCACTACTTCGTCGCTCACCACTCTCTTGAAGAAAGAGAACGAACTCCTACACGGTACGTCGCCGACGTCTAGCATTCAATAAATATGCCTCGACTCAATCATTGTAGATATGCGAGAGCTCGATAGCGACCGCCAGTCTCTAGTATACAATCATCATCACGAGCTCATCGCCGCCACAGACACCATATCCGCTGTATGCTCCTTCGCTCGTCGTCTTCGCAGTCTGGAACTGAACATCCCTGATATAGATGAAGACAAGAGCCGAAAGCCTAGATGCAGAACTGGACCTGTTGAAGGTCGCTTTCTCGGAGATTTCGCGTTTGAGCGCCGAAGTATCCATTGAACAGCACTCTCCTGATCCATCACGCAGCCCTGGCGCAGAGCATCGTTGAGATATGACTGCATTTCGCCTTGAGCATGGACTTATTGATATTCTTTGGAGATAATCTCACATCTACTTTCAACATTCGTGTGACTGCGCTCTCTTTGAGGCAGCCCTCTCCTATTTGAGGTCCCAATTCGAGGGTTTGACGGTGCGCCAGGGGCGGTTTCTTAGACCGAACGCAATAATGCCAATGCGACTTAATCTACCATTTGAAGATCTCAGCTCACACGAAGAACGTCGCTATCACACGATAAGATGGTATCTCATCATATTGGATATTCGGGAACGGTCTATACAGGTTACTACGGAACCACAATGAACAATCGCCGAAAGGGCCCTTTGACTGCAGCTGACCTTCGAGCTCTGCAGACAGCATAGGAAACAAGGAACGACCTAAGTGACGAGCAGCAGAGAGCCCCTGTAAGACGAGTCAACCGAAGCAATGGGTGCGAGCACCAGAAGCAATAGCCAGCTAAGAATATCAAGCAACATAGAGTAGTGCATAGAGAGAAGCAACTTCATCGCCAACCAGGGTAGACTAGGCAAAGTCAAAGACGAGGAGTAGCCAAAGGCAAGGACAGACACCGAGAGCCACAGCACTCTTGAGAATAGGTCGAGTATTCGCAGTAGAGACTATAGCGAGAAACAATGTTAGGAGATTATACCATCTCGAGGTATTCCCGAGAGGCAGACGCACCAGTGCCGATAACATCGATTTGAGGCAGACACGGAAACTTGAGGGAGAATCACACAATGTGGGACGACTGCTGCGACCCGAGGACATACCATATACCACCTATAAATATATTCATACAAGAAAGAGAAGGGAATGCATAATGAGGTCGTGTATGTACTTAAGGTACGATGACGAACGCACCTCTGGGAGAAGAAACATAATAGAGGAGACCAATGTTCTGGGCGAACTAGAATGGCGAAGAAAAAAAGAAAGGAAACGAGGACGCATAGTACCGTGTATGACCTAGATAACAATCGAGAATAAGAAATCTGAAAGTCCAAGGAGGCGGAGGATGTAGCATGAAGAGCAAACGCACCTCCAAACCAACATCTTACCGTCCCTGCGAGCCCCACTACCGCACCATATTACGTTCAGAACACACAGACCCCTCCGCCGAGCCCTCCGAAGTCGACATTAGCGGGTCCGAACCCGCCACGACCTCTTCCTGGCATGTCCATGCCCATACCGCGCATACCGTGTCCGTGCCCACCATGGCCATGACGATGTCCTCGACGATCACCGTCCATACCAGGCCCAAACCCTCCAAACCCTCCAAACCCACCACGACCATGCCTTCCCATTCCCCGATGTTCGCCCATACCGCCGAGACCGCCACCGCCACGGCCTCCGCCAAACCCTCCCCTGCCTCTCCCTCCACCAAAACCGGCCATTCCTTCAAATTCTCCGTCTTCCTCTCCACTGGAAGGAGATCCGTAACAGTAGGGGTGATGATGATGATGACCACCGTGTCTGCCCCGCCCACCGAATCCTCCACGACCATGACGTTCTCCGTCAGATTCGCCTGAGGTTCCTTCGAGATCTTCGGGTCCTCCTGGGCCGCCGTGACGGTGGTGGTGGCGGCGATGATGATGAGGATGCATGTGCGGAGGCGGGGGGAAAGTGGACGGATGAGTTGCGTTTATACCGAAGCCTGGGCCAGCGTGGCGATGCCCGTGACGATGACCATGGTGAGGGCGAGGACCTTGAGGTCCAGGCTGCTCACCGTCTGGACCAAGACCTTGGTCTTCGTGTGGGTGGTGCGGAGGGGGAGGGAAGGGAGGAAATTCACCTTCCATTCCCATCATACGACCGAAGCCGCCTCCGAAGCCTCCACGACCTCTCCCACCTCTGAATCCTCCATGATGTCCACCTCCGTGATGACCCATCTCGCCTCTTCCACGTCCCATGATGTGTGGTCCGCCTGGACCAAAAGCATGTTCGTGATGGTGGCGGTGGTGATGATGATGCATAGGGTGAAGGGGAATGTCTGCGGGGGGTGGAGAAGGACTGCGTGAAGCAGGAGGGGGCGTGTGTTCGTGTTCGACGATGACGAGGTCATGCTCAAGTTCTTCGTCGATAGTGGAAGGCGTGGGGGAGCGAGATTGTTTCTCGGCGCCCATGACGGGTCCTTCAACTTCAGAAGAAGTAGTGCGGATGATGATGTGGGTGGTAGGGGACTGCATGATGCGAATCTAAGTTATAGATGTTGGTTGGTGGTTGTGTGTGAGGGAGTTGGCTTTGGGTGAGAGCGTACCTCGGATGAGAGTGGTAGATTGTAAGAATCTAAAGAGAGCGTTTGGCGGAGAAGTGGACCTCTTTATATACTGCAGACGCAAGGCGTGCCGGTGCCGATGCGCAGACAAGAACAGAGCCTCATGATCGACAAAGACTGCGCAGCGGAGTCTTCAAGTGGAGGGAGTCAGAGGCAATGCCACAGGAATCCGCACGTTCCTTGAACAACTTGCGTGTCTCCTGAGCAAGCCGAACGGCATTTTGGGAGGCAGCGACGCGTCAGCGATAGTATGACTCGAAGAATCCGATACTACGCACGACGACTACAGTCTTTTGACAGGTCTGTAACGCCGGAAGTTCCGCTAGTCCCACAATCATGACTCCGAGCAAGAGAAGAAAATATCACAGGCTTGCACAGACGACTGCGCAGTCGAAGCACGAGGAAAACAGAGGCTTCAGGCGATACTGCAAGATGCGCAAGAGAGGAAGTTGCAACATAACAGCGGGACATGGCCGTGCGTTGTTTGTCCATGTTAGATTCCAAAGCCTTCGGCAGCCCGGAGCCCGAGACCCCGAACCTCCGGCGCCACCGCGACATCCTCCGCAGTAGGTTACTAGGTTGAACTTATTCAGGCCTGTGCTCAGTGCTCAACTCAGTTGCATGTTAGCACGGCCACAGCCTCGCATCGCTTAGTAGAAAAAGGTTGAACACGGAGCGCGTAGTTTTACGTAGAGTGGACTCCGTGGACAGCACACAGAAGTAAATATTATTATTCAGGTCAGTCATGCCTTAGAAAAGTTCGCTGACAGCGCAGGCCTTTATTAAGAACATAATCCTGATAACCATATTGGAGTATGAGCCATTCGCCAGCGGAAAGCAGAGGTGAAACAGATCAGTGAACGTGAATGGGATGAAGATTGGCAGGAGACTGGCGCAGATAAATATTAGATATGGCCGAAATTGCGCACTACAACAAGCAATAGCAATAATTTAGCAGACAAGACCACTCCTCTCTCACAAACCACACCCCCGAGAGGACTCGTTCATTAGGTCTCCTACAAAGTACACGTGAGCTACAAACATTCGCGTAACCCAAGTTCAAAGAACTGTACCTTAGTCCATCCCGCATTGTTGATTGCATCCAAGAGCTTGCTCTCCTCGGTAGCCTGCGTGAGGGTAATCGACCAGTGCGTGTCATGGTCGTTGACGGGATGGAGTATGCCCGTGAGCTTGCTCGAATCGATGGAGTAGATCTTCTTCTGGCTAGGAAGCTTGCTCTTGTCGCTGTTCGTCGACATCTAAGCACATACAGAACCGCCAAAATAGAGTTAAAAATCTGGGTCGATGACAGAAAACAAAAGAGGACGTACACCCTTCTTCGAGTTGGCTGGGATGAGGCCTTTCACAGGTGTGTCGTAGTCCTGCGGGGTACGGACTGAGTTGTACGCCTTGCTAGCACCGCCGTTACGATAGAGCGTCGTGGCCAGCGCCGACTGGACCGCGAAAATGAAGGCAATGATGATGGAAGAGGCGAACTTCATTGTGTGGTAATGCGGGAGGTTTGACGGTGGTAGATAAGTTGTTTGGTGATAGAGGTCTCGTTCATCCAGCGTGGGCTTTTAACTGTTTCGCTGTCCTGGGAAATATGCACCTACGAGGCTAAGCTTGAACACCCAAAAGTCGATAGTTGACGACGCTTGACAACACCTGGCGCTCATTGACGGGTATATTCGATGCCTTTACGGTTTGATGCGCTCCACAGCGCTTGACTTAGGATGATGAGCACCCACGAGGTTCGCTGAGGTAGGCTTGTACCCTGAAACCGACAGAAGAACGGACATACAAGCGGTAGAGAATTCGATAGTAGCACGGATGGCGATGATTGTCATATTGCCTGTACATTTCATAGCGTAGCGTTTTGTTGTGCTCATTGTACAGTGTATCATAATATAATGCAACGATTCAGTGAATTATTCTTACAAGCCGGGCATTAAAACAATTCATAGATTTATCAGAGTCACTCAGAGTCCTTTCCAGCACTCTGAAAGCCCCTCGCACTCGTTATTATCGTCATTGAGCGGATGATCCGCAGGCGATCATGCTAGTGCTCACTGTGTCACCGACCGACCGACGCCTTTCAATACGAGTGAGGCATGTGAGGATTATGCGGTAAAATTATGGGGCATGAATCAATTGTACAGGCGACAGAAATTCCTGTGCGCGTTGTGGTAAAACATGACTATAAATCACCGTTGTTCGTGCCAGCGCACAGACCACAGCCCTCAGGTAGAAGCCAAGATGCTTTGATGCGCCAGGGGAGAAGCACTAGTCAACTCGGTTGTCCCGAGAGTTAGAGCTCGTGGAGAGGTTGCCGTCTCGGATGCCTACCAGTGGGCGTCAATTTTAGCCCATTTTCTCCTTCAAGCGCTGTATGCCAATGCTACTTGCACGTACACCGAAGAATCCTGTATGTACCACGATAACACTCGTTGGTAGCAAGGGAGCACTATGATGCCATCATTGATGTCAGTCCAAAGCCTGAGCGTTTCATACTGAGCAGCCGACTCTGCAACTATATATCTCCAGAAGGGCTCTACACTTTGAAGGCGAGAACAAATCGACGTGATGCCGAAGTTTCAAGCATCTCAACCCTCTGTAGGCGCCCGCACTAGACAAGGTAAGGCTGTTCTATATGACATCATGCAAGAAGCACAATGTAGCGCTTTGGAGTCACATTGTTCGAGAGCATATAAAGCTTGATGATCATCCAGTGCTGCCCTCGCACGCTTCATACGACCCGAAAACCCCCAGAAACAGAAACGCCGCCCGACCTTTAGATATTCTTCATGGCAACTTCAATTCCTCATTTCGCTTTCGACGGTCAAGTGCGCCTCCCGTCGTCAGCTCTGCTCTCCGTCGCCTGCACCTGCGTTCGCAGCCTGCACTCCCACTACGAAACTCGGCGACGTGACTTCGAGGCCGCAAACAACGAGGACGGAGATGTCGATGCTGTCGAGTCTCTAGGAGATGTCGAACATACCGTGCGAGAGATTGACCCGGCTTATTGGCAAGAGTTACTCTCCACAAGATTCAAATCCAGCGGTAAGCCTGTCTTTATATTTCGACATAGACTGAAGGCTCACGATGCACGGCATTGCATTGTACAGAGATACCAGCCCAGCGCGTCGTCAGCGAGCAACAACGCATCTCCAACTTGCTAGCAATCGGAAGAGTGCCCAAAGCAGAATTCGTTATCGCGGAGGCAGTTCAGAGGCACCGAGAGACGCGAGATGGGAAGGTAGACAAAGATGCGGTGGAAAAGGAGGACGTACTGCTAGACTTTTTGGTATTTTTGGCGGGGAAGCGTGAAAGGGCTGCGCTGTTCTCTGTGGCTGCATAGGAGGGCGAACCAGTCACTGGCAAATACTTACTGATAATGTCGATGTAACTGATCCTAGTCGGAACTGTACTGTCCCGTTGTTTTCTTTTGTATCTTCTCACTGCTCGAGTGGCAAAGTTGATGATGGCCGTGAACGGCAGCACATAGCCGCTTCTAGTGATCATTTCCATCAAAGCGACATCGCAGGTCCTTAGTGCGCTCTGAATGGGATAAATAACTCGCAGGATGGAGGTGAGACGAGAGAAGGTGAACTGAGTGGGCTTGCAGAAGAGGTGGGAACTTGCAAGTTCTTACTACTTAGTAGGTGTCCGACTGCCACCGCAACATAAAATCAGGGACGGGAAGTGACCGAGAGCTGGACTAAGAGACGAAGGAGATTGGAGTACAAGCAAAGTTCGAGTTATGATTGTCAAGCATCGGCATGCAGGCCACAGGGCCTATGCGGAGAAGAGCTTCGTCTGCGGGACGACAATATTGCGTGGGAAGAGGAGCAAAGCGGCAAGCAAACGCAGAGTCTGATGTGGCGTCGCGCGGAGTTGCGGATTATTCCGAGTGGCGATCGAGGCTCCCAGAGGGACGTGGCGTTGCATCACTTCAACTTGACCAAAACAGCTACTAGGAAGTCTTAGGATAAAAGTCATCTACGACATCAGCTGATATTTACTGGGCATTCTTGCGGGTGCTATTGGAGGCTGGCCCACCCAATCTCTTATTCTCACGTTAGCCTTTGAACAGTCTCAGGCTTGTCATGCCTCCTCGAGCTCAGGCTCCGGCTCCTCGCATCCGACCGCCGTCACTGTTTCTCATAGTTATATTTGCATTGTTCATTCTCTCAGCACTATGGCATAGCAGATCATCGTCGCCCCCTCCATCCGTTCCCTCAGCAGGCCAGCCTGATGTGGCGGGCACCCGTAGGACACGGTGCGTGGTTGTCATGCATGCTATGTCGTGGCCGGTTCGCTGAACCAATGATTTACTGCGTTCTGAAGAATCGTGGCAGTAGGGGACTTGCATGGCGACAGTGGAAACGCGCAGAAGGTTCTGCAGATGGCGGGAGTGGTAGACGACCACGGGAAGTGGACCGGCGGTGTGGACTTCTTCGTGCAGACGGGTGATATGATCGACAGGTTTGCAGAGCTATAGCTTCATTCATATTCGTTCCTCACAGAGAACATAGAGGGGATGATACTATAAAACTATTCACCTGGATGGAAGAACTACGAGTGCAGGCTGAGCAGGTTGGCGGCAGGGTATTGTCGCATCTGGGGAACCACGAAGTCATGAACGCGATAGGTACGCCACACCTCTTATGACCCAATGAGCTGCCTCTCATAATGTGTGACCTCACAAGGTGACTGGAGGTAAGCTTTACACAAACACACGCCTTACACGATATTTCTCAAACCCGTCGAACTAGATACGTCCCCGAGAGCGAGATCAAAACCTTCGGCTCTGTCGCCTCCCGCCAAAAGATGCTCACAACAGGCCGTATTGGCCGCGCGTGGGCCACAAACTACACAGTCACATCCCGCCTTCCTCTTCACCCATCTCTTGGTCCTCCTAACACGCCCTACCCCCCATCCGGCTCCACTCATCGTACCCTTCCTCGTCCCTTCTCCCATGCAGCATACTCCTTCCTGCACGGAGGCCTCTCACCCACATATCCAAACCTTACCCCCTTCCCTTCGGCGATCAATGCTATTGGGTCATCATTACTGAAGAGGCTACAGGGCAGGGAGCAGCCACCACCGCATCCTCCACATCCATATCCTGGCTTACCACACGATGCAACGAGTGACGAGAAGGAGCTGTATGATGCGAACGGGCCACTGTGGTACAGAGGATGGGCCATGTTGGACGATAAGACGGTATGCGCGCAAGTAGATGAAGTGTTGGAAAAGACAGGGACAAGGAGAATGATTATGGGGCATACCCCCGATTTCACGGTAGGAAACCACTCGTTGAACTATCCTCTACTATGTACTGAGAACTGATTCTTATGTGGCGAATAGAAACAAGTCTCCCGCTGTGGCGGTAAAATCATTATCATCGATACCGGTGAATATCCTGATTGAGGATCAAAGATATTGTCATGGACTCTAACCAACTGTATCCCACAGGCATCTCTCATGCATACGGAGGCGTGTTATCCGCGCTTTCGATCGAGTACGCGCTCACGCCACTTTCGACATTATCCGAATCTGGACAAAAGCAATGGAAGGAGACTGAGTTCATCAAGGCAATTTACGTGGGCAAAGAAGAGGTGTTCGTGAACGAGGAACGGATCGTCGTTGGTGATGTCTAATTACCGTATATCTATATTTATATCTCGGGGCTTTGTAGAAATGATACGATGGACGGTTGCGCATTGTTTGTTATTTTCCGCTGAAGGGGATATACCACGATCATACCATTTTTTCTTGGAACATTCACTCTGGTTCATTCGGAAGTGTCTTACGGTCCCGAGTGTCCCCATAAGTTTATTCATTGGCCCGCCCCGCATGGAATTGTCCCCAAAAACAGCCCGCATTACAGCCCAATCCAACTGCTCTGTCCACCCGGATTATGCAACGCAGTCTGCCCAATCTTAACCACCCCAGCCTCCAACCCCCCATCACTCCCCTTCACACTTTCTTCGCTTCCATCCGAACCCGGAGCGGCCACCACCGCACTTCCGATTCCACCACCCATACTCCCACTTATCCTCAGCCCGAGTCCCTTTCTCCTCAAGCTTTCCGACAACCTCGACCCTGAGCCTGACCCTGTCATTGACGGCGACATGGTCACAAATGGATTGTCGATAGCGTCGATCAGAGGACTTGGAGTGGCAAGTGGCGTTGAAGGAGTGGCGATGAATGAACCACGACCGTCGATACGGGGCGTTCCGAGTGGGTCTTGCGAGATGGGATCGGAGGGTGGCGGACGCGGTCGATAGACGGGCAGGAAGGACTCGGCGTACCATTCGTACCAGACTTGACGGGCGTTGGTGAGGCGCCAGAGGGAGACTTGTAGTTCTGAGTTGCTTGGGAGATAGAGTGGGTCCTGAATGGTCACATATACTATCAGTCACGAGGCTCGTAGTAGGGTCGGAGACGGGAAAGAGTACCTTTAGCGGGAAGAATAACGGGAACCAACTGAGCATGTCTTTGGATATTTGGTCCTTGCGCAGGGGATGTATGCTCAGCCCTACGTCCCCATACAACATTGCCTCAAAGTATCCCGCGAACCCGTGCAGGACGCCCGCGTGCGGAATATGAAATGTCAGCTTTGCAGAGCGAGCGTTGTGACTGTTCGTTAGCGGTAATCCTACGACATCAACCACAAGAGAGGTAAACATAAACGGGTTCACAATCAACATGGCCCTGGCGAAGAGAAGACCACGTACCCTGTTCGTTGAGTACCGCATCCCGACGCGGATGCTCAAAGTCCCAGCACTCCTGAACTTTGGGGCCACAACGTCCTTCCTCGCCACCTCCATCTCCGCTGAGAATATTGACCGCTTGAAACATGACGACGAACGGTGTCTCGCACGCTTTTGGATCCTTCCCTGCTCTCACCTCGTTGTACAATTTCGACGAGGACAGAGGGGCAAGATAGGCTGAGTAAGAAGCAGGGATGGATATTCCTTCGGCTATGAGATGAAAGAGAATGCGTGAGGTTTCGAATGAAAAGGGGAAGCGAGCGCATAACTTACGCTTCAAAAATCTCATCGCGCCATCCAGACATTCCGGGCTGAGCTCGTTGTCGCCAAACGAGCCAAGCAGCTCGCTCACAATGATATCTCCCGGTTCTGGTACGTGTATCATGCGCATATCACCATACACTAGCTCCACCTTATCCCGCCACTCATTTTGTTTCCGGCCCTGTAGCCTGCGTGAACATTCACATCGGCCATATCAGCATTTCGTTGCAGTGAGAAGAAGCATGGATAAATGCGTACGTGACGAATGCGCTTGGGTTCTTCTCGAGTGCGTAAACGAAGACGTTTCGTTTCGAGCGTTTGATGGCGGTAAGACAGCGAGCGACGATGCCTCCTCGCCCAGCACCTGCGACATAGAGCACACTGAGACACGGGTCAATCGCGGAGTGGATATACGATCATTATCGACCCACATTCTGTCTGCTTCCGGCCAGTCGTCGAGTGCTTGGAAGACAGCCTGTACACAGCAGACAACCGTCGGGATCAATACCACGCGTCTATAGGGATACATGGGATATCGGACGTACCTCCTCGTATTTTTGATATTTTACTGGATCTTGCTCGAAAGTCTGATAAGTGACGCTCTGCAGATTATCCATGAGGGGCTATAACGAAAGTATTTCGAGTTAGCTTTGCTACAAGTAACAGGATCGATTCACATACCTGCAATGGAGCCTGCAAGTAATCCTGATACCCCTGTGCGAAATTCTCCACCGTTCCCGCCGTTTTTGCCTGCATGACGGCCGGACTCGTCTTCTCTAGGTGTCGTATATATTGGAGGTACGCGGGTTCGCCACCACTGCTGTGTAGACCTGCGCCTGCGTCCGAGAGGATAACCATTGGTCGGTGCTACAAGTAGAGGAGGAACAATAATTTCATGAGTTATGTTTGGTCGACAGAAGAAGGGAGAGGTCAATAAAAGTACCTTCATGATGTCACGAACGAACGTCTGCGAAACTTTTGGAAGGACGGGGTAGCCCTTGGAGTTGGCGATGAATGTCGAAGCGGGTAGGAATACGTGTCTTATAGGCTCTGCGGCCCATCTATCCAATACACCAGCTGCCGAGGGCAAAGGCGGGGTAAGGTCCAGAGCTACATTAAACAACCCATTCACATTTCCGTTAGTACGCTCATGTATACCTAGATCGAAGGGAGGCAAGAACTCACTGAGCGTCAATCGCGGATTATACCCACACACCGCACGCACGACATCCCATATCTCCCACGTCGCATTCAACTCCGCCTCCGGTGCCTTCGTCGACGGAATCCCAGTACCCGTACCCGCACTCGCAGCACTAGCCGAACTGGTCGGTTCCTTGATTTCAGGCGTCGCAGATCTCGCGAAATACGAACTCGTAGGCGACTCTGAGATCTTCGTGTATGAGATCGAGCCCAGTCCTTTCGATAACGAACGCCGATGCTGATGGCCGAATGGTTTTGACTGTCGCTGCAGCTGTTGGACTGTTTGCGATCGGGGACGTTGTTGTGGAGCTTGAGCTTGTGGTGGTTGTGGAGATTGTGGTTGCGGCGTTGTCTGTGATAGAGGCTGTGGTGCTTGGGGGTGCGTGCTTTGATGTCTCTCGCGCTGGAAGATGGACGGATCGTAGATGGGCAGACGGACGGAAAGTTGGATGTAGGGGGTGGCGGCAAGACAGGCGTTGAGAGCTCGGCCGTAGGAAGCTGCTTGGTCTCTGTTTCGGGGTGGTGGTAAAATGACGGTCTGAATATTCAGATATGAGGCATAGGCCAGTTCTTGTCGGAGTGCCTGTGAAAAAAGTCGGTCAGAAATGTGTAGACGTGTGGCGTGTCACGTGACGTTTAAGAACAAAGAAAGTTCCGAGATCAGCAGTACGAACAGAGGCGAACTATGCGGCGTAAAGATATAGAAATATGTACTCACAATCTCAGAGTCGTGTCTAACCCAATCGTCCGCCGCATCTAGTTCTAACCAGTCCGAAACCATAACGATCACACCGTCTGCTTCATCTACACCACGCCACATCAATAACGACGCGGCTTCCCATCAACGTACCGAATACCAAGGTCAAAACACACACCTAAACTTGTCATTGTGACCTCTTCCTTCAAAAACCCAGGAGCAGCCCTCCACGCCTCCGCCTGTTTCTCCACCAAAATCTCCGCCTTCTTCTTCTTCGCCTCTTCCTCTCCCATCCCATCTTCCTCTCCCGGCTTCCCATCCCCACTCCCACTCCCATTCCCATTCCCACCTCCACTATGTCCATTCACAGGCGGAATCAAACACATCCCCATCCATCTCTCCTTCCACTTCTCATTCGTCAGCGGCGCACAAACCGTAAAATAATTCCTCGACCGCGCATCGTCGATCAAGTCCAACAGGCGCTCGCCCTCTCCTTCTCCTTCTGAATCCGGCTTGGCGCCCGAATTCAGATGTTGCTGAGTCGGAGTGGATGTGAGTGCGGGTGATGGGGGTCGTGGGGTCGAAGACGATAGGGGGTGGTTACGGAGGTCGGAGAGTGAGAGGGTGGTGGCGATGGCGACGGTATCCCAGGACATGGCTGTGGGTGTGGGTGTGGGTGTGCTGAGCTAACGGCGCCCAGTGTTACTTCGAATGTGTCCGAGCACGTTATTTTACGTTTGTACCTATCCTGAGATGTGGATGCGATGTTATTTGGTTCTGCTGGATGAGAACTTGAATGCAGAAACGATGGGTTGGAGGAGAACGGACGCCGCGCGTATGCTGGTAGGTGCAAGCCTGAATTGAATCTACAAATATGCGTTCGCGAGGCTCGTGTGCGATGCCGTAAGAGCCTGAATGGCGGGAACCTCTTGTCGATCTTTTTTGTGATCCTTTCGCCGTCGGAGGTCAGAACACAACGGATGTGAGCGGAAGCATTCAATTTCAAAGAATAATTCAAAGCGAGGAACACGACGGGGAAACCACTATTTAGAGCCCGCTAAAGTGGAATCCAAACCTCGGTCAATATATCATATATGGGTGTCAGTTTAGCGCTCTCTAAAGCAAAACTTTAGCAAGCTCTATAGTGAATTCCATTAATTACTCTCTGAATTACCTTTAGAGGACGCTAAAGAGATTCGGGGTTACCACATTAGGCAAGCCCGAGGTGCTCGACAGCCTTTAGCGTCCTCCAAAGTCAATCTTTAGCGTTTGTACGGCATTTCTACAGAAAATGCATAGACTCGCCTTGAGAGGTCTCTAAGGTTTTTCTTTCGTACTTCCCAAAGCGGAGTCCACATTTGATATATAGAGATTATTTTAGAATTGCCTTTAGAGCAGTCTAAATAGTGGTTCCCCGGCCGTGGAACGCGTCGCGTCGTGGGAAGGATCGACTGGCCCCGGTCTCTCCCGAATTGATTGAATGATATTGGCGCCTTCAAGTAAGTACTAGTTGCGCCACTTCAAACATACTTACACTGTGCCGGCTACATCACCAAGTAAGATGCAGAATACGTAGCTGACCATAAGGTGAACGAAATAAGTGAAAGCACAAATGATTGGTCGGCATGAATATAAGGTCCTCACAACTCCGCTTCAAAAATCGGAGATTGAAGATGCCGTTGACACACAAGCGGGGAGGATTGAATTTTTTTTTGAGCATGCATGGCGATTAATACGGATAGTATGCACCGTGCAGTACTATGCCATTGACGATGCCGAACGAGAGACCATGCATCCCACATCTCTTTTACTTATGTCTATCCAACCCACCCATCACTCATCCATCCTCGACCTCTTCTCCCCCCTCTCCCCTCCCTCTTCTCCCCCTCCCTGTCCCCCTCCCCTTCTCCTCCCCTGCCCTCCCTGTCCTCCTCCTTCCCCATCCGCCTCATCAACATCCATCCCCTCCCCCATCTCCAATCCCCTTAGCAACCCCCTCCCCACCGCCCTACTCACCACCGCCCTCAACTCCTCATCCACGCCCTCATCCCCTTCCCTGCCCTCTCTTTCTGCACGCTCCATTATTGCTTGGGCGTCGGAGAGGAGGGAGGAAGTTAGGGCTTCGGAGGCAGCGTTTTGGGCGTGTTGGGAGGGGAGGGGGTGCGGGTGGGGGTGGGTGGGGAGGGCGGTGGAGGTGGTGTTTGTTGGGGAAGTTGAGGAGGATGTGAGGGTGGTGGTGGTGGGGAGAAGGGAATTAAGATATGTCGATACGTTTGGAAAATCTTCTGATAGATGTTCCGCGGGCTACATCCACATCCGCCAACAACCCCCATCAGCCCTCGCCCAAAATATTCATCCCCCGCCCAAAGAAGAAAAAACAAAGCTATGGTGGACTGACCGAAACCCCCTCCGCATTCCTCCTATCCACAATCGCACCATGGTCGACGAGCCACCGCGCCGTCTCGACGTTCTCGACGGTATAGAGCGGAGTGTCGCCGTCTGAGTCTGTTATGTTTACGTTGCCGCCTGTTTGGGAGTGAGTTGGTGAGTGAATGGATGAGTGGGTGGGTGGGTGAGTAAGTGAGTGGGTTGGGATGTGGATATAAATGTGGAAGGGGTGGTCGGGGAGTTGAGGTTGGGAGAGGAGGAAGGTGGGCGGGTGGAAGGTCAGATATGCGTCACGGAGAGTAAGTGTGGAAATAGAGAGGGGTGAAGCAGGATAGTTAGACGAAGTGGGATGGGTGGGTGCAAGCAATTGGTAAGTTACTGACCTCGGGAAACGAGATACTCGAGCACCTCCAGCTGGCCATACGATGCGGCGGCATGTCTGTGCGGCGCCACAAAAGAGCGAACGAAAAAGGAAAAGAATAAAATAAGTCAGCACGCGATATTCGGCTCGGAACGTATCGAAGGCTACGAAAAGAAAGAATATAAATAAGAGAGACAGACAGAAGAAGGAGAAGGTGGAGATAGGCGTATGAAAGCGTATGTCACTGTGGGAGTCCACATCAAAAAAACGAATCGGAATATAAGTAGACCCTCGGAGACCTCGGATTCTTCCCCGTTCTTCGTTCTTCGTCTGTGATTCAAAAATAGAGAATGCTTGGTCGGTTCGACACCGCCCAGGCAGGAGAACCACTCCATACCGAGCGGCTGAAATCCCGTAAGTACTTAGCGAGCGGTCGAGCGGTCAAGTGGTTAAACTTGCACGAAGCGACCACTATCACAGATCCGCATATTTGAGTACTTGACACACAGCCGCGGCCGCCAGTCCGCCAATCCATCGAGCACCCCGAGCCAGATCTGGACATCCGTCAGCCGTGACGCGTCGACGTTCGAACCACACAGATCGCGCTGGAAAGTGATCCGCGGGTCGATCCCTTAGCGAGGAAGGTAAGAGTCCCTAACCGAGGGATGCAAGGGTCCCTAATCCCTAACCGATGAAGGCAAAAGACCAGAACTGATCAAAGAAGCGGCTGGAGTAGGAAACCTACGATCGCCACACGCCCGGGCTTTACTCTTATGGAAATGGAAAGTTCTTTGTTCGCGCTCGCATAAGCGAGTAGTGTGACGCGGTGTTTGGGCTTAGGCTTCGAAATTCGGTGGATGTATGTATGTAGAAGTTGGAAACCGTAGCAAAGCACAGACCAAGGAATCGAAGAAGAAGAACGAGAAAGAAAGAAGAAAGAGAAAGAAACCGAAGAATCGAGGATGTCATGGTTCTGTGGGCTTGGCGGAGGAGAAGACGAAGACGAAGACAAAGATGAGAACGTATGTGGTAGGAAAAGGACTGACATGGGCGTGTATGTGTTTTCATCTGGTGCATTCGGGTCGACGGCTGTGATTCAATAAAAAAAACTGGATGAATGGACTGTCCATGTCAACCGGGCAAGTGATGGCAACATATGACTTGCAGTGATGTTCGACGAGTTCCTGTGCACAGAAGCCAAGCAAAAGGCAGAACGAAAGAGGTAAGATTAAGATTTGAGTTGCAGTACTGCGGCCGCCGGGACCGAGCGAAGAGTCTAAGTCTGAGACTGAGACAGGGGAAGGGGGAGGGAAGGGGAGGGAGAGAGGCTAGAGCGGAGGACGCGATGCCGCTCGGCAGAGGCTGCATACGACGAGGCGCATCAAAGGGGGTGATGGTGCCCGACGACCCGACCGAGCGTGGATGCAGTACTGGTTGACATGGACATGAGACGGTGCTACGAACCTGTACGCGCGCGAGGTCGCCATCACCCGCTGCTATCCAGATGTTGCTGCCGACTCGCGTTGACGCTGGCATTTTTTGTTCTCAGCTGGATTTTTTATGTTCTTCGCAAAGTAGAGTATAGAGTATGCAAGATCGGAGGAGGAAGGTTGCAAAATGAAGCCGATCACGACCTCGGAACCTCATCATCTATTTGGTTCGGTGTTTGGTCTGGGCGCTTAGACCCAGTGAAAACCACGTCTACGTGTATCTAGATTTTGTATGTAGTTATCTACGAGCATATTGGCAATCTATCGTAATCTAGAGTTTGCCTCCAAAAATCTACGTGTAGATGATCTTGGTAAAATCATCTAGGAACATCTACAAATATCTAAGACACTGTATTTGGTGAAAACAGTCTACATAAATCTACAATCGTCTCGGAAAATCTAGAAAAAGTTATACCCATTCTTCTGGCTAGAATATCTCGAGCATGTTGACACGCGAGGACGACCGTGCCACTGTGGCGAGTATGAGCCAAGCTTCTTTGAGTCGGCTGCGGCGAATGTAACTGGACATGCGCAAACTCGCTCGTTCAAAACGGCGTTAGGTGTATCGGGAACTCACAAAACCGCTGGACACAAGACCTACCGCGTGCAAAGTGTGATCCAAGGCGAACAACACACAAAGATGAATGGCAAGGGGTTGATTTGAGTCAAAGGACGGTACATGTAAAGCCGACTCGCGTATCGAACGAACGTAATCGATCCAAATGACGAAGGAAGGGGGTGTGCACGATAGCAAAAAAACTCAAAGCATAGTCAAAGCAGGGCGTAATACAGACCACCCGAGCAACAAAAGGCAGACACGTAAGACGAACATACGCGAGAAAATGGTGGGCATCTCGCCTCCTTTGGCGTGTGATATGCTCGACACCCTATTAGACTGCACCATGAGTAACAATAACGAATAATGAAACCCTTCTCACCACTCACCGGTGACGCAACGATTCCCAACGGGCCTGACTCGATGACTGAGCAATTTTTAGTACTTGGACGGCCACAACCATGTACCAAGGCAAACTCACTGCGTATCCTCGAACATGACCCGTACCTCCTTTCTTGTTGTTTATCCACGGGTTCACCGTGAGGTGACACCTCTTATCTGGCGGCAAGGAATGCAGGCCTGCGCGGCTTCACATTTCCTCAGTTCCCCAACTGACGCAAGTCGAACTAACGGTACGTACCAGCCACTGACCCCGTGTGGCAACTCCCTTTCAGTCGGCTGCAGCGAATGCAGCTGGACTTGCGCAGATTATGCTGAATAGTCATGCATCACCGGTTTGGCTAAAGAGGTGTTGAGAAACGGTAAAGCGTGGAGAACATCGTTGTCGACCTCGATGGTGCAGCGACAGCTTGTGCTGAAAGAGTACCAGCTAAATCCTAGTGCAGTCGAGGTACAGATTACCCCAGACCCCGCCAACATATTGTGGGCTCAACACGCACATTGACAAAGGAGTGTGTACCCAGGGCTGTAAATGTGTGCCAGGAAACCGGATGAGTGTTGTCGTTCGAAAGGTCACGACAACAACTTCGGTGTGTACCTGCCGACGCGTCGCGGGTTCCACAGGGCATCAGGAAAAAGGGGTAGGTGAGTAAGGGCTGGTAGTTCAACATTCCCCAGCGGGGAAAGGATGTGGCCTGGATCGGGAAAAAACTGAACAGAAACGAAACAAAATGAGAAAGGGCGTACTACAGCATTTGAGTGTCCATCCTCAGCTCTTCCTCTGATTCTTGTTGGATGCCTCGAGGTTGTGTGTGTGATTGTCCCACCTCACGGTTGTGCCGCTCCTCAGCAGCCTATGAAACAGTGTTAGGATGTCATGTAGGAATGGAGAGATATGGGAAAATAGTAAGGTTACGAACCTTAGCGCACTCCTCCTGCAGTCGAATGTCCGAGTCCCTTAAAGGCTTGTCCTCCGCAATATCCTTCTCTGAGGGTGCCAAGTCCACAATCATAGTATCCGACATCTTCTTGTCATCCCTCCATGCTTCCCTCTCCTTGTCAGCCACACGTTTCGCATCCGCCAACATCTTCTTCAATTCCTCAAGCTGCCGCTTGACAGCTTCGAGATTTGCCTGGAAGGTAGCGCATTAGCTCTACAGATATCACGGAGATGAGGTGAGTGACCATAGCCGAATGGATGATGGACGTACTGCCTGCTTGGACAAGGTAGCTTCAGTGCTACTAGCTGTGTACTCGTCATGCGTCGGGCCCAACAAAGCCAGAGCCACCTCGCTCGCCTGACTGATCTCCTGGAACTGCGCCACATGTTTCCTTGCGTTCTCGAGATCCACCTCCATAATCTTCAGCTAACCACTAAGCATTCAGATCCGAAGGCAACAATTATCAGAACGTCCATCCCATAAATTCCGAACAAGAGTGTGGAGAAACGCACCGGAGATCAGCGACCTCGATCTGAAGCTGCTGCTCCTTCATGTAATCCCATCATCCGCATGAGCAACCCTATCCACAGCCATTGCCGACGAGGATGCGATGGGCCCTCTGCGCTCATAGACCGCTAACTTCTCCTCCGAGTTGTTGCCTTGCAGCTGCCGAGAAAGGTCAGAAACCTTCTCTTCGAGGTGAGACTTGCTTGTTTCTGCGCGTGCAAGGGATTTGCGAGTGGTAGAAAGCTCCTGGGCCTGTTGTATGAGAAGGGACATATGTCAGAGCAGGGAACATACACGAAGTTAGCTGGGAACGGACCTGTTTGTCCAGGTGCCATTGAAGTTCCTTGGCTTTGAGCTCCCTCCGCAGGGTGAGCCTCTGGACAAAGTCCCTCTCCAGACCAAGCTGGTTACGAATGTACACACTACATGCAGGTAACGAGCACGTAAGTCGACACACACTGCTAAAGGTGAGAGAAAAGACGTACATCTGGCTCTCAAGCCCTTGAATCTGGCTCTCCAGCCTCTTCCTATCATTCTCACCTGATCACTCGAGGTCATTATTCATCTTCTGCACGTTCGACATCAGATCTGACAGATGAGACGTCTCGACTGATAGTGCTTTGTTCTCCTCGACCAGGAAGCTCTGAATACTCTGGGTAGACCCTCTACAAATCCCGACCATGTCAATCTCGGCTCAAACACAGGGAGAAAAGTTTAGAGCAAGGGGAGAAGGTTTACATCCCGAATTCCTTTCTTCACCCTCAAATCTGCACATTCGTTCCTCACAATCTCCATCTTACCCTCCGGGACGGAAATCTCTGTTGCTCTAGTGAACTTGAGATCTGTGCGGGTCCACTTATCGCAAACGATATCATACCGTTTACGAAGCTCAGCCATATCGCGAGCTTGAACGCTCCACTGCTTTTTCATTGTGATGCCACTCTGCAGATGAGACCACAATATCGAGCGCCGTGTTCCAGTTACATGGACTGGAAAGATGAGAAAGCAGAAATGAGAAACGTACTGTTCATGTGCTTGATCCTTGCATTGGCTTTGGCCAATATTGCTCCACTCAACTGACCGTTCTGCCTCTGGACTCTCATAAGCCCCTTTCTCACCCTCACCCTTTCAATATCTATCTCTGTCCTACACGCCTCAAACTCGTCCTGAACCTCCAAGATCTGACTCTCCTCTCTTACCCCAACTCTGTTCTGTCCAATTGTACCCACACCGTTCGACTCGCGACCAACGATAGAGGACGGACTATCTTCATCCCCTCTAGCCTTCAATGTATCCCTCTCCTTGATAGCAATCTATTTTGCGATTTTCTCCCTCTCTATAGTCTCCTGCATTACCATCATCACCTTCCCAGCCTCCTTCATCGCCTCGTCCTTCTACCTAGTGATTAAAGGAGCTCAAGACCGCCTTGAGCAAAGTCGGACTATGGAGACTAGAGCAAGCCCATACTGACGAATTGTACAAGTAGCGACACCATACAATCAATGCCATTTTCAACGGAGAACTTTCTCGAGCAAGTCTTTCAAGGCCAAAAAAGAAGCAAAGTGTCAGGCCGTTCATAGCAGGGTCCAGTGTGGACGATGCACCCAGGCTATGAGATACAGCAGCAGCAATGAATTCAAGACTCAGAGGTAGCCACAGGATACTTAGGATTCGGAATCTTGTAGCTTCTTGAAGGAAAGCGCAGATTGTAGTAGTTGGGAAGTTGGAACTAGGCAGGATCGCCACCTCGCCACCGCGACGCGAAGTTGGTTTCGCGCGGGTGTTGCCGACATCACGTGACTTTGGCCGTATCTTCAACTTCAACTTCTTGTCGCTAATCCGACTTGGTCCTACTGAGCTTTCTGAGCCGCTGCTGTCTCTGCGACACACACACTCTAGGAACCAGGATATATGCCATCACCTAAGTTTCATTTGTGGTATAACTCTGAGCAGGTCGATCCCCGGCAGCCTTAGTTTCCACTCCTTCCCTCTGCCCCATGCCTCTCCGGATGCCACAGGTCCAGTTTACAATCACATCTTAGCGGAATTTACTGAAGGGCCCCGATGCCCCACATTGTCTCGCATTTGACGAGGTACCACCCTCGGGCCTCATCACTGATAATGATGCTTATTACCCCAGTGAGTTCCCACACCTCTCTCGTGCAGAAACTGCGCCGTGGACGTCCCATCGTTGCACATCATAGCCTGTACGCCCTTCGGAGAAAGAGGAGGAGAATGAAAGCATAGCATGAGGTTTCACAATAGAAGAAGCACCCTATCCCGAAGTTGTGGAGGAGCAGGACAACCGGGAGGTGAGTACCACTGTCCGTCAGATTCTATTCATTCTCAATTGTTTATGGCCTGTTCCTTGACGTTATGAGCTCAATGGACTCATATACAGTCTTGCATTCACCTCCATACTTTACTGAAAGGCTATAGGCTCGGTTCTCACTGAGAACGGCGATGACTGAGGTGAGCTCTTCTCGTTCCAGACCCTTCTACCCAAATTTCGGTCATTTTCACTCATCTATTCCTTGTTCGAGGTTTTGAACTCGCCTGAGCTGAGTACATCCATTTCACGTCCGATACAGTTTGTTTGAAGGGCATTGGTCCATCGTTGTTGAGAATGACGATGATGATCAGGTGAGTTCTTCCTGCACCCTTTTTCTCAAAATACTGTTCGTCCTCACCCAATATTGATTTGTTTCTCGTCCTTGCGAGCTCAAAAGAGTTGAATATAGATCCTCTGCCATCTTCGATCCTTGTTTGGAGGATATCGGCCCCGTCATTGCTGAGAACGGTGATGATTGGTAGGTAAGTTATCCAGCAAACCCTCTTTCTCGCAACATTATTCGTTATCGCTCAATTTATCTTCGTTTAGTGACATTTCGAGCTCAAACAACTTGCCTATATCCTCTGCCATCTTGGCACTTTGTTTGGGAGAGATCAGCCCCATTACCGGTGATAAATGATGTGGACCGTTAGGTGAGTTCCTTCCACCAGCACCTTTCGGCTACTATTTTGTTCGATTTCATTTATTTGTGGACCTTTCTTCAACGCTCTTTTCTCTACAGAATTGTGTGTATTCCCTTCCCGACCTCCAAGCTTTCTTTGGGAACTATAGGCCTCGGTGCAATCAAGAATGACAACGAGAATCGGTAAGTTTACCTCGGAACTGTCAAATGACGCACATAACGTTAAATTGTTACTGACATAGTACTCATAGGCAAGGGCACGGGTAATGCGTATGGGTCTGGGTCGACCTTCGGGCACCCACGGGCTACCTGCACTGTTCACTAATATGTGTAGATCTGTGTAGATAATGATAGAAATATACAACCACTCTGAAGTTTCTCTAGAATTACCTAGACAATCGTAGATCCCTGTATATGGCTCATCTGATGCCAAAGCAAATGTAGATTGGTGTAGATGGCCAAGCAATAAACCCAGATCTCTGTAGATTGTTGAAGTCTGTCGTAGATACATCTAGAGTTTTGTATATGACGCTAGCTTGATTCATCACAAAAGAGCGTGATTGAACCATGTGTAGATATGCGTAGATTACCCTAGCTGGTTCGTACGTTGAAACAGTCCGACAGATACAGAGACATTTCCCGAAGGTAATCGTAGATCATCGTAGTTCAGATTGGAAAATTACACTACGAGAATCTAGAGAGGCCTTCTGGTAGATTACCGTAGATGGGAATCTCACTGGGGCTTAGAAGCGGGCATTTGCAATTGGCGGGCCCCAGCGAGGCACACCATCTGTGCGCCACAGCTCGCGAACAGTTTTGCTAAAGTTTTTCGCAGGGTGTGGTACCTTGTGGACGCCGAGAGCTATTTATGAGACGTGACAGTGATAGGCAGCGAAATGATGGGCTTCTTTCGGTGGTGTTTGGCAGGATCTGTTTTGATGTGAGAGATGGACGGATATGGGAGCGGTGACTGATTGGGGTTAAGACAGGGGCGAAAGGAGCGGAGTGATGGTGCGACGGATGCAGAATGTCGGAGTGATGTGGCCATTGTGTGGCGGTGGGATGCTAGCCGCGCACGGACGCCCCGTGGTGGCCGACTGGAGACTGGGATGAGAGTATCTGGGAGTCGTGTGAGGACTTGGAGGAGGGCGTCTTCCTGGGTGATCCGGACGCGGGAAGCGTTGGGCGTTGCAGAGATGTGGGGATGGAGGGAAGACGGAAGCGGATCTGGCGTGTCCAGATCTGGCACCGATCACGAACCGCCCAGCTGACGAACTCGCGCTGCAAGTCCTGGCGCCAGTCTCGCTCGCCCTGCCGTCGACGCTGCCCGCGAGCGCAGGCCTCGCATTTTCTGGAGCAGGCGACGGCAGTGGGCTGGGGCAGCTGGAGCGTGACAGAGGCGAGCGTGACAGGGGTGCAGGGCGCGGAATATGATTGGCGGGTGCGCCGGCGTGCCGGCGCGTGGCATTCTCGCATTTGGGCCACCGACGACGACAAGCCAGAGTCAGCACGCCTCCCTCTCCCGTCCTCCATCTCCATCTCGTCCCCTCGCCCTGTCCGTCGCCCGCCGCCTTGCCCGTCGTCGTCGTCGTCGTCCACAATTATTTTACTGTATTCGCCTAGTGCAGAGACCGTCGTGAGAGCTTCAGAGCCCGTCGCATACGCCCCATGAGTTTCCTCGAGTCGTCCCAACGCCAGTTGGACCCGCAGGAGCTCGCCCACTTCGACCCGCTCCCGTCCCACGCACAGCGCATGCAGCTCAACATGCACCACTTCGACCACAACCAGCACCTCCCAAACTCCCATACCGCTTCCGTCCGTACTCCCGATCACTCCACCAAGCCTCCTAAGCTCGGCCAGACGCGCTGCTGTACGTACGCCCTCCGTTCCCTCCCCCTTGCCCCATACGATCGCTCATCGATCGTCCGCCACTCCTTTACTTCTCCCGCCCTCCCTTTGTCCCACGACACTCATTGTTCACCGTGCAGACTGGACCCTCCTCTCCGCCGACCTCCGCTTCCTCTACCTCGACCCCGTCCTCGCCGATCACCTCGACGAGCAGGCGGGTCTCCTCATCGGCAAGTCCCTCCTCGACTTCGTCCACCCAGAGGAACAGGCGTCTGCAAAACAGGACCTCCGCAATGTGCTCGACAGCAGGACCATGCATGGCAGCGTCACCCGGTATGCTTCCTTTTTTTCCTTCTCTCTCTCTTGCTCCTTTTCAACGTGTATCACTCACATCTTCCGTCTCACCTATTCACATTCACATCGATACTCGCCGGCTGCCTCGCGCGAACAGTATGCGTTATTCACGCCTTACCCGCGTGCGTCGCCTGCTCGGCCACCAGGGCCCCTTGACCAGCTTCCCAGGCGTTGACAAGGTCACCATTGACTCTGACTATCTCGCCGTCGACCTCGTTATCAACTGGGCCGCCGAGGACCTCGTTCTCTGCTTCATCCACGCATGCGTCGACCTCACACCCTACGACAATGACGAGCTCTCAAAATCCCCGTGGTCTAATTGGTGCGGCACGCCTGAAATGAGCCAAGAGCAGTGCAACCTCCTCTACCAAAGCCTCCTTACCAATGTTCCCCAAACCGGCACCGTCTCCCGCGTCTTCCAAATTCTGCTCCATCAGCCGGAAAGGCCCCTTCTCCAGAGCTGGCCACCCGACTTACCTCAGACTCATGGCCCAACGGCTCGGGACTTTGCTAGACTGTCGGATGAGATCCAAATTGGACCTGGCGCCCGGAATGGAAGCGACGCGAAAACGAGCTGTACGAGGCGGTACAAAGCCTCGCAGTCCATGACATCCTCGGATGGCGTAAGAGAGGTCGAAAGTATATTCATCCCACACGGTCAGCTCCCCTTTCCCTAGCGTCCTCCTGCCCTTGCCCCACCGTGGCCCCACCCTGACCTCGCCTCACTTCGCTTTCCATTTTAGGTTCCATCATCTTCGCCTGCCACAAAGTCAACTCCCAGCAGCAGGAGGAAAACCGTCCTTCATCGGCCCTCGCTCCGACTATGCAACAAACCCACTACGACGCTAGTAGCTACACTATGGCTCCTCAAAACCCGCAACAATACTTCCACGAACCCCCGTCGACTGCAGCAAACTCTTACAGCCTCTCGTCTCTTCCCAACCCCAGCGCCACAGCGTATAGTAACCTCTTCTCTCAGGCCCAGTCCCAGCAGTATTCCTCCCAGCATCAGTGGCCTCCTCAGCCTCAAGACCCGTACTCCAGTTGGCCGAACACACCGTCGTCTGCGTCGTTTGGGACACAACAGCAAATGCGTCCGTCGTCGTATCCTCCGCCGCCACAGCAACAGCAACAGCAGGCGCCGGCACATTGGGCGACCTCACCGTTCCCGGAGTCGACGGATCCCTTGGGGCAGTCGTTCCCCCGGTCGATTTCACCAGCGTACAACTTCCACTCCGGTGGCGAGGCTCGACAGCCTAGTCCGCAAAACCTGATGATGTCCGACAATGGAGTCCCACCGCCGCGCCCAGGCCAACGTCGGGTTAGCCCGAGCAACTCAAGGGATCAGTACGGAGGAGGCGGCCGAAGTGCCGGTCATCCCCCTGTTGGCATCACTCGCTGCTCCAGTTGTAGGGTTACCCAGTCGCCCGAATGGCGTAAAGGCCCGAGCGGGAAGAAAGACCTGTGCAATGCGTACGTACATTTCTCGTTTTCTGACGTGCTCTATTTTTACCCACGGTCACTCACCTCCCTGTTTTTCCAAAATCATTATTTTCGGCAATATAGTTGTGGGCTCCGATATGCTCGTTCGAAGGCAAAGAAAGATGGCATCACACAGCGGAAAAGGAAGGACAAAGTCTCCGCTATCTCCGTCAAGGACGAGCACCTACACTCGCCGAAACTCGAGCCCGTCTCCGGCTCCCTCCCCTCCGCCGCCTCGCTTTCGATGTCTCAGCAGATGGCAACGGCTGCTACGCCCCCGGTCTCCGTGCCCTACTCGGGTCTCAGGCGTAGCACGTACGACGACACGTCCTTCGTTTCGACGTCGCCCGCGGGATCCGCTTCGGGTAGCGAGGCCTACTCACATTCGCAGCCGAGCACGAGTGCGAACAATGCCGGGATTAGCGCCGCCGCTAGTACCAGCGCACACCCGACCCAGAATCGTAATAGGCCGAACAGTTTCAGTGGAGGAGGGGGCCTGACGCCGTCGCCTTCGCCGCCCGCGAACGCTAGTGGATTCTCTACGCAGACGCAAACTTACCTCGGCCCTGGAGCTTCCTCCGTGTCGTCTCAACAGTCGTCTCAGAGTCAGTCACAGGCTCAGGCTAATGTTCGACACGGGTCGAGTTCATTTTACTACCCGTCGCCACTGGCGAACACGTTGCAATCGTCTCACTCGCAGATGCCCAGGACGGAGTCTTCGTTGCCGAACCTCTACAGTCTCGGTCATAGCCACCATCGGTCGTCGGACTCGTTGCTCGCTGGGCCTGGAGGTTCAGGTGTCAGTGGAGTATCGTCTTACGAAAGGGAGAGGGAGCGACAGAGAGTGCAGAGGGAGCAGAGGGAGAAGCCCTCGGCTGGAGCTGGAGGAGCAGGCGCAGGAGGGTTGGGCTCGGACGTTGCATTGCCGCCGACTCCGTTGAGTGCGGATGGGAGGCACGGAAAGGCGACGTTCGTGACGCAGTGATCAGTTGGAATCATTCTAACTAGTCTTGGAGTGCAGGTGATGACTGCGCCGCGAACGGAGTCGGAAGGGGGTTTGTGTACGTGGTTATGTGAAGGGGACTTCGCGTTTCAGCCGGGCTGCAGGAGTTTTCGTCGTCGTCGTCGTCGTCGGGCCTTTGTGAAGATTATTTATTCATTCTCCTTTTCTCCGCCCTTTTTTCGTCTTCGTTTTCAGTATCGCATTCGCACACGCCCAAACGGACTATACGGCATATTTCTCCACTCAGGTTCAGATTCAGTCCAACCACAACCTATTCCATTTCATACCATGATCGCGGGTCTACTCTTCTCAACATTTTATATGGCTCGTATAACTTACGTTCTTCGCCCTTCGCCTTTCAATCCCTTCTTTACGCGTTCTGCCTTGCATCGTTCATCCCGTTCCCGCATCAGCACCAGTCCACTCATGTCGTTATTCGTGTCCCAATCGTCATCGCCATGCTTGTTCATTTTCCGTATCCGTATCCACCCACGTCCATGCCACCCAAGTCCGAGTCCATCATGATGCCCTGCCCCTGCCTGTGAGGAGTGTGTATTACCCTATAGTCCAGTCAGTCAGTCAGTCAGTTGCACGTACGCATCGGCACGATCATAAACTAAAGTATGTTAAACCCACTTTTTCAATCGCCTGTCTTCGTTTTTCTTTCTTTGCCTTATGTTCCCTTTGAATTCTTTGGGGTCTTTGTGCGCGTTCGCTCGTCCGTCAGTCGTTCATGCCATGCATCCTTCCCACCCGTTCCGATCCGTTCTGAACCAATTTACTTATCCTACGCACTCCATACATACACGCCGCACGTTTGCCAGTAATCGTATTCTCGAACATCACATCCAGGCTCCCTTCTCGGTTCATGAGGCTGCAGTTTCTCTTTGTATATTCTTCTGTTTGTTCGCATTTCGTGTTCGTGTTCGTGTTCATTCATGTCCTTTCCTTCTCTTTCACGACCGCACTGTTTCGTGGGATGGATTCTGTTCTGGGTCTTTGTCTTCTTCACTTTTTGTTTTTCTCTTTCATGATTGTTCCATTGCACCCCACTTCGTTTCGTTTCGTGCATAACCCATCCAATCTCCCACTCTCCCATCCCATCCCGTCTCATCCCCACATTCCTCATCCCCTGCACGACTGACAATGATTCTGAATCATACTCCTTCTACCTCGGACAAGTTCGAACTTCGGCCCAGCCCACGAGTGTTAACGTTCAGGGCTATACATACGCATATGCACTGTCAAAAATTGTATTTACCTTTTCCTCCTTGTGAGCCTTTTCCATTCCATACGATTTTTTTGAGCTTGAGAAGGCTGCGATTCGGATATGATATACTATAAGTTCTCTTTTTGACGTATTTTTTGATGTCTTTCTTCGTCATGCGTGAGGACATGCCCGAACATTCCTTGGACCAAAACCAAACTCTCTCACGCCATCCGTCGAACCACGCCCCACGTTCGCTGCCACTTCGCCGTCGAAGACTCGAGGAGTCCGTCCCTCCATTTGGACTCGCACGAACCGACCGGCGAAGCGCCAGACTCGCGCCTCGCGTGCCCATTACTTATCGATCGTTTTGAATTATCGAGCTTCGAATCGTGAGAGGCCCAAGGGTCCAAAGAAGCTCGTCGTTTGACTCGTTGTGGTTGGATCAGGGTTTGCTGATTATCGAGATCCCTTGAACCTGAATGAATTCGAAGGAAGGAGGACGAGTCTGGTGCCTGCCTGCCCATGATGAACCATGAAATCTCCATTTGAGGTCGGGCTTCACACACACACCGGCCGGGCGATAATGAGATGTATGTGTGAAAGTCATTTCGGTATTTTTCTGGAGACCGCTGGTTTCATGGCATTACGGTCGGGATACATATGCTGGTACGATGCGTGACTTCAGCGTGCGTCGGTGCTCGTCGACTGGAATGGACAGCCCCGCGACAAACATATACTTAGCATCTCCCTGCCCTCCGTCGGTAGTGTTCACCAGAAATCAATGATAGCAATGAAAAACACAGGATCATGGAGCCTCTGTTCCGAATGCCCTACGAGTTAGCAGTGACCGGACTGCGACGACATCGTAGTACAGCAGACCTTAGCCATAGGCAGGCCGTTAGAGTGCATAGGAGGGCGCTCCCGCTCTGACGACTCGGGCCCATGACGGCGCGCGCTCGGAATGTCGGTCCAGTTCAACTGCCAGCAGGGAACGACGCCACTACTTATCTCCACTTGGACATCGTGCATGATGAGTATCATACAAGCCCGACCAAGCCATTCTGGGAGGTAAGTAACTTTGATGCCTGCACTGGAACAGAACCGGACGTCGTCACACAAAGCACCGCTGGACGCCCGCTTAGCGTCGTGACATTGACGACGATGGGCAAGTGATAGGAAGGGGACGTACACAGCTCAAGGTGACGTGCTTACCTACGCTAGGAAGATCAACTTGGACGTTCTTCCGTTCGAGCGGTTCTATTTCTGCACCAAGGAGTCAAGACGGGCGCGGTTCACTGATTCGATGGCGCCACGGGGGCGGATGATCGGGTGCTGACAAAGGAGTAAGAACGTTCTTAGTGGCGATAAGAGGCGGCGTATGCAAGAGCTTACTATTTGTGGTGGAAGAAGTGGGAGAAGCGGATACGAGTGGCGCGATTGTCGGCGCTGTATGGGAGATATCAGAAAAACAGACAGCGAATGAAAGCGGGTGCGTTTCTCGAGGATATGTGTGCCGGACGTCAGATACGGAAACAAAGGCTACTCGGTATTGTGTCTTGTTGGGTATTGCGTCAAACCGATAGTTCCAACGGGTATGTTCAATAGCTTCTAACCACACGCCAAAGGGGGACACGGACATGACAGAGGACTTCGTGACTTATATAGGGAGTTATTTCACAGCAGCAGGCGATAAGATACAGGGTAGCTGGCCGCCCTGGATATGTAAGGTGAATGATGGTGCTGCCCGTGGACGCTGATTGAGCAGGGTGAACACCTGATGAGGAATAGGGTCGAGATCGTAAGGATAGCATCCGTAAAAAAGAGGCGTCGGAAGTCGGCAGGTCCTTCACAGTGGTAGTAATACACAGTCCAAATGGTCGTACAACGAGTGCAACGCTCTAGTGCGCGTAGAAGTCTGTAGAGGAGAGACAAATGCAGGTTGATGATGCACCTTACGGCCAGTGACTCAGTCTAGGCCGTTTTGGTGAATCTGTTTGCATCGGAAAAACGAGGTCAGGACCAGAACGAAGGAGAGGGGTGGCGGTATGCCCAGCGGAAGAGTGTTTGGAAGAGACAGAGAAGAAGGCCCACGTTGCATCGATCTGAGTTATGTTGGGAAGCGCCAGTATGATCTTTCGCCGGTAATTTGCTCCTTCGGCATGTTGGCAAGGGTTTCCTTCCAGATAGATAGTTTCCAGGTCAGGAAGGGAACTAAGCTGGCTCTCGAGGCCTTGTAGATTTGGGATTTTGTTATTATTCATCTGAGGGTATCATCCGGGTATAAACTTAGTGATAGCGTTCAAGGCGATAAAGACGTGAGAATACGAATCTCACCCACAACTCCGTCAAGGCTTTCAGGTGCGAGATGTTCTCGAGCTCGGAGATGAAATTGTTGCCGATGTCGAGAGTGGTGAGCTTCGTCTACACAGTCCAAAGTACGGTTAGAGAGCCCTTTAATGTGATCGATCAAGGAAGAGATGTGACGAACGTTGTGCTCTAATCCTTCCAAACGCTTTACACCGTTATGGCTGAGATACAACTCCTCTAGATTCTCCAGCCCGTCGAGTCCTTCGATTTTTGTGATGCGGTTCGATTGCAAGGCAAGGATTTTGAGCCGTTTCAAGGCCGATAAATTCTGTACGTCAATGAGCACGATTGTGCAGAAAAGTAGTCATGAGACGAACCTCAAGGTTGGTGATCTTGTTCTTGCCGAGCCATAATTCTTCGAGATTAACCAGTGTGTCTAGGTTCTCGATGCGCTGATGGAGCACAAGCAGTTACAAGACTTAGTGAGGTTATACAGATAGATACGTTCATACCATACCCGAATTTTGTTCCCACCAAGTTCCAAGCTCCGTAGAGTGCTGCCTACCCCCTCGAGGCCACTAATTCTTGTTATTCGGTTCTGAACAAAATATACTGTTCTCAGAGACTTCAGGTGTTCCAGCCCATCGGGCACGGCCTTGAGAAGATTGAACGAAAGATCGAGGACACTTCGGACCGTCAGGCATTACACGGATTAGCGGTGAGCGACTTCCAGATCCATGGGACATGGACTCACGACAGGGTCGACAGTGCATTGAGGGCATCCCCGACTGTTTTAATCTTGTTGTCATACAGGTCTAGCTCCTCCAGCTTTGTGAGAATCCCAAAGACTGCGGGGTCGAGAAATGTGATGAAGTTCTGCCGGAGACATAGCCGCTTGAGGTGTGATGCAAAACGATGCAACCGAAGATTCTCGAGGGAAGAGATACGACAGTGCACGAGGTCAATATCCTTGTGCAATAAGAATAGTTGTAGCCCGAACCGTATCAGCATGAGCAATATCCTGATATATTGTAAGAACGTACCTCGGTCTCGTCAGGGAGATCGCCTAGAGGATCACCATCTTCTCCTACGACTTCTTCCTCGTTCTCTTCGTCCTCTTCATCGGTATCCGGATTGGGAATGACTGTGACTGGCGCAAGTCTGGCTGTTCTGAAAAACAGAATCTATATCAGCCCATTGAGGGAGTGCTCGTACGACATACCTCCGCTCCTCCCCTGGAACCGTTGTGGGATCGGTCTCATGCTTGATAACGCCATTTGTTTGTGCCATTCCTGAGGAATCTGGAATAGAATGTCGCGACTACAAGGCTTGACCGGAATAGTGCCACTGGGAATGAGTCAAGTTGAATAGATCACAATGATGGCTTGCTCTTGCCTTCTTTGGCGAGTTCGGTGAATAGATCTTATTTGGCTCTGTTGTCCAAAGCCTTCTGAAGGTCCCGTAATTTGGCGTCATATTTCGCGACTTGCCACGCGACGTGTGTGGCACCAAGCCCGCGAAATCCACAGTTTGGCGTCGACTCAGTCACACACTTTCATCTCAACTCTACCTGCTTCTCTCTCGCAGACCACACCATGCCACCAAAGAGCAAAGCCTCCAGTAGTATTCACGCTACCTTTGCTGACCTTGCGGCTGAGCTAGCTGAGAGCAAGGCCCACATATCGAAGAATAAGGCGGCAGGGGTTCGGCCCACGAAGCAGAAGGCCATGAAGGTGAGCTTATTCTGCATAGTACACTCGTAGTTTTTGGTCTCACTATTCTATTGCTTTCTATGCATGTCTCCCTCCTGATGTGTGGCAGAAAGTCGACGCCATGCTGCGCTCGAACAAGGGTGTAGATGCTCGGAAAGTTCGGGACATCGAGGCAGAAGTCAAGGACCGCAGAGAGTATGAACATGCTCGCCGAAAGTTGGAGGAGAAATCAAGGACGTATGAGCAACTGCGGAAAGGTCGAACGGGAGGCTTGTCAGATGCACAGCTGGATGAACTGCTATTCGACGTTCGTCTTATTTCGCTTTATGTATGTGGTTCACATTCTAATTCCAGATGATGTCTATGCGCGGATTCGTACAGACCGGCGACCATTATGAGTCTGACAGTGATGATTTGGACGAGTCTCTAACTGTACCGGTGCCTGCAACACATGATCTTGAAGTACGTGAGCCGTACAACCATCCTAACTATACTTCATCTTGACGAATTCCTCTTCACTCCGCTGCCCAGGATGACCTCATCATCGAATACAAAGATGAGTATGGACGAGATAGGCGAGGGAAGAAGTCAGAAGTGCCACCCAATCTCTGGCCTGAGCATATGCGGGGAGATGGTGGCGAAAACGACGACGACGACGATCAGTACGCAATAATCTTATCTCCCAGTCGTGACCCGCTGCTCATCGTCTCACTCGTATAACAGAGGAATTGAACTTCGTACGTCTTCACTGCAAAGTATCTGCTTTCCCTTTTATCATTCTGACGATTTGTGCTCCTCGATCAGGCCATGAGGATGCTATGCACAACTTCGCCACATATGAGCCCGATATTGCTCGCCAAGAACAGATCAAGAAGTTCCTCGAAGAGCAAAAGGAAGGCCCTTTGGACAAGCACTACGACGCGAGCAACGAGAACCGTGCGAAGGGCGCTGGTTTCTATGCGTTCTCACAAGATGAAGAGGAGAGGCGGAAACAGATGGAAGAATTGTTGAACACGAGGAAGGAAACGATGGAGGTGAGAAAGGACACGGGGGCCATGGATTTGAAGCCTGGCGAAGCTCAGGGCCTGAAAGCAGAAGGATCAGGAGGGAAAGTGCAGACCGCGGCTATGGCGAAGAGAAAGAAAGAGCTCGAGGAAAGGAGGAACATGATACAGATGAAGAGGAGAAAGGTCACCGGAGTCGTAGCAGAAAGTGCTGCTACACAGAGCAATCCGTCGTCGTCCAGTCGTCCAGCTGCACAACTGCCGGCCTTGTCTTCGTCTTCTGGTTCAGCACCTGACAGGGGCCATACGAACGATCCATTCGCCACACTGGAGGCCGCCCCTCCAGATCCCTTCGCTGCATTGGAGGCAACGTCCAAGAAGGCCGATCCTTTTGCTGCTGTGGAACGAACATCAACTAGACCACCCAAGAGTAGATGGGACAAACGGCCGGCCCCTGATGTGGACTCTTTCTTGGCAGACGTAGAGAAGGATCTTGTTTCGGGAAAGAGAAGGGCATAGACTCCGCTTTACCTAGTGCGATATTGTACCATAATTTATCGCTAGTCTTGTATCACGCATTGTATGTATAGCTCTGTTAAAGTCGACTGTTGTTAGTCGATCGAAGGATAGTCATTGTATATCATTCCCGTCAATAATTTCCGCTAGGTCTCTTGCTGCCTACTGTGGCGTCACGGTATGACACAAACCGGACTCGCATCCTGGGGCGCTTTCTATCCGTCAGCAACAGAGTACACTCCAGCCTCGCGGAACGATGAACGGTCCTCATCGAGTGGACCGAGCAGGCAATTTATATATACCTGAGCAGCGTGGTCTGTCTTCACGTCGAGCCTTTCGCACTATGAGATAGAAGGCCTCCAAGATGCAGCACCCCATCGGACACAACCCAGCAAACGAACTCATCTGCATTACGGATTCCAGACGTCAAATGGCCCTCAATGCAGTCCTACGCCCTTAGTTTCGCCTTCTACTTTCACATCTCTCACATCGTCTCCTTCTCTCCACTTCGTCTGACTCTGCACGTGTCTCACCAACCACTTCGACCTGGATATATCCCCGTCCATGAGCCACCAGGCTGGGATGAGCAAAAGAAGCGCAACGCCGATGAGACCGCAGGCCGCTTCAAACGGCTTGTCGTACAGGGGACCGTAGTCGGCTGTATTGCTGGATCAGTGTTTCGAAGGGAAGGTAGAAGGGTTTCAAGGACATACATCGGAACAGCTGGGGTCCCAAAATCCCAGAAAATTGAGCCGAGGCATTTTGAATGCCTGCATCGTCAACCGGATAGCGAAGTTTATTCATTAGCCATCGTGCTAAGCAAGAGTAATCGGGCGATGACTTGGAACGCACCAATAGCGAGTGCCGACCCTGCAGTTCCGCGTACGGATTGAACTCTGCGGGGCCACAGAACAGGGTATGCAACGGTCGAGACGCCTGTGACGAGCACTAGGGCAAAGTAGCGCACGCCGGGCTCGGTTCGGGTGATAAGGATGACGAAGCAAGCTAATACGACGAGTTCCACTGCGGCCGACGAGGTTTTCGTGAGCGTATATCCAGGGAGCGACGAAGAAGTTAGGCAAGAGAAAAGTGCTCACTGAAGATGATGAGAGGGAATGCGTTAACGCGAAACTTCTGGAGGAGGATATGACAGATGATAAGTATAACAATAGAGGCTGCGGCTGGAGGTATATTGAGCAGATTTGCTCCTGCCGAACTTGTGAACCCTTCAGTGCCAGTAAAAATCGTGAGTAAGCCGTCATCGCGGCCGCACTGGAAAGGAAGGCAAACCTAGGTCATCAATGACGACAGGCAGTACCGTTGATATCCCATTCACTCCAACACCATGCAGGATCCAGAAAGCGGTGAAGAAGTAAAATACAGGGTCACGGAAGACGTCGAGGGACTCTTTGAGGGAGAATGTGGGGCCTTTGACGTTTGGTGCTGATTTGTGGAGATGGTCCGTAATGTGCTGAACTTCATGTCGGGAGAGCCATTTGGAAGTCTATGCGCAAAAAAATTAGATGAAGGCTTGTCTTGAGCAAAAAAAAATGCTATTGCCTCTGGGAAATCGGGATAAACCCAGAATGTAGCGATGCCCATTATCACTGGGACCGCGCCCTCGATTATAAAAAGCCTAGTGAGAAGAAGAGAATGGATTAATCAGCAGAATAAAAGAGAGTGATGGAGGAGAGAGTATCACCATCTCCATCCCGCGAAACCGGCTCGGTCGGTGAAACTTATTGCGTACGCCAGAAATCCGCTGACTGCATTCGCTGCAGCTCCTGCCTATACAACAGTATAAGTGCGTTCGAGAACATACGAGAGAGAATATGATGAGGCATACAGCATACAAAGCTAGGATCCTAGGGACCACTGTCGAAATGTCAGCGTCATTGCCGACTACTAAATAAGCAGACGAAAGAGCTCACTTTCTTTGGGACTGTACCAGAAAGACCAGTGATAGACAATACATGGAAAATACCCCCCCTCCATTACGCCTACGAGAATCACTTGAGCACTAAGAAAGATCAGAGTGATGAAAATGCATACCCAGTAACACCCTAGTCGTTACTAGACCACCATAGCTCCTGACAGCGGCCTGACAACAAAGTATAATTCCCCAAGAGATCATGATGCGTGCGATCTGAAACGGAGTTGAGCGTCACAATTCGCCGCGACAAGAGCAAGCGGGGGAAAACGGACCCAGATGGAGGGAGAAGTAATCTTGATGAAGAACGTGCTGACTGGTTCTGTGAACAGGTAGGTGTAATAGAAACACGCGATCACCCATGTCCATCTATAGATAGGAAGCACGAAGAACTCAGTGCAAGTAAGTTCTATGAAGTGGAAGAGGGCCTACTGTTGAGCGGACAGTGCGAGCTCTTGTCGTAGACTGTGCTTTACCTCCTGGTTCATGATCCCTGCGTTGGAGATATTTGCTATATGACATAGAAGTCAGCATGGCCGGGTCCGGTAAACTCGGCGTCTACGTTGAACTCGGCATAAACGCACCGATGTCAAGCCTAACTACAAGATAGGTCATGTAGATCCCTGCATTATATAGAGAGTAAATTAACGGCGCACATCAGTCAGTGCGAGACATGGGTAAAGAGTAGCGGACATGGTAAGATGCGCAAGTCAATCCGTCGCAGGAGCTTCCGGTGGTCAACCTCAACCTCCCCTCGCTCCAACTCCGGGCCAGTCAAGATGCTAGCAGTTTTGCTGTCGAGTTCCAGAGACATGAGAATTGGCCTCGAAGCGAAGCGAGATTAGACCGAGGTCACATAAAGAGTCAGTGTTTGGAGTAAAACAAATTCTAAGGGCTTTCGCAATCCTAAGCCCGTCTGACTACAACGGTTATTATTGAGCGCCAGAAGGCAACGTGAATGGGATGGCGAGCGATGAGCTATACGATTCCCATAGTGCACCATAGATACTCAAAAGACGACATCTGCCCAGATAGGAACACTGTTGGTCCCAAGACGAAGCGGAGTACCGAGAAAGACAAAGACGTGAGTAGAGTCAATAAGCTAAGCAGAGAGTACCAACACCGTGACCTGCTTCAGCGCCCATTCGAAGCGAGCCCATTAATGACCTTGCAGGGCACACATCGGACGGGGCATTCCGCGATTTTTGCGGATGGTAATTCGTGAAAAACACCACATCGTCAGTTTTGATGGTATCGCGCCTGGACGTGACTGTTGATGAACCTCCCGGAGATGCAAGCTTGGGAGGGTGAAGGTAGGCAAGAACTCGAAAGTGGCGCGCCCTGGCGCGTCGACGTTCGAGGAGCACGGCAATTCCCGACCCACGACCACGTCCCAATTTTCTAAATTAAAATTCTCGTTTATTCTCTTCCTTCGTCCTATTGAGACCACCAGATGACCAAAGCGCCCCGAATGAGACTGGATTCTTGTACTGGATAACTGTCCTTGCGGATGCCTTCCGCATGCATCTAGTGCACCCCCATGGGCTCCCATCGGTACATCTTCTAGCTGGTCCTTCCGTCTTGCGTTGATCCTGAGTTGTCGTCATCTCTCTTCGGACTTTGCACAACTACTCCATTATTAGGACAAGAAGTTGTCAGGCTCTCGTGCAAGGGATGTCGATAAGCTTCTGGTACGGCCAGTTTAAAAGTCTCTGGAATGTTGTGATTCTATGGTGGCAGTGATTTAACCCTCTCGAGCACATCATGACGATCACTTTCGACATTCCTCCTTACTCTCGTCCACCGCCAACGAAGGAGGAGCTGGATTATGCCCCGCTTTCTGTAGTTGATCTCAGCAAATGGGACCGTCCAAATGGCAAAGAAGAACTTGTCAACGACTTGCGGGTCGCCATTGAGGACGTTGGTTTCTTGTTCGTCGTGGGCCACGGCATAGAGGATGAGGAGGTGTTGAGACAGTTGTCCATCGGTAGTAGCCCATACTGTCGGGATTATTGTCGCCTACTAAAACATTGTTTCTTGATAGGGGATGCGTTTTTCAATCTCCCTCTCGAGGTGAAGCGGCAGCATCCCTGCGACTTCTCTGTTGGAAAGTGCGTCTTTTTCCATATTATACCCCACCTTGCCACTGACGTCGACTCGAAGCTATTTTGGGTATCGCGAGCCGTATCAAATCTTGGGAGATTCAGGGGTCAAGTCGAACATCGAGATGCTCAATCTGCCCAAGGACACTCCCTCTCTCGCCCACGAGAGGCTTCGGTACGACTTCCTGGAGGTGAGTAGTGTGTGTCTCAATATCTGATTTCAATCTTCATCTATTGTCTATCAGGAACTACGCTCCGAGACCAAGGCCTTCCAGGTCAAGCTTCATCAGCGAATCCTTGAGCCCCTGTTGAAGCTCTTCGCGTTGCTTCTTGAACTGCCTGAGGATTACTTCTCTGCCGTCAGTCGACTTCTAGATCTCCTTGCTTCAGGTCATCTTCACAATGTTACGGTGTTCTGTTAGGCCCATGCGTTCGATAAGCCGGCAGAAGATCACCTGCGTTATGTACGTACGCGGCTGTATTTTTGGCTGTACCATGAGCTCACAACGCCATCGTAGATGCGGTACACTCCGAACGAGCGTGAGGTAGATGCCAAGATCGACAACCAGTACACGAAGGCTCATACTGATTTCGGTATACCATCACGTTCTCGTAAACGTTTCTCGGAAGCTAATCCTCTCGATAGGACTTCTTACCATCTTGTTCCCCCAAATTGTTAATGGGTAGGTATCGGTCGTCTCTCCATTTCGACTTATGTTGATGGTCACGCTTCTCGTAGACTGCAAGTACGGACGACCTCTGGGGAGTATAAATACGTGCAGTACATCCCTGGGCATGTTGTAGTGAATGTATGTGCACCATTGTCCACAACATCCCCTTTGAGTATGCTCAAAGTTCTATCAGACGGCCGAAGTCCTCACCTTCCTAAGCGGCGGGTATATTAAGAGCACAGTTCACCGTGTGGTTCGGCCCCCTGGTGCGTCGTCCGTTTAAATCATCACTCCCCCTAAATACTGATGCCTATCGCAAATGTGCTACAGAGGACCAGGCATACGTCAAACGTCTTGGCTTGCTATACTTCTCTCGCCTTGCAAACGAATTTGACGTCAAAGTGGCCCCGTCGCCCCTTCTCCAAAGGCTCGGGTTATACGATCCCGCTAAGGAAGATTCTAACCCTCCGAAGGGTCTTGGTTTGTCATATTCGTTCTTTTTGGTAAGCCGCATTACTGACGAATGCCTATAGAGTGGGGCAGGGCGCGCGTGAAGCACACTCATAACAAGGTCGTTTTTGAGCACGTTGATCACCCTGTTGCCCCGTTCAAGTACAAGAATCATGAGATCAACCTTGAATGTAAGTTCCATTACACTACTATAATATTATCTGAGTGTCATTCAACTGAATTTATCGGCTTGGTGTTACAGACAAGGCCCCGCCAGTTTTGGGCGCATCGCCTGCGCGTACTCCGATTTCCGTTTGATCTCTTGTCCATATGTAGAGTGGTGTCACTCTTAACGGGTCAGTGTGTGTATGAACTAGCAGGAAGTTGTAGTGTTTATTGTGCCTGTAGAAGGCCGAAGTCATGCTTAGTCAACTTGTAGTTTTCCGTATATCTAGCAGATTCCGGTCTGTATCCTCGAGTTTATGAACAGGCTTTGTCTCCGAAAGCTTCCGAGACGTGTATTATTTCTTCTTTCCACAGCTGACGATTGACTCTAAGTTGGCCGTTGGATTTCGGGATCGGTGTTTGTTTCGAAGGCCATTGATGCAGTCGCGCCCGTGTTTAGTCCGAGAAGTGCGGCCAATAAATCGCACTGCCGTGCAGGAAGGTAACAGAGACTGATATTTCATGATGTCGTGAACAGGGGGGTTGCAAAGCGAAAGTTACTAGCCACCACAGGATATTTGTACGGTGCATGCAAGACCGGGATGGAACGAATGAGGAGTCCTGAACCGCCAAGCGGTAAGAGGAAGATGGATGTAAGAAGAAGAAGAAAACAAGACATCAGTAGTCATGAACGCAATCATTCTTGTACAACGACAGAGTCCCTGCCGAGCTCTGGGTCATCGACCCTCTTCCTATCTCCCCAATTATCTCCGTAGTTTACTTCTTGCTCCCATCGTACCATAATACCTACCGTCCAAAAAAAGGAATCCCATGAGGTCCAAGAGTTCGAGCGCCGAGAGTACGAAAGATGATGGAAGAAAAAGAAAGCTCGGGATATCAGACGCACCATTGCCGACCGTGGGCTGATCGTCCTTCTGAGGAATCGATGCCGTCGACCGATCGTGTGGTGGCCTCGGGCTGAGAGCAATCGAAGCGTTCGGATCAGTCGAATCCTCCGCAGCGAAGTCGGCGACCCAGCGGCCAAGGGTATTGCTGAATTTGTTGATACGCGGTGCACTGGTACGGTTGCGTGTCGCACGAAGGTTGAGAACGCTACTCAGCAATAGCTCATCAGTGAGTGAATAATGCAACGAAGTAGGGAACGGGTGTGAGTGGGAAAATAATACATACAGACGGCAAGATAAAACAACGGACAGCTGAATGCTCATAGCCGCGTTTATGGACTGGATAAGCGTGTTCTTTTGCCTTTGTGATAGAATAATCCGTTCATTGGAGTGATACATCGACGACGAGACGCGCTGATACAGAATGAGGTGGGACGTACAAGAAGAAAATCACATTGATGAGGTTGAGCGAGGAGATAGCGACGAAGTAGAAAATACCCTCTTTGATGAAGACATTCATCAACGACCGAGTCGATGACGAGCCCATAGCTTTGTGGCGGACACTTCGCCAGATAGTCATCGCTGTCAAGACCAAATCGACGGCCCTAAAGTGATAGAGTTATCAGCTTTAAGGTGATCATACAAAGGATTTGAGAGACAATCATACATAGGTGACGCATAGAAAGCGATAATGAAATTGGGACCGGCAATGGACGGCTGTGAAGCAACTGATGGCACCTGTGAGGCCGAATGTAAGTCGGAGATAAAAAACAGACTCACTAAGACAAGGGCCTGGCCAGGATGGCAGTTTTGCATCTGCCAACAAAATATGTCAGTTGTCGGAGTAAATTTGTAGAGCATGAACTTACAAGTCGCTCCGAGGGCACAAGTAGCGAGCATCACGCCTGTGAAGCCAGTCATCATGATCGATAGGAAGATCAATACAATCCTACTACGGCCAAACAGCGCATATACACGTAGAGCCAGTACTGAAGAAGATCATAAGAGGTCACACAACGAGACCATGGTCAATTGAGAAGTCAGCGATATATATCGCAAATGATACGATAACGGTGAGAAGAGATTGAAAATGTGGATTTTGCATACCCAATTCGACAGATACATCGACAAGGACGGTGAAATATGGTAAGACTTTGAGGTTTTTTGCACATGCTCTGGCAAAAAAAGGATTAATACTAGACGAGAGGGAGAGGATATGGATTGAAAATAGGCGATGACGACTTACTCTTCTGTCCATTCACCAAGGAACCCTGTTGGAGAGGACGCAGTAAGTTATGAAAACATCTCGGAGGCAGAATCGCTATCTTACATATGTCGGCCACTGGTCACAGTCACAGAAATCATCAGTAAGGTGTATGTGCGTACGAGCTGAGAAGAACACCACTGACTTATCATATCTACGAGCGTATAGTAACGCACGAACAAGTACAGAATCTTGATAGCCGACCAGTCGGACTTCCAGATATACTTCCACTGATCGACGGATGCAAGATTAGGCTTTATGAATTGATTGTAAGGGCTCCAACCGAGAAAACGCTCACCTCCGCTGGTAAACATACAATCCAGTCCCAATACCATATAGATGACGTTGCTTTGAAAGAAACAACGGGAGGATGAGCACCGTATTACCTCTATGACCTCGATATAGACCTACACGCAATGTATATCTATGGTGCACCAAGCGTGTCCGCGTTCATAAGCCAGTACACCCAAGCAAGGGGCCGACAGATGAAGAAGAACCTACCTGTGTGATGTTCACAATGCGCTCAAATGCTGCTGCTGCTGCAACCTCGGCGGCAGACATGACTGGAGCAAAAACAGTGGCAACGGTGAGTGGCGGAAGTCCTGATTTTCGAACCGTTTGGCTGAAAGAGAGGGGAGAAATCCGACAGGATTTGGGAAGGGAGCCGGAAGTAAATGGTCAGCAATAGCAATTGCGTTCTTAAAGGACGATGTGGACACCAAGCGAGTGGCTCGCTGCAGATGAGATCTGCAGTGGCCGACAGAGCTACTTTGCCTACAGGGTGATGGGGTTCCGCAGAGTTTCCTTAGCAAGCCATCGAGATAAATTACTACAAAGTCGTGGTGAGGGCAACAACACTGCAGAATTGGAGTGAATCAAACAAGAGACTTGAAGGAAGAACTCCTCGGTGCTTACCTTCGTATGATGCGCGGACTCCAACTTTGCAATGCTCAATTCGCCACGAACACTTTAAATTTGATAAAACTTTGCGCGGACAAACCAGAGCACATGCGCAGTCTGGCCCGCTCATAGGCACGGTCAAGGCCCAAAACCACATCGAATGGAAGTTTGAGTGAGCGAACTCTGCATGAGCTTGTCCGTCTGAGATCTCCTTCATGCTTTGAAAGATACATGAACAACCCCTGTCCTGGAGAACAAAAACTGAGATCTACTCAGCGCCAAAAGTTTTCGTGTAATATCCAATTGAAGACCGTACTTACCAGGTTCTCTGCCTTGCTAAAAATGCGGTAAATGGGTTTTTGTTCGTTTGGGCTTTGGATTGCGGGCCGGGAAGACCTGAGGGACGAGCTCGAGGCTGTAACTTGGTCGCTCTAGGTGACCGAATGACAAAGATAGGCTTCAAGCGTCGAGCGTCAAGGGCACAATCAGGTGGACAGAAATCAAAACGCTCCGATCTTCACGATTCTGAGCGCCCTTACCAGGTTCCGGAGTATGGAAGGGAGACGAGTATGAATCTAAGACCGCGTAACGCGAGAAGTTGGCCTTGTCGGCGGAGTTTGATTGTTGGGGGCCCACATGCGCCACAAGCGGCCAACCCCGATTGGGCGCGCGGGAGGGGTGGCGAACGGTGACCACTGGCAGTACCGTTCAAGACCTAGTAGTACCGACCTTTCTGCTCTGGGGTATTGTTTTTCGTGAACTTCTGAGACGACCCCACCAAGAAGGCCCTGCTTCGTACCTTGTACATACCTCACCCGCCCATGTACTTATCTCCGAGTGCTCGGACATGTGCAAGAGCCCGCAGCGAGAGCTGGTGAGCGTAGCAACTAGAACAAGACCACTGGGATACCAATCATCACTATGGGCGGGACTAATGACCCCGCTTGAGGTACACGGCCTCGAAGCAGTTGGCCATAAAATATTTCAGAGGCACCAACGGTAGGAAAGAACTCGAGCTCTCCCGCCGCCTCTTCACTTCCTCGTTCGTCTCTAATAAAACTTCATCATTCTTTGGTTCAAAGCCAACATCAACATGACCTTCGTACTTGTGAGTTCGCCTTGGAGTGCTTTTCCAGACCGAAATTTGGTGCTGACCGACGCGGCGTGGTGTAGGTCACTGGAGCCTCTGGCTTTCTGGGCGCTCACATTGTGGACCAGCTGCTCAAATTGGGATACAAAGTTCGAGGGTGAGCTGAATACTACCTGTCATGGCACCTTCAACGACCCCGCCGTATGAGAGATGATGCTAATCGAGAGACGACGTACCACAGAACGGCAAGATCGAGCAAGGCCGACCGTCTTCGTGCTGCTTACAGCTTCGCCGACGACCGTTTCGATGTCGTCGTCGTCGATGACTTCTCGAGTTCCGACTTGACTGCCGCGTTTGAAGGTCTGTACACCGGCCATTCACCAGAGCATAGCCTGTTACCTGACAAATGTTGGTACCGTGTTAGGCATCGAGGTACTCGTACATGTAGCGTCGCCCATGCCCACAGCTGGCCCTGCTGAGGTTATACTCAAGGTATGTCTTACCCTGCTCACGTTCGCATAATGTAGCATTCACGGCTGGCTGAGGACCTCCTTGCACATCCTAGGGTGCGATAAACGGGACCACTAGAGTTCTCGATTTCGCCGCAAAGTCGGGGACCGTGAAGAAGGTCATCGTCACATCGAGTGTCACGTCGTTGCACCACATCAACGAGTCTTTCACCGACAAGGTGTACGGTGCTGACGGTGAGTATTTCGATGGGCAGCATCCAAATGAGATCTGTAGAAGCGTCTCTGACCTTTGTCTTTCTTTGACGACTGGATGTAGACTGGAATCCGCAGACGTACGAAGACGCGGTTGAGCCCGGCACCCATCCATATTCGGTTTACTATGCAGCGAAGACGGTTTCTGAACAGGCCGTTCGTAAATTCGCGAAGGAACATCCGGCAATCGATGTTTCGACCGGTACGTGAAGTCGCCGATCATCTAAACCCAAGCGACGTCAGCTAAACTCTAGTCCACTAGTGCATCCGACCTACTGCTACGGGCCTACCGCCCCCAGTCACGTCTCCGATGCCCCAGCAGATAGTACCAACATCTTGATATACGCCCTCTTCCAAACGCCGGCCGGCTCTCCTCGCAGTCCGCTTCCACCCGCTCAAGCCCTGATCTCACCCACCTACATCCACGTCTCCGACGCAGCCCGTGCTCACGTCCTTCTTATTTCTCCTCCTTCCGAATGTCCTACGTCCTGCCCTGGAGAGGTCAAGCGAGTGGTACTCAAGAGCGGAGACATGCGTTGGATAGATGCGCTTGAGTATCTTACGAAGACGAGACCTGAGCTGAAGGAGAGGTTGTTTTTGATTCCTGAGAATTACGAACACCCAGAGGGGTGGGCGAGGTTTAGCGGTGAGAGCACAGAGAAGTGGATCGGCTTCAAGAACGGAAGTTACAAGGATTGGAAGGTGATGTTGGACGAGGCGGTGGATGATATCCTGAAAAGGGAGAAGGGTCTGACGACGGTGAAGGCAGCGTGAAGCGTTTCGAGAGGTGTCCATGACAGGATGGTCGTATAGATATATTAGCAGAGTGCACCAGCGTTTAATTAATTCGTGGTCCCCTGCTTGAAAGTTTGTCCGCCATCGAAGTGGAGCCACCTCAAAGTCCTACAGAGGATGATATGGCCGAAAACAGTGTGATATTTATGGAGATACTCCAAGGAATCAAACTGATGGAGAGACGAAAGTAAAACGCACAGACATACATGTACACTGTGAAGCGAAAAACAGGAAGACGAACCAACAACCTGAGTACCAGCATAATCAACCCACATCACCACATCACGGCTTCTGAGTGATCCTCCTCGTGAAGCTCCTCATCCGATCCGCGTTCTTCCTCCTCCTCTCCACGTCCACGTCCACACTTGACGTTGGCTTCATGATACCCGCATTGGCCCTCGGCGCGACGGAATAATTGCCCAACTCTCTTTGAGGGATCATGACCGCATTCTTCCTGACCTTGCCCTTCTCGCTCTCCTTCGCCCTCGCCAAAATCGCCGCCAACCTCTCCTGCCTCGGGGCCTGAGTACCACCCTGTGAAGCGCCACCCTGGCTGTCGTCCAACATATCGATCGCGAGAGGGATTTCCCTGTCCCTGTATGATGCGGAACGTTTGATGATTGGTCGAGACCAAGTGGATACGAGCGTGTTGGCGATGCGGGCGACGTCGGGTGTGACGCGTTTACATTTTGTATAGAAGAGAACAATGCGACCGAGTTTGGAGGCAATGAGAACGTTGGTATCGATATACTCGAGGCGTTGGATGGTTTCCATGAATTCTTTTTGGATATTCAGAGCAGGGAGGGAGCGGTCTGGGAGGGGCTCGAGCCAGCGGCGAACGCCTTCGAACAGGTTGTTGTCGATGATGGATTGGGAGAGTCCTGACCTATTTTAGATATTAGGAAGGTGGCACATGGGTCAGAATTAAAGAAGCATGTCCAAGAAAGAACAAAAACACCTACTTGCGAAGAACATTCATGACTTCGGGGAGCATACGAAGTTTTGCGGTGGCGGGGAGTTTCTCTTTGTTTGCCCTTTCGTCGTCCTCAGCTGCAGCGAGCATGGCTTCTCGCAGCCTCGAAACTTCCTCGTCCGCGAACCTATCTAGGACATCTTCGTCCTTCTTCCTCTTCTTCGGACGGGAAGTCTTCTTTGGCTTCAATATGGCATCAATCTTCATGTCCAGGCGGATCTTGTCCGCTATACGAAGCCCACGTACCCTTCTTCAGCGTATACAAGTAGCGCCCGAGGGAGAACGACGAACCTTCCTGCTTGGGCAGATTACTCAAGTCCTGCTCGGTTCGTTCTACCTTCCTCTTCCTCTTTCGCTGGGTGGTTCTCCGCCTCCCAACCTCTGCGACCTCCTCGTCTTCATCCCCACCATGTCTCCGGCGAACCTTCCTCTTCTTCTTGGGTGCACTGTCTTCATAGTTATCGGCTGACCCCTCGCTTCCTGTTGTTTCCTCGTCGTCGGGACGGATAGGACCAATGTGCTTGGGCGGCTTTGGGAAATCCTCTACGTGGATGTGATAGCGTTGGTAACATGACCAGGGAGTCGAAAGATTTGTGTGGCGTACCTTCAGGCGCGTCAGAAAGTTCGGAATCTGAACCGAAGATATCTTTCTCCGCAAATTTCTATATACACGCAATAATAGATGAGCATGGGGCGAATACAAATGTAGAGGTGAGCACACACGTCGGTCATGGTGGTTAGCTTGAGGAGGTATTGTGTCACAAGGTGTGACTGTCACACCCAAGAAGGGCTGGAACCCGCCGGAGCCGTCGGCTCAACGTTTTGGCAGCCAGGCGGCCGTACTTACCGTGCCTATGACGCCAGACACGAGAGATCGGCGACGGCGTCCGCTTCAGGAAGCCCCGTTTTCTTGCTTTTCTGTCTGAGACTGTTGGTCGTTGAGCCCGACGTCGACAACGACGACGGCGACGACGCCTGGAGGAAGCATCCCGCACCATGTGGAGCACCATGGCCGCCCAACTCGACGATGTGCCGCTTCTCACCGTGTTGGCCTCCCTCCCGCCGGGCTTCCCCGCTGCTGTCTTCCCTACCCGGGCCCATTGGCAGGCTCAGCTTGAGCACGACCCACAACTATCCCTTCCAGTATGGTCCAACAATGCCTATGAGCTCCTTTTTCCTCCACCGAACATCATAGACACCGATGCTACTCCACGAAGTTCTCCGCGCTTCATACGTTCTATCCTATCTCCAGACAGCGCAGAAACTTGGTCAACATGTCTCCGCAACATCGCCACTCCGGACTTCGCCTTCCACTCACACCCCAATGAACCAACAATTCCCAACTCCTCACAAGCAGTTGTGCTACATCTTACCGCAGGAGGATCACTCCGTCTTTCTGTTCAGCTAGTGGAAAGCCGTTGGATAATAATCATGGGTGCTGTCACTCCCGAAGTCACGGTCTCAGAGGATTCTCGTGAAGGCTCTATAGGAACGTCAATGGTCTCGAGGACAGATATCAAGCCTGATTATTTGCCCTCCCCTCCAGTGCGTTCATTTCTTCCCATCATTACCCATGTATCTAGGCCGCTCACAAATTATTATAGCTCGAAGAAACCACCTCTCCGTCTCACTTTCTTTCCCCGCTACTGAACACCGTCACTGGACGCATGCTTATCGAATTTGATTGGGCATCGACATCATTAGGGCCGATTTCAAGCTGGCCACAGTCTCTCCACACCGCCGTCTCCATCCTACTCTCTACCCAATTTCAATCGTGAGTGGTTCTAAGTGAAATTGTGGCCCAGAGATAGTAACGCCTCAATGGCTCGTGTAGCTGTATGTTTTGGGGGTATGTCTTACTTTGGCCGTTGTAGATAGTGGCTTTAGCTAACTGTCTCTTCAGACCCGATCGGCTTATCATGTATAGTAAGCTTTTCCATCGTCGCCACCCAACAATCATCCCGGCTCACGTACACCCCAGATGACAAATACATTGAGAGCCCAAATGTCAAGCATCCCTGGCTCTTCGTACGTTCGTCCGTTCCCCTGCTCTGCCGCTTTAGTTATAACGTCTTCTTCCATGCGTTTCATAGGGTCAGCCCGCCCGTGTAGGCTGGGCCGAGATTTGGGATGTATTCGAGGGATACTGCAGTACCGTGGACCAAGGTGTTTCAGTCAGCAAGACCAACGATCCTCTTTTCTTCAAGCCTTCTCCAACATCTACCACGCATGGCGTCGAACCATGCACGCTTCCCCTAGTCGAGGTGTACTTCTCGTATGTAAAATTGTATCCATGTGATCTCCGGTGACTGATCGATTTCTGATGACAGGTGGAGCTACATACCCGTAATGATAGAGGACGGGAGTGTAGGCGGCATCATCAACACTTGTATGGATACGACTGACAAGGTTCTCGTAAGTCGATCATGTCCTGGCCCCATTGGCTCTGTTTCTCATTTTGGATCTCTCCATCTAACTTGGTTCCATAGGCCGACCGACGTCTCGCCACCCTCCGCCACCTCGCCGAGCGCACAGCCGCCTGCTCATCCACCCTCGACTTCTGGCTCGCAGTTTGCGAATCCATCGAGTCCAATGACGCCGACTTTCCTTTCGCGCTCTGTTACATCGTGGACGAAGACAATGCGAGTGGTGCGACTGAAAGCTGCTATTCGGAGCCATCGACCGCGACTCCTGGAATGAAGCTTGCTTTAGTCGGGAGGGTTGCAGTGCCCGAAGGACACCGCGCTGCTCCTGCACATGTAAGTCTCCCTTTCTTCGGACCAGTTCTCATGAGGTATTGTCGTGATCGACGATTGACTCGACTTCTCGGGCTCTCGATGTGCTTAGGTCGTTCTTACAGGAGAAAATGAGACTCAAGCATATACGTGGCCGTTCAATGAGGCGAGCACAACGTCGAAGACGGTTTGGACGGAGCTCGCGCCCGATATTCTGGACGGGTTTGAATACGAGAATCGTGGGTGGGGGGACAGGCCGACGAGGGCTGCTGTCGTACCTCTCAAGACGCATGATGACAGCTTGACAGGTTTTATGGTGTTGGGACTAAACACCCGAAGACCGGTACGTTTTCATATCTACCCCGATTATACCCGATGTCCTTCCGCAACGCACTGTGAGACTTGTTATCTGACATCGGAACTGTGTTTTGTTCGATAATTGAACAGTACGACTCGGATTTCAGAAGGTTTCATGGCGTCATGGTGCAAAACCTCAGCGCCTCCCTCGCCGCGACGCAGAGTTTCGAACAAGAAATCCAAAGAGCCGAGGAGCTCCGAGCCCTCGATCGTGCAAAGACGACTTTCTTTCAGAATGTCTCTCATGTAAGCTTTTCTCTTACCTCGTCTCTGTCTATCATTCATCCCTGACTGTCATATAACGCAATCATGTCTTCTGCACAAACAGGAACTTCGTACACCGTTGACGCTCATCCGAGGACCAGCACAGGACGCCTTGGCAGAGCCTCTCCCAGTTGGGAGGGTTGATCCGGCTAGAGCAGCGACAGAGAGGGCGAGGTGGAAGCTTGTGGAGAGAGCTAGTGGGAGATTGTTGAGGCTCGTCAACTCTCTGCTGCTCTTTTCGAGTGCTGAGGCAGGGAGAGTGCACGTGCGTACCATGATCTCTCCCAAACTCTAGCTGGGCGCTCATTGATTCTGATCAACATTATTGACATGCTGAATGTGGTCGTGCTGGATGTATAGATGAGCTTCCATCCTGTCCGTTTGACGCAATATACGAAGGATTTGGCCTCGTTATTCAGGAGCTCAATCGAGCGTTCCGGGATTGGTGAGTTGTTCCTTCTACATCGGCACGTCGGAATTATTGTAGACTAACCGGACATGCGTGTTGGCTAGATTTTATCGTTGATATTGATGATGCACTTGCTCATAAATCCGTGTACGTTGATGCCGAGATGTGGGAGAAGGTATGAACATAATCAAATATCTGATTGTGTGGTTCCTCTGCTGACTTATATCATCTGAACAGGTCGTATTTAACCTCCTCTCCAACGCCGTCAAATACACGAGCAAAGGGTACGCACAATCCCCAGTCAATCCATTCACCTACAGGCCAAGGCCTCGCCCAATCCAGACGTACTAACCCGCTTACTGTTTTGTTATAGCTTCATCAAGATCTCCATGCATTTCGCATCCTCTGAGGCTGTGCTGAAGGTGGAAGACAGTGGTTGCGGTATACCGCCCGAGCAGCTCGAGCAAGTCCTCCAGCGATTCCATCGCGTTGAGTCAGAAACGAGAAGAGAAGGTGCTGGCATTGGACTTGCATTGACCTCAGAGCTTGTCAAACTCCATCAAGGTATGTCTCCCTTCCACCATGGTCTGCTCGCTCCCAAGAAACATCCTGAAGTCGGTTTCGACATTTTCTTCCGTGGCGGTGGTAAATCGCAGGCAGGGTCGCGGTCAAGAGCTCATTGCAGACGCCAATGATGTCCGGATGGAGTATGTTCACGGTATACATCCCCCTTGGACATCAACATCTACCGGCCGATGCGGTCAGTCATACACCACTTCCCGCTGAGTTGCATCCTGGGGCATCTGATGGTATTTCTAGTAAGTGATCTCGCATTGTGCATCAATATCTGGAGCTGACCAAAGATGGATCTTAACAGCCGAGGAACCAGGGAACTGGATCAACGATGAGCTGGATGGCTTGTCAATAAGCACACTCAGCTCACCGATGAGCACTATGCCTTCGTATCAACCGTCTTCGAATGATAGTGTTGGGTATCCCTTCCCTGGATCGGTCATCCTGCTTGCCGAAGATAATCATGTACGCCTCGTCCTTCAAGATATCTACGCTCGCTCTTGTGCTCCATATCTGATTTTTCCGTACTCGACTTGTTCTAGGATGCCAGACTATACATCAGGAACATCATCGCGCCGCTCGCGGAAGAAATCGTGGCGGTCAGCGATGGTCAATCTGCTCTCGAATTCATCAAGAACTCGTCCAAGCCACACATTGTCGTTTCGGATGTATTGAGTAAGTCGCTTGCGGCCAGGATGCATAGGCATTCAGATGTTCCAGCCAACTGAACATGCCTCTTGTTTAACGTTGTCAGTGCCTCGAATGACTGGGATCGAGCTACTACAGGCCATTCGCAATGATCCCGACGCAACTATTCAATCGATTCCGTTCGTTATGCTCAGCGCGAGCTTGGAAAAGGAATCGGAACTCGTTCCGGATGGGTCCATAACCGGACCTACGGACTTCCTGGTCAAGGTACAGAATTCGTTACGCCCGCAGTACTTATGCTTCATCTAATGGCCCTACGTTTCGGACTCATCAGCCATTCTCGTCAAAGTCACTCATCTCTATTGTCCAAGAACGGCTCAGATCAGCACGCCAGACTACTGATCTTGAGCTTCGGGTACAACAACGGACCGCGGAACTTGAATTGAGCCAGCTGAGATATAGAAGGATCAGCGAGTTGTCGCCTGTCGCCATATTCGAGACGGATGAGAGCAACCCAGGGTTGATTACTTATGCTGTAAGTACTCCTTGATAGCCTGTCTCCATCGTTTACTATGCTCACTTCGTACGGTTCTCGTAGAATGACCAGTTCTTTACTATCACCGGTTTGCCCAATAGACTGCCAATGCAGATTGAAGAATGCTTCAATTCGTAAGTCTCGCTCTCGCCGCTGTACCTCATAGCGTGTTCTGAAATATCTATGCAGCATGCTACCTGAAGATCAAGTAACCGCGCACGACACGCTCCGTGTTATGCTCAAGAATGGCACCCCCGGCCATTTCGATTGTCGGTTCACGTCAGGGAAATGCGCCTACACCGACGTCCTCCCTCTATCATCTGGCGCACTGCGTGAGCATCCTCCTTTCTACCATTATACTAACTGACCTCATGTCCATGCGCCGTTCCTTTTGTTGTGTCACAGTGGGAAGCCTGACAGATCAAACGGAGCAACGTCTGTTTGTGCAGCAGCAGCTCGATGCAGAGCGCTCAAGAGCGGAAACGGCCGAAAAGCAGCGATACTTGCAGGAATCATTCGTAGATATTGGTCAGCAAACTCTCTATGCCTCTCGCGATATCTTACATAACATATTGACGGCGCATGCTTCATCAGTCTCGCATGAGCTCCGAAATCCTATCAGCGCGATCATCCAGAGCGCAGACTTGTTGACCTTCGCTGTCGCACGCTTCGAAGAAATTCTCGGAGAGCTATTTCAATCAACGGCACTCGCATCTTCGCAACAGGATGCCAGCCTTCAAAAACTGGTGAGTCGAAGTGAGAGTGAATTGTGCTCGAGGTCCTAATATGTCTTCAACTAGCGCGAACTTGCGAAGACAGAATTGGACGACGCTAGCGATGCTATCTCGTCTATCAGCCTCTGCGCTCGACATCAGTCGATTATTGCCAGGTACGTCAATGCATCCGGTGTACGACTTTTGGGAGAGATCCTTACCCTGCCTATTTGATCTAGTGACATTTTGGCAGTTTCTCGCATGGACAATGGGCTTCTTGGGGTATCTCCGTTCTGTTTCAATCTAGTAGACGAGTTGCAAAGCACAATGACCATGTTTGCGGTGCAAGCGCATACTCAGGGCATCGAGTTGCAGCTCGAACTTGGCGACGGAGTGGACGACGACACTTGCATCGTCGCGGACCCCACACGGTTATGCCAAATCTTGGTAAACCTTATGTGCGTCCTGCTCCCTCGTGCTAACTTCGTCAATGCTCAATATCCTTACCTCATCTCAGCTCGAACTCGTGCCGGATACTTGAATCCTGGGACGGCTCGCGGAGCATCGCTGTTGCTGTTGCTCTGACGGATCACCAGCCCTTCGGAAGCTGTGAGCAGGATGATCCCTCGTGCCTATGGCTCGCTTGCAGCATATCGGACTCAGGGCCTGGCATCAACTCTGAAGATCATGCGCGTCTCTTCACACGATTCAATGACGTCCGACCTGGTGGTGTGCGCCGTCAAGGCTCCATGGGTGGGACAGGTTTAGGCCTCTATCTCTGTAAAAAGTAAGTATTTGGTTGAACCATCAACATCACTATCCTGTATAACCATCTTGCCTATCATTCCAGGCTGGCCGAGCTCCAAGGCGGCAATATCAAAGTCTCGACGAGTATGCGGGGCGGGGCGGCATTTGATTTCTTCATCAAAACACGCTTGGGCGAACGATCACCAAGTCGCATGAGACAAACGTTCAAGCAATACCTGGATCGAACGTCTCAGTCTCCGACACCAACGCGCACGCCGGTCACCACCCCGCCGGACGGTGTAGTACCTCCTCGTATAGCCTCTCTATCGGCTCCACCTTCCCCGGCTACTATTCTGCTTCCATCTTTGGCTGACACACGAAGGAGCGATAACTCAGCAAGATCTGCGAAGTTGATCCTCGTTGTAGAGGATAATGTGAGATTCCGTCCCTCATCACAAGTCGTTCGAGTCTTTCGATGCTCATCCGCGGGTGTTATGTAGGCCATCAATCAACGACTTTTGTGCAAGCAGCTTTCAAAGGCCGGGTTCACGACCGCCGGTGCAAACCATGGTCTCGATGGTCAGTATTGTTGTCTTTGTCACATCTCCTGCTACTCACTGCTAACATGACGACTCTGGTAGCTCTGAATTACTTACAAAACCTTGAGAAACAATATCCCGCTGCATGCCTCATGGATTGTGAGATGCCGATCATGGATGGTCTCGAAGCTGTCACGAGGATACGAGCGATGGAGGCCGAAGGGAAGCTCCGAAGTTCATGTCTGCCCGTTTATGCAGTGTAAGTCTTTCCCTTGCTCACACGCCTAATTATACTTTTTATGTGTTCTGACGTTTTCCATCGATAGGACGGGGAATGCTCGACAGGGTCAAGTGGATGCCGCTAAAGCGGCCGGGATGTCTGATGTCTATATCAAGCCATATAACATCGCAGACATCGTTCAACGCATCGACGCGTTGATCTGAGCCGATCTGGCCGTCTTTATCCCTGATACCCTTACATCATCGGCATCTTCTCCTTGCGAGCCATTGCTGGCATCACAATGACCACAATCCTTTGTTTCTTCTCAGCGCACCCTACACTCTCACTTTCACGCATAAGCGCTTCTCAAGAAGTTCATCTATCACGCCATATCTTCTTTCCGAATTATTGCGTCCATCACCTCTGGCACATTCTAAGTTATCATCGCTTTCACCGTCTCGTTCTGCTGTATTGTAACTGATCGTCATTGTTTTCGCACCTCTGGATCTTGGTTGTCCCCACGTTTACCTGGCATGTAATTTGTATCTTCGCAACGTCTCTTTCCTGCTTCCGCTTCAAGTCACCTTCCCACACACTCGCTACCATCTTGACAGTGGGGTGCATGGTGGTACATTTTAACCACTATCCTTTCCACCGGCCTCTGCGCAGTGCAGCCTGCCCTCAGGCTACATAGCTAGATACCTTACTTATGTGTTGCCTGGGAGGTTACTTATAGAATAACAGGCTCGCTCAGCATGCTCAGATCGTACTCACATGGCCTGGCTCTGCACCGCATGATGTTGTCGTAGATGTAACGTTTGTCTTCTTCCGCCCCTTCTGCTAGCACATCGCTGGCTAATCCCAGAGAGTCACTTTAGTAAACGGAGCGCGCGGAGCTCGGACACCCATGGTCCGTGCTTATTTTATCCTTGCTGCTTGTCTTGTGCTCTCTGTGCCATGCACAGTACACATGAAAATAGAATCCTGTCAATTAAGCTACCGTATAGTTTGTATGATATGATATCTCGATAACATCTCCACTGCATTTACGGTGGTTGTTGAATTACTACTTTTGTGTTTATTTGTGTACCAGATGGTCGAGGAACGTGTAAACGGATGCCATTTAGACTTTCAAACTTATCTGATATGATTAGATCACACGCGCTGCGGAATTAATCTCTTCGTGATTGCCATTTGGATGGGTCCCGCCGATCTTCCGTGTCCTCTCGCCTTCCACCATCTACCCCGATCCAGCAATGATCAGTTCACCTCTTCCTCTCCCTTTCCTACTCATCTCTCAGGGTTCTGTCCTCCGCGAGCTTCCACTCCATTAGACACGATGATTGAACCCGACCTAGCCGCCGCCACACAGCGTGCCTCTTTCGCCACAACCGCCCGTCTTTTCTCTTGTCTTATAACGGAAGGACTTGTTCGAGCTCTATATATACCTTTGGGAGCGCCAAAGGAGACCTCTGATGCTACTGGGGCATGTATCGCATTCAATGGTACTACTTCAGAGTGCGAACTGTTGGCCGTGATTCCACTTCGCCACATCCCGGTCTTCAAGCATGGCGTGGCTTCCGATGCTAGGGGGCGAGAAATTGGGCTATTAGATCCTATGGACATGATGCCTCTTGTATATCATGTACATCGGCCAGAAGTGACGAATGGTCATGCTGTTCCTGAGAACTCGGTGCGTTCATAGTACCATTCTCTTCACAATCCTTCATGCTTGCCAACAAGTCCATGCTCTTTCTTTAATCTTGCACACAGCATGCGCACCTCACCGCTGCCCTTATAACCAGCATTTCATCCCCTGCGTGGTTGTCTACTCTTGGCTATACCCCCGTTCTCATCGCGTCCACAGACCCAATCCCCCTGTGGTATCAGTTTGCCACAGGTATCAGCCTCGAGCCACAGCTTACCGCAGATATCGCAGAGGAGCTGAAGAGCGCAGTGGCATGGCAAACGTACTCGTATTCGCACCCTCCCAAGGCACCTGGGCTTGACAACCCGAGCATCGACTGGGAACAGTCTATTGTCGAGGGACATCCTACTCATCCCGTGCGTAATCATAAATCCATAATCTACATGACGCCGATGTTCACACCTCAGCAATTGTATCTAGATGCACAAAACTCGACACTTTCTTCCTCCCATCCCACCTATTACACCAGGCTCTTACGATCTTTACAACCCATCTATCCGCCTCGTCATCCTTCCGAAAACTAGCCTCAAGATCACAGGTCCATTCTCGGATCTGACGAAGGCGATTCGGGAGGAGGCAGAGAAACGAGCAGGTGGTCCAATCGTCTCGCATGATGATGAGGTCGTGATACCGGTGCATGAATTGCAAGTGTGGCATATTCGGGAGAAATTTCCGGAGGCAAGGATACTGGAGAAAGAGTTCAGTGTTCCTGCCAGGGCACAACAAAGCATTCGGTCGGTTTGATTATTCATCCACTTAACAGGCGACGCAGTACTCAATAACGTGTCAAATTCAGCTCGGTTATCTTGCCCGGAACTCTCAAAGAGACGTCTCTCAAGCTCGGCGTGGGCATCAAGCTCACATCCGCCGTCCGCACTATATCGCCAGCCTCCGCGTTCCTAGGCCCTCGCTTCTCTTCGGCTGTCGTCCCTCACCTCACGTTCGACCGTAGTATCCTCACTGTGGCCAAAGAGTTGGCAAGCGTGGTGCATGTGAACGATGACGGTGAGGTGGCGAAGCACTGCGCTGCGATCGTAAGAGAGTGTTGGGAGAATCTCAGCGAGGATACGGGCACTAATGAAGGGAAGTCGGTGGGTAGGGAGAGACATATTGTGTGCACGAGTTTGGTTGAAAGTGGACACGCGGATGTCGAGAACGGGGTCCCGACTATCGTGCGAGTATTCGGGTTGGACACCGAGGAGAGGAGGCTACGGTGGCTGGACGAGTAGGCCTTTCATCGTTGATCATACTCTTCGCATTATCGGGTTTTCACTGATTCGTTCTGCCTCATCCTTGTCTAGCTTCGTTCAGCTGTTTTATGCCGCGTTCCTTCCACCGATGCTTCACAACGGTGTCGCATTCGAGGCCCATCCTCAAAATACGGTCTTGCGTGTATCTCTCGACGGACCCGAACCTAAACTCCTTGGCTTCATTATCCGCGACTTCGGTGGTCTCAGAATCCACCCACCCACGCTGCTCTCGTCCACGCATCTCAAAATAGACACTCCCATAGATGAGATCATCACACCCGGACATTCAATCCTTGCCGATACGTTAGACGATGTTTACACGAGGATGTATCACACCGTCGTGCATAATCATTTTCAGCAGCTGGTGAGGGTGCTTGGTCTGCATTACAATGGCAAGGGGTGGGAAATAGTGCGGGAACGACTGAGAGAAGCGTTGAGTGCGGAGAAATATAATGGTAAGGCAGAGGGGCTCCGGGAGGCCTGGTTTGGCGGCGAAGGGAAGGAGAGGTGGGCGGTGCCGGGGAAGTGTTTCATGAGGATGAGAATGGTGGGCATGTATAGGCATGTGAGTGTACCACGCTTTCGTCGTTCTCTTCTCAATTCGCTCACGCCATGACTTGTTCAGCATCTACACGAACCCTTTCCCAACTTGCTATATTACAAAGGGTCGGAGCAGGAACAGTCTTGATGGACAGCCTTTTGTGTAATCACTTATTCGTATCTGAATTCGCGGTCTATGAAAGAAGCTTATTCGTGACATTGCGTTCGTATACAACTGTGTCTGGACTTCTTGCATCAAAAGGTATTGGTCCATTACACCGCAGCACCTTATGCGCACTGACCTACCGAGGAGGACGGGGTACGAGGCGCGATTACCGTCAGTTCGAAGCTAACTTACCTCCATCCATCTTCCATCCATTTCTCGCACCATAACTCGGCTGTAATGATTTCTAAGCGTTTGTTGTGGGACCACCTACATATATCTTGTCTGCCGTTTATCTTGCGCAAGCGTTACGGCCGTGTACTGGTCGCGACGGTGTGCAACCAACATTAATATTCGCGGGTAAAACTGGGTCAGGCCCAATCGGATAAGATGAGATTTCGAGAAACCCGAATGCGCAGTTATCTGATATGATAAATCTCATGAGATGTGATGAAACACGATCGGCTAATGCCACAACAGGCGCGGATCTCGGTCAAAAGTTCTTTGACTGTGTGGCGAGGATTCGAAGACTTGGCCCAGTCTCGGAATGTCCGAAAGCCTACGACATAAACAATTCCATGGTTCACATCGCCAGTTTTAGTTATTCCGGCCCTCTTATATTTTCTACAGTGACCTGCCATGATCACCCTCCGTCTCTTTCCCCCTTGCTCAGACCCGACTCATCCCTGATCCTTTCTCAAACCTAGCTTCACTGGCTGATTCCCGCGCATACTCTGTGGCCACTGGCATCGCTAGCGCGTATCATTTCGCTATGACGGTCCTTGTCTCGAGCCATCGCCTCTTACGAACTTTTCCAAAGGGCCCATCGCATGCAAAGTACACGGCTGTCAGTCACTCGAGCCACTCCACTACCCCGCATGCTCAGACATATACAAAGACCCCTGCTGTCGTATGTCGCCTCCCTTCAGCTGAAAAGGCAGCTTTTGCGGTTACGTCGCGTCTATTGTCCTCCATCGTCACAGAGGGACTCCTTCCTGCCGTCTATGTCCCTCTAGACGACTCTTCGATGGCTCCTGGCGTCTGCGTCATTCTTGCGGGGAATCGGACGTTAGGCCCACTGCGCGCGATCGATGTATATGCTATAGTACCTCTTCATCATCAGCCTCTGCTCAAACCCCGCGAAGCGACTACGGCCTTGGGGAGACCGGTGTGGCTCCTCGATCCTTTTGACATGCTGCCCTGCGTTCTCGAACCTCGGGATTGTTCGTTCTTGCCCGGGCAGTTCACCGTAAATATATTCTGCGTTCATCAATGCACGCTTGTCTAAACTTTTTCTGGGGTATAGGATGACCTGCAAAGCACCATCGTGCACACGATGGCGCAAGCTCCGTGGCACTTTGCGGCGTCGCACGTGTCCTTCACGGAGACACTCGACCCCGTTCACTTGTGGAACAAGTTTGCGAAGATCGTTGGTATCGATGAAAGTCTTCGGACCGGGCTTGGCGAGGAGTTCCACAACTCTTTGACTTATCAAAGTGGGTGTCATCATTCCACCCGCCACGTCTACACGGTGACGACCAAAAAAATTACAACTGACCTTTCCTCTAGAGGTTGTCTACGACCGTCTGCCGCGGCTTCCCAGTGCCTTGTCGCCTCCAATTGAATGGGAACAGAGCCTCATCGAGGGACATCCTACCCACCCTGTATGTCAGCTAAAGACTTCGGAGTATGATTTACACTTGACTGACGTTGCTGCGCCATCATAGTCCCATCGCGCTCGTCGTACAATTCCTCCTCTCCCTCCCACCTCTCCCACGACTCATGATTGGTACCGTCCCGTTGTCCGTTTTGTTCTCATCCCCCGCCAACAACTCGACATCTACGGTGCCTTCGAAGATGAGATCTCCGCACTGGTCAGCAGTATCGCTGAACAATGCGGCAAGCAACACATCGTCTCCACTGCCAACGATGAAGGCAAGGTATTGATGCCCATCTACGGTCTCCAGCTGCCCAATATTCTGGAAAAGTTTGGTGATGAAGGTGTTGAAATTCTGGACGACGACTTCAGTACTCCCGCCCTCGGCCAGGCCAGCTTGCGCACCGTCGCCCTCCCAGACTATCCTTCCATTCTCCTCAAACTCTCTGTCGGCATCACCGTCTCCTCCGCTCTGCGTACTATCTCACATTTTACGGCCAATATCGGACCGCGACTTTCGAACCTCATCCCGATGTTGGGGATCGACAAAGAGATACTGTATGTTGAGCAGGAGGTCGCGAGTGCAGTATGCATGAGGACGAAGGAGGGGCAGGAGATGCCTCACGACGTGGTCAAGCATCTGACAGCAGTGGTCAGGAGGCCGTACGAGACGAAGCCTGGTGAAGCTGTGATTTTGACTGCGGCGTTGGTGGAGCATGGACATGAAGGAGCTCAGCCCGGTGTCTCGGTAGTAGAGCATCTTTTCGGGCTGGACACTGATTTGAAGAGGGTGACATTCTTCGAGGAGTATGTATTCATCGCTTTCTTCCTGCGTATACCACGTCAACTGATCGAACATTCGCAGCTATACCCGTCTCCTTATGGCCGCTATGCTGCCACCAATGTTGCACAACGGACTTGCGTTCGAGGCTCACCCACAAAACACACTGGTCCGTATCGCGGTGAGGCCGCCTTCTGAAGAATGTCCTAACCCTTCCGCACGAGTTCTCGGCTTCGTCATTCGCGATTTGGGTGGCATTCGTGTCCACCCTCCTACCTTGAACGCATCTCTTGCTTCTTCTTCACCTTCCTCGCCCCCGTTCGAGTTCCTGCCCGAACATTGTATCGTCACCTCGACTGTCCAAGAGGCTGCCAAAAAGCTTTATCACACTCTGATCCACAATCAACTGCAGAGGTTGATCAGGGTGTTAGGCTTGCATTATGACGGGAGGGGTTGGGAGATCGTGAGAAGGGAGGTTGAGAGGAATGTTGGCAGAGATACGTGGTTGTGGAAAGTTTGGATGGAAGGGGAGGGCGGTAGGATCGAGAGCGTGCAAGGCAAGTGCTTGCTGAGGATGAAGATGCAGGGATTATATCGCGACGTGAGTTGTATTCGTGGTTTCTCTTCTTTTGCTGGTACTGATGTTGTCGTTTGTTCGGATGGGTGCAGTCCGTGTACGAAGATTTCCCAAACCTTATTCAATTCAGGCCGGAGGTAGCGGATGAGGTTGTTTAAGGGCCTCGACGACGTCCCGCAAGAGTTGTGGCGCCCGAAATACTGACTGTGGAAAAACTGGACTTGTGGGGCACGAATTGAATACCGAATGGACAATGAACAAAGAAACAATGTGCTCTTCATCTGACTTATTCCTCTGTATCTACTTATTGCTTTACGCATTGATTTTCACTGTACAACGTCACCGTATTTTGTCTCCCGCGAAACTTCTATACAAGTGATCTTTGTAGCTTGAGTATCGCGAGCTTTATGTGTGCGTTTTGATGTGTGGAAAGAGCCTGGCTTGCTAAAATCTGCGGGCCACCAACGTTGCCCACTCCTTGTGGCGCGCCGGCGCTCGCCGACGAGTCGATGTGGACGATTGTTTCCTTGTTTCCACTCTCGCTTGAGACTTGCTCAGCCTTGTTCTCCCTCTCCGCACTTCCAGGTTCTTCCACGACTTCGCGCCGTTCTCTGTTGGACTCGTAAAACTCGTATCCAGTATCTACAGTGGTTCTGGCTGGTTATGATATCTTTCTATCGAAACTCTTAGTCGCGAGCGCCTGCCCGGCGTGTGCTCCCGACTCCCAACACTATGTTTCCTAAACCTTCTGTCTTGAGGCCCACACGTACTTTTCTAACAAAGATGTGCACTCTCTATGGCCCGCGCCGGTACACACTGATTAGTTCATGGCCAACTCCCCAACTCGGGAGTTGCATAGCTTTCTGTGCTGCAGATAGGCGCCCCGTCATTGGCCATCTCGAGCTCGGCTCTGTTATGGATCCGCGGACAGGTCCTACAAGAGAATAATTCAAGACACAAGGGTATAAAGGACGTTCGTCTTGAGCGGTTTGAATTCGTTCCATCGATCCATCCTCACAAATATCCACTCTCACCGCAGTCTCTCTCATATACATGATGTATGACGACAAGCCAGAAGAATACTCAAATAACAAGAAAAGTCAGCTTAAATACTACGCTGATTCACTACCCTCCTACGACGAGGTTTCATCCTCTGCCACTTCTGCCAGTGCCTATCGAGGGACCTCTCGCGGAATGAACGGGCGTTACTACGATGAAAGTACCTCGTTTAACACTACCGCATATCCCCAACACCCTCAATCCCAGTCCTATGGCTTTCCAAATCCCTACGGCCATCCTAACCTGGGCCCATCCTCCTCTCGTCGCTACGCCACCCCGAACTTTCCACGCCAACCCGCCTCTTACTTTCCCCCAGAAAGCATTTCGCCATCCGTCAACATCACTAGCGCCACTTCTTACCCAGGCTTTACCTACACCGGCAGGGCCCCGCCTAGACGCGACCCATTTAACCCTCCTCCACCCTCCTTTTCTCGCGCTCCCCCTCCCACATCTCGCGGCATACCGTACACCGCCCTTCCTACGCAGATCCAAATTCCCTCCGCCAAACCTTCCGACCTCACCTCGGGATTCCTCCCCATCTTCCCCTCGCCGCATCTCCTCCTCGCACATGACGTTCAGCCTGCCGATATTTCTCGCCTCTTGGAGGACTGCCACCTGATAGGTAAGCTGAACACGACGGATCAGATCGTGAGCGGGGTGTTACCCGCGGTAATGGGCATGACGCCAATTACAGGGTTTCTAGTAGGGGAAGTAATGAAAGGAGGAATGGGAAAGAAGAAGGTACAAGACGTGAGAGGACTTGTTGAGGCATGGGACGAGGCTTTTTTCAGGGCAAGAGGGTTGAGAATTTGGATTGAACAAGGGCCGAGTGTCAGCGGTGTCTCTAGGAGGAGATACGAAAGCGAATCAACCGACTCCGGGAGCGAGAGTGATAGCGGAGATGATCACCGTCGTGCGAGATATGAGCGGGACGGAGGATACGTCGGACGTGATGAGGCGGGCTACACGCGTCAGGGCGATGGAATGGGATCAAAGGGAATGGGCGGTGGGTTGGGCGGTCTCCTGGCCATGGGTGATCGTAATCGTAAGGGTGGCATTATAAGGGGCCTCATTGCGGAAGTGATGCAGAGCAGCGGCTCTATGACGTTGAACCGCAGCATAGAGAATGCAAGACATGAGAGGGACGCGAGAGGGGAGCGTCGGATGGAGGGACGATCGGTCAGAGGGGACAGGCGGGCAAGGAAGGAGGACAGGAGAAGGGAGAAGAGGGCGGAGAAAAATGTGCGTACAATGTCTCTCAGAAATTTTTCCCTCGTCGCTCGTCCTGATGCTTATTTCTTTATTGCAGGAATTGAAAGGGTCATTGTATCTCGTGATCGGTAATGCTTGAGTCCCTCGATGCGTTTTCGGACGCCACATATTTAGACATGCCCATTCCTTTTTGAATTCTCTCCGCGCCCCGTATGATTCATTAGTATTCGGTCCATATAGACATATTCTAGGCCATTCATCGTTACATTTTGACGGAGTATACCCTCTCCAATGTTTTCGTTTTGGTGCGTGCAGCAAGCATCGTGCATTGGCATGTCCAATTGCGGTAACATCTTTTACGTGCTCGAGTGTAGCACTGATATTCTAGGCTGTTCCGGGGCAATCCAGCCAAATCGAGCTTGAAGGGTTCCGAAGGTTCCACTAGTTCCAAGGAGAAGCGAAGTAAGATGATCCTGCAGAATTCGAAGACGGTGGTAACCTGCAGGGCTGCGGCTAACATTTGGCTAACATCTTCGCCGAGGAAGAGGAGATTTGCGGTAAGACCAAAATCATGTCAATATGTGGTCTTCGGTAGACATAAATCGACGTGAACAGCGAAGGACTTAGAGCTCGAGACAATAGTCTGAGAGAAGAGCCAGCGAAGGAAGGTCGATCGCCGGTGAAATTTGGATCGCACACATATGGGGAGGTTGCTGTAATCTTATCTGATAGCGCGAGATCCCGCATTGACGTATTTGGGTTGCGTGGATGCAACACGGGGTTGCCAATGTAAGCTCTTGCAAGCAATGACAACACAGACTCTTCAGATTTTCCCTCCTCCAGCGCTACAACGACCAAGAAGACAAAGACGGCCATGAGCGGTCTTTCTGAGTCGCAGAACCATGCGTATTCGTGGCACCAGGTGAGTGGAGGTCTTGGCTCTCGAAGAATGCTTATTGACTCGTGTGCTGCAGTCTCACGACCAGGTAGGCACTGCTTCCCTGATAAATTTTGACATGGGGGTTGGTCTGATGGCTACAATAGGCGACAGTGCTTTTACTCGTACCATACGAGACGGTGGAGGATGAGCTAGAGGTGTGCACAAATCGTCTAGATAGAGTGCTTGGATGCGTACTGACTCAAAGAACAATAGGTCGTCATCGAACGGAACCATATTGTGGCGGGTGTACGTGGGCAAGCGCCGGTGGTCAAGGTTCGTATTCTACAGTATTACACGCATGTTCACTGGTTATAGTCGACTAACTGAATTAATGGTAATGTAGGGTCGATTGTATGGCGATGTCGACACCAACACTTCCGTCTGGCAGCTCGAGCCGCGAACCTCGCATCTCTCATCCCGCACCCGTACTACATCTACCACCTCTACCGGCTCAAATCAATCCTCATACGCGTACATCTCTGAGCCCGACATCTCCAGCAGTTTCGCTGCCTCGCTCGACAGCAATCCCACCTCCGATACGGACGAACCTGGCCTCACAACAGGCTCTCCCGCACTGTCTTCCCCCATCTCATCCGCAGACGAGCGTGTAGGCTTCGCAGCTATACATAGGCGCAGGCGTAGACCATTAGGCACTTCGTCAACTCAATCGCGAGCCGCCTCTCCGCGATATGTAGCCGGAAGTCTCGCTTCATCGTCCATCTCTTCCGAGTCGTTGCATGGGTCGAAGTCGGGGAGACTTTTGACCATACATCTAGAAAAGGCCGACCCCGTCATCTGGCCGTCTTTGATCGTAGGGCCTATATCGGATACGCTATCTCAGTCACTATCGAGCTCGTTGGGACTGGGCGCGAGAGAGGAGAAGGAGGGGATGTTCGACATGGATCCTACCAGCTTGGTGTTGCTGGGTTCGGACTCACTGGATATTCGACAGGATTCCGAAGAGGCATTCGAATATTTTCTGTGGGTCTTTTGTTCTGCTACCTGCACACCCTCGTATCATTGACGAGAGTACCCATTCCAGGCGAGCCTGGAACCAAGCCAGCCTACCTTCCGCCACCATGCGACTCGTCACTCATTACGTCCCGCTCCATCTTCCCCTCGAAGCAACATCTGTTCAACCAGAACGCGGCACTCCAGCATACTATGCACAACGTCTCGGGGGCCCACTGTCCCTCGCGCAGCTATACCTCCAGGCCGGACTACTCCATATCGAAGGCGCTGCCTCCGTTCTCCTCTCGTCTTCGTACTCTGGCCTGTCTTCGATTCGCATACCGCATTCGTCTGTGTATCATGAACGACCAGAAACGGCTACAGAGGCGTGGAAGCGCGACCGTGAGAACGCACGGCAGTATTTCGAACGTGCGAAGTCGCTGTGCCCTAGTCTTGATGTTCCGAGTCTTCCTGCGGATAGAAGTAGCGGTGGCGACGATGAAGATGATATTCAACTCGTCATGCCGTCCATCGAGCTTCATCCCGCTCAAGAAAAGCATGAAGGTGCTCGCAGAAGACATGGCGAGAAGGAGGCGGAGGATGTCGTTACGTCAAACCCTAACGAGGACACGCGGACGAGGACGCGGACGAAGACGTTAGTGGACGGCGATGATGATGGGCTGGATGGTGCTTGGTATCTCTATGTTCCTGGTTTGGTGGGTGCGGGTACGGCGTTGCTCGTTGTGGGAGTCCTTGGCGCGCTGAGCGTGTCGTCTTGGAGGAAGAGTCAGGGTTAGTTTGGTGATTCACGATTGAATGTTCTAGGTGAATATTTGGTCTCGAGGTTATATTCTTCTTGGATGGACTCGTGATGTGTGTACGTACATGGCTCATGTTGTTGTTGCTTTAAACTGTATCGTTATCTGTGCTTCTGTTCGGTGGGTATCCTCAGTGATGAACATTGTCGAAATAATGTGGTTGCGTTTCAGTCAGATGATTACGAATAAACTCAGAAGAGACATGCCCTTACGCGGGCTGTGACTGTTGCTAAAGCACGCAGCGGCTAATCTGCACGCTAACAGACGACTGTCTGATGTTCCGAAATATATTGTTTGGGAGAGGCTAAGCTGACCTAGTAAGGAAATGATTTCGCGACAAAGCGAATCGGTAGCCGTGCATGTACACGGTAGACATGAGTGGATAACACGCATACTAATTCTCGTTGACGTTTGCCTTCAACTTATCGTCTGCAGAAACCGCGCTGAACCTACGTTCTCGGTCAGAAAGAAATAAAGTGCTTTGATTGTTGATGGTAGTAAAAGAGAAAGTGGAGGCTGGCTGAGGGTTGCGACGCTGGTATCGATGCACGGGAACTGAAGGTATGGAGTCGACTGTGATGAAATATATAGAGTGACAAAGAAATAGGTGCCTATGTGCATATCTTTTGACGCTTCGGTAAAAGGAGACAAGTATCCGTCGTAGCGGTGTGATGATATTCCTGCGCTGGCAATGCAGAATCAGTGAAGAGCTTGGGGCCGTATCGATGAATCAGATGTCGAGGGTTTGACGAGTCTCGAGAGGATAAAGAATACCCGAGATAAGAAGTAAATGCAGCTGGAATAACAGAAAATGTGCGGTGCCTCACAGACTGAGGACAAAGTCGTCACGATGTAGGCTCTTGTAGGTCCGTCAAATCGATCTCATCCGCCATCTCAACATGCGAGGAACTCCGACGGGTGAGGTCACTTCATTATGGACCCTCAACGCCATAAGGTGTGATATGTCCTGTTCTGGAGAAGAGAGTTTGTAAAGACGGCTCGCTGCGAACGATGAGATGATGGTGAGAGCATAGTTATCAAGATAGCAATCAGAAGGTGATCAGAGTCAGCAGATACGTGAGTCCCTGAGTACCACCGGTGCGGCGTTAAACATCGTTAGATCCTCAGGCCAGGGGCTGATACTGGTCAAGCATACGGAGGTAGGGCGATGAAGCTGGCGTGAACATAAAACCATACCACATTGCAGTCGAAAACAATAGGATCGATGTGGTATGCAGCAGTATGCCACATAATAAGAGAGAATTTTGACAATGTTCTGATAGCCGAAGCACAGTCGCCATGTCCGTAAAGTTCAAAACGTCCCCGCCTGATGAGGGTTTCCAGAAAACATGATAGCAAAGACGACCGGGCCTGTCCGAGGTTGCTGACAATAAAAAGTCCAAGAAAGGTAAGCGCGGAAGGGCTAGAAGGGGACCGGCGGAGGGGCTCGGTGGTCGGTGCGCGTCGTGGCGGGGAGTTTAGGGCAGGCGTTTTCACGCGTCGGTGGGGACCCACGAAGGGCTCGCGATGCCTCGTGTCTGTTTGTTTCTCCCGAACAGCGTCGTATCAAACAGCTGCCCGTCCTTTCCCAGCTGCCCCTCTTGCTCCCGGCCATCACCATCGACTCCCAATATTTGCTAACCGTGATCATCACACCGCTCTCTTGCTTGCCTATTTTTTCTGGACGTAGGGCCCGCAACACTCGGTGCCCTCTTCGCGATCCTTATGCCTAACCCCCCAGTTCTCAGGCGCAACAACAACCACATACCGCGCGCCGCGTCCCCCCGCACTCCTACCTGCGGTTCTCCCGCTCAGCTCCCTATTTTTCTGGCCTCGCCCGGTAATAGGAAGAGCTCCGACAGCTGGACCAGCTCGAACGACCCTCGCGAGGAGATCGAGGCAGAATGGCAGTCTGAGCAGGTCCTGCTCCTCCTAAGGGTCTGCTTCTCTCCGATAAACCTTACCTACTGCCCCGTCTTACGCGTTTTCTCGCGTCTTACAGACTCTCGACGCCCTACCGTCTCATACGCTTACTCCTTACATCGGTCCTGTTCCTCCTTCCAACCTTCTCGATAAGTTGGCCAAAGGCGTCGTCGAGGCCAAAACTACGTCGGAATGGCCTCACTCCATTCGCAAGACGCGTTATAAACTTGTCGAGCTAGCTCGTCAACGCGCGAAGGAGGCTGTGCAAGAGGATGCGCGCAATGAGACTATCGCTGAGGAAGACGGCGACCACCGCGACGTTTTCCAACCTACCACAAACACAGGCTCCAGAAGGCCCCTATACAGACAGTCCAGCATGGACTTCATGGAGTATGCCAAGATGGATCTCAGCACCACCGACCCTTACTCTCGGTATGTGTCTTGTCTACTCTGTTATGCTTATCTCGTGTTCGAACTGCTATGCTTTCTAGGGTACTCGAACGTCTGCAAAGGGCCGAGCACCTCCAATCAGCCTCCGGTCATCACCCCTATTGCCGTCCCGGCGGACGTAGTTCCTATCCAGACTCGTTGCACCCTTCCACTCCCTCCTCAACTACCTTGAACTCGACTCGTTCTGCGCGTAGTTCACGTAGCTCCTTGCGTCGCACGACCTCTACCCTGTCGATTTCTTCCACTGCACCTGATTGGTACGTAGGAGCCGATGCCGAGTGCGATCGCGAATGTGCTTCTCCAACCCGCTCCCGCTCCCGCCTTCGTAAACCACTCAAGCGCGCCCCGGACTTCGGAATCTCTCAGACCCAGTACGACAAACCGACGGTCAAACAGAGAAACTCAACCGGTAGTAACTCTCTCTCGGGTTCCGACGAGGAAGAGAAGTTACGGTCCATGAAGGCAAAGAAAGCTCGGACACAGAAACGAACTTCGGACGCTTCGTCTGTCGATATCTCCAGCCCGCGCGCTTGTCCCAAGTCTCCCGCAGATATCGTCATGGCTTCTCCCGGTACCTTCTCTGCCAGCAACGACCCCGTCAAATCCACGACCAGTCGGAAGACCAAGCAGCGGTCCTCCAACCCTTCTAAGTCCGCTGACATCCGTTCCGGTACACCTACGACTTCACCGCAACAGCCTCGTGGTCGACGGGCTAACCTTCAACGGAACCCTTCCATTTTCGGCCCTGAATTGCCTAATCCGCAAATGACGCCTTCGCCACCGACGTCCGAGTACTACCCATCTCCCTTGATGCTCTCCTTGTCCCCTAAGAACTTCACCTCTCCCTCTCCCGCACCGAGCTTCAGTCCCACCTCGATGAACTTCACCCCGAGTCCACGCTCGTCTTGCACGCCGACAAGGACGTTGAGACGGGTGAGGCAGACGGTGCTGAGGTCGCCTCGGAGGATCAGTTTTGGGGGTCTTTTGCCGTCAGCGGACGATGGAAACGTCCAGAACGCGAGTGAAATGTACGGGTCGTTCTTGCTGGAACCGGTAGAAATCAGGATGTCGAACGGGCGGGATGGTGGTGAGGAGAATCCCGAGGGGATTGGTCGTGGGCTGGGACTGGGAAGTGCGTTCCAGCTTCGTTGAACAGAGACTCATATATTACTCGGTAGGTGCCTGTGATCTACCGAGATTGTACACTGTATCAAGCATCAATATCTACTTGCGCTGTGATTTTTTTCTTTTTTTATTCTCTTCCAGCGCGTTAGAGTAGACCTTTGACTCGCTCCTCACTTCAATCTCTTCTGCTTATTTCTTTTTTTCACCGCCGGTTCAACATTTTCTTTTCGCTGTTCTGCTTTTGTTTTTCTTTGTTTTTGTCTTTGTTTGTGTTTGCCTTGAATTTTCTTGAATTTGTTCGAACCTTCGTTGACCGGCTGGTTCACGTTCCTTACTTTCTTGCTTTCCCCTCTTCTTTCTTTTTTCGTTTCTACTTGCTTGCTTGTTTCATTCTTACTTCGCTTGCGAGTGCTTATCCTCGCGCGTTTTCCCCCCTGTCAGTTTGCTTGTTTTTTTCTGCCCGGTCACACTTTTTACGTTGCTTCTTTGACCGGATGTCCATAACACTCTTTTATTCCTCTGCTTTTGCTTCTCTCGTACATACATAACTCATAAAATCTTTTCACCCGCTTACCCTCTTCCTACCCCTCCTGCCCTCAATTTCGACAGAGACATCGAAACCTATCTCCACTCATGCACGACGCCTCTCTTACCTTTATTACTGGGAGCGTCGTTCCCCCTTGACTTTCCCTTAACCTTCGGAAACGACCCTCTTCGTTGGTAGGGGGTGTATCACTACCTTCATCTACCGGTGTGGTCTTGCAGCTACACCCTTACGTTATCCTTATCTCCAACATGTCCTCAGACACTTGTGCGCACTTCTGCTTCCTTATTCTATTTGTGCGCTCTTGCCGCCTTTCTTCCTTTCCTTGACTGTACAACAAACTTCTGTGCCCTGTCCTTTCTCGTATACATATCTATCCCCTTACGGTTCGTAAACTTTCTTTTCTTGGTTTCTTGTTTCTCTTTTCACTTTTCCCTCTTCCTTTCCTGTTCTTGTTTCCCCCCAAGCCGACCCTCTATCACCTTCGACCTGCATCCTACAACTCCGGACCCGTCAACGGCTTTCGAATCGATCTGGATGCACGTCTCGCACAACGCTACCACCGATAGTCTTCGCGAGGTCCTCATTCAAATTCGGAATCCGTTGATACTCTACTCCACCGCGCCTTCCTCGTCAATCGAATCCAGGAGCTCCCAACCATCGCGATGTCCATGGTCGCTATTCCTGGTCGAATATCACACAATTCTTGGCTCCCCTGACGTTCCTGCTCTGGCGATTGTTCTTTGGTTCTTTGTTCGTTGTACATATTTCTTCCCTTCGCCTTTGCCATATTGCATTGGAATGTACAGTGTACTCGTGTAACCAACTTGTCCTTCTCTTTCTCTCCTTTCATCGAAGATCTTGATTTCTGTCCTCAATTGTTCTTCTGGCTTGCCTCAACCACCGTTCCGTCCATTCTCTCTTCCATCTTCATCTTTCCGAGCAGGCCGTGTATTGACTATCTCCATTCATTTGTCCGCGTTCTTGTTGTTCTTGTTCACTGCTGCCGGGTTCAGGCTTGTGCGCAGGACCCCTCCCACTTTCATCATTCACATTTCCACCTGCTCGTGTATTGAATAGTATCCATTTTCCTTTCTTCGTTCCCTTGAGTCCCTGTTTGGGTCCCGTGCACCCCACCCATTAGGCGTGCGTGTCGTTGTTACGGATCTCAACAAGGCTCGGGTTGATTTTTCGTTTCCTCTTCGTGTCTTTTGTTTCGAATCGGAATGTATGTACATAAACAAGCTGAAATTTTCACCTTCTTTTTCGATCTTCTTTCTTGTGTTGAAATCTTTTGCTCTTGTACGCAGAATTGAATCGATGATGCGTTGTACATTGTAATTTCACCGGTCGACGTTTGCGGGACGCTTTCGACATTGACGAAAGGAGGACAAAGGACCACCTCGGTGAGAGCATCGAGTCATTTATGTGCCACGGTGGCGTAGTTAAACTTAGATCGGCGCACCACGTGTCACCACGTGGGGCGCACCACATTAACCGGAAGTTTCCGGGCCCCGTTGTCTTGATTGGTTGTTGACTTACCACCTTGATCACCTCGAGCTCTTTCTCCTCTTGAGTTTCACTTCACCTTTTACCACCTCGACTCCCATCAGAGAATCAACCCTGCAGCAAGTATATATATTCTCATTTTATCTGTACCTATCAGCGTCGTCTGCGTCACTGCATCCGAAGACTCCGCCGGGGAGGTCGGCGCAGTGAGCTGCACTGCTTTGGCCTTTCATGCACGTCGTCGACTTCGAGGGCCTCGCTTGCCTACGTATTATTACTCGAGCGCAGGTAGGCCTGATCCTCCTGACGTAGCGCACTTCTAATTTATGGATTGGGGATCTTTATGGCGATGTAAAGTCGGTCCCGCATGCAGCTGCGCAAGTTGTGCTGCCACCATACGAGCGTTATTCCTGAAGCTAGGGCTCAAGCTTCTGTTAGCGGAATCTCTGATTGGTTTTCCGTCGTCTAACCAAAAATACAGACGTCATCCGCTGATCACCATATAGCTCCTATGCAATGAGGCTCACATATCTTGCGTCTAGTCAAACTGGATAGTTCCTTGTACTTCTGCTGCGCGGCGGAGCAGCCCTCTATGCGCTTCTCCGCTGCGATCATAGCCTGACCATACCTGCAGTGCGGAATGTCGGGCTTCGGCACCGCGAGCCTATGTACTCCCCCGTTTTGGCCATTTCATGTTAGGGCTGGAAGTGATCACGTACGAAAGCGGGAATCCGGTGCTTTTGACGCTTTTCAAGTTCATCTTTCTCGCTTATACAAATCATGCCTGCGGGCACGAGTTGTAGTTCGAGTGAAATTGCAATTCAAGGCGGCTCATAGGCCATGAACGAATACCTCTCAGGCAGAGCCAGTACTCGTCTCGACCTCAAAGACTCCAACATCGTTGCGCAGTCATAGCGTCGAGCCTGTCACTCTGTGATCCTGCATGATGTACAGGTTTTTTTGCGACTTCCTCGAACTGTGAGAGGCTGTGTACCAGGCGCTGCGACTGGCCAACCTTGACGATATAGAACTCGTGAATACGCACTTCCGAACTAGGACGGCTGGCGCGGTTCTTCTCAAATTTTTCTTCGCTTCATGGTAGCCGCGTATGAGTCTAGCCATTGAGCTAGTCGTCTGTTCAATTATGCTTGTTTTTCTTCCCCAGCGTGCAATATATGGGCTCCAACGCTGCAGCGACCCAGAATCGAAGCATGGCTGACCTTTATGAAGACGTAACCGTCCGCATAGCCCCCCATCACTCGCACAATCCATCCTCTGCCCACTGATGGAATCGAAGCGGTAAATGTCCGATAAGACGCATCGTACCGTCGTCTATCGTTTACCACGCAGACTACGCCCGCGGCTGGTGGGTTTGAGATGGCTTGATGTCGACCTGACCCCAAACGCCATTCGTCTGAAGCTAGTAGACGACGGCGACCTCATACTACCAAGTCCAGTACCAGACAGACGGTTCAACTATTCATTGTCAAATTGCCTCGTCGTGGTGGCGGGTTCTCACTGCGCAGAAGCACCTTCGATCCCGAAGAGGGCAACTTGTGGATAGCTGGACACAGTTTCGGCACGAGAGCAGTTTTGCCTCAGGTACTACCATTCGCTGGACTCGAGGGACTATAAGAACTGCATCCTCTCGCCAATATGACCCCATCACCGGTCGACTTTCTTTCCTCTCCTGCTTCATATTCTATTTCGCCTTACATCGTTACGAACATTCTCTTTCTCCTTATTCGTTTTTCCGCCTCATCTTACATCTTGTACCGATGCGACACAGTACACTCTTTGTCCTATGGCCGGCCCTCTTGGCAGTGGTGTCTGCTCAGAACTCTACTACTTCGGCCGCCACCACCACTGCATCTGCTCAAAATGTGACCGCAGCCACCGCCACCCCTGTCCCTGCGTTTTCTAGGTCTACTTCAGCCGACTATTCCATCATGACCACGGTCACCATGTCATCTGGTGGACCACAACCTAGTTGGCTTCCCGAAGCGTACGTTCTCCTAACTCACAACTATTCCGCACGTCAGTGTGCTAAAAGATCTTGGCATGCAGACCTCTCGACGATCAACCAGCTGTTGCTCCTGGGGCCTCGGCATATGTCTTGAACAGTTCTTTCAGCATAACCGACACACCCGTTACTCGGTCGTACGACTGGGCGCTCGCGTACGTTGACACAGTGCCATTTCCTGATTTGCATCTCACCATAGTTTTCGCCAGCGCTCGCACTGGTACACCTGATGGCTACAACCGCACTCTCTTAACTATCAATGGTCAGATGCCGGGACCATTGGTAGAGGCGAATGAGGGCGACACTCTCATCTGTGAGTCCCCCCTTCCTTGCCCCTTGTCATCTACAGTCAACCCTCTGATCGTGGAATATGTTCAGTCAACATCACAAACAATCTGTCGAACGAAACTACATCAATTGTAAGTGATCGTGTCCTTATTACTTCCGCTTAGCTCATGCAGTTCGCTCTAGCATTGGCACGGGATGTACCAAAACGGCACTGCTTTCATGGATGGCGTTCCTGTGAGTATCAATATTGAACGTTCGCTTCCGGAAGCTTACTGACTTCCCTTTGCTCCCAGGGCGTTTCGGCTGTCAGTCACAACAGATGTATTTTAACGGCTTGGACTTCTTGCTCACTGTTCCCTTGTACTTCAGTGTCCCATTCAACCCGGTCAAAGCTTCGTCTACAATTTCACACTGACGCAATATGGCACGTAGTGAGTATTTTGACATTTGCAGTATGTTGAGCTCGTCATTGATTCGCGTTGCCTAGCTGGTACCATTCGCATTCCTCGGTTCAATACACGGACGGTATCCTCGGGGTAAGAAGACCCTCACAGTCCGAGCCCCTGTACTCACGCTGACTGGATGCACACTAGCCTTTGATCATACACTCCACCGAAGACCCACTTGTTCTCGGCACAGACTTTGACGAAGAGCAAGTGCTGCTTTACCAGGATTGGTACCACGAACAAGCTGTAAGTCGTTATCTGCTCTTTTGAGTAGGCATTCACACTCATCCCTCGTCAGGCCAATATCGTCACGGAGCTCCTGTCTGTAGATGGATATGATGGCACTGCTGCTGCTCCTTCGCCACAAAGCGGTCTCCTCAACGGTGAAGGCATGTTCAATTGCTCCGCCATCGCTGATACGGATAGTACGGAGTGCACGGACACGTCTTACCCTGAGATTACCGTCACCGCGAACGCGAAGACACGCTTCAGACTCATGTGCGTCCTTATTTCTCGTGATCGTGGCGCTCTCGTGTCTCATTTCTGTCTTGTTGTGCAGCAATGGCGGTAGTCACGCTCAATTCTGGTTCTCTGTCGACAACCAGTACGTCCATATCTACGTTGTTTCGGTCCTCATTCTGACTCGTATCCTCTTCAGCACGCTGTCCGTCGTTGAGGCGGATGGCACAGTAGTATCTGGGTCAGTTTCTGTGGATCTGCACTATGACTGCAAAGTCTCCTCGGGCTAACGCATAGTTTCTTCAGTGCCGACTCTATCCACCGCGTTCCTTTCCATAACGGCCAACGGGTAGATATGATCTCAACTTCGTATTGACATGCTTCTGACCCTTCTCCATTCTCTAGTACTCTGTGATCATCGACACGACGGTCGGGTCAGAGGGTGATAGCTTTTATGTTCGCGGGGTCATGAATACCAATTGCTTCGCAGTGTACGTCGTTTCTCGCTGTGTACAGATAAAGATACTCACCCTTGGGCCTCCCTAGTGTCGACGACAACCTCAACGCCACTACCTTTGCCGTCATGCGATACGGTTCAAACAGTACTGGTCTTCCTGCAGACTCTGTCGATTGGACGGACACTTTGACCACCGACTGTATCGATCTGGACGACGACGTACTCGTCCCCGTAGTGTCTAAGGACGCACCGAGCACGGTTGACCAGCGAGCTGCCTTCGACTCCGAGTTCGGTACGGTCGTGTACTCGGACGTGACCTACAATCGGTTCTTGGTCAATGATACGTCCTACACGAACTACATCTACCAACCGCTGCTGGAGGCCGTAGCTGCCGGAACGGACATCAACTCGACCGATGTGGTACGTGACGTTCTGACAATGTTGTATACTATTTGTTCACGCCGTTTTCACATCTTTGACAGTCTAATGTCGTTTTCGATGACGATGTTTGGAGTGGAGATATCATTGTGAGTCTTGGGCTATTCTCACAACCATGGTGCGGGTTTGACTGATGTACTGGCAGATCAACAACCTCGACGCTGCGTTGGATCATCCATATCATTTGCATGGAAACGAGGTATGTACCCTACGGTCTCGCGTCCACCCGAAGACCATGCCTAATTGTCTCCTTCCAGTTCTTCATCGTGGCCCGCGGCTCTGGTAGTCTCAGCCTGGACGACGCTGACGGAATCACCTACAACACTAGCAACCCTGTTCGGAGAGACACCCTCGTCATCCCTGCCGACTCTTACGCCGTCCTTCGCTTCGCTAATGATAACCCTGGTGTATGGGTGATGTAAGTACTTGCATTCCTCGCTGATTTGAATGTATTTGCTCACCTCGATCTATAGGCACTGTCACATTGCGTGGCATCTGGCCGAGGGTTTCCTTGGTGTCGTCGTCAGTAGACCCAATGCCATCGCCGCTCTCGACTTCCCCGACTCTATTCAAGAATCGTGTGATGCTCGTCCGAGCTTCATTTCGGCCTTGACTACCGAGCCTGGTAGAAAGCGCAACCAGATCGGCTCTCCGGCTCAGCTTGGCAGGAAGGAGGCGCGCGCCGACGGTTTCGATGCGCGGCGCCTCGCCAGAAGTGCACACCATTGGGGCAGGAAGAGGTTCGGTCGCTCTAGCATATAGTCTCTGTTTCAAAGTGCAGTTATCTACTACCACACACGGTCTCTCGATCCCTTCCGGTTCACCCTTCCTTTCATTCATTGTACCGGTGATTATTTATGTTCTCTCTTAATCTCTCAGTGTTTCGGTTATTTAAACATTACACGGACATCACTCTTTTTACTTGACCTTCGTTCAGCTCAATCCTTTGGTTTCGGCAACGTGTAAATGTAACGTACTTGATGTTGTAGGCCTCTAGTGCCATTCATATACTTGACCATACGAATCTCGCCCTGGTTGCGCTTCGTTGACCGTCCGATCCCTCGGTGAAAACGGACCTACTTATTCCAAGTCGACTACTATTCGATGACAGCGCTGGGGGTCAGCGAGCACTTATCGATACATGTATAGTTTCCTCTATGGGAGCGGGAAGGTATCCACCTACTGCTTCGAGTTGTCCATTTCGAATCGATTTTAATGACACCGGATGAATATCAAGGCGCATATAAACGTACGTATACTGCGAACAATCCTGAGGTGCGTTACAGGAAAGAGTCATCTTGTCTTCACATACTTCTGGAATATACAGCACACGCACGCAACCCTCGGTTCAAGAAACATACAGAACCTAAATAAATAAGCATCGCGATCGACTATCACACGACAACAGGACACAAGAGATATGTACAAGGTATATGACAGACATTGGAGACTGGTACACGAAGAGTTTCAGTTCGATGAACGATAATCGCGTCCGCCCGTGGTTCCCAATAAATTCTCAATAGATAAGCTTCTTCGACACGGGCTTCTGGCCCTATACTGCATATGAATAGATGTTCCTTTCTTTACCAGCCACCAGGCATTCCGACAGCGACTCGAGTCGGCGCCTCATGTTCTTCGCTCATGTTCAACTGCATATCCAACTCCCTCGCCAGCTTCGCATCGAGCTCTTCCTGCTCCTTCCTCTGTCTCTCGGCCTCCTCCGCAGCTCTCTGACCGGCACTCACCCCCGGGTCAGGCATCCGTTGGCCGTACTGCGGTTGTGAAGCCTGCTGGTGGTATGGTTCGGCGACAGCGAATCCAGCGGGAGGGACAGGGGTAGAGGAGTATGAATTGGAATTGGAATGGGAATGGTAGGGCGAATACTGCGAATTGGATGGTGGTGTGGACGGGAGGGGTAGAGGAGTCTGGTACCGCTTTTGGAGGTATGGATCCGGAAGGTCTGAGTCTGTTTGGGTAGGGGGAGGGCCGTTGGATCGTGCGCCGGGGTATGGAGCGTATCCTCCGCTGGGCGGGGGCGGGGCTGGAGATCCCCCTTGTCCGTAGTCTGTCATGTGTGGCACTGGGAACGAGAAACCATTCGGACCCGGGCCGCCTGGGTACGGCGCAGGTTCGTTCGTTTGCGGACCGGGGTACGAAGGATACGAAGATGTATACGGAGGGGTATAAGCAGGCTGAGGCGTCCCATTCCCGCTACCTGGCTGGCTGTATGGCAGAGGCGTATGCTGCGACCGTGGTGGCGAGCTATAACCAGCACGGGGCGGAGTTATCTGTCCTGATGGCCCGGAAGGCGGCGCTCCATAAGGCGGTTCGTATGTTGAGGTCGGTCGGGCTCGAGAACTGGGGTTGTCGAGTGGGCTTTGATATGTGGTCGGGGGGAGGGCAGAACCGGCCATCAAAGATTGTGGTCGACTATTTGTGTGACGGTGCTGAGATGCAGCTTGATCGCGAGGATCTGGGTATTGTCCGTGTATAGACGCATCGGAGGGAGCGGGGTATATTTCTGATACAGGTCTCTTACCACCGCGTGGACCTGGACGTAAAATCGTAGGGACAGGCTTCAGACCCGTATCAGCAAGAGGGAGTGGAGGTAGAGCGGAGTCTGCAGTTTTGGGTGGTGAATGACCCGGGCTGTATGATTGACCTGGCGGAACGAGATGTTGACCACCGGCGGATGTTTGGTGTTGGGGAGGACGTTGTGACTGGGGAGGACGTTGTGACTGGGGAGGTGGCTGCTGTGGCTGGGCTGGAAGCGGCGGTGTTTGTTTGTGAGGCGGGTGTGACGTGGTGTTTATTGGACCATTGAAAGCAGGCAAGCCTCCCGCCTTCTTGGGCTGCGCTGGACGAGCAAGCCGCTCATTGGGATGGAATTTGGACGGTCTCCGAGTTAATGGAGCAGGTCCAGCCGCAAAGAAGGTCATCTCGAGGTAGATCTCTCCACGCTGAGTGCCATTGATGCTCAGAGGGACCCAGTCTAGAAGAATCCTCAATGAGGACGAAAGCTGTGGGTAGCAGATTATGATACGCACCATCGAACTCTCCCGTTTGAAGCGTTTTGGCGATGTCAAGTTTTCCCTCGCCCAACAGCTGATCCCCTGTCCTCTCTTCCGACCAGCAGGATAGTTCTAGTGTCCTGTTCTTGGTCGTGGCATCCTTAGAGATCGGTATCCGGACTTCGTGGTCCCAGACTGGATGCTGGCCGCCCTTGGGATCTGCTGGTGTGCGTTTTTCAGCGCCACCTAGAGAAAGTTTTGCATATGGATCCTGGAAAATTGTTATGTTAGCTTTTTCAATGCGGATACAAGCCGATGACTCACAAACCTGTTTGTAGAAGGTGTGGTTGTCGATGAGATGTTGCGCTTTGAGGAGAACCACGACTAGTGTGCCGAGGATGTTTTCCTTCGACATGCTGGGGAGGAAGACGGTGACGATGCACCCGTTTACTGCTGGACTGTGCTTTTAAACGGTCAATATATCTATGATGGTTGAAAGAGGCGATGAAGCTATCCGCTCGTTACCTTTGTAGGCGTCTATCAGCGGCCAAGCCGGTGGATCAAAGTGCCGATGTCGTCACACAGCTATCAGGCATTTTCCGGGCCGGGCCGGGATGGAGATATGTTCACCACCCGCCCCTCCGACCTATACAGTACCCTCTGTTGTGCATTCCTTCGAAAGACATGCTAGGAAAATTTTATTTCAGTATTTCAGTATTCCTAAGTAGATTTTTTTTTTGGCAAAAATTAACCTGTACAACAATATTGCGTAGGACCTGCGGATTGTGGCAAGTTTGTAGTGTGGCGAGCTCTGCGACCTTGGCAGGCCGGAAATTTCCGGATTGCGTGCGGCGCGGTACTACCGGTAGATTTGCGAGTCATCTTTCATCTTTCTGGGTCCTCACTCTGAGCTTTCTGTTCTCTTGGATCACTCTCCTACGTGCTTTACCTTATTGACAAGAATATCTTCTGTACCTATACAGTAGCGCGTGACTTGTAATTTCAAACGCAGAGCCCACCAAGCAAAGGCCTTACAACATCGCAGTGCAAATGCCCGCCACCCCAGGTTTCTCGGATGAACTCATCCACTTGCCTTCTGGGTTGACACTGGAAGCATCCTTTCAATCTTTTTCGCCTCCAAGTAGTAGTAATGAGGCAGGGAGAAGACTCGCTATATGTCTTCATCCTTGGTCCCGACTGGGCGGGAATATGGACGATCCGTACGTTTTCTACTACATTCTGTATCATAGGTTGGCTCGTCGAATCATCCATAGCATACAGCGTTCTCAAAATGGTCGCAGGGAGGCTGGCGTCGAAACATAAATTTGATGTTCTACGATATAACTCACGCGGCGTTGGCCGTTCTTCTGGCTCTGCTTCGTTCGCCGGGTTCTCCGAAGCGGAGGATCTGAAGGAAGTGGTCAAGTATGCCACGAAGAATATACAAGATGTCCAGCATGTTCTCCTCCTGGTGAGTACTGCTACCAAACCTTCTGTCCATGGTATTTACCCGCCAAACTGCTCCAGGGTTACTCGAATGGCTGTCTGCCTGCTTCTCTCCATCCTGTTTTAGAGCGTCCGATAGTAACATCACACATCCTTCTCTCGTACCCTCTGGGTCCCCGCGGATTCCTGACATTATTCAACTCAAAGACGTACCAACAGAGCTTGGAAACCCTCCTGGGAAACCCTCGTGCACATGTGTTATTGCTGTATGGGGACGTAGACGAGTTCACCGGCGTAGGTTCTTACGAACCATGGGCCCAAAACCTCCAGAGTATCTCGGACAATGCCCATCGTACCGTCAATGAAGGAAGGCTCGGTGAAGTGGAAGTTGGGGAGTTGAATGGTGGGAGGGGGGGGGGGGAAGAGGGTTGGTAGTGCAGTGTGTGGATGGTGGAACACATTTCTGGAGAGGCGACGCCGCAAGGCGGATGCTTGCTGCCATCGACACGTTTATAGAGTAATCAGGTACGCGGTACGAGGATCCTCACTTCGGACCATTTATCCCTGATGCATTCCCGTTGCACAGGCTGACTCGGTGGAAAGAGTCTCACGACTAGCCTGTTTCGTCTCAAAGAAGGTATATGTCCTTCTGATCGTTATAATTATCTTGCTGGGATATCATTCCAGCGCACTTCGCGTCGGGCATCTGTCTGACCGACTTACAAAGTCTAACTGTAGACTTCTTGCGCTGTCCTAGGGCGCCTGAGAAACTTCCTATAATCCACTTCGTCCACGTCTCGCAGTCGGTCGATGCGGAACGATAGGCGGTTATGTTGCGCCCTTGCGATGCATCTGGCTTCTAACATGCGCTTTTAGTGCGACGTTGACGCCGCAATGTCTCGTTGTCCAGTTGCTCGCCTAGCTATGTTCGAAGGATGCTTCTAGTCTTCTCTGCCCCACATCGATGTGGGTGTTGGGCGACTCGCCTGCCCACCTCAATGGTGTACTTCGGGTACTATCTGTACCATGGTGGATCCTTAGTCCAATGACCCAGATACATCCACATCTGTTCCATCCGTTGCCCCTTTGTCCCTTCAGGGGCAGGGATTTATGTGCTTGGCTGGCTCCTTCAAGGGCTGATCGAAGCATACCGTTTTCCCCACCTCGGCTGCGATGTACTGCGGTACGATTGACATACAATAATGAAGTCCTCCCAAGTCTTTGCATCATTGGCATCCACCCCGAATGATGATCCTTCTCGTCATTGACTTCATTGAATTTCGTGGCACAGCGGATGCGTGCACGGATACGCACTCCTCTTCATACGAGGATATACTTTGCCTTCGAAGATATCCAATGGTCGAGAGGTCGACCGAGTGAGTATATGTAGCTCGCGCCTTTTGACTCTCATAGGCTGTGCTGATTCTCAAGATGCACCGCCTCTTGATATATCAGTGGGACCTTGACGTATATGCTCGCGAACTATCAACGTGTCGGCGTACCGCGACGGAACCCGCACACAACCTCTCTTCCTCCAATTTCAAACCCTTGACTCTACGGAGCATTTTATTGAACAAAAAAACCGAGCGTTATGACGGTAGACGACAAGGCGCTCATACCGTAAAGATCAAGTTGAACTACTCAACCTTATTCTCACGAGTTGCATTTGAAATACGCTCATCAACTCGTCCACCTCGCCGAGGTCCTTTCTCACGCCCACGATATGAACGTCGACACTCTACCTTCTCTCATCTCGTTACCAGCGCGCATAGGTTCTTGGGCGATATGGCCGCCTCCTCATGGAGGACAGCCCAGGGAAAGGATCCCAAATATCACCGTGATATGTGTGTCATACAAGTCCCTCGCAGTCTGCAGGCGGTTATCTGCCAGTGTTTTGGTCTCGTTCGTGCTCCCAGCAGATTGAAAGAAACCAGGTTCTCGTGACTATGCTGATAGACAGGTTCGCTGTGTAGGCTAGTATCACACCTCACAGCGTCGTGTTCTCTGTGGATGCCATACCGGCCTCCGCCTACTGCGGCCTTTAACACGGTGCGCACTTCGATTATCGGAATCCCTGCGGTAGCCCCTTACAGTGAGGAATGCTGTCCAAATTTCAGGCCCAACATCCACGTAGGTGTATTGTTCTCGGTCATCCTCATCGAGGGCCTAAGAAGGTAGCTAGGTCATCGGTGTGAGGAATCTTGTATCTCATTCGCCCGAAGGCCATGGCTGAGAGGACCTACTACTACCTCAAGGTGATCCACAGACTTGCCTCCCAGATGGATGTATTCATTGCTGTACTCGTACGTCTACCTACTTCATGGTTAACCTTCTTCGTTGACCGAGTCTCCCAAATTTGGATTGGGCTATGGTCACGACTATCATAGCCCACGATACTTCGCCAGTCATCGTGCTCAAAATGAGCTCAAGATCGGACTCCAAAACGAGCTCCGCTTCGGCTCCAAGTCGCCAGTCTGAACTCCCCTATTGAATCCGTCTACTATGTGCACCATAGTTCGCTGCGGCTACAAACACTATTTGACGCTGAACGTGCTGAATCACCTTAGGTGAGTCATACCGCCTCACTCATCTCTTAGCAACATAATTGAGCGGTGCTCATAGCTCACAAACCGACCGATCGAAAGGGTGTGGAGAACAGGCGTGCTAATGCCTCGTTTATTTGTGCTCCCTCTCCTAGGGGTTTAAGGCGATGTACAATGTCATTCGATTGGAAGGTTGGTATATCGCTGCGTAAGAACTTCTGATCCCCACATTGCATGTGAGTTGCCAATGCATTATACCATCTCAGATTGTAACGATCGTAATCATAAATAATTGAAGACCGCGCCTCATAAACACAGGGTACTACTCCCTGAGCCGGTACCTGCGCAACTTTTCCAAGTCAAAAATAGGAGATTTGTCGTACCAAAAGGGTCCCAGAATGTCTTCCGAGTATCACTATACTCTCCTCGAGAAGGCCAGTCGGTCTGTCTTAACACCGTCATTCCTTTGGAATAGCACCGAACCATATTTTATAATAGAATAATGTGGCGTCGAGAATCTTCATCAGCAAGCACTTCCGCCCAGCCTAACAGCTATGTATGCCACGGACGCCATACTACTTGACCGTTAAACTGTTTCGGTGGCTCACGACAGAGCTGGGAGAGTTGACGGTCCATGACTGGGATCACTACTACTGCATTGAACAGGGAGGGGATTCAAAGATGACGCGTTCTTTTGGCTGTGTATGTCAATCAGGTATTTGTTGCTTCAGATCGTGATACATAATTGCATTCTCAAGACGCTCATGGTTGTTATAGAACAGAGGGCGCAGATCCACATCGTTCGGCATCCCATGAGGGCATCTCGGCTGCATGGAATCCATATATCACCCACAAGAAGCCGATCCGTCATGGAATGGCAGGTACAGCACTATTGCGCTCATTCCAGCGAGCATTGCTACCATGTCAACAATTCCAGTTTCGATAAAAGTAGCACTGGACATCGTGGACGAGGCTTTCTCGGATCGTGGTTGTGCTCCAGCTGTGCCCTTGGAGCCTATTCTGAGGGGTTAGTATTTTTTTGGGTATACCTGGATGGCGGCTCTCAGTGAGCCTTGCCCTGCTAAGAGCCTCGTAGTTTGTTCGTAGTTTGTTCGCAGTAAGTTCAGTGACCTTCAGGCAGTTCCATCGTACCAACAGTTACTGTAATGTGTTTATCGAGATTGTGGCGTTTAGAATGGTTCGGATTTGGCCGCACAACGCCATGAGCAGATTTCTCCTTTTATTTCAAGGCGATGGTACTTGTCTGTTATCGAACCTTATCGTGAACGATGTGCGTCTCAGTTTGGGGGTATTGGATTTTATGCAAATTTCATGGGTGGGAGTTTTTGTGTTCAGCCATATCTTCCGAGGCTAAGGATCGGTTGAACTTGGGAATACCTGCCTCAGCTACTATCCTTGCCATCGCATACTCGTTGGACACCGATTGATGAGGAGCTGATGCAATCTTCAGGGTGCTCGAGTCGTATCGTTTCCCAACATAGGACAGACCAACCTTTTGTTTTGCGAGCCTAGTCATAGGAAACACAATTAAGTAGAGCAGTGTAGGCATATTCACCCCCTAAAGATCCAGATCAAGCATCTTGAATCATTATCAGAGACAGACGGGAGCGATAAGTAGCATGCAATCTATCACACTTAGTGTCTATAATAAGCAGTGGTCTTATTATTCTTTGTTTCCTCGCGTTTCGAGGTGAGCACGTTCCAACCATGAGGTATGTCCCTATTAGTATTGCACGAGGTAAGTGCAAGAGCCCATCCGCTCTACGATAAGTAGCGATCTCCAGGATTAGACCTGAATGGAAGTACGGTGGCCGTAGTGGGTCACGTTCTGGCCTGATCTCGTATGTTCGAGGGCAGCTGTACAAGAGATCGGTCTGGGTGTTCCCGGATCAGGTTGGACGTGGTTGAACATAGTAGATGCGCACTTCATTTAGGAAAAGGGCCTTCCACCAATGGAACGGTCTTGGCACGACCTACATAGATAGCATGCTGAATAGCGTAGGGCACACTCCAAACCATGTGAAATCCAGTCCACGGTGGGTTGACGGATGATGCAATGAAGTGCGTAACACGTCCCGCAGCCGCATGGATCGCAGAGTCTGAACGGCTCGGTATACATGGCAGGATAACCCCATAAAATTAGGAGTAGTATGGAGAGGCGATACACTCACCCGCACTAGGAAAAGTATCCTCTTGCCATAAGCCTGGGCAAAGTAGGAAACGTTCTCCACGCATGGGCCATATAGACGGCGTTTCAGCAAAGGTGAACTAAGTACAATGCGACTGAGCCACTACATTAAGTGAAAGAAACGCAGAAGAAGGCCACAGCACCGCCGAAAAACGTTGTAGACGGGTTCACGCAGTATCCTCGTGACGTGAGAGTCAACCTCCCTCGACACGTAGTGACTTATACGCGGTAGACACGAACTGTGCGAATTATGGCCCCCGAGGCGCCTGCAGAGCATAAAGTGGGTGAAGACGGGATAACAGACCGCTGTAGTGCTATAGTTGAGTACTATTCAAGTCCCCGTTACTCGAGTATGCGGGAACGAGAAAGGAGGTCAGCATTCTCGAGGCATAGTCTCAAGTGTTGCTCCCGCAACGTCCAAAAATGACACCCATATCACGTAGCCTCAAATGCAAGGGTTCTGCGCAGTGACATGCAGGATCTCATTTGATCCATGTTCAGCTAAGTATTCGTACCGGTCTCGAAAATAACCAGCGCCATTGCCATACAAATGGTGAGGGCCGTCGACTAGGACTCTTGTCCCCGAAAGTTGAAAAGCTCAGTCCGGCACACATCAAGATAAACCACTCTAAGGCCTACCACCGACCCCAAACAGTTCCCCACCACAGAAAAAGAGCATCGAAGTCGACTGGCTCCTTGGACTACCATCTGGCACGCATATAACGTGCCCTGAGCATACGTTTCCCGGTCCGAGATCGTAGAATTTTGGCTCTATTACAAGCTGAAACATCGGAGCCGGATCGTTCTGGCGCGGGTCGGGCAACAAGAGATAAAAAAATAGGACGAGAAAGACGCCGATGAGGATGAAGATAAATATTGGCGCGTAAGGAACGAAGATTCTGCCTTGCACTGCAGGCGTGTAATTATTTACGAACGGTTAGAGTTCCTCTTTGTCATCTGGCCACCAAGGGCGAGTAGTTCTTAATTGACACTCAAGCTTGTGGGAAGCTATTACGGATCCTAATTGAGTATACGTACATGAGTTACGAACCCCTTGGGCATTGAGGCGCCTACTTAATGTAGACCGAATAGCGCTGACAGCAAGGGAAGTAAACAGTACTTGGAATGATGCATTAAAAGATTTGGCTGAGCTTCACGTTGAAAGACCATCAATGACGGGAAGTTTCCCGCTACATGAGAACGGAAAGAGTTAAATTCATAGTTTTCTGAAAGCATTCAATGCCCACGGGTGCCAATAGCGCTTATCCAGAGCCTATGAGCCCAAAAGTAAACATGAATGAAACGTTCTGGCGTGGATGACCACGTAACATGAACTTCATGGCGTGGAAACGACGAACACAACTCCACCAGGAGCTATATCTATCAGAGCACAGGGATTTATTATGAGAAACACGGTAGAAACACCCGTCCTGATGCCTGCCCGCACTTGCCACCTTTGCATTGACAGGCAGCTATATATGCCGGTGGCAGGGAAGAATCCGCACGTCATCACAATGTGTGTGCGCCACTGAGATACTTCGATAGATAGATGAGATGGGAAGTATGGCTCTCATCGAAGCGATATGACTCGAAGAACATGTATGCCGGAAACTCGACCGTGACGGTATCTGTATGCTGTAGAGTGGCTTTAGTACATAAGACGGGAACTAGGACTCAGACAGAGATACTGTATCTTGGTGAGATGATTCACAGACTCGTTGGATATTTGGTGAGAAACCAAGGAGATGGGCGCCCCACATAATCATGATTGAGATTGAGATGCGTTCCCGCTCAGTCGCCAAAGAGAGGGTCAGATCCGAGGAAGGAAGGAAGGAAGGAAGGAGATTGCGGGTTTCACAAGGACACCTTTCCGGCGCGATGTAGTTCTAGTTAAGATGCTAGATCTTTCGACTACATGTCTCAAGCGAGCCAGTGTAGCGGACGAGATCCCTGCATCCTATATCAAGATAGTTGACCTACTGTGCAGCGCAGACGCAGTGAGGTGAGCCTTCCGGGTCTAGCGAAGGATGTCTCGAAGTAAAGTGAACAAACACAGAGGAAGCCTCAAATGGGAAGGTCCGCAATTGACCGTTTTGGGTGGCGCAGATCCCGACAAGAAGCATGACCGCCGATTTTTCTGAGATACTGTATGTGCTCACCTCGATGGAAATGGGCTTCACGGTGTTTCTAAGAGACCGGGGCGATGAGATCGACGTGTATGCAAGTTCAAGTGGCGCGGTTCAAGATTGTCCTTGTGCTCGCTTCGGTAACTGAGAAAGTCTTTTGTTCTTATTATACTGTGTGGCGACGGCTTCGTGAACAATACCACACGATTTCGTAGTATGCATATGGATAGAACTCACAGCCCCACTTCTCAGATGAATCTCGAGGCAATTAATTGTGATTCAGCGACCCTTGTACTGCTCAAATACTGGTACAGCAACATCCTTGTGCTCCTCCTGGCCGATCACCTTTCTCGATAGTCTGTGCGATGGAAACAAGTCAATAAACGGGGCACGCAAAGCGAAAGCGGAGCGACCAACCTCGGCATCCCAAACCGGTGGTAAAATAATACTTCCACTCAGGAGAACGCATCGCGGTAACAGCATCCAAGACGGTCCAAGAGATTCCAAGCTCGCAGGCTGTCTACCTCCTCAACATTCGCAGTCTGAAAGATCGGCCAAGAATGACGTGGCGGCCGAATGCAGTGCACGAACACTTCCATCGCGACTTTCTTGACACTAGAAAGACGTTCTATAATGTCGGCCCATTGAGCTGCGGGGTTTGGTGAGCACTTTAGGGTTTTCGGAGGAATGCACACGACAGTGGCCCGATGGATTGCCTTCGTACAGCTTGAGAAAGGGGATACAACCACCAAAAGGGCATTACGGGCAGAATTTTGTAGGTGCGCTTTGTTCCACCGGTTTTGTTTAGGAACGGAGCAGGTTTTATATACCAAAAGAGGAGGGTGTCTGTGGGGCCACAGGCAGTGCCACTGGGGCTTGTGGTGCCGGACGGTTCGGAGCTCAGCCAAATTTGACAGTGAGGCTGTGTGGTCGACAGAACAAGAATTTCTACGCAGATATCGTAGGCTTGAGAGCCAAGAGTCGTGTAGAGAGTAAGACGCGGCAAAGGTGGGGAGGAGGAACAAGGGGAGCGAAACAGATGATAACGGGTTGTCATCTTATCGAGCGTGATAATCGGCGCTTGTGAGCCAAGACCCAGGAAGGAAGGTGATCGCCGGGAGTGACCATATCGTGAGTACGCAAGAGTTCTTAGGCACAAGGCTGTGCATACTTTATGGGCGTCCCCTCCTAGGTTTCGATTCGATTCTCTTCCCAAGTACACTGCACCCGCGACACCGCATTCTATAGGGATCAGCTATAAGGTAGTTGTAGGAAGATTACCTCGTGTTCCTCACCAGGACTTCCGCCCTTAAACCGTCCGTTGCGCGCGCAGTGAAGACTTCCACCACCGAACTTTCCCAACTACACGTTCCCACACAGCCTCGCAATATTTCCAACACGCATATACTGGTCTGCTTTTCTTACGATCTTTTCTCTACTGTTCCTCCTCTCACCTTGCGCCCGCCTGCCTCGCAGGTAGCCGCAATCAACCATGTCCTCCAGCCCGCGTAACTCTGACCTCGACATTCCCGCGATTGCTGTCATCGGAGAGTCTACCGATAATCTGGCTTCACACTCGTACCCTCATGACAACGGACAGAGTGGTCTTCGTCCTACTCCTACTATCGACATTCAGTCGGCGGCCTCTGATTCTCCTCAAACTCGGGGACGTTCACCCTCTGACCCATCCTTTCTCTCGCCCATCTTGAAACGGCAGCACAGCACCATCTCTGATGCGCCTTCGTCACCCGGTGGCTCTACAAATTACTCTGACGACCACCCTCCACCCTCGCCAACCCTTTCAGCTCATTCAGGCTCTGGCTCGTCCGTTCATTGGGCTCCAACTACCCTTGCCCTGAGAGACAATTCGCCTTCAGATCGAGACGGCAATTCTTCGTTGAATCTGCTCCAGATTCCAGGGGCGCATCGGAGAAAGGGATCGAACGCGACCTTTACGAGCACCGTCAGCGGCAGCGAAACACTGCCCGACCACTCTCATAGCGATGGTGAGGGGATAGGCCTTTCCCCCATGCCGTCTCCCTCAGGGCGTTCTGACGCGGCGAGCACCCTAGCGTCGCCCACGCACACCGCCGTCAACGATTTTTCAGACGCCGGCGACTCCCGTCCCACCTCGCGCACCAGTTTCCTCAAGGGAAAGCTTCATCGTCATCGTCGCCCCGCGAAATCAGTAGACGCAAGCTCCGAAGGCGGTCACGACGACGGCCATGACGACGATGCGGATAAGGAGGACTCGGAATCGCGGCCTACACAGGTCGATCTCGAGCAGGAGGCCAATATCGATCCCGCGCCGTTCGCTTTCAAACCCGCTCAACTCGCGCAGCTTCTCGATCCCAAGAATATCGAGGCGCTGGAGGCTATTGGCGGTGTCGAGGGGCTATTGAAAGGGCTCGGGACGCACGCGACCTTGGGTCTTGGCGCCGGTAAGGGGAAGGCGGCAGCTACGCACGAAGCGCAGAGCGATGACGGTCAAGGGGCGGGTGATGGAGGTAGACCGAGCAGAAACAGTACCGCGAAAGATGCTGGGTCGGAGGATGTTCCCGGAATAACAATCACTACGCCGGGAGGAGAGCAGGAGGGCCCGAAGGACGGTGGGGGCGCAGAGTCACCGTCTGGAACACCTCCGAATTCAACCTCGACGGCGGAAGGGGCCGTGAAGTCGAATCCGAAGGCGTTCGAGGCGGGTATTGAGGAGAGACGCAGGGTGTACGGCGCGAACCTCCTGCCGGAACGGAAGAGCAAGAGTCTTCTGATGTTGATGTGGCTGGCTATGAAGGATAAAGTGCTGGTGAGTTTTTTTTTCTTGTTTCAGGCCCCGTATATGCGTGTTTGCGACGCATATATCCGCATTTTGGCGCATATGTCCTTTTGTCCCCCGCATATATCCGCCTTTCAGGCGCATATGTGCACCTCTTGTACGCATGTAATCACCTTTGGAAGGCCTATATTCGTCAGTCTCGACGCATGGGCTCACCTTTTATGCGCATATGTTCCTTTTTTTCTTCTTGTGCGCATAATCCGTCTTCCGCGCATACGTTCCCGTTTCTCGGCATATATTCACCTCTTTTACGCATATATTCGCCTTTGTTCGCCTATACGCCCATTTTTACGGCATATATCGATGCCTATGCTCACCTGTTTGTCCGCCCTGACAGATCTTGCTTACCATCGCCGCCGCCGTTTCCCTTGCCCTCGGTTTCTTCCAAGACTTCGGTCCCTCCAAGCCAGACGGCCCGAAAGTCGACTGGGTAGAAGGTGTAGCTATCATCATCGCCATCCTCATCGTCGTCCTCGTCGGCTCTATCAACGACTACCAAAAAGAACGTCAGTTCAAGGTGCTCAACTCGAAGAAGGAAGAACGGGCGATCAAAATTATCCGCGGCGGCTCCGAGAAGCTCATCGATGTGAAGGACGTCGTGGTCGGAGATATCGCGATTCTAGAGCCGGGAGAGATCGTTCCCGTCGATGGCGTGTTTTTGAACGGGCATGGGGTTAGGTGTGACGAGTCGGGCGCTACGGGAGAGAGTGATGCGATTAAGAAGGTGCCGTGGTCTGAGTGTGTGAAGATACGGGACGAGAAGATGAGGGAGTGGAAGAGCTCGTCGGGCAGGAGCATTAGCGGGGTGCCTGGTGCGGATACGGAAGATGACGAGGATACGGAGGAGGACGGGAGGAAGCGGCCTTCGGGAATGGATCTCTTGGGCCACACGGATTGTTTTATCGTCAGTGGCGCGAAGATCACGGAGGGAACGGGGACCTACGTTGTTGTTGCGGTCGGGACGAAGAGTTTCAATGGTCGCATCATGATGGGTTCGTACCGTTCGCTTTCATAGGGGCTCTCCTCTTATGCTGTTCTATTTATGGCACTGATTTCTTTTTTGACGTGGCCTATATTTAGCGCTGCGAGGGGACGCGGAAAGCACGCCTCTGCAGCTCAAGCTGAATGACCTAGCGGAGCTCATCGCGAAGGCTGGATCTCTTGCCGGTCTTATCTTGTTCTCTGCGCTTATGATCCGGTTCTTCGTACAACTGGGCACGAATGACCCTGTGAGGTGCGTTTGTCCGCACCCTTGAGCCGGACTGTCTAATTGCTGACATACCCCCTCAGGACCGCGAACGAGAAGGGTATCGCGTTCGTGCAGATTCTCATTATCGCAGTTACCCTCGTTGTCGTCGCAGTTCCCGAAGGTAAGCCAACTTAGCGCTCTATCCCAATTTACATAACTGAACATCGCTCCCTTCATGCAGGCCTTCCACTCGCGGTTACATTAGCCCTCGCATTCGCCACCAAACGCATGACGGATGAGAAATTACTCGTTCGCGTCCTCGGTTCATGCGAGACCATGGCCAACGCCAACGTGGTCTGCACCGACAAGACCGGTACCCTCACGCAAAACGAGATGACCGTCGTCGCCGGCTCCATCGGTATCCACGCCAAATTCGTCCGCGGGCTCCACAGCGAAGAAGGTCGCGGACGACAGAACGTCGACCAGGAAAACCAGAATGTCGATTCGGAGGGGACTCTTGCGCGCAGGAAACACGCGGAGGATTTCTCGCTGGACTCGAACGATCTCAATGAACGGATTTCGCCTGAGCTGCGCGCGCTCTTGAATGCTTCGATATCGGTCAATTCTACGGCGTTTGAGGACGAGGATCCCGAGTCTGGCAAGATGGTGTTCATTGGAAGTAAGACGGAGACGGCGTTATTGAAGTTTGCGAAGGAGAGGGGGTGGAGGTCGTATCGCGAGGTTCGGGATAATGCGGAACGGGACGGTGGTGTCGTTCAGGTCGTGCCGTTCTCGAGTGCACGGAAGGCCATGGGTGTGGTCGTTCAGCTGAAGGCAGGCGAGAAGAAGAAGTGGAGGATTTACTTGAAGGGCGCTAGCGAGATTTTGACGGCGAGGTGCAGGAGGCACGTTGTCGTGGCTAAGGAGGGCGGGAAGAAGGCGACTGGGGAGAAGGAGATGGTGGACGGGGAGGGTCAGATAGAGACGGCTGAGATTGGGGAGCTTGAAGCGGATAATATTTCTCGGACTATCACGTTCTATGCTAGTCAGTCGTTGCGGACTATAGCGCTCTGTTATAGGGACTTCGAGCAGTGGCCGCCGAATGGCGCCGACATCGATGAACGGGATGAGGTGCGTTTCTTTCTTTCTTCTCGGTTTCTCTTGCTAATAACTTGTCATCAGGTTGAATACGAGCATCTGGCGAATGATCTAACTCTCATAGGTATCACAGGTATCGAGGATCCCCTCCGAGACGGTGTCCGAGAAGCTGTGGCGAACTGTCAGAAGGCCGGAGTCCAGGTCAAGATGTGTACCGGCGACAACGTCCTCACCGCTCGTTCTATTGCTACCCAGTGCGGGATCTATACTGCCGGTGGTATCGTCATGGAAGGCCCTCATTTCCGGAACCTCGATCCTCATGTCATGAAGGCTGTCGTCCCCCGTCTTCAGGTCCTCGCTCGTTCGTCACCGGAGGACAAGCGGATATTGGTGGAGACTCTCAAGGAACTCGACGAGGTCGTCGGCGTTACTGGAGATGGCACAAACGACGGACCTGCGCTTAAGACGGCCAACGTTGGATTCTCCATGGGTATCGCGGGTACGGAAGTCGCGAAGGAGGCCTCGGATATCATTCTCATGGACGACAACTTCTCCTCGATCGTCAAGGCTATCATGTGGGGCCGCTGTGTTAACGACGCCGTCCGGAAGTTCCTCCAGTTCCAGCTCTCCACCAACATCACCGCCGTCATTATTACCTTCGTCACCGCCGTCGCTAGTCAGAGCGAGAGTTCGGTGCTCAGCGCCGTGCAACTACTCTGGATCAACATCATCATGGACACCTTCGCCGCTCTGGCCTTGGCCACGGACCCTGCTTCAGAGGCGTTATTGGATCGCAAACCGGATGTCAAGACGGCGCCACTATTCTCGGTCGACATGCTCAAACAGATCCTAGGCCAATCGATATATCAGATTATTATCATCCTCATCTTCCACTTCTTGGGACTCCGGATTTTGGGCCTCCCGGAGGGTAACGACACGGACGACACGACAGTCCAGACGCTGGTTTTCAATATCTTCGTGTTCGCCCAGATTACGAACTCGTTGAATTGCCGCAGGCTGGATAATAAGTTGAATATATTCGAAGGCGTGACCAGGAACTGGTACTTCATCTCGATTACGGCGATCGGTTTGTCTTCTATTTACTCTCGTCCTCCGGTGTGTATTTAGGCTGATCGTCTTTCACGTACAATAGAAATCGCCATCCAAGTGCTTATCGTTTTCGTCGGAGGAGCTGCCTTTTCTGTTCACCGCATCGGCGGTCGCGAGTGGGGTATCTCCCTCGCCCTCGGACTTGTTTCCATTCCCCTTGGTGCCGCTATCCGGTACATTCCCAACGGCCCCTGCGAAGCTTTCTTCAAGAAGGTCCGTCTCATGCCGAACCCGGATATCCTCCCTACGACACGCGCGGACGCGGAAACCGGCCTCGGATTTGCCATCAACCGCGTTCACGATAATTTGGGGACGTTTAGCCAGGTCAGAGGCGGCAGGATGAGGGGATCCTCGTTCGTGGGGAAGAGCAGGGCCGGAAAGGTCGACGAGACTGGCGCCAAGAAGAAACCTGCCTCAGAATTGCTCACTATGCTCCCGACGCTGATGATGTCCAATATCGTCAGCTCGAATTGGATGCCGACTTCTGGTGGTTCGTTGTCCGACCCGGCTGGTTTCGATCCCTCGGTGTCGTCTGCGGAGTTGTGGAAGAACAAGTACGAGGTCCATCCGGATACGCCACCGAACGACCCGGTCTTCCAGATCTTCCGTCAGCCGCCACACTCGGCTTCTCCTTCACGATAGATTCTCCGTCGCCTCCGAAATTGTGTATACCCTCTCTTCTCGTCTTGTACTCCTTGCGCTCGTCCGAGCGATTACTCTGCACAACGACACAAAGGACATGCTCATGCCTTGGTTCTGGAACATTGTCTTGGTGTCGTTGTGACGGGGCGGTACCCTGCATAGTTTTTTGGGCCAGCGAATGGGCATTCGCTTCATGCATATGGAGCCAGTCCATACACTACATCTCCTTGATTCTTTCTCGTGACCCATGCATTTCGCGGCTACACATAGACCTTTGATAGTCACATTTTACCAACAACCCATCGTCCGTCTCCTTTTCTCGCTTGTATATTCGCACACTTTCTTAGTCTTTCCTTCTGTTTGTCTTTCTTCGTGGCCCTCGCTTCATTTCGCCTTCACAATCTACAGAAACGCATAGTTTTTTTTTTGGTCATATCTCTTTCTGGCATGAACTATACAATGAGGTTGCATATAATCTGAATCACGACGACGATAATCCATTACGATCCACGCTTTAGACCATGATTTTGTATTTACTCATTCGATTATTCGTTCTGTTGCCTCTGCTAGGACCGATGGTAAATGAATGAAATAAACAATTCTAATCAAACGCCTTTGAGAGAAAATGACCGAAGTCGCAGATAGGGGAGCCGATATCTGAACGCTTCAGGACTTCCGCTTGGTTGGTCCCATAACGCAAAGTCGACGTTCGATATGGACCAAGTTGATCCTCATTTTGAGGTGATATACTTCTGATCTTGAGCATCGTTTCCAACAACTAAGACCGTGATATGGTTCAATGCGGAATCGCAAGGATACTTATCCTGCAAACCGTAACTTGCCCATCGTTGAACGTTGAACGGCGAACGTGTGGCGGGGCCACCTTCTACACAATATTCAAACTCCGCACAAGTTCGTTCTCGGCGCTAGCGTCAATCATTGGGACCGGAGCACGTTTTCAACCGCTGCGTATGAATGAAATGAAGAGACTAAGAGGCGTACGAGTACTGGCCTAGCATCGAATTAACTCAAGGTGGTCGAAAGCATACAGAGAGACGACAAGAAAACCAAGGAAAGGAAGAGCGGAGAAAAACTAGCTGGAAGCGTAAACTGAGTCGAACGAAACGACACCGATGTGAAAGGGGAACAAAGTAGGTATGAAGAAAATCGATCGAGTCCTTGAACGTCACCAACATCTAACGCGATTAAGAAAGAAAAATTCCTCACGAGAGCACAAAAAGGAGGAATCACAAGAAGATCTTCAATAAAGAGAGACGACGACGAAGAATTATCACCAAATGTTAGTGGGCCCAAGAGTAATGCAAGAAGGGAGTCAGGAACCGAGAGCGGAATGACACTAGAATGGCTCTAAGTTGTGGGTATCGGTATGCGTATTCAGTGGTGGTTTCGTTAGATTCAGATTCGAGTCGGCCATGATAAGAGAAATTCAGCTGTGAACGTTTAAACAACCGTCGTCAAGTGGGCAGAGTCAAAGGAGCGAGCAAGAGAGATCGGTTGGCTTCGTGGCGAAACGTGTCTGTACAGATCACGGTATAAGTGATGTTCAATGTTGTTTGGAGGGACGATGAGATGCTCACGGGCGCGTCATGTACAACTTGGAATTCCGTTATAAACTTCATATACATCCCCTTGTCCTGCAATGTCCGTCCATCCTCCGTCTCGTCGAACGCCGCGTCCCCCTACCCTCCCTTCTCTGCCCATCCATTCCATTCTCCCTATATTCTTTCCACCCCGGCCATCTTCGTTGTCCGCCCGCCGCCCCATTATTCAAACCAGGTGCAAACCAACATTCGAACCTCAATACTCCTCAAGATCGTCCGGAATCTCCCCAGCAACAACCGCGTGGTCCTCAGGCTCATTGACCGAGAGAGTAGGCTTGATCCCAGTGCCCTGCAACATGTTCACCAGCTGATCCATCTCATCGGGCTCCTTCGACTCGACCTGTTCTTCCTCGTGGACAGGCTCCTCCACAGGCTCAGATTCGGACTCTACTTCAGCGACGTGGGTTTCGGACTCAGCCGCCTCCGGTTCGGGAGTGACTGGAGCTTCGACCTCCTCGTCGTGGTGGAGATCGGAGGCGGGGTCGAGTGAGACCACTTCAAGAGCAGAAGTATCGTCTTCGGTATGGTCTTCTACGGGAGCAGCGTCCGATTCGGGCTCGTGTTCTTCAACAGCCTCTTCGTGATGTTCCTCCACATACTCCTCCTCGCCCCCATGAACTTCCTCCGTCTCTCCGGCAGTTTCCACGTCGTGCCCGTTCGTCTCCTCCTCCTCGCTAGCCGAAGCAGCTGCTGCACCTGCCGCCACACCAGCTCCTACAGCGACCTTCTTCGCACCTGCAGCACCACCTCGCCCAGCCCCCTTCCCTGCAGCGCCGACCCTTCCCCTAGATACTGGCGCACCCCTTCCTCTCGCACTAGTCTTCGCTGGCGAACCCGTAGTCCTCGGCACCTCGGCACTAACAGCCCTCGCCTTCAAGGCACTAGCAGCCGTAGGCTTACTCAATCTCCCCAGATCCATGGCCTTCCTCGGGGTCGACGAAGTGGGCGTAAGAGTCGGTGCAGCCGCCGCGCGCGATTTCGCGAGTGAAGCGGCGGTTGGCGCAAACAGACCCGAAGACGCAGCGGGCGTGCGAGGTCGGTTGGGACTGGTCGCCCCTCCCGTCGGAGAGCTGACCGAGTTGCGCGGGATGGATGGGGTTTTCGACCGTCCGCCGGATGGAGTTTTTGCACGCGCGGGGGGGTGCTGGATGGTTGGGGTCTTGGAGCGAGCGTAGGAGGAGGGTGGAACCACGGTGGAAGTGCGGGGAGTCCCGGACGGGTGGGTGGGCGCAGGGGATTTGGATGTCTGGGGTCCTGCTGAGGGTTTCGTGGCTGAAGCTCGTGAGGGTGTCTTTGGACGCGCTTGTGGGGCTGCAGCCGACGATTTCGATACTGCGTTAGGACGTGAGGATGTGGCTGGTGCTTTGGATGGGGTAGGTTTGGTCTTGGAGGCGGTGGGTTTCGCTCCAGTACCGGCGGTCGATGGACGTGCTCCTGTCGCAGCAGAACGAGCTGAGGCAGAAGCTGGAGACGCAGCGGCCGCTGCAGCGTCGGGGGCAGCATCGCCTGACGGTCCGGGGTCACTAACGACCTGGGGATCGCCCGAGACTGTAGCTGCGGGTGAAGGCAGTTGTATTGGCGGCACTGGACCGGTAGCGCTATCTGACGATGTCGACGTAGAAGGACTGAGTTGGCTCGAGCGTCTGATAAAGGTGGATGACGGGGGACTATTCGGCTTAGACGATGTTCCCATCGAAGAAGTCTTGACTGGGGGCCATTCGCGAGCCGTCTTTATTTCTTCTTTTGAAGAGTCTCCAGTATTGTGTGAGATGACGCTCGAGGAGCGTGGCAAGCCCATGGACGAGCTGGACGGTGAGCCGACGATAGATGTTCGTTTCGTCTGCTGCTCAAACCGTCCGATGAGGTTCGCCACGGATGCACGGGGGCGTTCATCGGGAAGAGGCCTATTATTGTCACGTCCAGTCCAATGTTAGATTTGACAACAAACGATGGTCTATGGCTCACATATTGTGGGTATGGCTATAAGTTAGAGAAGAGAAAAAGATGCAGAATTGAGGAAAACGAAGAGTAGCAACGGGATCGATGGAGGTGATGACTTGGACGAATGCGGTCAATGTCGTATGCTTCCGCTATGAAGTAAAACCCTAACCCCGAATCCCGTACCCTCCACGTAAGAACAAGCGTGGCACCTTCGTGTGGCACAGCATCGCATTGGCGGGTCGTCAGAATCCTTCCGTGGAACGTGCAGAACGTACTTTGCTGTATACAGATGCTTGCGCGCACTACAATTGGTGTCAAAAACTCCGTACACAGACACACTAAATACTGGATAATATCTATGTAACGTAATTCCAGAGGTCGGCGAGGCGTAATTTGAAGAATACAGAGTTACTACGAATGGACAGAGAAGGGACATCGTCAATCAAGTTTCTGAGGAGTCAACAGTACATAAAAACAAGCGCCCCTAGAAGAAAGAACTAAAAGGAAAAGATTGATGTATGGAATTTCTGGTGGTCAGTCCGGAAGCGGGGGATCCATGACAAGGCTCAGAGCGCCAACGAAGACGAATGCACTACCAAGTGCAAGCGCAATCGCTATCCGAAAAAAATCAGCAATATTTCCAGAGAAAACGGTCCACAAAATACCCACCACCAATCCAAGCCGTCCTCAACGGACCAATATCCGCCTCCGTCACCTCCAAGACAGCGTATGCCCTCTTCCCCAGCCCCAGCACATCACTGTCGCACCAGCACCTATCGAAGAAACTGCTGAATTGGAACATGCATACCATGACAATCCATATTGCGTTGAGCGTTGCGAGCGTCTTGCCGAGTCGGCGGAGCGCAACAGAGACGCGTGCAGCGGTGTGGTCTGCTACTTGATGATAGTGTAGATGGCGGGAGGGGCGAAGGTACGAAGAGTGGGCGTAGTGCGCGAGGATAGACGACAAGAGCATGGCGATCCATACGACGGTGGAAACGATGGCATAGAGAATGTAAGACCCACTGCGGCAGCCTAAAATAAGCGGTAAGGAGTAGTTGAGTCCTAGTGTCAAGATGTACAAGAGACGGCACACTAACCGAGGCCCACCGTAGGCGTGAACCACTGAAAAAGCATAGTTAGTATAGCCCAAAATCAACAGAGATATAGGACTTACTTGAGCGACGACGGCACCCCCAGTGGTCCCCCACTGCAGGAAAAGCGCAAGTCCTGAAGCCACAAAAACTCTCGTCCAGACCTCTGATCCCCATCGACTGACTTTTCTTCTCCTTCCGGGGCGTTCATGATACTCGAAGTCACTCGTGACTGCTGTCATCGTAATGGACCCACCGGAGGCCATCTTCCCCTTGGTCGCGTTCATCTCCGCTTCCGCGTTCGTACCACCCTCTTGGTCATCCTCCCTGTCGAAGTGTCCGGGATTGCCACAGTATCTCTGAACATCATCGAGAGTTCCCTGCCTATTTCTCGCATCCACCTTTCCAGATTCGGCAACGGCCCAATCATTGTCCCGATCGACCGGTATATTGGACAGAATATTCTCCGATGCTGCAGCAAATGCTTCCGTGACCTGGTCTACAGCACATGCCCAAGAGAAGAAGCGAGCGTAGTTGTATATTGGAGCGGACGACTCCTCGTCGCGGTAGACAGAGCCGGGACGATAAGGCAGAATCTGAAAGGCAGGACGGCTTGTTTTATGAGAAACAAGGGCTGGAGTGGATGGTTTAGAGGTGGCTACGAAGGCTTTCTTGTTGACTTTGTTCAGAGCTTGGAAGACACGATCGAAGTCGCACTTTGGCGAAACCTGGAGCCATCCAATGACTGAAACAACGAACGCATTTCAATATTTGTAAGTCACTGTCGAGTAATGATGGCTACCCAGACGTCTGGACTCACCAATGGGAAGTAACCATAGCCAGACGGACCCGACGCCTTGACCGTTCAACTGAAAATTCTCCGAGATATCCGTGAAAGAGTCTGGTGCGAACAAACAGATCCTCGATTATTAGTACAGCCTTATCCTGAAACTCGTTCATACAAAACTCACCAATCACCGTGAACAGATATGCAATCACAACCCATGCAATAGACGACGCCGCAGATATACTCCAGGTATGGATGTAGTCCAGGCCTTCCGCCAGCTCCTTCCACCATGCGTCATTCTTCTGCAACGCCACTATACTCGCCAACATCCCGTGCTCCGTCGAGATCTCCAACGGCATCTGCTGCAGACTACTCAGCACCCTGACCGCGTGTCGCACATTAGGATACTTGAACTCTGAGAACCGTCTCGCTATCCATTGCGTATTGAGGACAGTGAGGGCCAGCGAGTACGCGGCGAGAACGGGCGAGCCGACAGTGAGGACCATCGACATGACGTTGTCGAACCGATATATCGTGCCGAAAGGGAGCTGGGAGAGCAGGGCAAGCCACGGTAGAAGCCAAGCGCTGAATTGTTGCGAGAATACCGACCAATTGAATGGCGAAGAGCCGAGTCCGCAGGTCGCGTTGCAGAGTGCGTAAGTGATAGCCGTGGCGTTGTGGCTGACGTTGACGGGATTTCCTCGATTATCGACCAGACCATTCGTTCCGTCAGGGAGCTGCCGGATTGTCGTGAGACATTGGTCGAAATGGTGTGCGCCGACGGCTGGAAAGAGACAGAGTAGGATTATGAGAAAGGCGGGGGGTGTGCGTCGTGCTATGTACATGAGCGATGGTGTTACCGACAGTGCTGGGGATGAAGATCAACTTGAAGCTATGTCAACTTCGTTCGATGGACTGGTCATACAAGGTGGTCTGAAAACAAGATGGCGGGATCACGAACCGTCGACTGACGCGATGTATTTATGCACGTCAGAGCGATCAAGAAAAGTCCCAAAGGGAATGAACACACTATTATTAACACCGCACTGCCTTGCGGAGGCTTGCTCCCTCCTGCTCCGCTAGAATAGGTCTATTTTGTAGGGAAATCCGCTCACGGGTTTTATTGCGCGACTTTTTGATGATCAATGTGTGACTTCCGTGGCGATTTTGGCAGATCCGAGTGGCAGAAACCCCCAAAAGCAGGATGAAGTCGATATTTGGTTGGATGAGTGCCCCTGTGTTTTCCTGCATCAGAAAACAGTCCTAGATTGCTACAGAAAGCCATTCGATGACAGCGGATACGTATACACATCTAGGGTTATCACGGATAACGAGCTGGCAGAATGAGGCTGAGCACTGTCAAGTACAGACACTTTATATCATTGCCAGGACGTTATGCATCATTATGGATCTTGCGTCGAGGGAGGATTCGAGGCGGTGTCCCCTCTTGTCCCCTACGCTGAATACAAGATAACGCGCGTCCAGATAGGCAACGCGCGAGTCAAGTTTCGCCGTGTTTTTCCCCTGTGAGCCTGACATGCGTACAGAATAGCGTGGAGATAATCAAGAAAGTATACTTTTGCTCGTAGTGTGCCTCCGAATATGATGACTCTGATATTCGAGTCGTAAAGTTAGTACGCAGTGGCGACGAATGTAGTTTGAGTTTCCCGCGGAGTTGTCAATCCCGATTTGGCTAAATCTGTAGCATTGTGCGGTAGCACCTGGAGACGGCAGTGCCACAGGGCAAGTAATGGAGAGTCTAAAGAGAGAACGACATGTGTGGATGAGAGGCCAAGGCCAATCGAGGTGACTGTTGAAGACGTGGATATTTTCGTTCGAACTTCGAAGAGGGCCTGTTCGGAGGAAGCCGGGCTTGCTACTAACATAGCCAACATAGCCACAGCCAGCCACAATGGACGAGGACAGTCAAAAATTATGCTAGATATATTCAGAAAGCATGCCTACCGTGACTACGTTCATTGCATAGATGTAATTAGAAGATGAAATAAGATAGAACTACCAAGCAGTATGAGTAGGCATATATGGTGTAATCATACATAGAGCATATACAGCCTCGTACAAACAGACTGGAGTGCTCCCGCCGACGGATCATCCGACGACGTCAATGCCCCAACGGTCTCCCCAAATGTGCAGTCTGAGGCAGGAGAGAGTTATACCGTTTCCCAATGCCGCTGTACTCGCTTTGTCTCGTTGACATGCACTCCGCGCCGTGGTCCACTTTACCCCTAAGCCATTCGTGTGCGTCGTCGCACCAGGATTCAGGAGTCCCCTGAAACCCTGCGTAATACGACATTCCATGTACGCATTCTGAGTACTGAAATCCATGTGTCAGTATATGCCTCGAATCACCTTTGAGAAAGAAAGACGCTGAAACTGATTGTAAGTACCTTGTCGTACACTTCCCAGCGTGCTGTGGCCCAACCGTCATCGCCAGTCCCATGAATTTCGATGATCTCAATCAGAGCACCATACAACTTTTCCAGGTAAGAGCTCGACCAAGAATAAGTGTATTCCCCGTCCTCCCCGTGATAGTGTTCTTCAATGCCTTCATACTTCGAAGGTCCCTTCGTCCTTAGATACGCGCCAACCGAAGGAGCGTCTCGAAGAACCTGACGCAACTGATCCACAGAAGGGGAGGGTGGGAGCATCGATTCTGGGCGAGTCGGATACGCAAATAACATCCTCAATGCCACTCTAATCTTGTGCTCCCGATCTCTAGAGCTCATTCTGGGCCTGAAGATGTCGTCGTCCGATTCCGTACGGTCAAGAAGCTCATGGCATTGCCTCCAGAGCCATGACGGAAATATGGGCTTCATACTAAGTAGACCTGGAGTGGCGTTCCAGGGATGGACAGACTGGTTTGAACTGGCAGGGAATGACATGATGGAAACGGAGGGTCCAGCGGAATAGTCGGTTGGCGCGACGAAGGGTTTCTTCCAATTCGCATTGTGATGCATGAGTCTCAATTTCTCAAGGCTGAAATAGTCAATAACTTGTCAGATAACACTTCAGATTTCAAAACTTACCGTAATTTCCATCCTTCGGGCCCACCGTGCTTTCGCCATGCTGCGCGCTCTACATCTCTCTCCAAGTACAGAATCATGGGCATTGGCCTGTCTTCCCCATTGATTCTTACCACGGTCCTGTATTACCGCGTAATATATGACATTCAGGACATATGATATTATGAAAAAGGGTATGTACTGGACGTACTCCGATGTTTCAGTTTGCAAGCCCTTCAGATTCTCGGTTTTCAACCTGTATTCTGTCTGTGCTCTCGTCTTATTGATCTAACAAAGTTTAGCTGCAGTAAGTCGTTTGCAACATTCGCGAGGTACGATGGCAGACGAACCTTTTGTCTTGCCGGAATATGCGAAATCCATCCAGATTCATCCAACACCGCTGGTGCGGTCTCCTTGCTCTTTTTCGACTTCGACTTCTTACGATCAGTGGGTGGCGCAGCCGGTTGTTTCTCCTTGAGAGCGCGGGTAGAGAACTTGTTGCTAGTGTCTTTAGGCATCTTGTCAGATTGTCGAGTGGAGATGAGTGTGATGGGAGATGAGATAGGAGAGCGAAAGGAGAGGGAAGGGTGGCCGGGGAAAATGGCAATGGCTCTTGCGTGGGAAAGACGATCGGTGTGGCACTTACGTGAGCTGCATTACGCCGACCAAAAGAATTCAAGTGGCTCAGCCGTCTTCTTCGTGTAAACGGACGACATAGATTTATGCCTCAGAGCTCCAGAGAGCTTTGACTGAAGACCTAGGAGGTAAAATTATGACATCCTCCTGCGGGTAGCCTCTCCCTTGTACATCAAGAAGACAATTGGCAAGAAAGCAACAACACTCCCCAACCCCGCAAAGAAGAGGAACAGCCATTGATAACCTCCCATAGCGGTAGCCAGGGGAATAGCGTAAAATGCGAACGTCATTCCGATCTCTTGGCTGTTGCAAGACAGAAAGAAAGGTCAGTCACCTCATTTGAGTTATTTGGACCGAGTTCAACAGAACGTCGTACCGGAAAAAGTTGAACACTTGCGCCACCTGATCCGACCTATCTCTAGAGAACGAGTTAGAAATCCCTGCTACTGGAGAAAGACCACGTAACTGTCAAACCATACCTATAGCAATCACTGCTATACGTATACCTAGAGGTCCTTGTAAGCACAGGAATCCCAAAGCCAGAGGGGAAATACGGTGACCAACATGACGGTGGTGATGCATTGTACACCGAAGCATGCCACACCCATTCCAATGATGGGCCCTGGCCAGGCAGCGCCAAACTGTATACCGAATCCGTAGATAAGAAGACCAGCCTGCATGGAGATTCGCGACGAGTCGTCAAGAGGCGTCCACGGGCGTAAGAAAGCTACTACTCTGCGTACCGGTACGAGAATTTGACCAGTCCACACAGCCGTCAATCTAACCTCACTCGGCGCATCTTCACCATGTCGTCTACGAGCACGCTCCTTTATGTGGCCCAAACGGAGTACGATCAGAAGTGGGCTGAATGAGATTTCACCGTATCTGTGCACTCACGATAACGTAGTCAACGACCCATCCTCCCGCCGTCTCGCCCAAGAAGCTTCCAATAGTAAGGGCGCTTCCATATGCAAGCCCAATTTGCAAGGTATTCCAATCAAATGCTCGAGAAAAAATTGTCGATACCGTAACGGCGGGGAGAATACTGAGGGTTCAGCTCTTGCTTTTAGAGCATGTACTATAAAATCTCAGAGTCAGGACAATGCGTCTTACCTGCCAAAACCATACTATATCCGATGCCTGTGGTTTAGTGATCCTTGATAAGGCACTTGAGGAGCTAGAAAGCCTCACCTGTGTAGCATAATAAATTGCAGGGAATAGTACGGAGGGCTATAAAGTAGACGTCAAGCAGAGTAGAATTCCACGCACAAGACGGTGGCTCACATATTTCGCCATTTTCACGACTGGTACCACGAAATCCTTCACCTTCACCTCCCGGCCCTCAGACCTTTCCCGGATCCTCAATCTCTTCACATGCCTTTGCCAAGCTGACGCTCTGCGACATGCTTGAGTTTCACTCTGACCGGTCCCAACACCACGCTTCCGACTATCGTTCTCGCTCGGAGCGTCGCCCGACGTCACCTTCTCGCCGGTTGAAAAAGTGCGATCGCGACCATGTTCACCTCGGAAATACTGTGTTTCTGGCAACCCAAAGACAATGAACAGGAACATGAAGGCATTCGCGATTGATGCGACCTTGAATATCCAGCGCCAACCTAGGAACTGTCCTATCAGACCTCCGAAAATTGGGGCGATGTGGCTTCCGTTCGCTGCGAAACAAAAGTTAGAGCTTGGATCAGGCAAGATCTTTTGTAAGACTCCGATCCAGAAGATATAGCTTACTCATCCACATGGTGTAGAAGCCCATCGCACGCCCTCGCTGGTGTAGGAAGAACATGTCGTTGACCTTGAAAAACGTGATATAATGTAGTGAATGACTGAGGGGAAAGAATGGATATTATAGCAGAAACTCACGCTTGCAACACCGAGCGACATACTGTGACCCAAGCAGAAAAAAAAATTAGACGTGGGCGCGACCGGAGTGCGATAACAAATGGGCTACTCACGCCACGGGGAAAATCCCATTTACAATCCTTGCTCCAATCAATTGCGGATAAGTCCTTGCAAACGCGCACCCGAGTGCGGAAGCGAATCCTATGAATGTCGTGAAAAGATAGACTGGTCTCCGACCCCAGGCATTTGCCAGAGGTAGAAAGAGGAACGGGCCCAAGCCATTCATCGCTATCACGACAGTGCTGGATGGAAACACGTATTTTCATGATAAACTCTTCGAGTGCCATGAATAGAAGGATATCTCACGTCTGGTAGGACGCTGTGACTGTCGAGATTCCGAATTCAGCCGCTAATTCTCCGTACGCAGGGTTGATGACTATGATTGTGCTCAGCGAAAGTAAGTGCGACAGTTTGAACTTCAGAGAAGACGTACTGGCTACATTAAAATTTCCTAGACTTGCGAGCAGGCTTACTTGCACCAAGACGAAAGACTACTCGTGTAGAGGTCAGATCAAGTAAAAAAAATCAAGACATATGTCAGGAATGAACCTACACGATACACTAGCGACCAATTCACTAGATATAGAGAGAAAATCGTGAGCTTTTGATCACTGTATTTCGGAAAATATGTACGCGGGTCTTCTGGGTCATCGGATGGCTGAGGGCTGAGCGGCAACCCATTCTTATCGAGTTTCACAACCTGCGACTGGTCGTCGAAGCATTCTGACAGGTCATGATGAGTATGGCATCCAATAGGAGACAGTGTGCGACGAACCTTTCTCCTCGACATCTGGCTTTCCTTGCAGAGACATGATGCAGCGTGAAGAAAAGAGCGGAGCACCGTAGTCCGAGAATCACGACCATTATATACGCTAACCGTGAGAGAACTTATAATGTGGGCCTCAGCGCGTCAAAATAGTACGTGGGCACTACTAAATTGGACGCAAGAGGGAGTGAGAAGATCGAAACATGGGAAGGGTGCGCTATGCATGAATACTCTGTGTGAAGCGAATGACGCATGATCACTTCCTTGGTGTAAACTTTCTTCAATAAAAAGCGAACACACAAACGCGCTAGTTCTCCTGGATTGCACCTTCAACTCAATCACATCAATTCGTAACTTCGTTGTCGGAAGGGGGGTCAAGGGGAAAGATAGCCGGACTGTCACTTGGTAGTATGAGAAGATTGCAGTTGACTTACCATTGTATCATCAACCTTGGAAGACTTCGTGTCTCGGTATGAAGCCTATTTTTGCACGGACGGTGAGCCGGCGGTGTTCTGTGCGTTCAGACTGCGTAATTCCTGAATTGAATCGCCTTCGTGGAAACAACTCAGCCCATACAGGCCAAGACAAACTATATCTGTGTTGCAAGATGTAATAAGTAGCCAAGTAAGGATCTGGAGCGGTGGTCTGAAGTTATGATGAAGTAGGAGAGGGTTGGTGGCACGTGCGGCGCAGTTCTGAGAGACGACATAGACATTTGGTCCATACGCGCCATTTCCTCGGACGTCTGGATCCCATAATCCAAGGCCGTAAAATCCCTCAGCCAATGAACAGCTTGTAGGCAACCTGATTGAACCACGATGCGAAGGCGTTCGAGACCGTAGTTTTGTGAGAGGCAGATCGCAATACTGTCAACGACTGCGCCTCCTCGGGCGCACATGCTGGTAAGGATTATATCCATGCTTCGTAGACCGGTGAATGCAAATATCGTGGAGGGGACTGTCCAGATGACCATTAGTACGAGTGAGGCGCTCCTCAGGTTTGGTAGCGTTGCAAGAGCGCTGGAGATGCCCGTCCAAGCCTCTTGGATATGTATTTGGTCACACGGATCCCATATTTCACAACTATGAGATTAGGATAGTATTACACATTTCTGGTATAAAGTGAATACCACGCTCACCTAACGGAATTCAAACTCTTCAGCATCCGGATGGCACCGGTGACCAGAGGCAAAAATTGGAGACCGATCGTCATTTTTTCACATCTCTCGATAAATCTCCTAGACCTCGATGCTCTGCGATCAGATTCCACGACAAGCGTAGTTGTGTGAGCCGAAAACGAGGTCCTGCCAGTGGCGATGCGTCGAAAACATTTTAGTTCTTCGAGGGACGAATTGCGAGGATCCACTCTAAGAAACATCGTGCGAAAGACATCGCACGAGGCGATGGAATGAAGTGCCCGACAAGCGAGACTGAGAGGGCGTTTGTCAAGAACCTACAAGGGGAGGGAAGAAAGACGAAAACACAGTTCATAAGATGATACAATAGATGTTGGATGCGTAAGAAGGCGGCGCACGAAGGTGCACATGTTCTCTACGAACTCCAGAGGAAGAGAGAGCAGATGGAAAGACCCAGAGATGCCCCGTTCAACTTGCGACTCGGAGGTCCTTCGTCCTCCATAGGTCTGACCAAAAATCACCAATAATCAGTGATACGAAAGCGCATGGATAAGTGATAGGCCTTTCCTACCGGTACCAGAATTTGACGTATCTTCCGGGTGACCCTTGCAGCAAGTAGCGAAGTGGCGGAGGTCGTCGTGACTGCTGCTTGCAAGAGGGGAATCGTAGTAAGCGCTCACGAAGGGGCCACCCGAGCAAATTTAAAGTCCGCACGCCAGTCTTGCGATCGCCACACACCGTTTTCTTCTTACTGATTGCTGTTTGCCCCTCACGCGACCGTTGAGTGCTAAGCTCTCTGTGTTCGTACAAATAGAGTACAAGGACTAGTACTAATTCCGACCCTAGATGTGGTGAGTAATACATGATCTCGTACAATCGTGCAAAATAATAGCTCAGAAGCCTTTTCCAGACGGCCGAAGCCCTTCACCCAAGTAACTTAAACCCTACCTCATCCGATTCTATAAACGACTTGAACGTCCCATAGCCATACCAAACACCGCCCAACCTACGTATTAAAACCCGCTCCTTCGGATCCCTCTCAGACTTTCACGGTATCCGGCGTCGCATAGTCTGTAATCCCCAGTCCCGATCCCTCCAAATCATCTAAGATGCCAACAATCCGGAAACCGCTCTCAAAAGCATCCCGGCTGATTCCCTCTCTCGTTCGAGGGATCCTAACCTCGACCTCATCGTCGCCGATGCACACAGTCAAGAGCGGGGAGCCGGGAGGTCTTGGGCAGGAGGAGGAGAGATACTCTCGCACATGCCGCTTCGTGTCGTCCACGACTACCGGCGGAATGACTGTGTATGAACCGAACCAATAGCCACTAGCGATGATGGAGGCGTGGGGACATAATGTAAGCGTAGTCAGGTCGGGCAATTGCATAGCCATGTCAAGTACATCATCCTGTCCAGAAGTAAGTTAAGACGGAGCGTAACAGTTTGAGAGGAAAACAGAGACTTACAATGTTTGGAGCGATGCGGCCGGATTCGGATTCAGGTACATGCGGTTCAGGGAGACCTTCCGGCGTAGGGCAACATACACAGATATTCAAACTCCTCAATCGCACGCATGTAGCAATCAGAGCCACATCGAGCATGCAGGGCTCGAACCAATTGCGCCTATGCGTTTGTATGTGGAGCTCTCGGAGTGTAGGTGCATGCCTGGGCATGACAGCCGGGGCGAAGAGTTGCGAAAGAATGTGTTCGTTGACGCCAAGGAAGTCTACTTTTTGTAAACCTGAATATGAAGCCAGGTACTGAAGCGTGTCCACGCTAATAGCCTCCAAGCCACCCGTCGATATGACAAGTTCCTCGAGGTCGATCCCCGTGTCGAGAAGGCGCCCGATCGGCCACTCGATGGGTGAGTCGGCTTCAAACAGATGAGGAGACGAAATGGGTGAGAGAACGCGTAGTGACTTCAAGTGGGGAAGTGTCCGCGCGTCGACTGTGAAGTACACGTTTGAAAGCGCGAGTTGTTTCAAGCGGAGTGGTCTATCCGCTGAACAAAAACGCAACAGACGACCAAGGCTATAAGCCGATGCATCCAGAGTAAAATTGAACGTGGTGTAGCTCGGTGACATGGCAAGGCGGAGACATTCAAGACTAGGGCTTTGGGCGAGGCAGATCGCAATGGAATCGAATGCTGCAACGGGGTTCAAGATGCAGGAAATATCTACATCGAGAATCCTGAGACAGGGGGATCCGTGGATGGGAAGTACTGTCCAGAGGGCAGGTCGCATAGTTGTGGCGCTCTTTAGCACTGGGAGCAATGCGACGACGCGCGAAATGTCCGTCCAGCTTTCCCAGGCGATGAGTTGGCCACATGGTTTCCACATTTCGAAGCTTCGAATCCCAATAAAAGACAGTGAGTATTATGCCGTCTCGGGCGTAGAGCGGGCACCGTACTTACCGAACGGTTCGCAATGCTCTAAGTGCTGTGATGGCGCCGGGAATAGAGGACCAAAATTGGACACCGAGCGTGATTCTTTCGCATTTTTGGAGGAATCTTCCAACTCTCCCTGGTTCACGGTGAACGTGGCGTACGCGTATGACGAGCTCAGTGGTGTAAACGGAAAACGAAGTTCTTCCAGTAGAAAGGCCTCGAAGCCGTTTCAGTCCCTTGAGAGAGGGGCCAGAAGAGTCCGTGCTGATAACCATAGTCCGAAAGATGTCGTATGAGACTATGGAATGAAGTGCCCGGCAGACGAGGTTGAGGGCACGTTTGTCGGGAACCTAGAAGACAAAAGGTGACCAGTATCAAGACGAAGTCCATGGGATTCAGCGCTTTCTGTGGTAGGAAAATATCGTACCGATCTACATATTCTCTCTACGATCTCCAGAGGTAGAGAAGTCAGATAGCTAGACCCGGTAATTGGTTGCTCTTTCTCGGTCCTGCATCTTCTATCAGTCTGCCCAACAATCGACCATCGTCAGTAAAGTGAACTTTGACGAGATCGTAATGGGCTCTCTCCACCTGTAAGAGAATTCGGCGTATCTTCTGCGTGACCTTTGGAGCAAGCGAGGTGGCGGAGGTCATCATGACCGTTGCTTGCAAGAGGGAAAGAAGCGCTCTCAATGATGATGTCGATAATAGGGTACAATCCTATTATGGGCACAGCACGCGCCAGCTCTTTCAGCGGTTGCTTTGGCAGCTTCCAGTACTTGAGAAAAGATACCCGAATGCGCGGCCCGCACTACAGTACGGCACCAACTTGTAAAGGGAATCGGAGCGCCACAGTGGCGCGTGCTCTTATACACGAGCTGAAGATTCGGTCGACATTCCGAGCAATATTCAATAAGCCGTAGCAAATCGTGAATCATTTTTTGCACTCTGCAAGAGATGCAAACAACATTTGTTCAATGGCTGAGGCCTGAGCTTTGTCGTATACGCAGAGAATCTGATCGACCACCAACTGAAGTTTAGGGAGACCTGCCGGTTCGAGAACTTGTTGAACTGCTCGATACCCTGAGATCCGAGAAATGACCGTGGAGACTTCTCTTGTTCCTACGTGTCGGTCCTTATCGTACATACATCGTCATAGACTACCTGCGGGAGAGGATCAAAGCAATGCATGATATCAGCGATTCGTCGCACGGTCAAACCCTAGTGGGATACAACGCACTTCGTACAACTTTCTCAACCATAGCTACATCAGAATTCGTCCCGCTTGTGCTTGCCCTTGGGCGCGTGCACGTCGACCTTGATGATCCCCTCTGCCCTCTTCGCATCCAACGCGGCGCGAATTTCCCCATTCGAACGACTCCATTCTTCGCTCGAAACGCCGATAATCTGGATATCTTTCATCGCTCCGACCTTATGTAGCATCCAGCATCAGTTCTGAGCTTCCATTCACAAGGAATGAGATGTGGACAGTAGTCCAGGGCAGATCCGAGATGAAGCAAGCGGGGTAGCGTACTGGGCCAACATGAGACAGAGCGGGATGTATCGAGGCCAAGTCACCTGGGTTCGACTGGAAAGGCGACGATGGTGCGAGCGTGAGGGTGAGATAAGTGTGAGTTGAATAGTCGAGATTGTGTGCGGACATGTTGTCGTGGTTGTTCAGAAATACAGTGGCGGGCCGGAAATGAGCGAATTGTTGTCGACTTGTTTGTGTAGTCCCGAAAAGGGAAACACCAGGGTTGATATGAACGCGAACAACAAGAACGAACACGTTTTGTTCTGCAAGATTAATCTTGCCTTGAGGCAGCCACGCCCTCTGGGTGCTGGCGAGACGTACCCCACGTTTTCAAGGCTGACGTCCGACCAACACGACCGTTAACACGTCCCAGCCAGGCTCCTCCAGATTGTCCGCCACCACACCTTCAACACTGTCCTGCGGTATCTCATCGCCGTGCTATCCGCTAGTCTTACCCCGCATTCGACGTCCTCTGTGATATAGCGCGACCAATCTGGCGAGTTTTCTGGCCGGACGCAGCTCATGCTTTGCTGAAGAGCGTGGCTTCAACCGCTCCAGGCTTTTTTCTTTTACCAATTATCTCCGACCGGCGCACGGGACGATGAACGCCCTCTGGAACATGATAACTCATTATCTACCCTCTGTACGCATCCACAACGATCTCGAAGACGGCCTCCTTTCAGACTACGACGGCTCGGAAACCTACGAGCTTCCCACGCATTCTCGCGACCCGCGCACGCTGGCGCGACCCACCGGTCCTCTTCCTCTTACGGACATCGTAGTACCAGACTCGGACGGTCGAATGGTCATTCAATCCCAAACGAGGAAGAGCGTAGAGCATCGGCGGGAGTCGTGGTACCACGTCGAGAGGGCGCAGGCGAACAAAGAGAAGGAGCTCGAAGCGGAACAGCTCAGGACACAGGTTCAATCTCTGCAGCGCCAGCTGATGGACCTTCGTTCCGACCTTTCGAGCACAAAGGGCGCGCTCGAGTTCCAACGCAGATCCGTAACCCACCTCCTCTCAGAAACAAACACACTCCAATCACACCTATCACAATCCGAACAAGCCTATAGGTCTCAATCCGCAGAACTCGAGCAACTACGGTCATCCTACGCGGACCTTTCTTCATCAGCCCACACCGGCACTAACTCTGGAGTCGATGCCACCGCCATTAGTGCAGAGCTCGCCTCTCTCAAATCTTTCCTGAATCGCATAGACGACTATACCGGCTCCCAGATCCTCCAAGCCGTCCAGGATCTCAATACCGAGATTGTACAGTTCGCCGCAGCCGTTTCGGAGGAGTACCCCTTAGGCCACGGTGGCGGTGGCGCAGGTGGCGGTGGGCTATGGAGAGAGAGTGACCGAGAAATCGTTAGGAGGGCAATAGGAGAGGGTATGTGCGACCTGGTGAAAGATGGAGATCATGAACAGGATCCGACGGTTGTACAGCTCGCTATCCAGGCTTGGGAGGTCTCGTGCTGTCGACAGATATTCGAAGCGTTCTGTTGGGGCATTCCTCCTCAGGTGGATCAGTTTTTGAGTGAGGTTTTCCGGGAAATGCAAATCACGGGTACGTACTGTATCAAAAAGCTTAGTAAACGGTTTGACTTACTCTTCTGTAGAACCGCAAGCCATGACTTCGCGTTGGCGAGCCCTCACTCATATGCACGCACGCACAACCCTCCTCAACCCACCTCTCTCACTCGCCATTCCACACCATGCCACCGCTTATACTAACGGATTCTCCGCGACCGAATCCACCTGCCCTTCCATTCCACCATCGCCCCTCGCTTCCTTCCCCGCACCAACGGCCTACCCTACACCCTACTCGACGACTAATAACACCCCAGCTATGCTTCCCCCACCCCTTCCGCATCAAATCTCGCCAAGCACCTCGTCCCAATCACACTCCCTCGGAAGCCCCCAACGCGTCCCTCTACCTCACCAACTCCGAATCCGACTCTCGCAGTCCTCCTCCGGAGATCCTTCACCACTCACCTCCACCTCCGACAAAGCCCCACGACACTTCGCATCACCTATGACGCCCTCGAACTCACAGGGCAGCAACTACTCTGCTCCGGGGTTCTCCGTGCCCAGTGCGGCGCCACCGACGATGATGACGAGCTCGCGATCACAACATATCAACTCGAACCTCCGTGGTATACTCGCTTTGCTCGCTCTGGCGGGTTGTACCGACGAACGAGGTATTCATCGTGATCCGCTGCGCGAAAGGTGGACTGAGCAGGTGGAGAGGTTGTTGGAGAGGGCGGAGGGGCTGGCTCGGATCATCCGAGAGGGTGTAGGAAGCGCATGGTTCGAAGTTTCGGTGGAGAGTGGGCCGCCTTTGATGAAGGATGGTGAGAGTAATCTCAACGGGGCTGGTATCAGGACGAAGGGCATGAGGAAGACCTCGAGCGCAGGAAAGATCAATGGAGTGAATGGCGTCAACGGCGTCCATGGGTCCACCCCGAATGGTAACAGTAAGGGCAAGGAGAGGGTAGCTGAGGAGGATAGGGAGCCGTGGCGAAGGATGTATAATCCTGTGGAGATGGATAACGTCTATGCTGGCTACGGAGACGAAAACTCCAGGGTTCTGTGTACAGTCGAATTTGGACTCACGGTCGTCAAGAAGCGGAATCCAATGTCGTCTTCATCACCCGAGGACCGCAACGACGTTCATGCCAATGGTGCGGGGCTCAACGGAATCCATGGAGGAAAGGATGGGAACGGAGAGACCGCGAAAAGTATGGAGGAGAAGAGGAAGGAGGTGCTGGATATGACGATGTTGCTGAAGCCAAAGGTTCTCTTGGAAAGTGTGAAGGATCTTCTATGAGTTGAGCATGGTTATGGCCTGTGCCAATAGCGCGATCGGATGGCAGGAACGCTTGAGGTGAGTTTTGTGGCGCTTCGTCGACCCGAGTCAGTGCTGAAGCCTTGCGTTCACGTCTATACAGGTCTTTCACCTTCGATCCCCATCTATGAACATCTGGTGACCTTCACCAACGTCGCTCATGGTATAGTGCTACGTCTGAAATAGCCATCCAGCGGTCATCTTTCATACACACCTTCTTTCTTGCGCCACACAAATATATCTTACTCACTTCCGCTCTTCTTTGCCTCCCTCCTCCCTCTCCATCCATCCTTTCTCGTTTCATACCACTCACGTCGACGACTCATCTCGACGCCCATGTATCCTGTACTTGTACCCCATACCTCCGTGTTCTCACGACAAAAACACGCCCTCACGATCATGATCAATCGCTTCACCGCCAGGTTCTATGACGCAGGTCTCCCCCCTCCCCTCTCATATCTTCGCCATCGTCTATATTATTTATGTACTCTAGTATCGATATTATATCCGCGTGCACATTGCTTCGCTTCATCTGAATCTTCGCTGTCTTGAACGCTTTCTTGCTTGCTTGTTACCCAAGTTCTTACATACGGGTCGGTTTGTTGTACGCTACATACGGTCATGGTGGGCCCTGTCCAATGATTATGATTGAATAATCATTGATATATTCACACTCGCCGCTCCGGCTGAAGTGAGCTTGCCGAACAGATGGTACACTGGTAAAATAATACACTGCGTACAACACGTTTCAACATACAGCAGACGCATCGAGAAGATATAGGCTACAAAACGCATTTTTCATGCGATACAGAGACACCTCACCCCGCCCATCCATCACCACCCAGGGCGCGCGATACTCATAAAACGACCTCATACTCCCCAACGCCCGCATACCCAACCCCTCTCAAATTCCAATCACACTCCACGTCCTGCTTCCTACCACTCTCATCCTCCGCGCGACTCCATAACACGATCTTATGTAGCTCTTCGCCGCCCTTCGCGTTACCATCATCGTCAGCATTCGCATGATGCGCATGCACTGGCAGATCCGCAACTTCAACGGTAACAGCCGCCTCCCAAAGCGTCCAGCTCCATTTCCCCTCCTGGTACGTGATTTTAGCGGGCTTCCATGTTCGGCCTTTGTTACAACTTAGGGAAACTGAGGTGATCTGTCCCGAGTCTGAGGGTATCGCGTAGCCTGTTGCTAGGATAGTTATGGGCATAGGTGTTGCTGCAGACGTGCCAGTTGGAGGCACGGCTAGGAGGGTGCTAGACACAGTCGAATCTGTTGGAGAGGAGGATGAAGTTTCCTTGAGCAGAGAGTCTAAGAAGAGCGACGGTGAGAACGATAATTGAACGGACCTCGCGGAATGAGTCGCGCGGTAGCAATTACGGAATTGAGAGGATTGGCGTTTAGAGGGGGTAGCTTTGACCACCAGGCTTCCGAGTTCGCTTGGTCATGCGACGTGACCTACAGATCCCACAAGGTGAGGTAGCCGGCACAGTACGAAGGTAGCTGGGCCATAAGCGACTGGACTCACCTGAGGTGGAAGGATTTTATAATCGCGTTGTTGGTAAAAGTTTGAGGATTCGGTGGTGGAGACGGTGATGTGATCGAGCCATTTCACCCAGCGGACACCAGAGTAGCCTGGGACGACCATTCGGAAAGGGAAGCCATGTGCTGGGGTTAAGGGATGGCCATTCATCTGTCAAGTACCAGGGCCAAACGATGAGGACCATGTTATAAGTTCGGAAATAAAATGAATGAGGGAAAAGGACGGAAGTCAGCAGTACGCACACCGATGGCAATGATAACGCCTCCTTCCTCATCCAAAGCCTTTTCAAGCGGTATGGAAGCCCCAAACCAGCTATCCTCCTGGCATTCCGACGCATGTGAGGCAAAACATACATGTAATTTGTTGATCACGTTGGGGTCATCTTTATAACGAAGGCCAGCGGAGAGGAGGACATCCCGAAGAGGTACCCCTGTGAAGCGAATGTTGGCCACGGTGGCTTCACCCCATTTAATACCTTCTACGTCCTTGTGTTTCGTGTCCGCCATCTTCTTGCGTCGATTTCCCGCACACTGTTTGCGTGCTTGTCAGTTGCCAATTCGATGAGGAATAAACTAGACGATGAACTTGGAGAGCCGCAACAACTTCCACGCGAGAGGGGAAGACGCGTTTGAAGTCGGAGAGTGTGTACTCCATCCTTTTCTCCACAGCTCCGTCAATGCTCAACCTGAACGTGTCAGCGTCCAGTGCTTTTATGGAACCTTTTCCCCATCTATTGTCAGTATCCGCTCGACAAACTCTGTATTTGAAAACAAACAGGCTTACAATGATTCCGAGCGTAGACGAGATCATCTGGGGTATGAGGAAACTGGACAAGCGAGACAAGGTCAGGTTCAGCGTTCAACGGCTCCCGGTCTTTGATGCCCAGGAGCGCCGTAGATTTTCCTATTGCAGATGACATGGCGAGTATATCGATGCTTCAACAGAAGACCTACAAACGGGCCCTTCGATATCAGGATATCGTGCCAGTATGAGCCTGAGACATCAGGTTGAGTAGGTTTACCGGTGTGATTGCTACCCCACATATGGTGAGGGTCTCGCACAAGCAAGGGGCACAGCAGTATCTCGCTCTGGAGAGTCTACGGGACCACAACCAGGCATTCGAATCTACTAGGGCAATGCTGCGACTGCAGTTGTTGACTTCGAGCCACAAGTTGCAACTGTCGCGGGGATTTTGTTCGTTGGCTACGTCATCGTTGTGGCATCGGCGTCATATGTGGCACCTTCCAACCTGTTGGCGATTAACGGTTGCACTCTTCTCGCCCTGACGGGAAATATGCATCGACAAATGAGACACGCACTTTCTGTCCGCGACAACAGATTGATACAAGTGGTATATTTACAAAGAGCGTGCAAAGTGACCCGGAAAGGACAGAGTGGCCGAAGTATGCACAGTAGCGACGAGAAAAAACCGAATAAATAGCTTCAAAATCGGAAAACACATTCGTAACCCAATAGTTCAGTCTCCAAGCACTCGAAAGGCCTACTCCTTGCTGATCCTCACGGTACGCTTAGACGCAGATGCAGTAGCGGAAGCAGAAGCGGCGCTGAGAGAGGAGAGGAAGGAGGCAGAGGCCGTAGGGTTGACCTCCGCGGTTGCGGGAATAGAGGCATGAGCTTCTGCGGTCCTGTAGTTCGTCTTGTCCACCTGAACGCTAGCACACGGCCCGTTATCGGTCCAGTCACCGGAAGCACCTGCGAATCGTTGAGTACGATGCTGGAAGGGCAGAGACGGGAGAAATGCAAAGCTTACCACCAGGGGTGTCGGCGTAGCTCCACCAGTTGGCGGTCCACAGGTCACCGTTGTAAGTAACCTGGTCACCAGTCTCGTACTACAGAAAAAGCCATTAGTATCAAGTCCAAGCATACCTTGGTAATGAGACGAGGGACGTACTGCGATGTTAGCGAGCCATGCGGCGACGACACCGCAGCTCCCGCTGGAGGCTGAAGTCGTCGCAGAAGCGCTAGTGGTAGCACTTGTGCTAGTTGCAGCAGACGTGGTCGTACCAACCGAAGTCGTGGATGCGCCCGCCTTCGTCGTAGAGGCAACTGAGGTAGTTGGGACGGAAGTTCCACCACTGGACAAAGCGCTCTTGATTGAGGCGGCGAAGTTGCCGTTGGCTACATATATTTAATTAGCATAAGAGAAGACGATGTCCCGAGTAAGCGTGTGCGTACCTTGCGCCTGAGAAGCATCCCAAAGCATGACACCGCCGAAGGAAGAATACTGTTCGCGAGTGGCGAGGGCATCAGATGCAAGTGTGGCGGCATCGACATAGCCCGAACCTGCAGCGGTGCTAGAGGCGGGGGCACCGATATAGACCTTAACGTTCGGATTAGGAGAGACAGTCTTGGCCCAGTTATCCCATGTGGCGAAGTTCCAGTCATTGGCGTTGTCAAAGTTGGTGAGGCCACAGTAGTTGCTATAAGTAGTTCATAGTGGCAATGAGTATCATTCCCTGGACAAAATCTCAGAAGGTATACGTACTTGTAGAACTGAACGTAGACAGCATCAAACCCGACGGAGTTCAAGACATCGCCGACGTAAGCGTCGGGGAAGGGACACTGAGGAGCAGCGGTGAAATAGTATGACTTGTCCGCACCATCCGCGAGCGTCCTGATCTGAGTGACGAAGGCAGGCCAGTGGCTCGGCGAACCACCCTCGAGATCCAGATCGATACCATCGAGGACGGCATCACCGAAAGGCCTGGTATCGTTACTTCCACCGAGGAACAAGTCCCAGATAGTGTTGGCGAAGGTGACTGCTTGAGCGTCATCAGTGAAGGAGACGGATCCAGTAGCACCGCCAATGGAAAGAGTGACGATTTTGCCGGCGGCTTGGCAAGTTTGAATGTCAGAGGCCATGAAGCTGCAGTCCGGGAGTTCGGTTCCTGAGAAGACAGTGTCGTCGTTGACGTTGCAGATCTAACAAGGAATTCAATTGTCAGAAATAGGGATCGGAGAAAGAATAAAAAGGCAAATACATTGGCAAGATCAAGAGACGGGTATCCTCCGGTACCGAATGCAATGTCTAAGAACGCGAGAGGGAACGCATCGATGGAGTCATCTGTGCAGTAGGATGAGAGATTCTTTTGCCAGTTCGCTGTGTCCGATGTGTGTGTGGCACCATATGAGTTCTATTTATCCGAGATCAACTTCGATTTCTTTTCTATCTGAGAAGGAAGAGATTTACCTGTCCCCAGTATCTGAAAACCACGAGAGAACAAATTAAACGAAGCCAAGCAAACCAGTGAAAAGAGGTATCTTACACAGCGACCTAAAAAGATACATGTTACACGTTAGTATCGTCGAGGCCAGAACACACCAGCAGTGAAAGCACACACGTTATCATTCCTCGTGTTATCGTACCCAAACACCGAACGAGGGGCAAGTGCCATCAGCGGACCAATCAAAGCCAAAGCAGTCTGCATTTTCGCAACCATGTCGACCAGAAGTGCCAGTGTTTCGGCAAGTGTTAGGGAGGAGGGGGTGAGAAGGGCGAGGGTTACCTCCTTCGATGCCGGTTTTTCGTCGCTTATGTATGGTTGGGCCCACGCAGACGAAGCATCATGAAGACCATCATACGTCCAAGTGCAACTCTGAGTTTCTGCGCAACGAAGCCTCATGCCAGCCGGTCCCGCCTCATAAGCCTACCCAACACACAAGGCTACCTGCCCCAAATAGGTCGTCGCACACGTCTGGGCCGGTGGATCCGCATGGAACGCGAAGAGTATGCCAGCGAAGAATGAGGTGGGCAATCAAAAGCGTCCATAACGAGCGAGGCGCGAGCATAGTCTCAGTCTGCAGTCACGCGAGGACATTGAGAATTTGCGGTAGGGAGCACAAGCTAGCTCAGAGTAGTACCATGCGGCTTCGTGGTAGTTACATCGGCATAATGAACAAATTGGTCGAGTGCGACAGTGTGAACGATAGAAGCTCAGATGACCGGATGGCTCTCAACGAATGTCTCGCAGAAAGAGAGGGATAGATAGGAGAATGAAACGGCATTAGAAGTACAGGGCAAGAAAAGAGAAGAAACGCTAGAAACCTGATACGGCAGAAAGCTCACAACCTCCGATAAGTCTCGCCTACAACCGTAGTGTGGGCGGCCGTCCATTTTGGGTTGTCTCAGAATCCCTAAGGTAGCGCCGGAGGATCTCCGGAGCGCATGGAAAAGAACAGCAGAGTTGTCTCTACTTACTGTTAACAACCTTCAAGTCTGGATTGTGCCTGAGCTGAGGCCTGAATTGTTGGAGTCGCATGAGTTGAACAGATGGCGCACGCGCCGCGCGAGCATTGCCATCAGCGTGCAAGGATGCTTGTTTCAAATCATCGAGTAGATGCTCTGCCCATAGCGACTACCACTTGCTCATCGGACCCGTGTGGAAGATATTTCCTCAAATGCCCCGAGAACCCCAAATAAGCACCCAAGAATGAGCCCTAGCATTACAAGAAGAGCTCTACACGTATGTAGAAAGACCGGAAGCGCCAGCGCAGCATATCTTCAGCTCGATGATAAGAGGAAGAAGAGGGTCAGAAGATACAACAGTGGTATGGTTTGGGAAAGCTTCGTCTGCATTGTTAGCGAACTTTAAACGGAATAAGCATAGACCGGCAGATTCAGCCAAGACAGGTATGTTGTGCGGGGGAACACCGACCCTCAGTAGTGACGTGAGGTTCGACATACATCGCCCACTACCGATATGACCGCATGGAAGCTTGCCACATCTCAAGAAAGCGAAGACAAGACAGCAACGTCATGAGAAGTTATCCGTATAAAAGTTAAGGTTCCTTCTGGAAGGTTAGACTACATTATCGCAACCCGATAGGCTCAAACTCACGGTAAAATCAAGTCATCACTCACCTAGAAAGGCCGTATCGACAACTCTCTCCCGTCCCAATCCTCCACTCTGAACGGCCCCCTTCCACCCCAAACCTCATGCATGCGATATCGCATCTGCGCTAACTCCTTCAATATCCTCGGCCCTGTCGTATCGAGAAACCTCGCAACCTGTAAGCCCGACACCTCCACCGCCGAGTCCGCCAGACATCGAAACAACGACTCCGACTCTTGTCTAGACCTCGCTTTCGCTTTGAGACTCCCCGGATTTCCATATTCTGAAGGGAGATATCCATTCAAGCCAAGGTGGGTAATTGTGGGCGGGAGAGTGAGGCAGGGTGGCATGCCCTTACGGTCGTAGGCAAGACTCGAGAAGATGAGGTGCGTGAGTGCAGGACAATGATCTGCGAAGAGCTCCATGGCCCGGGATATCTCCTTGGAATACATGACTCGGACGTCGAGTTGGATGTAAGTAAGGTATTCGCCTTGAACGTGGAGAAAATGTGATATTGTTTGCGCGTGGCCGATGAAGAGGACTTTCGTGAGCGAGGGGCGAGGAAGGAGAGCCTCGCTGAGTTTGGCTTGAAGGTCGGTGGACTCCATTCCGGGACGTGGTGGTGCCGCGGCGGCGAGGAAGGAAATATTCGGAAGTGCGAGGAGGTCTGTAGGACACAAACTCCGAGCCCCGTATTCGTACTCGCCGGTAACGAATGTACGAAGGCTTTGAGGAAGAGTTGTTCCCTGCGGGATATAGGGGTGCATGTCCGGATGGATGTAGACCTTTTTCAACGTTGGACTGAGAATCGAGCAGGAGGAGAGGATCGCGGGAATGTAAGAATGTAGAAGTGATTCGGTCTGATTTTGATACAGGATTGATAGGATGTCGAGGTTATTGGTGTGACTGATGATACTTGTTATCAAGTCACAGCTTCGTGCCCGCCCGAAGCAATTGTCTGGTTCAGGTCCACCAAGGATGAGATGGCGTACGAAGGAACCTAATGGTGGGTCATCGCCTCGTTCAACCGATCTTGCCAAAGTGTCCCGTAGACGGACCACTCTGGCTTCGTCACCGTACAGAGCGACTACTCTGTAGAGGAACGGTAGCCCCAGAGAGTACCATGTCCTCGAGACGCGGATGATCGATGAGGCAGTCGCAAAAGACAAAGAGAGGGCCTCCCAGCTGAATTCGGTGAGAGGAAGCGTCGTACGAGGAGCTGTGAAAGGGTCGTCGATATCTATGTCTAGTATTCCGGGAACGAAGGTTGCAAATTCGAAGATGCGCAACCACAGCTCGGCTGGTACGTCTTCCGCCACATGACGGGTGGAATGCCTGGCGGTGACCTTTCAAAGGAGCCGATTGTGATGTTTTGTTTCAGTAACGATTTTCACGTCTTGTCGGATGAAAGGATAGGGCTCACCAGAGAATCGCCATCTTGAGGTGCGTACGTGGCGTCATCAACTCGCAAATACGGATTATAGGCGTATATTTGTCGGACAGCAGACATTACAGGCGGTGACCGTACGTTTCTATCGAACCAATGAAGCATTGTTGCTGTTGCTGAAATTGCGGTGAGCAGACAGATGTCAGGATGTCAGTGGTGTACTTGGTAGCAATTCATGATACTGCCCCAAAAATAGGGTATTATACGCGATTGGCCATGCTCGAGGTCCCTGGAGGCTGTGAAGTGAGCGGGAATGAGCGGGAGTAAGCAGGAGTGAGCAAGGAGTGAGCGGGAGTGAGCGGTATCCCGACTTGTTGATTGGGCGTCGAGGAAAGCTTGAGTTCGGTTGTATGCATCTAGCATCAGGAGGAGTTTGACTCTTGTCGGGCCAGTCATACAAGCATCTGCTCTTTACTATTCCCGATACCTCGCGGGGACGATCTCCTCGATTCTTGACCATGCCGACCGAGCAAAGCTAGTGGTTATCTGGACAGCGTCTTGTGGGAGTGTGGGCGCTCAGAACCTGTGACACGAGCTCAGTAATAACTCAGCAAGGCTGATCCTTTCTTTGCCATTACTAGAATGCGAGGTTGAGTGACAGAAACAGCAGAACATGTCCTGATTATCAATTTGTAACTTCCAAGCGTATGAGCACCAGAATGGAAGTTCCAAACATGCAAAGAAGACGCTAAACGCCAAAGCTCTCGACGTTTGGGGCAGTCGAAGTACAGCCTGTGTGTCCCCGGTGGGCCAGACAGATTCAAGACAGATTTGGAACAGAGCCGATACGCCGAGCAGTGGGGATGCAAGATCCCAACAAGGAGAGAGCATCAAGAAAGACATCGAAACAAGATGGCAAAAGTCCTCCAATCTCGACCGGGCGGCGCAGCGAGCTGCGACACAAAACTGTTCGGATGCAACAAAATTGAATTTCCGGGAGCCCCGGTTCAAAGCGCGAAGCGTGAGAGCGACCTTCCCCATCTGCTCACCATATCCGATTCGGGAAACCATGACGTAAAGTACACACGCGATCACATGCATCAGTCCCCGGTTTTTCCGCCACACGCGTGGCCCGTTTGGACCTTCCATCGATTTCGCGGATCGACAGGACTGGTCAAAAAGTTTTGGTTGGAAAATTCATGATCATGCACTTGCACTTCTTACCTCTTTGATCTCGCTTTTGTCGCCGAAATTCCACGATTTATTTATTTCTAATACGTTCATGAGCACTGAGCCCTCATGGTGCTCTATTTTTCTGATACACCGCATCCACCTATGACTCCTCGCTGACTCGAGTTCATCGTATTCGCCTTTGGATACTTGCGACACTGAACGGAGACTCTCAACACCTCTTGTCATCTAGAGGTTGGATCACCAGAAAGTCTTCGTATCAGATTATCGTTCAGCTGGCTTTCACCCATCCGTTTGACAAGCCTTCAAATAGTCTAGGTCGCAACCCTGGAGGCTCTGATTGATATAAGGTGCGTTTCGTTCTCTGTCTCGTTCACTGTACCTCAGCCAATATTTTCCGTCTTCTGTGCAGTTTTGCCATGGGTGCTATAGACTACCGCCGCGCATCTGAGTTTAGCAACCCTCTGGCCCTTCCAACCAAGTACCAGCTAGAGGAGGCTTTCTCGGAGAGATGGTCGTTCAGTGCCTAGTGCCCTTGATGTGACTTATGGTTCGCTTCGTTCTTGTCTCTTCCTCTTCCTCCTCATCAGAATCCCGCTTCACGTTCCCAGTCATCGGCATGACTTACCAGCATGCATCGCCGGCGAGCTTTATCTGGCGCTCAACTCCATCTTCAATCCTACCCTTTCCTTATACGGCCTTCTATTTCCTCGTCGACCGCTCCCATCGAGATTCATGCCAAGGTCAATCCGCCTCCACCATCAACTCATCGGACCTTACCTCGGACGCCAAACTTTTGGAGGCAGACCATAACGATAGAGCTGAAAAATGAAGATCCATAACATGACATAATCAAGGTCGAATACTCGAAAGGCGTTCGTGCCGACCATCCAAATATCATACAGTTCCAAGAATAATAGCCCAACAAAGACGAAGGCGAAGAGGAATACGAAGTACGAAGAATGGGAATAGGAGAAGCAGGCCTAGGGAACTAGCTGGACTGTCGTAGGGGTTGAAAAGGCATAGAGAGGATAACATATGCTGAAGAGAAGCGATTGTCCGTGTGAGTGGGGCGATAAGGAAGGGGCGAAGGTCAAGAGATATATGTACATGGGAGAAGAAGGGGCCAAGAAACGTCAAGATGGCCGTGGACCTGGGATCAAGTATCAAGAACAAAAATCGTGAACCAGTGGTCCGAGTCGCGATGGGAAGGATAGGTGGTATGATCGAGCAGAGGCTGATGGTCCGAAAAACATAGGTGGTGGTGCATGTATGATGGCGCCTGTAGTGACCAGGAATATGTTGGTGAGTCTTCCGGTTACACTTCGCATTCGAATATGATTTACCATAATATATGTCGCGCGTCCCGCCTCAGATGGAATGACTTATATGAAGTCCCATTGCCCTCGCCCCTGCTCCGGCAGCTCCCTCCCATCCCAAAAACCTTTCCCCTGACAACGCCGGCAGCAACTTGTCCACACTTCCGTATCCCTCGTCCAGCTCATCCGCGATATGAAGCGTACTTCTCGCCCTCGCCCAGACCGACACGAATATTATCCGCTTCAACTTCCTGTTCAAGAAGAACCAATGCGAACTCCAAAGCAAAGCCCCGTGACGACGATTATGCGCTCCGTAGAATTCATCATCGCTGCCATTCGAATACCCACTCCCTCTCCTGCCTCCAGGTATAGGCCGACTCCGGCTCGTCGCCTCATCAACGTCATAGTCGTCAAATGCGAAGGTTTCGGATGGTTCATCGGATGAAGAATCCGCGTCGTTGATGCTCGCGACTTCGTCCTCGTCGTACTCGAAATCGTTGGCGTGGGGATCGGATTCTATGTCGGGTACGTACGAGAATACTTCGCATTCGGGAAGACCTATGACGTCGTCGAGTATGCGGTAGAGCGTGGGATGGGTCCCGGTGACCATTGGAGGAGGTGCATAGGGGCTAGCGAGCGGTGCAGGTGGGGACGAAGATGTCGGCAGGGATGAAGGGAAGAAGTCCTTGGATGCAGGTGGGTAGGAGGAGTACGTCCGAGGTGCGCGCATACCTGCGCGTTGGGGCGATACGAGTGTAGTGCTGAGCGCATTGAGCACACTTGCGCCGCTCTCCTCCTTATTGAAGTGTGCGGGCTTGACGTCTGAGAACTCGTGGTCAGGGAAAGCGACGTTGAGAGTTGCGATGAGTAGGTAGAGCGTCTTGCGCGACGCATGCTTGTCTATCGGCCCGAAGGGGGTCATTTCGGCCTCGCGGTCGAGGGCGATAAAGGAAGGGATGGGTGGTGAGTTGGTGGCTTCATCATTGTAGGCGCTTTCGAGCGACTTGAAGAGTTTCTTGTCCCGTTTGACGTTCTTGCAGCTGTAGGCCTCTATCCGAGTATGCACGGAGCACTCGGGCCCCTCATGTGTGAGCGCTTCGGCGAGTCGAGAGAGCTCAGATATCTCGAGGTACTTCATGTAGCCCAGGTAATCGTAGGTAGGCGAATGGTGTCGGGGTAAATGATGGGCTTAGTGTAACGAGACGGCCGTGGGGAGGGAGAGGGATGCCTTGAGAGGATGTACGGACGAGTTAGAGATGCTGTCGGCGTCGCGCCGAACGACGACGGCGCGGCGTGGGGCAGCAACCGGTGCTCTTTCCTTATTCGGCGATGTGGCGTGATACGTCAGGCGCACGTTTTGTCTTCCTCTTCGGTCGTCCACGGTCGACACACACGTTCTCGAGTTTGTTCTATGGTTCATTCACTCTCCAGCCTTGATTCTGGCATTTGAACGTTTGAACAACCATAGCCGGACATCACGTTCTACCCTCTACTGGCTTGACAAAGAATTGACAAAATATCATCCTTTCTTTGACGTCAAGGTCCTGACTTTATGACGAGAGTCTGAGAGTCCTCTACACACTAAATATACGATGCCCTTTCCTAGGTAATGGGTTCTCAACGGCCACTATCCACCTTTACCGGTTGTGGCCACCAAGTTTCTGTGGCGCGCTCTGCGTTTACCAGAATCAGATAGACGTGAGATCGCAAGGTACTTGAAGGCGTGGAGGTTATGAGTATTCCTTGTTATGTTCCTCTAAAATTCCTCAACTTGTAACATAAGAGCCGAGTGCACTTGCGTGCAGCACGGGTCTTCAAGGATGTAGGAGTATATTCGTATCATGGCCAAGATCAACAGAGTTATATGTTAGCCGACTCTTATGCAGCTGTACCTGCTCTTCTAATCGTAGGAACCTCCATCGCAGGCTTATTCTTCTACCAAAGCTGGCTATTGTGCTCCATCCTAGTCGACGTCGGGTCCTAATACACCGCCCCTACGCCGAACCCCTCCGCTGTCAATGAGAATTTCGTGCCGACAACTTTGGATATCTCGATGACACAGCAAAGGTACTTCACGCCTAGAGACCTCATCGTCAGATGACTGAATGACTCACAAGCGCGAAAATGATGGAGGAACTCATGCAATGGCTAGCATTCATACAGGCCTCTACATATTACACCATTTGAGAACTGCATTTATTATCACCATAAGCGTCAAGCCAGAGACCCCTCATCACCCGCCACCGGACCTCTCATTTTAATGCATCATCTCCCTCTTGCCCTTGCCTACCTCCCGCCACATATCTTCCACGCTGACTTTACTCATCGCCAACCTCTCCTTGGTAGGCTCGAAGCACTCCGGGACTCCCGTCTCCTCGAAGGTAAACGGTGCCGAAGGGTTGAGGATCGCATGTGCCAGACCGCGGGAGCAGGTCATGATGCGGGCCATTCCTATATGGACAATCAAAGCGTTCAGAAGAAGGAAAGTATGAAAGTCAATACAAAAACGCACCATGGCCCGAATGCCCCGCATTGATAAACTCATTCGTCCTCCCCAAATGCGACAACGAACCCACATACGGGACCGCCTCTGGCGTATACCCCATGACGCCCGTCCAATCCACCAACAACCCCTCATTCAACGCTTCTTTCCTCTCTCCCGACCCGACCTTACCAGCACCGGATTCCACGGGATCACTCCAGCCCGTAACGTACCCCGGCATCGCCTCGCTCAGATGCTTCGTGAACTCGGGGATTTTGATGCTGTCGTCGGTCTGGGGTATGGACAGCTCGATGGGAGCTTTCCAACGCCCACCACCGAGGATGATGATTCCGTCTTTGGGGCGTTGGATCATGTAGTCGAAGTCGTTCTGTGTGATACATATTCAGTATTAGCGTTACTCGAAGTGTATGGAAAGTCGTAAGTGAGAAGGATATAGAGGATACGTACCAGACCCCATCGATAGCTCATCGTCTCCTTCAACATCTTCGTTCCGCTGACCGCCCTTGTCGGAACGATCGCGCTGCACTGTCCCCTGAACGGGGCGATCTTTCCCTTGAACTCGGGGAGAAGCGTAGCGGTATAGGCGTTCGAACAGTAGATCACCTTCTGGGCGCTGAGGGTGCCACGAGGTGTATGCAGGATATGTGAGCCTATGTGCAGGAGAATAACATGAGTATTCAGGGAAAAGAGAAGAGCTGAGGGAGGAGGTATGTAAGAGATGAAACGCACCATCATCCTTCGCCTCAACGCTCTCTACGACTGTGTTTGTCTGCAAGTTTAGGCCATGCTTCTCGATGAGCATAGTGAGGAGGTGTTGGACGAGCTTGTATGGCCAGAGCGAGGCGGCGGGGAAGTGGGCTGCGGCATGAGCAGAGGGGCATCTCGTACGCTATTCCACAATGTAAAGGATATCAGTGCAGAGCTCAAAAGAGATAAATGGTAGAGAAGGCCGAACAATGGGATAGTAGAGGACTGAGGAAGTGGTGCGAGGTATAAAGTGTGGACAGCTGGAAACTTAGAATAAGAAAGAAAGAAAACAAGACATATACGAACCTGCTTCGCAAGATCAGCGTCCGAAACCCATTCCACTACGCCCTCAACTTTACCACCGTCAGCCTTGAATTCCTCGAAAGCAGCATGGAAGTTATCGGCGCAGGATTGGTCCATCGCGACGTCTAGTTCGCGGGCGCAGTGAGAGCGTCAGTATTGGAGAAGGCGACACGGAAAACGGCCACGAAGAGAGAAATTGACATACCGTATGACATTCCACGCCAGAAATCGCAATCGACATTCTCTTTCTTAACGATCTCCGTGACGAGGTTGAGCGTATCCTAAATAGGGGTTAAGAACGATAAATCAAATTACGTTCTTGCAAACACCACCCGAAGCGGGTAGCGCCACACGCCGCTGATTCTCAGTCGAGCCCATCGTGAGCTCAACGATGGCCTCGATGGCTCAGTGCATTACTGACCACCAACTCGATGGCAGCGAACGGAACAGATTACACCGGGGAATCAGACCCACCATCTCATTCTGCAAGATCTTCAACGCCTGCTCCCTGCCAAACTGCGTCTTGTAGCCCTTGTAGCCTGCACAACATGTCCATATTCAGCGATCTGGAGGACTCGTACTTATTTGAAGAGCCAATAACAGGAAATCTACGCACCACGATAGCAATCCGGTCTACAATGGCCTCCATTCCTCCCCGTTGCGCCGTGACAAGCCTCCCTCGCCTCGACAACGACAACACTCTTTGGTGGATTCGGAGATGTAAGCAAGAAGTATGCCGTCGCGGCGCCGCTATGCGCGTACCATCAAAATTCAACGATACTCGTCGTATAATATAAATAAGAGCATACCTCAAACCAGACCCGATGATCACGACCTCTGCGCTTTCGGGCAGAGTTTCAGTTGTCCTGTGGCCCAGAAGAGGAGAAGAACGGGTCCCTTGCAGCCAGAATGATAGACAAGGGTCTGGGTGAGGAAAGCCCGGGTACGGCGTCGTGGTGTCGGGAGACATGGTTGCGAGTCTGATGCAGTCAAGAGGACTTGGATGTACAAAGAAAGCTGTTCGCGGTGTCTTCTCTAGTATGCAATGACTTGGTTAAGTATGAACAGACAACGGAATCATGATGGAGCCTAGATCAGCTGGGCGGGTTTGTTCATGAGATGCGTCCCGTTCAAGGGTACAGAGCTTCGCCGTGGTAGTCGAAAGATAGCTGCGTGATGCTATTCTGAGCATTTCGTGAATAATCCCAAGATGCCGGTGCCTGGAAAATGCACATATAAAGATAATCTTCCTGTTATTAGCCGACTCGTATCGTTTGTTGGAGAGAGATGGATGGACTCGATCGAAAGGACGGACGACGGACGGAGGACGGAGGACGCAGAGCCTTCCGATTCCACGCGATTCCTGCCGCGGCGTGGCGGACTCCTTCGGTTTCCGACGGTGGCACAGACTTCACCTTCTTTGTTCTCGCCACGCTCTGCTTTCTTACCTCTGTAGTTCCACAAACACCTTATAGAGACTCTGGATAAATATGCGGGTATTATCCGTTCTTTCTCCCAATAAGCACATTCTCTCCACTCAAATCTCGAACATGAGGAAGTCCTCCTGATGAGTCCGGGTAGTGCAGCCTCGTCCAAAGTCTGGTGATACGATATGGACAACTGCTTGGCTCTTATCTATCTCTTGCACACTGATTCTTAATCTTGACTGTGGGATCTGGCCGCTGCTTTCTCCAATGATCGCAACACACTGTCTCCAACCGTTACCTTGGCTATTAAAAAACCTACGACCAATAGCAGCCAATCATCTAACAGGATCATTCCTTATTCCTGATAGACTCGCGTTCCACAGTACCGTCATCGTTTCGGACCAAAAAATCTTCGGAATTTTCTGTGCCTACGGAGTCCACTATAATATAGCTATCATCAACACTCAGATCCCGCCGAGTCCCCTCCCCTCTCCCCTCTCTTCCCACTTTCACCACACCCTCATCGTGCGGAGCCATGGCACACGCGTGCGGAGTTACTAGTATGGCGCACAGGAACACTAGTGTCGACCTCGAAACAGCGTCCAAGTTCTCTGAGAAGGAAGATGTCTTCGTCAGCGTCGCACCCGCTCCAATGGGATCCGATAGGTCGAAGTCGGCGACAACAAGAGGATTGAAGAGCAGGCACATTCAACTCATGTCAGTTCCCTCTTGGTTCGGCCTTTCTCAAAGGTTGAAGGGCTTACAAACTCTCTTGTACGGCGAAATGTAGCTCCATCGGTGGTGTTATTGGGACGGGCCTTTTCAGTAAGCATCAGAATCATAACAAACATCACCTTAGGTGTATGATAAACTGACTGTAACTCTTGCGCTTGTAGTTGGCTCGGGTAAAGCACTCGTCATGGCCGGCCCTCTCTCCTGCTTGCTTGCGTACATTATATTCTGTGTCATTGTTTGGTGTGGTAAGTTCTCAATACCTCGACCTCCGTTTTTTTGTGCCGCTAACGATCTTGCGTCTAGTGGCCCAAGCAGCAGGCGAACTCGCAACTCTCCTAGTACGAACATTTCCCTATTCACTGAAACATTCAGTTGATAATTAAACTTCTCGCCTTCCCGCCCATTTGCTTGACGATTGATCCTTGCCGCGCTCGTGAATGCAGCCCATAACCGGCTCTTTCATCACTTGGTCACACCGTTTCATCGACCCTGCCGCTGGTGTAGCTTGTGGATGGAACTACGCCTGTATGCCTTCTCCCCCCTCGATTAATCCTCAAATTTGCCTTATACTGACGACTCCTTGTATTGCGCCATGATCCCCGACGGAATGTAACAATAGATGCTTGCATCGCGTTCGCTTGTGCAGACATCTCAGCTGTAACGGGACTATTCCAATACTGGTGGGCCCTTTTCTTCTGTCTTCCTCTTCACCACAAATATACCTCTTCCACCCCCTTCTGTACCAAATGATATCTTTGTGCGTAGTGCAAGACTGACAATTTTTCGTTGTAAACAGGCTTCCCGACTCCTCTCCCGCAATCTGGGTTTCCTACTGCCTTGTCGTATTCTTTATTCTCAACGCATTCGCAGTTAGGCTTTACGGCGAGGTGATTTCATTGTTCTTCGTATTGTGCCATCTCTTCATCTGTGCTTACGGCTTGGGGCGCTCCATAGGCGGAATTTTACTTCGCATCCGGCAAAGTCATCCTCATCATCGGATTCATCATCTTCACATTCATTGCCATGCTTGGTGGTAACCCCGCCCATGACAGATTTGGATTCAGGTACTGGAAGGACGTGCGTATTTTTTCCATTGACATGTTTAGGGTGGTGGCACTCACTGATGATGGGGCTGTATTACTTCGTCATGTCATATTACCGACATCGACAGCCCGGTCCCATGGCAGAATAGTACGTCCTCTGCATCTCCCATTGCGTGCCTTCACCGTCAAATCGTATCGGGGAACTGATGTAAATATCGTTATCTCTTCCACAGCCTCGTCGATGGTACTCTCGGCCGCTTCCTCGGCTTCTGGGGCGTCTTCCGTGTCGCCGCATTCTCTATCGGCGGACCAGAATTCGTGGCTATGTGTTCCGCGGAAGCGGAGAGGCCCAGGGTCACTATCCCGAAGGCTATCCGGTTCGTCCACTCTTTCACTGTACACCACTCCCAGCCTAAGTCTGACATAATTTGTTCACTTGTCGGTGTGTAGGAGAGTGTTCTGGAGGTTGGCTGGTACGTGCACGCTCACTTGGCTTAGATGCATGATTGAGCTGACACGATGATGATATGGTGCAGCGTTCTACGTCCTCGGCATCCTCTGTGTCGGTATCCTTGTCGCCTCCAACGACGAAGATCTGCTCAACGGAATCGCTACCGGAACTGGTACGTCTTCCTATTCTATGTATGATTGAGACTAGTTGAGCCGACGGAGCAATCTTCGTATCATAGGTGTCGGTGCCTCTCCATTCGTCATCGGCATGCAGCACCTCGGCATCAAGGTCCTCCCCCACATTATCAAGTATGCTCCTTACTATTCTCATCCCGTGCTTTTTTGCCTGCTTGATGCCTATCATGCTTGTGATTCAGCGCCGTCATCATTACCTCCGCCACCTCCTGCGGTAACTCCTTCGTCTATGTCGCGACTCGTTCCGTCCATTCGCTCGCGGTCAATGGTCAAGCTCCAAAGGTTCTGAGTTACACGACGAAGAGGGGTGTCCCGCTCTTCTCCCTGTTGTTCGTATTGGCAATCTGTTGTTTGAGTTACATGAGTACGTTTTTTCTTCGACATTTCCTCTTCCATCCCCTTCTGCTCCCTTGCACCCGACAGTGTTCGTCCTATGGACACCTAGCTTACTGACTTGCCATTCACTCACAGCTGTAAACTCCGGTGCCGCCGTCGTCTTCGGCTGGTTCCTCGATCTCTCCTCCGTCGCAGCCCTTATCAACTTCTCCTGGATGTGTCTTGCTTGGATCCGATTCGACAAAGGCATGCGTGCCCAAGGCCTCTCTCGCGAAATTTTGCCATTCAAGGGCAAGCTCATGCCGTATGCAGCCTGGACCGGGTTGGTATGGTGTGTTCTGCTTACCGGTGAGTTTTTGATCCTCTTGTTCGATGTTATCAAGCACCCTGAAGAAGGCTGACAATAAATATCACGTACCTTTAGTTACAAACGGGTTCGCGGTGTTTATCAAGATTGATGGGAACTTTGACATCCAATCGTTCTTGTAAGACAACGTTATTCTTTTCATCTTTCACCCATCTCACATTTTCGAAACACATAGCACTGCATACTTCGGTGTCATTCTCACCGCCGTCATCTACTTCGGGTGGAAGCTCTTCAAGCGTGGCGACCAAGGCTTCCGCAAACCAGCAGAGATGGACCTTCTCGGAGGATCAGAAGAAGCCGACGAGGACGAGAAGTGGTGGCAGGAGAATTATGTGCCCCCGACAACGAGATGGGGAAAGTTTGTGGACTGGCTGTTGTGATCTCTCGACCTTGATTCTCGGTCTGCACGCTGTTTTTGCGGGAGGCGGAGTAGGTGTACGATCACGGGGTGATGATAATACGTGTCCAGTACCTATGTCACTCACGTTTTGTCGGTGTATGTTTCGCCCATATAGATTTATTTCTCACTGACTCATGTTCCCGAGGCGGGATGGATGTTGACGGACACGATCGACCTCCTCGTCATCCCACCCAGCCGCGGTACTCAGAAGTGCGCTTCGAATATAAGGAAATCTCACAGTGGATGTTGCCTCTGTTGTACTTGCCCATAGACTTGAAAGACAAAGGTCGTGCTTCTTCGTGCATAAGAAGCACTGCAAGCAAACTGCAAGGCAGGGGCACGGGTTGCACTAGTACTGGGGTTCAGTGAAAAAATTGTTCAGTATTATGGGGTTGCTGTAAATAATAAGGAGTATCTCGACCAGCGCTGTGGCGATTGAATCAGATCTTGATGATGAGCACTAAATACTGTGTGAGTGGCAGGATGGTGGAGGAAGGATGAACGGATCGGAGGAATTCGGGTGAAGGCCTCTGGCGACGGTCCGGAGCCGGTGCAGGGAGCGGCAGCTCACACTGGCAGCCATCAGGGAAATCCTGAAAAGCGGAACAGGAAAGGTCACCGCACAACTAGCGCAGTCATGAGAGATCCCGCGAAAAAATCTAACATCATCTCACACCGCAACGCTGAACCAAGACATTGGCAGGTCGGTCCAGGTCAAATAAACCTTCCAGGTATAAGTTCGACCAGAATGCGTTGGTCTTGTCCATCGTTGCCCGTCGGATGATGCCCGACCAGGGAAGACCATGTCAGCCCATTTCGCTGAACGCAAACCATAATGAAATTACATGGCCATCGATGACCATGAATGGCCATTTCTCTCTGTAGTGGCACAGCATCTCAAATCATAGTAATATTAAATCTTGATATTCACTCAAATTGTTGAATGCTCACGCTGACGACCCATTCGGCTGTCACGATGATAATAAACATTGTATTAGGAGAAAATTAGTACAGGACTATTACACTACAGTTTAAATTACCCGAGAAGCAGCCAAAAAACCATGAGCAAGCACCAGATCTGACAGATACACAGAGGCAGCCATAACACAAGACCAGAGTAGAACTCACAACTGACACAGATTGTCACGAAATCCAGAGACAGACGAGCCCGAGAGAGACCGGCCCTAACCTATAGTCAAGGGATGACAGCTAGAGAACAAGTACCCACAAAGGACTGATGGCCTGGAGAAGATACAAAGGGAACGTCGATGAGCAGAGCGCGAGTATATATACTCGCTCGCGTCCCGGAGCATCGAGGACGAGGTCAAGATCCGGAAATCCTGGAACGGGCTGAGACTTACCGAGGCCGGACCGAGGCAGGATCACTTTCCGACTGTTCCGATTGGCTGAAGCGCCGGCACAGGGAACGTTAGCTATCTTCGACGCCGTCGAGCAGCTGCATTTTACGACTCTGCACCGTAGGAGGACGCAGGGATAGGCTGTGTGCCCTGCCACACAATGTAAAATTTCTTGTACTAAAATTCTAGAGTCTTTTTCATTCCCACTGAATATCTAACGGTAGCCACGAAGAGCGGCCACAAATGAGTAGATCGCATGCAAATACAAGAACGGGATACGGCCGGTGGTCTCCCGACAACAGGTCTTGAAACTGACCTCTCGTGGTCGTGCAATGTTTTCCCCTGTCCATTTTTAGACGGTTCTGGTGTTACCTTGAGCTTCAGTGAGCGTACTAGGCCACAATGGTGAAGCGATGACCATCAGAGTCCATGTTTGACCGGCAAGGCATGCGATGACCTCCGGTGTCCATTACCGCAACAGGATGGAATTCCCAGGACCACCGGAGGTTATCGCTGCCCGGCGATATCCTTTGCGCTCGGCGAAGACCATCCTTCCCAGCCAATCTCAGATTTTTGGGATTTCTGAGATGGCTGCCATCCTCTCTCCACCACAGGTTCAAGACCACAGGAAGACATCCGTTTCGTGAAGCTGCTCTCATCTGTTTACGTCCGATAAGACTTTCTGCAATTCATGCTGGAGAACTATATCAATTGCCTAGATTCTGCTCACTCACGCTGCCCAACCCAGAGGAGCGACATCCACGTATATATTCGTCAGACCTCAGCTCGGAAGTTCGTTTCATCTGATGTGCTTGCTATGTTGAGTCCTCCACATCTTCTGCTTTCAGCACTAGCAGAGGAATACATGATTAGCGGGTGTTAAATCTCGCTGACCCCCAGATAGTGATGACATCGCACTTTCCTGTGCAGATGGCCCTCCGTTCTCTGTCAACGTTCAGCTGACTAGGCTGCGCGAGTACATCGAGTGCGAACCAGGTCCACTAGTACTCCTTCCACTCAACTCAATACTTTGAGCCACCAATGAACTCGTGTCCTACACTTATGACCTCTCTCAGGGATTGTCGTGCACGTTGTCAGATGAGCGTTCTCATGACACAGCACTCATAAATACATTGCACTCACACAAAGTAAAAAAGGAACACACCCTCATAGCCCTTTCGCTTCCTCTTTCTACCACCCCGCACGAACAACGCTATGTCTGGTTCGAAGAACGCGGCTGGACCAGAGATTGCAGAGAAAGGTTTGCCAACTTTATCCTGTCCTCCGCTTTTGTTCTCATTGCTCAGTCTCATTCGTGAATTTTTAGAGCACTTCGATGCACAGTCGCATGTCGTGAAGCTTGACAAGCACGGGCTTCCGCTTAGTCCCCAGCCTTCTGACGATCCAGAAGATCCTTGTAGGCATATTATTACCATTTTTCTTCCATTTACGATCCTTCTGATCAACTTCGAAGTGAACTGGCCATTGCTCTACCGTGTGAGTACTTACTTCCATCATCTACCAGCTTCTGGGCTCTCTTGGCTTCGTTCATTTCCTAATGTTATCCTTAGATTTTTGTGCTCATTCAAGTTAGCCTCCTCGCGACACTGGGTACTTTCAATACAGCCAGTACGTCTGCTGTCCGTTGTGCACTTTTTAAGCGCGACACATCCCTGCTGATCTCCTGCTTACAACAGTCATTAATCCCGCGTATGGCGAACTCGCCGAAGAGTTTGGTATAACCACCGTGCAAGCGTCATATCAAACGCACGTCTCTCCTAATCTCAACCCTCTACTTTTCTCACCGACCTCTTCTCAACATCCAGGACTGTCGTAATAGCTCTCAATGGCATCGGTCCATTCCTCTTCATCCCCCTTGCCAATGCGTGAGTCGATGACATTTATTGTCTAAAAGCATCGACGCTCATAAGGCTATCTGCGTTACTCTATGACATATAGATACGGTAGAAGGCCTGTCTACCTCTTGACCACATTCATTGGATTTGTATCGGCACTGGGGTGCGCCTATACGAAAACATATGGTGAATTGATCGGGGCGAGAATCGTCAATGGGATATTTCCAGTCGCGTGAGTCGTCAAATCGGTCGCCAGTCGTCGGGGACTGAATGCGTATTCACGCTTATTCGTTTGTAGGCTATCACTGGGGGCTGGTACTGTGAGTTATTATTCCCTGTTATCGAGCGGCACCAGAGCTCTAAACATGTGTCTGCTGTTTCTGGCGATGACCAGGTCGCCGATATGTTCTTTCTCCATCAACGAGGGCGTGCCATGGGGGTGTATACTGTTTTACTGAGTACATCCACACATTCCATCATTCTCCTGAACTGCATCGCTGATGTATAGCATAGCGAACGGAAGCCACCTCGCACCCATTTTCGGGGGCCTCATCGGGCAATTTCTAGGCTGGCGTTGGATCTTCAAATTTGCAGCTATTTGTGATGCTTTCATGTTCATTTTCCTCGTATTCTTCCTCCCTGAGACTCTATACCTTCGAGAATCAAGGCCCAGTCTCTCAGGCATGGAAAGATGTGGCGAGGTTGAGGGCGGCGGGGCTGAAAATGCTAATGTCACAGCTGAGAAAGGTTTGTGGAAGAGGCATATCGATAGGTTGAGGTACAGGGGAAAGTTCGAAGGTAGGGACGTGAGGGTGAAGGATTTTGTGCTGCCTATTGTGGAAATAGCAAGATATGTGCGTCCATTCTCGGACAGAAGGCATCGCGCCGTGAGCCTGACAGTTATGCTTCTCGTACAGCCATCCGTTCTCTTTCCTGCGCTCTACTATGCGACACAGGTACGTATGACACACCGGACTGAGCGGGCAACATATACTTACTTTGCGACGACAGTACGGTTTTGGAAGGCAAGCCACTCTCTTCATATTGCGCAGCTTGCCCTTGACATTCGATACTTATACTGGTTTGTTCTCGTGCACAGCATACTTCCTGCGGTTACCGTCTCCCACATATTCGCAGAGAAATTCGGTTGGCAAACGCTTCAAATCGGGCTCGCATACGGAGGTTCCCTCACAATCGGAAGTTTCCTGGGCGAGACGGCGGGTGGTTGGGTTGTCGACGCCATCATCGTAAGGCGATATATGTTCATCTCCGATAGAAATGTACTCAACATCCTGCTCGCTATATCGGCCTAGGAGCGTGCACGTCGAAGATCAGGAGACGATGAGGACACGCCAAGCGAGGTACGGTTGAAGGCCGTATGGACCGGTGAACTACTTGTGCCGGAAAGTATCTCTGCACTCATAGGTAGCGATATAACTGATTAATCATTGTCGATTTTCAGGCCGGCCTCCTCATCTATGGCTTTGGTATACAATACGGTGCAGCGTGGCCCGGACCTATCATTGGGATGGGTGTGGCGTGCTTTGGAGTTCAGTGCATAACGACAGTCATGTACGTGCTCTTCTCCGTCCCATTATTTCTCCTAACTCGCTGATCGGTGCTGACTATGCTTTGCAAGGTATACTTATAGTAGTGACTGCCATAGGTTTGTACAACGTCTCATAGTTGATTCAAGCCACTGACTTTGTATTCCTCGTAGGGACCGCTCGGCACAGGTAGCCCAGGCTCGTACAGCTTACTCTAGTTTTCCTTTCATCTTCACTTATCAACGCATGTCTTATCTGACTTCATTCTAGGTCTTCAATTTCTTCCGGTACGTCACCGCATCTACCTCCTCGAAATTCATACCTCATACACGCCACTCTCAGCCAAGAAATCGGAATGACCTTTGCATTCTACGCGATCCCCCTCGCCACAGCTATGGGAGGGTACCAATGGCTTTTTATTCTCTTCGCTGGGATTGGGAGCATTGTGGCGTTCCTGCCTATCCTGTTTCTGATGTACAGGGGAGAAGCAGTCAGGGCCCATATGAATCCGTGACCGTTTTGTGCAGTCTTGTACTCGTGGCAGGTATCACAATCCATATTTGTTCCCTGAAGTATAATTAGGGTTCAAGCATGGCGTAATTTGAGCCCAAGTCGTGCCAGGGGCATGAAGGACACGGTCCCATAGGGATTCGATGAACTGCCGCTTCCGCCTCCATAAATAGCACGCCTAAGTTTACGACTTGTTCGACTATTGGACGGGCACATCCTTCAAGAAATCACCTCTCATCGTCACGTCTTTCCAGTAGTCCGGGCTCGCTTTTGGGACTCAGGAATATGCCTTTGCCTCGCTCTCTAAGTATGTGATTTTTGATTTTCTCTTCCCCAGAGCCATGGCAGCATATATAGCCCAGCACCCACTATAAGCCCCCTTCTTTCATCTGCACCTCTTCCTCTGTCAATCATGGCCGACGAAAAGGTCTCCGCTGCTGATGACAAAGGTCTGTCTAGAGGTTTAGACTTTTCCGGCTTTTGGATTGACTTACAATGCTCTCAGAGGTTTTTACTGTGCTGTCATCAGCTATCAAGCTCGACAGTCATGGGCTACCGCTTAGTCCACAGCCCTCTGATGACCCGGAAGATCCACGTACGTATTCTCGACGCGCAGAATATCTTGAAAATTTGCTCACGTCTTATCTCGTCTCGCTCTCTAGTCAATTGGCCACTTGCTTACCGTGTGAGTACCGATTGAATGGTTTATGTCCGTGTTTTCATGTTCGTTCATGATCCTCGCTTTCTTCGTTATGTATACTATAAGTTATTCGTTTTGCTTCAAGTCGGTCTTCTTGCAACCCTCGGGAATTTCAATGTCTCTGGTAAGTACTCCCACTCGTGAACACCTTTCATCATTATCATGGCTTCTTGACGTGTTCGATCGACAGCGATCAATCCAGCATCCAGTCAACTGGCGGAAGAGTTTGGAATATCGACTGTTACAGCTTCGTATCAAACGTGAGCACTGCAGGTACAATTCTTACAAAAATCCTGACCATAGTACTAAAAACATTACAATCCCAGAACGGCTGCACTTGCAATGAACGGCCTAGGGCCTTTCTTATTTCTACCAATAGCGAATGCATGGGGTCGCCGCCCAGTTTATTTATTTACCACGTTCATCGGGTTTTGTTCTGCGCTTGGAGCAGCTTATGCCCAGTCGTATCCACAACTGATTGGGGCAAGAATCGTGAATGGGAGTTTCCCCGTTGCGTGAGTGTGCCCATAGCTCACCTTACATACGACCACTTACTCCTTCGCATATAGAATGTCCCTGGGCGTCGGAACAGTAAGCACGTCCGTGCCTATCGCTATCGTGTCGAGCCCAACATTTCCCCCCGAAGATCACTGATATATTCTTCCTACATCAACGTGGTCGAGCTATGGGATTCTTTACGATGATGCTAAGTGTGTACCATTGTTTCAGGGTTTATATCTGACTGCTGATTCTGATGAATAGCTAACGGAAGTCACGTCGCTCTTATCATCGGCGGGGTCATGGGCCAGTTCTTAAGTTGGCGGTGGATATTCAAGATTGCAGCAATCGGAGACGGCTTCCTGTTCCTCCTGCTTTTGTTATTCTTGCCCGAGACTCTCTATAAGCGACTTGATCCTCCGTCGACATCTTCCGAAGAGAATCACCAGTGCGCTACAGGCCTCGATACTGAGGAGTCAGAGAAAGCACTCTTAAGCTCCCTGCAGAGGCACATTCGCAGGCTGAGGTTTCGTAGGTGTTGCTTCCGAAGAAAGATACGCGCGAGGGATTTCGTCGCTCCTATGGTCAGGATAGCTAGATATGTAAGTCCTGTGCTATGCGCACAATGCGAACGTTTCCACTAATGCGTCAGCGAAGCCATCTGTTTTGTTTCCCGCACTGTACTATGCCACGCAGGTACGCGATCGTCAAATGCTATTACTTCTTCATGCTGAATTCTGTTGATCATGATAGCACGGTTTTGGCACGTAAGCCCAATACTTTATATCTGGGCTACTACGGGCTGCTTCATCTTATATTAGCTCAATCGGCTGACACGTATTGTTTAACTCCTTGGTATCGTCGCTCCTACAGTCTCCTTCCAGCAATTACGGGACCAACAATATTTTTACGTGCCTTTGGCTGGAAGAGCCTGCAAATCGGGCTCGCGACTGGCGGTGCTCTCACTAGTGGTTCCTTTCTAGGAGAGCTTGCCGGCGGTTGGGTAGTAGACTCTGTCATGGTGAGTTGACGGGCTATGATGAGAATGTTACCTATCGCTTACTGGTCATATTCCCGTTAGACCAAAGCTCGTCAGAGACACGGTGAAGATGCACCTAGCGAAGCAAGGCTCAAAGCTGTATGGACAGGAGAAATTCTCGTTCCTGTTCGTTTACATCATGAATTCAGTTACGGGGCACTGCGGCTCATGTGCGCGTCATTTGTGCAGGCAGGACTCCTCATATTTGGCTTTTGCCTTCAATACGGCTCGGCATGGCAAGGACCTATACTCGGGACGGTCATATCGGCGTTCGGTACGCAATGTATCACAACTGTTATGTGCGTAGATATTCCCCTTTCTATTGTCGTGGAACGAACTCAGTCATACGTTGTTCTAGGTATACGTACAGCAGCGACTGCTATAGGTATGATGTTCTGATACCCCCAGAAATACGCATGACCTCTGATTTCCTGATGTCCTCGTCTATCTCGTCAACCATAGAGAGCAGTCGACGGAGGTCGCTCAGGTGAGCCCGTAACATTGACATCTTTCGGAGCTCCCAGATGAACCGACCTCTTCGCTCATAGGTGTTCAACTTCTTTCGGTACGCTCCCTGCCCCAGATGCTCATTCTGCCCTAAGCTTCTCTGACTGTGGTGACGCTCTTGCTCACAACCTGCAGACAAGAGATAGGGGTGACCTTTGCGTTCTACGCCGTACCTCTAGCGACCGCTATGGGAGGTTACCAATGGTTATTCATTTTCTTCTCGGGCATTGGGAGTGTGATAGCATTCTTGCCTATTGTATACTTGATGTATCAGGGAACAGCTATGAGGGCGCGCATGGGCTGATAGTGTCATATGCTTTGCTCGCTGGCACAGCATATATACATCAGTTCATTATGTGATTCCCTTCGCCAGGCTATGAGAGGGTACCAATAACTCCTTATTCTCTTTCTGAGATTGGCAACATCGTGGCCTTTTGCCCCATATCGTTTATGATGTAGAGAGTAGAGGGTCGGATGGATCAAGGATGGATAGCTAACGTTTTCTGCAGTCTCTATATTTGTGGCAGATGTTCCGACACACCTTTTCCCCCGGAGTACATTGATGCATCAAGAGCTACCTATCCTTAGATCAAGCCAGGCCAGCGCCAGTGACATAGTTAGAGAGCACGGTGCTCAAATAGCTCCGTGAGCTACCGCCTTTATACATAACGCGCCTAAATTTAAAACTCAGTCGGTCATTGGCCACATCCTTCAAGAAAACCCTTCTCATCGTCAAGTCTTCCCATTAGTCCAAGATTGTTTTTGGGACAAGAGAAACGTCTTTGCCCCGCCCCTTTAGGTACATGATTTTATCTTTCACAGAGCCACGACAACATATATACCCGAGCACCCACTATAAGCTTTCTTCCCTCTGCCCTTTTTTTCAAGCTCACTCTGTCAATTATGACCGACGAAAAGGTCCCCGCTGTTGATGACAAGGGTCCGTCTGATGTCCTAGACGTTCTCGGTTTGTGAATGGACTTACAATGATCTCAGAGGTTTTTAATGTGCTGTCGTCAGCAGTAAAGCTCGACAGTCATGGGCTACCGCTTAGTCCACAGCCCTCTGACGACCCGGAAGATCCACGTACGTATTATCAGCGCGAAAAATATCTTGAAATAACACACTCTCATCTTATGTCGTTTCGCTCTCTAGTCAATTGGCCACTCGCTTACCGTGTGAGTACTGATTATAAGATTGCTTTTCGTACTTTCTGGTCCGCTTACAATCTCCTCTCATTATCTCATATATACCATAAGCTATTTGTTTTAACACAAGTTAGCCTTCTCGCAAGCCTCGGGAACCTGAATATTGCTGGTGAGTACTTATATTCGTCCAACACCTGCGCTACCATCTTCTTTCTGACGTGCTCAATGATAGTGGTCAACCCAACGTTCAGCCAGCTGGCGGAGGAATTTGGAATATCTACTGTTACAGCTTCGTATCAAACGTGAGCATGCCGAGGGGCGAGTACAGATCTTACAAAATCCTGACCATAGTACTAAGAACATCACCATCATAGAACGGTCGCAATCGCAATTAACGGCATGGCACCTTTCTTATTTCTACCGATAGCGAACGCCTGGGGACGCCGCCCAGTCTATTTAATCACTACCTTCATTGGGTTCGGTTCTGCGCTCGGATCCGCATACTGTCAGTCTTTTCCCCAACTACTTGGAGCGAGGATCGTGAACGGTATTTTTCCCGTCGCGTGAGTGTACCTACGTGCGTCCATAATTTGCCTTCCGAATGACTTTTTACTCGTTCGTACACAGGTCATCTTTGGGCGTTGGAACAGTAAGCATGACCTTCAAGTTGTCTACTACTGTCGTACTGGGTTCGATGTCTTTCTTTTAAGATTACCGATATGTTCTTCCTGCATCAACGCGGTCGATCTATGGGAGTCTATACGATGTTAATGAGTGCATATCGTCCCTTCGAGCTCTATGTTCGGCTGCTGACCCCAGTGAATAGCTAATGGAAGTCATGTCGCGATCATCATCGGCGGGGTCGTGGGCCAGTTCTTAGGTTGGAGATGGATATTCAAGCTCACAGCAATCTGCGATGCGTTTATGTTTCTCTTACTTTTGTTTTGCTTCCCCGAGACTCTCTATAGGCGCCACGAACCTCCATCAACCTCTATCGACGAAGAGGGTCAGCAGTGCGCTAGAGGCATCGATACCAAGTCGGAGTTAGAGACAGTACCTGTTGACTCGATTCGAAGACACATTTACAGACTGAGGCTTCACAGGCGTTATATCAGAAGAGAGATACGCTTGAGGGATTTTGTCGCTCCTGTAGTCAGGATAGCTAGACATGTAAGTCTTCTCCTAAGCGCTTAAACATTTCCACTGATGCGTTTGTGTAGCCATCTGTCTTGTTTCCCGCACTGTACTATGCCACGCAGGTGAGAAATTCTCGTATACTAATCATTCCGACCACCTCTTTATGTTTACTTCTGTCAATCATAACAGCATGGTTTTGGGACGTGAGCTTCACACTTCACCTCTGGACTTCCTCACCTCAGGTCAGTCAATTAATGAAAGTATATTGTTTAACTATTTGGTATTGTTACCCCTATAGCATTCTTCCAGCAATTATTGGACCAACAATCCTTCCACATGGCTTCGGCTGGAAGAGTCTCCAAATTGGGCTCGCGACTGGTGGTGCTCTTACTATCGGTTGCTTCCTAGGAGAGCTCGCGGGTGGTTGTGTAGTAGACTCTGTCATGGTGAGTCGGTAGGCTATAGAAGACATTGCCAGCCACTCACTAGACGCAATTACTTCAGAACAAGGCCCGCCAGAGGCACGGTGAAGATTCTCCCAGTGAAGTAAGGTTAAAGGCGGTCTGGACAGGAGAGATACTCGTGCCCGTTCGTTGACATCGTCGACTCATTTCGCGCTGCTGTGGCTCATATGTCGTCATGTGTCGCATGCAGGCGGGGCTCCTTATATTTGGGTTTGGTTTCCAATATGGTGCAGCATGGCCAGGACCTATAGTTGGAGTAGCCGTGTCGTGTTTCGGTGCACAATGTATTACTACTGTTATGTGCGTAGAATGCTTCCATTTTCCAGGTTATGGACTCAACTCAGTCATCCTTTTAGGTACACGTACAGCAGCGATTGCTATAGGTATGATCTTCCTACCCTTTGAGCGAACAACCGTGATCTCAGGTTTCTTATGTCCTTGTCCTATATCTCGAACCATAGAGAGCAGTCAATAGAAGTTGCTCAGGTAAGTACGATCGTCAAAATAACAGTCTTTAAGCCCATAGATGACCTGACTTCTTTTGCTTACAGGTATTCAACTTCTTCCGGTACGTCTTCCCCTTCGTTGAAGCCTAACATGCGACAGTACACTTCTCTGAGTTTGGCCCCCCTTGCGTTCACAATGTACAGACAAGAGATAGGAATGACCTTCGCCTTCTAAGCCGTACATCTGGCGACCGCTATGGGAGGTTATCAATGGTTATTCATTCTGTTCTCAGGCATAGGAAGTGTTTTAGCGTTCTTACCTTTTGTCTACTTGATGTATCGGGGAACAGCTAGCAGGACCTGAGCAACCCGGTGCTGGCTCCGCTCACTCTGAACACTTTGTACTTATCACACACCGTCGGATCGTGTTCAAAGTTTCCAAAATGAATATTATTGTGACAAGAATTCATGGTCAGGCCCTATCCTCTCGCAGCGGAGTTTCAAATTTACTCCCGTTCGCGATCAGTGGCGTCGGTGCCACCAATGTGGCGCACCCGAACTTGATGGAGTGATGGAATGATGGTTTAGTGGGTTTAGTCGTAACCATGAAAGACGGCGACGGAACGACAATATGTCTTTATTTACACTAGTACTGTATCACAAGACTGGTCAATGCAAACGGTAAGCATGATGAAATGAGGAGTGCGTACTTAGCACTCAGCGTCCATCCGTCCAGTCAAGGTCCGTATGTACTACCTAATCGTAACAGAGGATGGGCATCGATTTCAGAATTGCCACAGGTCGCTGAACATCTCAGCGCAATTGTTAAACGTTAATAAGCAATCCAGTATGCGACGTAGGATGGGTGAGTTACAAGAAGGGGGATCAGTCGTAAAGCGATATCAATGAGAGAGCAGCAGCGTAAAAGGTCCGTGTAAGAAAGAGATCGAGCAAAGTGAACGTGAGGTTGAAGATGGGAGCAAGTAGGATCACAGGAGGCGCAGAGTATATGGTTCAGAAGCTCGAGTACATTATGCTACGGGAAGAGGATGGTGGACGGGCCGAGTATGATCCAGAGCAAGAAGACGATGGTAGAATAAGATTAGTGTGCGCGAGGCAAGCAAGCCATGGGCGTGTAAAAACCGAAACCAAACGTAGAAGTCCATGGCAGTAAACAAGGACTACGGTGAACGCCATAGTTAAAGTAGGACGAGTCTCAAGAGGAGAAGTGCGTGTGCGGGATCGTACGGTGCGAAATGGAGTGAAGTACGGAGATATGCAGCGTCCGGATGTAAGATGAAAGCAGACGTTGTTCGAGTTACATACACAGGAAATATACACGTGTGGGGACATTATCTTGTTAGCTTACCGAGAACGAACAACCAAGAAGCAGATGATGAGTATGGGTTTGGCCCCAATGTCAGAGGTTACATAGCTTGTAGGCCCATCGACGGTGGACCTTCGGGGGCATTCGGGGGTGAATTGGATGTCACCAACCTAAACGTATACGAACACGATCCCCAGATACGTTAGTAAGGAGTTTATCCTCGTAAATATAGAAAATCAGACACTCACCTCAACCAGATGCACCCGCCGCTACTCTTCTCCACCACAAGCTCCCACTCCCTCGCCTGATCCTGCCCACTCAACGCCCACACCAAAGACTCCCTCCCTTCCTTTGTCCCTTCCGCTTCGAGAACCCAATCACCCAACCAGCCATCACCCATTCCCTCCCTCCCGTCCCCTTCCACGGTCACAAACGCCGCCGGTGGCAATCTCAAAATCCACATGAACTTCCTCGCCCTCGCCACCCCGGCAGGCGAGTGTGGGCTCTTCACCCACCGCTCCCCACTCGCCAACGTAAGAGTGACTCCTCCAATCCCCTCGTCTGCGCCTCTATGCCTCTCAATCCCCTCAACCCTAGGCATCTTCAAATTATACACCGGGTTCGTACCCACAGGGAAGATATGCGCATAATAGAGCGGAGACGGCAGAGCGAGCGGATCGGAAAGCGCGGGTGGCGAAGGAGGCGAATAAGTCACTAGCTGAGAGCCGTCGAACATAAGCCACGTTTGTCGCGGCAGAGCCGTACTGCCACTACTGCTCCCACTCCCACTCCCGCTCCCGCTGCCGTTGTTCTTCGCGGCGCCTGCACGGCCGTTCGCAACGCTCAAACTAGCACTCCCACTAGTATTAGTCCTCGTGGGTGGTACGGCCTGAAAGCCCGAAGATTGGTCCGATGAGACGTCGCTGCTCGAGCCCTGCGGTTCTTCCGGCGGCATGTACCCGAGGTTGCAGACTATGTCTCCCGTGGAAAGGTGCTCCCACAGGCCCGCGTCTATAAGCTGTTCCTCGCAGGCTCCGATGGCGTTTTCGTCTAATTCTGTACATGGGTGGAAAACGCGCAGAATAGGCGCGCGAAGGCGTGAAGTGGCCATTCGAATGTCGTGGGGTGAGGATGCGGACGTTTGAATGCTGTTGATGGGGGAGGGGGCGGTGGCGACGAAGCTGTGCTGCGTGCGTGCGTTGGAGTGCTGGGACTGTGAGCGCGCTCGGCGGGAGGAAGGGGATGGGCTGTAGTCCAGCGATGATTGACTGGAGCTCTCGTTCGGATTGGTGACGAAGCGTCGATGTGGACGGCGGAACAGGACACTTTCGTCGTCTGAAACGGCTGACGCCGAAAAGTACGACGGTCTCCGGGGTGTTCGCCAGGTGTTCGTGTATAACCGTAAGGCAAGAGGATCAGAAGAGGGCGGCGGAGGCGGGACCTTCACGTTGTTACCAGCGAATAATGATTTGCGTGTAGGCAGTTGAGACGGGCGCTCGGAGAGAAAGTCGAGGGATGACGAAGCTATGCTCTCCAGTCTCGGACGAATAGGGTGTACAGTAGGAGGTGCAGACTTGGAAACTACGGAACCTTTCTTCTTCCGCCAGCTTGAAGTTCTACGGGAGATTTCGAGTGGCTTGAAGTCAGGCGGTGGTGAAGGAGGGAGGTACGACAAGGGAGCAGGGAATACAAGCTCCCGGACATTAGGAGAGGGATGAAGGAAACTTCCGTAACGAAGCTTAGGACGCGCTTCTTGTGGTTCTTCAGAGAACGGGAGCGATGACGAGTGGATGAGGGATTGTAGTAGAAGGACGAATCGAGAGTGCGCCTGAGAGAGTGCGACATAGCGGAGAGTTTTGTGGTTGAGCTCCGGGGTGATATATAGCGCCGAAATAATGGACAGTGCGTGCATGGGGTATATGTGGAGCAGAACACGCTGAGAGGCCACTGAGGGATGCACACGTAAAAGTCAAGCGAGGAATACAGACAAAATGTAATAAAACACGGACTGAACAGTTCGAGATCTCTAAAGGTGATATCGACGTCGCGGAAGTTTGCCATGTCTGCGAGATGCAGACAATAGCGGTATCCCGGAACAAAATGTGAAAGAACGACATCCTTGGACTCAGTGTGGCGAAGGAGAGATCTGTATTCGCTGGAGGATCGAGCTAATGCTCTGAAATCTTCCCAAGAGGTATATCGCAGAAATGTGGCAATAATCCGCGGTTTACGAAGCACAGAGGCAAGAGAAATGCGGGGCGCTATACGCCAGAGCCCCGAGGCCGTCCGTGTCCGTCTGTGATTTGATTCGACGGCCTTTGATTTTTCTTGCTGTCGAGCGGATTTTGGTGGAAGCCGTGGGGGTGTGGCTGGGGCCGAGTCCTGGGTGCCACGAACGACAATGGGCTTGAATGAAAGAGGCGGCGCCCTCGCTGGCAAGGACGACGGCGCGGGGGCGACGGAGGCCATGATGGACGTTGGGGAAAGAGCTGGAGAGGCTCTTGACGTCGGCCGTTCGGGAGCTGGTGGCTGGAACAATTATATCATTTTCGTATGCCCCGGCTTCGACTGTTCGGATCAGTGCATGAATTACGTAAACCCCCATACTTTCTTGTTATTTTTAGCTCCGCCCCTTTTCTTCCCGCCTTCACGGCCTTCACCCGCCGGCCTTCGTCTCTTCTCACGCAGTCACCCTCCATTGTCTACTTCCTGTAACGCCATGATGCATCTGCAACTGCGAGCATCAGTCCCCGACTGAGAGCGTCCCCATCTATTTCTTTTTTCTCCTTCTTAGCGATCATGACGCCAGAGCTAGGATCGAAGGCGCTACGCGGTGCAGGTGGCCGACAAGCTGCCGTCAACCTCCAAATCGCGAAAGTCGTGAGTTCCAGCATTTTTCACGTCACATTCTTGCGAGTAATCCAGCTGTCGAAAACCATACACGCTGTGAGCTTGAGACCGACTATCTTTGCTAAGGGCGTAATAGAAGCTTAGGCCGCGCACATACCAGCCCTCGAGCTCCCTAGTGTGCCGCACTCGTTTCGCCTTTGACGGCGGCAAGTGATGGCCCCATGATTCAGTTGTTTCCTTACATACCCTAGCTTGTTCAAAACAGGTCAAGGGGGTTGTCGTCCGGAATCCGTATAGGCTGCGATCAGATATCATCGAACGTTCGAGCAGGTCATGCACAGTCCTGTCAGTGCATTGCACGGTCTATTCCCGCGCTGCGACTCATCCTTTGTCGACTTATGTAGCAGAATGGAAGGGTGAGTGAGTTTGGGCGGCAGACAGTCATATAGCATGACGCATGGCAGAAACTTTAGATGCTGAATACATGCATCAACGGGAGATGAACAAACGAACGTGCAGATAGGCGCAGGTCAGAAGCTTCGCGACTGCGTCCGCGGAGCGCAGTGCCTGTGCAGAGTTCTTGCCCCAGGATGGGGACCATGCTATACATCGCAACCTGGTCGGGGGCTCCGGATGGTGTCAGGGCGGCGAATCAGTTGTGGGAGTACGCCCACTAGGTTGGTGTACTGACATTCAAAGCTGCTTGGGTTGTCAATTTTGAAACGCGCCTCCGCATCATCCTCACGAGAAGCTCTACAACCTCGCGCCCATCGATAGAATACTTACCTCAATGGATTACAGGTGGTCGATATGTCTGTTTACCGGTCAACTTGCTCTCAGGACAATCCTGTTCTAGCGTTTCACTCGGGATATCGCCGACTGATCAGCGCTCCGTCGACAACATCCTTCAAACGTTCCTCGAGCGGTGAATTCTCGGCAACTGAGCCGAGACCATAAAGAGTGTGCTGTACGCGCCCGTTCACGCACCTTTCCAAGCACGATTGCTCGTTCAAATGGGCATCATTCTGCATAGGTGTGGGTGGCGTATCATCGATCAACAATAAATCGACTCGAATACCCTCGAGGCCCTTCTGCCTCTTTGACAGTCTGAGGCGCGTACCCCGCCCGTTCCTATCCTCGTCACGGTCGTAATCCGTCAGCCCTCAAACATTCCAGTAATCAAAATAAGACTGACATGCAATGTACGATTGATGCATGACAATCAAACGTGCTTGAATCCTCGGTTACAGGCTCAGGATCAACTGTCCTATTCAGGCGACGATAAATGGTGCCTAGTTGTCTTATACGTGGGTGTCCGGGACGCGCTGAAAGTTATGGATGCGGGAAGAACAGAAGTTCGATCCCGAAGGCCCTTTTCACCATGGTGAGGTGAGTCTAAGACTTATAGTAGCTTACAGTCGAATACTGTTCATAGTAGCTAAAGAGGAGGCAGCATGAGACTCACAGTCAGATACTTCTGCATGGACTTGTTGTAGGAGGATGGGATGGAATTGACATTGAACTTGAAGGTTATGAGAGTTGGGAGCTCGAGAATTCTACTACTTCGTCAAGCTAGAGAAGAAAGTAACGCAAGCTTCGAGGGCCCGCATTGCGCGAGGTTCTCGGGAAGCCTGTGCGTCCGTTCGACCTAGTAGAAAACGCCAACGAATCCGCTTGGAATTAATGGACGCTAATATCGATGATGCTCTCGGACACGGTGCACAGATATGAAATCGGGCATGATTCAGTGTTACTCATATAAGTAGATGTAATAGCAGTCGATTTCATTCCAGATGTTATACTCACGCAATGTATCAGCGTTGGGATGAAAAGAGGGCGAACATGATGGTCTCGAAATAAACCGCTATGCAGGCGAGGTTGGAGGGCTATTTGGTCGTGTGTGTCGTGCTTACGTGAGACACGCGTCGCGTCGCGTCATGATCTTGACGCGCCTCCTTCCAACAGGTACTCTGAAACCAAACTGAAACCACCCAAAGCGCACCAGCACATCAAACCACAGATCGCTATTTTATCGAACCCCAAACAAGTCTACAAGATGATCATACCGATCACTCTTCCAATCCCGTCTTCGTCCAACCCTTCGGCGACTCTCCCTCCCACCCTCGCCTCCCTCGGCTCTTCAGAGCTTTGTCTCATAGAACTTCAAGGTGAACTCGAAGCCCATGGCGACGTGCGCGGTCAAACTGTCGGCCAATTGAAGATTGACGAAGACGGAAAGGTAGCCCTTCCCGCTCATGGTGATATTCGCTTGTACTAATGCTCACTCGGACATCGTTGGGACATCGGCAGGGCAAACCTACTCTTCGGATAGGACATAACCAACTAGAAGGGAAATTCGTCAATCTTCCAAAACCCCTTGCCGTCCTACACCGCGCAACGCCTCATACTTCAGATTCAGCAATAGATGCGTCTGCTGAGACGTCGAACACCGACACGGAATCACGACGTGTCTCATACACCATTCGCGCTGTCGTGCGGAAGAAGCTCGTTTTCTCGAAGCGGCCGATGCCTATCGTCGGATCCACTTCGTCTGTCAATGTGGCTGCTCTAAGAGCGGGAGCAATAGCAGGTGGAAAGGGCGATGTTTTGGGCTCTGGGTCTGCAGGAGGGCTGGAGAAGAAACATCGGTAGCTTCTGATTAGGTGTAAGTACATTCTCGTCACTATTGTGCCAACTTGCTGAGTTTGCTCGCCCCCAATTGCCTGCTCATACGACTCGCTAACGGTTACAGTATCTAGTAAGTACACGCCCGATGATATCGGGACGAAGAAGAGCTACAGTAACATCACTACAGTTTGAGCCCAGATAATAACCTGGAAAGCGTATATCTTCCAGTCCATCTAGCCCGTATGTCCTCGTGTTACAAATACAATTACAGCCCAATACTGCCTTCAGCGGAGTGGGTGAAAAGGGCTACGCACATGCGAAGGAGGACGCTAGTGGCGCGCACTTTGAACCGCACGGTGTTTCGTATTTGACCGTGGAGTTTTCTTCGAAGGGGTCGTAGAGGCTGGTGGCTTGTCCCACTCCTCGAATAGCTGATGGGCGACGTCAGGATCCAGCTCCGTCCCATCCCTCGCCACTTTAATCTGTCGATCGTGATTCCAAGCATTGCGAAGATGTCGTGTGCGAAGAAACGGAAGCCGGTCTATCTTGATCCACTCTACCTTGAAGGGTCTACCGAGGACTTTCGTGTCGGTGTGGTGAGGAACGTCGTCTCTTTCTCTGGTGTCACCTTCCTGAGTGGGTTCCGTGTACGGACGATGAGGTCCAAGTCTAAGATCGTGTTGGGATGATGCGTTGTGGCTAGTCCAATTTGACGTAGGTGGTCTCGTGTGGCCCGAGAGGGCTTCCATTGGGGACACCAGCTGATGCGATGGTCCAAAGTCGGCTAGTTTCTGCGTGTTACGTTCGTCGCTGTAAGACGACGGCTGACGGCTACTGACGTTGTGATGACGTCGTATGCTCTCCTGCTCGTCACGCTCGTCATTGAAGACACCCTCTGGCGAAATGATTCTATAGCGAGGAGAGGGGAGTAAATGAGTGACGGCGGCCTCGTCTGATACGTGTGTTTCCGAGGAAGAGCCAGCGGAAGGCGTTGGTGTTGATGATTCAATGAGCCCGGCCATTCTGTACATAGGAGCGCTCAGCGTGCTCAAGTTCACATCTGTACTGCAATGTCGCATACTGACCTGACGTAACCGTAGAACTCTCCGCTTCTGTTGACGCCGAAGATGAGGAAAACGTCCCGGCTTGTGCGGTACGCGCCGTTGAGGATATCCTCGTTATGGGGTTGAGTGACCCATAGACCCGTTCGTACGCTCTGGCCAAGATCGCTCTGGGAATAAGAGGAAAAGTCAATGAATACCTGTTGTCTTCGTAGATGTAAGAACTGACCTGGGACAATGATTTGAGGATGAAATATCGCTGAGGAAAATACGTGGATAGAAGACCGGACGTGGTGCTCGTGGGCGAGCCTGGGATCGACGAGACGTCGTCTTGCTTAGGAGCTCTGGTCTGGGCATTCGCGACTTGAGAAAGAGATCGTAACTGCAAGGAAATATCCTCCACGGTAATCGGTCGCGATGTCGACAGCCCTTGCCCTGAACCGCCCTTCCCTCCCAAGACGGGGGGAGCTTGGGGCTGCTCACCCTGATTCCGTCGATCTCGGACCCACTTGACATGTACACCGGATCGTCTTTGCCTCCTCACACCCGCATGACCATCACCATACTCTTCCGGCTTACAAGCGCGGCATACCAAACGAGGGCCCGTGGAATGGGTACCGCGCAATCGACGGCCGTTGAACGTCGTTGCAGCGGATTCGAGCTGGAGCTGCGACTCAAAATTGACGAAGGCGCAGTTCGAATGGCTGATGAGGAAGACGGACGTGACGCCCCCTGGGATGGAGCTCTGGCTCGGTGCCAATGTCGAAAGGTCATGGTCTTGCTCTGGCGGTGAATGCTGGTGCGATTGATTGAAAAAATGGAACAGCTCCTCTTGCGAGGCATCTGCCGGGACATTTCCTACCCACATAGCCCATTGAGGGTGAGGGTTTGATATAGCGACACGGGACGATTGAGGAGGGTTTTGAGGCGAAGTGTGTGAAGACTGTGTGGAGGGTTCAGATGGGGGAGGGGCAATACGTCGAGGTGAAAATGATGTCGTTGAGAAACCGGAATCTGCTCGAAATGTATCTGGTTCGAGTTGAGTTCTCTGTAGTGGTGGGATTATGGGATCGTATGAAGGCCCGTAAACATCCTCGGCGGACGCTTCGAAGCTCGGAGCAGAGATTAATGGGGCGTTATGTTCAGGGTGTGTCTGCAGCCTCGTGCGCAGGTCAAATTCCCTAGAAAGCCGATGCCTGCTGGCAGAAAGGTTTGTAGAGAAACGAGGCTGTAAAGGGGAGCTGTATTGTATAGGGATCGAAGACTCGGTGGTAACGGGAAGATTATACGATTCGTCCGAGGTAGATTTCCACAGATCGGCAATCATGGTAGGAATCTGAGGTTGGTCCACTCTATTCAGAGTGGGCACGGGTGCGTAATGAGGTTGAACGGTGAGATCTGTACTTGTCTCGGAGGTAGCCCACGGGTGCTGGGGTATGTCTCGCTCGCTTGCATGGTGGAAACGTGAGTCAAGGACGGTATGGGTCGGCTCAATGGTATCTGCCGAACGATAACCATGGAAGCCCACACTCTGGGGGTGATGAGCGGGCTGTGGTGGAGTGTATAAGGGTTTGGGAGCCCTCTCGCCCAAGGTAGGACGGTGATGAGACGAAGGGTGCGAATCAAGAGCCAAAGGGTATCCAGAAGGTCGTGTCGGACCAAGCAGTGTGGTTTGGGGACTAGCAATTGAATGAGAGGAAGAATAGATGAGGTTGCTGTTGCGGTTGCCGCCTGGGAAGTCAGCGGGAGGTGGAAGGGTAATAATCGAGTTGCGGGTATAGAAAGCGTTGGGGGGATAAGAATAGACGCCACTACTGCTGGCGTGGTTCCGTCTGGGATAAGACATGCGAGCAAAAAAGGGATCACTTCGCTTAAAAGCGATATTATGCGCTCATAAAGGAAGGAAAAGAAAAGAGTCACAAAAGACGAAGCGAGAGACGGCGAACCAAACTTATGCTCTGAGCAATGACCGGAAAAGGGTAAGGACGTCCACACACGGTCACAGTGGCATTGCGGCCACGTCATGGCTCGTCATACTGGGCACGGTTAATCCCGTTTCTTACCTGACTTACTAAATAGGGATGTCTGAAGATGGTAACGCCGCATCGTCATGTACCTTCGACCCCCGCATACATGGCGAGGCTCAACCCAAATAACTGGTAAGTTGACCCGTCATAAAGATGTAAATGAAAATCTAGAGCAAGAATGACAAGGAGTAGGTGGTAAGTGAGGAATAAAGATGATCATGTATTGAACACCCAGAAGCAGAAACGGTGCCACAAAGTAACATAAGAGCTCCCCAGCACTTAACAGTGATCATTAGAGCAGTACAAGCCCAAGACAAAGAGTGAGGGGAGTTAACCAAAAACTGAACACCACTGTGGAATGTAAAGTGGGGTATGGGAGTAAGGCATGACGCATAGAAAGCGGTAGCCCATCCTTCGCGTCTAGGAACCTCCCGTCACCCTTGTCATCGTCATTTCATGGTCCTTCACTTCTTTCCGTCATAGTCACCAAACTCCCAGCTGTAACACTCCTATCAAACGTTCGAGACCTGTCAGCGTTCCGCTCATAATCTACAGAAAATTGGTATAAAGCTGATCGACGTACGACACAATCGTCCTGTACCTTCGCTTCAGGAACCTCCCTCCCAACGTCTATCGCAGGTGCCCACGGGTCGCTCAATACTTTCTCGATCACGGTGAGAATTGTATGTGTGCGTATGTCGACGGCCCAGGAGAGATTAGACACGGTGTCGTATTCTATTACTTTGCCGAGGTGGCATCTATGGGGGGTCACATTGTGGCGGGACGTGCACCGCAAGAGAAGCCACGGAGAAGGGGGAGAAGGGGTTCAGAGTCGATTATAAGCAGCTGCAGATGAAGGCAGAAGGAGAGAACGCACTGAGACTCCATGGCGTATCCACCTAGAGCACAAGAGGAGAGAACTCCATTACAGGTTCCCATCGCTATCGGGTCGGCATTATGGTACACATGCGTGATGTGTTGTGTTGAAGGCTTTGAAGACCAGACCCGTTCAGTTATATTGGTGGAGTGAAGAGAAGATGATCGTACCGGTGACGGAAGATGCAGTCTCGTTGAAGCCATTTTCTCTCCGGGTGATTCGAATGCAACGACGGGAGCACCAAAAGTTACTCCAAGCAAAGAAGCCAGTGCACCACCGAGGGAATGACCGATAACCCAGATATTCGAGTCGGGGTACATGTAGGTAATATTGTTATACAAGTTCTATTCGGGGAGTCCGCAATTCGTTCGCGATTTGTGAGTTATGAGTTCTAACGCGCACGCCAATAGCACGAGGATACGAGAAGTAAAGCGTACCGTTCCTATTCCATAGAAGAGCGACTCGTCACTCAAAGCTTGCTCAACACAAGTCTGCTCACATTTCCATCCGCTCCTATAGCAGTCACACACGGTCGTCCAGGTCCAATCAACGCGGGCGCAACAACAGCTGAATAGAAGGTTATCATTCAGCTTGTCCTTCTTCGTTGTTCCTCCACCACTAAATGAAGCAGAGGTCCCTTCGTTTGAACGAACCTCAGCTTTCGAGCATCTCTATACACGTGGAAAGGATAGGATAGAAGGCGACATACCTTTGATAGAGAGAACGACGGTCGAGTTATCTGGCGTCACGAATATGTGACCGCGAAAGCCATCTTGATCAGGTTCCCACCCTACCGGGGCAGACTACACATTTCGCAAACCCCGTAAGATACACCAAGTACTCGGGATAAACAGATACGCACCGCTGTCCAATTCCCTCCTAAATCATACCACCCATTCTCTTCTGGTCCATCATAATATGCATTACTCGTCATCTTCGCAAGCACAAGCAAAGTCTCTCTACTCTCTACATCCGGTGCCTCCACCTCGTCCTCCTCCCACCCCAAGCTCGCATCGCTCTCTCCTTTCCTTATCGAGCGTGTTCTCGATAGTTGGAATGCGTCGGAAGAGGACGGTCGATGTCGCGTTATGAGACGTGGTTGAAGAGATAGAGGGTCATTGGCGTTCGCAGTTCGGTATGGTGAGGATGGCGGGATGTCGGAGAAATATACCTGAGCGGAGGAGGTGACGGCGTGCAAGTGTCGAAGTTCGAAGTTTAGTGGTTTCGGTAATGGACGTTGTGAAGATGCAAACCCGTCTGGAAATAAGAGATTGACGAGTGGTTGCAAGACACTGAGAAATGAGCCTAACAACATATATAAGTTCGTGAGCGTACAGTATCAACCAGAGAAGAAGCTAGAAATGGTTCATGCAGGCAGCAGAGTTGGCCGCGCGCAGTGGCGAGCGGAAGTGGCGGATCAGCATATTTGAGGTTAGGGGTCTAATTCAGGTGCTACAGCGCCACAGTGGCGCCGCGGGTACTCACCCTCAACAAATGGTTTGAGCTGGTTTGAGTATATTGATTTGAGGCTGTCATTATTTTACGAATAACTGCCGAGTTGACCTTGTCTCCAAGTGTATGTTGTAGTCGATAAAACGGGGAAGTTTGGGCCACAATGATGAGAGCAAATGAACGCGTTCGTCAGAGAAGAGGTGCATGTGAATCCTTACTCCGACTCCCGAGCTCTGCTCGGGCGTATGGGCGTCATAACCGGATACGAGCCTATACGAGCCTATAGGAACGTCCTTGAATGTTAACCTGAACGCTCACCCAGATCTCTCCAATATCCTGCTTATAAACTCTCTTCATGCACTGAGACTATCGCCTACTCGAAACATATAACTATCCAGTCGCGAAGCTCGAATTACTTAGCCATGCCTGTCCAATCCAAACCTACACAGCTCACTCCGTTTGGATATGCCCTGGCTGGAGCTCTGGGTGGTTGTTTCTCGAATGCGTGCGTCGTCTTTCACTCATCGTATGTCATGATATACTAACGGCAATTCCAGAATCGTGTATCCTCTAGATACGTGAGTACACGAACGCCAGAGTAGGTGGAACCCAGGCTGAATTCGCTCTACTGCTCCAATAGCATCAAAACGCGCATTCAAGCCTCAAATGTCGAGGAGGAACGTACCGGGAAGCGTTCCGACTTGTCCATCCACCACCTAGTCGTCAGCATCCTCAAAGAAGAAGGTATAGCGGGCTATTACAGGGGCTTCGCGGCCACCATGATCAACACCTTCTCCATGCGTGCGTGCTCCGGTTCACCACACCTTTATGTGCTACTTATATCGTGGATTATATGGAACAGAATATGCCTATTTCTTTTTCTACTCACTCGTCCGCACCTCCTACATTAAACGTCTCGCAGCGAGAAGAGCCCCTAATTCCCCTATCCCGGCCCTCTCTACCGCCGCCGAACTCGCTCTCGGCGCCCTAGCGGGGGCTCTCGCCCAAGTCTTCACAATCCCAGTCTCCGTCATCGCTACCCGTCAGCAGATTGGTCGTCGACAACCCAACACCAAGACGAACGCGAGCGCCACCGCCACAACGTCACCCACATCCGACTCAGCCGTGCCGTCTTCGGTGGGCGCGGATAAGGGAAAAGCACCGTCCTATGCGTCCGTAGCAGAGAAAGGAGATGTCTCCGAAGCTTCCACCCTCTCTGCGACCGACGTCCCTCCTTCATCTGCCTCCTCTGTCTCGGACGATGACGAATATGAAGACGACGACAGTTTCCTCGGTGTCGCTCATTCAATCATCAAAGAGGATGGGATCACTGGTCTTTGGCTGGGAATGGGTCCTAGTCTTGTTTTGACAGTCAACCCAGCAATCACGTATGGGGCTTACGAGCGGGTGAAGAGTGTTATGGTGATGGCGCAGGAGAAAGCGGGTCAAGGGAGGAAGTTGGGTCCGTGGACGAGTTTCATGTTGGGGGCGATCAGCAAGACATTAGCCACCGTTGTAAGTCATTTCATACATCGCCGATTGGTGTTTGTCGTAGAAGGCCAAGAGACGGTGTTTTTGTGTGTGTGGCACTGACGTTGTGGCATCTGTGGTGTGGCGCAGGTAACCTACCCATATATCATGGCCAAAGTCCGTATCCAAGCCGGAGCCGAACCATTCAATGATTCCGAGAAAGAGAAGGACAACAAGGACAAGGCGAAAGAACACTCGCTCCTTCCGCCGCCAGCAACTTCCGCTCCAACCCACGCTCACCACCACCACGTACACCACAAACACGCTGGGGCGATCAATATCCTCCACCATGTCCTCCGCACGCAAGGGTTCTTCGGATGGTATCAGGTGTGTCATTTTTGCCCTTCCTTCCCATATCTTCTTCACCACTCTTCGATCGGGAGATATGGCTAACTCGAATCCTGCACAGGGCATGGGCGCTCAAATCACCAAAGCCGTCCTCTCACAGGCCATCCTCTTCATGTCGAGAGAGAAACTAGAGCATTGGGCACTAGCGATCATGGTGCTCTGGTGGAAAGTGAAACATGGGCACGGACGTACTTCTGCTGTATGAACTTGATCAGAGGCGTCTGCGCTTGCTGTTTGTTACGGATCACGACTCATGTACAGTACCTTCCCTTCTATGATAGTCTATGGCTCGCAATCGGTTTACTTACTTATCCCTACGGCTTGCAGATTTCTTGATTGTTGATGCGACTCGATTACTGTCATCTTGTTATTCACGTGTTGTGTTGCTCCGAATTTTCGAGTGAATTATAGAATAAGTACGCTACACATTGATGGCTGGAGCGGACAGTTCCGACGAAGGGTGCTGGTTTCCTGGACCACGAAAAGGCTGACGCCAGGAACGAGCTCCCTAAAACAGGAGTGACCATGAACGGTACTGTAGCAGAGCATCGTAACACCGGATCGACGCCAGCCTGTGCTGACAAAGGAGAAGCAGGTAATATGGCATCTCTTCTATATGCCTGGTACAGATAGATTGCTCAAGTAAATCAGATTCCCGGACGTCATTCGTCTACACTGAATTGTCCACTCTATGGCTGAGCGATTCGAGCATTTCCATACTCCACCACAAGGGCGTACGAAGATCGTGCGAGTAACATCATGAAAGGTTCAGAGGGTCATTCTACTTCAAGACTCCGCTGCAAAAGCCTTCCTCTTTGCCTCCGCTGCGATGAACTCTTCGCACTCGGCTCTACTCTTCTTCAGATCAACCATGAAGAGGAAGATTGTACTGAATGCTCCCCTGTAATTCATACAGGACGTCATCAGTACAGGATAATCGCTGATCATGACACGAAAATGGCCGGCGAGGAATGGGGTAGGTGTTTCCGGCAGCGACTCCGGGAGGACGTGTGGCGAGGGATCGTGTGGCGTAGGATGACAAGGAAGATATCGAAGGAGGATGTACGCACAAGCCAAACAAAAACGCGAAGGGCATGTTATTATTGTTCCCCGAGGCGGTGATGATCGCAGAGCTGACGAAGGGGCCTATGAACGCCGATGTCTTTCCAACCTGCAGAGACCATCCGCGTCAATCATCATCGTCAGGGCACAGATTTTACGACAAGTGTGAACATACCACAGAAAAGAGTGCAAAGAAGAGAAACCTAGTTTTGAAACTCATGGGTAAGTTTCGAGCTACGAATATGCATAGAGCGATAGACAGTGGAGGAAGCTTTACATCTGTGGTAGCGGCGAGACCTCGCTTATCATGGTTTGGCTGTAGGCGTACCACGGACAGACCATAAATCCGTAGAAGACTTGGTATAACCTACACATGCTCCAGGGGTGAGTGGATGGAATGGGGCAACTATATTGAGCTCGTACCAGATCTCCCAGACGTGTTTGAATCCAAATTTGTCGGTGTGTACTCCGATGAGGCCCCAGATGGTCAAAATCTGAGAGGAGGAAAATATTGAGACTGAATGGGAGAGAGGCAACGATCAAGAAACCACGTACAAGAATCCAAAATACATTGAACAGCAGCATCTATATCGACTGATTAACCAGGTTCGTACTCAAGAGGATATTACCAGGAGTTCTACGAACTGTTTTTGTTGGTATCTGATATTTCTTCTGTACGAGCCAGAATGCACTGGAAACAGTGCAGGTTCAGTCTTTGAAGCAGAATTATGACGAGAGAAACGAGTGGTGAAACGCACTATATACCTAGTCCTTGCGTGACGATCCCGACAAGTAATAGAAGTGTGAGCTGAAGTGTAGAATACGACACGATACTGTTCTGTAGGGTTCCAATGACCGTTCTATACCAAATTTCACGGCCATCAATCAGCCAAACGTATCTGTTCAGTGCGATAGTAGGCTTACACAGTGGTATTCAAGACATCACCCCTGTGTAAGTGGAATCAGTCGCTGAATGAACGAAAGGACGTTGAAAAGCACTGACATCAGGAAATAAAATATCAGATACAGAAATGTCTGTTTGAGCCTCATGCACTCTCTCAAAGCGATGTAGGTCTGCTTGAAGCCGATTGTCAAGAGGGATGTATGGGGCGGCAACGCAAGCCCCGGTCGTCTCTTTTCCCAGATGAACCACGGGATCGCACACAGAACTGCAAGTTCGTGTTCACGTTAATTTTTTAGATTGTGCGGGTAGACTAGTGAAAAAGATCACTTACGCCACACAGCGCCAGAGAATGCGATAAGGACGCTGAACGCTTTCGTGTTGTTCTCCGTACTCTGATCGGCCTTGAGACCCTTGATTATACCGACCATGACGGCGAGTATGATGATCTCCCCTGCAGAGCATACCGTAAAAGAGATATTGGAGACTCGATTGCGGGCCATAGACTCGTAGTCAGCGTGCCCATCCACTCTGATATCGAGAGAAAGTTATAGAAAATGAGCATGAGATTGGCAGAAAACTACAAGAAAAAATGATGACTTACGACTTCGCTCCAATCTTCGCCTCCTGCGCAGACGCTTTGATCTCAGGAAGATTGCGGACCAGACCAGGGAAGGCGGCTGTCCAGAAAGTGAGGGCCATCTATGATGCGCAGGGCTCTACACCTTCATCATTTTCAGAGAAGAATAGGGAAACGACGAACCTGATATGTAATCAGACCAAGAATATACAGCGCCACACCTGCGCGCCACTTGGTGGCTTCTTCGACACCCAGCCAGGCGAATGAGACACCGACGGCTATGAAAGTGAAGAAGATCGTGATATTTGGCCTGAAGGTAGACCATATAAGCCATTCACAAGGATGTTCGTTGTTGAAGTTACCATCTCCGGGGAAGCATGCTTACCTCCATCGTCCATAGTCCGCCCATGCGCCGATTGACAATAACAGTACGGCCTGAATGGCAAAACTTATGCCATTCGTAAGCAGCACAACCGAGTTTACTGATAGAAAACCACTGATCAGTATATGCGGAACGAGAAGGCTTCCTGTGGATAGGGTGCTCACCATCTCGTGTCTTTCCCAGATAAGGGAGAACGCAGTCTCCATCTCCGCACGGCGTTGTGAAAGGAGCTTGTGATGGATCGTAACCCGCGAGGTAGAGCAGATTTTGGAACTGTGAGGGGCCGAAGTTGAATCCAGAAAGGCCTATGCAGGAAAACACCATGAGTACCAACTGAGGCAATGTACACTCCGATGAGTCGAACCGTTATTTCCCTGTAACACATAACCACAGAAAAACCACGGGTGAGTACATGAGCAAAGCCTGCGACAACGGCTCGGAGGCCGTTAACCAGAAAATTCAAAGCAAAGGGACTCACAACATAGTACAGATAGAAACTCCATAATTCCTTCCTAGTGGTCGTGAACTCATCATGCGCCGTCGCAGTCGAACTCAGCGCGTCCACTATCTCAGCAGCACCCAATTCCTCCACATCCACATTGTGTTCGGAGTCATCCACGTCTACCACCTTCGTATCCATGGGCAGCTGTTCATGACTTCTGGACTGAAGTTCTGATACGCCGCCGGTAGGGCTCGCCATGATGGACAGAAGAAAGCCGTAACCTCTGGCCCAAGATGGACGTCAACGTTGGACGTTGAGGTTGGATCCATGGAGAAGATCGTGGGTCCACTAATACTATCATTTAGCCGCATGACCATGGTGTCGAGGAAGACGCCCATGCGTCCGTAGATTTTCAACTAGCCATAGCACAGGGCTTATCTATGGTGACAACACCTTGATACCAGATATCGAGCGTCCTACTTCGCTAGGTTTTCCAAGAGCAGTGGGTTTTGTATATGTACATATATTCGCTTCAGAGAGCAGCAAGAGAGAAACGCGTACGGCCGTTGTGCTACAAAAATAAACAGACGCGGAGGTGACGGAGGCTGGAGCTCGATCGCGACGTCCCGCGCATGCAATTGACACCCGATCATTTCCATATTCAACCCGCCGGGCCATCGGGGAACAGGCACACGCTTCCGATAGGTGGGGTTCTCCACACGGAGTGGCTGGGCCACAATGTACACCAAGTCAGCATTGTTGTTGAGCTGGTCTTCTTATCCACAAAGAGAATTCAATCATGCGATACAAGGAGCACAAAGCGACCCTCTCTATATATTTCTAAGGCTTGGATATTGGTAATAATGGTATAAGTAGGAACAACTACAACAAGCAAACATGCGGGGAGTGATGTTATATTCTGCCTGGACGACTCCTTCAACATCTTGATCGGTGCACTGAAGAGGATCCGATTCAATGCGACAGTGGGGGTGAAACCTTCGGGAGTGAGGGTGAAGAGACGGATATCATACTTGGTAATGGCGTCGTGTGGAACGAATAAAATATTATAGACCAGTGTAGATGGTCCAGAGATATCACGTACCTTTATTGCCATGATTCCAATGCCTGGACCGTATCTGTAATCTAGCGTAGGTTCGAAGTCGTTGATCTTCAGTTCTCCATGTAAGAGGATGCGATAGCCTGGCCGCGAAGTGGAGCGTGTAGATGGAGGCATCATGACTGGCTCGTCGTCTGCATCCTTTCGCCACGTCGCTATATCGACGCAGTATTCGCGATTGAATTCTGCACGTTTCTTGGAATTAATTTTATGAGCTTTCTCGCCGAATGCCCACGACTTCACCAATCTGACGTTGATGGCTTCCCTGGAGGAGCAGAGGCCGAGGGCATCGCGGTCATCGGAGAAGAGAGTAAGTCGTAGAGGAACAGGCCCGGGCAAGTGGATTTCCATCTTGTTGCGGAGACGGTCAGAAGGATGAAATGAGCTTCACACGGGAAGGCTTACTGCTGCAGGTACTTCAAGCTGGGGCATAATAATGATTGAATGAGGTAGGATGTCTGAGGTGTCAGAGAAATTTACGTACCTTACAGATTACCTGGACCTCTTTGTGATATGATCCAAGTCCTCTCAGGTTTATGGTGATCTCTTGAGCAGGACCCGCCCATGGAACGACTCTGGGGCTCCTGACAGAGGCGAAGGTGCCTCAGAAGGCAACTTGAGCGAGAAGGGCTGTATGACGCTGGAGGTACAAATCAGAAGAAGATACCATGAGCGTGTGCATGTTGAACGAGGATACGTACTGTATGGCAGAGTTGAGACCAGGACGGTGCATCACAAACTCGACATGATACACGGACCGATCAGACGATGTCGAGGTATTCGAACGAACGGAAATGACGGAGGAGTTGGATGAAGAGAAGTGGGGAATCGAAAGCCTATGTTTCAATGTTTCATTCAACGCGGAGCCCCAGGCAGAAGACCAGAGAAGTTCTTGAGTCTGGCCCAAAACAGTGTTCTTGTGCCCTGGCGATACTTGCTGGACCTGAACGTTATGGTCAAGGATGTTTCAATATCTATTTTCATGTATAGGAATGTGTGACTTACGGAGATCTCGACACTCGACACTCTCGTGGATCGGCTCAGATTTAATCTGACTTCTCCCTCCACCATGTCTTCTGGGAAGACTGATGGCTCGGAGCTCTGCGCGGCTGAGCGGCTGTTGAGAGTCATGGCTACTTTACCCACTGCTGTGACGGTCTCATGGCATGGGAACGCTGACAATAGCGAAGTGGTAGAATCGACCGGATTTCTCGACAAGGAGTCGTGTGCAATCATGACTGGCCCCGCTGTCGTGGTTGTTCGCACTGGTGATAAAGTAGGCACCTGTATAGGGTTCCTACGCCCTGAGTCATGGCCGGAAAAGTGTGAATGAGAGGAAGGCAAGGAATGTCGGGATAAATTTCGGTCGTGGCTTTGGCTGAAACTCACGGGGAAGTAAAGGGGAAGGGAAGCAGAACGCTACACGGTTTGAGTACTTTGATGCAATTTAATTCGTCATCGACGATTGTTTCTTGTCTGGAACGAATCATTTCGGGACGCACGTTCGTTCGTAGACTCTGCGACATACTACGGCAGGGCACCATATCTTGGCGTAGATGCGGTACCATTACTCAGATGACTACTTGCAGTATTAGCTGTGGTTTGGCCCCTTCTGCCCTTTTGACCTTTTAGCCTATGATGCTGATTCCAACAGACTGCGTCGGGTGCCTCCTCCAAGTGGAAAAAAGCATACATTATACGGATCTCTGACGGACGTTCGAACGTGTTCCACGAGGTCTAGGACCTTGTAGAACTCACTGCGCGCTGAAATACCGAAATAGTTTCCCGTGGTGGAGGCCCCTGGCCAAAGTGGGAGGTCGGACAAGCTACGACGTCGACAGATTGTAAACGGGTCGGCTGAATCTCGCCTATCGGGATGAGAACATAGCAATGGAGATGGCGTGGTGACAAACTTTGTTGTCCTCGGAATAGTGTCTAGTATGGTAGGCAGCTCTGATAAGTACTTGGTACTTAGAGGACGATAGCAAGACTGAGAAACAGCTGAAACTACCAAATTGTGGGGACAGCGCCACACGTCACAGGCCGTCACACTGCCACATCGTCACACCCTCATCACAGTCGGCGAAAGTCGTGAGTGCGGCACGCGAAACTTGGAGAGAACGTTGGCCTCGACGAATGTACCGCTCCCTGCCTGTAGCCAGACAGGCTGCATTTCCCGCAAATGCCAGTAGGGGACTTGTCAGAGTCACCCGCAGAGTCCGTCCAATTTATACACCACCCAATCTCCATTTCGAACCGTCACTGACCACCCGATACGTGTTTTTCTCACTGAATAGCGTTTCGCGACGGAGACGGCACCGACCACACCACCGAAGAAGAAGAAACGTGTACTCCGTCGAGTAGTTCTCTATACCACCGGTGCTGTAACCACCTTCTACGTCGGCAGCGCCTTCGTCGCCTTCCAGAGCTCGCAGTACTACAACTTCTTCAACCATGACGTTCCTCTCGGTGCAGCCGTTCTTCAATACGCGGAGGACCACGAATGGGACGAGTTGACTGTCGGAGATGTGTTTACCAACGGCGTAGAGGGGTCAATTTCGGCATATGAGTGGGCGCGGAAACATCTTGGATATGCTACGGAAGAGGCTAAGGAGAAAACGAAGGAGGCAAAGGCTGCTCTCTCCGACAAGGCGCATTCCGTGTCATCATCGGCACAGCGAACTGGAAGTGATGTTCAGGGCAAGGTGCAGGGCGTTATGGAGCAACTGAAGACAAAAGTCCACCAGGCTGAGGGAAAGTTGTCGAAGGAGGCTAACAAGGCTGCTGCCATCGCGAAGCACCAATCCGTTCAGTTCTCTGAAGGCGTAGAACATTTAATATGGAAGGCGGAGGACGCGCTCTCTGATAAACCTATCGACAGCCTACCGGAAGCTACCACATCGCCCGGTCAATCTCCCGAAGCTGCACAACCGCGTACGAACGACGAAGAGGTTGACGTTACTGCTAGTCTCAAACGGGCGTCCGGTGTATACGATGGTCCTATTCCTGTTGGTTTCGAGCCTCCACCCGGTTATTCTCGTCCAAAACCTTCGGCGGCGGACAAGGTGAAGGGTATCGCTGCCGAAAAACTCGCCGCTCTGAAGATGGAAGCCCTTCCTCTGATCGCCCCCACGGTAAAGGAACTCAACGCCAACGAACCTGTCCTTGCCCATCTCGCTTCCACTATCGACAACCTCGCTTCCTTCCTCCGTTCAAATCCCTCCGCTGCCGACAAAGCTCGTGACGTCCTCGACACCGCCAAGGGTGACCTTACTGAATTGGCTCACCATTTCGACCGGGTCAGGGAAGAGGAACAGCGTAAGCTTGAGGCACAGATGGACGAACAGGCGAGGGAGTACACTTTGAAGATGTTGGAGCTAGAGATTGCGGCACAAGACAAGATGGAGAATCAGGAGGTTGGGTTCAGGCAATATCTCGACGAGGAGAAGGCGAAGATGGCCCATCTTTTCCGGGACAAGCTAGACTCTGAGCTCGCCGTTCAACGTGAAATCATCAATGAACGGTAAGTCCTCGGTCGATATTTAATGTATTGCTCGCTCTGATGCTCTATGGCTTTCAGGCTGAAGGAGGAAGTCATCAACCAGGGCATTGAGCTCCAACGTCGTTGGATTCGCGAGGTCAAACTGCGCGTAGAGCAAGAACGCGGTGGCCGCCTCGCCAAGCTCGACGAACTCGCAGCGAACCTCAAGCGTCTCGAGCGTGTCGCCCTCGACAACTCTAGCTACCTCGACGAGAACCTCCGCATCCATTCTCTCTGGTCCGCTATCCGAGCTCTTCATTCTGCCATCGACGCCCCCATCCGTAAACCCTTCCGCGACGAACTCCGCGTCCTGCGCCACATTGCTGCCGCAAAGGACGATGCCATTGTCGCCAGTGCTCTCGAAACCCTCGAAACATCCGACGCTCCCGACGTCGGCGTTGAGCCTTTCGCAGATCTCGCTTCATGGTTCTCGACGTCGGTGGCACCCAAGGTCTCAAGTGTGGCGCTCGTGCCGGATCAGAACGCGGGCTTGCTCTCGCATCTAGCCAGCCATCTTTTCTCTACTTTCACTTTCAGGAGACAGGGCCTTGTCCAAGGGAACGACGTGTTGAGCACGATCTCGAGGGCAGAATACTATTTGAACGAGAAGGATCTGGACAGCGCAGCGAGGGAGCTTAACCAGCTAGGTGGGACGGCGAAGACACTGTTGAAGGATTGGTTAGAGGCAGCCAGGAGACGACTGGAGGTGCAGCAGGCTTTGGAGGTAGGCGTTTCTTCTTTTAGCGCTCGCTGCAAAGATGATGCTGATATTATCACGTCGACATCAGGTTGTGCAGTCCCAAGCTACTGTCGCATCGTTGCTCGTTCTATAGCCAGACATTCTTTAATATCCTTTTCAAAAATATATAGATTGCACCACAGTTCGCAGACCGCAATAAATTATCGACATTCCAAGCGTGGGTAAGCACTGTGGAAGTAACCCAAAAAGAGGTATCAAAGGAACGGTACAAGAGTACTGCAAGCAAGATGAAAGAGACGAAATAATGCCCATAACCCGAACTTTACCCTCATAGGATATTATCATGGTGAAGTCACATTTGGAGCCGCCAGAGCGCACTCACAAATCACCTGCGCCCTCCGTACGACTGTCTGAACGTTCTCTCCGCCTCCCGGGGCTCGAGTAACTTTAACCAGCCCAGGAAATATCGTAGCTCCAACTAAGCAAGTACGTTAGCAGGTCGGAAACGGAAGTCGCAGGTAAGGATACGAACCTTTGTCTAGTTCACCTCTCTCGCTCTTCACACACCTCTTCACCAACTCCACCTGCCTCGGATACAGCGTACTCCCGAGCTCTGGGACGAAAGATCGGTAAAAGGCATCGATCATAGCTCCAGCGGTCGTGGGTGACCCGTGAAGCATGCGGGAGAAATCATACGCAGCCTCGAGGACTTTGCACGCGGCGGTGTAACATGGCGGAGGGGCTATAGGAATATTTTGATCGGAAGGAGGGTTGAGGATATCGAGGAATGAGCCCATCTGTTCTTCGAGGATGGCTTGAGACATGGATGGTGAGACTGAGTCGACGGCCGCGCTGAACGTCTGCCGGCGCCATACAGAGGCCACAGTAGGATCACCTGAAGCGAGTTTGCATATCAAAGATTCAGTGCTACGTTGTGGTAATGAAGATGAAGAACGTACGAGCGAAGATGTGTTCATGTATACGCGTCAGCTGGATATTTGCTTCGCTCGAGCTGGTTACGATCAAGACATTGATGATGGCCTCCGATATCGCCTCTGACATGACATGTCGCAAAAGGTTCTGTACGACCATTGGTCTTGCATCGTCCATTGACTCGTAGTCGCCTCCCAATATATCCGAAAGTGTTGCCCGATAGACGTGAAGAAGATTCGCAGGAGGGGACCGAATAATGTCTGTGGCCCAACGGTTGATCTGACGCTCGAGCAACGAAGCTGCGTTCTACATGGCCATCATAACTCAACACAGGCACCCAGTTCGAAGAACAGGACGTCGCACCTTGATAGAGAAATCATCCACTGTACTTCCACCTTGCCGACCATTTGCTGCTTGTGCAGCAGCCTGCAAAGACGCCGTCCCTTCGAGGGTGGAGATCCGAGCTCTCAGCTGTGCGACCTGCTTTTCCTGCTCCTCGAGTTGTTGCCGTTGTTGCTCTACCTTCTCGTGAGCTATCCGCTAACCAACACACAACGTTCACGAATACAACAGCAGATGTCAGCCTTACTACGTCCTTGAAACTAGAAGAGAAAGGACGCACGAAATTGGTCAGTGCATAGCGATATTGTTCTCCACTGACAATATCCTGCTGCTGTTGATGCTGCTGAAGGCTGAATGCCATATCCTGCGGCGAGCCTTGTACGCTAGGCGGCGGCGCAGGTTGCGCAGAGGCAGACCTCTTAGTCCCGAGTGAAAAGCGATGCAGTTTGGAATATTTGAGTGATACAGTAGACGGGTGGGGTTAGCAGGGAGTTAGTGACACGGTCCTGTCAAGGTGATCTCTGATATTCGAGTCGTGCTTTATTGGCGTTTGATGGATGCGTGCAGACAGCGATGGGGATGGCAAGAGCGGCCGACATAGGCCATTCTGGTCCACCAATCTCGGATAACTTTGATATGACTGGAGGGCTATGTTTGGGCGGTGCATGATTGCGGGAAGATGGAAGGATGCGATCATGGCGGCCAACAGCGACAAACAGGGCAGTGGCAAAATGCGCATTGTTTGTGACAGAAGCTTCTTGTGGTCTATCTGCACGCAAACCACGATATAGAAAATAAGCCTTGGGCACGGAAGAGTGCTACGGAGGATACTGGCCATCGAAGGACAGCCAAGGAAGGAATGTAACTTATGGCTGTGTGGCGTTGAACTGACGTGCCACGATTGGACGTAGAAAAGGTGCTATATACAAAAGAGCACAAGACAAGCGATACACAACATACATCAAAACAAGTACCTGAACCACACATTTATTTCCCGTATATCCCTTCCAGCCCAAAGTCACCGCCGCTCCCTCTATCCAGCTCGTTGAACGGATCCCGCATGCTCCCCGTCTTTTGCCTCCACAATTGGGTGTAAATAGCCTTGATGCGCTGGACGTCTGCATTGATGGAAGCAACTCTGTTGGCGAGGGCCATGAAGGAGTCGTGTTGAGCTTGGAGCGTTGAGTTGATAACTGCAGAGGGGGTAGGTCAACTGACGGCTTTGGCAGCCACAGCGGCTCTGAAGATACATGCGGAAGAGATGGAGACGTACCTTGTGGCGTATATTGCGCTCGTGAGGCGGTAGAGGCCAGTTTTCTCTCGATTTGCTGAGGGGTAAAGGCTCTTATCAACGACGACTCCGTATGAAGTTTGGTAGACATATCCCGCTTACCTCCATCGTCGTCTTGTACCACTGTAATCGCCTCTGCATCTCCTCCGTGATGCGGGTGAAGAACCTAGTAAGATGCAAGTAGAGTGAGCGCCGTTCGTATGACTAGTAACGTTTCCGAAAGAAGGGCGCACTCGAGTGGGAACCCAGCATGGTTCTTCAAAAACTCTCCATGGACCTGCTGATTCTGATGACCTTGGACAATTTGGATCGCAATAATCGTGTCTTGTACTGTTTGATCCACTTTTGCCTTCAGATCTCGCGTAGTAAGGACGTCGTTTTGCAGTGTGGTGATGCAGTTGACCAAATCCTGTCCGGTGTTCGAAATTACGCAACGCAGTTTCAGTATCGGTTCAAAGGTGTTCAATGGTCTGATTACCTTGTGGACGCTCCGGATGATATCCTGACCCTTCAGAGCCTCCTCTCCCACCTTACGCTGTTTGAGGTCTTGGCTGATTTGCACCCGTCCCTGTATATGTGACCTGAGCAGACGATCAGACGACCGCGGACAGGAGGTGTTGACAACAAAAGGAATTCATACTCGATCTGTTCGAATGCTTGTTTTAGGTTGTCTGGCAGGTCATTGAATTTTGTGGATTTGGTGAAAGGAACGGAGCCGATAGGTGACGATTGTGGCGGGGGTGGTTGCAGAGTGCTAAGCCTGACAAATCGGTGTCATGATCCACTTGAGCAAATGAATAACCGCATGCCAGAACGCAATAGCCTGGACGCACCCTAGACTGTGGGGATTGACGAGTCAACGAAAGTAGTGCGGGCATGGAGAAAGGACGTACGTGTTTTGCGGTTTAGATCCACCGAAAAGCGATGAACCACCCAAGGTAGACCCGAACAATCCACTATTCCGCATATCGCGACATAAACGGCGCTGTCGACAAATTTTATTGCGAATATGTAAGGACGCACCCCGACTGTTGTGGCTGCTGCTGCTGCTGCTGCTGCTGCTGCTGTGGTTGCCCGAACAAACTCCCTCCGAGGCCCGTATTCTGTTGTGGTTGCTGGCCAAATAACGAGCCACCCGTAGTCGCTGGCTTGTTCCCAAACAGGCCACCTCCCGAATTCTGCGTATTGCCAAAAAGACTTCCACCAGTACCCTGAGCAGCCTGATTCGTGTTCGTGTTACCGAACAGTCCGCCCGTAGCTGGCTGCGTTTGCGCCTGGTTTGCACCTTGGTTGCCGAATAGACTGCCTCCCGTCGCCGGTTGTGTCGTATTGCCAAAGAGTCCACCGGACGCGGGCTGTGTTGAGGCCGTGTTGGTGCTGGAGTTCAGGTTCCCAAACAAACTGCCGCCCGTTGTAGGTTGAGTGTTCGTGTTTGTTGACGGGTTCCCAAACAACGAACCAGGCGGTAGCGTCTGTGTGTTGGTGTTGCCGAACAATCCACCAGCAGCGGGTTGTGTCTGTGTGTTCGTCGTTGTGTTCCCGAATAGACTGCCGGCAGGCTTCGGCGCCGTGTTCCCAAACAGCCCACCGGCCGCTGGTTGTTGCCCACCGAAGAGATTGGGAGTGCTTTGAGTTGTGTTCGGCTGCTGATTCGGTGTGTTGGGTTGTGTACTTCCGAACAGGTTCCCTTGCTGCTGGGGCTGCTGAGAAGTACTGCCAAACAGACTAGATCTACGACAATGTGAGGGAGGGTGGATAGGTTGAGTATTAGAAGTGGACGAGTGTCGGCGACGCGACACACCCAGTAGTGAAAGACATTGCTTTCAGCTATGATCATACAAGTTGTTGAACACAAAGCTTAGAACCGGGGCCAGCTTCGATATTGAGACACGACGAGGCAAAGAACAGAAACGGTCGTTTTTGCACGCGTTCAACTTTTGTTCAACGCGATCAGACGCGTCGTGGCGTCCGGGCCGTCACTGCCGCTGTGTGGCCCCGCAAACTTGGACTGTGGCGAGTGGCCCGAGCTCATAGTGCCCTTGCCAGTTCTGCCATTTTACACGACAATATCGGGCACTGACGTGATAGAAAACTCTGCGAACGTCTCCTGGTCAAAATGGACTGAGAAAACTTCTTTATGAATTTCATTACAAGTGTCGTATAACTTTGGTATAACTATCCCCGCTTTCGACCGAAAACAATCACCGTCCATGGTAAGTTGCACAGTGCATGAGCGAAGATCACAACCCTGTCCTAGAGGTAGACGGATCTCTTAGAATTTTAATTCACAGTAAGGGCGATCCTGACCGGTAGGAAGCTGTGTGTACCTAAGGAAAGGTGTTGTAGAGCCTGAGGGTGCTCGGACGTCGGGTCATACCTTCGTGAACTTGAAAGAACTCTGCCTGACATAGTATTGTTAGCGACGGGAAATGGTATGGCCGCACTCAGACCGGAGACTTATTCCTTATAACCTGTATGCATCGTCGACGGCCATGCGAGTAAGTTTCGGGCATCCTAGACAAAGAGGAAAAAATATAAACGGACCTGTGGTTTGGCAACAAAAGTAAGTGGTGTCTCCACGGAGGACCTGAAATAATACAAAGCCTCAGGGAACTATGGAGGTCCTTCACGACGCGCCTAATTTGGATGGCACCGGTCTTAAACGCAACAATTGGAGAAGGGGACGGTCTTGTTCGTTTAGCGTGGGATAATAAAACCTCGCATTAGATGATACGCACACAAGAACGAAGAAGCCGCAGATATAATAGCACGCTCGTGAGAGATGCCGAGAGATGGTTCTATTTGTACAGTGCGTACATACGAGAGACATACCCTAGGGTGTGAGGATGAATTTGTGTGGATGAGGATGACATCGGGGCAGTTGATGCCAACATTCACGGCTCATAGTCATGTAGGTTTTTTGTGGGCAGCCACTTCAACATGAAAGGATGGAGAAAGAGCGATGATAACGGAAGGTTTCAGCGACAGTCGAAGTCCCGATCTCTGTCCGGAGTCGGGGACTCAAACGGCGACCACTTTTAGCAAACAGCTGTAGTTATACCTATCTGCCACTGGTCCTTGCAGACGCAAGCAGATACTTGCTGAATGGGGTATCCTTTTGGCACAGGGTGTTTCCGTATTGCTAGTGCGAACCTGAGGGCATCCCACATAAGACGTATGGGTCCGTGCGAGTCGGCAGGCAACGAGGAGGCCGATAAGCGAAGAGCTTACCCTCAAACGTCAAAGCGAGCAAAGCTCCCAAGGGCTGTGGATACAACACCGTACGTCAGCACACACCGTGGAGCGAAAATGAAGTAAGAAAGCATGTAGACAGTGGAAGATAACACAACAAGGGCCTTGTCGGGAGAGTAGGGAGCACCTTCGGGGCGGAGCCTGTGCTCAAAGTTCGCGCGACTGTAAAATCCTTTGCTGGATGCGGATTGCGTTTATGGGATCGGGGATTGATACTACGTACCTGAGACGGATATGAGAGGAAGATGAACACGCCTTCATCGTGCTTTTGGGAGATGCATCACACCGTTGAGAATTACGGAAGAAATTTCTTTTCGTGCCATAACCTTCGGGTTCGATATTAGATGAATCGAGGCTTCATGCATTCCTGGTATCCTCTGGAACGGTAGGCCGCAGACCTCGGACGATCTTCGCATCGCTGGCGTTAGTTCCTCTAAAACCGTCCGGTGGGACAGCGAGGATTCCACTAAGTACTGATGAGATGAACCTTTGTACCAGTGATAACCTACCGAGCAAGAGCGGACTTCGGTGGGAAGGACTCAAGGTCGGGCCACACAAGCGCTCCGAGTCGCATGCGAGACCCACATACCTCAGCATATCGTAAGATCTGTTTTTGCACAACGAAACTCGATATCTGAGCGCCATGCGAGAGAAAAATAAGAGATGAAAGATGCGAGTGGAGCACAGAAGGATGAAATTTGCGGTCAACATGAGTGGCGGACGGACGCGGTTACATAAAACGAACGGACGTTCGGCACGGTGCGAGCGGTGTCGTCAACAATTCCAGCGCGTCTCATCGTCACTTTCTCCTTGCTCCTGAGCATCCATCATCCTCTCTCCCATCTCACTCGTCGAATCGAGAATTTCTCCAAAGTAGTCAAGAACAGTGCGTCTTATTATCCACCATCGAACTAGTTCTCTCCCCAGTGAGCTGAAACTTGCAACATACGTCCGCTCAGGCATCGCATCGCGGGTATATTGTGCCTACCAGCATCGCATACCCCGGACGATCAATAACATACACCCGCCTACGTTCTCAGCTAGCTCAGTTACCCCACACAACCCCAGTATACCTGCCATCATGCCGCCTCTCGCTCACCCCCCTGGAATGAACTTCCTCGATGACCAGGAGCAACGCCCGGTCAATGCCGATGCTGCCACTTACTATGGAGGCCAGGAGTATCACAGTCGTGCGAGAACATATAGCGCCGTATGTTTGACTCAGTATCGTCTCCTTTGCTCTATGTCTCACGCCGTACGTTTGTCTTTAGTCACAGTCGCACGCACCGAAGCGCGCCCCAGCCTTTGAAGAGGATTGGCATCTCCGCCCCCGAAGAATGTCCCACGACGAGAAGAGTTCTGCGCCTAGACGTTTCCTAATTGACGTGGAAGAAACCATCAGGCTTGTACTTGAGCAAGAAGACACAGACGGCGACTTCCAAATCTCCATTACCGACGCTGGTCCTAAGCTCCTTTCGCTGGGTACCGCCACTAGTAACGGCTACAAGAGCTTTGACATCCGAGTGAGTGCTCTATGTTCAATTTCCTAATTTTTTGGGCAATGGCCGAGGTTTCCTGCTTGCTTGGTCGGCGTTTGTAGCCGCCGGTCTATATCCTCGGACAGGTGGCACCCGAATAGTGCTGTTCACTTGCCCCATTGACAAAGGGGATACAAGATTTCTCCAAACATCTGGGCCTTTTACGACAAGTAAGCTTGTCGTGCTACTCCTCATGCGGAATAGAAAGCACATGATCTGGCAAAGCTGAGATACGTCACTCAATGGTCCAGTTCTTGCTATAAGGCTACTTCTTTCCCTGCATTACATTCCACCATATCGTCTTCCGTTATGTCACCAATAGCTCATCTCAGTTCTCGGTATCATATAAATTCTGATCTGACTTCCCTCTGAAGGGTACCTACATGTTGTCAAATCTCCTCCAAGAGCTCGCCCTTGCCCGTGATCACAACCGGAAACGAATTGTCCTCGACGAAGCTCGCCTTACCGAGAATCCCGTCGACCGTCTTTCCCGTATGATCAAGAACTCGTTCTGGCACTCGCTCACGCGTCGCATCGACGGAGACGGCCTCGAAATTATTTGCGCAGATCCGAAGAACCGTACAGGGCGCGTCCAACCACGAATCTACGTCCCACATCGCGAACCGGCGATGATCGAGTACTACAGAAGGATCGCCAAAGAGAAGCCGCATCTGAATTTGGATGTTCAAGTTCTGCCTCCGAATCCTGGCGACCCTCACTTCGTGAAGAGTCTGAATTCGAAACCGGGAATCCTGGCACTGGCAATGAACGAGGTGGATGACGGGAGGGGTGGCAAGACCTTAAAGGGGATTCCTTTTATCGTTCCAGGAGCGCGATTTAACGAGGTATGTTATCAAGCAACATTTGATCGCCTACTGAGCTAATGGCATATTTAGCTCTATAATTGGGACTCTTACTTCATCTCGCTCGGTCTACTTGTCGACGGCCAAGTCAATATGGCGAAAGGGCTTGTCGAACATTTCATCTTCGAGATCAAGCATTACGACAAGATCCTCAACGGCTCTCGCTCCTACTACCTCGCCCGTACCCAGCCTCCCTTCCTGACCGACATGGCCCTTCAGATCTACAACCAGCTTGACCGCTCTGATCTCGACGCTAATCGCCAATGGCTTAAGCGTGCCATCCAAGCTGCCATCAAGGAGTACCACACCATCTGGGTCGCCCAGCCGCGCATGGACCCGAAGACCGGTCTCTCACGTTTCAGACCAGAAGGTGTCGGTATTCCCCCCGAGACAGAAGCCACTCATTTCACGCACATCCTCGAGCCGTACGCGCAGAAGCACGGTTTGTCGGTGCTTGAGTTCAGCGAGAAGTACAATAATGAGTCGATCAGGGAGCCTGAACTGGATGAGTATTTCCTCCACGACAGGGCAGTTCGGGAGTCTGGGCACGACACGAGTTACCGTCTCGAGAAACGGTGTGCTAACTTGGGCACGATCGACCTTCAGGCTCTGCTTTATAAGTACGAGATCGATATTGCTACGGCGATTAGGGAGGTATTTGACGATGAGCTCGATCTGGAGGAGAACTTCCCATTGGCACCCTTTCCGCCTTCTGTGGAGTCGTACGCGAACCCAAAGAGGGAGATGTCGAAGAGTAGGAAGCAGACGAGTGAGGAATGGTTCCAGAGGGCGGAGTTCAGGCGGGAGATCATTGACAAGTATTGCTGGAATGAGAGCAAGAGCTTGTACTTTGATTACGATACCGTGCAGGAGAAGCAGAGTTTGTATGAGAGCGCAACTGCCTTCTGGCCGCTTTGGGCGGGATGCGCTAGCGAAGAACAGTGCTGGAAGCTTGTGTATGTCTCGTTCCTCCTATCCTTTGCTCCTCCCCTTGTCCATCCCTTCGTTCTGAGCGCCAGTGTTCACATACCCATATGGGTTTGTGGGCGTGGGAGTGCTTGGGAAGGGGTTGTTTGCCTTTGATGAAAGGGTTGATGGTGTTGACGATTCCAAACGGCTAACCCAAATTGCCTGTCATTGATAGATCACAATCGTTGAAGAAGTTCGAGGTCATTGGTGGGATCGTCTCTGGGACCGAGGAATCCAGGGGAAAGATCTCCCTCGACCGACCTAACCGACAGTGGGATTACCCCTATGCTTGGTGAGCGCGCCTTTATTTATGAAACTCGTTGCTCAGACAGTTGCTCACCGAGTGGTCTGCTCGTTTGTAGGCCTCCACACCAGATCATGGCATGGGTCGGGCTTGAGCGATACGGTTATTTGGAGGACGCGCAGAGGTTGGCGTACAGGTTCCTCTACATGATGACCACTGCTTTCGTCGACTTCAACGGTGTGGTCCCTGAGAAGGTGTGTACTATTTTTGAGTTACTTGTGGTTGTAGTGGAGCCGTGACTGACGTCTGGTGCGATGATATTGTGTGTGCGTGTAGTTCGACGCCGTGAAGCTGTCTCATCTTGTGGACGCTGAGTACGGAAACCAAGGAGTCGACTTCAAGATGGTCCCTCGTGAAGGGTTTGGTTGGATGAACGGTGCGATTTTGTCTTCCTCTTCACTTCTTATCTGATAGCTCACTTCCGCGGTCTCACAGCCGCATACCAAGTGGGACTCTCGTTCCTTACCTCTCACATGCGCCGCGCTGTCGCCGCCTGCACCTCGCCAGAGGTCTTCTTTGGCAGGACGATGATGGGCGAGCACACTGCTGCACCACCGAGCAGTGTCGTCAACGATCCTCTTGGGCTGGCCATGGAGAACTTGACGGTGTCCAGCACGGGGCCTGTGGCGACTGGAACATCCCCGATGCCTGGCTCTCCAAAGATCTACCCGACCTTTGGAACGTCGCCTTCGTACTGAGCTACGGGACAATGTGTCTCGTATCTAGGCCCTTGGTGTGGCGGCCAGTCGTGTATAGATGGGAATGAGAGTGGTATAGTGGGTGTGGTATAGCGTCGCATTATTGGGCTGTTCCGGTAGATTCGGTTTATTGGCTATCGTCACGTCTCCCACACTCAATGTGGCGAGATCCTAATTCTGTGCTGCATTCGACCAATGGTAGCGGTACTCAGCTCCGCGGCTGTGTTTTATTCTGTACAACCAATCCCGCCTCTCACCTCCCCCCTCTCACACCCTCTTCACCTCCACTTGTCAAGTCTTCATATCATCCCTAGCCCCTACTAGATCTTGCAATTTTCCAGTTAATTTCACGTTGTCGTCTTTGTCCATTCTTTGTCCTTCCACTGTACAATTATACGTATCGCCAGGCTAGAGTCAGGCGATTCAGCCAAGCAGTTTTCTTCTGAACTCGTGTTCTTTTACACCGTCTATCGAAATGTCACTCGTCGTTTGGATTAGTTTAAGAATAGAAGATTGTTCTTCAAGTTTAAGCTCGTGGAGTGCACTCAGGTAGACATGGGCGACCTCGATGTCCTCAGCTTGGCGTTTGCGAAGAAAACAAATTTAGAATACTTTAGGATGGCGTCGTGGACCGTGGTGTGGTGTACATTTGGTGGGCGCAAGTCATTCCTACCAGTAAGTGACAACACAGTGCGAAAACAAATCTCTATTTACGTTGTGCCATGGGTTGCAATCTGATAAGATGTGAAGTCTTTCATACTGTGGGACTCTCAATGAAAGCAAGTGGCATAGTGCCTGTAAAATAATATTCTGAGAGCGAAGTGGGGAGGGGGCGCTGTGCCACACTGCTTCGCGCAGTGGCGAGGAAGCGCGTGGGTCTCCGGCGATTTGGTGGCCGTCGGCGGAGTTTCGAAAACTGGAGCACTGCCAAGGTCAACGCGCTTAGAAGGCTCCTTCAAATATTCCTCTCTTCCCTCAACCTCCAAGTCTCCCGATTACGACGCAAGAGAGAACAACAGCAAACCCATAAGAACTACAGTGAAAGTCCCAGAAAGGTGAGTGGACCGTGCGTTTGGGCTCCTCCAAAGAAATGACGTGGCCCGGCTGAGCGGTAACGGCCTTCTTGAGACCTCGGCTCTCATCAAGCTCTCATACTTACCGTTGTTCTGGGTCGCCCGTTCCCTCCACAACACCACCGCTCGTAGACACTAGCTCATGGATTTTAATAGATTTTACCTGACTGCTCTTCAGCCCGACGACCATGATCTTCAATACTAATGGTGAAAAGGGCGGGGATCAGCCCGAACCGCCTACGGGTAACACCAGTCTTACGCAGACGTCCGCGTTCAAGGTTAGCCTGCGCTCATCTTCATCCAATGACATTTTCCCTGATGGACACATTTGGCTAAGAACATGACCGGAGGTCATGCGCAGCAGACTGGGGGGTCATCAGGCACAGATGACATAGAGCTTCAGCAGACGCCATCTGTGAAGAGCGCGGCATACGAGGATCCTTTTGTGTTCTATAGCGGGATCAAGTCAGAACAGGAACTCGCTGCATTGAGGAAACGCAAACAAGGGAAAAGACTCGAGAATTATCATACTCGACAGAATGCGGTGAGAAGTGCTCTCTCCTTGTCTCAGAAATTGTGTCGATATATTTACATGGCCCTCTCGAATAGCTCATACAGTCGCTACTTAAGCCGATGGAGGAACATACAGAGGATGCCAGGGCTGAGGAAGATGCGGCTCGATTGCCCGTCAGTTCTTCCATTTATTGATATTATTCTACTCTGACCATATTCTCATATCTCAGGTGAGGATAGCTGTCCATGCCAGCATGTTCGCCAACTTCGCACTTTGTGTTCTGCAACGTAAGTGTATCCGTCTATGCGCCCCCTTCAACACAGCATATTTGAACCTCTTTTCCCACAGTCTACGCTGCCATATCATCGGCATCGCTCTCCCTCATCGCTACAGGCATTGACTCCGTCTTTGACATCGGGAGCAATGTCCTGCTCTATTTCGTGCACAAGAAGGCTAGCAACATGGACGTGAATAGGTGGCCGGTAGGCGGGGCTCGCTTGGAGAACATCGGCAATGTCATCTATGGTCCGTTGCGTTTACTTCCTGTCAGATCATCCTCGTGCTCAATTACATGATCTTAGGGTTTTTGTAAGTTATCTGCAGTCGATCCAGATGCAGAAATAGTGCTAATAACCGCACTCAAGGATGGGTTCCGTCAACCTTGTGGTCATCGTCGAGTCTGCAAGAGATTTGATTTCACATGGTGGTGGAGAGACAAATGAGCTTCACGTTCCTTCTCTGATAGCTGTGGCTGCTGCCTTGGGTGAGTGACTTACGCGTACCTTCTTCATGCTGGGAGCAGTCTCGTTGACACGAACTTCAGCGATCAAGTTTCTTCTCTTCTTGTACTGCTATTCTTTACGCACAAAGTCAAGCCAAGTCCTTGTTCTGTGGGAAGATCATCGGAACGATCTATTTATTAATGGGTTTGGTCAGTGTCTTGAAAGTATCTACTCTGTCTGTGAGTTAACGAGTCTTTAGGTCTGCTCATGTCTGCCGGCGGCAGCAAGTTGAAGTGGTGTAGGTACCATGGTCTCTAATATTCGTCGCTCGACTAATCCAGTCATGGCTTCGTTTCGACAGGGCTCGATCCGATGGGTGCTATTATTGTGCGTCTGCTCACCTCCCTTCATGTTCGCAATCTCATGCGGTATCCACGCAGATTGCAGCAGGTGTCCTTCTCTCCTGGACGTTAACGGTCTATGGGCAATTTCAAGAGCTGGCCGGAAAGTCGGCCCCTCATGAGTTCTTGCAACTCATCATTTACAAAGCAACAACCTTCAGCAACGAAATCGAGAAGATTGACACGGTTCGGGCGTACCATGTCAGAAACCTTCTCCTTTCCTCCGCATGTGAATAGCTGAGCTGATTATTATGCTTCACCAGAGTGGACCTGTAAGTACTTAGTGACCTACGAGATCGACGAGAAGCAGACTGATGCTTTGCGACAGAACTATTTCGTGGAAGTTGACATAGTCATGGCCGCCGAAACCCCATTATGGAAGACCCACGACGTTAGCCAGCAGATGCAGGACAAGATCGAACTTTTGCCCAATGTAGAACGAGCGTTCGTCCACGTCGATTATGAGACGTCACATACCCCGGTATGTTTCTGTTTTCATTGTCTGATCTTTTGACGACCTGTTCTTATCATTTGATTAAACAGGAACATCGTAAAGTCGCATGAGGATGAAGTCGACTAGCCCCACTAGTTCTCGATGTGTTCATGGAAGCTGTCTTGAGGCGACACTGGACTTTCAGTATTGCTGTATACACGAATACAATGTACTTTATGCATGGATTGAACCTCATTGCCATAGCATATCAATTGTAGGCTTCGGTTCTAGCAGTAGTGAACCGGGCGTGAAGTGATGACTAGTTCTTGGAGGGGGGTTCGTGAAATTATAAATAAGCAGCGGTATTCGAAGCCTGGATGACGTGGTCTAATGTCTACCACCTTCTTTTCACGTGTGTTTCATCTCGAAAACGACAGCTAGGTAAGTCGCATATGTGCTAGGCTTGACCGAGATGTTGTGCTCTGGGCCACTGCGACAACGTGTGGGTGGCGTGTTGAGTTTGAATGTCCGAAAGCCCTGATAAGGGTCAACCGCCTTTCGGAGATTGAAATAGCCCTATCGAGCTTGCTCTGCCGTCACGGTCTTGTCTGCATTCGATCATCTTTATTTCTGACCACGACATGCTCCCTACATCACTGCTTGACTTTATTATACCTGTACTTAATATCATCGGCTATCGAAGGCCCGGGCTGCCTACCAACTCCCTGCAGTTTGAGTTACGACATGTACACGCTGTAACGCCAGCCGCAGAAGTGTACTTCTCAGATGTGTCTACTTCCTCTATTCGTGCTCAGTCGTCTCTCTCCTTGAAGTTCAGCCCTGTGAAGAGACATAGACCCTCGTCTTTCAATGCTTTTACCAATGCCAGGGCACAGTCCATGTTGCGTGGACAAAGTGCCGCACTGGATTGGCACGAGGAAGAGGTGCCGGGTCCGGATGTAGAGAGCAGGGAGACCTTGCAGGTTCTGGCGAAGATGACCAATAACGCCTACTATGACGGTCCGCAAGAGAAGGGGTGGTATGACTTGGGTGGAAATTGGACCCAGGTGAGTTGTTCACTTGGTTTGCTGGCGCGATGCATGTCTGACTCGTCTCTCTATCCGAGTAGAATGCTCCCATTGGCTGGGAACCTGACCAAGATGGCTTTCGTGGTCACATATTCGTGACGCCAGATAACTCCACAGTCGTTCTCTCCATCAAAGGCACCTCAAGTTCGTATCTCGAGGCGTAGGAAGCTTTCTGATGTTTCTAATGACCTTTCTCTTGAAACAGTCCCTTACGTTGGTGACGGTGGGCCAACAGTGAAGAAGGATAAACGGAATGATAATCTGTTGTTTGCGTGCTGTTGTGCTAGGGTCGACTGGACGTGGTCAACGGTGTGTGGTTGCTATGGCGGAGGATGGAAATGTGATCAGACGTGCGTCGAGGATGCCCTCATAGACGAGAGTTTGTTCTATCCCAGTGGAACTGTGAGTGGTGCCTCGGTGCTTCTTCGCGTCTACTCAACGGCTCTACATAGAACCTCTACAACAACCTGACGTATATGTACCCGGATTCGAACATCTGGATAATCGGCCACTCTTTGGGAGGTTCACTTGCTTCTCTTCTTGGTATGACATTCGGGACACCCGTGGTGGCCTTCGAGGCACCTGGAGAGAAGATGGCCGCCGGGCGTCTTCATTTGCCTGCTCCTGTACGTATACTACTTAAACCATTCTCGTCTTTCATTTGATTGCTTATTTTATTCGATAGCCTTCCACGCAGCACATTACCCACGTCTACCACAATGCAGACCCGCTAGCAATGGGTACGTGTACGGGGACTACTTCTATGTGCGCGCTCGCCGGATACGCAATGGAAAGTCGCTGTCATGCAGGAAGGGTCATCGAATATGATACTGTGACGAACCTCTCTTGGACCCCTGATCTCCGCAAACATGGCATTGAGCAGGTCATCAATAATTTACTGGGCAAGCCGTGGGCTCCGGCAGAAGAGGTCGGCAGGGAGGTACCGGAGGCGAAGGACCAGGCAGATTGTGTTGTGAGTACCTCTCTTTCGATCGCCCGTAGTTTGTCTGACCATGCATTACGATCGTATAGGAGTGCTTTAGCTGGGAGTTCGGGGACTTTTTGAATAAGACAAAGTCCTCGTGATTGTTCAACTAGCGGCGGTTCCACTGTACATACTATATTCCGGTTACTCTTCCTTAATGCTCATAACTATCCTATTTTTTTGTTATGCGTGCCTGCTACTGCGCACTACCGTCAGTTATTCTCTTTTGTGGCCACCGTGATATCGAAGGCCACGATTTTCCCACAACGTACGCGGTAGGGGAGGGGCTGGTGTCGACCAAACTGAAATATTTGCTCGCTAACTATCGTATCTGGGCATCGAAACATTGTACGAGTCAGCGCATTACTGAAAGGCCAACTACATGTGAGAGTAACATAGAGAACCAGACCTGGTTCAGACTCATCGATGTCCACCACTGTATTCGGCATGCATATATCTCATACTCAGACTTGAAAGTTACTCGCAGAAGCATCCAGGCGGGAATCGACTCGGATCCTGCTTGCGGAGGTACTTATGTAGAAATTGCCGGCAAGCTCCGGAAGATAGGACACTGTCGTGTGGCGCGCCACTCTGCACCGCTCAGCCTCACTCGAACGCCTATAGGTACACGATCTGCGTGCGTACATTGCTCCTCTACAATGCATTGGTAGATCAAAGTCAATAGCGAATAGCTACCTAAGTATTTACTACAGGAGGCCCCACAAGGAAGCACCTCAGACCGGTGCGTAGTGTAGACAGAGACACTCAATTTATGGTACATGATGTAAAGTAACCAGCAACAAAGCGATATGATAAGACACAGCAACTCGAACAACCTCCCCCACTGTGGCACCAAGAGTTCCAAGAAGATTTGCGCCGTGAATAAATATCCGTGCACGTATATCTCGCGCTCCACCTCACTCATAACGACTGCCTCCCCTTCGTCTCTGTCAAAAACAGCGTCAAAAGCGCCGCCAACCCCACCCCTCCCCCAGCCAGATAAAGCACCCCATTCGTTCCCTTCTTCAACAACCCCTCCGCAATCAACGGCGCCACGATACTCGTCAACCGCCCCAACATGCTCGCCGTCCCGAACACCGTGCCCCTTATCACGCTCGGGTACGCCTCGGGCGTGTATCCGTACAGGATGGCATTGAACATGGACTGGAAGAAGTATTCCATGGCGTTGAAGCCGACGTTGGCGCTCTGGGAGTCGATGACGGTGAAGAGGAAGAGGGAGAGGGACATTAGGGCGGCGGAGAGGAACATGGAGTATTTGCGGCCGAGGCGGGGGTTTTGGACGAGGAAGGCACCGAGGAGCACACCGGGAATGCCGGGGATGGCGATGAGGACGCTGAACATGGAATGGAAGGCGTTAACGCTGAAGTGAAATGATGGGCGAGAAGGGTACCCACTAATTCCGGTACGTCTCGGAGAGGGGTATATCCCTTGAAGCGCCCTTTTGGGCAAGGATGATGGGTAGGAAATATCCGGCAATGGTGAAACCTGAGCACAGACAGCTTACAATGAGCATGGTGTGGATTCGACAATAGCAAGGGTGCGTACCCCAGTAGTCGCACATGAAAACCAGGAACAAAACGAGGGTACTGAACAATTGCCTCGGCTGAGTGAGTAGAGGCTTGAGGTGCATCAAACTTGTCAGCTTGCTCTTTACCGCATCCTGCCTGTCTTGCGAACCTGAACAGAATGCCATGGTAATCAGCCACACCGTTGAGCATAACCGGCGTAGAAAGATGAAGTACTAACGGTTGTTCCGGGAACCAAAATCGTCTTCGAGATCATGGAAATCCTGCAGGGATAGAAGACACTCCTTTCCATTCTTCTTCGCGATGGCGTGCAGAGACTTAATGGCGAGTTCGTCGTGACCGTGGTTTATAAGAAACCGGGGACTTTCCTCGAATGTGAAGAGGAAGAACCGGACAAGAAAGCAAGCGAGCGTGATTGCACCTAGCGTGAACATCCCATATCTTACAGACCAGAGATGAGATCAACAAGCACTCGGATTGGCAAGCGAGAGAGCTGGATCGTACCTCCAGCCCATATTATTCGATCGGCTACAGCAAGGGGTTCCAGGAGAGGCAACTCTGCAGGAAGGTATCGGACCCGTTATCGGGTCCGGGTTTGGATCACAAGAGTAGGATGGAATGATGCCCCAAAGGATTGCGGAGCAAACGATGACCCCGAGAGGCTGGAACACGGAGAGAGCGACGATGACCCATCGTTTGCTGTGTGGCACAAACTCGAGCACAATAGTAGAGTCTATCGGTATATTTCCACCCAGTCCAAAACCTGCCCGACAAACTCAGGTTGATGCTCGTGAATCATGGTCAAGTTGCGCGCACCTGTGAAGGCTGCGAGGATGCATACGCCTGTGTAACTTGAGGGAGCACCGATGAGAAGGCCGAAGGTGGCCGTGATGAGGAGGGTAAGATTGAATGCCCATCGCCGGCCAATGACGTCGACGAGGATGCCCCAGGTGAAGGCGCCAACGGTCAGGCCGGTTGCGAAAGCAGTTTCCAGGTGTCCTGAAGCTCCGGCTGATGCAATACGTCAGAAAGACCACCATAGACTCCGACATAAAAGACTCACAGCTAACATTAAGCTCCTGAGTTAGTGGAGTAGCAATGAGACCAAATGCTTGTGCCCAAACAAGGTCTGTCCACGGCGCGCTCGTGTGAACACGTAGACCGCGTAGGAGAGGAGTTGAACGACGCACCGAGAAAGTAGCCGAAGCCACATAGAAGAAATATACTCTTTTGGTAAAATCCAAAGCCTGTATCATCGAGAGCTCTGTTGACAAGCATAATCTTCTGCTCTTCTATTGAACTTCCTGTCGAAACGGAAGCGAGCGACGTGGATCTCGGGCGTGTCTTTACCGCCTCGCCCTCACCGCTGTCGGATTCTGGAAGCGTTGGAAGTGCTCCATTATCCTCTACGTTCGCGTTGGGCTCAACGGTGCCGATAAATTCGTCGTTGGACTTTGCGTAACGCATTCTGGTGTAGAAGGAACCGGACGAGGAGGGAAATAAACTGCTGGCGGCTGTCCACCGAGATGATATAGTCGAGAACATGGAATGCGGCATGAAGAGCGCGCTGACCACCCCACGAGGTCTCGATAAGGGGAGGTAGATTGGACAGAGCGGGCTGCAAGAAGGATAGTTATGGATGCTTCGACGTAAGGAAATGAATGAATTACGGAAAGCCAGCCAACCCGCTATTATTTCCCACATCAGGCGCACAGGCGCCTTGGATCGTCAGCCAAGTCAACCCAGTTGCCTCCGCTGGCCACGCGCGGGAAGGGCACAGGTCACCCCATCTTTATTCAGTCCTAGAATAGCACCCCTTCGACTATTCTGATGTTGCATCTTTCGCGACATGCTTAAGATAACGAGTTTAACGAAGGTGATGCCCGTGGGCTGGTAAACATGCAGAAAACAATGCCTGTCTTCGACAGTAGAGATGCTTGAACCGAAACATAGCGGAACAACTGGCAGTGCGGGGCAACCGATCGGGACAGCGATGACGTCGTCTTTCCTTTCCAGGACCCGTGCTGCTGCCTTTCTTGGTTTACCGCGCCGCGACTTTGCTCGTCCGCCGTCGTCGTCAAAAATTCTCACCCAATATTGCCGCATGTTTTGGTGTCGCCGTATACTTTGCCCAGACCATTAGCCCCCGATCGCCAAAAATCAGTATTGTTGAGCCAGATTTGGGGCATACAGGCTGCCATCGTCGCCCCTGCTCCAATGGGGCTATTCTTGACGTGGGGAATGCAAGCTGCACGGTCGGAGGAAGGCAAATGCGTGGAATGATGCATCTGGAAACAGCAAGGATCGTCCTTATTAGCGTGAGCTGCCGTACAAACGGGGAAGATGACCCTGGCTTACTACAGTTGCTTTTTATACGAATCAAACATCCGGTCGTGCATACAGTAGTATGCGTTGGTGCAGCGTTAGAGTGATTGAACAACACTGGCAATCCTCTCAAAGGCCGTAGTATTGTGAGGTAGCTCGAAGTCTCCGCCGAAGAGAGAGTAGACGGACTGTATACTCCATAAGAAGTGCGGAAACTACCCCGTAAGTAAGTCTCAGCCTACTCTCAGGGCAGAGTACTAATATACTACCGGAGAAGAGAATGCTCTGCGTGCCTTCTTCTCTGAAGTTGCTCTGAAGCACAAGTTCCGCCTAGTCCCAAAACTCGCCAGACACGACTGCCAAAGCACCAGCCGTGAGGTCTGAGTTCGAAGTGAAAGGTCCCAAAGTGCATATTGCCCTTACTAATTCATATGCAAGAGCAGAGACTTGGTGACTGACAGTCGGAGGACGGAAAATCGACGACGATCGCGCTGAGCAGTGAGGATGAAAAAGAACGCGCCACGGTGGCCCTGCCAGGTCAAATGAACCTGCCCTCAAGTACCCCGCTGATTTCGAACATGCCTTTTCGGGAAACTTATCTAAGTAAAGAGCGTCGGTTCTCTCTGGCGCTCGCCGAACGGCTTCAACTGCTTTCCACCACCCCTGACACAGGTCCACATAACTTTTACATACAGGTGGCTTACCAATGTCTAATGGATTCAGCTCTGAATTGATAACCACCCCTGCTGAACCAGTAGTCAGCCTACCTTCACTATTCGCCATCGAGTACTTTCGGTAACTTGAACAACTTCGAAATCATGAGGCACTCCTTCGGGAGGAGAACAGTCGTCTCGTGTACATCGTAACGACTGCACGCGGATATTCATCTGAGGGCAGGATTTTATGGTCGAGTTCTTAATAGTCTAGTGTTGTCAATGCATGTTAAGTATGTCGTCGTAGCAGTCTCTCTTCTTCCCCATGCTCAGAGTAAGTAAACAACCATGCTCTGCTTTCCGCATCAGCATTGTGGTGTGGTATTCTGCGAATTAGTGTATCGCCTGGCATACCGAAGACAGGACTTACTTACTCTAGGTGCCACATACTTGCGCCTGTTCGTTCACGCAGTGGCGACCAGCACCGCCACACACGCCATGGAAAGTTCGTCATTATTTCAAATATTCCTCGGGCAATCCTCGAAGCTTGACCAATTAGCAGATCGCGGTAGCGAGCCTCGTGGTATTGCGATATGCAATCTTGGCGGAGATACGTCCTTCCGTCGCGTCTGAAGCGTTAGCCTCGGTAAGGGCAGGGCTCCTCGCCCTCCCACCTCCTGCTGAGTCTCCTTCCTTCCTTCCTGTCATACGCACTTGGAAACAGAAGCGACTCGTGAGTTGTTCGCGAGGTTTCGAAGACTTCAACACTGGTCCATTCCTACGGTACGGCGCCCTTTCAGAGCCGAACGGTATAATATCACCCCGTCGTCCAAGCATTGCGATTGCTTTCTCCTCCCCGATGCTTCCTCATGACTACTGAGCCCTCTGTACCAACAGCCCGAGGTACGTTGTCCCGATTTTATTTCTGTATAGAATCGTGAGTATTAACGATCAGACACCCTCTCTCTCCGCGAACCGTCTGTTTTTCATGGTCCAGCGGTGATAACGATCTTTCATGTCCTCGCAATCCTTACTACGTCATGGCGACTCGTCCAACGTACCAGGACTCAGCGTCTGGGATGGGACGATGCATTCGCAGCCCTATGTCTTCCTTTGACCTTGATTATTCTTGCCGCCGTCTGGACACGAACAGATACCCCCGCCATAGGACCTTTCCACCAGTCGGTGCACACTCGCGTTATAGCCTACTGGTTCGCATCGATCTGCTTTACCTTGACGCTTTGGTGAGCACGACCATCCCACGACCTTCGACCGCCAATCCGAACTTCGGCGGCGCAGCAAGGCTTCGAATCGTCGCCATCGCACTTGCTGACAAGTTGTCATGGATTGTATTGTGCTGACAGGTCCGCGAGATTGAGCATGCTCACGGCTCTCATTCGTATCATTCCAGTCCAGTTCAAGCTACACCAACTCGCCAAATACTGCGCCTGGCTCTTCGTTGCGTTCGCGATTGCGTTATTAGGACAGAAGATTCCGCGATGCGTGACCACCGCGCCGGAATGGACAGTTCTTGCTAACCCCCAGTGTCATTTGGGCATGGATGTAGGCATACTCGAGCTATGCAGTCAGTTTTTTTTATTCGTTTTTCTTCTCTTCGGAATTGGATTCGCCACTAACATCTTTATTATGAATACAGCGGACTTCGTCGGCGATTCTATCCTTATTGCCATTCCATTGCACCTACTTTGGGGCCTGTCTGTTTCGCGTGCTAGATACCGGCTGCTGATGGCCATATTCTGCGCGAGCGTGTTCACGACCGTAGTGAGCATTGTCCACGGGTGAGTACCACAAAATTCTACATCGGCCTTGGGTGCTCATATTTTTAACTTTCGTTTCCGCTAGTGTGTTTGTATTAGGCCCGACCGGCCTGCTAGAAGCCACCACAGCGAACGTTGAGGTAGATATTGCAAAATTTTCTGCGTTCGCGCCCTTTTTCTGAAACAGGACTCGTTCTTCTTCTCATCCAGGCTGCGATTTCCGTCATCGTGTGTAACCTCGCATTGATCGCCACGGCCATCTATCGATTCATCGGCCTCAACAAAGCAGAAGACGAACTCTTCCTCACCGGACAGTATATCCCCCGTAACAGCTCCGACGAGGTCACCTCGCAGCATACCAATAGCAGCATCCACCGTGACCGCTGGAACACCAACGCCCGTCCAGTTCGAGCCGGCCTCGGTTCCGGGATACAGTTCTGGAGACACGACAGGAGCCAGGATGAAGGCGTACAGACCATCGACGGCACTCGCTCGGGATGGGGCGGAGGGGTCCGTCCGGGGAGGGTAGTGAATGATTGGGGGTCGAGGCACGGCACGGCGCTGGCGGTGACGGTGGATATGGAGGTGGACACGGATAGGCGTGATACGGTGGTCCTGGGGCCGGTTCGATCGAGTCGAGCGGAAGCTGAGTGCGACGACGGAGATAGTCATGGTTATAGTGGGAAGGGCAGTAGGCATTCGGATGCGAAGGAGGGGCGCATCGAGGATGAGTCGGACGCGGGGTGGAGTCCTGATACAGCGTTTGCAGGTTCTGGGCTGGAGAAAGATGGTGGTGCACCTCGGTCACCGGTGGCGTAGACTGGAGTGGCGGTTTGAATGTCTAATGTGTACTAGTATGTCTCCCACGTATGGTTTTTCTTCTGAATATCTGTCGAAATGGGACCATCCTTATCAGACTGGCGTTTATGCTAAGTGTTGTGTTACGTTCCCGAAATTGTTATAGCTCCTTCCCAAAGCATCAAGATCGCTAGGATACACTTTGCTCCTGTGTACCTGAAGTGTCACTCGAAAGAATGGTGTAAACTTTCAAGGCACGACATTCACCGTCAACCGTTCACCGAGAACAAATGGCTATATCTGATGGAGATCCGAAGATTGTGTGCATCTCAAGCGCAAATAAGAAATAATATAGAAGGAGTGTGTTCAACCGCAAGATGTTTACAGGCCATTAATGTCCAAGTAACATTCGTACCGGGGAGCTTGTGCCCCTGTCCAACCCACTAGACCCAAGATACGATCAGTCAGCGATTACTAGTTTGAGGCATATTATGCTTGACTTACCACACATCCAACAATCAAGCAGACCATAAGGATCGCTACAAAGTCACCGTGAGTCTGATTTCATGATACCTCGGGAAGAAGGGGCATACTATTTTTGCTTGAGTGCGAGAAGAGCAACGTAATTGTCTCCCCAGAAAGAGTCTAGGGGAGTCCTGCGTCAACGCTAGCTTACAAGATATCCATGAACAGCGGCACTCACATTCGAAATTAGGCTCGTATACATCGCCTTCATTCTATGTATGTGCGGTGCGTTGTCAGCGTCAGATCGCAGACTGATCCCCGTATACTGAGGAAACGCACGGTGTAAGCCCCTGAATCGGGTGTAATGTCACGATAAGGCTGCAAAAGGTCAGAGACTTCCTGATACGTTGACGCAATCTCCGAAACTGTGGCGTTGTAGTCCCATACTGAGTGGAAACCGAGCTATGTCGAGATACGCACATATTAGTATAGGTATCGGCGATGGCTAAGTTCGAGAAGACATACAGTCCACAAAGACTTGTACCATGCCGGCGTGCAGCTGGTAGAATTGGCTGTGGCATTATACAGGACAGGCGTGCCTACGGCGATGTGGAGGTCATCCGTGTTGACAAGCGCATCGACGAGGGCTTCGCTACTTGACTCATCCTCAAAGACGGAGGTGGTGATGAGGCGTGTGCCAAGGATGCTTTGGCCTCCGACAGCCTGGAGATAGATGATGTGATAAGGGAATGAAGTTTCAGTCATGACGCCACAGAGGAAGATGATAAAGGATGGTAAAGAATATGAATAGAGGATGCCACGTACACTTTGAGACGCCGTAACGTACTTCGAAAAGAATTGATACCATGAGGGTAGTTCCTCGATCACTGCCTTTCCACCCTGTGAGATGGCGAAGGCGGCCACTTCTTGCATAGAGGCGTTCGCCTCTGCTAGTGTGAGCAGTGGATTGACGTGGATGAGAGTGCTGACCTGCCGTTAGTGGAAGTTGTTTAGTTTGCGCGCACACGAGCGGTACAGAAGAGACGGTGAACATGGACTGACCCCGATATGACCGCCCCAGCCTTCATTAGCCCATTTCACTGAGCTGTTCACCATGAACTCGAACCAATCCCTTGCATTGTCGGAGGTCTGAGTGAAAGAGATGGATGCGCTGTATCACGGTATGCGTGAATCAGAGAGAAACAGCGCCAAGTTTCATCGAGGAACACGTACACCCGAAGAGACATCTGCGGTTCGACGATATGTGAGCTTTCCAAAACAACACCAAAGGTGCCACCGCCACCACCGCGCAGCGCCCTGCAACGAAAGTCATATTAGGACAGCCGTTCACACAGCAGAAAGCAAAGACCGACCAGAACAGATCCTGGTTTTGGCATTCATTAGCGACACGAAGCTCGCCGTCGGGAGTGACAATCTTAAATTGAAGCACGCGGTCGACACCGAGACCATAGACCGGTGAGAGTATACTATGACCAGCACCCTACGGGGTGTTCAGCAATGACCATGATAAAGTAGTGACAACGCCGCGCACCTGAACCCAGCCGCCGCTGGCCACCACAGTTTGATGGTATCCTCCGATAAATGTTATATTGTTGGCTTCGGCGAACTCGTAAATGGCCTGGAATACAGCGCCACCCTAGATACACGACGAAGCTTTAACAGCAGCCACACAGTAGCAGTGAGAATGTATATTACCCCTACGGTCATGGCACTGTATGTGGTACCACAAGCTTCAGGCGAGAAGTTCGCGTCGTATGTTATCTAAGGACCGCATGTTCTGTCAGGAGTGGCGTAAAGTGGCTGCAGGGAAGGGAAGAGATGCATTACTGAGTCCAAGTGGTGTACCTGAACATACGTTCAATAAATTGAAGAAGTCGCGAAATTGGAGAGGAAATACGCACCCAAACAGACAGGGAATCCGGAGAACTCGCCCGACCCTGATCACAGTAAGGCTCAGTTTCTGAGATCTGCCGAACAAAAATCAAAGCAGGACCACCTTGTAGTCATGCCCGGAGTTCTTGATTGAGAGGCGAACGCCAGTGTCTTGCGCAAACGCAAACGCGGCCTGTACGTCTGACGCATTCTGAACATCAATCTGGGAACAAGGTTTGAGCACATGTTTCTGGAGGTAGCGTATGGACAGCTCACGAAATATGGAGGTACACTGCCCTGTAAGCAGGTACTGTCTTCCCAAGCCAAAGGATTGCTGGTGTTCGTGTCATCCAGCAAGCATTTCTTTGAGGTCGATTGGCAGGTCTCCCATTGAGGCTACATTCGAAGCCAGCCGAAATTGATACATTCATCGGACATCAGTAAGGTCTTAGGAAACTTGACGAACACCCACAAGCATGTATGCCCCAAACTGTTCAACGCGATATAAAGGGTCGGTATAATTCGCTTCGACATTCGAGCAGGCTTCAGAGTCGACCGTAACGTTCACCCCGTTGACTGTTGAAAAGCAAGGAGCGGAGACCGGGAGTGCAGTGCGTAGTTTACCGCCAAGAGTGTCGTTCAGCGTCTGCCATTGCGAGCTTGAGATTGAGCTGGCGGGCACATCCGCCACAACACGAGCGGCACTGCTGACAGAGAAGATAAAGAATGCCGAGAGCTTTAGGCTAATCATCATAGTAATAGCCAAAGTCGAAGCAAAGTTGAAAGGGCTGGCAAAAGAGTGACACCAACTTCTCAGCAGGAGCACCAGTGGTGATGGAACGAGTGAAGCGTGTATGGGGTTCCGGAGTAGGCGAGGAAGGCGATGGTTGAAATATATACGCGTTTATATCGGCATCAGTCTCGAGAATATTGAGAACATTCCGGAGGTGTCGGCAAAAGCGGCTAGCGAGCATACAGCAGGAGTGGTATAGAACCGCTTTGAACCGCGGATGGCGCCGATGGACCGCAAAGCGCACGGCCTTCTTTTTTGGAAAGGCATTCTGACATATAACAGCTGGTTCCTGACTAGGACTTGAGAGTGCTTGATTGTTGGTTGTGAGAGGTGCAATTCGGTGCAGTCGACTCATCGTCGGCGATCGAGCTATTTCCAAGCGTCATTATTGCCAGGGCAACGTCTCGGATGGAGCAAAACCGACTCCGAGTCTTGAACTTCGTCGCTCTTCTAAAGTCTACAGAGGTCTACAGCACTCTGCGGTGAAGGGTATCCGGAGGCTTAGCGCTTAGCCTTTATCTTGAAAGCGAACCTTCACGATATCGGATATTGTCCATGTTGGACGGTGAACGTAGAACAATTGCAATACACATTACATTGGAATTCTCAGGTTACTCTTCGCTTGTCACGCTCTCTACATCAAACCACGTATATCCAGGCTCAAACGACGGCTTGATATAGGCTTCACACTCCTCCTTCGTCAACGAACTTTCCAGCCTCAACAAACAATACCGGACAAGTCTTGTGGCCACGGTCCGCTCGACATTCGTGGTGTCTGCAGTTTTATCTCCTGGTGGGTTTGCATCCTCCTTGAGCATCCGCGATAGCTGTTCCACAGTGTCGAAGAACCCCAAGCATCCGAGTTCGTATCTTGTTGGCTGAATGACCTCATGCTGCGGGATCGCGAGCATGCGCGCATGGAGAAGTTGCAAGTGTATGATATGATCTCGGTATTCGAGATGGTGGGGCATAATGTTTCGAATGTAGCCTACGAGTTCCTACAAGAACGTCAGTGCTTAAATGAGCAGAATCATGGTACCGGTGTAGGTTGGCGTAAATGTGAAGGTGACATACGGCTCCGAGTGCCTCATCACGAGTTCTCGCATGTATGATGCGGCTGATAGGATATATCATGGGTGCCAACATTTCAACCTCGTCATTGATCGCCCTGACTGATTTTAGTATGAGAGGTGTAGGGACAAGCAAATCATTTATCCGCAAACAGGTCGTAGCTAATATTGGTGCTGGACTTACGCTTGTTCCATATGTAATATCGCTCGAGCACATACACCCGGACCTCTGCTAACAACAGCATCGGTGGCCCAGCAGGAACATGATTACTCGTAGTGGAGCACTGTTCAAAGAAGTCTTCGTGCTCTGACCGAATGGATGCCGGGGTTTCTAGCCAATCTTTTGCACGAGCACCCGCCAAAAGGATAGGAATCGCCATTTTTACGAATGGAATGAGGGGGCGGCGGATACTGCGTTCGCGAGTGACAGGGTGTGGATTGTCCTTGAACAAACGTGCTGGCTCGATGTGAGAAAGTGAGGAGTAGACACGCAGGTGGGTGAGGACGGGTTTGAAATTCACGATCGCGCTGCCATCAAGAAAGTGAGCCTTAAATCCAGTGGACGATACAAAAACCCGTTTACCCAGTTCGAGCATTAACAAGTTCATCCTTCCAAAGATAGCTCATGAGCTTCAGGGTACATGCTCTGAATGTTGCATCGACGTGCAGCAAAGACGAGAAGGCGTTTCGTGCACCCCAAGATCGATGGTCCTCGTCTGGGCGAAGAAGAAGACATGCGATGAAGTCGCCAAGAGTCAAAGCAGCGATGTTGTAAACAATCTCTGTAGGAAGAGAAGGGCCGAATCGTACGGGTCTAGATGACGAAGGAGATATAGTTTGAGCGCTGCGATCCCCACTGGAATTTTCTCCGTCCGAGCCTGAGTGCGAGTCTGTCAGTGTGATGATCTTGAACGTTCCTTAAGCATGTAGACGAACGCGCTGGCTGTCCGCGTCTGGCCATACTGAGAGAAAGTGTACGGTATAAGCGTTTCAGTACGGGCGCTGGGGGTGAGGTGCAAAGGCAACATAAAATTACTTTTTCAGAATTGACAAAGGTAGTCTATGACGTCACGTGGCACAGGTTGAGACATTGATTGTGTGGGTGGCGGGTGGCCCCGGGGCCCGGGCTGAACGGCTCGGGTTGAGATACTGTTTTCGAGTAAGTAGTACTCCACGTCTCTTGCTGAAAGGCTCATCGACGTCTTTTGGGATAGGCACTGATACGCGAGGAAACTTGGACAAGTGTTCCGGGAAAAGTTGCCCTCGGCTTAACTCTGTTAAATACAGGGAACTCAGAACTCACAGCAGCATGCCGTGTCTCGACATCGGGAGACATTGGGGCACTGACTGGATCCACCAGAGAGCTGCCCTAATTCAAGTGAGAAAAGCAGGTCATTGATCAAACGCATGTTTGTTAGACCAAACGGTGATGTACCTTTTCAATAGTCTCATAACCTTCCTAGTGTAAAGTACGGGGTCACAGAGGATGTGCAACTCTATCTCATGAAAAGCTTTGTTGTTGGCACCCTCACTTTTGATGATTCTCACAACTTTCCCGCCTTTCTGCATAGTAGTAAACACCACAAAGTCCCAAACGCACTGGCGCAGCGGGGAGGTTGCGTTGAGACTCAGTGAGTGCCAACCTGTCTTTCGCCCAACGAAAATCGGCAAACCATGAGCTAATCAGTATGACCATGGAGATCTATAATCTCCCAGAAGACAGTCAGCAAAGCATAAAGACAACGAGAGAACAAGGACGAGGTTGCAGACTCGGTCAAAGTGAAGGATAGCTGACGAGAAAGGCATGACGCTAGGAAAGATAGACCTTGGTAAGCGCCAACAAACCACCTCGATGGTCAGCGATATTTACGAGTGCTTTCATCCTCACTATTCAGAAACATCGAGTGCACATTGTAAGACGAGAATGGACATCGCCTGGGTACATCTTGTGCTTTGAAAGATTACATCTCGAAATCTCGCAAACTACAGCGGTTCGGCAATTTGGTCGGAATGACTTGCAGCTCTTACGCTTCATTCACTCACCCCTTGGCTACATAAGGCGATTCTATTTTCGCTTTCAATCTCGCAACATACCGTCCAACCTTCGCTCATCGTCGTCCAAGATGGTTCTCAAGCTCTACGGATTCCCCATCTCGACCTGCACCAAGCGTGTCGCCGTCACTCTCAAAGAGCACAATGTCCCCTATGAGCTCATCGTCATCGATATAACCAAGGGCGTGCAGAAAGACCCGTCCTACAAGGAAATTCAACCCTTTGGTCAGATCCCCTACATCGTGCGTGTTTATAACCCTTCCTTTCTCTTTGGACCATTTCAGCCATATCATCTTCAATATCGTCTAATTCCTCTGGTTTTCCCTTTCTCCGTCCTTCGCTTGATCCTCACACTCATCTGTGTATATAACTTTCACTAGGATGACGATGGATTCATACTCTACGAGTCTCGCGCCATCTGCCGGTACATCGCCGCCAAATACGCTTCCCAGGGCCCACAACCACCCCTCCTTCCCCCAACTGCGGAGATCTCCAGGTTTGCCAAGTTCGAGCAGGGTGCGAGCATTGAGATGTGTGATTTCGACCCGAGCGCCTCAAAGATTGTCGGCGAGAAGGTGTTCAAGCCGTGCGTGGTTTTCCTATGTCCCAAATCCCAATCCCTGATTCACTCGTTTTGATTTTTCAACGAGTCCTGTGCGCTAAATCAGATTTGTAGCATGTTTAATCAGACGACGGACGAAGAAGTAGTTAAGACACACCTCGTAACGTTGAACGCAAAGCTTGACGCGTACGAGAATATACTCAGCAAGCAGAAATATATCGGCGGTGAGGTGTGTATCAAGCCACCTATTCTCAGTTCCCGCTCCATCCGTAGACCTCCGAACATGAGCTGTCGCGCTCAATGATACTACAGGATCTTACTCTCGCCGACATCTTCCACCTCCCCTATGGTCACTTGCTCGGAGTCGCAGGCCACGGCGTTGACACGCTCGCTGATAGGCCAAATGTCGCTCGGTAAGCTCTTCTAGAGCGTCATTCGTCCTTTGAAAAAAAGTTTCCTCTTTGTACTCAATGCTTTTTTTTTCGATTTATCGATTGTAGGTGGTGGAAAGACATATCGTCTCGCCCGGCGTGGACCGCTGTCCAGGACGGTGCTTGATATCGATCATCTCTCATCAGTCACTTGGCCTCGATCTGTGTATTCATCGAATATTCATCTCTTTTATCGATATGTACTCATACGTACGGACGCTGCAGTCGTGCTTACATGTCGATATGTTCTGTCTTGAGGACCACGTCAAGTTCGGTATATCGTTTGCGCTAGGTTCCGAAAGAGTTGTCAAGCCCCCGTATGTATCACGAACAAGGTCCCCGAAGGACACGAGTGATTGCCAGGCTTCGCATACCGCATCGGGACTGGGCTATGAGATACAATGACAGAGTTCACTGCTCTCCACTTCACCATCATCTCATTTGGACAACCTTGAAGTCAAAAAACTGCCCCTGTCACAGAGGCCTTGCCGTATACCGTAAGCATCCATCATTTTTCCTACATGAAGACTCCTGAGTCCTCTTACCCTAAACCACATCCGTCTAACTATATTCCTTGCCAGTTACGCTGCCCGTCATGGTCCAATGACATCAAGATGATAAGCGTCACGGTACTCCTCTAATTTTGACGTGTGAAAACATCGCTCTCAACTGACCACGCTGATTGGACGATCAGTCTCGTTGAGGAAGAACTCTGAGCTCATCCTTGAGGTCATGTCTCTTTTTCCTGAAGGTGGCCGTTCATTGCGAAGTATTTTTTCGATCATAGTGACGACAGACGTGAAGTGGTCATCAAGAATGCTCTACGAAGTCCTGCGTCCGTCTGATGAATTTCGAACCAAGTTTGCTCGTGAAGAAGAGGAACGAGCATGCTGAGTCTAATCCTACCATGGTATATCTCAGTACATTGTCGTCTTTCTGGGTCTTGGCTGAGAGCCTTCGAACAGGGTGCCATGTCTTGACTTCTTGGCAAGTGAACAGGCTCCGGAGTCCGGGATATACACAGTCCTGCTGACGATGATGCGGTCAGTTGCTATACGGCAAAACCGACATGACCATGCTCAAGTCATTCGACGTCGTGTCATCAAGCCGAAGATAGATACGTATTCCCTTGTTTGATCATGTATACGCTGCTTCTCAGTCGGTAGAGGTTACTGATATGAACGATGATATAGACGATGACGACGTGTCTTTCGGCCTCACATCTCATGGCCTGAAGAACGTTGTTTTCTTCACAATTCGTTTCATGCATCCTCGATCCTCGATTCCTTGATCTATCGATCCTTCTTTCTCCACTATTTTTGACAGCGGAATACTAGACGACTTGCACAGTCCACTTATCCTTCCAATTCCACCGTGCGCCAAAGTCCGACTTCATCCATTCTTCGAGTTATTCGTGTGCGAGCAAGCGCTCTGCTTCGACGCCACGATGCGCTTCCGGGACATCCACACCAAAATAACCAGTGGAGGTCGCTGCTTCCTTTCACTCCACTCAACCTACTCACCATTTGGTCAACGCGGTAAACAAATTGCCCGTGACTCTCAAGCTCACCGGACGTCTCCCCAGTGTGTTGGGGATCCAAACATCGCGACCTCTCAAAAATATTGTGAAACCACCGAGTCTTAGGCTGCGCCACTAACCTTTGCCTTTCGGAAAGAGCGAAGTCTTGTCAGAGTGTTCTTCATCTCCTCGAAGCACATCGGCACAGGTCTCGAGTCATGTGGGGACCTTGTCTTACTCAGGCGCAATGTTCTCCTGTGTTCGATGTGTTTTCTGCTCACACGACGAACACAGGCTATTCTTTCGCTTCCATCTCGTCTGCCGACCAGGCGTAGAGAACATACCTTTTCGGGGACGAATACGTGCTCTGACCTATGTATACAGGTATGTCTTCAAGACTCAGAAACTTCTCATCTTCGAGGAGAACTACTAGGCTCATAGCTGCGGTCTATTGTTGCAAGCATGAGAGTCTAGGGCTCTAGCCAGGGACAGCAAGTGCTGTAGACAGGTCGTGTCGGAATGGAAATGACCCAGACAGGACCAGGCTATGTTCAGACGCTGACTGTGCCCAAGACGCGAAGTTCTCTTACCCGGTTACATATATGAACATGTCGTGAACAGGGATTGTCGCGCGGGCGAGTGTGTGTATGTAGTATGTGCAGTAAAGTTTTGCCATGGGAAGCTGGATGATTAAATCTTGATTGCAACGGGTCTCGAGACCTCGAGACCTAGCGCGACTGATGGTATCGTTTGAGGAGACGACCTGGTATGTTTTCTCTCACAGAGTCCCGCGTGAGTGCCTCGTCGTGGGTCTGCAGCATCCCGAGGACGTATCCTTTCTTTGTTGTCTTGCGACCGGTCGAATGCTGCGAAGCACCGCTCAGTCCAGCCCACCTAGAGCCCAAGTCTCGACCGTGGTGCCAGCAACGATGCTTATTACCCTGCTGCAAGAGCAGCAGAGCAAGATCATCTAGGAGAGGATACTCGTTATCCAGTTCTTCACCGCTGTGGAACGTGTAAATATTGGCAAGAGGTTTGAAGGAGTTAGGAGAGCAGCTGACCAAAGCGCTACCGCTTTGGTATTGGTTCCGTCGAGAAATGAATGCGGGGTAAGAGCCACATGACGATCCCCAGCATTGATCGGTGGGTCAGGTGGGCCAAGCTCTCGGAAGGTTTACGTCCGTTTTTGGGAGACAACAGTTCCCACGTTGTGCACACTAAATAGGTTCGGCGACAGAGAAAAGATCTTGTAAATCATTTTTTAAATAATTTCCGCTGTCAAAAAATACTTTCAACTGAAGCACCAGCTGCTGCGAATTGTGGGGTAGATTATGCACTACTGCTCCCGGCTGTAAGAGACGTGTGAGACCGTGGGGAAACAGCGAAGGAGTTGTGTGGGAAAACGGACGTGAAAGGTTATTTGTGAAACTAGAATGAGTAGCTGAATTTGCAACGCCGAGCACCACAGGTCGCCGGGCCAAGCGGTATATATACTTGGCTGCGACTCATCCACTTCCTTCCATCTCTTTCTCTCCCCCATCACCACTGCACAACCTTGCCAACAAAATAAACAGCACAATGTCTTCCGATAACCGTGACAACTTTCCCCACTCTGAGCCCATTCCAATCGGAAACTCGCCCTCTCGCCGTCGCGGCGTGTCTTTCTCGTCTACGGACAGCTCACCATCGTCGCCACCTATCCAAACACCCGTATCTGCTTATTCACCCAAGGTGGCGACGTCGCCCTCTGCATCTTCTCCGATTCTGTCGTATTTCTTGAGCTCTCCGACGAAGCCCAGCACGTTTCCATTCCGTACCCCGCCCTTCGGCAACGCCCCTGTCTTCGAAGGTCTGTTTTGTACCTATTTGCTGTGATAGGGTGTGTATAGTCTAAACACAATGGCCTCGAATAGATGAGGAGGCGCCCGACCCAGATGGACCTCCTTCCTCAATGCACGCTCGTCGTGCGTCCACTGCCTGGGGTGGTAACTCCCGCCTCCCTGCTACGCCAGCACAGCCGGCCCCTGTTCCGGCTCAGCACTCTCAGCACCAGCGCGGCGTAGGGGTCCTTCGTCGACTCTCCCTTGGTGGAGGGTTCAGAGTGAGTCCCCTGTTCTTATCTTCCGTCGCCCCTATCCTCGTTCCGGCTTGTACGCAAACCTGTACTGAATGTTACACACTCTGCGTCATCAGCCGAGCGGCTTTGACCGAACTGGGTCACCACCTAGTCCTTCTACCCCTCCACCCTCCACCATCGCCACATCCCCACCTGTTTCTCTGGCTAGTCCTGCATCGGGCGAGAGGAGGGCGAGGAGGGCCACAACTCTTGCCGTCCGAGCACCCGAAAAGCCCAAGAGAGCGCCGTCACCCATGGGCGAGCGCATCTTGAAGGGCCACTTCGATGGGTTCAACTGAGCCATCTGGATGCATCAAGTCGAAACGAGGGTCGTTGACGGCCTCATCTCATCGATCTCAGCCGTATGGCGTCGGCCTCCATCGCACAGGCCCCCATCGCACATTCTGCTGCATCGGCATGGCTTCTGTACCTCGATCCCGTCTCGTCTCACTTCACGGTCACTGTAACCATCCCCCGCCACACGCATTCCGTCTCGTTCATCTGTCTCTCGCGTCATCGGACTGTGATTCATCACCGTCTCCATCATTGTACCATCATCCTAATTCCGAAGTGGAGCAACAGTCTCTCTGATAAAACGACGAGTGTAGGAAGGAGAAGTCTCCATCATTTATAACAACAACAATACCGTCGTCTGCGGTGCTCGTCTCGTCTCGAACACGCCTTCCTGCGCGCTCATCGATCTGTTGGAGTTCACCGCAGGTGACCCGAGCTGTCTACCTACTCCAACGCGGCTCGTCTCCTTCATGGTGAGCGCTCTCGGTCGTCGCGGCCGTCTATACTCGTTTCGGTCTGCGCAGCCGCTGCACGATCGTGTCTGATCACCGCCAAAATACGTCCTACACACCGTTCGATTTTCATTGTACACCTCGCATCGCGCGTACATAATTCATCATCGTCATCACCATTGCACTCATACGTCACACATCATACTACCTGTCTTTCGTCTCCACCTTCGATCTCGTCTTCAGCTTCATCGCCAGTCGTTATTGAGCGCCGCCCTCGCCATTCGTTCCAATTTGGTCCACCATCCACCGTCTGAAGTGTTCATCAATGTATACTTATCCTCTTGCCTTCTCTGTGCGCGATAGACTGGTCATTTTCGTGTTTCACGCACTCTACTTCTCCTCTTCTTCGTCCGTTTCTTTAGCTTCCCTTTCTCCTGCCTTTCCGTTCTCTTATGGTTCACCATCTACTTTGTATGGACCGATGTATGTTCGAATGTCTTGTGCGTCTGCAGTCTTTTGGATAGTCATGTACTTCTACCAGTTCCTACTCTCTCTTCCTTGGTTTTCATGTCGAATAAGTATGTACACGTCTGTAAGTAATATTATTGCGTATTCGAGACTGTATAGTCTTCATCCTGTCTAAAGGGTGGTTACTCGTCTTTCAAGATGTGTAACCGAATACAGTAGTTACTGTAAATACGGCGCTCAGAGGGCACGAGTTGGTCTCCGCGATCTCCGCGGCAGGACGTGCTAAATGGGAGCGAATTTATTCATAGCATGAGAAGTAAAGTCTCCACAGATCCAATACTCGGTATATCCACTACGAGGAAGGCACAGATACAAATAGATATCCTAACATTAACCTCCTGCTGGATGCTTGAGCTTGGTCGATGAGTCAGGAGTATGAATGCTCGTCCAAGTCTACTGTCCAGACCTCATCGCCATCATCAAGCTAATTGTCTTCATGTCGGGCACACACCCCTTCTCCTTCATCATCCAATCTACTATATCCATCGCACCATGCCTCACCGCCGTCTGAAGCAATCCAGGGGTCACCTTCATCCTGTCCTCCGTTCTCCGTCTCTTGGCTCCAGACGCCACAGTGGCGTTTTCACCACCGCTGCCCGCATCAGCCACAGCGGCCTCCATTCTGCGACCGAAGCTTGACCTTCGTGAGCTGAACGGAACTGTAGTTGTATCGGTAGTTGGTGGCGTGTATCCTCGTTCGACCAACATCCTCACTAACCCAAGATCCCGCATCTGGATGGCCACCTTCACAGCGATACCCCCTTTCAGCCCCGGATCTGCGCCATTATCCAGCAGAAATTCTATCAACGGCACGAAACCGGCCAATACAGCCCTAGCCAATGCATAGCCCTCATGTGCGTTCGTATCCGGTCTCGGGATCTTCGGATGATTATACAGGAATTTTAGGAACGGCAGAGGTGCGTGGCGTTCCTTGAGGGGTATGCTTCTGGGTTGGCGTTGTTGTAAGGAGCGGAAGAGACGGCGAGGGAGGTGTGGGGGTTGGATGAGGAGGTGGGGATGGGATGTGACGATGGGATGGGCGAGGAGAGAGGAGAGGACGGCTTCTGTGACGAGTGGGTAGCGGAGGATGACTGTTAGGAGTTGCGGTTTGGGCGCGGTGGATTTGTTTAGAAATATTTGGTGACGATTGAGAAGATATGTTGCGTGGACTGAGGGAGGTGCATGTTTGAAGACGGCGTGGAGACGTTTGCAGGTCAGTGGGAGGTGCTCTGACAGGGCGAAGAAGTAGATCTCGTAGAGCAGCTGGTAAATTATGAAGAAAGTATTTTGTTAGTAAATTATATCAAGGGAAAACTGAAACAGAACAATAGAAGAACCTCGACTGGAAGCGTGTCCAGAGATTTCTGGCGAAGGATCATGGTGGTCATTGAGTGAAGGTGGCGAGCGAGTGGCGACAGGCTCCTCCGAGGGAGAGCTCGGGCCGGCGATATCGATTTCAAGCGGCGATCAAATCAAACAAAATGATTAGTGGCCCGAGAATATTCTGCGGTTCTCGTTCCCCTACCATAAGTACCTCGGGAGTGCAGCGTCTACGTTCTGTGAACTCCTGTGATCAACTCCTGCAAAAGCTTGACTTTATTCAAATATTCAATCCCACCTACTGCTCGAGTCAGCCGTGGCCGTTCTGTTTTTCTCAATAACCTGTCCATGACGTTCGAGATTATCAATTTCGATCCCATTCTCGACTTGTCTGGCGCATTCTCAACTGCTTGTGCTTGCCTTGTGCTATCAGTGCGAACCTAACATCTCAATAACGTGAGTAGCCAGATGTTTCAGGCTGCTTGGACTCAACTCTATGCTGATACGTGTCCATACGTGTCGCTACTTAGTACTCGCCGACTGATAAACAGCCACCCAACCTTGAAGGGATTGCTATATATGTTACCCTTTCTCGGGGCGTTCCGTCACTTGACCATCTCGTACAGCTCCTTCCAGGATCTTCAGATGCCGTTGTACTGTTGTTCAGGCGGTGCGCACCGCCTCGCACAACACAAGACGCCTATCTTGCTACCCCACCGCCACATCTGATATCTTTCGAGAACCGGCCGTGCAGCTACTTTTAAGAGGACTACTTCTCGAAGAACATCTTCACACAATCTCTATCTTATTGATCTCCTTCAAAACGCGTAAATGAGGCTTGCTACCGACCGCATATCATCGGATGGACGCAGGGATGTCGCATTGGCGTCCAGTATCTGGATTCTGCAACGTATTCATGTGAGTATTTCTCTTTTCCCAGCCCTAGTCACAGTCCTCACTTGCAGGACCGCGGCTTTTCTCACAGGATATTGCGGATAGCAGCGGAGTCCCTTTCTTGAATAGCGCCGTGGGACTGGCGCTTAGTATACTTCAAACCATGTCGGATGCTCGGGATAACATGGCCACTTGTCAGGACCTCGCCGCATATGCCGCCGAGGTCGTACTGACTATCCATGATGCAATGAAGGGTGTCGATTCTGTGAGTCCTGAGACGCTCAAACATGTTGTAGACTTCGAGGGGTAAGTTCACTCTTATTCAGGGCCAAGTATCTGGCATCCAAAGCACTAACTGTCGCATCTCCTGACAGATCGCTGAGAGGTATCAAAACCGACCTCGAATTTCTAGGCAAGAAATCGTTATGGTATCAGATGCTATGTCAGGTTCGAATAGCTGGTCGCATCAAGCTTCACCGGCAGAATTTAGAGAGAGCGCTGAGCTTGTTTGGGGTACGTGTCGGCCTCGAAAAAGTTAAATCTGTTCGTATCATCGACCGTATCAACCCCAGGTCAAAATGACCATGGCCGTGGAGACAAAGGTCTCGGCCTCCTTAGGCATTTTGAAGCGCATCGAAGTTGACGTTACAAGGATTGGGGACGCTGTCGCCCCAGCTATAGCAGGCAAGACCATCGACAGTGAGCTGGTATGTCTTTAATAAAGAAGTATTCCTTCGTGCATAGATTCTCACAGATAAATACTTGCGTAGATCGTTCAGCCGACCGAGATAGAATTACGACAAGAACTCGCCGCCAGGTCAGGTTATCGCATTCACTCGGCTGAACACAAGGGGAAGAGAGTGATGGTCATGGTTTTCGAAGGAAGTCAGGCCAAGAAGGTAATATCTGTTTATTTCTCTTCCTGATGTACTGTCTCATGAATTCCGGATAGGATCGAGATAGAGCTCTCTCTTGCAGGACAAGGATATTGTAGGTGCACCTTTAACTGGCTAGATTTCGGTTTGGTATTGAACACTCTAGTGGACAGCCATCCTAATCTGCCCCAAATTATCGGTGTATCGCCTGATTCCGTCAGCTATTCTCCGTATATCATGTTACGAGGAGGTACCGCATCTGTGCTGAGCTGTGAAAATTTCGAGTGTGCGGACTGACTTTTCGATGCAGATTACGATAGGAAGGCCCAGTATGTAATTGGTTCTGCACTCATGACCATGGATACCAGCAAATCCTTAAAATTGATCTCAGAACTGGTAAAGTTGTTCTCTTTTCTAATCACGAATCCACGCACTGACTATGGAACCGCATAGCTTGCGAGTGTAGCGGTAAGTTCATGACGATGTTTCCTTCCACAGGAGGTCACGCTTATATATTACCCTTTACAGGCAGGTTTAGATTACCTTCGTAGCCAGGATGTGACATCCGAACGTAGTTCTTCCTTACACCGTATAGATGAATATGTACGTCGTATCAATTTTATTCCATAGATAACACTGCTTACGAACTCTTGAAGGATCTGGACGTTTTCAGCAACGCAGAGGGCCGTATATACATCTCCATCAACCCTGCCTATTTTGAATATGGAGTAGATCCTCTGCTGAACGAATTTCCGAACGAGTTATCAGCAGAGGAGCGAACGCTGAATGCACCGATATGGAATCGATTCAATGCCCTGACTAGGCTGGTCAGTGATCTCATCGACCACTCGGAGTTCTCTAAGAGCTGACAACAGACTCAATTCAGCTTCTGTATCGAGCAAATGGGATCTCATACGGTCTGTTTTGTGTGGTTGTTGCACTCATCCCAGATTCTGATGGATATTTCGAACAGACAAGTACGGTGACCAGGACGGACATTTCGTTATCTTCGACTACCGCCTGCCCCGGGCGATTCGCTCTAGCCAGGCCCTTCCTCTACTAGATGTGGCGCCTGAGGTCGCATTACGAATGCGTTTCAAGGGCGGAAACAACATGTTTGGTAAACCGCGCTCGCTGAGCGAAATCTCAGACGGTTATCGCGCAAAGGTCGACTTGATATCTCATTCGGAAAAGCTCGCCATTCTGGAGGTAGCTCATGGCAGGCTGAAGGAGCAGTCACGTAACACCGTCATGTCGCTGGAACCACAATATCTCGCTATCGCCTCTCAATGGAGGCCCGAACCAGATCTCAGATGTGGGTGTTGGTATGAGGAGGATCAGCCAGAAACGTACACACCAATTTCAGAAGAGTCGAGAATATGGACCTTCGCTGGCTCTAGTCCTTCGAGTTAATGGTTCGGTTACTTATCGTGGTTCTCGTTGATGTATTCTACTGATCTCATACGAATTTCTCTTCACATAATCCATACTCTGAAGTCAGTCGTGTGAGCATCCGAGCTGCTACTCAAAATGAACATTTACGTTCGGTACAGTGAGCAGGGTATATGACTAACCTTCAATTCACAGACTACGAGCGCGTTGTTAAACAATCGGACCTCGATACCACCCCTGAATATTGGTGGGAATGTGGTGTTTGGCCTGTCTACTTGTTTTGCATGGTCCACGATAGCATCAGAGAAAGGTTTATATCATGTGCCGTTAATCATCAAAGTGACATTCAGATTAGGACTGAGCAGGGATAATTGAAGCGTATAGTATGCCAAAGCAGGCGGGTATATTCGGACAGCCACTACTTTCTCATTCCCTCATCACTACTTGCTACCACCCTCCACCCCACGCTCCTTCGTAGCATGTCGTAGATCATTCAAAGTTATACCTGACCGTTCACACATACCGCGGAAGACCCCATTCTCTATCTGATATAAGTTCTCCGGTGTGTCGAGTTCAGCAATCTTCCCGGCGTCGAGCACGCATATCCTGTCATACGATATGATAGTCCGCAGACGATCTGGAGATACGACAACAAACCGTGGTCAGCGAAAAAGTCAGGCCCAACACGGAGGAGTAGAGCATACGAGCGATGCAGAGAATAGTCCGGTCCCCGAACTCAGTTGCGATGGTCTTCTGGATATTCCTGTCCGTTTCGTAATCAACGGATGCCGTTGCCTCGTCCAGAACGAGGATTCTGCTGTCCTTGACCAGAGCTCGCGCAAGCGAGACGAGCGATCGTTGGCCGATAGATAGGTTCGCGCCTTCTGCGTCGATAGGACTGTCCAGGCTGAAGCGAGGGTTAGATACAGACGGAGTACTCGATCCGTCCTTGTGGGCGGGCTCAGTGGATGACCGTTGACCTGGAATCTGCTCCACGAGGTACGAACGCTTGAGGGCGTCCCATAGCTTCGCATCATCGTGTACATTGAATGGATCCAAATTGCTGCGCAGTGTCCCAGAGACTGACCATCAAAACATCAGAGGTGGTGTTGAGTCAGAAGAACAGTGAGGATACTCACATAGAGTGGCTTCCTGAGGAATGATGGATAACGCGCCTCGAACATCCGCAAGTCCAACTTTCGAGATGTCTATGCCGTCGATAGTCATAGACCCGGACATCGCTTCCACGATCCTGAACAGTGCGACCATGACGGAAGACTTTCCAGCGCCAGTTCTGCAAGTCAAGGTACGAACAGTAGTCAGCTCAGCTAGTCTTCTTGCCCACCATTTCTAGTTGCCACTCACCGACCCACAATCCCGATCTTCTCGCCGCTTCGAACTGAGAGACTAAGGCCTTTGAGAACAGGGGGTAGACTTGGTCTATACCTCATGGCCACATCCTTGAGTTCAATTTCACCCGCAGAGGGCCAAGATGCTGGTGGCTTGACTGATTCAATCTCATGTGGCGCCTCTTGTTCGATGTGCTCCGTGTAGTATACCATCCGCTCGACCGAGTTCATATCGTTCTCGACTTGGGACAATTGGCGGATGAGGTATCCGAAAGTCTACAAATATTAGAACCAATCGTGAGTGAAAGATATTTACGAAGCCGGACGTGATGCGTACAACTTGGACCTGGAGGATGTATGAGAGCACAACGCCGGTCTGTGCGGGAGAGATGGTAAACCGCGTTCCGACGGTCAAGACGGCGACGGCGAAAGTAAGAAGCGCCCCAAAACAATCCAGTCGTATTCCAAGCCACCTCTATAAATCAACGATAAATACCGGATAACAAGCAGTTGAAAGCAGCGAGAGACGGCGAACCTGGTTTACCACTGTCATCCAATAAGCTCTATATAAATAAAAATGGCCAAGTCAATAATTGTGGACACGGTCAAAATAAGTGAGTACCTCACCGGTTCTCGATGTCGACCAATTTCTCATTCTCGTTGTGGAACCTTTCAAATTCGCCGTATGCCCGTATGGTGGCCAAGCCAGACAAAGACTCAGAGAAGTGAGAGTACAGCGAAGAACGCAGGATGGCATCTATCCCGTGCGTCAGTGCCGTTCACAAATGTTGAATGAGTTGACCGTATGAGAGCTTACCCAGTCGCTGTCAAATCGTCCATCGATGAGCTTGAGGAATTTCATGATATGAGAGACGAAAACGCACCTTGATCTCAACCGCACTAGCTCTATAATAGGCCGACGCTAATGCATACAAGACGGCACACACGGCAACCGCGACTAAGAACCAGGGGAGAATAATAGCAATGAGAATAATTGCTCCGACTGCACCGGCAGCCATGTTGATGAACATGCGCAGGTCATCTGTAAACAACTCCGTGTAAATTTCCGCCGTTTGGTCACAAATGGGATCGCCGTACCCGCGATGACGTTGTCAAGTGCGTCCACGTCTTTGGAGAACCTATTCATAATACGACCAAGCGGCTAACATAGTCAAGTCAGCTGAAGATTGCTATGAAGGGAAAACAGCGGAGGGTGGCGTACTGTAGTTTCAAAGAACGACATCGGTGCATGCATGACGCGGTTGAGAGCATTCTTTAAATGTAGAGTCAGCAATCGAACGGACTCTTCCAGACCAGAAATGAGAAAAACGGACGTGGTGAAGTCGCTTTGACGCGGAATAGACGATCAAGGACATCATGACACCCATGAAAAGACCTGTGAGGGCTTGACCAAAGCCGAGCGCTGCGTAGATACCCATCTGATGAAGATATGTAGGAGTATGAGTTGTGAACATACGACGGGGCAGCTGTAAAGGCTGATAGACATACATAAAAGCCTTGTGGTTCCGCCCATTTCCTAAAGGTAATGTCAGCATGCACTCATCACGATGACACCGAACTAGTTATCAAGTGACCTACATTTCCTGCCAGTATACAAGCCTACCAGAGTAGAACGTGCGTCGATATTAGAAGATGCAGGAAGAAGCAAGAAATACTCACCAATACGAAGACATAACCTGCGTGCCCTGCCAGATCACCAGCGCCACCAAGAAGAACGGCCCGAGGAATCCTCCATGCCCGGCTTTCAAATACGCTCCATAAACGCTCCAGTCCACGGACCCCTTATTCCTCTCCTCCTCCTGCATCATCTGTGGCGCCTGCACGACCGAAGCTCCCTTCTTCGTATCTTTCTCGTCCTCATTCTGTTCGATGTCCTTTGGCACCCCCTTTACGACCCCGGCATCACCGTCCGTCTTTACCGCAACGCCCTGATCTTTTGACAAGAATTCATCGATGAGACTCGCGAACACACCTCCAGGACTAGACATAAGCTGTTCGTAGGTCCCGTGTTCGGCGATCTTCCCATTGTCGAGCGTGTAGATGTAGTCAGCCTGGGATAAGAAATGTAGAGCGTGGGTAACGAGGATGCGAGTCTTGCCAGAGGAGGCGTTGAGGAGGACATTATTGAAGACAGACTCTCCGACGTGAGCGTCCAGAGCAGACAGAGGATCCTGTATATGATATAGATCGTAAGTCTGGCGAATGCAGCACGTTGCGATCTAAAGAGGGCGCTTACGTCGAAGATCATGATGTCGCAGTCTGAATAGATGGCGCGAGCGATGTTCAACCTTTGCTTCTGACCGCCTGAGAGGGATATTCCCTGCATAATTCAGCCCAGTCAGCGATCATTGTCAGAGCAAGAGTTGTGAAGTTACCTTCTCCCCGACTTCTGTCAGGTCACCGTGGGGTAGCATCTCCAAATCCATGCCAAGACAAGCATCCCTCACCGCTTTCCAATAGCTCTCTTCCTCGAAATTCCTCCCAAAGCAAATGTTCTCCCTAATACTCGCATTCTGTATCCATGCGCTCTGCGAGCAGTACGCCACACTACCACCAAACTTGACGCTCTCTGGCTCGGAGGCTCGGCGCATTTCGCCGATGAGACCTTGTAGGAGCGAAGTCTTGCCAGAGCCAACAGGGCCGACGATTGCGACGAGGGATCCACGGGGAATGGTAAGTGAGATGTTGTCAATGGTGAAGACTGACTGTTTGTCGGCCGAGGGGTCCGGAGATGGAAACGACGCCTTCACGCCATCCTTACCCTCGTCTTTCCCTTTACCCTTCCCTTTACCATTGTCCTTAGCCTTAGATTTCGGTCCACCACCACCTGGTCCCATCCGGATCTTGACATCCTTTATGTCGGGCGTCTTGTTGATCTCCGCCGCATCCTTGGCCGTGATGTCCCAAGAGAATGAGGCGTCCTTAACCTCGAGAGCGTTTGGCAAGGAAAGATCGGTGATGAGGGTCTCAGTGACTAGTTCGGCTTCGAAGACTTCTTGTAGGCGTTTGACGGCGTTACTTGCGTCGGTAATTGAGCCAATGGACATCGCTGAATGTAAGTGCGTCAGTATGAGTCACATCATTTACGAAGGGACTATGACGGTTTGAAAACTCATGCACGTACGAAGGAAACCGAGCGGCATGCGAAGAAGTGTGAATAGTGTGAGTGAGGCGAAAATATTGGCGGGGTTCAGAGTGTGGCCTGAGGCTGAGTAGACGAGGAACGCGACCACGGCCGCGAGCGCAGGAGTCGCCAGCATAAGCGCTGAGTTTGCCGACTTGATGAACAGGAGGGTGCGCACGTATCTGTAGAGTAGAGCTCTTTCAGCACTATACCTAAGTAGATATGGGCGAAGAAAACGGAGGGAAAATCGTGGACATACGCCATCTCCTGCCGTCGATACTCCCTGACCCTCTTCAACATCGGCACCTCCCAAGTAAAATACTTGATCACCATCATACCCCCAAACAGCTCCTGCAACGCTTTGACCCTCTTATCCGTCCAGACCATAGCGTTAACCCGATTCTTGATCAGCCCTCCGATGAAAATTCCCTGTACCGGCACTAAAGCCACAAACGTCGCGAAACCAGCCAGCGCGCTTGGACCAAGGTTGATGATCAACTGCACTAGACAGACGATCAACGTCACCGGCGCCGTCCAGCATACGTGGAAGTTCTGGCAGCAGAAGTCGATGCGGGAGACGTCGGTCGAGATGTGATTAACAAGACGTCCGTTGGGTAATTTAGAGCGGGAGCGTGTGGTGAGCCGCAAGGCCAGGGAGTATATAGAAGTTATGAGGCCGCCACGGAGGAGGACGCCAGTGGATGCGGTCCGGTAGAAGTAATGGTGATTGGCGACGAAACCGAGAGCTTGAAGGGCGAGGAGACCAAAAGCGTATCCCAATCCTTTACCGATGGAAGGTGCGCGTTGACCAAGTTGATGTGCATCGTATGAGGCCGTAGCGAAGTTAATGAGGGCCTATGCGACAGAGGGTTAAGCTATCGATGAATACGGGTCATTCACTTGAGTGGAGGAGACTATCCGTACTTTGACCAGAAGAGGGCTAGTGACTTGGGACATGTCGCTGATGAGCTTGAATACCCCGCCCCACCAGAACCAGGCCATGACACTGTCATTCATCGCCATAGCCAAGCTTGCCTTCTTCTTATGCGCCTCTCGCCACTCCTTCGCTTTCTTCTCCTTCTTGCCCGTCACGTTCCACCACGTCCTCTTCACCACTCCCGGACTAATCTCTCCCTTATCGAGCCGAGCATTCCACTCGTCTGCCTTCGCCCTTCGAGCGGTGAATGAACTCAAGATCTTGTCAGAGATGACAGCGGAGGAGCGATGGTCCTGAAGCCTCCATAGATCTGGGGCCTCGAGCGGACGGGAAAATCCGAGTGCCATGAGGGGCGTCAGCCAGGAGAACGTGAGCAAGCTGAAGAAACTGGCGGTTGCTTCTGGGGTGTAAGCCGCATCATCAACGCTCTTCGGAGGAGGAGGAGGATCGAGGGGAAAGAAGCATCCTTTAATCATCCTACGTATCATCGTTGATATTAGTGTCGATAAAGCTCCAAACGAGGGCGGCATGCGAGGGAGAGTGGGCCATTGACATACCCTTCAAATTTCCCGAAGCGTTTCTTTGAAATGCATGCATTGTCCTGGACATTCTCACCAAACTTCTTGAGCTCGAAGGCGGTTGTGGGAGGAGAGCCATCCTTGGGCGCGATGCTGCTCGTACCCATGGAGTATAAGTGACCCGAGGTCAACACCGAGGAGCGGCTGAGAAGATACAGGACGACGACAAGCCTTAGCAAGACGAGAAAGCAACGAAAGCCTCAAGCTGATATATGTGTCAGCGAACCCAAAAGAGAGTAGTCCGTTAGATCCAGTACGTTCATCGAACGATCGTCCACCAGTTTACCAGGATTGTCAGTAATCATTAATCAGCCGTTGACGCGTCTATTCGGGTAACATTCGAGTTAAGAATATTAGTTGGCCGTCCACGAGGACCTATCGGCACCGTGCTACCAGAGCTGTATCGAACTTATGCTCGTGGGCATCGCCGCCGCGAGGACGCGCAATCGTGCGCAGTGGTGGGCGCGTCATAGTTCTCAACACAGAGCCCCGGAGTAACTTCTGGTCATACTGAAACCTGAAGATGCCGGCATATTTAGTTGTGGGGGCTGTTCACTAGATAACGAAGTTGTTCGAAGAGCTATTTAGAGCAAGTGTCCTGCATCAGAATATATTCCACCCTGAGATCTAGACCTACCGGTTCAGTGGATGCCTGTCCGTAACGATATAGACTCACTCGTTCTAGTTCTAAATCACACCCAAAAGGTGAACCGGGAGAGACCTCGCCCCGATACCCAGGTTATTCTGGGATGTGTGACCAAAATACAGGCATCCAGTGTTGCACCCAATGACGCGAATTCCAAACCGAGGATGGCGGCAACGACGCGTAACAAAGCGGCACGGCGACAGACTGAGAGACGACCTCATAAGCACATGCACAATAATGGCAGGTTTTGGGGGATATCGGGGGTTCAATTCGCCGATCACGGTGTTTTTAACCCTATGTCAAAGGTGCTCGGAGAGGTTTGAGAAAATATCACCTTTCCCAGAGGATCGTTGTGGAATCCGAGTCGTGGCGCCTGAAAAGATATCAGAAGTAAACGGACAAGTTGTAGCCATGTACCAGGAGACTGGTGATCTTATCTTATCTTCCAACTTATTACTCGCACCACCTCTAGCGGGCATGTAGGCGTGAACAAAGAGTGACGCAATGCGAATCTCCGCGTGCGCGCACGGACGTGTTTGATCTGGCACAGACAGCAACGACAATGCTCGACTTGGACGTGGCTTCCTCCGTCTTGCATTGACAGGTCGGAGAAGCCATCAAGCTGGCAAGAAGCTTGATGGATCTGATGTATCGTTCTTCTCTCCCGCGCCCCTCCCGCCTCTTCTTACGCAAGCCCGACGTTCTCTTCTTCGTGGAGCTGATGCCATTGTGGGGTTCAGCATCGTGTCCGGAGCTGGCAAGAGTAGCAATGCACTCTACCATCTCGGTCCCCCTTGTGTAGCCTCATGTCACTAGCTCAATGGAAACTCTCCGCGGGCATTCTGTCTTGGATCAGCGTTCTGACCTCCCAACGTACTCGGAGCAGTTACACGCGCTCAGGTGCCGAGTAACACTGATACACACCGCACCACGCCGCAACATATCACTCCTGTTCATTTTATTTGGGTATGCAGACTGCATACGGAGTGTATTTTTTAGACAAATTCTGGGTGCCCTTGATTCTCGGAAGCTGAGCATCGCTCGAACTCCTCGCATTAGTTGTCAAGTGGCCTCGTTGCTCTTAGGTTTGTGGAGTGTGTTGCTTCTTGGGTCTGTTAAATGCATGTGTCTTCACCTTGTTTAGCTTTCTTGGAGATGCTGACATTTGGTGGTCGATCGTCGAACCGGGTAGAAGCCCGACAAGGGCTGCCCCACTCTCGAATATGCAGTAGGTGTTGCCTCCGGCTCTTGTTTCCGTGAAGAATTTCGGGTCTCCAGGCCACTCTGGATTATCATTTGACAATGATCTCCTTGTGTTCTTCCTTGCAACGAATCCCGATGTTTACTTGGTGGTCATTATCCCGAAACAAGTCTTAGGAGAGCTGATCCATCTAGAACAGCTCTGTAGACATCGTTTCAATTTCCCAAATTTCTGGAACTCCACCTGTTTCATTTTCTGAATGGTCTCTTCTGACCACAGTAATGCTATTCTATTTTATCTTCTCAATCAAGCTTTTCGGGACACCCTCACACCCTCGTGTCCAAATGCAGATCGGTTTGAGAAGGCGAGCAACTCAGACTTGGATTTGACTATTGTGTACATGGTACGACACAGGTATTCTTGCATCAGAGTTGTATGCTCCTTCGAGATTTCTTTCAGGGTCTCCTAGAGCAGAGACATTCAGTGCTGCTGACTTTCCCCTCAGCTTACTCCTCGCTATTCGTCTACCCCGCTCTCCTAACGTTCCCAAGTATAATATTTATGACACCATGCCAAAACTCTTACACCTCGCAGAAACATCAATAGAGTTGTTGACATTGCCATTACCGTTGTCTGAAACAATTGTTAGTGGTGACTGTATTTTTCCGAGGACATAACTCAGTACTCCACTCTTTTTTAGGCTAGATCTTCGGATGACACGGAAAATGTGTTGAAGTCAGCGGTAGGTGACAACCAAACCGAGGTATATTTCACTACAATCTATCAATTTGACGTCCCCTAAATATTTTCATTGTCAGTCGAGCTCGTCGGAGCAGAAGTGCCGGCTGGGTGAAGAGTCGAAGAATTCCTATGTGCCGGATATTGGATGGGATATAAGACGGAACGATGTCAAGGTTGGTTTTCGGGTAGTACTACTTTTTACCTTTGGCTGATTTTCCGAAACACAAATATACGTGTTGTACAGGTTCCGCTTAGACAGTTGTGGATCACTGCCGAACAGAAGGAACACCTCAGCGATATTTACGCGACTCAGTCGGAGTATAGGAAAACATTTATCGCCACAGACTCTGTTCAGGCTGTGGCCAATACTCTCCTCACTCAGCATGGCCTAGATTACGCGACTCGTGAACAACTGGAGAGCAGATGGAAGACCGTATGGAGTACGAAGTGGAAGTCAGGGGACGGAAATATGCAGAGGGTACTGCTTCAATGGTAAATACCTTTTCAATATTCTATCGTGCTATGCTACATTTTTTGATATCATAGCGCTTGTGGTTACAATACCGATGCCCGTCAACACTCAACTGCCCGCCGTCTGAACAAGAACGTCTCGAATGAGGACCTGTGGACCCGTCACGCCCCCTACGACTTCACAGGATGTTTGGCGCACGCCGATATCACATTTACGGACTCAAACATGATCACCCGTATTGTAGGTTACTTCGACCACAATGAATCTTGTCAGACTTCCTCTCTTGTTCGCTATCCCGCTATCCCGATACATCCTCATGTTCTAGAAGTCGCATTGGCCCAGCTCGCAGATGGCGCAAAGTACGTGAAACATTCTCCAGATATTATTACAACGTCAGTCCGACTCGTCGGTGACTGATATTTTCTCTGCTTGTACAGTATCCGTACCGTGCAGAAGCGTAATACTCAGATGTGCGAGCAGCGTCTCTATCGTGATCAGCTCACCACAGACCCCCTCCGGGCCAACTTTCGCTACGAGCTGAGCAGATCCGATTACTCTCGACTTCATCGCCGCCATCACGAAGCTAAGGGGATTGATATCGACGTCTTACCACAGTATAATGTGGACGAATGGCTACAGCCAGGGCATCCTAATTTCAAGCCCACCATCTATGAAGCCGTCTTTCACTACTCCGCTCGTACGAGCAAATCCGAGCGTTTCGAAGTCTGTATATGCACTCCAGACATGGAAGATGCTGCTTGGTCGTACACGTACGAGTCACAGATGATACTCGATGGTACTTTCGGCGTCGCATCTTCGAGACTGCTCTTATTCATCGCCATGAGCGTCGACGAAGAGCGCAAGGGTGTTCCAATCGCTCTCTTCCTCTTCTCAGCACCTACGGGAAATCGTGCCACTCATGCTGGTTATGATACGAAGATCCTCACAAAACTATTGACCACTTGGAAGGAGTGGATGACGAAACGCCCATCTTCCCGGGGCCGTATCTTTGCGCCTGCCACAGTGATCACAGACACAGATACTAAGGAGCGAGGTGCTTTGAACATAGCTTGGCCCGGCGTAATTCTTCTCCTCTGTAAATTCCACGTACGCCAATGCTGGACGAACAAGCGAACCTCTTTACTTGGAAAGCGTGTAGAGTCTGTTTGGAAGTCACACGTTCAAAACCGACTTCGAACCCTTGAAAATGCGTGCGTATTATTCTGCTTTTTTCAAGGCCTCGAACTGATGTGTTGAAAAATATTGCAGACTTCTCGCATCTACTACCTTCGATAGTGCCTGTGCCCTGATAGTCTCCGAGCGGTCGCACCTCTCCCTCCTCCAGGGCGAATCGGATAGCCAAAATTTCGCTGTGGCTGGGCTTGCATTTCTCTCTTACATGGAAGAAACTTGGATGAACGAATCACTGTGGAGAAGTTGGTCTCAGTGTGGGCGCAACGATGCTGCTGCTCGCTTGGGTATCCCAGTCGAAGGAGTTTTACCGACTACGAATCATCTCGAATCGTTCAACGGGGTACTGAAGAACGATGACCTCTCTGAAATACAGCACGCCGGTCGTCGACTGCGATTTGACGTCCTCATCTTCTACATCATCTCCTACATCCTTCCCCTTATATTCGCCAAACTGCGTGTCCACCGCCATTACCTTGAGTGGCGACGCAAACGCTTCTCCCTTGCCGCAGGGAACATTCACATTCCTGACCATCAGACTCTTGCGACACAGAGAACGCAAAGAATCCTGGCTTGGTATAGCGTAGACGTTCGCAGAGACAGTGATGCGCAATCTATCGTCGACGCTTGCCGTCTTATTCCCGTTCCTTGTCCTATTGCCTATGAGCTCTGGGCAACGTGTGCCACATCGTTTGCCGATACAACCGTCACCACATATCCTCGATATTGGCTTTCAATACATAGCTCAGGTGCAGCGACTTGCACATGTCCAGACTGGCTTCGGCGAGGAGGTGCATGCAAGCACCTCCGTGCTTTTCGAATCGTAATCCAGTATTGGATCACTGCAGGGCAGGTCCCTGAAATGTATCTGTTTCCGTCTACGTATGACGAAGCATTAGATATTCAGGCAAAAAACGAGGCTTGGTATGGCGAAAAGATAACGACATCTATAACATCACCCATCTCCCTCGACACTTGGCCTCAGGGCTACAGTGACTCCACACCGCCTACTACGATGATCGCCCCGGGAGAGACCATCCATAGAGCAGCACTCCCTCCCCCTCACATCGAGGATCGTGTTCCATCATTGCTCGTGGAGCAGGAACTGGAGTCACTCGCTACAGGAGCTGATGACGACGAGGGCCTAGGGCCCACACTTCAGACAGCCGTATGCCCTTATATTATATATGTCATCACTCGAGGTTACTGATAGCACATTCATAACAGAAACCTGAACTCTCCGAGGGTACAAACACCCAACACGAATGCAACAGCCGTGCAATCATGCTTCAGGTACAAAGCCGTATTGACCATGAAGTGGCTCAGCTACTTCCTCGCCTGCATGGCCTTGCCACTCTCATGGGCGATGCAATTCAAGTGAGGCCGAATGCTAACCTCCTCGAACTCCGTGAAGTGCTTCAGGATCTTACACATGAAACGGAAAAACTTACTTCGGGAGACCGCTTGTCTTCGACGGGAGAAACTGCCTCTTCCAAGGCGAGTGTGCCGCAGGCTCTAGACCAACCACTACTGAAGACACGTAAGTCCAGATAAATCTGAACAGTATCAAACACAAACTATTCGGCACTGTGGCTAATAATTTGTTTCCGAAATCTAGCCCCGCAATCGTCAACCTCGCTCAAGAGAAGTAGGGAGAGCCAGAGCACAGTTTCATTAATGCCTCCTTCACCTGAGGCCCAACAAAAACGTAAGAAGTCCTTTGGATTTCTTTGAGCGACTCAGACCCACCGTAGTGTTAGTAGTTACACAGTTACTAGGAAATAATAGTGATTGCTACGTACATTTCTTGTATCTAGCCGTGTCTTGTCTTCGAAAAAAGATTCTGGCCTATGTGATGTTTTTATCGCAAGTCCGTACGTTTAGGAAACAACGGTGAATTGCCTAGTAAGATGGATGAGCCATCAGTGGTGGCACTATGCGTCAAGTCCACTGAATGACTTCTGTAGGACCTAGAATAATGATTTTTTAGGGCTATGCGGAAGTCAAGCAGAAGAATGAAATAGAGATGAAGAAGAAGAGAGAACGTAAAAGATGGAACTTTGAAGACGCACATCCACTATAAGCACCACTTTCACAATACTGGTCAAACACGTAGACACCGGATAGATTCAGTTATTGCTAGCACAGAAACATCTCTACGTGGCTCAAGCTAATAACGGAACTTGGAGTGAATGGTCTGCGCAACATGGATAAATTGTTGTCTGCCAGATATACTCTGGCACCTTTTGACGGATGGCTTCTAGATAAGAAAGAGCGGTCTTGAGGATGTCCGACGAGCCTGTCCTCGATCACCACAGAAGTTCGTGAAAGAAAAACTCTAGATAGACCAGTCGATTTGATTGGGCTGGCTCGCCGAAGATGGTGGTGTATCGTAGGACGGCGGGCGGTACATGCGGCGGGCGTCAGTGGGTGTGTTGGCACAGGCGACTAAGTGAAAGATAATTGCCCAGAATATTTAACCTGTGACCTTTGCTCTTGAGAACAGAGCTTTGAAGTCGAACAAATACATTGGGATGCCCATAATACATAGGGCATGTCTTATTTATGCATGCTTCGCTAGAAATCGACGGGGACAAGCACTGGAATATCGCTCTGAGATATGGCGAGGCCGGTCCGGCGGTCCGATTCAGCTCACGCGTGAGCTGCTCATTGTGGCACCCAAGTGGCACTAGTTCATTGGCGTCAAGTTGGTGTTGTACTGTTGAAGTTTCGAGTCTCGAGTCTCGAGTACACTCAGAAAGAACAAATATACAGAGAGACAAAGACTCCTCTTGGAATTTTATTCACAAAGGCAAGAACATGTAGTACATGGAGTCGTAAAAAAACAACGGACCCGGGACCACACAGAGCCTACATCAGAAACGTACATGGCCGCCGTCAAGGCATGACACCACCAAGATATAAAGGAGGAGATGGTCATGATTTTTCACACACAACATAATCTCTGCCATAGATGCATAAAAACTGGAGAAATCACATATTAGATACACAACTAGAAAGCAGAATCAAGTAGATAAACGAACCAGATCACTTCTCGCCATCAGAGTCATCAGTCGACAGAATCTCGAGTGTCCCATCCTCGTGCTCAACGAAACAAGTCTCAGTCTCCACTGCCTTTCCCTTTCCCTTGCCCTTGTGCTCAACCGTCGCCTTCATCGCCTTGTAGGAACGGGGAAGAGAAGAGCTCGCCCTCCTCTTCAGGTTGCGCGGTACGTTCTTAGCAGGACGAAGAGTGGATGGAAGGGAAGAGGGTCCCGGCGCAGTGAGAGAGGTGGATGAAGGGCTGGAGTAGCTAGGCATGATGGATTCGAACTTGCATACGTGAACTTGAAGTTTTTCGGGGGTCATGATGAGGCGGCAATGCGGGCACTGCGAAAGGAGAAGCATCAGCTCCTCGAAGGTGATGCCAGCACGTTGAGTCTCTCCGTCAAGCCTGAACAAACGCTCCATGGTCTCGATAGAGTCAGAGACGGGCACGTCGCAGGCCCTCCTACCCGAAAGGTGTGGAACATCGACCCAGAATCTGCTCAAGTCATCGATGAAACCTGTATCCTTCACTAGAGTACGATACAATGCAAGAAGACTAAGTAAGAACATGTTTCATAATACAGTTGCTAGAACGACTTGATGCTTACCTTGAGTGAACATATTGTACTCAAACTCTGAGTCTCGAGGGCGCTGAGTAAAGACGTCCCCAAGGCCGGCGGTGCCATGACGGTCCTGAGAGCTGGACGGGCTAGCGGTGTCGAACAGTGCTTTCATAGGATAGGGTGTATCCTCGAGTTTGATGGGGGTACTCGAGGTGGCGGCGGCGGCGGCGGCGTTCAACGCGTGTTGGACAGATGTGAAGTCCCGTGGAGGTGAGACCGTATAGATCTTTCGCATGCTATCGCGGCGGCCACTCTTCATCTTCAGCGGTTCCGGCGACACGCTAGATGGGATGGTGTTGCTGCTTCCGGAAGCTGACAACAAGACAGGAAGAAGGTTAAGACTGATAAGACGAGCACAATAAAGATGGCAGACGTACCAGGGGGAAACAGAAATGTCGGCTTGAATGGAGTAAGTGAGAGAGAAGTTCCCGTGTGAGCTAGGAACATCGGTGATATGTTAATGCTAATGATTCAAAAGACAATGACAGCCAACCTGAAACGTACCGTCCTTGAGAGGAAAAGTCTTGCACGGCAGGTCTGGATGAGTGCGCACAAAGTGCGCTAAGTTCACTACACAGAAAGTGTAACAGGCCGCAGTCAGGTTCAGGACGGCTGAAAGAAATGTGGGTACTGACGAAAATATGAGCATTTCATAGTGGAGCATGTGAGACAAGGGTCTCCTAGATGCTCGCCAGTCGTAACAGGGATCTTGAGCACGGTCGGCGCTGGAAAACCAGGAGTGCGCAGAGGGCAGAAACATTGAGGACGCTCCCAGGTATGGGTCTCGACATACGCGCGGAACTCGCTGGGAGGTATCGGAGCTCCACCGGCTTCCTTGCACGGGCTACATAAGCGCAGCCAGCATCAGTCAAGAAACAATAGATGGACAGATGTTTGGGGAGAATGTGGTAGACGCACTAGTAGACGGGTTGAAGCGCCATGTTCGAGGCGACGAACGACCCGATGAAGCCGATGTTGCGCAGTTGATCCTTCCACGGGTAGAAGATAGGGTCGAAGCGAGGCTCCTGAGACTTGGGCGGAGACGAGGGGTTAGACGAATCAGCCATTGCGATAGTACAAATCAATAGTGGGTGAGGGAACTGGCCGGGTGAGCTGATGGGTAAGTTTACGGTCAGAATATTAGTATGTATCCGTCACCTCCAGACGTTCTGTGAACGGACTTCCATGATAAGAAATAAACATACCTCCAGCTATTCTCTGGCACTTATGACGAAATGTTCTTCAGAGTTTCCTTGAAATTTCCTACCTTGTCAATCCGTCAGAGAAATGGGGGAGCGGCTCAGTCGGATCCCAACGAGAACATCAGTCACACAGAATTAAACTCGATGGTTACACATTTGACAGGGAGCAACGCTGAGGAAAACGAGGCGAAGCTTGAATTCACAAATGGCGGAATACATACTTTTTCGGTACGAGTGGAGTCCCGGACTAGATAGGAAGGGAAAGGGGTCGAAATGAGAAAGAAGACGGCGGGAGAGGCGGGAGGCGGGATCATCGAGAACATCATATACATTGGCAGGTACTGTCAATCACACGCATGGCATCGCAGAAGTGCAAAGGGCATGTTGATGGAAGGACCCGATGGCCTGACAGGCATTGCGTCACTCTTTGTTCACGCCCACCTTCCCCTCTAGCGCCACCTCGGGTGCCACGCTAGCTATTCAGTCATTACAAGCTCTCATGACGCTCGTCACCCAAGAAAGCCTTGCTCCCCTCCACCATTCTCTTATCCTCACCGTCAGCGACAACGTCGGTGAAGACCCCGCTGGATGAGAACCACACTTCGAATAATGTCATCTTTATCGACAAGCAATTCCAAACAAACCCTTTCAGCTCTTCCGCTTCCGTCCAAGTCTAACCTTCTCATCCATAACTTGACGCCAGACCCGGCCACGCCTTCTGTGTCAGTATTCAAGGAAGTCATCTCGACGGGTCCATCAGTACAGAGGAGATCTCGCATCTTACCAGCCCAAGCGCACTTCTCTCACGTCTCACCATACCCACTTCCGTTCCCATTCCAAATTACACCTCCGGAAAATCCAGAAGAAGAGATCGAGGACAAGGCGGCGTACGTGGAGAGTTGGCTCGCGAAGAGGGAGGCGACGGAACCCAGAGGGTCAAACGATGCGAATGGTTTGACGATGCATTATCCGAAGGAGGGGATGAGAGAACAACCCGTAGAACTCATTGGACTCTCGGAGACGGGTTTGAGGGACTTCCTTCCTCAACTAGATGTCGGGGACTCGTTCGAGGTCTTAGGCGTTCCGGAACTCACACCATCTACCTCTGAAGGCGAAGTACAGATACACGAGAATGGGATTGTGGAATCGACGAAGCCCGGTACGAAAGCACGTCAAGAGCTCGTGGACATACTCGGAGGTCAGGCCACGCTTATGTCGAAGGACGGAGCAGAGGTTCCGTTTGCGCCTTGGTCTTTGAGGTATAGTGGACATCAGTTTGGAGTATGGGCTGGGCAGTTGGGTGACGGGAGAGCTATATCTATTCGTGAGTATTTATCCTTGTCGGCTTGCCTGAAGCTCCGCGAATAACACCCTCTTTGTTGTGTGACATGCAGTGGCGACTCCACACCCATCTGATCCAGACTCCGTAGTTGAACTACAACTCAAAGGCGCGGGTCGCACACCACTCTCTCGCTCAGCAGACGGTCTCGCTGTCGTTCGTTCTTCTATTCGCGAATATCTATGCGCAGAAGGTATCCGTGCCTTCTCATGTCCCTCCATCTTTCTTCTGCTGACGAACTCGGGACTTCAAACTGAATAGCTATGCACGCACTATCAATCCCGACAACTCGATCCCTCTCTATTCTTTCCCTACCTTCCCTCCCTGTCCGCCGCGAACGTCGTGAGGCTGCATCGATTGTAACCCGCATGGCACCGTCGTTCCTCCGCATCGGCTCTTTCGAAGCCCTAAACCCTCCGGCCAGAATGTTCTTCCTCGGTGGCGGGCAGCAGGAAAGGGATCTTGAGGCGCTGAGAATACTTGGAGAATGGGTCGCTTTTAAGGTGTTGAAGCTCAAGGAGAATGCGAAGGAGGGAGAGGGGAGTGCGTGGGGTAGGGACTTGGTACTTGAGGTGGCGAGGAGGAATGCGAGGATGGTGGCGGGATGGCAGGCATATGGGTTCATGCATGGGGTCATTAACACGGATAAGTGAGGGCTTTTTGATATAATGCTCGTCGTCTTGTGCAGTGATGCTAACGGTATAGCGTGCAGCGTTTCCGTTCTGGGACTGACGATTGATTATGGTAAGCGTTTCTACTGTTTGGGAAGATATACCAAAGCTCAATTCGATCATGATGATCTGAAACCAGGTCCCTACGCGTTCATGGACGTATTCGATCCTATCCACATCTGTAATCACTCAGATGAAGAAGGTCGATACTCGTACAAGAACCAACCCTCCATGATGTACGTCTCGTCGAGCCCGAACTCGCACATCATCATGATTTCTCGCTCTCCTCGCTCACTGTTCCGCGTTCAAACGCTCTGTACAGCCTATTCGCACTCCGCGCCCTTTTGAACGCACTCTCGCCCCTCATAGGGCACGAGCTTCAACACTCCAATACGCGGGTCCCAGTCGGCTGGGCAGCTAATCTCACCGATGACGAGGTGAAGGATTTGAGTCAGAAAGGACGGGAGGAGCTAGAGAATGAGCTCGAGGAAGTAGTCCTAGAGGAATCTGGGAAGGAATACGGGAGGAGGATGCGGGAGGTACGTGCGGGTAATCCGTATTCTTTGATAGCAACGTAGATTAAGACGAGATGGTTTACTGATTTATCTTTTTGCTTATTTGTGTAGAGGTTTGGCTTCAAGACTATCGAGGACGCGGACGAAATATCCATCGTCCGACCGTTCCTCACGCTCCTTCAGAACAACTACCTCGATTTCCACGGCGCATTCCGACTGCTCTGTACCCTTAAACCTTCGAATGTCTCAGGTGGGGCGGAGCTTGACGCGTTCGTCGCCAAGATGCTAGGATTCACTTCGAGGCCGGAGATGATCGTGCAGGATTCTGCGAGGAAGGAGTGGAAGGATTGGTTAGGGAAGTATATGGAGAGGGTCGTGAGGGAGAAGAAAGAATGGGAAGGATCTCAGTCCATGGCGAACGGCGTTAATGGCAACGGCGAGGCCAAGAGTGGGAATGAATGGGAGGAAAAGAGGTTAAGGGAGATGAGGGGTAAGAATCCACGGTTCGTGTTGAGGCAGTGGGTGCTGGAAGAGGTCATCAAGAAGGTGGAGGACGATAGTAAGGAGGGAAAGAAAGTTTTGGCAAAGATTATGCACGTGCGTAATCATATCTCTTGCCTATTATTTTAATTCGCTGATACCCTCGGTTCTGTTTGTTTTGACGGTGCACAGATGGCATGCAACCCGTACGAAAGCTGGGGTGATGAGGACGAAGAGTACGATATTGACGGTGAGAATGGGGATGAAGAGATGAAGCAGGAGAGGCGGGTGTGTGGTGTGGGTGAGAAAGCGATGTTGGGTTTCCAGTGTAGTTGTTCGAGTTGAGTGGTTCTCTGCAGCTGTCGAAGAAGATCAAGAGGCGTGCAGGCGTACGTGAGTACCGGAACGCTTGTCAGACTGTAGTCTAGGTAGGTCGCTCGACGTGTATCGAAAATATATGTACTTTTAGTCTCGTATGTTACACCTCGATTTCATCGGTTTGTCTACTTTGAGCTTCGAGTAGAACTGGTAATGAAGAAGGGAGAAGAGCTTGCGAGGATATTGTGTGGGAGCAAGAGTTTTCACGACGCGCTTCACAAGCTTCACCCAACGCGATCACACTTATTTCCACGCTCCCATCGGCGAATACCGGTCCCGATTCTTCCCCACCAAATCGTCCAACTGCCCGATATGCGGTGTTCTCGAAACGAGACACCACATCCTCAATAGCTGCCCACGCTACGTTCGACCGCGGAGAATGCGTTTCGTAGAGTTTCTAACAGACTCAGCGGAACCCATCCCGGAGTTAGTCCGGTTCCTTGCGAGGAACCCAACGTCATTCACATTCGCTGATGCCCCGCCCACATAGGAGAAGGAGGAGGTGCCGCGATCGAGCTCAACTCGGCCTGGATACGGGTCTGTCATCCTACTTCCCTAGTTTCGTTTCACGGTCTTTTACTTAGTGCACGAGAACTTGGGTATCAGCTCCATTTTCGAGTACAGTACGGTACGGTACAGGTCTCGTCCCTAGTTGCTTACTTGTAGATACGCAAGGCGCCCCTGGCTTCGCCGGCGCGGTATAAATATGTTGACTCAAAAAAAAAAAAGATCACACTTATTTCAATTTGACCGAATAATGTGGCGTACACGCTTTCGCACAGTGTGGCCCCTTGTTCGGGACCTTGCATGAAACAGGCCTTGTTATCAACTAAGAAAAAGCCAGCAACATGCCAGCAGTTACCCCTATAACAGAGGTTCCATCGTATATCTCCCCCGAAGAGCATCGGACACTCACGGCCTCCACTCCGGCCTCTTTCACCTCCATCCCTCCCGTTCTTCGCCACACAGAAACCAATGTCCGTGTCACCTTTGACCCTCCACTTAACCCCACAATTTTTGGACCGGATGATGCCAGAGAGGGAACACTATATGTTATTGAGAGGTGTGCTTGACTATCAGCGCGATGGCGCTCTTTTTGTACATATTGTTCAGAATTCGAACGGCGACGCTAATATCCTTCATCATATCCACAGCGCACTGGTCTTCATGTCAACAACAGGAAAAGGGTTCCAAATCACATATCCATCCATCACGCTCCACGCCATCTTGCGTTCAGGAGAAGGACCAGCTTCAATATACTGTCAACTTGACGAAACGGACTATAGCCAAACCCCAATGACGATAGCCGCAAACGGTGCAGGGGAAGGCGAGGAGGAAGTGACAGAGATGCAGGAGATGCGCGAGCTACACATTATCAGCTCAAAACCAGAGAACCGTGCGTGATAGCGGTTTTTTCTGTTAGCACCACACCAACTCACCGTTCCTCTCTACTCATTTCGCCATCATCTCTGACACGCTTCCTTCCTTCCTTAATAGTCGAACCTATCTTCGAGTCTCTTTCATACTGCGCCTCGTTACATCCAGACCCCAACATGTCAGAGGACGAAGACGATTTCGGGATGGGCGACGAGGCGTTCGTCGACACGGCCGGGTTCGAGACATTCAACGGGACAGATGGAGAGGAGTTGAGCGAAGTGGGCAGGGTGCGCAGCGATTTCGTCAACAATAATCGTTTTGCACCGTACTAGACATGTCTTGATCCTTCTGCTTCTTTCCTTGGCTACATCGTCCATGTGGATGCTTTTGTAGGCGGCGCTAGAGCATCTTGAATCTATCATCTACGACCCGCACGAGCTGCTACAAGAGGAAGGCGAGAATGGCACAGGAGATGAAGTCGAAGCATCAGATATCGCGAACGTGAATGGAAACGCCACAGTCAATGGGACGTCCCATACGGTTGAGGAGGGTCAGTTCTCGGACCCGGAGGAACGCAACGCAACTGAACGGCCGTAAAAGCATATTGAATATCCTTCTAGAGGTTGGGCCTGGTGGTGGTCTTTATTATTTCTCCGAGGTCTGGGTTGCCTGCTCTGATATCTTGTACTTGTCGTAGTCTTGTACAATTGTTGTTGTACACGAAAAAGATAAGCAAGGCTTTGAACAAGCAAGGCTCGAAAAAAGTCTAGAGTTGATGGTGACCAGACCATAATACAGTAGGCAAGTGAGCGCACATGATACCGAGGTATTATACATTTCAAACACTCATACTCAAAGACAGCACCCAGTCCACGACCTCTCCTGCAACATACATTCCACATCTACTACATCGTTGCGCTCAGCCGGTCCTAGGATACGCCCCATTGCTCTCCGAGTCCTGGCTCCGTCTTCTTCGTGTCACCCCTCACAACAGTTACAGTCATCCTTCGCGCACAACTTTTCTTCCTCCCCATTATCTCATCAGCGCGGCGTGTTTGGTAAGGGTAGTTGCTCGTATTGTTGTCGTCCACGTTAGCTGGGGTGAGGGAGCTAGGTGTGACGTGCAAGGTTTCATGCCCCAACGCCGGTAGAGAAGACCTAGAAGTCTCGAGTATGGAAGGTGTCGTGAAGGTACGTGGCTCCTGCTGTGGACAAATCGGTGCGGCAGGTATGGCGCCTTCTGGCAGCATCAAGATACGCTCGTTAGAACTATTGCACACTGGATAGTACACGGTACCATTCGGGTGCATCATCCCGGCTGTCGCGGAGTCCTGGACCTGGTGAGCGGGCGAAGCTAGAGGGAACGATACTTCTGGAATAAAAATGGACTCTGGATGTGTGAATGGGCACTTCGTTCGAGTCTGGCACGACACACCATATCGGCAAGGGGTATACTTGACGTCTGTAAGAAAGAAGAACAACGAGGGCTCAATATTGACACAAATCATAACTGCATAGAAAGATAACATACATGAGCTCTTGTCATTGGGATGAACGAACCGGCAAGATGGTACTTCGCACTTCCCGTTGGTCACGTACGCCCAACAATGTGCCTTACCCTTCTTTGTTCTCCCATTACTAGAATGGAGAGACATCGGCGTATACGAAGACGAGCTTGGGTGAGAGGGTGCCGCGTTCCCGTACTGACGCCATTCAACGGTGCTGACTCTGCTATTCGCTGCCTTTGCATCCTCTGCTATGCTAGTCAGCAAGTCAAGGTCGTGTATGCTAAAGGGGAAATATTTAGTCTCTATTACTTGGGAAGGGGCGTCAATGTCATCCGACGTACAAGTTGCAATTATCTCTCAAAGGACAATACAGGCCCTTTGACCTTGCCCAGTGTTTACACATTACAGTCTTATACGACAGAGGGCGAGAACCAAGCGCCGTAGATGAGGTCCCCGGAACCTTGTCGCCGGCGGCGTGAATGTCGGTATCAGTTACGCCCAGTGGTGGAGCATGAGGAGTTCGATATACCAAGGCGTGCAAGAAGCCAATCGTGGTGCCGTTTGCGAGGTGGGCCGTTGGACTGCGAGACTTCTGGGCCGAAGGACGTTGAGAGGCAGAAGGCAAAGTAAAGCAGGTAGAATGGGGTGACAAGTTCGGTGGAATCGAAAAAGAGACAGTCCGCTGAGCTCTAGACTTGTCTTTGCCTTGCACTTTGGGGTCCATAGACGTAGTCGACGAATCGCCCCCAGCTGCCTCGGCATTCGACGCCGCAAGATGCTGACCTCCGTCACTGTTTAGTGGTGTCTTGTCAGGAGTCCAAGGATTAGTCCACTCGATATTTTCAGGCAATGGAGTCAGCGTCATCGGATTCCAGACCCTTGAAGCCTCTGCACTCTTCCACTCTTCGAGCTTCGCGAGCGTGGCATAGGACATGCACTCGTAGAGCACGACGGGCAAACCTCTATTTAGAGCCCGTTAATGTGGAATCTAAACCTTGGTCGAAATATCATATAGGGATGCCAATTTAGCGCTCTCTAAAGCAAAACTTTAGCGAGCTCTATAGTGAATTCCATTGATTATTCTCTGGATTGCCTTTAGAGGATGCTAAAGAGGTTCGGGGTTGCCACATAAGGCAAGCCCGAGGTGCTCGACAGCCTTTAGCGTCCTCCAAAGTCAATCTTCAGCGTTTGTACGGCATTTCTACAGAAAATGCATAGGCCTGCCTTTAGAGGTCTCTAAAGTTTCTCTTTAGTACTCCCCAAAGGGGAGTCCACATATAATATATGGAAATTACTTTAGAAACACCTTTAGAGCACTCTAAATAGTGGTTCCCCGGCCGTGGAGTCTGTACCACAGCCAGTCTGAGGCCACTGAACCTGTGTAGTCCCTGGTCGCCGAAGGATTATGATTTTCGTAGTACCATTCCGGGAATGAAATATGTTGAAGGGGACAGTTTGAAGAGCAGAGATTTCTATCGATGTAAGGACAGAGCGATGGTGAATCTAGCGGAATAAATTGCAGTGGTTGGTCAGTCAGGACTGTCGATGACAGTAGCAGGCAGAAACGCACCAAGATAATCAGGCCCCAGTGATTCGTTGTTCATGTTGATCGAGGCGCGGAAAAGTGCTACAAGAGAGTCGATGGTACGGCGGTTGGGAGGCCGAATTGATGCGTAAGTCCGAGTTGTTCGGCCAACTTACATGAACAGTGTGTTCTCAGAGAGTGAGAGGTGGAGGGTGCGTCGGAGTGAAACCTCTTTAGGAGCTATATATACTCGGCACGAGCAAAGAAGACAAAGGGTGCCGGACACGGTGGCATACTGTCCATAGCAACCACAATGAAGACGCCAAATCCGTGTCTGCGCTTTCGGTGCCGACAGACCGGTCTCAGCCGAGAATTGCCCTCGCTGTTTGAGCAGAGACTGGATGAAAAGATCGCACCTAATCCAAAAACCAGTCTATCCAAACAGATTATCATCATCGAAACCCATATAGAGTACACGGTCGGTGGATGGTCGTGGCGGGTAGTGGTCAGTCCAAGGATAAGTAATTGGGAGAGAAAGGAAATGCCCGGCCCGAGTTCGACTAAGTATTGGCGCCCATTGGTTCGGCGCCGTGGCACCAGGCTTGGATGTGGCGCACTCGGGCTAGTGAGACGGAAGATATGAGATTCAGGCAGGACCGGGGCGAACGAAATTAAGCAAAGCAGTATCGAAAAACTATTGTACAACATATGATGGTAGATAAATCTGAATCATCGGGCAGAGTCTAAGCAGAAAGGAACATGAGCAGGTGAGCAGATACCGTAAATGCATGATAAACGCGATCGAGAGGTCAAGAAAGAACGTGAAGTACTACTAGTATCCGATTCTAACCCCTACCCATTCGTCGTGGGCGCAACAATCGCAAGCTCAACTTGCCAACCTCCCTGTGTCACTTGATAGAAGCTCAGTAGGTAGAGGCTTTCTAGCGCAGTATCACCTGGGTCTGGTATCGCCGATGTTGCTGCCGAGACAACGTCCCGTTTAGCACTCTGAAAACAGGTTTAGAAGCAATCGATGATGCATGCCCCAATGGAGTGAGTTGGACATACAGCTGTGAACCTCTTGAGCGCTCGTGCGAGACGTATAACTAGTTCTCCTTGAGTGATAGGAGTCGCGGAATCCTTCCAACTTTTGGTACGAACTAAGGTGGTCCACGGTGTATGATCAGGCCACTGCGGGTGGAGAGATGAGCATGAGCGAAACTCAAGAGATGTCGAAAATAGCCCACCAAGACATGTAGCGTGATATTCGTGCCGTGAGATTGCAAGACAGGTTCGTTGACGCCGTGAAGACAAGCACGCGGGGCGCCATCAAGTATTTGGGCAACACTCAAATAGCCTCCCTCCTTGCCCAGCCTACAACTAAAATCAACACAGTCAAGGCTGGATTCGTCCATACTACCGTAGCGCGTTTTCCCTGACTTCGATGGAGGGAAATAGCGACCTTGTGGGACGATATAGAGGGACGACCGTGTGATGGTTTCGGAGGAGTCGATGAGGAAAGGAGTGGAGGCGTTCTTGTCAAATGTAGATGCGCTTTGTATGCTGTCCACGCCAAAAACAGTGGCGTGGCGAAGTGACAATGAGAACGGACGGGCAGCAAGAGTTGGCGCAATAACGGCCGGGATAATATTATGAACGTGGACATGTCGTGAACTGAGTGGCGCTAAGGTTAGAGGAATAATGAGACTAAATCTCAGAGAGGCTTCGGCGTATGGCGAGGTTACCGGCGCATGGGGATGTGTCGGTATCCGTTTGAGAGCAATCGTAGACTTGGACCGAAGTAGAGGGGTGGATTGAAGTCCATGGCCTGGGTTGTGGCAGCCGTCAGGGGGGTACGGCATCACTACTAGCTGAGGCGAGTCGAGAGAATCGAAAGAAACTGTTCGCTGAGTCCGAGGAATAGCGGGAGTAAAAGTAAGATTCCAGTCACAACGTCAAGATGCGGAGCTTAGGCCCTGAGAAATCATGGTGATAGCATACGGCGGTTGAGATGCATTGTGTGTACTCATGAGATGCAGTCATCGACTTGGGCAGGAGGGCAGAGTACGTACTTTTTGGACTTTGTACTGTAAATCAATAAATTCCTGCTCAGGGTGAGATGAATCAGAGTCCGAGAAGCAGTCAAAATTAGAGTAGCATTCGATCTTGTGCAAGTGGCTCGTGGTGGAGGTCGGTTGGTAAAGGAATGGGCCATGTTAGAGTCGTGTTTTATACGACGATACGGCACGCGCATTGGGACGATATGGCATGGAATGTGCGTTCTCTGAAACCGGGCGTGAGAGTGAGAGCCCAGAGGTAACACATTGGAGCTTTCTGAGAGTAGTAAAAGGATGGCCGCTGTGAAGGATTTGGGCAGGGCGTTGGCCGCGTCCGAGCTCGGGGGAAAGCGAATTTACCGAATTTCCGGAGCGATGGGAAACAAGAGGTGAGCGGAATTGGAATCCGGCACACAGCTCGGACATTCGGCTACTGAGTTCTCACGAGGGGGGTTGTCGTAACATGCCTTCTGAATTACCATTTTGGGCTGCATGGCCGATCCGAGAGCGCCATTGTGGCCCACACCGTTCTGTGGTATATTCGCTACTTCACGCAGAAGTATCCGTAGAGAACTTCACTTTTGGTATCCTGCATCAAAAGGCGCTCGCTCCGAGTAGTGAAATGAGCTGAAATGCTCATCAACGGCTCTCCAGACTCACAAACACCACAGTGCCACTCAGCTTCATGCGCGTCTACTCCGCCGCTCGCATTGCTCGAAGCTGCCTTTTAGGGCAACGTTACGACAACCTCCCCCCCGTGGGAATCAAATAGCCGAGGACCTTCCCATGTCTGGCATTGCAATTCCGCCCACCTCTTGATGGGAAAGGTACCGTAACGGAATCGGGTCGAGATTGATCCCAACATCACGCATCTCCTCAACTTGAATGTTACAAGGAATTTCCACGGCCGACTTCTATCATTCATATCATACAATCGTCTCTCAACGTTGATGTTCGGTTGATATAGATGTGTCGTACAGGTATGCCAATGCGGCAAATATGGCATACAACATGGAATTGGGTCGAGATTGATCCCAACATCCCGCATCTCCTCAACTTGAATGTTACAAGGAATTTCCACGGCCGACTTCTATCCTTCATATCATACAGCCATCTCTCAACGTTGATGCAGATGTGTCGTCGAACAGGTACGTCAATGTCTCAATGCGGTGTCTGTGAGTCATGCGCTGCGTACCATACGATACCTTCGGTGTTCCATTTACCTGAACAGTCCCACTCGATACAAGACCGGAGTACGTGCAAGTACATAGTATAAATCACTACTCAAATCATAGTCCATTGTATTATCACCGGCCCCAACTTCTGCTTCAAGCTCAGTCTCAGGCCGGAAACCCTGAGTCTACCATCTATCTCGTCTATCCTCCACTTGAATCATCGCTTGATCGACCCCCGTCGCAGCTTGTCCGCTCTGTTGATCTGACATTCTCAGTGACCAACCTGCCTGTAGAAACCTTCCACGCTTACCTTGGTCCTTACTTAGTTCCTGCGACCACGCTTAGTGTCACTGCCGACATCATCTACGCCGATATTCGAATCACCGACAATGGCTAAACAATGCGGGCTAAGTGCGTTTCCGAGGAGCCACTGTGGTCCTGGCTATTTGCTAATGCCCTCTCACAGACTGTGATGGTCTCTGTGAGAACTGTATTCAACATACTTGCAACCTTTTGGGATCCATGAGGTCTGTTCCGTCTTTTTTTTGATATGATGCTCTTATGACTCGACAACTCACGGCGTACTCTTCCACGTTTCACAGCCCCAGCCTTCCAAGTCACGGCCAGGACCACAGCCGTAGCGAGCCCCTTGACGTGCAGATGCTCTCCACTGTTGTAAGTTACATTGATTTTCATGTCTTGCACAATCTGATTTCTCGACGATCAGTTCGAGGATCCTGTCAACAGTGGGCTCGGTGCGCACACTGAAAATCACCTGGATGCGCTCCCCGACTCTTATTTTGCTCCGGAGTCTGGTATCGCCCAAGATATGCAGGTTTCAAATGGGTCGAATGCCACTTGTGGTGCCACAGTGCGTGCAAAGCACCCGTTTGTTTTCCATGCCCTATCCTCACTGTGCTCCCATAGTCGCAGGATCCGAGGGAAGAGGACACTTTTATGCCGCCCGTCACAACGTCCTTCGACGGCTTCCAGCTTGACGCGACCTCGAACTTCCAGACCGCGCATTGGAATGACAACACAATATATCCTATATACGCCCCCCACCAGCAACCCGTCCTCGAACAAGGCTCTTACACTCCCTCGAACGTTCAGCACCCGCACTGCATACAGTCCCCCTCTTTCTCCTCTACCTGGGACAACCTGATCGGCTCTCCTCAGCCCGCTTCTCACCAGACGGATGTTAGCGATAACTCTACTAGTAATCCTTACGCCGAGCAGTACCTGCTGGATATCGAGCAGCGGGGATGCGACGCACTGTCCATCCATGTTCGGATCCCTCCCTCTATTCCCAGTGCTATGTACTTCGATAACCACCTCATGGCCGAGTTATCGCAGGAGGCTGATGGTACACTGAACGTTCGTGTTCATTTACCGCCGGGCTATGCGAACATAAGTAGTACCTTCGTTCACGCTTGACTTCGAAGCTCGTTCTCAAAGGCTCTCGGAGAGCCTATTGCCCCGTCAATTCCACTCTCCAATATCGTTGCTTGTTCTGCTATCGTTTTGAAATTCCTTTTACTCTTCTTTTTGCTTCGTCTGTTTGCTCTTTATTGTCACGAGCCATCTACTCATCAATTCGCTCTGTTATCGTTTCATTCTTCCCTTCGTGTTTTGCTCCAGCTGTACTATATTCGCCGTCTGTGGTCTGGTTGTAGTTTTCCTGTATGTCGGGTGGTCTATCGATGTCCGTTTATGTATCAGTCCTCACCGCCTGCATGGTCGTAATTGATATGAAGTCTGTTTTGTTTATTCACAATGCGTTGAAAAGCACTTGAAAGATAATCGAGCTCAAGTGGTGTGGCGATTGAGAGATTGGCGCCGTGGCTTCGTCAGTCGTCGGAATCAAGTGGGGATACCCATTGGTACGGCGCTGTGGCACCAGGCATCGATGTGACAAACTCTGGCTAGTGTGACAAAACAGCATAATATTTAGGCAGGACCGGGACGAACGAAACTACTGTCTTAGCAAAGCAGGAGCAAGCAATTATTGTACAATGTATAATGACAGAAAAATCGGAATCATTGGGCAGAGTCAGAGGTGAGCAGATGCCGTGTACGTATGATATATGTACGCGATCTAGAGGTCAAGAAGGACGCGAATTAATTTATTCAACCCACATCACTGCATCTATCTTCGTGTAGACCTACTCATTCCTCCCGGGTGCTACAGTCGCAAGCTCAACCTGCCAAGCTCCCTGCGTAACTCGGTAGAAGCTCAGCAGGTAGAGACTTCCCAGCGCAATACTACTTGGGACTGATATTGTCGAAGATGCCGCGCTGACATCCCGTTTGGCGCTCTGAAAGCAAGTTTAGAACCGATTGATGAAGCGTGTTCGAACGGAACGAGTTACACATACAACTGTAAACCTCTCAAGAGCTCGCGCGAGACGTAAAGCTAGTTCTCCTCGAGTGATAGGAACCGAAGAATCTTTCCAACTTTTAGTGCGAACTAAGGCGCCCCATGGTGCATAGCCCGGCCACTGCAGATGGACCAATTAGCGTGAGCAAAACTCAAGAAATGTTGGAAGTGGCCCACCAAGATATGCAGCTTGATGTTTGTACCGTGACGTTCTAGGACGGTTTCGTTCGCACCCTCAAGGTAAGCATCCGACAGGCCTTCAAGAATTTGGGCGACTGTCATACTGCACCCGTCCTTCTCCGGCCCACAACTGAAATCAACACAGTCAAGAGTGGGTTCGCTGATATTCCCGTAGCGCGTTTGGGCTGACTTCGATGGAGGCGCATAGCGGCCCTGTGGAACGGTACAGAGGGAAGACTGCGTGATGGTCTCGGTGTCGCTGATAGGAGTGGAAGTGTCCTTGTCAGTTGGTGATGCGTCTTGTATCCTAGAGATGCCGACAAGGGTGTCGCGAAGAAGCGACGACGAGAGCGGAGGGACAGTAGGAGTTGGCGCAATAATGGCGGGGGGTAAATGGTGGACATGGTGTTGGCTTGAACGCCGTAAAGGGTGTGATACCAAGGTCAAGGGCACAATGAGACCGAGCCTCAAAGAGGATTCGGCGTATGACGGGGTTACCGACGCATGAAGGAGCGTCGGGATCTGTCTCAGAGGAATTATAGTTTTGGATTGAAGTAGAGGGGTGTCGGATTGGACTCCATGGCAAAGATTGTGGTGGCGGTCAGGGGCGTACGGCATCGCTAGTAAGTAGCTGAGACTCGAGGGAATCTAAAGAAACTTTTCGCTGCGTCCGAGGGATGACGGGATGTAGGATAGGGACGAGAATCTGACAATGTCACGATACTGAGCTTAGGTCCTACAAAATCATAGCGTTACCATAGCATACGGCGATTAAGGCGTGTGTATTCAGGAGATGTAGTCGAGAACTTGGGCGAGAAGGCATGCACACGTACGTTTTTAGAGTTTGTGCTATAAATCAACAAATTTGTACTACGGGTGAGATGAACCAAGGTCCGAGTACTTAGCAGTCAAGATTCGAGTAGTATTTGATGATGTGCAAGTGGCTCGTGGCGGAGGCTGAGCCTGTCGGGGTTGGCGAAAGAATGGGCCATGTTAGAGCCGTGATTTATACTGCTTGCACGTACTCCATGCCAAGCGTGGTGGTTTGTAAACTGGGGGTTTCCATAATAGTTCAACATGAGTAGTGTCGGAGAAAAAATACGGTTGTCACAATCGTGGCCTGAACGCGTGAACTCCCGACGCGAGAAACCAAATCGTGGACTATGTGTGGAAACCGTGTTGTGATACTCTCAGGCTCTATGGTACTAACCATAGATGGACGAGCAGTAAGCATGCAACATTGTAAGTAGTCTCCCACAGGCAGACCTTGGTGTTGAAGATCGGACGTTCAACGTGTCAAGCGACATTGTGTGCGAGAAGTAGGCGCTGTGTTCACTGTGAGAGCGGCCCGGGTTGACTTTCACCGCTCAAGTCGTGATTTTCACCTTTCACCCCCCAAAACAGTGAATTACGGTGAGGGCGAAAAGAAGGTGATTGTCAACTTTGACGAATCACCTTGTCAGAAGGGGAAATTAACCCGTGTGACCTCCCCAATTAATTCATTTTCTTATTATTTTGTGGCATACTGTTTGTTACTTGGACCACACGGTAATTCCAAACTCCGGGACTACACACTATAGTATTGGAGAAATGGAAGGTATTTACATTGAGCTCCCATATGTTTCAGCAATACCAGGTCCCGGGAAAACTCATGACACTCCAAAGCCGTCTGTCTCTTGCCATCGTCCTTCTTGTGCAGCTCCAT